GGCGGATCTGGGGCTGATAGGTGCATTTCACTGGATGAACGCTGCAGGTGCCCTGCAAGGCAAACAGCACTCGGGGATTCGGCCTTCTGGCTGGTTACACAAATCGTTAGTCCTGCCTGCCGCGGTCCGGAATTCGAGATATCGTTCTATGAGGTCCCCGCGGCAAAGTCCAGCTGCTCGGATTGATTGGCAATGTTCGAGTCGGTACAATCCTGTACGTGGTACTATACTCGCCGATACTGGTAGCGCAGGATGTGGCCAATGGGTGGATATCCATATCTGATCCAAGGGACACTAGGCTACATAGGGAGAAATGATGGGATCTGCAAATCATCCACCGCAAGAACACGACACGTCCGATCCTCCCGACCTCAACAGCAGCAGCAGCAGCAGAAGCCACAGCCAAAGCGCGCAGGAACGTAAGAATCGGCCGAAGAAGTCCCATGATGCGAATCTAGGCCCGGCTCCACTCCCCCCTCCGTGGAAATACGCGGACTCTCCGGCCGCGCTGGGGTCCCTCATTGGTCGGCTCTTTCTACCAGCCGGGCAGCTCGTGTAAGAACGGCGATTGATTGGCCGTCATGCTCGCTGCCAGAATGATACTTCAGATCGTTCGTTCCCTGCGGTTCGAGAGGCACGGAGAGATCCCCACGAGGGCTCCCAGGGATCGCCGATACTTGCGACAACCGCGGTCCCTCGGACTGCGTCCTGTTGCAAATTACAAGTGGCACGATGGACATACTGGCGGAGTACGCAGCTCGAACACAATTGAAATTGGAAGCGAAGACTGCCCGATAGGCCGGACCGCTCGCCAATGCCATTCGAGGACCTCCCGCAGTGCACTAATGTAGTGGTACCCATCGGAAGATCCTAAACGGTTCAGGGCTTCCTTCACCCTGAGTTGGACTCTCCTGTTTTTATTTTTTTTTTGGCCCCTTCACCGGGGAATGGCGAGTACTGGGACCACCGAGCCCGATGTCATCGGACATACGCGCCGCCATGCAATGCGCTGCGCATTCAAACCGGTAATCCGACTCACGGCGCTAGCGGGTTCGCTGACAACTGCTGGTGCAGACTGGCAGTACTGGCATGAAATCAGCCTGGTGGGCAATGAATCTCCTGGATCCTCGCCGTCGAACTCAGATGACTGTCCAGTATCCCCCACGGCGCACCTCTCACTGGCCACCGCCGTGGATTTAGACTATAATAAGGTGTTCTATAGGTGGTACATAGGTGGCAAGCGATGATGCACGGAATATCGGTCTGTCCTACCTCAAGTTTATTCCCCTCTTCTTCCCCGGCTGAGTATCATTTGACCAAGACTTCAGATAGGTCCAGCCTCAGCATGGACCGAATCGCAATCCGGTTTCTACTTAGTCTCTACTACCTCCTGCCGGCCTATCCATGCAATGGTGATCGTGTCATGGAGTCATCAAATTTCATCGCGGTAGGCTACTACCTCAGCTAGTCCTCCGGTCTAATCTGGATATGTTACTGATCAGTCCTTTAGTAAGGAGAACCCCCGGCCAGTTCGGGTTCAGCCGCCATTCCAGTTGGGGGCGATCGACAGGCGGCGACAGGCAACTACGGAGCATGGTTAGTCGCCCAGTGGTAATGATGCTCCACTGCCCATCCAGATTCAGCTTCATCGTCGAGATCGATGATGCATTTGATTCCATCTTTTTTTTTTTCCTTTTCTTTTCTTTTTTTTTCATATCCCGAATTTTGGATTCGGGGGGATTTTTTTCATTTTTTTTCTTGGGGAGGTTTCTGATCAGATGGAAGCCCCTGAATGGACGGACCAAACCGGGTTCCATACTTCGCAAACCCAATGGCCGCGTCGGATGCTGCCTCATCCCGGAGTTTCCGGAGTACAGAGTAGCACGAATGCGCAACTCTCAACCCTACAACTCGACGGCCGTTTCTTGACTGGACTGGTCTCTTTTCTCGTTGCTTTTTTGCCCCATCCCATTCCCCATCAAGCTGTCTAGTAGCCTTCCGGCGCGGGAGGATGTGACAGCCGGCCCGTCATATCAGTTGATCTCAAGGGGGAACAAGAGAGAGAGAAAGACGGGAATTTGGGCCCAACTGGGCCTCTGGTCTCCACCCGTTTGATTGACTTGGTCGTGCGGCGATGATGCTCAGGAGGGAAGGATTGCGGCGTTATCCGAATCGGAGTGGATCTGGTCGGTTCACGAGAGATGGGATGATGCTCGTGAGTCTCGTCCTACGGTCCTACGGGGTACGTAGTGCCTCCTATCGGTTATCCCGTGTCTCGATGCTACCTCCCTGGGTACTATAGGCGTGATATGAAAACTCGGTCGATCCAACCTCGACCGGACCATCATAATAGAACTCGATGCGCGAAGGATCGAGATCTACTCCACCGAGTCCCCTGCTAGTCTCGATGCTACCAAAATTATTGCACCTGCGCCGCAGCCTAAACAAGCAATGACCACGATTTCCTGGGGGGATATTCTCCCGTTAGGAAGTTCCTCCGCAGTCCGGGGAGGATGCCGACGAGGCCTACTCCCAAGAGGGCTAAATTATAACGTCGCATCTGGGTAAATGATCATACCCACTCGGCTTCCTTCTGCCTGCATTGATAATGATTATCAATCCGGCCGATCCTCGGTATTTCGACTCGCCGGAGCCCTAAGGCGAGGGCGCCTCACTACTGCATCCTCTAGGGCCGGTCTCGAACAATGTAAATGTAATTAAATTAAGTGCGTGATTTCCTGTGCTTCTCGCTCGCGATCCGTCGTTTAGCCTCGCTGGCTAGTCCTCTTAGCGTCGTTCGTCCGCAAGCTTCATCCTATTGTTTCCCTCCTTTCTCGCGTTCTTTTGGCCCTCGGCAACGCAAATCCCTGTGCATCACTGCATCCTGCACTCCACCTGGACTTAGGATAATCAAACGGTCCTCGGGACAATAGAGGACCCAGACTAGTTCTACCTAGTCGCCCAGCGACAATAGGAGAAACGACTCAGACGAGCGACCCACGACCCGCAGTGCCGGCCAAACGAATGCATCCCAGCGCAATGACCCGTTCTTAATTGCCAAGGTGGCTCGACTAGCACTCTCACTAATGGTGATGGACGCTGGATCGTGCTCTTTTACTTGCTTGGTCTAACTCTCTGTCGGAGTGGCCGGAGCTGTACGAGACCGGTTTAGCTGCTCAATCTCTTCCGTATGATCTTTCGATTTCGCCTCGATAACTCTGCCGGATTGCCTCATGACTGAATCCAAACCAGCAAAGGAAGAAAAAATAGCAAGAAAAATAAAACAAAATCAAAAGCACGGATAACTTCGCACCCCCGAAAGCACGCGCCAAGATCCCGACTCAATTATTGTTTGAATCCACGGATGGACCACCGAATTGTCGACGACTAACCAATTAACCGCCCTTCTCCAGTGATCCCACCCTCTAACTCTCTTCGGTCCCTCCAACCGAGAACCGAATGATCTCATAGAATGTACGCAGTAGAGTCCTCCGTATACGACATCCCGTGTCCGTCTTGGATTGTTTAACTTTCCTTGCTGTGTCGTCCTGGTTTCTATTTCCATGCTCAGGTTGCTCGCACTAATCTCTGCTACCTTGAACCCCGGTCGAGGCTCCTGATGGGGCCGGTTAATTTATTCGGTCTAGACTTGGGACTCTGGGCTCTGGGCTCTGGGATGGGGTTTTCAGCTGTTAGTTCAACGGGGAATGACGGATGGAGGGGAAGGGGGGTCGGTCGTGCGTTTGACACGGGATGAGATGGGATGGGATGGGAAAGAGATGAGAACGAACGAATGTGCCTGCGGGCAAACGAATGAGCGATTTTCCCCTCTCAATCTCACTCACTCCCTCAACTAGCTAATCGATTGCTCTGCGATACAGTCAACCCTACATAGTATGTCTGTACATGGGTCAGCCGATCCTCGCCAGCAGCAAACGTCGATATCTCCAGTATCTACCCTACAGGAAGACCCAGACAGCCAGTCAGCCCGTCATTAAACATTAGATAACAGAAAACGAATAATAGATATTGAACCAGCCCAGCCATGCAGGAAAGTAGAATGTGTTTGTTCGATCCGCTGATCATGCGTCCAGCGCATGTGCTTATTTGTTTGCTATCTATTGTTATGGACCACGGAGTGCTCCGTAATCAATTGATTGATTGCTGCATGAAGTATGCATGCATACATGCATACATGTGCATTGCCATGCGTCTGCCTGTGCACTCATGCACGCGGTCACGGCCCTCCCCCGGAATCAGCATCGGGGATCGGGATTTACAATGGATGGGGATGTGCATGGGATGCATGGCTTATGCAGATGTATCACTACTTAGACTTGGGGGTAGAGGGGTAGGTGAGGGGCCTGGATTTGGTTGTATGTTGGGTGGTTTGTTTGTATGTGTAGAGTGTAGTTGTATATAGATTAAGTTTACAGTACAAGTTCAGATATTGCTACTACTCCTAATACGTATACTGTGACTGAGACATATTTTCATCTGTTCAGTAGTCTGGAGGACAGGTAAAGCTAGATTGCAAATACATAGCTAGAAATACCAGAGCAACAAGCTCATCACTGTTATATATTCCCACCCCAACAAAGAGTACAAGAACCTGAATTCCTACCATTCTATCAAAGAGGAAGACATCAAGTCCATCTAGCCTGACACAAAACACTTTTAATAACGGGGAATCAACCAGATCGGCTCATCGATCTGCCCATCCATTTCAATTTCTACTTCTGGTTTTAATGGTCCGCAACGCCCTGTCCTGTAGTATATCAATCAAGCAATCAAATATTCCCAGATGCAACAATAAATAAAAAAGTCCTGCCCAGCCCCCTGGCCAATCAACCAACACATGCAATCGTTTTAAATAAAGCAATATGATAAGCGTTGTAAACGTGACTGGTGAACAAGAGGCGCAGCGGTCGCACAGCGCAAACGACGCCTTTTGCTTCGTGTCTATGAAAAGACATCCCAGTCATGTAGGCAACACGGAAAAAAAAAAAAAAAAAAAAAAAAAGAAACAAAATAAGAAAGATGGAATACACCATCACCGAACTCCGGGAAGATCATGACATGAGGTTGGGTTAGACTCATGGGTGGGTGCGATGAGGGCGGCGGCCTTCATTTACTGGGGTGATAACTCCGGCCGCGCTGGATTCGTCGTAGCGAACAAAGACCCTTCGTAGAAAGCGGCCGTGGGGATCTCCACAACCCAAACCGGACGTCGCCCTGATCATTTTTGGTTGTAATTGCTCGCGAGAATATGTTCAAGGCTCCTGGGTGGTCTCGGATAATAATAATGTCTAATTGTTTAGAAAGTGTACAAGCGATCCCGGGTTAGTCGTGATTCACTCCGTAAACAACGTGCGTCTCACGACTGCCCGTTGGTCGCATCACGCTGAGAGTCGCGTCTAGGTCCCATGGCCGACGGTCCTAGAGGAGGGATTCGATTGAGGGATGGAGACGACATCGCCGAATGTTGTCCGTTGGACCCAGAGGGTGGCTGGTTATGGAACATCATCGCATTCTCCCGTTGTCGGCGCTCTTCCTGCTCCGGCGTCATGCATTTGACTGGCGGCGGGATGGGCGCATCTGGCGAACTCCGACCCATGAGCTTTGGGCTCGGTTCAAGTTTTTGAATAGGAGGCAGGACCGGTGCGCCGGCGATACTGCCCGACGTCATGGGTCGAGGAGACTGCTTGGTCGGGCTGATTCCCGAGAACGGCACGCCTTGCGAGCTCTGTGGAGGGGAGGATTGACTGCCAGGGGTAGCCAGGAGGGATGAATGCCCATTGTGAACCGATGAGAAAGAGGCATAGTTGCCGCTGCCTGGCCGGGAAACTTGATGTTGCCGGAAGGGGGTCCACGGAGCTGGACTCTCGGACGAGGCGGCCGGAGGCGGAAACCCTGCAAGAGGACCGACGTCACGATTACCCTGGGTCGGGGACATCGACGGACGATTTTGGATGGGCGAGGCCATACTCTGGCTGTGAACAGAATGGGATGACGAGGGTCGTTGGGGGAAAGGTCCATGGTGACTGGGCGGAAGATGAGCGGCCTGCTGAATCGGCGGAAGTTTGGGGAGTTGATCCCTAGACGGCGTGTAGCCATTGGCACCCTTGGTGGGCGAGAATGGGGCCCGGGGGGAACCGAACGAAGGCATATGAGCAGACTGAGGCCGGCGTTCGGGTGATAGGGAGAACGGGACAGGTTGCGTCGTATGTTGCGGCGGCAGAGATGGCGGCATTGCAGATGGTTTTGAGGGAGACGCATTTGAGACCTTCGAGGGAGATCGATGAGCCTGGGGTTGATATGGTACAAAAGTATGAGCAATGGGCTTGGGAAGGTTCTTCTCGGTGTCGGCCGCAGATGGCGAAGAACCAACGCGGAATTTCAAGGGAGGGAGCTTGGGCATCTTCGCTTCCTCGTCTCGCCGCTTGCAGTCGACACAGACAAAATGGAAATCGTCGCGCTCTGCTTCATCCTGCTTAATACCAAGGCATTTGCTGTGCTGCCACACACTGCACTTTTCGCAGGCGACGCTATGGGAGCCATCGTCCTATTGAATATGTCAATAAACCGCCAGACTTCCGTTCGATGCGCGAATCCCTTACCAAGTTTTCTCCATGCACGCCGCAGCCGGCGCAATCAAAGATCCACTCGTCATCCTGAGAGAGTCCTTCCAAATTCTTGCGTTGTCTTTCTAGTTCCGCCCTCAACTGCCTTTCGGAGGCCCTGCTCTCGCCGCGTTCGAGTTTCTGTTGCTCCTCCTCGATCCTTTGCAATTCGGTCTCATGCAACAGGCGCTTCTTTTCCCGCTCTTTGATGCGCTCTTCGCGGGTCTGCATTCGCGAGCGTCTCTCCTCTTCGATCTTCGATTTCTTCTCTTCAGCCTTGCGGGCGGCAACGGCATCTGCTTCCTTCTTGCGTGCTGCTTCTTCCTCCTCACGCTCATGTCGCTCTTTCTCGGCTTTCCCGGCAATACGGCTCGAGCGCTTCGCGCCGGCCAGCAGCTGCAAGTTGAGAAGTTCCTTTTCACGCTTGGCTTTTTGTCGCTGTTGTGACTCTTCTTCCTTCTCGATCACCGGCATGACCTCCTCCTCGATGCGGTCTCGGAGAATTTTCTCATCGGCATCTTTCGTTTTCCGAATAGAGGCCAAAAATTGCTGGTAGTCTGAAAGGGTGATTGCGATGCACTCCCACTGCATATTTTCAAAAGGATCCCGAGCAACGTCGCCATCCGGAGGGTTGTTATTGTCCTCGTCCGAGGAATCGTTGCCAAAGGCTACTCCCGAGACCTTTCTTCGCTTCGACGCCCTCACGGCTCGGGCACTCTTCCTCTTGGCCTTCGTTTTGGCCGGTTTGGGGGGAGGGAGGGGAGGGTCGGTGCGACGGTAGAGTCTGTTGTCGTCTAGGATGTAGTAGTAGCGCCCGTCGCGATCGTATCCTACTTCTTCAATTCGCTGGAAAGGGAGGTTGTCAGTAATGAGCCGAGCCGGAAAACGTAGTCAGTGGGAAGGCAACTCACCCATTGTGTCTGGTCAAGTTCTTTTTGCTCCGGCATCTTATCGCGAAGGCGATCGGGGTTCCAGAAGGTCCACACGGTCAGTTGGTGAAGCACGCGAAGTTTCAAAAAGACATCGAATTCGGAGAATTTGTTCGGGACCTCGTCGTGGCCGAAGGGGTTGGGAAGATGAGGGGCTTTGGCATTGTACTGTCGTCGCGTATATTCGTCGAAATTATCGAACCTAAGAACGAATCCATCGTGGTCAGTTTTGCGCGATCAGAGGAACCGGGGGAAGATCGGTCACGTACGTCAGGCCGCGATGCGACGAGACCCATTTGAGCAGACACAGCCCAATTTCCAGCAGCTTTTCTGACGATTCTGGTTTCAGACATTCGGTCTCTAGGTCCTATTACAGAAGACACGGTTAGAATACATCAAAAGGGTTTGGTATGCACGACGTCATGACGAGCGGTTCTGCGCCTCCGGCTCGCAGGCCGAGCGGCGAAGGGGCACGTACGTCGATCCCGAAATCCTCATCAATCTTCATCAGTTTTCCGAAAATCGCGATGTACTGCATGAGATTGGCGAACTCCCAGCAATTCCGAAGCCGATCAAGTAGATTCGGTTCCTCCGGGGCCTGCTGAGGAGCGGCGTCCGCCTCGGAGCGGGTGCGCTTTCGCGAGACCATGGAGGCGGTTCGAGACCATGAAAAGACGCCGCAGCGCAGGACCGGATGCCGATGGGGAAAATTCCGCGTCGGAGAGAGTGCGCTGACAACCGGCGAGGCAGAAAGTGGGGGAGGAGGGGAGAAATGCGCCGAACAAACGGTATCAAAAATTCGGGAGCAAAGCGGTGCTGGTGGAGAGGAGGGCAGGGCGTGTCGGCGAGCGAAGGAGATGAGCTCAGACTTCCCGGAGGCGCGTCGGGCCCGTCAGGTGATTGGCGGGCCGATTGGGCGTCCGATCACTTCAGGTCGATCTTCTCGACGCCCCCTCGCTTTTACACCCTTTGGGACCATTTGGAACTACGACGGAGCGGAGGTTCGTCTCGGACTTAAAAGTAATCGACATTCATAGATGCACCAGCAAACAATAAAGCCATAATAGCCATAGACTGACGGTCCCGTTGCCACCCGACAAACCCGAAGTAGGAAAGGTATGTGAAGCCCAACGCATGCAAAAAACAAAAACCTAGATCTTGGTATCTCTCGCTCAAAGAGGGTCTATCTCATTCAGATGGGGAGGGGGAAAGAGATCAGAAAGGACGAGAATGCACAGAAACACTTGCGCCATCCATATCCACGCCACCGCACCGCCTTATACCACATTATGACCGAAATGGGGAGAGAACAAAGGGGGGAATGACATGACGACCCTGCAGAAATAAGAAGAAAAGGAAAGATAAACATAATAATAGGAAGGTAGAAATCAAGCAAGCAGGCAGGTGAGCAAAAAAAGAATAAGGTGAGCGAGCAAAAGGGGAAAAATAAAAGCAAAAAAAAAAGCAAAAAAAAAAGAAGAAAAAAAAGAAAAAACCTTTAATACATAATGGTCACAAAGATCCCCCATCGTTCGTCTGCCCTCTCTTCCCCTGTTTTGTTGTTTTTCTTTGCAATTTTTTTTTTCTGTATCGTTGTTGCCAGTTCACACACAAATTGCGCCTGAAACCCATTTCGCCTAAGACCGTCCCATGCATATCGTAAGGTAGTCAAATATACCAAGCAAAATCAACGTCAAAAAAAGGAAGGAGATGCTTTTGTCAACTTTTTACAGAGCAACACCCGGTGCGCCATCGGAGACATTATCGGAGAGGTTGATGAGGAGCTGCGCGAGGCAACGTTTCGTGGCGGCGTCGTCGCGAAGAACGGATGAGAAGGTGGCGTCCCGCAGCGGTTCGGGGAGACACTGTCGCAACGCTTCCCGCGCTCGGCTATTGTCACTGAGGCTGTAATCCAGTTAGAAATCCAAGTAGACGCGACAACCAGGTGGAAGAATAATCATACCGAAGAAAGCAGCGCACGACGTGCTTGAGCAACCGGACGGTTTGCTGCTCCACCAGCTGAGTGACCATGTTGCTCAGAACAGTCCCCACGGCGTAGAATCTCTCGTACGTGGCGCAAATATAAGCAAGACCAATATCATCCAACAGAATCTTTTGTACAATGAAGATCGCCACCGTTTTGCTGAGCTCCGAGCCCGTCTCCATGATGCGAAGGCAGAGCGGGATGATCTCGGTGGTGAGAAGGAAGTTGATGACATCCGAGGAGTCGTTCTTGACCAAAGCACCGATCACGCCCAATGAGGTGAGTCGCAAGTATTCAAACGGACGAGATTTTGAGGTGGTGTTCAGGAATGGGTAAAGGAAAAGCGGAATGTGAGCTAATTCGGAGAGAAATACTCGTCAGCCAAATCCCATCGCGTAGCCCGTAGCTACTTCGGAGACATATAGTTCTGCGACATACCATTCAAGAACAGAGTGCGGGTCTCGTTATGGGAGGCAACGCATTGCAGAAGCGCCAGCGCGTTGCAAACTCGATTTGAGGCCGCGGCCGTCAACTGGGAGGGGTTTAGAAGGGGGTATACAGAGATAATCTCTTGGAGTAGAGCGGTCATGACGCCTATAGAAACGATACAAGTTAGCCAATCGCGTATTCTCAGCTACCATCTTCAAGAAACCAGGCTCTCGATGGCGTCGCCGCAAGGGTAGATGTCCCATACCAAATGAATGCCAAATGACCAACGCCAACTCAGGCACCTGCTCTCTCTTCTTGCTGAGCTCCATCAGAGCCGCCTCTCTGCGGTTTGGGTCCAGGAGCTCGGCGACCCAGATGAAGACCTTGCGGTTCTCATCGCTGATCCCGCCATCCATCACCGACACCGCGCCCGGCAACGAAGCATCCCCACCTATCGCACCGGCACCGGCGCCCTGTGCTGGATTCCCACCGCCAGCGTTGGAGGCCATGGCAATGCGGTTATAATGTTGCTGCTGAGCGGCAGCCGCGGCAGCCGCTGCCGCCTGGACTTGGGCATGCTGTTGGGCCACCAAGGAGTGCTGCTGCTGGGCCTGGTGGGGATGGTGCTGGGCTTGATGATGTTGCTGCTGCTGCTGTTGCTGTTGCTGTTGCTGCAGCCAGGACGGATCCGCCTGGGGATATTGGTGCTGATGAGAAAAGACGTGTTGGGTCTGCGTTTGGAGCATGGCGGGCGGGCGAGGGACGGATTCGTGGACTCGTAATCCTCAGGAGAGAATGGAGGGTCCCGAGCGACCGGGAGGAGAGGCAAGAAAAATACGGGGCAGAGGAAAAGTGCGAGAACTGTCAAGGACACGGCCGCGAGGTCAAGCGCATGAATGACGGAGGTGCGGTCCGTTGAGGTGGGAGGGAGGATGGAATTGGCGAGAGGTGAGGAATGACCGGAATGAACGAACGATGAAGAGGAAGTCCCGGGCTACGGGAGGCGGGGAGAGCGTAGTTCCGCTGCCTCGCCCGCGCTTTTCGCCTCCGACCGACGCTCGCTCTCGCTCGTCCCGACCCTCCCATTCCCTGGATCCCCTTTGCCATGGAAGAATCTACCTGGTCCGTCGTGTCTCCCATTCGGAATGGCTCCCGTCGAATCCTTGGATCTGCCGCTCCCTGTCTCTCCAGCCTGCCCTGCAGGTCGCACTGAGGGTCGCACGAGATGCTTCGGCAGGTGCATGATTATCGAGATCCAGCATTGATCTATAGCCTGCTGGTCGCAACGAACTCTCGATAGGGTGGGATGCAGATAATCCTAGGGGTTTATTTATTGCTTTCCCCTTTCTTTTCTCTCGTTTGATTCCGCCTTGTTTCTTCGACTGAAGTGGAGTACCTCTATCCCCAACCTGGCCCTAGGGTCAATATGCTTCGAATCTTGCCATCACTGTCAGATCGCTTGCAATGATTCATCTACCCCAACCGTTCATCGATTCTGAGATCGCAGTTTCTTTAATCGTAAATTGATATTTATCTCATGTCTCGTATTTACATCAGTCTGTCTTCCATCCGTCCAAATCATTCCCGGGAAAAAGAAAAAAGAAAAAAAGAGGGCACGCGCAGAACATTAAAAACGGCTCTTAGGGCATGGAAACATAACTCATTATACACATCAGATTTCGGAAAAAGACAAAAAAACCAAGATCAACACGAGGGGCAAAATTTCATAATACATTCATCGTGCAGCGTGCCGAACCAGCGCCATTTTATGCATATTCTGACCGGAAATCGGCAGAAATTGAAACATCAAGGAAAAAGAGCTTCTCAGGCTCGATATGGTCATGGGTCATTAAATGTCATTGATCGAGCCTATTGCGTCAAAGCTCATGATCGTCGTGAACGTGGTGGACGTGGGTAGGATCGTCGAGAGCGCCGTGTCCGCCTATCCGAACTTTCGCTACCTACAAACCAGTCAGTTAGCAAATGTCATTGGAGACTGTGTGAGAGGAAAATGCTGCACTTACTTGCACTGGTGTTGGTGTAATAATCCGAGTACGTGTAGTAGCTGCTGGGATAGCTTAAGCTGCTCTTCTCGTCGTGGTCTCTGCGTCTCTTCAATCCCAGACACAGCGCAAGCGCACCGAGGATGATACCGATGCTCGCCATGCTTCCCCATTTCGATTTCTTTTCTCCCGTCTCGGGGGCGGAGGGCCGGGCTCCGAACCAGGTGCGTCCCTCAGGTCTTCCACCGTGCGCATGCGAATGATGGGAGTACCGATCTTCGACATAGGTCGTCTCCTTTCTTCTTCTCCTGCCGATACCCAGACATGCGAACAGAGATTCCAGAGCCCCGCGGCAACACAGGCACGCCAAAAGCAGCAGCAGCAGGAAAGCGCCGGCGATTGATCCGATCACGATGCCTGCAATGGCTCCTCCGCTGAGTCCTCCGTCGTCGGGGGCCTTCACCCCTACCATGGCTGCGCCGTCGGTGCCCACGGGGGTTTCGAATGGCTGCGTGGTTGTCGCGGAGGCGGTGGCGGTGACAGTACTGGCACTGGTGCCTCTCACGGGAGGCGTGGCTGTAGCGGTAGCCCAGATCGAGGAACTTCCCATGATACACTGGTCGTTGGAGCAGACATATGCCGCGCCGCAGCAGGTGTTGCCGCAAACCGTCTCGCCGAGGTCGGACTTGCAACTGCCCGAACCGCCACCCCCGGTTGCCGTTGGCTTCGAGCCTCGAGTGCTCCATGTCGAAGTGAAAGTCGAGGTGTCTGTTTCGGTGACCACCCAGGTGGTGGTGTGGTATTCCCATCCGCCGTCGTCGCTGCCGCCGCCGTCTTCGCAGACTGCTTGGCCATTACCGTTGGTGCTGCATGTTTGGCTCCCGGTGCAGCAGACTTGACCGTAATACCCACAAGGGTTATCGCAGCGCTTTTCCAGCCTGGCCTCGTCGATATCCACCGGCGATGCCGCCGAGAGTTGAAGTTGCGCCGATAGGGTCAGTATCGAGATCGCCGATCGTAGTATTCGGGAAGTATGCATGGCGGAAGTAGATGTAGATAAGATGCGACCAAGTGCACGAGGTCGACTGGGAGGATTTCTCCTGCGCTTCCCTAAATCCCCGAAGCACTGAAATCACTCAACACCTGCGACACCCTTTTTCCCTGTCGAGGTAGCTTTGCTCTGGTCCTTGACAAGTACAGCACAGTCTAGTAAACAGACGATCGTATCTAGATCCTAGATACCTTTGTAATCAAACCAGATGAGATCAATGGAATGCAGAACCGGCATCCAGCAGAAACGAAAAGAAAGAGAACGAGGAATCTGACAGAGGAGGAAAGAATGGAGGGGGGAAGAGGAGAAAGAATTGGCGGCGGGCAGTCTGGCCGGCATACAATCGCTGCACGATCCTCCCCAGCCTCCCGTCATACCCAACCACCTCATTTTCCCACTCGGATTAACCTCGCCGTTGGGTCTTTTCTAAAATTAAGGATGACTTGGGTGGACAAGAGAATTGTGGGCGAGTCTCTCCCAGCCTCCTTTTTTTTTTTTTTTTTTTTTTTTTCTCTTAATTTCTTGACGACAATCTCCATACAGCATCCCACCTGCTTACAGCCGGCACAGCAACCAACCCCGCCTTCTGACTCTTTGAGGTTACAAAGTAGAACGCAATCCAACTCAATTCAGTTAATCTCCTCCCCGCTTTTCCCTTCTTGTCTCTCTCGACCCCATCTTAGAAGGCCAGAAGCATCCCGTCCCCTTAGTTCGAGACCCGACTGAGCCACAATCACGACCCAAGCATCCCGCATGATTGGCGTCTAGTGTCGGTGTATCGGTATCCAGACCGGAGTATCCAGTACCACTCCCACTCTCCAGTATTATGCCTTACTCCTCCATAGGTACAGTACCTACGCAGGCAAAGGAAAGGTACGGTAGTCCCTGAACCCGAAACCCAATTGCCCAACCAGACTCGCCCGGGTCAACGACGGAGATTACCCTGTCTCGCGGCCACTCGCTTCCTGCGTCCTTACTGTACGGATGACTTCACCTGCCTGACGTGTCGGTCTCGGTCAGAAGCTCTGCCTTGGCATTGGTTCCCTGCGACGTACGCTGCTCCGCTCCTGTATGTAGGAACCACCACCTAAAATGACCTTATGTAGAGCCTAGCACCAGTTGGTCGTAAGGAGGGTGTGGCTCGCCCGTCGGGACTCCCAATCGGGCGTCTGGTCTCAGGGCCCGAGTCGAGTGCGGTGTGTCTTTAATCTATTGCCTTCGTTGCCACTGGTCTGCTCTGGCGAGGCGATGTGATTATGCGGTGTGCTGACTGCAGGTGAGGTACGAGGACCCGCCCAGCGAGTGCCTGCCCTAGGGTTTGGGGGTTTTTCCCCCGGGGATTTATCGCCTCGTGTTGGAGTCGGGAGTATTCGATGGCAAGAAATAAATAGTATTTGCTCGTTCGGTTGGTCTGCTAATTCTCCTATGTACAAAAAAAAAATATAATAAAAACATGGCAACAGTGATAGATTTACAATCTTTCCGTAATCCGCAAAACATAGCATCGTCATCGTTCAGTAACCCATTATCCATATGCAAGGTTCAAAGGCACAAATGTACACCCAATAAAATTAGAGAGTGAAACATGCGCCTCGGAAACGTCGGGGAAGAAGGAAAAAAAAAGGAAATATTTCCACATCGCACATTCATTTCGAAAAACGCGAAAAGAATAAGGCGTCAAGCATCACACGAGCATTCCGGCCGCTCCAATGACCACGCCGAAGATGAGGTCCTGTAGACTGGTGGTGCGTCCCGTGTTGGCTCGGCTCTCGTCATCGGTCTGGGTATGATACGTCTCGCAGTATCCCAGATTGAGTCCGTGGCAGGCTTCCTGGCTCAGACTGGAACAGGTAGAAACGGCGGACGGTTTGGAGCCGCCCTCGCGAGTGACTCCCGCGCCGCCGCCGCCGACTGTGACTGCGTAGCCCCCTCCCAGCTCCGAGAGACATCCCGTGTAGTCGCTTTCGCACCGGGAATAGTACGACGAGCAGACTCCGGCATTCGAAAACGAGGTCGGCACGTAGACGAACGGATAAGCGCCGGGCATTGTTGAGCCGGTGATGGTAGCGTCGTTCGGAGCGGTCGTCTGCGTCGCAGTCGCGGTTTTAGGGAATCGAAAGCTCGTGCTGGACGCTCCGCCGCCGCCAGATCCTCCAGTTAGACTCCCCGTGCAGCTTGCTCCGGTCGGACAACAGGCGATGTTATCGGCTTCGTCACGAGCACACTTGGAGCCCTGCCTGCAGCAGATGTCGGTTTTATCCATGTTGCTGCAGGCATTATACCCGGCCGGACAGTCGCCATCTCGCTTCAGCAACCGCAGGAGAATGTCATATGCTCCTTTGCCGGATTCTGGCGTCTCGGGAGGAGAGAACGGGAGGGTTTCTATCGATAAAACGGTCGAGGCGAGGAATGTGGCCGAGATCCACCCAGATAACTTCATCCTTAGCGGCCTGGGGCTATCGTTTGCCCGCCACGCTGTCAATCAATATACCAATATCAACCGGCGGATTAGGGACTCGATCAAGCAGTTCGGTCGAGTGTCGAATGCGCGGAGTGTTTCGAGCGTCGAGCGAAATGCCACGAGAGATAACGGCTGATCAACAAACTACTCAAAACGGCAAATGTAAGTATAAGCGGGCGATCGCAAAAGGACAGGGAACGAGATCACCGAGGGGCACTTACTGGTCGCTAGGTTTGTTCCTCCAAGAAATCCTCACGACAGATTTCTTCGGGAAGAATCCAGACCGGAACAGGTGGATGATGTAGTTACGCTGTGCTGCCAGCGCAATCTCCACCGGGAACCCTGCCACAGCAACGGAGCGTCGCCCGCGGTGGACCGCCTGCCCAACCACCCGCCGGGTTCTTGATCCCACGCTTCCTCCATCGGACTCCGTGCACGGATTTTTTTTTTTTTGTCTCTCTTTCACTCTCTGTATGTTAACTTCTATTTTTGTTTCATCCTTGGACGTAAGCCATACGTCAGTCATTAAACCGGACGGAATCTGCTCTGATAAAAGAGACAAGAGACCCGTTGTACGGAACTCCGTACCACCGTACTTGTACTCCGATGTTCTTAGCGCCTGAAAACCCAAAGCCTAGTCAGGATCCATAATATGGGGCTAATCAACCCGAATCCGATCTGTTTCTGGCTTGTATACCGGCTGAAGAAGTATATCGATGGAAATGCTTGAGTTTCTGCGCTCGGCCCGTCCACGTTGCACTGGAACATGTGACTGAGGGGTCATGGGACTCCGACTTGCAGCTCAACCTCCTTGGATCGCATTCTCGGTCGCCGTTTGCTATTCCACACAGGCGAGGCTTCGAATTTTTCGACCTTGAAATAACCTGACGAGATTTGTCCGTGACACAGGCGTTTCTGCAGGGTAACATGTCCGCGACTGACGACTCCCTCCCGATGAGGATTCCGGTGGTGGATTTCTCATCGTGGAATGACCCCCGTGACCAAACAGCTCGGATGAGAGTGGCACAGGAACTTGTCGAAGCCTGCCAAAGAGTTGGTTTTGTTTACATTATAAATCATTCCCTGCCCGAATCGTTCCTGGATGAAGCCTTCGCATGGACCAAGCGTCTCTTCGATCTGCCCGAGGAGGTGAAGATGAAAGCCCCTCATCCACCAGGCTGGGCCGTCCATCGAGGATACTCGCCACCGGGATTTGAAAAGGTCTCGCAGAGCCTTAGCACTGGGGACGATGACGAGATAAAACGAAAGATGAGGCAGATCCCGGATGTCAAGGTAGGTGCTGTCCTGCGGTGGATAGAGGAAACATAGTTTCATTTCCATCGGTTAATGATAAAATCTGTAGGAAGTTTATGACATCGGCAGTGAAGAGAACACGGATCAGCCCAATCAGTGGATCCCCGAAGAACTGTTTCCCGGCTTCCGCGCCTTCATGAACAAGTTCTACTGGGAGTGTAATCGAGTGGGCGATAGCGTGCTTCGTGCCTTGGCCGTAGGGCTGAACTTGGACGACGAGTCTTATCTGGCCAAGCAGCATTCGGGATATGAAAATCATATTCGATTGCTTCATTACATGCCTATAGCCGCCGAGGAATTGGAGAAGGAGCGTGCCACTCGTTGCGGAGCACACACCGACTGGAGTTCCATTACGATGCTCTTCCAGGATGACTGCGGTGGTTTAGAGGTGGAAGATATCTCTCGACCGGGAACGTTCGTTCCCGTGGAGCCCGTCAAGAACGCCATTGTCATGAACGTTGGAGATCTTCTTCAGAGATGGAGTAATGGTAAAGCCTGATTGCCGGGGGATAGAACCAGTTGTAAGCTGACCCTCATAGACCGACTTCGTTCGACAAATCACCGAGTTCGGCTACCACCACTCGCCGACCGATTCGAGGGTCCCAATCGAATGACTCGCGACCGTTACTCGATCCCGTACTTCATGACGACTGATCGGGAGACGGTCATTGAATGCATACCATCTTGTACGAACGAGAACGAGCCTCCCAAATACCGCCCCATCAAGCAGGTTGATTACACCAGAATGCGAGCATCTATGATGTATGAAAAGTGATATTCCTTATTTCGTTGGTCAAAACCAGCACAAATAATAGCGACAGTGGCATGGATTTTATATGAATACTCATGAATGATGAAATGATCACAGTCATAATAAGTAGATGTAGAAAGAGGTGCCAAGACCGCAAACCCTAAGCCCTACTTCCATGTCCTAATGCGGTAATCAGCCTCCGCGGACATCAGAGCCAGCCAAGCCAAGTCGCCGATAAGTTGTTCATCCAGCTTCCTATCAGCAGACCCTTTTCAAGCATCCACTTCCTCGCGCCAACCCCCTCTACGACCCGAAAAACGCTCATTTCTCGCCCTCCGAGAGTTTTCCAACGCGTTGGGAACCAGCGCTTCCCGAAACAAACTACTGCAAACCCGCCCCTCGCCGACCCCTCACCCCCCATCTACCAAAATGTCCATCCCCAACGAAGCTTTGCAGAAGGTGATTTGCCCTCTATGGTTACATGTCGCGGCGCGTATCATGGTTCTATCTATAGCATGCTAATCTATCTGATGAACAGCTCCTGCAAGAGCTCGAGACCCGCATCGTCGCCTCCCAACAGCAGATCGGCATCACCAAGGCGCAAATCACAACCAAGCAGAGAGACATCCGGATGCTGGAGCTGACGTCCAAGGAGATCGGATCGCTGCCGAAGGACACCAACGTGTATGAGGGAGTGGGCAAGATGTGAGTTGAGCGCTTAAGGAGACGGGATTCTCTGGGGTCCGGCGGTTGGGAGTTTCAAGCTAATTGGGACAATGCTAGGTTCATGAGCGTGCCAATGAACACCGTCGACAAGCGCATATCGACCGAGAGCACGGAACTGAAGTCGGATATCTCGGGCCTGGAGAAGAAGCTGTCCTCGCTGGAAATGACGCATAAGAATGGTCGCGAGAACCTCGAGCGCATCTTGAAATCGGGCGACAGGGCTTGATTTGGTCCCCGGGGCTGCTTATTTTATGTTTAATTATTATTCATATCTGCGCTTGGAGTTCATGCGATGATGTTTTGTTTCTTTTTATATCACCCTTGTGGCTTGGCATAGCTGGTAAGATATCGGCATGGGATATAGTTTGTCTCGACAGGGATGGGCGAGAGGATGTGGACGACCGTGATCTGTTTTGGAGGACCGAAATAGATCGAAAATGACTGGGTCAGGGTGCTCTAGAGCCTGTGTGGGCATGGAGTTGAGCGCTTACGGCGAAGCTGGCAGGACCAGAGGCGCAGTTCTTGTGGAGAGCGTCTATTGCAATGACCCGTGGGGACTGTCCTATACATACTACCATCTAGATATACGCAGAAATGCGAACAATGCGGTTCAGATCGAACCGAGACCAGGTCCACCTGCACTGCAACATCGACACTGCATTCATATATTATTACCTTATCATATTATTCTATTATTCTATTATCCTATTATCATATTCTCCTGTTAATCTCCGGCGGTACCTGACTTGATCTGATTTCCCAAACCCAATCTCCATGCAGGCGATGAAACAAGGCGAGACGCCAGATCGCTGCCTAAGGGGTCATGGGTCAGGCAGCGACGGAGCACCTTATGGATCCGTGGATGACCAGCAGGAATCGCATCATGCCGTTGGGGAGAATGATCTGGGTGCCCAGCCCTGAGCCCCGAAATCGGGACGCAAAGCACGCGCAGATGGAAGATACCAGATCACACCAGCCCGTCATCAGGTCAACGTGCTGGCGATCAAGGTTTCTGGGTCTGCGGGATCAACCGCCGGAGTTCCCTGGGTTTCCTCGCCTCCCAACCACCGGCGCCAAACATCAAACCAGAAGCGCTGGATATCGCCAGCGTCCGATCCAAGCCCTGGACCAGAGCCTCCAGGTCGAGTTTCAGATAATCGTGCCATTCTTTGCGCCTTGCAGGGGAGCCGCAGGAACCGCGTGGATCTTAGTCCGCACCACTACTCGGTCGAAACTACCTAGATAAATACTTAAATACTTCGTACTCCGTCAAGATCAAATGCGAAATACCTCAAGAGGCAGCCCGATGATCAGGCTGACCCAATGATGCCCATCTCCGACGCCATTCGCCCCGGACAAATCACCGCCGTTGCTCTTCCCCCCACTTCCAGCTGAAAAGGCTGTGGCTTTCTTTTCCTCGCCTTCGCTTTCTTCCTTTCTTTCCTTCCTTCTTCTTCTCTCTTCCCCGTATCCCGGCTTCCGTCCGACTCGTGCTTTTTCCTCGCCCTCATCCGTTCCTGGTCGGCTTTGCTTTGTCCGGGGACGTGCCCAGCCGGCCATTAATCACGCTCGCTATTAACTAGTGATCGTGCCGCCATTCCCACTTACGTCACTGCCTCACCCCGCTTGAATCATCCCGTCCATTTATTAAAGCGTCCATCGAGGGTTCCGTCATCCAGCACAGAAATCCACATATTCCTTTTTTCTTGCATTTTATACCCCCTTTCGAAAAATCCCAAAAGAAGCAGAAAACCAGCAAACGAGAGTCTCTCCCCCTCCACAAACGCACATCCTATCAGAATATGAGACGCTACTTCGCTCCGGCCACCGATTCCGAAAGCGATCATTCAGAATCAGACGTCTCCATGGAGATTCCCCGTCAGAGAACGTCGTACCGGAGACGCTCCGTCTCTCGTCATCGCTTCCACCCCGACCAGTTCGCCTCCGACCACTTCACCCCCGACCACAGCAATACCTATTTGAGCCCCGTGGTGCAGGACGTCCACGTCCACCGGTCCGCGTCCACCGGCGGTCGACGACGCCGCGAGCCTGAGCGTGTCAGCCAGCCCCCGGCCGTCATCGTCGACATTAAGAATGACTCCCGCAACAAGAGCTCCAACAGGAGCCGGCGTCAGCAGCACCAGCAGCACCAGGAGTTCGTCAACCCCTACGAGTCCGAAGACGAGCACGTGCTGCGAAACCACCGCCGGCCCCGCGCCAGCACCAGCAGTATCTCGCGGGAGACCTCGCCGCGACATCATCGGGACTATGACATGCTGATTGACCAGCGCATGCTCGAGCGGAACGATGCCCGACAGGACCTTGAGCTCCTGCGTCAGCAGCAGGAGATCGAGCGTCTGGAGCGAGAATTGGCGCGCAACCGTGACCCGCATCAGGAAACCCGTCTGCTGAAGGAGGAGGAAGACTGGTACGAGGATGAGATCAGCGATCGGCTACGACGACTCGAGCGATTCGAGAAGAAGCAGCGCATGGACGAGGAGCAACGGCATGCGGAGCACCGCTATAAATTGCGCAAGTTCGAGGAGGCGCAGCGACAGGCGGCAGAAGATGAGGAGGTCCAGGCGAAGCTCCGTCTGGAAAAACTGAAGGAACTCCAGCGCAAGATCGACGAGGAGGAAGAGCGCGAGCGGGTCAAAAAGGAGATTCGGGATGAGGAGGCAAGACTGCTGATCGAAAAGCAGGAGAAGCAGCGCCGAGAGGCCATGATGAAGGCGGCTGCCGTCGAAGAATGGAAGCTGAACGAGGAGCGCCGAATGATTGCCGAGCGCGAGGAGAAGATACGGCGGGATGAGGAGTTCCGAACTCGATTGAGAATGGAGTTCGGGTATACCGAGGACGAGATTGAGGACATCCTCAACAAGAAGAAGAACCCGGAGAAGGAGAAGAAGAAGAAGAACAAAGATAAGGAGAAGGAGAAAGAGAAGGAAAAAGAAAAGGAGAAGGAAAAGGATGATGATCACAGTGATCATGAGGGGAAGAAGGAGAAGGAAGTTGACCACCAACGGACCACTTGGATTAAGGTAGGATCTTCGACCTTGTCTGCCCAATACAACGTGTCTGACATCGGCTCTAGGTTCATCACAAGCATCTTCTCCCCGATACTCTGATTGCCTATCGTCTACCCTGGGACTGGGATGATGTAAGTCATGCCTAATGAACATTAACTTTCAGAACGATGCTAACTGCTCACCGACTACAGCTCGACGGCAACTACATCATCATCAAGCAATGGATCAGCGAGGACTTCCAGGAAGAACTCTTTGCTCACTCACGGCGGTTGCGCGAGGGCAAACTGGTTACCCAGAGCTCAAGCCATTTGACGGAACTGAAGGTCAACGACAAGAAGAAAGACAAGATGTTCCTTGTCCGGAAGAAGAGCCCCAGCCGCCGGGCTTGGATTTTCACTTGATTGAACGCTCGCAATGGCAGTACACGAATTTGATACCTCATTATGTTTGTTTTCGGTTTCTTTGCACATTTCATCTCAACGAATTTCTTCAACTTTTTTCTGTTCTTTTTCTTTTTCTTTTTCTTTTTTTTTTTTGTCCATCTTATACTACTGCTGATTCTGGGGTTTTGACATGTTCCAAGATGTGCTATGATCTGTTGACATTTACTTTCTTGTTATGGATTCTGATGACATGGCTTTATACGATACACAATGATAGTTATATGACGAATTTTGGTTATTCTCCACGGTATACAGCGACAGTCACATGACGGGGGTCGATCGGGAGATCCGGCGCTACGAAAATCCCATCGAACATTTGCTCCCTTCGGAGTGGCGCCCCAGACTACCAGTGCTAAAATGGGTCCAAACCAGATAGCACCAGACAGCCAATCAACACAGCATGAGGACAAGGCATCGGTTGGAACCTATTCTGCCTAGTAAATTAGGACCCGTCGTCGAAAATGAATCTAATCTCACATCTTGCCAGAGCAGATGCAAAGACAGCATAAGGCTCTACTCTCATCCGTGTCTGCCAAAATGTCCAATCCGGCGGATCTTCCCCCGGAGCTCTTCAGCGCCGTGCTGGATCTGGCTCTTCAAGACGAGTCAGATGTTCGACGCCTCTGCGGCCTCTCCCTCCTCAGTCGCCGGTGGTATACCGCAGTTCTGAGTCGAATCTACTCGGAATGGACATTCAATGGTGCCAGACAGTCGTTCATGACTCTCTGGAACTTCCTACGAACAATGCGTCGCAACCCCAACCTAGCAACCTTAGTGCGAACATTGCATATTGGCAATTGGGGATTCTTTGATCATGCCTATACTCCCTGTCATGATCTTCAGCTCCCTTCGGATGAACTTGAATTGGTGAGAAAAGCCGTCCATGATGCAGGTATCGGCCATCTAGAATCCAGTATCTTGGAAAGCTTGCCTAAGCGAGATCGTCGACCGCTGATGGCACTCCTTTTGACGTGTTTGCCGAACCTTTCAACTGTATATGCCCACGTGCCACGGTCTGATCCTGTTCTGTATGCGGTACTTGAACAGGCAAACATTCAGCAGAAAAACGGGAATCCATCGTCCGCACTTTGTCGGATCGAGGAGATGTATCTACTTCAGGAAGTGCCTGTTTTCCCGCGAATGCCAGAGCAAGATTCCGATGAAGATTCCGAATATTCCGACGAGGAGCGTCTTGATGAGGAACTAGATGTCCGTCGAAGGTCGAGTTCCCTGCGCTTCGACGGTCTATGGCCCATTTTACAGTTACCGAGCTTACGAACAATTCGTATGTATGATGTCGATACGGATAAAGTAAGCGACCTGGTAGGGCATAATGCCGGTTCTTGGACTTGATAGTATCTTCGGGCTTTCCATGCAGACTCCCCAACATTCAGGCCTTACTTAGGCTTCCCAGTGCCTTGAAAAGCTTCTCGTTCCACTGGCGAGACGACATATGGGATGAGGATGTACCCGTGATTACCAAACCCGATGTTTGGAAATGTCTATTGGCGCAAAAGTTAAGCCTTGAAATGATTGATTGCTATTGCGACGGATTTATGTCTATCAAGCGGGGTCGATTTGGTCTCTTGCGTGACTTTCCGAATCTGAAGCATGTCAGCCTTGAAGTAGAGACATTACTTGGTGGCTGCGACGACGACTTGATCCAAGTTCCCTTCCTTCCCAAAGAGACCCTGCCACCCAAGCTCGAATCATCGACACTATACGGATTCAAAAATTATGACATCACCCCAGAGTTGCCTGAGCAATTGCAGGAATTGGTCAGCTCAGATTTCCCTTGCCTGAGATCCATTGTATTGGAGAATGGGGGAAGCATTTATGGCAATGAAAGTGGGGAAATCAAAGCTTCTTACCAAGCCCTCGAACGGAAATGCAAGGAGAGCGGCGTGGAATTCCGAATCCAACAAGGCAATCAGCTTCGGCGAGGTGGGATCTGTCGAGATCTATGGGAAAAGACGCTTTTTATGCAAGACGATGGGAATGAACGCGCAGAGTGGTTTGGATTCGTGCCTAAAAGGTTCCGGGATCTTCGAGAGCTCCTTCTTCGCCCAGCAGATTCCATTGAAGAAGACGACGACGACGACCTGGATAGCAGAGATGAATGGGGGCCCTATGGCGCGAAACCAGGAAGACCAACAAGAGTGAAGGTCCACACTGTCCCATTCACAGATCATTCCGGAAAGATCGCCTACATGGTCTTTCAGAACCTTGTAGAACTCCCACTGCCTCCGCTGTTTTCCTTTGCCATTTACTTCACCCACGCCGACGCAGCCCCAGAGCATGTTGACATGACGGGCTTATACGATCAACTCACATCCGGACCTGAAATCGATGTCCGATTCGATCTATACTTTCTTCCCGGAGCCAGCCAGGAAGACTGTATGTCCCACTACTGCGGTGAAAAAGTCTCTCGGGGAAGCTACAAGGAGCAGATCCGGATGGTCCAGGGATGCAATCGCAACGAGGTCCACCCGCCCTCCCGGCACCACGGGCCAGCTGCCCGGCATGGTGTATAAATACCACGGGATGTCGCCCTACCGCGGGTTATTGTATATCTGCCCGGAGAGAAACTGGCGCGACGGCCAGCTTACCGTGGATTGTGTCTCCTTTGACCCGCGAGCGACCTCAAAGGAGCATGATCCAGTGCAAGTCCGAACCCGTCCATTGAGCAATGATAGCCCGATCTTCGACGATGACGATGACTTTCGACACAATGTTAGCCAGGAGATGTTTGAAATGGCGCATTGGAAGCGCGATGATGCTCTTGGTCCCTGGCAGAAGGCTACTAGCTGGGGCTGGTCGACCTGGTAAACACACCCGCAGTTCTGAATGTATACCAAAGGACTTTCATCGAATAGCTTAGCACAATTATCGAGAGGGTGTCATCTTACCGGCTGCATTTGCAACATATTTGCCTAAACGAAAGCATTCCGACCTTGCTCAGATCGCTGAGGTCACATGCTTGCGGATATTCATACGAGATCTGTCCATCCAGCTCCAATACTTGCTTAGAGTGACACAAGAAGTGCTTTCTCACCTCAGCCATTTATATAACTACCTGCCTCTGGTTCAGCACACTCGCAAATTACCGATTCTTCATCCCTTTCCCATCCACAACCCGCCTACCAAACTCAAACAAATACGCCTATCCTGCAAAATGGCCCACGCTGTCACTGAAGTTGCCCTCCTCACCTTCCTCCCGGACGCCGACATCGAGTCGTCTCTCTCGACCGTGGAGGCCATTTCCTCCCGGCAGGAGGGAATTGGTGAAAGGCGCTGGGGGCGAGTGGGAGATGATGAGACAACCGTCCAGTTTCTTGCGAGTATGGTTTTGCTTCTGTTTGCTTCTAGACATTTCCCTTGCTATCCGCAAGTCGTCTTTTCCTCCTTCCTGTTTTTGCTCTCCCAGACTATGAAGGAGAGGAAGAGAGACTAACGAGTCAAGTACAGACTGGGCCGATATCAGCTACCACGAGCAGTACATGTAATCCGGCGCCGACTACGCTGCCGTGAGCAAGATCCTGACGCCGATTCTTGCGGCGCCGCCTGTTGTTTTCCATGTGCATTTGGATCAAAATGTTCTGCACCGCGTTCTTGACGCGCCTATTGTTGAGGTCGTGACGTTCTATGGTACCTCCGAGGAGACTCAGTCTATACCGGGGAGGGTACTGGGTAGCTCCAGTGCTCAGGGCAGTCACTCCACGGTAGTGCACGGTCCGGTGGTGGAGCAACTTGCGAAACCTGGAGACAATGCAACGACGAGAGCTTACTTTGCGATGGCTGGGTGGGATTCGAGGAACAACCCCGGTCTGTTGGGTACGATGGAACCTGTAATTGTACGAAATGAGCTGGGGTCGGCTACGATTCAGGTGCGGTATGTTCAGTATAATCATTAACATTGAGCATTGATCATTGATTATTGATTTGATGGGTCGATGGAAAGACAGAGGGGAGATTTTCTAGCCTAGCAGGTTCTCGAATGGGAGATCGTTACTGCAGCAGGCGAGCTTCTGACTGTTTCACCGGCTCTGCTGCCGACGTTGCAGGGCCCTTCTGGAAGATTGCCGAGGCCTCTCGGATGCCGGCGAGGTGGTGATTTGGTGCATCCTGTCTGCTGGGCTGGATTTGTTTATATTCAGCCTTGCGTCTGCAGTCCTTCCTGGAGGAAATGAGGTGGACTTACAGCAGTATATGGCATCTACTCTGCGGTCTCTTCGGACGCTCAATACCTCCTACCGTACGTGCCTGTTCCTTATTTTCTTTTTCTTTTTCTCTTGTAATCTTCTTTTACTCATTTTGTCACACTATCAAATCGAGAGCTTCATAAGCTTCCACGACAGCTACGCCTACACCACACCATCATCAACGTAAGCGAAGTCTACATGGGTTGCCGGTGAATCCGCTCCACGACCGAGCCTGATCCCAAGGCTTTCCTGTTTGCCATTCGCAGCAGGCTCCAGCATGGCGCCGCGAAGGTCTCCCGTGCGGAGGCTGAGCCGCTATTCGCCAACGCCGTCAATCCCAGCTGACATGACACCGCAATATCAGTGAGCATCGTGGTGTACGGACCGTTATCCTCCAGGGGGCATGTGCGTTAGATCTGGGCTAATGGTGTGACACCTAGACTGGTCGATCATATCCAATGACAGAGAAACCTGGATCGACAGAGGCTTCTGACTGACGTTCTTCTTCCCAGACTTGCAGGGGGCGGGCTTTGGTATATCGAACGACAAAGCGCGTACCTCAACGAGGCGGATGTCCACGAGCCACGTTGGCAGTCTGTGTTCTATGGGGAGGATTATGACAGGCTAACGAGGATCAAGGGTACGTATGACGAAGACGGGATATTCTACGGACCAACCGCAGTGGGAAATGAGCGGACAGGCAGTTGTGCAGGGTTGGACAGGAAGAGAAGTAGTTAAATGGAACGAGACCGCGCTCGCTTTCTTTGTCTTCTCCAGACAAAGAATCAAAACGGATTTGAGGCCTTCTACTCCTTCTTTCTCCCGACAACCTTCGATCAATCATCCTTCACATCCCCCCTCAGCCAGGATGTCCGTCAGGCTCATCATCACCAGTTCCCGTAAGCCCGGCCTCTCGCCTGAAGCCTTCAAATTCCTCTACGAAGTGCACGTCGACCTAATCAAGCGCCTCGCCCCTGACACCTTCCCACTCTGCCATCGCCGCAGCTATCTCGCTCGTACGACCGTCTCCTCCCCTCCTGACGATGCCACCTCGCGGAATCGCAACACCCCAGCAACCGTGCTGAGAGGCGCGCAGTCTGACTTTGACTTCGATGCAACGGCGGAACTCACCTTTGTCGACCAGGCCGCGTTTGAACGTTTTGCAGCCAGGATGCAAGAGCCTCATGTGGCCGAGGAAATTGGCGCTGACGAGGAGCAGTTTCTGGAGCGGTCAACCGTTGCGATTGCGATGATTGATGGGGTGTGTGAGACAAAGAAGGATTGATAGTCCTGGGGAGGGGGATTCCAAGTATCGGCTATGAGGGATGATGATGCTCTTCATGTTAAATAAATCGTAGCCTGAGAGTGAGCTCTCCTCATCAACCTCATCTCCTTATCTACTCGTCACAATGCTCAAATCCACTCTGAAAATCACCGCATACCATCTCCACACCCTCTTCCTCTTTACTTCCAATGACATCCAAACCATGATCCTTCCCAGCATCGCCTTCGCCCTGTTCCACTCCACCCACCTCCCCAAACAGACCCTCGTTTCTCGCCTCCCCCATCTGCTCTCCTACACCTGGATCAACCTCCTCGCATTCACCATCAACAACCAGCGCCTCCCCCGCTCCATCACCGAAGACACCCTCAACAAACCATGGCGGCCGATCCCCGCAGCGCGGATCTCCGCCGCGCACGCCAGAACACTGGGCGTCCTTTCCATCCCGGTCTCGATCCTCGTGAGCATCTCCCTCAAGGGCGGAGTGACACGGAGTATCCTCCACGCCGTCATGGGCATCATCTACAACGATCTCGACGGCGGCGCCAGCCACTGGGCCATCCGGAACGCACTCAATGCCCTCGGGTTTGTGTCCGTTGCCGCAGGCACGCTGGAGGTCTCCCTCCAGGCTCCTCTCCCTCGCTCCCTGGCCCCCTGGCTGATTCTGATCGCGGTCGTCGTGGGCTCGACGGTGCATGTCCAGGATATGTACGACCAGGTGGGCGATGCGGCCGTGGGGCGTCGCACCCTTCCTCTTGTGGTGGGTGACGCCGCGGCCAGGAGGTCTATTGCGCTTACGGTGGCGTTCTGCAGTGTCGTCTGTCCGGCGTACTGGGGGGCTGGGGTCGTGGGGTTTCTGGCGCCTATTGGGGTTGGGGGCTGGGTTTGTGCTGGGACTTTGAGAGGCAGGGAGGGTGACGTGCAGAGGGATCGAATGGTGTTTCGGGTTTATAACCTCTGGTTGGTTTCGTTGTATGCGTTGCCGGTGACTGCGAGATGGTCGGGCTTTTGGTTGTGCGTGAGGGAGTATAGATAGATACGTACATACGTCGTTATTATAAAACCCATGTAGAAGGCAGCAAAAGAGACCAGGGCCGATTCTACGGACGGCGTAGGATTCCCACCACCGTGACATCTTTCGTTTCGAAATCGTCAGGCTGAGAGTGCCCTCCTCCTCCCCCGATATACAGCGAAGTACTATCATTCGCTTAAGACAGTGGGTAGGTAGGTACATGGGAGAGTCCCAGCCGTTTTGCGTAACCCAAAAGGACCTCTGGCCAACGGGGCATCGTTTCATTCTAAACGCCCTCCAGGATAAGGAACAAAGAAGCATACAGGCAGTAACGGCTTAAATGATCGCCCGAGGGCTGACTAGGCCTGGAACAACGCCCTTCGGCTCACATCCTATGAGGCGAGACAAACATCCGAGACCCCGTGGGGACTGCCATGTGTGAAACAAGGGCCTCGCCTTGCTCCTCATTTACACATACATCTGTGCTCCAGGATACGTTGCCATGATGGTTACTCCGCCGACACGGTCTAGTTGCGTCTAGGGCGGCTTGTCTCTGAGAACTCTCTCCTAGACGTTCAGCTCTCTCTTCGCATACGGTCAAGGTAATTAGGTAGGTAGGTACTACTCAGTTCTTCTGTTTTAGCACAGTACGTCTGGTCTACAAGCTGGCTATCGCTACCTGAAACAGCCGGTGCTCAACTCGTAGTAGTAGGGTTATATTCGGCTAGGGTTAGGTCGGTTGGAGTATCTTCAGTATAGGCTTTTTATACGCTCTTGAAGACTAAGCATGTATAAGACATATACATATACGTATATCTTTCTATTGAGAGGAGTCTTGTCATTAGAACCCAGATAAATCCAGTCATCCGGATATCCACTTCGCACTGGTACCTGACACTGATCTTAAAACATGTCTATGGCCATTCCTTCTTTTTTGAAACGCCACAACGAATAACTCCAACAAATGGCGCTCGAGCAAACATATAAATACAGAGAGCTTCACTGAAAAAGCCAAATAAATCAGTTCGTTATACATGGGCTTGGCTCTGCGCCGCCCAATGCTTCTCCGCCTGGAGGATCAACTCCTCATACACCGTCCACGCCAGCGCCGAGCTCAGCGCCTTCCTACCAATCCGCAGCCCCAGACCGCCGAACAAGCTACGCACCCCGTCCTCATGGACCATCAGACGCGCCGCGCGCATCATATTCCCATACTTGCCCGGCATCAGCTGCAGCCGCGTCTTCACCGCATCGAACGGGTTCGTGATCGTCGTGGCCAGTCCAGCAGCCAGTCCCCCGGAGACGAAGTTAATCGAGGACGACGACGACGAGCCCAGCGGGTTCTCGGCGCTCCCGGACCCCTGGTGCGCCAGCGCCGCTAGCCGTCGCTTCAGCTGCTCGTAGATCAGCACGTACAGACCCGCATAGGGCGCGTCGCGCGCCGCCGTGGCCCCGAACCCCGAGAACAGGCCCCGGAAGCCCTCCGTGCGCACGATGTCCCGCGCCGCCCCGTACAGGCTGCGGTACGCGTAGTAGTCCGACTCATATCGTACTTTGAGCACCGTCACCGGCATCATCACGAAGCCGGCCGCTACCCGAGCGGCGGCGCCGGTGGTGAGGTTGGCTGAGTTGGAGAGCTTGGGGAGTGCGGAGGACGAGGCGGCCGCGGCGGCGGAGGCTGTCGGTGTTTGCGCGAGTCCCTGGCGCAGCGCGTTGAGGCTGGTGAAGTATAGGGCGGAGCCGAAGCCTGTGCGTAGCGCGGATGGGAGGGTGCCGCGCCATAGCCCGCGGATGGGATTGGGGGAGGAGAGGATGGCTTTGAGGGTGGGGAGGAGAGCGGCGGTTTGCTGGGACTGCTGGACGCGGGTCTTGAGGAGGTCTGCGGGTTGGAGGAGGATGGAGGAGGTGAGGCCGGAGCAGAGGCCGGCGGCGAAATGGAAGGTGGTTTTGGAGGCTGAGCGATGGTGAGCAATTGGTTTGGAATAGGATGGGATTGGTTGGCTGTACATTTAGAGGTGGTCTTCACCTGCGGCATCTGATATGCAGCATTGTTCGCCATCGCTGGAACACCGCCCGGGTTGATCCCAGGGTTTCGAGAGCGATCAGATCAGTGCGGCGATAGAGATGGAGTGGACGGAAGAAAATAAAACCGGGCACGACGGGGCGCGGCCATATACGGAGCAAATGTCGGACAGACCGCTAGACTGGTAGCGGCGACATATCAAGCGGTCAGAGCGGAATTGGAGCAGCAGCGGAGAAGCTAAACGGATTTTCTCAAGAAAGCAACGGTGAAGTCATTCAAGTTTCGGCCCGACCGCGTGGTGCTTAGTCAGCGTGGTCCACATGATACTGACAATCTACATCAGATATAGAGGTATTAAGTCAATACTATACTCGCTAGTATGATCCTCGGGAAGAAAGCTCCCCAGAGGTCTAGTTGCCACAGTCTAGGAACAAGCAGTTAGTTCCTCGCCACATGCAGCCCTGCATAAAAGTGCATCCGGAATGCCTGCCGGCCTGAGGAATGAAATGGTAAATTACGGCGTTTTGCTCGGCGGCCGCGGAGAGCCGCAACGGACCAATCGGCGGGCAGGAAATGCACATGACGGCGGCGGATCGGCGGGCTCGTCGTAATAAATCGACGTCACCGGCAGTAAAGTTCGCGTTACTAAGAGGCTTCCAGGCAGTCGAACTCTGTCTCCAGTGGCTTTCATTCTTCTCTTCTTCTTCTCTTCTTCTTATCTGCCATGCCGTGATCCCCTCGTCTGCCTCTCTCTCTCTCCTCCGCCTCCTCCCCTCCAAACCTCCCCGCACCTACTCCCTCCGCTATTACGAGAGGTCGGCGACGTCCCACGGCCTGTCGGTGTCTCCAATGCCTGACTGGTTTGCCCCTCCCTTCATTCCATATCCGCCTGCGAAGGCTGGATATTGGAGTCCCGTTACCTCGACTCTGAATTGGTGCGAAGAGGTGTGTACCGTGTCCAAGTTCCTGTTCCCGTTGACATCGTCATGCTCATGCGAACCCCCAACCCCAACAGGACTACTATGCCACCATCTACTCCGCCGAGATCATCAACACCCTCACCAACCTCCTGTTCATGTGGCTCGGCGTGAAGGGGTTTCTCAGCTGTCGCCGTCATGGTCACGATTCGATCTTCAAGGTCGCCTACGCCGGCTATCTGCTTGTCGGAACCGGGAGTTTTCTATTCCACTCGACTTTAAAATGCAAGTTTGTTCTCGGGCATGAAGGAACGGTTGAAACAACCCGAGCCAGTCGCTGACGTATCATATCATCGCGACAGATCCCATGCAGCTGGTCGATGAGCTGTCCATGATCTACACCACCTGCCTGATGTGCTATGCCTCCTTCTCCTACTCGCGACCGAACCCGATTCGAGTCATCTTGGCGATCTCCCTCGCCGCGCTGGCCGTCTTCATCACCCTCTACTACCACTACCTCCAGGACCCCGTTTTTCACCAGAATGCCTACGCCCTTCTGACGACCGTGGTGGTTCTCCGCAGCATGTATACCATGGAGGTGACGTTGCGCCCGAAATGGCGGCACACCACCGAGGAGGACCGACTGGCGCGCCAACGACAGGGTCTCCCCGTCCCAAGCAAGGAGCATCAGCATTACGAGAATGTGCGGGACACCAAGATCCTGAAGACCATGTGGTTCATGGTGGTTTACGGCCTGAGCTTGTTCCTGGGCGGGTTTCTCATCTGGAATCTGGACAACCACTTCTGTTCGGAGATCCGCGGATGGCGCCGGGTAGTGGGTCTTCCGTGGGGTGTTTTCCTGGAGGGTCATGGCTGGTGGTACGTTTCGGCCTTGTTTTTTAGATTGCGCTTCCGTTCAATCCCCGGAGTATACGCTAACGGACGCTTTCTCATGTTCCAGGCACGTCATGACCGGTATCGGTGCTTATCTTTACATCATCTGGGGAATCTGGCTGCGCCACTGTCTCAACGAGCGGCAAGAAGAGTTCTACCTTTGGTGGCCTCGTTTCTGGAACTTCCCTGAAATCATCCGGGCCGGTCCTCGGGCAAAGACTGAGAATGGCGCCGTCAAGAAATCTAACTGATCTTGGTTTCTCCAGAATTATACCCCTTTTCTTGTTCTATTATTTTTATCTTTATTTTTGGTTTCGGTTCGAGAGAATCGCGGGCCAGGAGCCCCCGACTGTTGGGACGCGGTTGGCGTGGATTTGATGATTGCCAACGTACCTATAGACGTCGACTCTGGTAGGACTAGATTCTATTGCTTAGCGAAGAGAAACGAAGATGAAAAGAAGGTTATAAGTACTGTATAGTAGTTGTAGTGAATATTATATGTGAATATTATATAGTCCCGTTCCATCCGTCTATCAGCGGTTCTTTTCTTTTCAAGGACGTTCTTCGCAGGCGGCATTTATAATTTCGACTTGGAATCATCGACGGGCTTCTTGCGTCGCACCGGTGCCGGTACGTGCTCTTTCCAGCGCGCATCAATCGTCTGCTTCTCAATCTTCGACTTCCGACTCCATTGCGCACGGAAGGCCTCGTCCTCCTCCCGCCACCTCTGCATCTCCTTCCCCAGCCACTCGCTCGCCGCCTCACCGCATTCCACCGGCGCCTCCTGCGCCAGCAGATGGCCAAACTGCTTGAACAAGATGTCACGCACACGACCCACGGCCGCGCCGCCACTTCCGCCCAGTCCCGTGCCGGTATGCGTCATCTTGTCGGCGATCATATCGGGCAGCGACATCTCCGACTTTCCGCCGAAGAGATACAACACGCTGGGACGCAGATGCGGCAGCTCGGAAAACACACGCGACGGCTCCGGTCGGTAGAATGGGAACGAGCCGAAATGGTCGGTGTTGAGATCCGGATGCGTGACCCGGTTGACGGGGACGTCTTTGCCCGGCGGTCCGTCGTAGTTGGGCCGCGAGAAGGTGAACACTTCTTGGTGGAGGGGCGTCGTGAGCGTGACGGGTCGGGTGTCGGCGGCGTTTGCGGTCGCTGCCTCGCTGTCGCCGGGGTAGATGGCTGTGGGGAGGTCGCGGAGACCGGATTGGATCCAGCGTTCCAGAACGCGCGGGTCCCATGCTTGGTAGAAGGGGTTGCGTTGGTAGCTGTCGGCGGCGGCCTTGCGGGACGGCCAGATGTCTCGTCGGTAGGTGGAGAGTTGGGTGGTTTTGGCGATGACGACGTTCTGGCGCACGATTTCGAGGGGGTCGAGCTGGGTGGTTTCTCGTTGGATGACGGGGTCTAGGAGGACTAGGGTGTGGATGAGACGGGGGTGCATGAGAGACACGCGTGCGCTGTCATGGCGGGAAAGAGCATTTCATATCAGCGAATTGATTCGGGGGCCATGTCTGAGGAAAAGGAGAGGACTGACAGATGTGCGCCGCCCATGCTGTGGCCGATTCCGACGATGGGACGCGGCATCTCTTTGCGTTTGAGATTGACCAGGTGCAGAAGGTCTCGGGGGTGATCGAACCAGCTAGCTATTTGTCGCCAATCTGTCAGCTCTCGGGCGAAGGACCCCAGAAGGACAGGACACCTACGGTCGTTCCCTAGGCGGTCCTCGTTGATCACACTGCTTTGGCCCTGATGCGCCACATCGGCCATCCAGATACTTCGGATGCGGAACCCGTGTGCCTTGGACCGAGCATGGATTTCCTCCCACAGCGGTTCGTAGAGTTCCTGGGCCCTTGCGATCAGCCATTATGCGACAGGCAGCGCTGGCGTCGTCATCGTACCTTGGGAAAACCGTTTGCATGCGCCGCCAGAATCGTCACGTCGCCCGGCTGAGGGTTCGGGTTGTCCAGAGGAATGTACTGTTTCACGGCCAGCTGCAGCTCGTCCTCCTGTTCGTTGGCTGTCGCTGCGGGATATTCCCGGATGTGCTGGCAGGGAACAACATGGTCGACGATGCGAAAGGGTCCCAAGGAGGCCGACGGCGCCGAAGACATGTCGTCTAGTATATATAGGGGTGTATAGAGAAATATATAGAGAGAGAAAGAAAGACCAACAAGGTTGTAACGGTGAGGGCGACTATCCCGTCATCCTGGCATGGGAGAGTTTAAGAGGCGGACTCCCCGGTGGTTCGCGGTGTTGGTTTGCCGTGATCTGCGACGAGCCGAGGATCTCGCGCTGGTGAGAAAATGGCCGACACTGCCGACGCCTTGCGTGGACTAAGTGTCATTAGCCCGTGGACAAGTGGGTACGTTCTTTTTAACATCGCTGGGGAAAGAGGATTTCTTACACTGGCGCGATGCAGAGTAAGTATATGTGCTGGTAGGACTCGGCAGATGGAGGAGAAAGACATGCCGGCTCTTTGGTCCATTTCCCCGTAATGACTCTGTAGTTTACAATAAATAGAGTTAATAATAATAACAATTCATCAACCACACTCCGTAGTTGGCTAAAAATATAAATGGATCCATCCAATGTGATGCGTCCAACACGTGACCTGGTGTCTTGCCGACGCGCGGGCGCGTCGCATCGCATTGCATCAATCAGAACTTCATCTCCATCTCCATTTCCATCCACTCCTCCTCTGCGTCTTCCTCCCGGTCCAACCTCCTCTCGTCAATTGTGACCTTCTTACACCCCTCACATTTCAAACAGAATTACACCAAAAGATAGTTAGCCCGCCATGGTGGGCCCTAACGAAGAATTTCAGCTCTTCGATCAGTGCCGCATTTGCATCATCTGCTCCAAGGACCTTAGTCTCGACACAGCACACCAGGTACGCCTTCCCCCTAAATTCTTGTTGTTGGGTATGCATACTGATCTTTCAACCGCTAGTATGCATCGTTACTCGAAGAAAACGGCGGAGAATCCATCATCTACGAACCCCCGGCCACTTTCCCCCCGCTAGAGGAATTCACTCATCTCGTTTCCTCGACCATCGACTTTCCCGACTTCGACGCCGCCAATGATGCCCTGATCCCCGTTGTCAAACCGCAGTGGCTGCACGCCTGTCTTTCGAAGAGAAAACTGGCCAACCCACGGCAGTACAGCCCGGATCCTCGCCTGTTTCTGAACGACGTGGTCGTCACCTGCGGCGACATCCCCGAGGGTGATAAGGATGCGATTGTGGGTGGTGTGCTGGCCAAAGGTGGGCTGTATAGTCCCCGGATGACACACATGGTCACCCACCTGGTGGACTTGACTGCGGATTCCGATAAGGCTCGGATAGCTATTGGCAAAAAGTTGAATGCCAAAATCGTTTTGCCACACTGGTACGTTCGCACACTGATGGTCGGTCACATCACGGGTTCTGACATATGCTTGCTAGGTTCGATGACTGCCTCAAACTCGGCCGGCGGATCGACGAACGTCCCTATACGCTCCCCGACCCGGAAATCCTCCGTGCAGCCCCCGATGCGCCGATCCGTTCGGTCGACAATCGCGATATCGTCGGTGCGTCTACGCCAGAGCCGACCTCCCTGCCGAATGTGATGTCTCCCAACTCCCGGCCGAAGCTGGATGTTTTTGAAGGGAAGCAGGTGATGCTGTGTACAGATCTTGGAATTGGTCCGCATTTGATCGAGTCCATTAGCGACATTATCAAACAGGGCGGAGGCTCTATGACCTCTAATATTTCAACGGCAGACCTGTTGATCTGCCGGTACAGAGAAGGCGTGGCCTATCGCATAGCAGCGCGGCTGAACAAGGATATCGGGAACCTGTCCTGGCTTTACCACCTGATGACGTACAACACCTGGACATCGCCCCTACGGCGACTACTGCACTACCCGGTCTCACGGACTGGCATTGAAGGGTTTCGAGGATTCAGAATTAGTCTGTCGAACTACGTTGGTGAAGCCCGGGCCTACCTGGAGAATCTGATCGCGGCGACCGGTGCCGAATGCACCAAGACCCTGAAGCAAGACAACACCCACTTGATCACAGCCCACGGCAACAGTGAGAAATGCAGTGCAGCGAGGGAGTGGGGCCTTCACGTCGTCAACCACCTCTGGCTCGAAGAATGCTACGCAAAATGGAAACTGCTACCAGTCTCCGACTGCCGCTACAACCACTTCCCGCGCCGGACCAACCTCGGCGAAGTGGTTGGCCAAACACGACTCGACAAGACGGTGCTGGAAAACGTCTTCTACCCCTCGGAAGACTCGACAGAACCGCCCGTTACTCGACCAATGCAAGCGAGAGACCAGAACACCGCAGCGGCCAAGCAGCCATTGTCGGAGAAAGCGACGGAGCTGGACACCGAAATGACGGAGGCACCACCCACCACAACGCCGCGCGCCACGAAGAAGTCACGAAAGAACTCGGATAGCAAAAAGTTGCAGACGCCGGCTCGGATGCGGCTCACCTCGGAGGGCAAGGAGAATGAAACCCCGTCGTCGACGAGCAGTCGCAAGTCCAAGGAGGCCGCCACCGCTCGCCTTCACGGCTATGCTCCGGATCTGGCTTTGTATGAGAAGGAGAAGAAGCGTGTGGGAGGTGTTATTTACGGAGGCCGTCGAGTGACAGATGAGGACCGCGTGATGCTGAACAACAACAAAAAGCGAAGATCGTTGGAGGCGGAGGAAAACCACGATGATGATGATGAGACAGCGGACCCGAAGCGACAAAAGAAAGCCAAGCCGCCTATTACCATGCACCTGTTGATTACTGGGTACCAGAGATGGGTGGGAAACCAGAAGAAAGAGGATGCAGACAAGGTTTGTACAGTCGCCATTCGGCATTTTACTATATACACTGTCTTTGGGATGAAGCGCTAACCGCAAGCAGCGACAACTTCGAGACCTCGGCATCATGATCGTTCAGGACGCTCGCAAATGTTCTCACCTCGCGGCTCCGTCCATTCTGCGGACGCCAAAGTTCGTCAACGCACTTGCGTATGCGCCCATGATCATAAGTGTCGAATTCATCACGGCCTGCCTCAGGAAGGACTTCCTGGTGGACCCGGAAGAATTCCCCTTGAAAGACGACGCTGCGGAGAAGCGGTTTGGATTCTCATTGGAAAAAGCCAAGGCGAACGCCAAGAATAACAGAAATCGACTTCTGTCGGGGTATAAAATCTACTGCGTGGAGTCCATCCGTGGTGGATTCGACGCCTTCAAATCCATCGCCGATGCCAATGGAGGGGATTGCTCGCTTTTCCGCGGCCGTGTGTCGTACCAGTCCCAGCGAGAAGAGAGCGACGAGGCCAGCTCGGCAGAGGAAGACGATCCCAGTCGCAAAGAAATCTACCTTCTCAGCAGCATCGCCAGTGATCATCAGAAACTATGGCCGCGCTTCCGACAGTTGGCGCAAAGCGTGCACAAGACCCCGCGGATCGTCCGCGTAGACTGGCTTCTGGATATCGCTATGTCTCAAACTCTGCACGCCGCGGATGACTATGAGCTAAGTGAAGACATGACGCAGAAGGCGGAGGAGTAGAGTCATGATCGAAACCGAGTGTTGGCTTGGGAACATTTGGTGTCAATAGCCTTATTTCGGGATTGACTTGCCTGTTTCGAAGGCTCTTTTTGTGTCATGTATATTGTTATACTTATTCTCTCTCCATAGCCATAGCGTTCATCATGCAGGGCCATGCGAGCTTTACGAATGTAACGTCTGCGTATTAAAAGAACTTGACACCTTCCTGGCCTTCACTGCCAAAGACCTGGGCCTTGCCCCGTTTGACGAGGACATTGAGAGACCGAAGCATGACGTCCGGGTCCATGCCATGCCATTCTAAACCAGTTAGCCCTAATTCAACCCGACAAATGAACCAGATGATATGATACCTTGCGAGATCGTCGCCTCCCCCTCTAGCAACTCATACACCGTGAGCACGACATTCTTCTGCCCCGTATTCTCAACCTAACCATACCATCAATCAGCCATCCAATCAAGAACCCTCAAGCAGGGAAAAAGAAAAGGAAAGAAATACCCAATCAGCCACCAGCCCGGCCCACTCCTCCGGCCTGCGCCACCAGATCCATGCGACGGATCTCTGATTCGCATCGACCCATTCGGCCCGTTTCCCGCCGCCGGCGGACCCGTCCTCGTCAGCGCCGGCAGCCATCCAGTCGACGATGTCACGGGCGTCGCCGAGCGAGACACGTTTGCGCAGCGTCGCGTTGTGGAAGAGCGGCGATTCCACGGCCTCGATGATCGAGAGGCGGAAGGTCCGGTGGTGTCGGCACCAGGCTTGGATCAGGGCGGACCATTTCTGGAGCTGCGCGGATCGCGTGCTGCGGTTTGGTTGCGGGGTGAAGAACGGGGGGAAGTTGTAGGTTGGGGGGAAGGGGAAGGGGTCGGTTGGTGGGATGGTCGTTGTGGATGTCATTGTTGGGGGGTTGGACTGTTGATAGAGGTGGGGGTGGAGAAGGAGATGGAGATGGACAGTCGATAGAGAGAGAGAAAGAGGCAGAGAGAGACGGAGGGAGGAAGTGTTGCTTATCGATGGATGCACTCGGCAGAATCGAGGGGGTTACGAGGCGGTAGGCGAGGCGGTGTACTAGGGTATTCTTTATCGTTATCTTTCTATCAACTCCTCTCTGAACTACTCTTAACTACTCTGTACTACCCAACATGCATCAACTTTCACACCTCCAAAGCACAAGGTCCCGAGACTACTACCCCCTCCGTGCTTTCTTATAGACGCCAGGGTAGGCGTGCCTGTATCGCCTCCCACTGCGCCTTGTTAATTCCCAAATCCGAGGTCGCGTCTTCTTCCTTCGCTACGCTCGATGCAGATGTCAGCAGATTGGGTATATTTGCCTTTCTTTGATTTGCCGCGATTATGAGCCCATCGCGCATCTGCTTGGCCCAGTCTCTGGCGTTTTGATATGCCGCGACGCCTCTTTCATAGGATTCCAGGCCGAATAACAGGTCATATGAACAGATTTCAGTCATCACATACTCGGTGCGACCGTCGCCTGCGGACTTGATGGGGTGGTGGGCGTATAGTGTGAGCACTCGACGTCCGAACGTCGCGCTGATGGTGTACGCATTCCCGTCGAAAGCAGGTTCTCCTTGCCCCAAGGACTGGAGGGCATGGATCCCCCGGGCTCCTAAGGCACCCCCATAACAGGCTCGGCCCAGGAAGGACGTAGGGCTGGTCGATGGCCCTTTCGCATCGAAGAAGAAGTTGGGGACGATTAGATTGTGGCATGTAGAGGGTTCGACATACTTGTTCAAGAAAGCGCGGATCTCGGAATCCAGCTGTTCAGCGCGGGCCCCGGCCACAGAACCTGGCTTCGCTTTCCCAATAGTCCCGTCGGTTAAGTCTGCAAAGTTGGTGAACACAAATCCACGGGTGCATACCGAGTCAGCACCGTCTGTCCCTTCAATCAGGCGAGTGATTTTCCTCGTCAACTCCGTGACATTTTCGTCCAGGTCGCACTCGGTGGTTGCAGCCATGAACTCTGCATACTTTCCTTCGGAGACTGGTGGGCTGGACGGCCGTTCTTGGGAGAGAATTTTGATGAGCATTGCAAGATTAATCGGTTTTGGTAGCTGCTGACCATCGGGGGGCTTGTAACCCGCCGGGTAGATCCCGTTGGCAACCAAATGCTTTATGAAGTTAGGGCTGTACGCTGTCATTATCGAATCCGTCGACGTGGTTTCCTGGTGATATGTGGACGACGGGTCCATCGTGCCTGGATATCCGTCAGGACACCAGCACTAGCCGGAGAAAATCAGCATCGAACTCTACAGTCGGCCAGAAAACATACTCCTCTAAGATTTGAAAGATCCGGGCCTCCTTTCCGAGAAAACCGTTCGAGGTTTTGCAAATCTCGCGGAGTATAGGTGGAGAGAAGTTCTGGGGCAGACTTGGATGGATCGGGTCGCCAGGGGCTAGAATACTCGTTAGACCTTGTCTCGATCAGACCGCATATTCTGTAAGTACACACCACTGCAGCCATGGCTGATAGGACAGCTCGTCTTGCTCATACAAGGCGTCGCTGGACAAGTAGATACTGGTAATATTGTCCCAAAATTCCGGAGCTCGCCAGTAGGGCTTCTTTTTATAGACCTCGTCGGGGTCAGCGTGAGAGAGCATTTTTCTTCGTTATTTCGGATTAAGAATCTAAAGAAGCCACAGATAGGGAGGGGGGTTCAAACATATAGATGCTTGTTTTGCTTCTTTGACTCGGTATACAAAGACATCGCAGCTTTTTGGGTCTTCTTTTTATAAATAGCCTCAATGCCAACATGACAAAAGGGAACTTCTTATCGACATCATTTCTTTATGTGATTCACAATATTCCAACTACTATAATTCCTTGCTCCTGATCAATCGCCTTCAAAATGCCGTTCTAGACATAGCACAGTGGAGGCGGAGGGTGGAGTAGCGGAGATGGAAGTGACTGACGTTTGGTTTGGTTTTCTCCGAGAAAAATTTCCGCTTTTCCTCTCTTCCTCCCCTTCCTCCTCCCCCACCAGACAATCCACCGACATTTATCGAGAACCACTTCCGAAATGTCCACTCCCCCTGCCAAGCGCCAGAAGTGCGAACCCTCCCAGCGCGGAGGTCAAAAGCGCCAGGGCCGCGACCAGTATCGCAACGCCTCCGCCGACGACACCGCCGCCCTGAAGCTGCCGCAGAAGAAGTTCTTTCGGCAGCGCGCGCACGCCAATCCGTTTTCTGACCACCGATTGAAATAGTATGTTATTTCCCTTGCCGTTCTTTTTGGAATTTTGTTTTCGGGAGCGTGCAGAACTGACGGTTCGGTGGTGCGTCGTAGTCCGCTGAGTCCCGCGCACATGGACTGGTCTTCTCATTTCCCGGCTTTTGTGAACCCGGACCCCGCGCAGACCAATCTCGCCGGGGCGCGCAAACTCGTGAAGGATGTTGAGGTGGTGGATATTGGATGTGGATTCGGTGGACTACTGGTTGGTCTGGCGCCCGTGTTGCCGGATACGTTGATGGTTGGTGAGTTATTCCCACCCTCCCTCGTTTCATAGCGATGTCAAGTCAATGCGCATACTAACCACTCGACTCCAATACAGGAATGGAAATCCGCACCCAAGTCCTCGAATACGTCACAAACCGCGTGAACGCCCTGCGCTCGCAACAACAGCAACTACAACAGAAAGCGGCCTCCAACAACGCAACTCCCACCCCGACGGCAGACCAATCGTCGACCGCCACTCCTACGAATCCCACCGATACCCCGACGGCGGCCGCCTCGCCGTCCACCCCGACAGCTGCAGCTCCAGCTCCGGAAGCCGAGTCCGCGGGCCCCCTGGCCGGCGGGTTCCAGAACATCTCCGCGCTGCGCAGCAACACGATGAAGTTCTTCCCGAACTTCTTCGGCCGCCACCAGCTCTCGAAGATCTTCATCTGCTTCCCCGATCCGCATTTCAAGGCCCGCAAGCACAAGGCGCGCATCATCTCCGAGACGCTGAATGCTGAGTATGCGTATGCGCTGCGGCCCGGTGGCTTGCTGTATACGATTACCGATGTCGAGGAGTATCATCGCTGGGTGCTGAGGCATTTCCGGGATGAGTCGGTGGTGGACGGGGAGGAGCAAGAGGGTGGAGTGAAGGAGTTGTTCGAGAGGGTGTCCGAGGAGGAATTGCAACGTGACCCCTGTGTCAAGGTCATGATGCAGGAGACGGAAGAGGGCAAGAAGGTTACCCGGAACAAGGGGAATAAGTACGTTGCAGTGTTCAGGAGAAAGGCGGACCCGGAGTGGCCTGCTTAGAGATTGGCTCCTTTGCCAAAACCCGGAAAGAAAAATGGATAGACGTTTGCATATAATATTTGGGGGTATATACGGTGTTTCATACAGGCATTATATTTGCATTGTGCGAGAATAAGGGGAGTCAAATGACCCCGGGAGATCAAAGTTGAGACATGCATTGAATGTATGTAAGAAATCATGCAACTAAAACTAATCAAATGTGCAACTCCCGCTTGTCGCATATGCAAATCATCAAGAAAAACTCCGCAAATCTCAACGTGCAGTAATGTCAAAAAGAAAAGACAAGAAAAGATAGACAAGGTACGAAAGCTCAGGACAATGGATATCCCGGGGACATAATCATATCTATCATGCGGAGTCATCCGCTGAATGCAAATTCCAAGGTTAAGGGCTGGCCTTTAATCGGATGCCTTCGCATCGCTCGCAAACAGCTAATTGGACTGGACCGCCAATGATACGACCTTTGGCGGTTCGTCTGGGCTCGCCCTCGCGAACGAAGTATCTCCCGTCGGTGCCGAGTTCGCTGCCACATTCATGGCAGTTGAAGCACTCGTCATGCCACTGCCCGCCAACCGCCGTCACGACAACGTCGTCTAGGACCGGTTTCTTGCAGCCGAGACACCGAGGAGCAGTACGGCGCGAATGGCATTGCAAGCACCATGCAAATCCATCCTTCTCCACGAATGGAGTGTCCTGATCAAACGGCTGTGCACATAAATTAGCAACCATACTAGTGGAATCCAAGGGGTCAGGGCGTAAGTACATCACCACATTCGGCGCAGAAGAAATGGCCGACGTGCCATTCTGATCCGCATGCCACGACAACCTCCCCTTCGATAGGGGTCTTGCAGCTCTTGCATCGAGGGCTGAAGAGCTCATGGAAATCAAGATGACAGTAGAATCTCAACGAGCGCGCCTCTTCATCGTATCCTGACGCGTCAGCCAGTCGTTCTTGTCGCTTGGCTTCTGGCTCCTGGTAGAATGCAACACATTCAAGGGCCGTTTGGCAATGGAAGCACACAAAACATTCCGGGTGGAAACGTGTTCCGGCAGCCGTCACAATTCTCCCCGCAATAGGAAGCGAGCACGATTCACATTTTGCCGTTGGGACTCCGGAACGAGTATATGCTGACAGCCACCGATCCTGCAAGGTACGCATGGGCTTCCTAGGGGATGAGCTGGAGCTATGACCACTCTTTGGTGGAGCTGGGCGAGCTTTGGGGGCGGCCTGGGTTGAACCACCACCCATCTCAGATAGAGTAGGCTCCTTGTCATCCGGTATGTTGATGACCGGAATCGAAGGCGGCTCCGAGACTTCTATCGTAGGCGCAGCAGGTGCCACAGGGGCCGTTGGAGCGACGGGTTCCTGCTTTGGGGGCGCTTGCGCCTCGGTCGGTCTCCAGGCCGGTTCAAAACTCACAATCGGCCGGCCAGTGCGGTCGCTGACGGCTGTCGGCATGGGAAGTTTGCTACTGCGATCTTTGAGCTTCTTACTGGTGGCCGCCCTGATATCGTCACTGCGAATCTCCAGTCCCTCTTTCATGGCGACATCGGGCTCCTCATTGGCCTCTTCGCCGGGAATCGATTTCGGTGTCGGGTCATTGGTTTTGTATTCGGCATTGCGCGATTGGGTTGGAGGGTGCTTATGAAGCTCAAAGCGAGACAGCTTATCAACAAAGGGAATGCTACCCAGTCGTCCAGGAAGCGGCCGTGAACCACGAGGAACAGCGTTGCGTGGCTTGGACCTCAGAGCAGAAGAGTCAGACCTTGAGAAATCGGGGCGCTCATCCTCTTCTTTGCGGGGAGAGCCAATAGGCTCCTCGTATATCTGATCATTGGGATTTCGAAAGATACCACGGTTCGAATCACTACCGACATTCGTGAGACCAAGTCCGCGAACGCCATCCCTGGATTTTGGCGGACTTTGTTGTTCACGAGGCATTGAAAAGTTCATTCGGAGGTTCTTTCGCAGCGAGCCATATTTCCGGGGGCTGGTTGGTTCAGTCGAGCCAGGTCTTTCTTCCTGTTGCGTGGCGCGGGTGGGACTACCAATGGATCCCTTCACGCCCGCACCAGCTGAAGGAGCCTCGGACACAGATGAGCGGAATAGACCATGTCGTCGGGGACTCGGAGGCCCTGAAGGCTGGGAAGGGGGGTTGCTCTTCGATGGCGACCCTCGAAAACGATCAACATCAGGGTTGCGATAAGGAGCGTATGGGTTCTTCGAGGCCATGTTCGGGTTCTGATGCATCCACACGAGTTCCGTGGCTTCGTCCTGAGCCGCCCGATGAATCCGAGTCTCGTCATCTTCCTCGTCGTGAACACTCATTTCCTCCAACGCATCTCGCAACGATCTCGCCTCCTCTCTCTCGAACCGACGTTGGTTGCTCTCACGATACATGCCGGGAGAAGGGGGACTGAAACGAGAATGCACCCTAGTCGGCGAGACATTCTGACGGACCGGAATTGTCCTTGGTTCCTGCACTAGGGACCGTCCTGCTGAGCCATACAGGGAGCCTCGGGGAGAAAATGGGCGATGGTTCGATAGTGAGCTGGTGGCTCGGGGTGGATCAACATCGGCCGCTGGTTTAGTCGGCGACCTTGCAGAATTACTGTACGTCGACATGGCGGACGCAGCTCTTGGGGGTAGTTCGTCACGAGAACCGGACACCGATCCGTTCGATTTCGCGGGCAGAGGTCTGGATCCGCTCGGACGTGCTGGACGATTTGTCCGTAGATCTTTTAAGTAATTTGCTATATGGAGAAGGGTGCACGACCCATCTGTTAGTCTCCAATGCATCACACCGCTACTTGAAAAAAGGAGAATTCCATGACTCAGCCAGCAATGCAGACTCACCGATCTGGTCATTCGACATGTACGACGGCCCAGAAGGGGAAACCTTCCGCTGGCCATCTTTGGCCTTCGCATGGGGGAGGTAGGATCTGTGCATCATTCGGGGCAATCAATTGGTGTCCTTAGTTCTTCCCAGGATTATCCAGGAGAATTTCAGGCAGGTGAGTTGGCGGTCGTCAGGACCAGAGCTGTGAAGTCAGTCTAATATAGTACTCGGCAGTGATAACAAGATCATCGGAGCCAATTGGCCCGCAGACGGTGGCTGGGGGGATGTGAAACCAGGATGGAGCGGGCTAAAGAGATCTCTCTGACGGATCTGGGATGGATTTAATTAAACGTCAGAAGGGCCGGCGGGAGGCTTAAATCTGTTAGTGGCAGCCCGACAGTCGATGACTGCATCGCCGACCTGCTCGACGACAGCGAAGCAGGAGGAAGCTATGACCAATCGAGGGGAACAACAACAACACCCGCGCAAACCACGCAAACACCCCCGTTTTGGGACTGGAGCCGTCGCGAGGCAACGCGGGGTGCTGAGTCATCCGGCTCCCACGCTAGTCCCGATCCGGAGACTTCCTCGGCTGGAGACTGATGCCTGGCAGCCTGATGGCCTGGTAGCCTCGTGGCCTGGCAGCCTGACAGCCTGACAGCCTGACATATGCCGGTCTTCCTCATCCAAGACGACGGCATTCATTCTCTTGCCGTCACAATCAGCTGGTACTATACTCCAAATCTTCTTCACTTTCCCCAGATCGTCCCCTTTACCCCAACTTCCCCCCACCGGCTCAGTCGGCACCAGGACCACCTATCCTAGTCCATGGTTTCGCACCGGTCCTCTCCACCCGGCGAGGCAGTCCAATGACGATTCTTGAATCCTGGCAGACTCGGCCATTTGGCCGACTTCCTGCGGCCAAGGCCTCGCTAGCTGGCCAGGAAGTGATGGATTTACTACCTCCTACTGAATCCGTGACACATTAGTTGCAATTTATTCGAGATGACTTCGTCCTCTCTTTCTCCTACTCCAGAATTCCAGGTTTATTGATCATGCGGTTATAAATGTCCGAGTCTTCTATCATTCGTGTGCAGTCTTAGCTCCAGTCGATTCGTTGGGCTGCTATAGAAGGCACGTCGCAAATGGCCGATAACACTCCAATCGATGTGACTCATTCGCGGGACCCTGATCGAAGTGATCCGATTTCCAGGGTCTCGCCTCATGACTCCAGGATTCGTCCAGACCAAGACAGCTCGCCTCCTCTAGAAGCGCAACGGAAAGCGGGTGCCAAAAGCCTTGAGACCAAATATCAGCAGGATGTCGTGCCCGACGGTGGGTACGGCTGGGTCTGCGTTGCGTGCGTGTTCTGGATCAATGCCCACACATGGGGGATTAACAGCGTCAGTACTGCATGAAATCTTGCGTCAGTCGAACTCTCAGCTAACCGAGGCAAGATATAGAGTTATGGTGTATTCCTCTCCCACTACCTCTCGCACGATGTATTTCCCAACACCTCGGCATTGTCCTATGCCTTTACCGGCGGTCTCAGTATCTCATGTGCACTTCTAGTTGCTCCGCTGGCAACTTACCTCATTCATGTCTTTGGGACCCGACTGGTGCTCAATCTGGGTGTGTTTTTTGAGACTATTTCCCTAATCGGATCGTCCTTTGCCACCCAGCGGTGGCATATCTTCCTGAGCCAAGGCGTCTGTTTCGGATGGGGCATGGGCTTCCTGTTCGTCGGTAGCGTGGGAATCACTCCCCAATGGTTCCTTCGCCGGAGAAGCCTCGCCATGGGCATCAACGCTGCCGGGTCCGGCCTGGGAGGGTTAATCTACTCCCTCGCGGTGGGCGCCATGATCCCTAGATTGGGCCTGAGTTGGGCCTTTCGGATCCTGGGTATAATCGCCTGCGTGGTCAACCTGGTTGGGGCAAATCTGCTTCGGGACCGGAATAAGGCCGTAGGAAGCCGCTACCAAGCCTTCCATTTACCGTTGCTTAAACGCCCCGAGTTCATCTTGTTTCTTGGCTGGGGAGTCCTCAGCATGCTGGGCTACGTCGCGGTGCTGTTCAGCGTGGCCAATTTCGCTCTCTCCGTCGGCCTGTCATCCCACCAGGGCAGTATCGTCAGCGCCCTGCTTAATCTGGGCCAGGGCCTTGGTCGACCCTTCGTGGGTATGTTCAGCGATAAACTTGGTCGCCTCAACATCGCCACGTTCCTGAGCTTCCTCTGTGGGCTATTCTGTCTGGTGATTTGGATCTTTGCGCGGAGTATGGGTGTGGTTTGCTTTTTCGCGGTTCTTGTTGGCACAGTCGCAGGCACATACTGGGCTACTGTCACGCCGGTCCTCGCTGAGATCATGGGCCTGAGAGACCTGCCCAGCGGGCTCAGTATCAACTGGATCATTCTGGTTGCGCCTACCACGGTCTCCGAGGCCATCGCTCTCCTCTTGAGAGACAACGACTCCAAGGACTCCGTCTATCTGAGGGTGCAGATCTTCACGGGTTTCATGTACATCGGCAGTTCAATATGCCTGTGGGTCGTGAGAGGCTGGAAAGTCGGGGATTTGATTCGAGCTCAGCACGAGAAATCGTCGGCAATGGCTGCACAGGGTTCCGTTATAGAAGAAAGTCGTTGCGATGTCGAGGGAAAACATGACCCTTCAGTGCCACCACCGGTTCAGCCCGATCCACAGTCACCTTCGGTGCAGCCGTGGTCTCTACCCGTTTTACTACGTGGCATGGTGGCTTGGAAAAAAGTATAAGCACGGTTTCGGATAGAAACCATGGGTTTTAAGATACAAAAATCAATCCAACACTAGATATGTAATCAACAGAGTCTACGAACGTATGTCTCTGCGGGAAATGATCAACCAGGCAGTTATACATAATGGAGCCTATGTTATACCGCTAAACGCCAGAAATTCCGTGTACAATGCACATCCAAGTATCATCATAGTAGGCACACTTTTCTTTTTCCTTTTCCTTTTTTTCGTCTTTAAATTCAGCTTCCCAGCACTAGGACACGTACTCTTCTCTTTCCTGCACCCCGGCCACTGTCTTCCTTCACGGAGCTGACGTTGACTTGAACTCGCTGGAAAAGTTCAACTGTCATACCCCGATCCTTATCGGACTGACCCTTCTCCGAAACATGAAGAATGTATTCTTCGTTGTCAAAATCACTCTCACGGCGCGTGACCAGTTCTCGTCGCTGCTCGACAGATCGGATGGCCTTGTCGCCTGGGAGCACGAAGTCCTCCAGGCGGACGACGCCCTCGATGCCGAAGCGCGGTACAAACACAACCACTCCGTTCTCAAACACCCGCATAACGTATCCTTCCTCGTCGATACCAGCATCCACACCGTCCGCGGCCATCTTCTCTCCGCGAGCTTTGAGGGCCTGTCCAACGTAGTACTCAATACTGGCGCGGCCAGCAAATTGGGCATTGCGATGCCGGTAGTTGATGTTGCGGCAGATGTCCTCCAATCGGTTGCGGGTCATGACACCATCAATAGACGCCCGGCCATCTTCACCGTCGTAACCGATGGCAGACGCCAATTGACGGTGAACCAGTAGATCGGCGTATCGTCTAATTGGTGAGGTAAAGTGGGTGTAAATGGGCGATGCCAAACCATAGTGGCGGAACTCCGACTCGGCATGGGCGCCGGCGCAGAAGTACTCTGCGGAGGTCATGCACCGGGTGGCAAGAATACGAACCAGGGTATTAAAGAAGGGGTTCTTCTCATCAACGCAGTTGTCCAGCGAGTCAGCAAGAGCCCGGGAACTGGAGACGTCGAGTCTCATATCCCGCTTCTTGGTCAGCTGGTTGGTGAGATCTTCGAAGTTCTGTGGCGGGGGAGTGGCGTGTCGTCGTAGTAGGGCGGTTTGGGAGAAACTGTCGTAAATCTTGGCCGCAACTGTGATGTTGGCGTGAAGCATGAACTCCTCCACAAGACTGTTGGTCTCCAGCATGGCCTTGGTCTTGACATCGGCAAGTGGGTCGCCAACCTCATCGTTGTCAGCTTCGATGCGGACTTCGGGTGAAGCAAGGTTAAGCGCTCCTGCATCCATACGCTTCTGGCGGAGAATCTTGGAGAAACGCAGCAGAGTGCGCATACTCTCTGTCAATTCGTCCTTCTGGGAAGAATCGTCAATGCGTTTTTGGGCCTTCTCATAACTGAAGGCTTCCCGAGATTGAATAACAGATTTCGTGAAATCGGCAGAAACAACCTCTGCGTTAGGAGTCATTTCCCACAGGACAGAGAAGGCATAGCGTTCCACGTAGGGCTTGAGGGAGCAAAGATCTGTACCCAACAGATGCGGAAGCATATCGATACGCTTGTCCACCAGATACACGGTCGTTCCACGTAGGCTCGCCTCGAGGTCCATGGAATTGTTCGGCTTGACAAAGTGTGACACGTCCGCAATATGGACGCCGACTTCAAAGTTACCATTAGGCAGCGGTCGCGCGTGGAGGGCATCATCAATATCTTGACAGCCCGGGGGATCGATACTGCAGATGAGAAGGTCCCTGAGATCTCTCCGTCCGGTCCAACCGATGTCCTCCTTGCTGGCGGGAACCTTCCAGTCGTGCCCTTCAGCCGGGAGACAGTCCAGAACTGCCTTGGGGAATGGCTTATATTGCACATCGTATTCTAGGAGAAGGGCCTCTGTTTCCGCCCCCTTGGTCTCGAGCTCTCCCAATGACCGAATAAAGTGGCCCGTCGGGTATCTAGAGTCCCGATCCCAGGCATCGATCGTGACAAGAATACGCTGCCCAAGAAGATCACCGGCTTGCCTAGTGCGAACTCTGATTTTCGGGACCTTTTTGTCCATGGGCAAAACGAATACATTTTGCTGTCGTCGTCCAGAGCTTGCCTGGGCTCCTGTGGAGCCCGAGTCGACATGTCCGACGTATTGTCGCCAGTTTCGCTTCATCACACCAACAACTTTAGCTGTCGGTTGAGGCTTGCCCTCCGAGTTCTTGCCGTGGGCCTTTTTGACCTCTTCCTGCAAAGCCTTTCGCTCCTTTTCAGGAACCACCGCCTCGTTATCCCCCGCATCGGGGTTGTCGTTCTTGGTTACTGCTTCTTCATCGACAAGCTTGGTTGAGGGCGACTTCCACTGATCCTGAGGGAGCACTTCGATCACAACGACATCCCCGGAAATAGCTCGATTGCTGTTATCCCGACCCAGGATAAGCAGGGGCTTATCGAACGCTGCGACGTTGACGGAGCCTTCCAAGTAGTTGTATGGCGAAACGTTGAAAACACCCTGATGTAAAGTTCCAGCCCGGATCCCCGTCATAAGCTTCGACATGGTGTAGTACTCCGGGTAAAAGAGCTCTCCACGCGCACCCTTGGCTTCCCGCGCCTCCCTAGACTCATTGATCATGTCGAGCAGCCTGTCAGAATCCTCCAAGCCGGCAACATAATCCGGCAGTGACAAGGCTGTCACACCCTCCTCCTTCGCCTTTCGCAAGCTGTCTTTATCATCCGTAATCACCACAATTGCGGGGATTCCCTTCTCTTTCTTTCCCTTTCTGAGCGTTGTCTGCAGATGTTCCGTGTACCATTTTGCCACGGCCCGCACAGCTCGATCGTTGCGATCATTTATCGATTCGTTCTGTTCCCTACGAACATGCGTTTCCAGTCGGAACTCGTTAAAGAAAAGGTAAAAGCGCTTATCGTCGGTTTTGATCAAGGAAAGCAGACGGTTGTAGAGGGGTAGAGACTGGTTCTTCAGCTCCTCGAGCACCGTTTGAAGAACAATCACATCGTAAAAGGCTCCGGTATGTTCGAAAAGGTCCATTCCATTCAACAGCGCATTCGTATCAGGGACAAGGTAGTGGCCTCGGGGGAAGGCGCTGGTACCGGCGGGCTGGTCGGAAAGAACAAAAGGCGTAACTGGTTTCGCATTAGCCACCGCTGTCCAGAACCACCGCGGATTTCAGATTCCCTTACTGTTTCCATTTGCATCAGTCGGGGCGACATGCGGGCATGTCGAGCACAGCTTCGATGAGCACGGAATATCCTGTCGTAGGTAAAGCTCACGAACGATCTTTTGCACCTTTCCACTTTTCGTGGACCGGACGAAGATTTTGCTGGTGACATTTGCGGCGTGCGGATCCGAAGAGAGATCCCTCCTAAGACTCTTCATATTTGCTGGAATCAGCCCGACTTGCGGTCAGGTCGACTTTTGCTTGACAAGGAGAGAATATCGCGGCCGATGGTTGCGGTCGGTGACGTTCTTTTCAAGTGGTTCCGCCAGCCGAAGCGCATTCGAGATGCCCGTCCGAATCGGGCAAGTCTGCCGATCGATGCAATCGCCATCGCCGGCCGGCATGAGGGAATGGAGGCATCGTCAACCATCTCAAGGAGCGGCCTATTCATCTTATTCTATAGAATCTTACGTCTATTCGATCTTAATATATAAATAACTAGAGAAACATGGTCATCGCAGTACGAAATTGTCCTCCAATTACCCCTCTAGTGATTTACTAATCCATAGTGAACAGGCCGTGGGGCAGTTATGCTCGACTGCGAGTATGACTGCGAATCTGGCCCAATGTCAAACATTGGTGCGCAAGGCAGTTGCAGCTGGTGCTAAAGTAACACTGTTATTACTCCCATCTCCTGAATGGTTCACTCATCAAGGAACAGGCGCTGTTTCTTCCTGAAGCATCAGACTACATCGGTTCGTCCGCTGCTGAGTCCGTCTCACTTGTTCGTTCCGTGCAAGAAAGTGAGTTTGTGTTGGGCCTTCAAAAAGAGGCCCGGCAAGCGAACTTGCACATCAATGTGGGAATCCACGAGCCTGCTCCGGATGGTCGGGTAAAGAACACTCTAGTCTGGATTGACGAGAAGGGTGTCATTTCCCAACGATACCAGAAGATTCATCTGTTTGATGTAGATATCAAGGATGGTCCAGTACTTAAAGAAAGCTCGTGGGTGTTTCCTCTAATTCATGGCGTGAACTCGTGGTAACATTGACTCTCTGTAAAGGAGCGTTGAAAAAGGCATGGAAATAGTGCCTCCTTTCGAAACGCCTGTTGGACGTGTCGGTTTGTCCATCTGCTTTGACGTAAGTCATAGAGGAATTACATATGACATTGATAGAAGATCCAGTTGGCTCATCTTATTGCAGTTGCGTTTCCCCGAAATCAGTCTGGCCCTGAAACGACAAAATGCACAGGTCATCACATACCCATCGGCATTCACGGTTCCTACGGGGCGTGCGCATTGGGAGACATTGCTGCGAGCTAGGGCCATTGAGACTCAATCTTATGTGATTGCGGCAGCCCAGGCCGGTCCTCACAACGAGAAAAGACGAAGCTACGGTCATTCGCTGATCGTAAACCCTTGGGGAGAAATTGTGGCACAGCTCGGAGACGAGTATCAAGAGCCACAAATCGCGGTTGCGGATATTGACTTTGACCTTTTAACCAAAGTCAGGCGAGAGATGCCCCTTCTCAGGAGGACAGATGTCTACCCGGAAGTTTAGGAATTGGGTGCGCATTTCTACTCTGATCACGATTGTAGATAAATGTTCTTTATCATTGAGTATATGAAATCTCACGGCATATTCGCTGATATTGTTCCACGCATTAGACAAACCAGGGGATACCATGAGAAAAATCATTTAATTTCCGACCTCTAAGGCAGAACATAGAAAATAAATTTCGGGATATACGTCCACATAGTACATGAAATGAAAGAACTAACTGAAAAAGAAAGAGAAAAAGAACGAGTAATTCGAATATAAAAGGCCTGTCTAGAGCCGGACCGGCAAATCGCATCTGCTGGTACAGTACAATCCCATCCCAATTTTTCGTCCATGTCCGATCATTCTATGTACAGCGTACAAGGCAAACTCCGGACCGAAACAGTCTATTTCTTGACCTTGTCAGGGTCCTCCAGGATACCCTCGGCTTCCAGCCTCCGTCGGGCTTCCTCCAAAGCCCACGTTTGTATCCTGGCATGATGTTAGTTCTCTTCAAAGAAATACAGATAATTCATTTCGGCACAGCCATTGAGGGACTCGGAAAAGGCCGTCCTCATGACAAGCCAGAGCCAAAAGGGATCAAACATACGAGGTATCCGGCTTGAAGACATATGCGACTCCCGCAGCGAGGAGACTTCCAATGAATCCATAGTACCACATGTTCTCCCAGCCTTCCTTCTGGTACTTCTGGCCGGGCTTCACGCCGAACAGCCAGCCGGTCGGGGGGTCGTAGTGATCACCATGATCCGCCGCACGGAGGTTGCTGCGAGTAGAAAAGCCCTGGGCGGTCCGGGGCGTGCGGAGGAGAGCGCGCGCGCGAATGGAATGCGTCAATGACCGAGCAGACATTGTGGATGTGTAATTGGTCGTCGAGGTTCGGAAAACTCTGGGGTTTCAGGTGTTAAATGGTAGGACAGGCGGTGGCGGGTTAGAAACCCCTGTCGGATGCAGCAAGGCAGGGACTGTTGGAACCGGGTGCCAAAATTCAGTAATCGCCTCGACCAGCGATAACAACAGCCGGCGCAATTGAACGGCTTCGGATTTGAATGCTGCGTGGGAGTCGCAGGGGGTGACAGGTGGAGGGGTGACGGGATCGAGACAGCGGTTGATGTTCAACGAAGCCGCAAAAGGCCGGCGGATTGACGGAGTCATCGCGCTAGTCCCCATCGGGCCAGTTTGCAGGCCCGGGTTGGTGCCCTTTTCCCCAGGCATCAGCTGATGCCCCAGGTGTCAGCCACGCGCGACGCGTCCCTCCCTTATCGCATCTCCAACTGAAACGCAATTGCAGCGCGCAGTTGCCACTCTCCCATGATCCCAATGGTGCACTACAATACCTCCTTCTTTTAACGTGGCCCTCCCTCATTAATATTCGAGTTTGTGTCAGTGTGCCGCTTGGTATCGTCGCCAATTGGTATAATTCTCCGAAGACCCTCAGTTGTATTAACGCATAGCTAATCAGCAATTAAAGACCTCCACCGAGATGCGTGTTGCTCTCATACAGAGGCACGCAAAGCATTAACCATGCATCCCACGAATAGTGGCAAGCGATCCTACCCGATTTCCTCCTATTCGCGCTCGAAGCTCAGTGCATTTCGGTATACAAGCAAGGACGGAGCAGACCCTGCGAAATCACCCACGAAGACGCCATCGAAAAAGGAGCATGCCAATAAAGAAAATCAGTCCTCATGGCTGAATGGGGTGGTGGTACCTCCTGCTTTGGATGAAAGCAAAGAGGAATCATCTCTGGGTGCAGCTGAGTCAAAGCCGGTCAAAGAATGTCCTCAGACCCCGGGAAACAGGATACCTTTGGCAGACCTGATCGGCAATGCTGAAGACGCTATCACTCAAGCTCCTGGCCCTCAATTCACGCCAGAAGACTATGTGACCTGGCAGCATGTGCCTGCGAGCTCCAACCAGGACCCTATGTCTCAAACGCCTGCGATAAAGGGCAGAAAGCGCTGCCACAGCTCATCCCCGACTAGCTCGCCATTGGCTGGGAACTCCAAGAACGCACGAAAAGGGTCTTTTGATTTACAAGCATACCAAGGCCTGATAAAAACCCCTCAGCATGATCTTGCAACTGAACTATGGAACAATTATGTGGGCAAGATGGGTGCCAATGGCAATAAAGAACTCCCTCCTCGACTACCCAACCTTCCATCGTCCTCACCTCAAACGCCTGCGTCGCTCAGAGCGGGTCGAGATTCATCTGGGCTGCGACGGTCGACCAGCTGTCTTGCTGAGTGGCCTAACTCCGCGGCGAAGCGGAGAAGGGTAGATGGAGAAAAATTAGGGACTGGTCGTGGAATTTTCTCGCGGACAAAGAGCAGCCTGGCAGATTCGAGCAGCTTCAATCCCTCAAAGATCAACTTTCTTGTTCAAAAGATTGAAAGAAGCCTTCGTGATACCCCAGCGGCACAGCCAGATCCCTTAGGCTCGTCGCCTATACCAGCCAGCAAGAGGGGACAGAGAGATCGATCAGTATCACCAGTGGTTAGTAACAAAGCACCTCAGCATACGACGCAAAGCATTCCAGAGAATGGGGATCAACTGGTTCCACAGCCTCAAAGCAGAGAAACAGTGCAGAAATCCTCGTCTGATTTCGGAGACGATGACCTGGATGATGACGATTTTTTTGGTCTTGCGCAAGCTTCTATGGATCCATTCGTGGAACCAAGCCAACATGGCACCGGTATAGGGACCATGAATCCCGAATACGCCGGCACGTCAGCCCCGGTCAACCAGCAAAAGCCGCCGGATATGCAATGCACCTATCACTCTATTACGATGGAGTCAGCGCCGGCCAGCAACATTGACAACAAAACCGAATATACCCTTGATGCTGATGAGTTTGATGATGATTTTGATGAATTTTCGGATAATATCGAAGACATCCTCGCTGAATGCGATGCAACCCAGAATACGAAGTTAGCAAGGCCTGCAGCAAAGAACTACCTGGCTTCCAACCATTCTGGCTCGTCAATGAAGATTGACAAACCTGTGCCGCCGGTCGAGCCGGTAAATGGGACTAGCAAGCCAGTTGAGGCGTCTTCGGGCGACGAGTTTGACGATGAGGACTTTGACATGGATGCTATCGAACAGTCTATGATGCAGTCAGGTGAAAAAGGGTCAAACCATGTTTGTCACTCTTAGTGGGTATATATCTATTAGATATTCGCTAAGTATTCTATAAATAGACCTTGGACAGTCGACGGGCCATTAAGCGTTATCTTATTATTGATGTGGCTGAATCTACTTATGCAACCCCTAAAGGTCGCATCCAGCCAGAGCAGGTCTGCCATGCATTTCTCGAAAAGCTATAACCTCCATGACTAACACAGTAAGCAGGTGCTCTTAGTACGTGATGAGAGAACTAAGCAGAACAAGGTTGTTGTTTTGCGGGAGTCATGGTTCGATAGCCCCTGCAACAAGGATTTGTACATCCATCTGATCGGCGATTTCGACACCAACGGTCATTGTGTTGTCGATGACTCTCACAACATGATAATCCTTCACCCAGATCATCTTGTTTCGGCGACCATTGTTGCAGACTCGGTCGGCTGCCAGCGACGAGCTGTTCTTCAAGATCGTATCAAAAATACTGGCGACATTGGAAAACCCCAGGTTTTTGGAAACATATTCCATGAAGTATTCCAAGAAGCCATGAAGACCAATCAATGGGATACCGCATCGCTGAGGTCTCTAGTCGAAGTTGTTGCTGTGAAGCATATCGAAGAGTTGTACTTGATTCACATGAGCATTGCGGAGGCAGTCGACTACATGATGAGCAAGGTTCCAGCCATGATGTCTTGGGCAGAGCGCTTCCTTAGATCGCAACCAAGTGTGAGTATACTTAGAGCTGCCCCCATGATAGTCTTTTGCTAATTTACATATCTTCAATCAGGCCGAATCTCTTGTTGAGGATCGAAACAGTACGAAATTGCGCCTAAGCATCAGCAAATTGCTCGAAGTTGAAGAGCATATCTGGTCCCCTATGTACGGTCTGAAAGGGAATATCGACGCAACTGTGCAGGTTGCCTGTCAAGAAGAAGGAAGCCAAAAGAATCTTGTTGTCCCACTCGAACTCAAGACGGGTAACAGAGACACAAACCAAGCTCATAGGGCTCAAACAGCTCTCTATACCCTACTGCTGTCTGATCGTTACGGTTAGTGCACCTGCTTCCTCAATACCTTTGACATCTACTCATATTTTCGGGCCCATCCCTTCAGACCTGGACGTTACATTCGGACTACTCTATTATCTCGAAACAGCAAAGATATTCCGGATTCGAGGGATCCGGCATGAACTCCTTCAAATGATACAGGCACGAAACCGTGTCGCGGGATATATGCGCCAAAGAACTGAGCTTCCGCCCATGATCAAGAGAGCGGGAATGTGCAACAGATGTTTCTCTAAGACACCTTGTTTCATTTACCACAAACTTGCAGACGACGGCGATGGGGAATCGAGCGGTTTGGGCGACGAATTCGTGAAGGCCATGGAGCATTTGAATCCCCAGCATCGTGATTTCTTCCAGAAATGGGACAGTCTGCTCACCAAGGAAGAACAAAGTATGATGAGGTTCAAGCGAGAACTCTGGACTCTCCTAAGCAGTGAACGAGAGGCTCTTGGTCGATGCTTCGGAAACATCGTGATTGAACCTGGGACAGCTTACGAAGACAAGGACGGAGTAAAGATCAACCGTTACCGGTACACGTTCGTCAAGAAGCACGCCTCAGCGAACTTCTCATTTACCGAGTCTCAACTTACTGTCGGAGAACCGATCGTCATTTCGGATGAGAAAGGTCATTTTGCCCTTGCAAACGGTTACATAGTGCAGGTCAGCACCCAACGGATTACAGTTGCTGTGGATCGAAGACTTCAGAATGCCAGGTCCAAAACTAAGGGGTTCGATGCCAAAAGCAACCAATCTTTCAAGGGCATAATGGAAATACTCGATAACGGTGCCACCCAGCCAGGTGCATCGTCCTTGGAGCCTGAGGAAGAAGTCACATATCGACTGGATAAAGATGAGTTCAGTAATGGGATGGCTATTGTTCGGGCCAATCTGGTCGCCATGATGGAAAGAGATCTCTTCCAGGCCAGGCAGTTGCGGAGATTAATTATCGAAGGAGAAGCGCCAGTGTTCAAGCCCACTATGTCCACCTATCAGATGCCTGAGGCTGAGAAAGCAAGCCTGAATGTCGATCAGAAGCAGGCGATTGACAAAGTCATGAGTGCTCAAGACTATGCACTAGTTCTAGGAATGCCGGGAACTGGAAAAACAACAACCATTGCTCACATCATTCGCGCTCTGGTGGCGCAAGGCAAAAGCGTGCTCTTGACCTCGTACACGCACACTGCGGTCGATAACATTCTACTGAAAATTCGGAATGACAACATACGCATTCTTCGAATCGGGGCAGCTGCCAAGGTGCATCCTGATGTTCATGAATTTGCTGACCTTGCAGCCACCCCTAAAACCACGATGGAAGAGCTGAAAGCAGCCTATGAAGACTCTCAGGTGGTCGCCACAACCTGTCTGGGAGTCAGCCACAACATCTTTAGTCAACGCACATTCGACTATTGCATTGTTGACGAAGCATCTCAAATCACGCTCCCGGTGTGTCTTGGGCCCATCAGGATGGCGAGTACCTTCATCCTTGTCGGCGATCACTACCAATTGCCCCCGCTGGTCCAGAACAAGGAGGCTCAGGAAGGCGGTCTTGACGTCAGTCTCTTTAAGCTACTCTCGGATTCCCACCCTCAATCTGTCGTCAATCTGGAACATCAATACCGAATGTGTGAGGAGATTATGCTTCTATCTAACACTCTCATTTACTCGGGTCACCTGAAATGCGGCACCCAAGAAGTCGCAGCACGCTCCCTGAGCATCCCCCATATGGCCGGGCTCAAGCAACATCATAGTGACCATTATTCCACATCCAGCCAGCGACAGCTTTGTCTAGGCGCGAGTCATGGCCGTTGCTGGCTACGTGACCTGCTTGATCCCGGCGCCAAAACCCGCTTGGTCAACACCGACAAATTGGCCACGCCTGCTCGGGATGTTGCGACTGGATCGCGCATTGTGAATCCTACGGAGGCGACGCTTTGCGCTCAGCTCGTTGAGGCGTTCGTCTCCAGTGGCATCCCCGCCCGCAGTATAGGAGTCATCACATTTTACCGGAGCCAGCTTTCCCTTCTGAAACAAAACCTTCGCCACCTCATCCCTGACCTTGAAATGCACACCGCGGATAAGTTCCAGGGTCGAGACAAGGAAGTAGTGATACTCAGCTGCGTACGAAGCAATGCTGACAAGCACGTCGGTGACCTGCTCCGGGATTGGCGACGAGTAAATGTCGCCTTCACTCGTGCACGAACAAAGCTTCTTGTCGTGGGAAGCAAAAGCACCCTCCGTGACGGCAACGAGCTGCTCGGCAAATATGTGAAGCTGGTGGAAGAGCGAGGATGGGTTTACGACTTACCACGGGATGCTGTGGAGAACCACCACTTTGAGTTCGAAAACCTCACGCACACCCAACCTCGTCTGCAGGGAGGATCAACCCCTAGCCCGCAAAAGAGCTCCTCACCCCACAAGAAGGCGTCAGTTCGCAACCCTTTAAGTCCCCTTGGAGGGCGCCAGGCTCCTCAAGGCGGCATGAAGAAACCTGCTAAGAAGGGCATGAAACTGCTCAGCGGGAACAACGTTTTGGGCAATCGGCCTGTCCTGCAGGATGTTGTAAATGACATGATTGGGTGACAGTTACACTAATATCTGTTTTCGAATTATTGTTTGGCATACGCCTTTAGGCTGGGTATCTCTTGGTTTGCACAACTGGAGTTTTTATGGATTGGGTTACTGGAAGTTGAAGTCGCTTGAGCGGACATTTTGGATAGTGTGGTTTTATAATGTATTGGCATAGCATTAGTTTGAATATGAATGACATCACATCTCAATTCACGTCTCCAAAGTCGAAGCCCCCACGTATTCCCAGCAGACAAAAGGCCGATGTTTAATGGATTGCGAGCCCGCCGGCTTATCCTGCTCGCCACCTTCCGAGTCATCCACCATGTTTGTCGGCGGCAAGGTCATGATCGTATACCCATCTTTCCCATCGACAACATCTCTTCCAAGCGCACTTGCTGAAAGAGCAAACCAAGCGGACGAAGCGGGGGCATAACGTCCGATTTCTTGTCTGTAACCGGCGATAAATTCGTCAATCGGCTTTCATATGGGAAAGGTATTTTTCAAGGAATCGAATAACATACAGTAAAGTGATAAAAAGCTGCATCACCCATTTCGGAGAAGCAAAGCCGTGCCATCTCAGACTGACTAGATCGGAAGACTCCGCGTCCTCCGCGTCGGGGACACTATACCGACATAGGTAGGGGTCGGTGTCGTCGTGCGACGAGACGAGAGATGATTGAAGCGTCACCATAGCAAGCCACTCGGAGAGTTCATTGCAGGAAACATTCAGGTCTTCTGTGGGACCTGCTTCTGTGTTGGTGGCGGATTTGAACGGCGGGACGAGAACATCGCGATGGTAGGTTCGCGATGGCTCGCAGTCGATGATGTGTGGATGGTTTCCTTTCAGAGATTGATCGTCTGCATTTGAGTTAGCAATCTCTGTCTATGATCGAAGTATGTTCGGGGAGAGTGACTACCTTGGGAGATCCCACCCGATTCCGATTGCAGGTCATAGAAGAGCCAAGCGACGGCGTGGTTGAGCACGTTCTTAAATGCCCAGACGATTCTCTCGAAACCTTTCTTGCCGTGGAGCATGGACGGTAGGCGCAGATTCAATTCCACCACTATTGATACTTGGTGAGTCTTTGCATTCCGATGAAGTGGAAAGGGAGAAGTCGGCGCGCGTACGATATCTTTCCTTGCCATGTTTTCTACCGCCGCTCCGGATCGGTTTCCCTGTGAGACCGGTTCGTTCGTATACCTCCTTTCCGAGTTCTAGACGGAGGATCCCTGGGGCCGGTTAGTATGTATAGGTGATTACTAGGAGGTCTTTTCAGGCACTACACACCATCTCTGAGAGAAAACACGTTATCCGAGCCTGATCGGCCTTCGGATATCATGAGAATGTTGCCTGTACAGGGTGTGAGAGGACATTTCACGGCAAGATTCCACGATCAACGGGAAACATGGGAGCTGGGGAATATACCAGACTTGATGTAAGTATTGAAAAACTCGCCCTCGATCAAAGCCGAGAGAGACATGAACACCCGAGCATATCGGAGTTTTTGCAATTTGGAGTCTACCGAACTCTCGATGGCCGCGTAAGCCTTCTCCGGGAGAAGGACCTCTACCTGGTCAGGGTTAGCAACAAGACTCCCAATCTATATAACAAGAGGCAACATACTGTATGCAAAAAGGAGTGACCTCCAATAGCCGAGAAAGGCAATCGTGTAGATGGAGGCTGCTTGGGGTCGACGAAGGACGGCAGTTCGGCCACAGTGGTGTAGCACTTTTCGCGCCTGGACGCGTCGTCGTCGAAGTCAAACATGGTTGGTTATTTTAATTCTATGAGAGCAGCGATACAGCAGTTGGTCACCGTCCAGCGCGGTAGTAGTAATAAAGGCGCGCTCGTCTCTGCCCGCCAGTGTGTTGAAAGGGCGGCACGGTTGGGCGATGTAAAATCTTTCCGCAATTTTTTGCCGCCGGAATCAGGATCAGTAGCTCAAAATGCCGATTTCAGATTATTGTGACAGATGACTGATAAAATTGGTTCTGCTGGGGAGGTGATTCCAGTCTACCGATCTGGGATTTGATGGGTTTTTTTGAATTCGAGAGGAACGAGGCCGCTGATTGGGCGAGCCAGTCGGAAGCCATCGTTGCATCTCAAGACGTCCTCCGGTCTTGCTCGCCGTCCGTCTGCAGTCTACATGGCATTGTTTGATGTTTCCGTGTCTTCGCAGTTGTTTCTCTACTCGTTGGCAGCAATTGGAGGTATTCAATGAAAAGTCAGGGATGTGACACCACATACAGCAGATCTATATATACCGACCCTAGAGCAGAGCATGCATCATGATCCAGAGCACTACTAAATCTTGACGGACCATAGACAAATTGATCAGTAGGTAGGGAGCTTTAAGAAAAGAAAGAAAAAAGAAGAGGCAATCTGGAGCCAGGAGTGAACGCGCATAGATGTTCAAGCCTCAGGCAGACAGGCAGAAGGGAGCCAAGCATCCAGGCATCCAGGTATTAAGGCACCAAGGCACCAAGGCACCGTCCCGGGCTCTTCTCCGCACTCCTCATCGGTCTTTCTTCGTCCTTTCATCTTCTGTCTTTCATCTGTCTTTCATCCGGCTCCCTCCCCCTTCCTCATTTTCTCTCCACGCTCCCTTCGCCTCAATTGCATGATCGCAACCTCAATCTGATCCGTCGTCTTTCCGTGTGAGAGCATTCCTCCACCTCCGCCGACCGCGGCCCCTCGGGGCATTCATGTGGCTTATAGCTGCCGCTATCGCTAGTCCACCAGCAGTCAAGAATCCGTGATGGCGCCTCCTCGACGGAACCTCCTACCAAAGGACCGTTTCGCATACTCTTTCGGCGGTCTCAAAACCCAGAGCTATCATGATCCTCTTTCCCGCGCCCCCGGATCCCACACGTGTGTTCCCGTCCCCATCTCCAGCTTAGCCATAGCAGTTGCGCGAACCGCTTAGCATGGAAGTCCCGAAGCCCCGGCTGATTTGTGTGATCTTCCTTGCTTTTGTTTTATCTGCAGGATCCGAACGATAGCATGGAATCCTACCGGTCAGCTCATCGCGACCGGCTCTGCAAACCGTACCCTTCGCATTTGGAACCCCGAGCGTGCGCAAGCCAAATATTCGACCGACCTTCGTGGCCACGCCGCGGGCATCGAGAAAGTCCTTTTCAACCCGGTCCGGGACTCGGAATTGGCCAGTTGCTCCACCGATGGTACTGTGCGCATCTGGGATGTTCGGTCTAAGTCCTGTGTGAGCCAGCTCGACGTTGGGGGCGAGGCGTTTACCATGTCCTGGTCCGCCGATGGAAGCGTGATGATGGTCGGAAGGAAGGTGAGTTATGCAACATCTCTCGTCTAGTGAGTTGGCTTGGGAAATGCTTTACTGAACCGCGCAAACCCTCTAGGACGATACCTTGGTCCCAATTTCCATTGAATCGCCCTCGACCCCGACGATCCTCGACGGAGCACCCACCACGACTACCTCTAATGCTGCATCGCTCAAAACCCCCGGCATCCCATCGATCTACAAGACCCTTGATTCGCACCCGCAATCGGTCCAGACCAACGCCACCACTTTCTCCAATCACATCTCTAGCCCTACCTCCCCCGATCTGCATCTCTTCGCCACGACAGGCGAAGGTACCGTCAAGGTCTTCTCCTACCCCTCCTTCAACGTCATGCACACCCTGAACGCCCACACATCGGCTTGCCTGGCCATCGCCCTCGCCCCGACGGGCCGGTACCTTGCCGTCGGCGGCAGCGACGCTCTGATCTCCCTCTGGGACACGACGGACTGGATCTGCCGCCGCACCGTATCAAGCAACAACGGCGGCGCGATCCGCGGCGTGAGTTGGAGCTTCGACGGCCGCTTCATCTGCGGCGCCTGCGACGAGGCGAATCATGGCGGCAACGGCATTGAGATTTTCCATGCCGAGACCGGCGAGAGCGTCTACACCGTTCCGACGGGCGGTGGTGCCAACTCAGGCATCCCTGCCGTGGCGTGGCATCCGTCGCGGTACTGGTTGGCATATTCGACCATGGGCGATGGCCCCGGAAGCTCGGGGGCTGGTGGGTTGAAGATCGTGGGTGCTGCGGGTGGTGGCTTGTAGAATGAGCCCCCCCCCTTTCTCTTTTCCTAGACTTTATTTCTTTCTGTATCAAAAGGGGGGTTGCCGTGTTTGTGATGTCGAGGTTCTATGTTCATGTTTATGATAGTTTCATGGGTATTCATCATCCCGGAGTTTGTTTTAGATGTCCTTTTAAATATATATTATATTTATTTGATCTCCAAAAACTCGATATCATGTAGTGGAATTGATTTGATTTCTAACATATCCTAACACCTCCTTTAAACTAGGAAGACTTAACTGAAAACCCGCCAACAAAATAGGATAAAACCCCGCACATGCATAGAGTATATGTGTAGATAGGAGATGTGGTATAAACTTATAACAGAAAGTAAAACACAAGGCAGTAAGTGTGCAATCAAAACAGACCCAAAGCCCCAAATGCAGCAACCACCTCCCGGTCGACATTGAGCAGCCATTCCTCCTGGAACCGTTGTTCTCCACCACATCCGACGATCAGGGAGCGGAGGCGCTCGCGAACAAAGTCGCGGATGTTGATCTTGTGCAGGATGTCGGCGTTATCCCACTCGCGCCGACGGATGTTCTCCGGCGCCTCGTGCTCCTCGGAGGTACCTGTCTCCGCGTTGTTCCAGTAGATCAGATGATCGCCGCTGCGCGGGTCGTTGGGGTCGCCTTCGGCCCCCTCGGCGAGTTCGGTGATGATGTCGGTCCAGATGTTCATGTAGGATTGGAGATGGGTGAGGATGTAGGCGGGGGGCTGGGAGTCGGGCCCGTTGAGGGTGAGGAGCTGAGTGAGGGCAAGCGCGTGGAGCTTCTTTTGGTTCGTGCTGCCGATGTTGTCGTAGTGGAAGAACCACTCGGTTAGGATCCAGGTGAGGGCTTGCTCGTCGGACGTCCCGGTGGCGGTTGACACGGCCGAGGCGAAGATCTTGGGGTGGGCCAGGGCCAGGCGAGCGAGGACAGAGAGGTAATCTGTTTCGACTACGCCGTAGACGGAGCTCTGTTTCCGGTTTGGTCCGGTGGTTTGACTGGCCTCGTGGGCGGAGTAGAGGCCCTCCAGGAGCGCGGGTAGAAAAGAGCTGTCGAGCAGCGAGCGGGTTATGACATTGTAGGTGTTTTCGCTTCCGCCGTCCACGGCTTCGGCGCCGCGGATCATGAGTTCCACGAGACGTGGCACGATACCAAGGCGCTGCTTGGTGGTAGATTTCAACAGGGCTTCAAAGGAGGCGAGCAGGGGAAGACGAATGCGATCGCTCAGTATTTCCTGGGGTGCGAGGAAGATGTAAGACTCGGCGATCTGGAGTGCCTGAGGGGCACTGTCCGTCGCCGCTTCGAGGATAGGGAAAAGAGCAGGAATAAGGCCGAGTATTTCAGGAGACGCGGGAGTGGGAGTCTGCATCAGAATGGCAGACCATAATTCCAAAGCCTCGTCTAGAAGATACACGATGGTTTCCTAGAAGCTAGTCAGCAAGACTGAGATACCCGATGATAGGGGAGGAGCGCGACATACAGAGCCTGGTTCGACCGAATTCTGGATGAGAGGAAGAATGAGCGAGTGATATCTGGCGGACTCTTGTTTGAGAGAGTGTATCAGAGAAGAAAGAAGAGTAAGAATGGCCTGCTTCATCAAATGCTCCTCGCCGGATTCCTCCCATAGTGGAGGCAACAAGGCGAGAATTTGATCGGAGAAGGGGGCAATCTGGGAGAGTATTAGCATCTTCACTGTCGACTGCAAGCCATTGGAAACATACATGATCTTCCATCTTTACCACCGCAGTGCGGACTGTGTCCAAAAGACCCATCTTGATCTCCGAGAGCTCTACCTCTTGTACTAGAGACATCAAGTTCTGGAGCACGGACGGCGCATATGGCATGAACCCAGCAGGGGAGAACTCGAAAGGATCAAGCACGCTTTTGAGCTGTCGACCAGCAGTGATCCGAACAACTAGATCATTTAGCGGGTCTTCCTTGTTGAGCAAATGCTGGAAGATCTGGTAAATCGCATCTTTGTTCAGTTCGCTCGGTTTGACAGGAACCCATTGGCCCAGCAAGATTGCGATTCTTCTCCGAAGGACGTTATAGCCCTGCTCCTGCAGCTGGACTTCCGGAACGAGCGTCGTCTGCAAGAAATCATTGAAGTCTAAGTGCTGTTCCAAACTTGCGGCGGCCAATCCAATGGCTGAGTATAAAGAATCCTTCAACAATACATCGCGCTTTTCAAGGCCTGTGGTGGGCGTTTCGTTAACATCGAACCTCCAAAACAAACCACGAGGCGTGATACTTACTTGCAAATGAGTAAAACACACTTAGAAGTCGGGGAATGAGCAGATCCTTGAAATGGATCACCAGGTCGAGGAAGAGCTTTTCGGAACACGATCGGATAGAGAACTCCCAGGCGTCAGAGATATCCTCCTCTTTTCTCTCCCATTCCTCGGGGTCTTCCTCCCATTCTTGAAAGTCGTTTTTCCTAAACCGGAAGAATTGCGTGACAAGCAGTTCCATAACAATGACCACAAAGTCGTGCGTAAAGAGTTGCGATTTGACGAGCTCGACAGAAGCCTTTTTCTCCTCTTTGTCTTGCGGGGTTTGGTACTTGAAGGTCTGGGCTGGGTTGAACGCCATTTTCGAGCAGGCTCTTATCAACAGCAAAGCCCTGAGGCCTGTCTTTTCCATCAGCGACTTTCCTTCCGGTTCACCACCGGCCCCTAGTTGGTCATAGTTCTCGCCTAGTTTGGCCACCAATGTCCAATAAGATTGCACAAGAGCAATGCTGTCCGGAAGCAGGGCAAAGGATGCAGGCCGGTCTTTGGCCATCTCAACATGAAGTTTGGAAAGCTGCAACAGGTGTTTTTCGGTTGCCCTGTGCACCGATTCGGGGATACTGACGGATCCATTAATGAACCCCAAAAATCTACTGAAATGAGAGTGAGTCAGTACCCAGAATTGGCGGACATCATTGTCTCGACTGGGGTGCTCGAATCCAGCAATAACCAGACGCCGAATGACCTTGAGACAGACAAGACTTTGCTCTATCGCTTCTAGCAACGATCCCTCGTCCGCACCGCCTTGTTCCAAAGAAGTAGCCCACGTATTTACTTTATCCACGTATATGCCACCCAGGAGATGGAATATTTCCGGAGCAACAGACTGGAGGTTTGCCCTCGTCCTAAGCATCTTAGCTGTTGATAGCTCCTTTATTATCTGGAGGATTATGACCAGGGTTCGTGGCAACTGTATCGGGTTGGCGCCGGGCTGGGTTGAGGAGCGGAGGAAGGTAATGAGCGAGGAGATTCCATCGGGCCTGGATCAAGCTGTTAGACAGGACTCCGCGACACAAAGGTGCATGAAGCTAAGACATACCAGTCATGAGGAAATTCGTAACGCATGATTTTAGCGATCATCAACGCATTGTGAAGGGCTAAGAGAGGAGCGGGCTCGACGAGACCAGCGTGGAGAGCCCTGGTCTTTATGTGGTCCTTTTCCTCCTTCTTAATGGCACTTTTTGTGAATTAGTTTACCTCCGAGGATGGAAAACCGAAAGCTTTCGAGCACACCTACTTTGTCGCGGTCTTTCGCCAATATTTGTCGATGCCGTTCTTCAATTGGATAATGGACATGTATCGAACTTCGGCGGGCACAGAATGATCCAGGAAAACATCCTACCATAGACAATCCATTAGCAATGAATCCGAGAAGAGATATGGAAGATGGCTTTAAAATACCTGAAGGTAGGAATGATACTGTTCCTGCTTCTCCCAATGCTGGAGCTGCTTAGTCCCGGTCTGGACCTGCTGCTGCGTTGAACTAGCAGCCAGGACCAGAGCACTGAGGACATTGTGCTGCGTCAATGGGTTTGACTCGCCCGGAAGCTCAACGACGTGAGCCATGATGAAGGACGCAGGAGATGGATAGTATGGAGATTGACACTCAAGCCAATGTCGGCGAAGACAGGAACCCCAAAGACTTCCCAATACTCGGTATGCAAATAAATGCCGGGTCTTTGAAGCCCCGTCTTGCTGTCGAGGGCAAATCGATCGTCAAGGGGGAACGAGCTGGGCCAGCAGGAAGACCGCCTCAGTCGTTAGCTTGTTTGTACCTTCATTGTCCGCTCCCCGCCCGCGGCGGGATGTATCGGGAAAGAGCTGTTCCGCTCCGGCAGAACCCTAGGGCTGGACCCCGGAGACTAGTCCCCATCGGGCTGCCCAGTTAGGGCTTGCAGGGACCCTTGGAATGCTCCATGTCGATGATATCATTTCCAGAACTTCAGATCTTGCCATGCCAGGTTCGATTCCAGAACATCGCTTGCGGGTGGGTATTCGATCTCAGATTCTGCCCGATGCAGGCAAATTACATGCCTATGATGTTGTCAACTGCTATGATGTTGTCTGATGCAATGCTCCAAAGAACGCCCAGCAGAGATGCTGTCAACGTATTTAAAGTGCAGTGACCTGCTACCTGTTCAGAGATAAACACACTCTCCAACTCTCTACATCTTGAATACATTATCACCTCCATTCTCAAGTTTCCCATTTACTTTCCACATAAATCCTCTTAAAAATGTCCGACAAGATGCATTTGGCTGCTCGCGCTGAGCAGGACCTCAACAGCTACCAGGCCAAACAGGGCCTTGGCCCTAAGAGTGACTCCAGTATGTTGCCACCTTTTGACGCGGTATATTCGCACGAGTAATTCTCTAACGCACAGCAGCCCTGGAGTCTGGTGTCAACGAGATGGTCGACAAGAAGTTCGAGCAACGCACTGACGTTAAGACCGGAAGAGCTGCTGGTGCTACCGGAAGCAACCGCAAGCCTATTCCCGAGGACGAGGGTGGTACCCGTGACGACCGCGGCCGGTGAGTTTTTTTCTTGTCGGTTCCTCAATGTCATACAATTCCATTCTAATTCATAACCAGGCTGGCCCAGGCTGGGGAGTACGAAGGCAAGGGCGGACCCGAGGACAAAGTGAAGATCCAGTCTGAGCGTCGTCCTGGGGACCAGGACACGCTGAACCTTCAGGATATGAAGCGTGAGGGTATCGCGTCCTAAAATCTGATGTATAATGTATTGTAATGTTTGTTATGAAGCGCAAGAGAAAGCATGTTATGAGTATATAGTAATATCAGCATTCTCGGAAGTGTTCCTTTGTTATTCCGGTTCAGTCTTCGGAACTGTATAGAATATCAGTACTTATTTCGTACTCCGTACTGGTGTATAAAGCAGCCCCCCAAAGTATGGACCCACCACCTTGCACATATAGGATGCACTTGTGCTGCTCGCCCCTACGCTTAAACCCTTTTTCAAAGTCTTTTACAGAGTATACCATGTCTAGGTTATTTAAACCCACACCAACATGGCTCAAGCCGATAGTCCCGGGCCAATTGAGACCAGACTCTTCATCAACAATGAGGTATGAACTATACTTCCCCCTCCCCTTGGTTTTGCTATCATCATCCGGCGACTTACTCTGGATACCTTGGGGCCTATAGTTCCAACCAGGTGCCGATGGAAAGGTTTTCAACTTGATCAATCCGTATACGCAGGAGATCGTCCCACAAGGTAAAGCTACACCGCCATTATAGCACTTGACAGGGCCTGACCACCTTCTATAGTCCACGAAGCCGGAGAGCAAGATGTGAACAAGGCCGTCGCAGCGGCCAAAGCCGCGTTTCCTACCTGGCGAGACCTTTCTCCGGCTGAAAGAGGCGTTCATCTGCGTAAAATGGCAGAGTTGATTCGGGAATCGCAGCCTGAGCTGGCTCGCTTAGAATCTATATCGACGGGAAAGCCCGTATCGAGCTACTTCGATGCAAAAATAGCCGAGGGTTATTTCTCTTATTTCGCTGAAGCCGGGTGGAACGTCCAAGGTTCTTCCAGCTTAAACACTCCTGGCAATCTCAACCTCACCGTGAAGCAGCACTACGGTGTGGTAGCATGTATCATTCCGTGGAATATCCCAATAGGATTTTTTGCCTTAAAGCTTGCCCCAGCGCTGGCAGCTGGTAACACAGTGGTTTTGAAAAGCAGCGAAAAAGCACCGCTGACTGTGAGTCTTATCTGAACTCATGCTTCTCACCTGGGGTATCACTGACAAAGGCTTCTTCGTTTGGCTAGTCGGCCTTCGCAGCCAAACTGGCCGTAAAGGCCGGTTTCCCTCCAGGCGTGATCAATGTGATATCCGGCTTCGGGTCCCCAGCCGGGAGCACGCTGGCATCCCACATGGATGTGCGTTGCCTCAGCTTCACGGGGTCGACGCGCACCGGCCAGAAAATCCAGGCCGCGGCAGCCATGTCCAACATGAAGACCGTCCACTTGGAACTAGGTGGCAAATCTCCCGCCATCGTATTCGAGGACGCAGACCTGGAAAGCGCGGCTCAGCAGACCCAATTCAGCATCCAACTTATGAGCGGGCAGTCTTGCATGGCGAACTCGCGCATCTATGTCCAGGAGTCTGTCGCCGAGAAATTCCGAACGCTCTTCAAGGAGAACTTCAGCGCTGCCGCAAACCTCGGAAATCCCCTGGATCCGAGCATATCCCATGGACCGCAGGTGGACAAGATCCAATATGATCGAGTGAAGACTTTCCTTGCCGTTGGAGAGAAGGACGGTAAGCTCACTATGGGTGGAGACGGTAGAGATGGCCTCTTCATCAAGCCAACCGTCTTTGAAAATGATTCGCAGATCATGAAAGAGGAGATATTCGGCCCTGTTGTGGTGATAAATACGTTCTCAACGGAGGCAGAGGCCATCGAAAAGGCTAGTAATATAGAATTCGGCCTGTATGTTTCCGTCTTCACCAGGAATCTCGATCGTGCCGTGCGCTTTTCTAAGTTGCTTGAGGCCGGTACCTTTGGTATCAACTGCACGAGCCCCAGCATCGCTAATGATATGCCGTTTGGAGGCTTTAAGATGAGTGGCCTTGGTCGGGAAGGGTTTATGCATGGTTTGTACAGTTATCTCGAGACGAAGACCATATTGATCAAGATGGGCGCATGACGAACTCATAGGGTGTGTAATTTGGGCCGCAGTTACCAAGAAGCTTTAGTATCTTGGGGAAAAGGTTATATGTACATAGCCTCAATGGAGAAATTTGAGGATCATCAACCCCCGGTAGTCGGTAACTGAGAATGAGACTGGCGTAGCCGAATGGCCAACTTTGTGAAGTCAATTTTGGATAAGATTTCAGGCCGTGCAACTGGAATAGTAAAACATGGCATGTCCCATGATTTGCGTAGTCATTGGGGCTTATTTACTCCTTCTCACGTAGCGCATATGTACAGGATTCCTTCCATGTTCATACCCTAGAATTGTCCTAGTACAAACTCCATGAAGATTCCAGTGGCCGATCCAATAAGCGGCAATGTCAGTGAACTGCCGGCATTGGCAGTAGATTCGGGGGAAGCGGAAATGGCCGAGGATCTTCCATTGAGAGATGCCTTCCTGGTCGCTGTCACGTCTTCATTGTAGCCACTCTTGGTATCGTAAGGGAAAGGACTCGTATAGTTGAAGGTAGGCTTGGTGCCCTTGTAGGTTTCCTTGACAATATCAAGAATTCCGTGGCCAGCAGAACATTCTCCCTCTGTTAAGGGGATGGGCCACTCCGGTGAATATTCAGAGTAATCACCGTTAGACATCGGGCCGGGATATGTTTCATTGAGGTGAAGGTGTGTAGTGTCAACGTTATAATTAACATAGCCGGTTTTATTTGCCACGATCTCAAGCAGATTAGCGCCGCAGTCCCAGCGGCCAAGAGATGGCAGACCCCAGTTGGCGGACATAGTTGCGATGACCGAATAGTGAGTGTAGAACGTATCGTCCTTGGTACCCTTGAGGTTGTCCGGGATGGCACCACCCAGAAGAATACTAAAGATTCTGTTGCCTTTTGTATACGTATTGTCTTCATCGAAGGTCAACAGAACCAGAGTGTTATCCATAAAATAGGAATTTTTGAGAAGGGGTGTCATCCAGTTACGCTCCCACTTGGCGGCAAAGGTAATGTTGGTATCATGCGCATCGTTCGTCATGTTGGGGGTCACAAAAGCCCATTGGGGCAGCTTCTTGTTCTCAAGATCATCGTCAAAGTGAGTGAAGTTCTTGATTTGACGCAAACGAGTGCTGTTCTCGGTGACCGAGTCGTACAAGACTAAAGGATTGTGCTTGCGCACATAGTCATTGGCCTTCGTTTCTTGGTTTTTGTAGTCGTTTCCCTGGAACCCAGGATAAGGCATGTGCTCTTGATATTCGCCCCAAGCAATCTGTTTCGTGTCAAGAAGATCGGCAATCGTCGACACATTCGAAGGGATTTGATTGTAATCGTCATTGTCCATGCCGAACGTGTCACCTCCGGCGGCAGCACAGTAGTTCGGCTCGGACGGATGCGTAGTGGCATAGAAGTTGGTCCTATTATGGGTTAAGAGTTGAATTCACAGGCGTGGGGGAATAATATTACAGGGTGATTCCCTGCGAAGCAAGCCATTGCTTGTTTTCGTCTTCCTCGGCATCCTCGTAATCCTTTAAACCACTTACGTTAGTAACTGGGTCGCACGAACTGCGGCGTGTCACGTACGATGTTTTCGAGCCACACTTGAACGAAACGATCAAATGCGAGACCTTTCACATTGGAAACCGGGGAGTGCGGCTCGGTAGAAGCAGCAGCAGCTTCAATCTCCGACTGCGACGGTTTCTTCTCGGTTCCAGTCCGCGCGTAGGCCACAGAAGCCGCAAGAAGTGCTGTAACGACGGACTTCATTTCGACTCGAGCTTTTCTTCCCAGGCGATCGCCGTACTGATGCGAGAATGGGGCGAGTAGGGGAAAGGGCAGCGAGGGGAAGACGAGTCTTTATACGTCAAAGTGGCAAGGATTCTATTTCCTGGGACCATGTGCCATGTGCACGAGACAAGATGGAAAAGACCGGGAATCGGACCCCAAGGTAGTATCCACTACGAAGAGGAAGCAGAGGTTTGTACCTTTGTATTCCTAGGATGCAAAATCACGCGGCCAGAATAAAAGATCTCATTCGACGATTGCTTGCCCTAGGGGTCGAAGCAAACAAGAGCTAGATAAAAGGGCTAGAATGAAAGACAGTAATGATAGGCAGTCGTTCCGTGGCACAGAAAGATGAGTCCGCATTCCCGAAGCTTGCTTTCCTTCCTTCCATGACCAAATAAGCTGGGAGCCATTCAGAAAGCGCAGGCCGTGAAGGTACGAGGGAGTTCGGAATGGGGAGTTGGAATGGGGAGTAGTGGCGGGGAGGAGCGAAGAAGAGCGGGCTGGGCAAATGCTTGGTCGCGACCAGGCCTGCACGTGCCGGGGGTGGCCGACGCGAGAGGCTGGACAAATGGAGGGGAAAGTGCGGCCACCGGTGTAACCCTTCCACACCTGACAGTAGCACGGCGATCAGGGATGTACATACCTTCGTGACTAAACGCCGGTTTTGAACTCGTCAACAACGAAGTAGTTGGACACAGGCTTTCGTGCAGTGCCTTAAGTGCCTTGAGAGTCGAATGTACATATTTCATGGTGGTGATGCTCGTACGCGGCGAAAGAACTTCATTGTACGCATACCGCATGCGCATAATACCGCTACTACATTCACCATGGTCTGTCTGCCAAGTCCTCATTGAGCACCACGATTGACGCCGTACAGTACCAAGGACCTAGGATCCAGGGGCCCCGAGAGAGTGTGATGCTGAAGATATCAGCTGGACTACAGAGTAGAAGCCGATCGCGGCTTCCTCTTTCGGGCGGCCGCGGCCAGGGTCACGTGGGCGCCCGTCAACCTCGGCAGGTCCCAATCTGGGGAACCGACCGGCGCCTTGACTTATCGCATGCTTCACTGATCTCCACGGACGTCGACTCAACGGCAGGCCCTCCTCGTGCATTCCGCAATTTGTCTCACCTTATTATCGACCTCCCGCTCTCGTGACACCTCTTCCGCCCAGAAAAACACCATGATTATACCATGAGCACGACAAACTTTGCCGCTGCTCAGGAGCGGGTCCTTGAACGCCGCCGTCTACGTGAGGCCGAAGCTCGCGCCAGGCTTGCGGAGCAACAACGGGCGTCGCCAGTTAACCATCCCGCGCTTCAACGGCTCCCTTACCCGTTGAGTCGTCTCCCACAATCCGGCCTGTCGTTATGGAATGCGATCAAAGGCCGCGAGGGCATGAGGCCGGCCTTTCGGGTCGGTCAAGTCGATGCCGAACTGCTGGACGAGGAATTACTGGGCTTGCTCAAAGGTCAGGTCGGGGAGGCCTTGAAATACTTCGGGGTATGATGACCTATCTCCCGAGCCCCGAGTGTGGGTTCGGTATAACTCTACGTGTTCTCGTTACTGACCCCGTGGAATGCCAGCCTCAAATGCGAGAGGACTGGTCTCATGAAATCCAATTTGCTCTCCGCGCCATATTGTTTAAACTTTCGATCTGGGACCACGATGCTTCGTATGGGGCTGCTTTACAAAACCTAAAATACGTCGATAGCCGCAGCAAAGGCCCCGTTCATTCCACCCCGACCAGATGGCAAAAGACCCTGTATGGCTTACTTACGGTTGGCGGCCGCTATGCATGGGATAAATGGGAAAGTTGGTTGATCAACCAGGAGGGTGGCTACGATGAGGTAAGGACTCAGCTGTACTTCGCATATTAAGTTCCATCCATACTCACTTCAGCAGCCATCGCAAGAGGTTCGTGTGCTTTCACGCATGACGGACCTAGTTTCCACGACACATTCGATCGCGGCCTTTACTTCGTTCTGCGTATTCCTCGTCAACGGCCGATATCGAACACTAGTCGACCGAATCCTTCGCATTCGTCTCACACCTCCTTCTGCACAGGCAAGCCGCGAAGTGTCGTTCGAATACCTGAACCGGCAACTTGTGTGGCACGCTTTTACTGAGTTCCTCCTCTTTCTGCTACCGCTTGTGGGCATCAGCCGATGGAGGCGCTGGTTGTCTAGAGCCTGGCGCAAGACAGTATCTACACTCAAATCGAGTGGGGATGACGATGATGAGCAGGTCCGGAAACAGGGTGAATTGGCGTTTCTTCCCGAAAGGACTTGCGCGATCTGCTATAAAGACAATAACCCGACTTCTACCACGGAGAATGAGGTGATGGCTGCGTCAACTTCGGCCGGAATCATTGGCTCAGCTCAAACCGATATCACCAATCCTTACGAAACGATTCCGTGTGGCTGCGTGTATTGTTTCGTGTGTCTGGTCCAGAAGTTGGAGGGCGAAGAAGGCCAAGGCTGGGTCTGTCTTCGTTGTGGGGAGATCGTCAAGAAATGCAAGCCCTGGAATGGCGATGTCCTCGAGGAAGCTCGGCCTCAATCAAGCTCCGGAAAGGTTGTCGGGTTCGCTGTCAACGACGGGGATGACGGAGTGGGTGCAAATGCCGGCGAGCCTGAGAAAGGAGGTGAACATCCCATGGGACGATCAAGTCCGTTGCAGGATCTGAGCTCAGACGAAGCTCTCGGCGAGTCCAATCATTGGTCCACTATCGACAAGGACCTCGCTGAAGATGGGCCCGAGGGCCAAACAGACGAGGCAAGATGAAGAATGGGATTGGCTCTGATGATCGAGTTGAAGGCCCCTTGCTATGTAGCCAGACTACAGATGGCCGCCCCCATTCTCACTATATTTCATGCATTATAATTTCCGATAGCGAGTGCTAGAAGCTCAGCTCTGTTTGAATATACCCGAAAATGGCGAGTTCCTAGTATTGCTGGGATACAAATCAAGCAGTACGTAGCACTGCGTACTTCGTAGAGCGCGGCGAGCTCCACCGGATGGATCTCCCCCACCCGGCTAGACCCCGCCATCAAATCACGGCGTCCAGATTGCTAACCCGGTCCCCAGAATATCATCGCTCCCTGGCGAGGACAAATCGCAGGGATTCAAGCTCCCCCGCAGCGGACTTCTTGCCGAAGTTTGTCGACGGAGGGCACGTCGCAACTCCGATTTTTCGGCTGAATGAGGGGCCAAGACTGCGTGTCATTGTTGTTGCTCTGCAGTGACTGCCGCCACGGCTATTTGTGCTTCATCTGCCCTTTCTCTCTTTGAATTCCTGGGTATATATATCTGAGCGATTGTTACCTGGAAATTGGCTTAAGTCTGTCTGCTGAATACCCTGACATTGAGTCGCTGTCATTATGGACCCTTCCAAACCTGCGGTGACGTCGACATTGATGGAACCCAGGTACATCCAGTTTCCCAGTCTTCCTGATGATGCGAAGCATGATGACGGAACGCCGGCTTTGAATAGATATTCGAGCACCATCACTCGAGGTCATGACTTCCCCGGTGCTAAGGTGCGTACTACTGCTCAGTCATTTTCGGTGTCGTGTGGGCCTTCAGTTGGGAATACCGGCTAATTATCCTGATTCTTCTCACAGGCAATGCTGTATGCGGCCGGCGTGCCCGATCAGAATGCCATGGCCAAAAGTCCTCAGGTTGGCATCGCGTCTGTGTGGTGGGAGGGCAACCCGTGTAATATGCACCTTTTGGACATGGGCAAGACCGTGAAGAAGGCGGTTACGGACAATGGAATGATTGGATGGCAGTATAATACGATTGGTGTCTCAGATGCCATCACTATGGGTAGTGAAGGTCGGTGTTCTGTGTCCTTTGTGTGACCTCTATATCCTGGGTGTTATGCATTAAAGCGACCTTGGCTAACGACGCAAAAGGCATGAGATTTTCTCTTCAAACGCGCGAGATTATCGCCGATAGCGTCGAGACGGTCACCTGTGCCCAATATCACGATGCTTGCATCGCAATCCCCGGATGCGATAAGAATATGCCGGGAGTGGTTATGGGCATGGCCAGACACAATCGGCCGTCGATAATGATCTACGGCGGCACGATCCAGATCGGATACTCCGACCTTCTCCGGAAGCCAATCAACGTGTCTTCGTGTTTTGAAGCGGCCGGCGCCTATGCATACGATACTCTCCGCCAGCCAGATGACGGTGGTGACACAAGCAAAACGAAGGATGAAATCATGGATGATCTCGAGAAACATGCTTGTCCCAGCGCAGGCGCCTGTGGGGGCATGTTTACGGCGAACACCATGGCTACGGCAATCGAGTCGATGGGCCTGTCCTTGCCCGGGTCCTCCTCTACGCCTGCAACTTCTCCGTCTAAGATGCGCGAATGTGCAAAGACAGCTGACGCTATCAAGATCTGTATGGAGAGAAACATCAAGCCTCGGGACCTGCTAACCAAACGATCCTTCGAAAACGCACTGGTTATAACAATGGCCCTGGGTGGAAGCACCAACGGCGTGCTTCATTTCCTCGCCATGGCCCGAACCGCCGGTGTTGACCTCACTCTGGATGACATCCAGAGAGTTAGCAACAAGATTCCCTTCATTGCGAACCTTGCTCCGAGCGGGAAATACTACATGGCGGACCTGTACGACATCGGCGGTGTTCCGTCGGTCCAGAAGTTGCTCATTGCCGCGGGCCTATTGGATGGTGACATCCCTACCGTGACCGGCAAAACCTTGGCTGAGAACGTGGCATCCTTCCCCTCGTTGCCTGACGATCAAGTCATCATTCGCCCCCTAGACAACCCCATCAAGACGACCGGTCATTTGCAAATCCTGCGTGGCAACCTAGCCCCTGGGGGAGCGGTTGCGAAGATCACCGGGAAGGAAGGCACCAAATTTGTCGGCAAGGCACGAGTGTTCGACAAGGAGCACCAGCTCAACGAAGCTCTGAATCAGGGGAAGATCCCCCGAGGCGAGAATTTGGTCATTATCGTTCGCTACGAGGGTCCCAAGGGCGGGCCGGGTATGCCGGAACAGCTCAAGGCCAGTGCCGCATTAATGGGCGCCAAACTCACCAACGTGGCCCTGATCACGGATGGAAGATATTCGGGAGCAAGCCATGGGTTCATCGTCGGCCACATTGTCCCGGAAGCCGCTGCTGCCGGACCAATTGCTGTGGTCCGGGACGGCGATGTGATTACAATCAGTGCGGAGACCAACGAGCTCAGCATGGATGTTTCACAAGAGGAAATCCAGCAACGACTGCGCGAATGGAAGCCTCCGGTGCCGCATGTTACACGGGGAGTATTGGCCAAGTACGCTCGACTGGTGGGCGATGCATCGAGTGGCGCAATGACGGATCTATTCTGAAGTTCGTTCAAGTTTTCGAGTCAATAGTTTCGAGAATCAAAATAGTGCTGGTATAGTTAATGCAAACTGATGATTGAAACAAAACACCCGCGACGCCACGGGATGCAGACTGACGTTATGAGTGGGCGGGCGGGCGATGAGTCATCCACCGGCGGGCTGATCGTCCACGGTTCAGCGCCCGAGGCTGTGACAGGCTGCATCGCATCTCCGTAATATTCTTCTCTCCGTCGCTCATCAGGCAAGGAGTCGCTCCTGGTGGGTAGTCAGTCACTCCTGTGGTGTTACGCGATATCCCAGCTTGGTCTCTTCAGGTGAGTAAGACGCTGGCAATCAGGTTGTGTGTGAGGTATAATACTCCACCACTAATTCTGCATGGTGCCTGGACATACCCCGTGCAACCCTGCTCTTTCCACTCTTTTTTCTTTTCTTTTCTTTCCTTTTTTTAACCCTTTCGCTTTTCCTCCCTTTCTCTTGTTCTATTCCTCCTTGTCGTGAGCTGAGTATAAGCACTATTACTGACCATTCTTTCAATAAAATTAGCGTTAAATTTACGTTGATCCCGTTCTTCTGGAACAAAACCCTAGCTCTCCCTCTTATGTGATCTATCCAAGTTTCAATCAACTCAATTCGTCATCGGCAGCCGTCTCCAAGAGATAATCTATAGTCGCTCCTTTCTTGGCCTCACACCAAATAGTGGGCCTGTCAGATCGCCCCAGAGCCACCCACAGGCACCTGGTCGACCACCGTGTTGGAATCTTGCCGGTCATTGGCTCAAGTTGATCAAACGGGAGCATCGCAAATAACGTATTGAGGACGCCGGATCTCAACCTCTCCGTGTCTCAGAAGAGCCTCCGGGGCCTTCTGGTCGCATAATCTGGACAAGATCTGCACCCTGATGTTCGACGGCTTCGATCGACCCGCTTCCTTGCCTCACTATTGAATCGTGGACCGTCCGTCCGCCAAAGAGGTGCCGTCGTTGCATCTCGTGGAGGACCCGGCCTTTATTCTAGAACATCCCCGTCGTTCCCGTTTGCCGGCTCTCCGGGCTGGCAGGGATTCCTGAACGTTGGGGGGAGCTTCGAACATCGGTGACCGAATGAAGGATTCCCTACACGGAAAATAGTCTGCAATCCGGTCCGCCATACTAGGGTAGCTTTACGGAGTATAAATTTCGGATATCTTACCTCCGCGGCCGCTTGTCGAAATGGGTTCAACTGGTGTTACCAAACCTCTGAGCGGATCCTCGGATTTTGGCGTGGTCCGTCGTTCGTGGGATTCTATACACGCAACCTTCTCCGACTCTAGTGTTTTTCTCTCTTTGACTCGCCTTTCTCGAACCTTTGACCAGGATGGAACCGTGAATTGGGGTAAATTGGTGTTCTTGACTACTTGTGTGCTTACAATGGCGGGCTGCGGCATGCTTTCGTCCTTCTTGCGGCGCAAGAGTCCCAATCGTCTGATTACCAGAAAGCGTTTGCGACGGGTCGTTTTACGCCGGGATTATTCCAAAGGCTCTGCTGGAACCATCACCTCATCGGACGATGAGGAATACGATAGTAGCGGGTCTCTCCGCCATGTTACAGAACGCTCCTCCCATGAGGAGAAAGTAACCCCCCAACGTCGCGAACAATCCGAAGAAGGTAAAAGTCTATTGGCCCCCTTTTTATCATCGCCATATTAATCGGTCATTCCAATAGCGCATGATACAGACCCTGGTCTCCTAAAGAAACATTCATCCTACCTCTCCTATACAACATCTGTTGCGACTTATCCATCGATAAGGACATTGTATCGCCCTCATCCACAGACCGACAAATTACCTACGAAGCCATCATCCGTCCCCTTGTTGGTGTTCGTGCACGGACTGGGAGGTTCTTTGGCTCAGTTCAATCACCTGCTGACAAGCTTGTCTAATGTCGGGCCGTGTTTTGGAATTGATCTACCGGGCTGCGGACTATCAGACTTTGCGCCGACCTCTTGGGACGCATATTCTGTGGACGCGCTGGCAGAGCTACTCGCCACCGCCATTGATCAGCATCGTGACAAGGAGAACAGCCAAGGGGTCGTCCTGATCGCCCACAGTCTGGGCTGCTCTCTCTCGGCATTGTTAACATCCTCGGCCTCATCCATAGGGTCCCAAGTGAAAGAGCACATACTTGGCCTCATTGCTGTTTGTCCCCGATCTTCGCCCCCGTCGCCCCATGAGGTTGCCTCGTTTCGCCGCCTTCTCCATATTCCCGGTCCTCTTTTTGATCTTTGGCGTCATTGGGACCGACGCGGTGGTCTGACTAGTGCCAGCGTCACTAGACTTGTTGGTGCAGATGCCGATCCCGATACTAGGGGGCTTCAGGTGCGATACAATAAACAGAGCAAAACCCCTGTGTGGAGACGCATGGCTTGGGGAACGCTGCCCGCCTACGACCGCAATGGCTCAAATCCCGTCGGTGGACTACCAGGAAGAGACGTCTGGGCAGGTGTGGAAATCCCTGTTTTGCTTGTGGCCGGCGAATCCGACACAGTCACCAAACCCGAGGAATTGAAGAAAATTCTTGAATTTTTTGAGGGTACCGAATGCGTTGTTGATGGAGACGTCAAAGGCAGCAACAATGTTCCCGACGCCCCCAGTAATGGGGACGGTCAAACTTCAAAGACTGCTCTTGCACACGAGGAGGAGTACGGCATCGAGTCCCGAATTGATGGCAAAGAAGTCCAATCCATCACCAAGACAAACCAAGTCAAACGCTCTGTCAAGACGGTCATTCTTCCTGCTCCAGCTTCCCATGCGCTTCTATACGACCGTGCGACTTACCGCACCCTGGCTGGGGTCATTCAAGACTTTCTTCGCCAGCACATCGACCACCGACTCAACATGGGCTGGCAGCTGCAGTACCTGAACACATCGGGCAAGTGGGATGTCAAGAATCTGGCTAAGTGGCAAAAGGTGACTCCGGTGTCGGAGCGCATCGCCAACACATTCGTTGCCCTCAAGATGCTACGAGAGGTCGATGAGGAACACAACCCGGTGTTGTTCTCCGAGAAGCACCGCGACCGGATCTATGCTGTAGTCGACATCAGCTACGAGAACCCGGTGTACAACCCGGCCTCGTTGGAGAAGGGCGGGATCCATTACCACAAGCATCCTACGGTGTCAAAGATTCCACCATCTACGGACGAAACTCGAGACTTCATTGCTCTGGTGGATCGACTTCAAAACGAGATCACCGAAAAGCTGGAAAAGTCCGAGGATAACCAACCTCCACGTCCTATGATCGGTGTTCACTGCCATTACGGATTCAACCGGACGGGGTTTTTAATCGTCTGCTACCTGATTGAACGATGCGGGTTCAGCGTGCAGGGAGCCATCGACGAATTCGAAAGCCGGCGACCGCCAGGTATCCGCCATGCGCATTTTATCGACACACTTTTCGTGCGATATTGCATTGGACTAAAGAGAGCGCCCACTCTTTAAGTCCTCGTACTATTATTTTCTCTTCATCTTTACCCATTTTTGAACTATTGGACAGGCGCTGAGCGTCTGGGATTTTGCTTGCGGGATGCGTGCGGTGTAATGGCTGCTGGGGAGGGCTTGTAATTGACGAGTTATGATCATTATGCGATAGACTGTACATTATTAGCTTATTATTGATAATTATGACTTGCGTTGTATTCAAATTTCAAGGATGTGCCGTAATACTGCGATGCCAAGACCAATAACATCACCCGATGCGGCAGGCGGCCATGGGCGGCAGGACGGTAGCTGCCTCAGGCACTACAGAACTAGTTAGGGTACGGCTAGACCCGAACAGGCTAAGCGCTAAGCGAAGCGTCCACACAGCAGCGCAACCGAGAACTCGCCGTGTGCGAGAAATTTCGACTTGACCGACCGACTCCCCAACGACGACAACGACGACCCATCCTCACACCTCGTCCCCCTCTTCAGCTCCCCCTACACCTTCGATTTCCGTTCGAGGTTACAAGTCGCAAAAATGGGTGGTGTCACCGTTCGCGATGTGGACGTAAGTTGTCACCCGTCCCTATCAATCACCTGTTGCTCCAGATGCAATCGAGATGGGCATGCACAAGGGATATGGATCCGGAATATGGCATATCATGGCAGTGGCAATACTCAGAGGAGGCCATAAGCGACGAGATCGGCAGTCGCAACGATTTGAGCGACAATACTTTGGACTCGGATAATTTTCGATGACTGGGATATAAATGTCTTGAATCGGGATGTTTAACGACCTGGGACTTCTTGCGACTGGGATTACGACTTGGAATACGCGGCTAGCACAGCAGCCGGCACAACCTGAGAATGCACGAGACGATGCCACAAGATTGGAATGGAAATGCCGAACGAAATGATTGCCATGGAAAGAGGGGGGAAATTCTGTCTCGATGCATCTAGGATCCAACAGCCGTGCTCTACTGCACGGAGTGACATGTGCTGACGATTTCTGTTTTGTGAATTATAGGCGCAGAAGTTCATTGGCGCTTACTCTGCGTTCTTGAAGCGTCAGGGCAAGCTCCCCATCCCTGGTTAGTTTTCTCCCCCTCCCCACCAAGTGGACGAAATCTCCGCATCGACGTTAGCGAATCGAACAACCCACCCACTAACTGCATCACAATAGGATGGGTTGACACTGTCAAGACCTCCGCTTCCAACGAGCTCCCTCCCCAGGACGCCGACTGGTACTACATCCGCGCCGCCGCCGTCGCCCGCCACATCTACATGCGCAAGACCGTCGGTGTCGGCCGCTTCCGCAAGATCCACGGCTCGACCAAGAACCGTGGCGCTCGCCCCGCCCACCACGTTGATGCCTCCGGCTCCGTCGACCGTAAGGTCATGCAGTCCCTCGAGAAGATCGGTGTCCTCGAGGTCGATGAGGACAAGGGTGGCCGTCGCATCACCCAGAGCGGCCAGCGGGATCTTGACCGTATCGCCAAGACCACCGTTGACGAGGAGGAGTCGGACGAGGAGTAAATTAGTCTCCGATTTCTAAAATAATGAAAAAGTCCTGATGTTCTCTTCAAACCACCTCTTTTTCTCTGATCTGCCTCTTCTTTTCTTCTCCTTCGAACTCTTTTATGATGTGATTTGTTTCCTTTCTCCGACCGCTTTCCTGGATCTTGGTTTCCTGGAAGCCCGTTTCCCGAGCGGAAGAATTGTCGACACCGATTGAAGGAAGAAGGGGGGAACAGAAATTCGGGTGAAATCGATCCAGTAACAATGGATGAGTTCAAAACGGATACAACGGATGGTTGACGGATGGACGGACGGATGGCTACATTGTGATGATACTAGGGATATCAACCAGGGAGAGAGAGGAATGAAATTTTTCTTTTTACTGTTTCATATCAAGGTTTTCGTCGAGGCTTGAGATCAGACGGAAGTCTCGAGTCGAGTCTTTGACCTAATCCTCCGGAGATTACATGCGCGCGCCAATTTACGACCCCAATAGATCCCATCATGTCTGGACCGAGGCATTGTCCTGCGTACAAGTCCATCTCTCCCATGAAGATCGCCTAACCGGTGAGAGGGTCTCTACACATCTAGTAGATCAAGTAGACCGAGATAGGAGTGTAAACGACCCATCGATAAGATGCGCATGCTTTATGAGACTCCGCAGACTCTAACCACCAAGGAATATATACACAGCCAGATGTATCCAAACAGCATACAAGACACAACTTCCATCCTATATCCTCAAAAACCCCACTCTATTACTTCCCCGACTGCGCCGTCGGATCCTACACCATAAAGTCAGCCCAATATTCCAATATACCCAGAAGCAACGAGGGAGGGGGGAAAACCTACCAGGTACACCTGATAAAACTTCATCTTCAGCGCCTCACCCTCCGTCTTATCGAACACGACCCTCCCGGCCCAAGGCACCTCCACCTCGTTACTCGGGTCCGCTTTGAGCACGTACTTGACCGTGCCGAAGAGCATGAGCTCATTCGCGCCGCCGAAGAAGATGCGCTCCGGGAAGTGCTTCCGAGACGCGACGTGCGTCCAGAGACCGTGGCGGAGGGGGAGGACTTCTATGTTTGATACCGTTAGTTATTTGGGTTCGATTTACTTATTTTTGCGCTGATTGTTGCTGCGTATGTATGTATATGTTGTCCGACGGTCCGCATATACATTCTTCAAAGCAGTACTTGAATATGTTCGGAAAGAAGGGAAAAGGGGCAAAAGACATACCACTCGACCCCCGCGCGATCTTAGACCCCATGATGAGCGTCGCATCGTCCGTGAAGCTGTCGACGTAGGCGTCGTGCCGGGACTCCGTGTCGCTAGTGGCGTAGAACGACTGCATGAAAGAGATCATGGCGGGGCCGTTGGGCGGCGACAGGGACGGGTCCGAGGCGATGGTGTAGGACATTTTGGCTCGAATTGGGGGTATTGAGCTCAGATTTTGGGTACTGGGGTTTAATTGGGAGAGAAAGAAGTGGTAGAAATAGATCGGTTCAAGTATACTTTGAACTGGTGGATAGAGGGTGCGGTGATGTCAGTAGCCGTGTTCGGGCCGATGAGGGCGATCCGATCAGCATCCGATGAGGAACTTGGCGGGGTCTTTCTTGGTTGGTGGCGTGGACTTTTTTTTAATTTAGGGATAACACATGCATAGGTGAAATGGAAAGTGGACTCTTAATTGCTATTTACATCGATGGTTATGGACTCTGCCACATACATCAGGTGAGATGAGTCTTACAGGATTGATATCGTAGGCGGAGTATATAAGTCTATCAGGCTCCAATCAAGCCTTCCTGTAGTCTTCCTCGGCCGTCGCGAAATCCTCCCAGCTCGGTCGATCGGTCCCATTCGGTCGACTGGCCCGCGTGAACTGGTTGTCAACCCCGTCGATCTCGCAGACTGATCGGACCACTTCTATATCGGCGTTGTAGGCCTTGGAATGCCACTTCTCGGTCAATGCGGCATCTCCAGCCTGATCGGCAGATAGATAGAGGTGGGGATATCTAGTTTGCATGATCTTCAGTACCGTCGAAGAGATACGGTCGACGCTGTCACAGTGACGCAGCTGGAAAAACTCGGGGGCCTGCGCCGCGCGCATCCTCTCTTGGACGGCTTCGGAATACTTGCCGACGGCGAAGAGCAGCAGATCGTAGTGCATCAGCGAAGACTTGCCGTGGTAGGAGCCGCCGTGCTTTGCTCGGAGGTAGAGACCGGTAAGGGCGGCGATGGCACCCATGCAGCCGGTGCCATAGTCGGAAATGGGGAATGGAGGCACCATTGGGGTCGAATGACCCATGAACTGTCCCTGCGCCCACGCCACGCCGGTAACCTATACAAGCGTCTGTAAGTCTCCTTCCAGGACACCCGCGGGAAAAGGAAATATGTGCTACTTACGCAGTCCGCGATTTGTTGCCAGCCAGGGCGACCGGCCCATTCTCCTTCATACCCAAAGCAATTCTCGTTTACATAAACGAATCCCTTTCCGCGCTTCTCGCCTAGTGACGCGAGCGCATTCGGGCCATAGCCTAATTTCTCAAGGGCTCCGGGGCGGTACCCATCAACGAGAACGTCCGCATCGGTTAGTAATTCTTCGAATTGGCGACGTCCTTCCTCGGTCTTCAGGTTGAGATCAGCGGCGTGCTTGCCCATGTTGCCATCAACCTGGAAGAATGGCACATCGGAGAGATCTGGGCTGGTGATTTTCAATACGTCGGCTCCGTATTCGGTCAAGATTCGTGTGACTGTAGGCCCAGCAATGATGCGGCATAGTTCGAGGACCTTGACACCTTCGAGGATCTTCTTGTTGCTTCCGCTGCGGCTAGGGGGGAAGGGCGTCGGAGGCAGGTCTCCACTGAGACGGGATACCTTCCACGGAGGCTGTTGTACGTTGAGTTGTCCCTGAAGTCCAATACATCAGCATGAAAGGTTCCTCGATGATTTTATGACAAAGCGAGAGGGCTGGTGACCACGCACATGTGGAGTTGTAATAAAGTCTTCGTGTTTGAGAGCTGTGACACCCGCTTGCCTCCTCTCCGCATTCATGGTCTCCAATTCCGCCGCGCTGTACTTCTGCACGTGGCTTTCAATGACCTTGATGACCTCCTCGTAATCCGTCAGATCTGGCCGATGTCCATCTAGTCCGATCATATTCAACGTGGTGGAGGCCTCGAGAGAGCCATGAATGTGGAAGAACTCTCCCTCGTTTTTAGTTTTGTAAAGATTGGCAGACATCCGACGGTAGCCATTCGATTGAGCGGCGAGCAGGTCAGTATCTAGACCAGTAAGTTTATGACTCATGTAAGGTGAAAGGAATTGAGTTCAATCGCAGTAACTCTACCTTTCAACTTCTTCTTGACCTCCGGGTCCAACTTCGACAATCCATCCACTTTCGCCATATAAGCCTGACAACCAAAGGCTGTGGCCCGTTCCAGATTGACCTTGACTTTCCTCTGTTGCGAGGCAGACCCATATCGTAGATCTGCGATTGCAGCAGCTACCGACCCCTCTACACCCTTCAGCGCAGCCAGCGTCTCCGTTTCCTTGAAAGGAATCGGGTAGTAGATTTGATCATGAGCTGAGTAGAACGACACGTCATCTTTCTTCTGCACTACCTCGGAAGGCAAGCTGAGTCCCTCCGCTTGGTCGAAAAGCAGGGAGAAGATTCGGCCTGCCTCTCGAACGGGCGAGTAGGCAATGCCCGCATCCGAACTCGGAGCCATTGTGTCAGTCGAAGATAATCGCGCAACCGATAACCCAATGAGCGGCTCTGTCAAATTGAGCACGGTGGTTAGCAAGGGTATGTGAAGAAAACGCAGAACAGGTTAGGACTGACAAAGTATAAATACCATTGAGTCTTCAGAGAGCTGAAAGAAAGCACCCATGTCCCCGGGTCAATTCCGAGAGATTGTCCGTCGGGCGGATGCAGGCTAGGCCATGGAACCGATCGTCTTGGGCCGCCGGAAGAGGCGAACCAGCAAGCGTGCACGGCATGATTGAGCAGCTCAACCCCGCAGAGACGATGGGCATCGGAAGAAGTGGAAAGCAGGAAGAATGCGGGATGGCGAAGAGGATCCCTTCGGATGCGACGGCCGATAGGATCGGAAGCGGATGACGTCGGCTGAGCTAAGCAGTCACCTGACTAGGGCATCGTCGTCCTCCTGACCCCCTCGTCCGCTGCATCTCCGTCGAGGTTGGGAAAAGTCCCCCTTTTCATTCGATGGGCTCCATGCATGCGACGCCCCCATCAGAACCCCTCAGCTGAATCTCACAGAGCGCATCAATGCCGTGAATGGGCCGCTCGACGACGACGCCAAGAGGCACATCACCCCCCGCTAGACCGTTCCGAGTAACCCAGCGTCAATGTGACAGGCATACTTTTCTGCAATCACTGGCGCCTCGACAAGCATCGAAATCCCGAGGCTGAGGGGGGGCCGTTTTGGCACCCTAAGCGAGCAGCATGGGAGGAGATCGGGCGGAGTTGTCCCTGGAAGGGCCTCCATTGGTCGCTTCAGGCTGCACCTAAGCGCTGCACACCAGCGTGAGCGCGTAATGGCAATGTCAAAAGCGTCCCGGCGTCAGTTGAGCGGCAAATCCATGTCCTGGACTAACTACTACCGTAGTAGCAGACTCTCGCAGAGGCCTGAGAAAAACTCAGGTGCGGGCTGGTCGTGGGATACTTCTATCGGGTCTCATCCTACCCTTCTGGACATTCCAATCTGCCCATCAACCCTCAGGCAATCTTTCCCTTGTCCACCAAAGTATGTCAACCATAGTGCAGACGCAGTTCTCTCCCTCCGCAAAGAACCCCCTGTGCTTTGCGCAGTCGTCCTCGGACGCTTCATCCCTCCATGGCAGTATCTCTAGCCTGCCGAATGAGCTCCTAGCCTATATCTTCTGGAACATCGAGGACTACAGACTCCCCTATGAGCGACAGCCCCCTCTACAATGGCTCGTATTAGCCCGAGTCTGTCGACGGTGGCGGGACATCATTGACACGTTCTTGTACCGCAATCTGATCCTGCGGGGCCGGGATGAGTGCCGCCATACCCAGCTACTCGCGGCCTTCCATGATCGGCAACATCTTCGCGACTATCCGCGAACGCTGAATCTGACCCTCGAGGGGGACACCTTCTCTCGAGACATCGCCGAGATCGTGGATCTCTTGACCTCGGTCCGCGAAATATCAGTCCAGGCCGACTTCGACGAGCCGCACCGTCCTCTCCTCGAGATCATCACCAACATGGACCCGGAGAAGCTCTTCCTCCGCGGGTTCGCATTCGGCCCGTCCGTGAACATGCTCTTCGAGGTCTTTCGGGACATGCCGTCCCTGCGAGAACTGCACCTCACCCGGTGGGGCTGGAGCCGCGAGAGAAAGCTACACACGGGCTACACCCAAAATGACAACCTCCTGGTCGGATCGGACGACCTGCGCCAGGCCCTGCCGATGGAAAGACGACGAACGGCTGCCTTCACGGTGCTCAACCTCCAGGAACCGAACACCTCCGCGAGGGTCACAGAGTGCCTCCTTTACTGGCCTGCTCGATTGGAGGAACTGAGCATGAAGTTTTTGTGCCACTCCCACTACGCCGTCGACTACCAGACGCACAGCCTGCAGAATCTCCTCTCCATCCACCAGCAAACCCTGAGAAAGATCACCATCGGTGTCATCCCCCAGAGTCAGGGTGGGATCCCGGACTTCTCGGGTTTCCCGTGCCTGGAGGAACTGAATGTCTCGGCCTACTCGATCCTCCATGATGCAGAGGAGACACCATGGACGGCGTACCGCAAGTTAGCGACTCCGTCGCTGCGTCGCTTGGAGATCGACTTCAGCACCGAGGAGCAGCATTGCGAGTCCTGGACGGACTATTTCGAGGACCAACTGGACTGGACCGAGGATTTCCTCGAGATCGTTGCCCCCGGCTTGCACACGTCGCCGCCGGAGACTCGCCTGCGGAACGTCCACATCAATTTCAACCCCAAGATGCCCTGGCGTCCGATGCAGCTGATCTGGCCGTGGCACTGGCTGATCGAGGCGACGAAAGTAGCGACCCCGTTGGGGATCTCGCTGACTTATAGTACGCCGGGGTGGACGATGGAAGATTACGAGCAGACGCAGGAGCGAATGCGGCGGTTCAACATGATGATGGGGTCTTAAGGGGGGTTGATATCGACGGATAGCAATGGCACGAGTCTTATGATGAGTAGTTTGACATGTTTTCGCGTTTTGTTTTCAGGTTTCTTTTTGTTCGTTTGGTCCGGTTCACAGGGTATGTCTTGCAGTTAGGTCTCCTTTGGTTTTCTTTTATCTTGCTTAATTTTATTCATGCATTCCAATTCCGTCCATCTTCTGGAAGAATTCCGGAACCTTTATATCAACTGAAGGTAGAAGACTGGCTGATGAACTCATGTCTTGGAGTCATACGTCCGCTCTATCGGACATTGAAAAGATGACGATGAATTCCTTTCCTAGCGGATTTAAACCTCGTAGTCCTGGGGACCGGAAAAGAGTAGCATCTACACTTTCTCGCCTGTCCATTCGAATGAGCAGGTTTCGCATCAATTGAACCCATCCTATTGTGCACAAACTACCGAGCCAACCACTTCATCGCGTTGAATTTTAGCCGCGCCGACCCCGACTATTTTGTCCATCGGGAAATCGGTGGCGAAATCTTGCATTGGCTGGAAATGAAGATTCTCTGGGTATTTCCTGCTGACGAACCAAAGTGCTAATCATTGTATCCGCATTGGGGCAGGGGATTAAACGAGAGACTATCCACATAGACTCCTAGTCGTCGGGGTGAAAACTGGCGAGGGGAATGGGAATAGGTCAAAACGTGAGTGCTTCATTCGCTGTACTTAAACCAACACATGGATTTGGTTGAGTGTTCCAGGGTTTGTCGATTGCACATCATGACTGTAGATCTCAGGGAACCGCCGACTTATATGGATCTAGGGCCGCCGGGTGGGATTCCCCGCATTTGAAGCCCTAAACTCAAGAGGACGGACTGCGGCATTTTGCCATGTTCACAACTTCACCGGGCATTGCTCACGGGTCATTTCAGTTTCCAAGCTGCCGATAGTCCACTCATTATAGACCGGAGGAAAGGAGGGAAGGCAAAGGAAGGCCACGACCGATCAGGAAAAAAAATCCACTGTCGTCATGAAGCGATCCCCTCCAGGAATCTAGAATGACAGAATCCACCGGATGACGACAGGGCCAGCCCTAACCCACCGAGCCAGCGGGGGTTCCTGACGAGCGGCCAGTCGCGGCCAATGAACCCCCACGTGCCGTCGCCGCCCGATTTCTTGGAAAACCTTCTGGAGGCACGAGCTGGCGCTGCCTTGATTGATTGCTGGGAATGCATTGCAACGTCCGGAGGGGGTCGTTTGGGTGAGTCCGAGAGAATAGTCCGAGGGAGTACTTACGATAGGTCGTCTTGGGAACTTCCTCCAGTTGGATGGAAGAGATAAGGCAAGGTACCGAGTCTCCGCATCGACCTTGCAGCTGGTGATAAGCAATGGTGAGGGGAGAGGAGAGGAGAGGAGGGGAGAGAGAGAGAGAGAGAGAGGAAGCGTACGGGGTGGTAATACGCCGGACTGGGGAGGGGGAGCCCCGGGACCTCCCGGCGCTGACGGCAGCGGGTCCGTCGACGGAGGGCCAATCGAGGGGGCCACGCAGCCGGTCTTCGTTCGTACTGATACGGTACGACTCCAGAGTGTTACCTTCCAATCTCTCCCTGAGTCTCTCAGCCGAAAGATAAGAGTCCCAGTCCGCCCCTTCGCCCTCAATTGCAGACTACCTGCATTCGAGGTACCTTATGCCTGACGCTGTCTGCAAAGAGATACCTCTGCCAGAAGTACCGCGGTAATAATACGAGGTCACGCCTGCAGCTGACGGCACCGAGTGACCTGACATTCCCATCCTATTATTATTTTATTATTTTATTACTATTGACGGCCCTCCTTACTTGCTGCCCCCCTCCTTCTCCCTCCTTTGCTCTCTCCCTTGCCGGCTCTTCCTCTCTCAGCTCTCCCTCTCTCTCTTTCTCTCTTCTTCTAGGCTACTTCCGTCTTCTACGTGAACTCACTTATCGGTTGATTTCCCCCTATCTCGGACTTCAGGTTCTTCTCTGCCCTGTCGCACTCGACGTCCTCTTTATCATTTCGCCAGATTCAACACCCGCGTGTACTAGGTAGCTACTAGTACTCGTTAGCGCGTCGCATCGCATCGCATCGCATTCACGCTGCATCTCGATTCCCTTGGATCCCTCGCCGTCCTCTTGTGCCGTGAGTCTGACCGCGTCCTTTGTTGGTTTCGGAGCCCGTCTTTTTGCCTTTTCCTTTGTGCCACCCCCATTGCATTTGTTTGTTCGACGCCGTCGGCCCCCGTTTAGTCATCCCTTCATCCGTGGTTGCGTCGCGCCGTCTGGTTGGTCGCCCCTTCTGACTCAGGTGATATCCATCCAAACAGGTTATAATTTAGCCACCTCATCAGGCATATCGGAATTTCTTCCTCCCAGAATCAATCCATCATGGCTGCCCCAATCACCACTTCTAGCATTGCCATGGCCCTTGCTGGCAAGACGGCCTCTGTCGATATCCCCAAGCCTCGCTCGGCTTTCACCGCTGATGGCGATGCTTCTTGCCATCCGGCTCTGTTGCCGACTCCCCCCAACTCTATCTCTCCGACTCTTCCTCCGCAGGCCTTCAAACGACGGGACAACCTCCCGGGCTCGCCCTCCTTTGCCACGTCGCAGTTTGACTCCGACATTGATCTGGGAGATGCCGCTCAACATGCGGTCAGCCGCGCTCAGCATCTCTCGCCCGGCGATGTAGATAGCGCCGGCGCCATCACCCCGGAGATGCTATCCCACTATCATCTTCCAGACATTATGCTGCAGCATGGTCCGCTCGCCATCCGACATATTATGGGCTATTTAACCACGTCGGTTCCCGGGTTTTCTAGGATCGCCCCGGCCAAATCGCGAAGACTGGTCGTGGCTGCCTTAGAGAACCGCGGCATCTGCGATAAGGGAAGTGGCGCGGAGAGCGAGATCGTCTTCGAGAAAGTCGGATGGGGTCGGTGGGATGCACGACGGCGTGGCGAACCGCTACGGGATGCACGGCAACCGAACCTGTCGCCCCCATCTAGTCTCTCGAACTCCTTCCCGCAAAAGGCCATGCAGATCCCGATCAAGAGAGACAGTCTACAACCGTACGGTTCGAGCATCACTGGCGATTCCGCCGTCTTTTCTTACACTGAAAGAGACTACGTCGGCCACGAGGACGTCAGTATGCTGGAGCACGAAGCGGATAAGATGTCCCTTGACGGAGACGAGCGTGAATATTGTTCGTCCTCAGAGGCCCCGGACGACGAAATACCAGATGGGGACTGGGGCGAGGAGGATGTGACCGACGAGGAAGATTGGGCACAGATAGGCGCGGCAGCGCTTCGTGCACGATCACTCAACGGCGGGGGCGGCTTTGTACATGGAAAACACCCGCCTCCGCAACTTCGAGGTGGCGGGCCTGCCTCGTCCTCGCTGGCGAAATCAGCGCCGCAAAAGATACCCATTCAACAGCTCGGGTTCTCTCTGCCAGATGGCGTGGTGAATGACCGAGAGGAGCGTGCCGCCGTCGAGGCGCTGTTGCGACTTGGCTCTATGTGAGAACTGAGTTCTCGTGGCTGGTCCATTCAACATTTTTCACTTCTACTGCTTTTTTATTTCGATTTAATTTCTCTCACAACGTTTCTGCAACGATACTACAAATCGCCAGTATATTCGACTGGCTCGACTGGCTTACGATGCATTGGGATCCGGAATCCATCGGGATTTGGTTGGCGTTTTTTGCGGAATATCATCCGTCTTGAACATACTTATCGTCTACTTTTTTTTTTTTTTGCATGAAGCATCCGTCATGGCTATGATTGGACTTCCTTTCCCATTCTTTGTATGGGACAAAACGGGACAGCGCCACGCAAAAGCCTGCCCGCCATATTTGATATAATATCTCTCTACTCATCATCTTATCGTGACCTACCCTTCATTGTATTTTTGTTTCTTCCATGTTCCCCTGCCCGGGCTGAAAGTCGGGTGCATTTAACATGCAGGTTCGAACATGGGGTTTTATGTCCATATTCGTTGGCAGATACCGGGAGCGAGACTTCCGGGGTGGATAACAAATAGAAATTAACAAGTTGCCTCGGCACATAATTAACCTTTTACTGGAATATTCTGATTATACTCGCCCATGATTCGTAATCCATCATCGCATCTGTTGCATGAGCTCGAAGCTCAATTTCGGTCCTCCAATCTCATACATTGTGTCAACCAATCCCACTCAGAACTCCTCCATGGACATCCCGCCGTAGATGGATAAACAACATCGACCCGATATTTACTAACCACACACCCAACTCATCTGCACTGTGGAGGGGAATCACGATGCAAAGACCCAGTACAAAAGACGGTGTACGAGGAAGTGGGGGAGCTGGGGCAGAGGACCCATCATTGCGCTGTCATTCTCGTTGTCTGTATATTTTTGCCTATGCAGTGTTACCTATCTAGAACCTTATGTTGATAGGAGGGGAGTAGAGAAGTGTGCAGCGTGGAGGATAGTTGGATTGCATATCCCGAGGTAGGTAGGTAGGGTTGATGGTTGCTCGTGATCTGTCAACGCTGTCGGTGAGTGATGTATATTCCTCTCACCGACTTACTACTTATCTTGGACACTCCATACTTGCATATATGTAGCACATGTGTGCAACTCAAATTATTGATTTGAATGCCGAAGCATGGTACTATATATGTATGGAAACCAATTCCGATTGAACTTTACATTCCCTAACGCCATCAAACCCACCAGGACCCTTCCATTGTTTATTTCCAGTTGACGTGAAAGACCTGTCAAGCATGCATGCACCTTACCCAGCCCAACCCATCCTAGAAACCCAACACCTGCCTGCCTGCCTCTCTAACCTGATACCCTAATTTAAAAATACAACCCGCCCAACTCACCGGACGAGTAATATACCTATACTTCAAGAAACCCCAAGACCAAGACGACAATTGGCGCCGGCAGAAAAAGAGAAAGAAAAGAAAACAAAAATACTACTTATCATGCGCATCATTAATCCGTCTCCAGACCTCCGCCTCCACCTCCGCCAGTTTACTTCCCGCGCTAGAAACCCACGACTTAGCGCTGTCCATGAAACTGAAGCCTCCAGCGTCAGCGTCGGAGTCGACCATCGCCGTGCTCCCGGAGTGATGGTGCAGCGGGAGGCTGGAGACAGGCGTGGGAGCTTGATAGACGGAGGCGTAGGGGGTGGAGGTGGAGTTGGGGTGGTGGCGGTGATGAACCGGAGGTGTGTTGTAGCTGGTGTTATAGCTGTAGGTACCGGTGCTGGAGCTGGTGGTGCTGGGGAATGGTGCTGTGGGTGCCGCTGCCGTGGGTGTTGGTAGGAGCCCCGGCTGCGGGTTCGATGGTGCATCGCCTGCCTTTGGGGGTGGGGGGACCGTCGAAGGTAGATCGTGTCCCTGGGTCGGGGGAGATGTAGTGCTTGTCGAGGAGTCGGTAGGATAGAGTGGTGTGGGTTGGGCACCGGGTTGGGGAGGGGGAGGCGAGGTGCTGCGGGTCGGCTCGGTGATGGTTTTCGTGGGATGAGGTGTTTGCTGTTCTGGGGCTGGGAGCTCCGTTGGAGCTGGGACTGAAGGCATGCTTCCTGGTTGAGCGGTGGGGATTGACGGAGGTGATGCCGATGTAGTCGCAGCTGATGTAGAGGCTGGGAGGTCCTGTTGCTTAGGCTCCGGATTGGAGGGTGAGGGAGAAGCTGGGGTATGAGTTGCTTCGCTGGGTGTGGAAGACATGGCTTTGAAGAAAGGGAATACTCAAACTCGATGGATGGTAAGGATAATTCCCCGATCAAGAGATACCAACTACGAGCAGGGGAGCTCTGAAGCTTCAAGCAGTCGAACGGAGTGAAGACGTCATCGGGTGCACGTGACAGATCGGCCAGGTGACCGTGAAGAATTTTTCTACGGAGAAAATCAATCCCAAAACACACGGATTCGATTTCGTACGGTTCGAGAAGTACAGTTGGAAAAGGGAAAAGAAAAAGAAATAAGCTTGCGGGCAGTAAAATACAACTGATACAGGAAATATCACACTCTATGCGCAAGACTTTTTTCCCAATACCACTCTCTTGACGCATCTCTAGTAGTTCATCCTGAACATTACCGGTCATCTGGCATTTACGCCGGATGACAGTCAACCCCTTTCCCCATTTGATTCACGTAGTCGTGACGCGAATTCAATTGAATGAATCGCTTATTTGTACTTCTTTCCGAAGAGCAGGAGCTGGGCCTGGTCGTAGATGGACAGGACACCAGCACCGGCGACACCACGGAGGATGTTGGCACCGGCACCCTTGAAGAGGGAGCTGACACCCTCCTTGGCGACGATCTGGCGGAAAGCGTCGAAGGAAGAGTTGTACTTAACGGCCTGTGGAAAGAGATCAATGCTTGCTCATTTTGGTTTTCAGGGGGTTTATTAAGTTTTACTTACCTCACCGGAGGTCATCATCATGCGACGACGGACGGTGTCAAGAGGGTACGAGGCAACACCGGCACCGGTGGTGACGGTCCAGCCGAGCAGGAAGGAAGCCAGGAAGTTGTTCTCGAGGGAGCCGGTAAGGAGGACGGGCTTGACGGAGTCGTACATACCGAAGTACAGACCACGGTAGACCACGATACCAAGAACGGAGGGACCGAAACCACGGTAGAGACCGGCAATACCGTCGGAGGCGAGAGTCTTCTTGTAGACGTCGACGAGACCGTTGAACTGACGGTCACCACCGCCCTTGGCGGACTTGGCGTCGTTGGCAAGACGGGTACGGGCGTAGTCGAGAGAGTAGACGAAGAGGAGGGAAGTGGCACCAGCAGCCTGGGAAATATTAGTTTATAATCCAGCATGCCGTCGACAGTTAGGGATACATACACCACCGGAGGCAAGGTTACCCATCATCCACTTGGTGTATCCATCACGCTCCTTCTTGTAGGAGAACATGGACTTGTAGGTGTCACGGAAGGCGAAGTTCAGAGCCTGGGTAGGGAAGTAACGGATGACGTTGGCAGTGTTACCTCTCCACAGGGAGACGACACCCTCGGAGGCGGCGGTACGACGGAAGCAGTCGGTGATACCGTTGTACTTGCGGTCAAGACGACCGGCGCGAAGCATCTCATCCTAAAGGAAGATTATATTAGCGTCTGAATTCGACAAGGGAGTCCCAAGAAAGGGGGCTGAAAAAATTTTTCGCGACCAGCCATCTCCGCGAAAACCCGCTCGCCGAATGACTTGTCCTTCGAAATTCCTTCATTCACCCTTTGGGGAATCATTTTTTGGGATCAACCAACCTGGTTCTGGATGAGGAGCTTGATACGCTCGATGGGGGCAGCAGCAGTCTTGGAGACAGCAGCGGAAACACCACCCACTAGAATCAATCAGTTAGTTGTCATGATCGTGAATGAAAGGCAAATCAATTGCCGCTTTTGAGCTATTGGTTCATTGCTCGAGGCTTATCAACCAATAGCTTCTTGGGAGACATACTCAGGAAGTCGACGACGAAGCCCTGTGAAAAATCTTGTTAGTCGAGCATTCTCCCCCGGATCGGTCGCCAGATCGAAGAACCCCCGATTTCCACACCCCGATCTCAACCTCAATGAAGAATTTGCATCGTCAAAAGATTCCAAAGACTCGATTTGGGTCGGACAGGGCGCGTGACCGACGATTCCGAACTGGCAACGAGAACGAGTAGCAACTTACGGGCATACCCATGACCGACTTGTCGGCCTGGTTAACGTCACCCTTGGCCATGATGACGGCTGTGAAGAACGAAAACTAAAAGAAACAAAAAGAGAGGAGATGGATTGGGATGATAGTGTCAAGAACAGGACACTTCAAAAGGGATGGGGAAGAAAGAAAGAAGAGAAGGGGAAGGGGAGAAGAAAAAATAGCGAGGGAAGGGCTCTTGTAAGCGGGAAGAAGCGAGCGGAGACGCTAAGACGTTTTAGTTTGAGTTTTGCTGGCCTGAAATTTTGCAGGAAAAAGAAAAAAAAAAAAAAACTGGACCCGGCGCTAATGCTGGCCCAGGCAACGAGAGCCGACATCTCCCGATTGCTCCCAGAAACCATCCCGACCGCGTCTCCGTCGGGGCAGAGGAAAAATTCCCACCCCCGTAATTTTTATATCCTGCTTCGGATTGGAATGAACGGTGAGGACCGGCAGGAAAGAGAGAAAAAAACGCAATAAAATAGAACAACTCAAATTCAATAAAATATAATATAAAGCTCCGTGCACTCTGTAAAAATCCCCAGTCAATTGCGCTCTGTTTGTTGCCAATTCCAACCATCCCTTGAATTACCCAGATACATGCAGCGAACGGAAGTGAACACTCCGTCCCCCCCGGCTTGACCGAACCAGCGCTGGAGCCTCGTCGTCTCCGCTCAAACGCGCACCCACCGCGACTGGACTGGACACCTTTCTTCTTCTGCTGCCGCGGCGACACACTCGGGGAAATCTCCTTTCTTTCAGACGTTCACTCTCTGGTCCCGAGTATCCGATGGCAAATTTCTTCTGACTGGTTCGCCGTCACTTTGTCGTCCTTGAACTTACCCAGAGCAGTTAGTCTGGACTCCATCTTGCGGTTAATTCTGCTTTTTCCAATGAAAATATTTTTTCTCATAAAAAAACCGTCAATCATAACAACCAGAAATAACCATAATAAATCTGGGATTAAAATTAGAATGGAGCATGGACAATGCCCGTAAAACACCCGCATTCAATAATACCGTACCGTACTGTAATGTCGGCTCTTTCGGCTGGGACACCGCCAATCAGAGGCTCCCTTTCAGATAACAGCATCCAATTATGGAAGCGCAACCTTGCCGCTCTAACGATTGGCACGTGATCACATTCCTTGTACTTCCCCTTATTCTACATCTCGGAGTATGGTTTCTGCGGAGAGTCGGTCCTCTTCAGGCGTACTGAGTATACTGGATTTGATAGGACGAAATGCCATTCATATGAGATGTGAATTTTATAGAACATTATCCCAGTATTTCACTGGTTGCACGGTCAAATGGGGGGAAAAGAGATAATTGGATCTCAGAACAGTTCATTATAGACAATTCAAGCGCCTCAAAACGCATTTTTTTACAACCTAGACACATGCACGAGCCGAAACAACCCTCGCCAGCCTTAGTTCTTCTTAGATCTCTTTCTCTTCTTCTTTCGCGGCTCCCCTTCTCGGATATCAACGTTGTCTGCCTCGGCAGCATCGTCTTTTTCAGGAATCTTATCACCACCGAAGGAGAACTCAGGCCCATCTTCGGTACCGAAAGTATCCTTGCGCCATTGCCTCAACCGAGCCTTCTTGCCCAGTTTCCTCTGGTCCTTGCTCTTCTTTTCCTCGTCACGGAATGATGCAAGCTTCTTCAGACCGGCGAACTGATTAAGGTGCGTGTCGTCGGCCATGAGGATATCCCGGGCGGTCAATCCAAAGCTCTGTGGTGACGTTTCTCGGTAGCGGAAAGGACCGGTGTTCTTCTTGCTCGCTCCCGGAAGAAGGGCGACATCAAGGTCCAAATTGCGGTCGACGGCCTCGTCGATGCGAAGTTTATCCTTGCGAGCCTCGCGCTTCTGGTCCCGTTTTTCTTGGGCCTTGCTCTTCTTGTTCTTAGAGCTGCCTTCGTCGGCGTCATCGGCGTCCTCCATTTCGGCATCCGATGCGTCCAATGCGGGTTTTCCTTCGTCGTCGAAATCCGGGACAAGATCGGTGATATCGATGTCATCATCCCAGGTGGGCTTCTTAGGATGCTTTTTCTTGCCCTCGCCATCACCGCCGAGATCGTCGCCCTCCGCGTAGTATTCCTCGCCGAAGTTCTTCTGCATTTCTTTTTCCCAGTCCTTGTCATCCCAAGCACCATCCAAGAACTTAGCCCAGTCCTCATCGGTAAACTGAGATGCGCGAAGTCCTGCAACCTCCTTGACCTTGTTGACTTTCTCTTGGAGCTCTTCCGTCTTGAGTTTGCGTAGCCGGTTCTTTTCGGTCTCCCGCTGTTTCTTTTCCTCCTCCTTTCTCTGCCGTTCAGCATCTCTAATTTTCTTTCTGCCGCTCTTGTCCTCTCGACGGACCGATTGTTGGTTTGTCGTGTCACGGGAGTGAGTAATCAGCTGGGTATTGATCTTGCTGGGGTCCTCGAAGCGGAAATTGTATGCTTCCTCGAAAGCCTCCGCCCGCGCATCTTCCTCCTCGTCATCGGACTCAAAAGGCTGCATGTTGACTCTGTCTGCTGGGATCCAAGCCCTCGCCGAAAGAAAGTTTGAAAGGAAATTTTCCGGATCTTTGTCCGCGTTTTCAATGTCTAGCTTGGCGTCCTTCTTGGATGCCGAGGCTGGCTCTGGTGCGGACTTCCGCACAAGGAAGTCTTCATTCTCCTCATCGTCATTGTCAGAAGGGCGGTCTTCACCATCGGCCGCAGCGTGCATTTGCTGGACAATCGACTTCTTCAGGTCTTCTTGTTCCTGGGCATATGTTCTAGGGGCATCGGAGGTGTCATCCTCTGGAAGAGGGTTGCCACTAAGAAGGTTCTCGCGGTGATAATCTCGAAGGGTCATCGATTTCGGTTTCTTCTCCTTCTCCGCATCCTCTGGTTTGGTAGCGGCATCTTCTTCGGCGTAGAATTGAACGTCCTTGTCGTAAACACGCGGGTCCTTTGATCGAATCGCTTTCAAGGTTGCCATGATCTCTTCATCAAGTGCAGTGGTTGCCAGTTCTCCATCCTCGTCTTCCTCTTCGGATGAGGACTCTTCCTCTGAGCCCGATCCATCTCCGCGGCGTTTCGAATCTTTGCCTACTTTTGCTTCCACTGCAGGGAACCAAGTGCGAGTCAGCATACCATCAACCATACAACACTGTCATCAAAGCCATGAGAACTTACGTTTCTGGATTTCTTCGCGCTTCTTGTTGTGCTCAAAGCGACGGGCGTAATCTTCGTTGATTTTGAAATTGAAGCCGTTGGACTGGTTGTTGATTGGGACTCCGCCAGACTCGTCTCCAGTGTCACTGGAGCTGTCATCATCGAGGAGCTTGCGCGACTTCTTAGCTGGAGGTTCCATAGCTGCTGTGAGAAAAGCAAAACCTAATTAATGGTAGTTGCCTTTGTGTATGAAACCGACTGGTACATGCGCTTTCTTCAAAAAAAAAAAAAAAAAAAAAAAAAAAAAAGCTGGTGGTCGCCGGCAGAAAAAATTGCCCGCCCTCACCGCCCGACCAGGCCAGAGCGTGTTGCCTGAGAAACTAGGCTGCAAGACAAGTCACTGACGTATCCAATTAGATCATGCGCGGGCCTGGTCGGTCTCCGTATGGCTGGAGGCCCGGCGTTGACAGCTTCCTGCACCAACCCTCTCCTTTCTTGACGTATCTTACTGTCTGCTGTCGATTCTCCTGGATCTTTCTTCTGTTCCTCGATCCGACTCTTATTGCTGGTTTTCTTTCTGTCGCTTCCTCTTGTTCGCGTCAGTGTATGGCCGGAGACATACACTAGATGTCGACTCAGCCGCAGAAACCATTACCCCAGGTTGGGAAACTTGTCAGTGTGGTGTAAGTCGCTTGAATAAATACCCCCGACACAGGATTTAGGAGGAGTACCTGACCCTAATATGCCTGTAAAGTCCAGTTGGTTTAAAGGAGGCAGCCCTCGATTCGCCGACGTTTCGTGCCACCACACTCCACTTTTCCGATCAGATCGAATTCCTCGAAAGATGGCTCGATGGATACGCGAAGGCCGGATCCAAGCTCTCGATGGAGCTTGCGGCCATGGAGGGGATCGTGAATACGTTTCTATCGTACTCGATGAACCCCCTTGTGGTCTCCGAAGCCGTCCTCGACCATGATTACACCCTGTTGTCAATGAGAAGGAGCGGTGACAGCTCGAGGGATCTATGGAACGGATTGGTATCTACCACCAAACGGATCGAAATGCTCGTTTCGGAACCTATCAGAGTTTTCATACAGGAAGATCTGCGGAATTTTAAGGTAAACTGACAAGTGTCATGCTTACCATTTACGGCCGTCAAAGTCTTACCCCACTATAGGAGACCCGCCGCGTACTCGACCAAGCGCAAAAACAGTACGACTATTTACAATCCCGATATGCCTCGCAGTCGAAGTCGAAAGAGCCCTCGTCCCTAAGAGAAGATGCATTCCAACTCCATGAGGCCCGCAAGGCGTATCTCAAAGCGTCTATGGACTTTTCGGTCCAAGCTCCTCAAGTGCGAAACAGTCTCGACAGGTTGTTGGTACGAGTTTCGTTCGATCAATGGCGGGAATTCAAGACTTTCCACAGCAACAATGGCTCGACTTTTACAAAATGGGGCCAGGAGATGGATCGTATTAAGGGATGGATTCATGAGATGGAGGGAAGCGAGAAGTCCTCCAGGCGGGAGCTTCTGTCTGCCAGGAAGCAGATCGAGGAAGCTGCAGAGGTTGTCGCGAGGCCTTCCCGTGAGCTTGAGGACTACTCTATATCGACCGTGCCCTACCTTGGATCCCGCCCTTTGTCGACACTCGAGATGACGAAAGAGGCCAGGCCGGAAAAGCAAGGATGGGTTAATTTGCGCACCCTCTCGGGGAAGCCCACACGCACGATTTGGGTCAGACGATGGGTTTTCTTGAAGAATGGAATCTTCGGCTGCCTTGTGCAAGGAGCTCGCACCGGAGGAGTTGAGGAAAGCGAGAGGATAGGTGTTCTGCTCTGCAGCATTCGCCCGGCTTTCCAAGAAGAACGCCGCTTTTGCTTTGAAGTGAAGACCAAGAGCAACACCATCGTGCTGCAAGCAGAGACGCAGAAAGAACTCATGGAATGGATTGCGGCTTTCGAAGCTGCGAAGCGAAAAGCTCTAGAGCGCCCAGCGAGCCCTGATCTTTCACTTGCCGGGAAAGACGCGATTCAAGACCCTGCTTTTGCGATATCTGCTCCTCCGGCCCCCGAATTTGCCGCTGATCCGGCTGACTCGCTCACTCCACACTCAAGCGAGGAGCAAGGGTCGTCCGAGCGTGGTGGAATGCTTCCTCTTCCCGACAGAGACCCAAACGCTCTGCGGAACAGCAGTGACTTTGGTGCCTACAGACGCCTAACCTCCCTAGAACCCGAGAGCTCGACGAGAGAACACACCTCACGTATCATCCAGAAATTGGACCTCCATCGCAAGTCTAACACGGTGCAACCCTCCAACTCTATACCCGGAGCCGGGGGTGGCATAGCCAGTTTGATCTCCTCCAGTCACAACGCTCTTGGCTCGGGTACTGCTACGCCGTACGGCTCGCCAGAGAATGATATCAACAGGGGCAACGAGTCTCCTACAACCTTGGCACCACCGACGCTGGCCAATCCTCCTGCTCCTACGAGTATGAGTAAGGCAGCTGTCATTGTCAGCAATGAAAGAGGACTTGGACTGGGTCAGGCCGACAAAACAGGAGGTATGCCTAGTGGCATGATGGCAAACTTGTGGGGAAGTTCCAATTGGGGCTTCGTAAACCGACTGGAACGTGAACGCCTGGGGATCTCTGAAACACATCAGGACACGGATTCTGAGCATCTTCTGACTTCACCGACGAGTGATTCATCAAAACAGAACAACACATCTGAAACCAAAAGCCCCGCTAAACCATCGGGTTCACGCCATCGACAGACTATGAGTCTTGATGGGGATACAACCAAGGTTCAAAGGGCACTCACGGGTGTTGCCCATGAATATCCTAGCTACTATCCGCACCAACTCAAGATTCAGGATTCCCAATTTCGACTTCTGTTCCCCAATGTCAAAAGAGAGGAAGCCCTGGTCATGGTGTTCCGAGCTACGTGGAGTCCAAACGATCAACAAGAATTCCCTGGAAGAGCCTACGTCACTACACGCGATATATACTTCTATAGTCATTATTATGGACTGGTGTTGACAACGAGTGTTTCGTTGGAAAGCATTAAGGAAGTCACTGCAGCTCCTGGAAGAGACTGCGACTTCTTGTTTCTGCACACCATTCCGCCCCCTGGCGAAGACAGTCCCGGCCGGGTCACAGTCAAGACATTCCTTGAACCGTTGAAGCTGCTCCAACGGCGTCTAAATTTCCTGATAAACGATTCCACTGCCGTTGAGCCACTCAACTTGGAGGCCATCTTCAAGGCTCTTACCAAGATGGAGACGGATCCTTTGACTCGGACTCCTAGCGTGGACAGCTGGGAGGATGTGGCTGCCGCAGCCGACAAGGTTGCCGACAGTGAAGACACCACCGATCAAGGTCCCAGAAGAGAATTCCGCGCTCCAATTTATATCGACAAAGATTTGGACATACACTCCAAGAAAGCCGTCAACGGCAAGGATGTGCCAAGGTTCAGGTTGCCCACTCAAGCCGTACAATATGTTCCCCAGGGGAATCTACACCTAGCAGCGGAGAAGGAATTTGATATCAGTCCCAAGGCGATTTTCCATATCCTTTTTGGGGATAAGAGTGCAGTTTGGCAACTACTTTTGCATCAGAGAAAAGCTAAAGGTAGGGCATCTAATTCCATCTGGAACATCCAATCCCAGCTAACCAGGCCATTGTAGACATCAAACAAGGCCCTTGGACCAGAAATGAATCGCGCCACCTACGGCGGGACTTCCATTACCAGATTGAGGCAGTCGACATTCTAGGTAAGTAACTCCAGGTAGTCGAGTCTTTTTACTGGGTTTCTGACACCATCCAGGACGGTCTGAAAGCAAAGATATTTCCGATTACCAGATGATCGATGTTCTAAATGATCACCTCTGTTATGTGATTACGGATAAACGAACACCATGGCACCTTCCCTTCAGGCGCTCGTTCAGGTTGGTCAGCAAAATCGTCGTCACCTTCCTAGCCAAAGGAAAGAGTAAACTTGCCATCTATACGAAGGTGGAGTGGCTATGGTCACTTTACGGTCTACAGAGTGAGTGTCTACTCCGGTGACACGGCTCATTGAGACGACGGAGGCTAACAATCCCTAGGTGTCATTGACAAACAAGCCACTGGCGACTTGGAGCAGGATGCCTTGGATCTACTAGATTTAGTTGGTGACCAGGTGCGCCGACTCGGAGCTCACAGTCGGACCAAGAAGGCCATTACCATATTCGGCCACGTCGGACGTCAAAGCTCTGTGTCGCAGTTCTCCGGCCAGCCGGATTTCAAAATCGAGCCTCGCAAGCCTCGGACTCAAAGAACACTAGTGCAACTACTCTACGAGATCTTCGTCTCTTTCATGGAGAGCGCCATTTCATCCGTGATGTTGTGGACATTTGCGCTCCTGCGATGGGTGTGGAAGACTACGAGTGCACACAAGGTCATACTCCTGTTGCTAGTATCAAGCGTGTTTTTGAATGGACTCTATACGTCGCAGGAGGCCTATGAGTGGTGGCATGATCGAAACGCCGAAAAATTCATGGCCCGCCTGGGCGTCCACCCGGATCAGGTCATGAGCAAAGCTATCTACATGCGAGATATCGATGATGCACTTGCAAACTCGACCGTTGGACAGGCCAGCAACAACGCGAGCGAGTGCTTTGCTACTTTCCATCAGCAGACAATTGGGGGTGACGGGTCCTCGCGCTCCCTCGGTGCATCGGGTCCTCGGGACTCCATGACCAAGAGCGCTGCCAGGCGGCTTCAGCAGACTCGCGAACGACTGGCTTTGTATCGCCATAACCTCCTGGTGGCTCTTCGAGTGGTCAACAGTATCGAGAAGGAGGTCATCGAGAACGAATGGGAGCGCTGGCTCCGACAAGAATTGCGACGGTGTCGTCAGGTGGAAGTTCTTCTCCACAAGTCCGAAGCTGGTGACGAGGTCGATCTGCAGGCAGAGCGCATGAGCCAGACCGTCTTCGCCGGCCTCTCCGACGACGTCAGACAATGGTACGACCAATACTGCACGAGTTGCCAGCGGGAACAGGAACAACTCATCGGCGACCACCGTGTATCCGAGGTTTCATAGGCAGGCAGACAGCGGAGGATGCATGGTCGGTTTGATTTATCTCTTGCTTGGGATTTTGTTGAACGATACCCCGGTTGAAATTGGTGTCTTTTTGAGGGGAAACGCTTGTGCATACCTCCCAGCGTACATAATTTTGGATGCAAAGCAATACCAGTAGTCCAACCCAATCCAAGGATTAGTCCATACGAAGTAAGATCGCTCGGCGATGCCAGTATCGTCAGCATCACCGAGGTAGCGCAATGAAATACTCCGTCGATAACAACCGACTAGTTCTGCCGGGGCTTGACGGCGCCCTCATGGACGACATAGTAAACCACCGTGCCGTCGCCGCCCATGCTCCTATCCACCATGGCCAGAAGTAGCCGCTTGGTCCCCCACTCCCCGGTCTGGCGAGCCTTCTGTCTATATTCATAATACGCGGCCAGTTTTGCGGCCTTCTCCCCGTCCTCGGAACCGGCACGCTCCTCGCCATCGTCCACCGACGACCCCAGCGCCTCCTCTTCGGCCGTGTCGGGGAGGGAGTCAAACACCGCGGCGAGCTTGCGCAGAGTCCACGATTGGCCGTGCACGGTGGGGAGCACAAACATGCGCTCCAGCTCGACGTCGTCTTCGCGCAGGCCCTTCTGCAGCATGTATAGCTGCTCGTCGGGGTGGATGTAGACGTGGTGCGGAGGAATTCCGGAGATCAGGAACAAGGTCGAGGAGGCCTCATCAGCCGTGGAAGGCGTCGAGGAGGGGATGGGGATGTCGTGCGCTTTCAGCGACGTCCATAGATGCTGGTGTTGGAGATTGTGGAGAATTTGGATGGTGCTGGCGGAGAGCGGATTGGGAGAGGCTGAGGCGGCGATGAGAGAACTGAGCGCGGAAGGATTGGGCATGGCGGGCGAAGACGAAGATGAGGTCGCGGTCATGATTTTGGCTTTTTGGTTATCTCTGCTACCTCTATTCTAGTCGATTCTGTCGGTCCAACGGTCTGAATAAGAGGATCGGTGGGAGAAATGCCGAGTGGAGGGACAAAGAAGGGCAAAAAAAAAAAAAAAAGAAAAAAAAAAAGGCGGGGAGGAAAAGGGAATTCCGCGGTCTGCGGAAGAAGAAGAACACATGGCATCATCCGCGTCTTGCTCTCCTTAAAACCCTCGCCGCCCCCCTCGTCTCGTCCGCTTTGCGCTTCCCTCGTTTGAGTCGACTTGCACATCCAGCCAGACATACTTGTTATACCGTCGTTCTTTATCTATTCCCTTCGTTCCCAATGGCGCGCCAGAAACAAGCCACTCCTTTACAACGCGCGACTTCCTCGGAGATCATTAACGGGCTTCCTGGAGATGTCGATGCGCCAGCCAGCCAGAATGGCGGCGCGAAACAGTCTTCTGGTCCCAATGGGACTGTGACGCCGAAGGATGTCGCAGCGGAGATTCCTCCGGGTTTGGCGCAACTCGCGATCTGCGTCCTCGGAATCTATGCTTCATTGTAGGTGTCTCGGTTGAGCTGCAATATGCCTTTTTCTAGTATTTACTACGAACAAGCAGACTGACTGATTGACTCGAACAGCCTCTCTTGGGGAGTTCTGCAAGAAGCGATTACTACGGTCTCGTATGCCGCGCGCCCTGTCACCGCTGATGAACCGGAGCCTCCCATGGAGCGCTTCACCTTCTCGATCGTTTTGAACACCATCCAGTCCACCTTCGCGGCCATCACGGGCTTCCTCTACCTGTACTTCTCGACGCCGAAAGGCCAGAAAGTGCCTTCGATCTTCCCGACCCGCAAAATTCTCTTCCCTCTGCTGCTCGTCAGCATCTCTTCATCGCTCGCGTCGCCTTTCGGATACGCCAGTCTGGCGCATATCGACTACCTGACCTTCATTCTGGCCAAGTCCTGCAAACTGCTGCCCGTGATGTTCCTGCACTTGACCATCTTCCGCAAACGCTACCCGCTCTACAAATACGGCGTCGTCCTGCTGGTCACTCTCGGAGTCGCAACCTTCACTCTGCACCACCCAGGAACCAGCAAAAAGGTCGCCGCGTCCGCCGAAAAGGGCTCCGGCTCGTCTGCGTGGGGAATCTTTCTGCTGTCGATCAACCTGCTGTTGGACGGCCTCACCAACACCACGCAAGACCACGTCTTCAGCTCCCCGCAGCACTACACCCGCTTCACCGGCCCCCAGATGATGGTCGCGCAGAACGTCCTCTCCACCATCCTCACCACCCTCTATCTCGTCATCATGCCGCACCTCTCCTCCACCGGCATTCTGCACAATCTCCTCCCCATGCCCATCCCGCCCTCCACGGAGGCGGAGCTCACCAACGCCATTGCTTTCCTGTCCCGTCACCCGGAGGCCCTCAAGAACGTGATCGGTTTCGCGGCCTGCGGCGCCATCGGTCAGCTGTTTATCTTCTATACGCTGTCGCGCTTCTCCTCGCTGCTTCTGGTGACGGTCACCGTCACGCGGAAGATGCTCACCATGCTCCTGAGTGTGTTCTGGTTCGGCCACGCGCTGTCCGCCGGCCAGTGGCTGGGCGTGGGTCTTGTATTCGGGGGCGTGGGTGCCGAAGCCGTAGTGCAGAGACGGGAGAAGAAGGCAAAGGAGTTGGCGAAGGCAGGAAAGAAGGAATAAATATATATCTTTGATGTTCTATTTTCATCATATGTACATAGTAAGATAGATTATTTGATTTGGTTCATTTGTATTATTTATCGTTTTTTTTTTCTCCTGAACTTCTTTGTTTTGTTTCAAGAAACATCCATGATTTGTCCATACAGGAAGCAAGCACCAAGCCAAACCAAGTCAAAGAGAAGACGAATCTATTTCCTCCCCTCGACCATGATAATATGATACCCGAATCCCGTCTTCACGTCCGCATACTTGGGATTCCCCGTCGTGCTGGGCTCCAGTTCATACGCCGCCTTTTCGAAGCTCGCGTCGAGACTACCGCGCACCTTCCAGCCGAGGGAGCCGCCTGCAGTGATTGGGTCAGTTGATACTATGTCAAGAGAGAAAGGGGAAGGAATATATGCTGGGTTGGAGGGGATGAATACCTTGTCGGGCTTTATCCTCAGAATACTCGCGCGCCACGTCGTCGAATTTCGCGCCGCCGCGCAGCTTCTCCAGGGCTTCTTCCTTTTTGGAGAATTTTTCACACTGGGAACCAAGGGTTAGCATTGTCTTTTGGATTGGAACGTATAGATGGTGTGGTAAGGCTCGTAGAGGTGGTATATATATTGGTAAACAGATGCACACTGCCGGAGATATATATCTGCCCGAGCAAAATACCCAGTAGGCATTTCCCTCGAGCATATACGTCCCTACGTATATACACACAAACCAACACAAAACACAAAAAGCAAATGAAGGCAATTACATACCAAGATATGTCGCACGTTAATCGAAGTCGCAGGCTTCAAGCCTTTCTTGCTATCCCCTCCCTCGGCGGCATCCTTGCCCTTGCCTTTCTTGTCGCCGCCTTTATTGTTCTTGGGGGCCATGATGCTCTGAAGATCCACAATAGATCTACGGAGTAAGGAAGAAGGGAATGAGCGAGAGGAACCAATAATCCAACTGTTTAGGGTCGAGACGAGATGCCCGGAGAAGAATTACCCCTCCGCGAACGGCGCCGGGTAACGTGATATGAAGTCATGTGGGGCTGAGTGGCAGGCCTGAGGCAGCACCGGTTGCTTTCCTTGTCGATGGATGGATGCATTCACTCATCACTAATCTGTCGAGGACTGGGACTGTGACGGTGGCTGGGACCCCGACTCCGACTGCAACTGCAACTACAACTACGTAAGTTAGGGGCTCATCGCATTCCAATTGTCGTTTCAACTTCATGCGTCTGCATCGATCGACCTGCATCTGTCAGAATACATGAAGCACATGCCAATGCCAATGCCATGCAACAAAATGGATGATCTCGTCGGGGCCAGGATCACCTCCTTGCCGGACGATGCGTTCTACATAGCGGACTTCATAACGGCAGAGGAAGAGGAGATTCTGCTGCAGAAGGTGGGTGGTTTCCCCCCTCTTTTTCTTCTCCCATTTCCCTTCAATCCTAGAAATGGCCCGTTCGAGATAACCAAAATGGATGGATGATGGTAGATAACTACGGCCCCTCTCCCGCGATGGACTCACCTCGCCCATCGTCGTCTACAGACCTGGCCTTCAGCGCTCACCAAGTCCAACACGCTGCTCTCGGCGCCCCTTCCATCGTGGCTCGTTTCACCCATCATCACCCCTCGCTTCGACTCGCTGGGGATCTTTGCTGACGCTCCCCACCGCGCCCCCAACCATGTCCTGGTGAACGAGTATCTCCCGGGCCAGGGCATCATGCCGCATGAGGATGGAGCCGCTTATTACCCGCTCGTGGCGACGGTGAGTCTGGGGGCTCCCATTGTCCTGGATCTATACCCGAAGGGCCAACAGCGCGGCGGAGAGGGCGAGGATGGTCAACGACCGCAGTATCGCATCCTGCAGGAGAGACGGAGTTTGTTGATTACAAGGAAGAAGATCTACACGGAATTTCTGCACGGGATTGCGGAGACGAGTAAGGATGAATGCCTGGATGCGCACTCGGTCTGTAACTGGGATCTGCTGCGGGAGCCAGACCGGTACCGATGCGGGTGGGCGGAAAGAGAGACCCGGATCAGTCTGACGTTTCGAGATGTGCTCAAGGTCGCAAATGTAGGGAATACGATGAAATTCCTCGGGGGACGGTGACGCATGCACGGCTCTTCTCTTTCTCTCTAGGGTGAAAAATTAATAATACCTGGCAGCGATTGTTGGACAACGCAGCTGCACAGCCTGGGGGGGAGCTATTTTTAAACCTCCCCGAGCCAAATACATTTGTTAGTACACCCCCGGAATCATGTTCCATTTATTCCGCACAGACTCCTCGCCAAACTTCTGCGCATACCACTTTCTGCTGGTTCCGGCAGTTACACCTAGGTTGATGGCGACAAACGCCAGCGCCGACAGAAGGGTTTTGTTGACCCATTCTCCCGGCGGGGCGGCTAGCAGCGTCAACGACAGATAGATGGCGCATTCCGCAGTGTAATGCGGGCACACAAGTCGGTTGAACAATGGATGAGCGGGGACGGTATACTTCTGGAGGGAGAAGAGATAGTAGTGGCAGTCATGCTGGAGACCCGATGCGAACATGAAGATGGGAAGGCACAGAAACGTGCGGATAGAAGGTACGTTGGTGATTTTGACATGGTCGAGGGTGTACTCGTGAGCCAACAGAGTGCCTATATTTGGAGGGAAACCAGATTAGTTAATCGACGGCACCCCCTCTCTTGATTCCTAGTCCTTCCATACTTACCAGTACCCTCAATCCAGATTGCAACTGACACTGCCACGTAAAAAGCAACACCAACAAGCCAATGGCCGAACCACATTTGGGATGACGATGGCTTCGAGAGTGCCAGACACTCCACTAAGCGCCTTGTACCCTGGACGAGCATCAGCGCCCAGCACAGCAGGACTTGGTTCAATGACATCGCATTCTGCAGGTGTTCCGGACGAATCCTTGCTGCAACGGCCTGGAAGGCAGCGCCGCGAGACAGGACCTGCACGGCCCAAAATAGGGACGATATCACCGAGGCAACGTAGAATTGTGTGAAGTAGCCATGGGGGACCTTCAAGGCGGCGAGGCAGTCGAGGGGACGTGTGATCGGGGAGCTGCTCGAAGGCTTAGAGGACGAGGGCGAGGGATTCGAATTCGACTCGGCCGTCGAGGTTGCACGGGCACCATAAGGGACGAAGCGCGAGCGGAGCGATTGCGGCAGGCTGACCGACAGGATCTGGAAAGAGGGGAAGAATATTGGTTTTAGTCCATTCTAGAAGGAATCGTAGATCGTCGTCTTTTCGCACCGATGGCTGCGTCTCAATGCTAACTCGTTTTCATACCGTACAGAATGCGAAGATGAAGAAGGCTCGGAGGGCGTCGACGGCGTCCATGCGGGTGGCCGCCAAAGCCGAGTCTATTAGATCAGAGATCGGATTCATCGTGATCGATTGGCGTCATGGACGGGAAATTGTGGGTTGGATCAAGGAATTGGGCCTTGGGGTGACAGGACATGGGTAGGCTGGGAGGGGAAGAAAAGATCATGGCCGAAATGTATGACACCATGATTAAGGACCCTGAGCTGTCATCATCATTACCTATTCCGATCGAGCTGGCCGACCAATCACAGGGGAATCGAAAGGCCATCTTCTTATCGGCCCATCCTGTTTCCGTTCTTCATTATTATTCTGGGTTATTACGACTCCTATTACGCTTATTATGTGGTGTTATGGCGCCGGCCGCGTATTATTACGGGGGGCTGACGGTGTCTGCTGATTTGACACGTTCCAAGGCCTTTCGCCGTGTGGGGAACTAAAAAACAAAATAAAAAATAGTAAAAAATAAAAAGAACAAAGGAAAGAAAGAAAAGAAAATAATATAAAAAGAAAAGAAATCGAAACCACCGTCAACTCCGCCGTCAGCGCAGGTCGAGATGAGCAGTCATAAATCATAAACAACAATAATAACAAACCTCCCCTCTTCCTCGCCCCAGTAAGAATCGGCGTTTGTTTGATCCACCAGGGTCTCGTGAGAAATAAAAAGCAACGGCGCTATGAGTAACTAGTGTAGGGGCAACCGGGTTATGTCAGCAGTAAACAACTCAGCATTACTGTGTACATTCTGGCCTCTGCTCCGTGCAGATGCCCATGCCATTCTTTCTCAGCAACCACGACCAGTATTTATCCATATTCCACAATGATCTCGATATCAGGCATTCTGGAAATATTTCCGGAGTAGGGACGTACGCAGTATGGGGAGGAGGCAGAATGCGAGGGTACGGCGTCTCCCAAACCAAGGTGAACCTCCACCTTTTCCCCCCACCCACCTCCAGTTGCCTCGGGCGGGCTCTTTCCCTCTCTTTCCTCGACCGGCCGATCCGTCGACGAGTTCCAATAAATCCATGCAAGTGACGCCAACCAAACGACCCAAACCGCGAAAGGGGGGAAGGCAAAGGTGGGGCGATAAGCTGAATGCACGTCCGGACTTGATTGGGTGGCGAGCAGAGGATCGCCGCAGTCAAGTGGGGCGGGGCAAGTTTGTCGAAGTCATTTAGTCCGGAAACGGCAACGGGGGGTGTGGCTTGCGGGCGGTCATTGGCCAGACCGCAGAACGAGCTGATGCCTAGCCTACGCAGCTTCCAGGGAAACCCACTGGAGCCCAGGAGGTCCCGAGGGCGAGTTTCAGAGACATCAGGCCCAAAAAAAAGTGCCTTCGAGGAATTCGATCATCCGCCACTTTCCCTCTGACCGCCCCCGCCCGCTTTTGGGCCGTCTCGCAGGTCGGAGTCTGGGACGAGGTTGCCTCCTCCTCTCGCCTTTTTCGTCGTGCCTTCCCCTTCCCCGTTGCGGCTGCAGGATGGGGACGGTACGTATCCATCCGTTTTAGATGCATAGATGGACAGATCGATACCTCTCCCCGGTCGGTGACTCATCGCCCTCCCCCGTCTTTGGCGCCGTAAATCGCACTCCGTAAAATCCCAACTAAATTAATCCTCGCCGGTAATAGTGTTAATCCGGATTGCGACTGAAAAGTCGGGCCGTCCGTATTGGCTGGTATCGTACCATGTCTGACTAACCGACTAGCGGAATCCATGCTCCGCCCGCCGGTGGCCAAAAAACACGGTGGTAACGGGTAAGTTACGACTCTGCGACTCTCAGCGTCGCTCTCGTTTTCGCCTGCGACCGTCAAAAACCCCCCCGTCGAAAACCAAGTGATCGGACTAAACCCAACTGGACCTAACAACACTGGCTTTCCCTCACCAAAAGTTCCCTCCACTAATTTCCCTAACCCCAGTGAGCATCGGCCGTTTCAATCTCTCGCTTTCTCTTTTTACTCTTCTCTCCTCTTCTTTTCCCTCCTTCCTTCACTTCCTTGCTCCTCCCCATTAATTCGCTTTTCCTCGGATCCTCGATCTTTCCTCCCATTTTCTATTGATTATTTATCTTTCTATTCTTCCACATTCCCCGTCATCCCTCAATTCTTCCTGAATTACCGACCCTCAGTTGTTCCGTCACCTGGAGTTCTTCCTCTCCCCGTCGTTGTTTGTCTTTCTTTGTCTCCTGCGATCGAGATCGACTCGTTACCTGCTTCGGCCATCCCTCTTGCCACGAACTTGTACGATTGAATTCATCTTCGGGAGCGCTTCACCACACCTCCCTGGTCCCCTTCTGCAACCGAGAAACGGAAAAGCCGTTCATTACGAATCTATCGAGCGTGGTCGAGCACCGGCTTTCGCGCACAACTGCTGGTGTCTTGGACCACGAGTCTTTTTGTTCGCCACGGCCCCCGAAAATGACGAGCGGAATCCCCAGAAATCGAGTGCTACCGCTATGAGTGATGTTGAGACTGTCTCCTCCTTGCCAGCTACCCTGGATGCCGGACAAAACGCTCTTGCGGTCAAGGTGAATCACCAGTCTCCTCCCCCGGGGCCTTCGTCCCCCAGGAGGCCATCTCCACCTCGGGTTGTCGTCGGGAATGGGAAGGTCGGTCCCGTAGGGGAGGTTGATCCTGTTGTCGGGGAGGGCGATGGGCCGCCGAGCCCAAAGGCTGATTCGGAGGCAGAAACTATCATACAATCCGGTCGAGAATCTTTGTCGCCAGAGAAAAGACGGAAGTATATCAAACATGAACCGAAACGACGTGATGAGAATGACCAAGTGGGCGCCGGGGAAAGTGATCTTCCCTCTAATGATTTGCAGGCGAGAAAGTCCGTGAATGGTGATCCCCTCGGTGAACGCGCCCGTGACTCGCGCCCGTTGAGCCCCTCTAGAAGAGCCAAATCCCCTCTGTCGACTGTGAAACTGGAGAAGCTAGAGGATCCGCAATCCGGTCCGAGAAGATCTGAGCCTCCCCCTCCTGCTTTCACGGCACCCAAAATTTCGAGGAAGCGAAGCTTCAGTGAGACAGTCGACATCGAAGCTGCTCCAGCCCGTCAAGGCCAATCAGCCCCCATCCGCGATAGGGAACGGAAGGATTTGAACGGCGTGACCTTTGCTCGTCCTGCGTCTACCGATCGCTCGATATCTCCCGTCCGGTCCTCTCACAAGCGAACGGCTTCGGGCCAGCACCTGGGCGGACCCGATCCGCAGAGGAAGAAGAAGGCCCCCACGCCACTTATCACCGGCTTCCAGAGGCAAAGCTCGGAAGACAGGCAGTCAACATCATCCTCCGCCAGTGGCTCCCCGTTGCCCAGTGCTCAGCTTCGAAAGCTCGGCTCCGTGGATGGGGCTTCGGCGTCCCCTGCGAGGCCAACGGGGTACAAGAAACAGCGCGATCAGAATGGCCGAACCCGCCTGGCCCGCGCCTGTGCTGCTCAAGAATTAGATATCGCGATGGCCAGACACGCAGAACGTCCGGAGGACCTGAATGTTGCTGACAATGCCGGAAACACGCCTCTGCAGATTGCGGCTCTTGAAGGCAGCGCACCCATTGTGAAATTTCTCCTGGATGCTGGCTGCGAGATCGACACCAAGAACATCGACAAGGACACCCCACTGATTGATGCGGTTGAAAATGGACACCTAGATGTCGTCAAGCTTCTACTGGAGGCAGGGGCGAACCCTCGCACCGTGAATGCCGAGGGCGATGAGCCCTACGAACTCGTCCTATCGGACTCGGATGATTACGAGCAGATTCGGCGAGTGCTAGCGGATGCAAAGGCATCCATCAGGCCCGGAAGGCGTTCAGAGGAGCGCACTGGATCGGAAGTCAAGGAAACATCATCTCGACGCATTTCTGCCGAAAGCGCACGCGATTCGCCTCCTGTACACAGGCCGCGCAGCCCTCCACTCAGCACCACGACAAAGCGGAAGACGGTCAGGAGCGAAGCCACCCGGAACGATTTGCTGTGGACCACCGCTACCCCGGAGAATCTGCAGGCCTTCGCCGCCAAGGGCGATTTTGTGGGGGTTGCCAACATCCTGAACGTGGGACAGAAGGCAGATACTGAATCCATGATCGCCGCCGCCAAAGGTGGTCACGACGAAGTAGTTTCTCTCCTTCTCGGTATCGGTGATGCGGATCCGGACCCTCCCCCAGTCCAGGATGGCTCTCATAAACCCGGTTATAATACGCCTATGCTCGCAGCTATCGGCCGTGGTAACCTCGAGGTTATTCGAATTCTGCTCAATCAACGGCAATTCAACCCTACCCGACGGCTCTATAGGGACCGTACTTATTTTGAGCTCTCCCGAGACCGCAGGGCCGACAACTGGGAGGAAGAATTTGACCTCCTTCGAGATGCGTACGACACATACAGCAGGACGAAGAAGCAACGAAAACCCGATGGCCCATCGCCACGTCGAGCACGAGATCGCGACGCCGAGAATAGACGGACTGGGCGCCGGGACTCCTTGTCTCCTGTCGCTCGACCTCGGAAACCCGTCGTGAGCCCTAGCCATCGGGATTCCGCACCCAAGGACGCCCTCTTGTCAAAGGAGAAACGCCGGGACAACATGGTCCATGCCAAGGAGAAGCCTGCCCGCCCCAAACTTTCCCATCGGACCAGCGACGGGCTACCTAATGGACCTGATCTCGATGGGCCACGCCCTGATCCAACCCGATCAAAACCACCGATTTCAGTCAAAGATAGCGAACAGGGCATTGCAGGTCGCGGGGATGAGGCTCCTAAAAGAAGACGCTTAATTGCCGGACGACCACCCCAAGATCGCGATCGCCGAAGACCCAGTCTGCCATCGTCTGACTCTGTGTCGGGGCGTGACGAGAGCACCAAACGTGTCGACCACCCCGATGGCAGCAGCAAGTCTGGATTGAAACGTGTACATGGTAGTGCAAGCCCCGAAAGGCCGCGGTCTCGTGATACGGAACATGACAAGCATTCTCGAGAGGCGCACAAGAAGAAACGACGGGTTTTGTCCGAAGATGGGACGCCTAATATTGCAAATGGAGGTTTGAAGAAGAGTCAGCCAGTAGTGACAGGTGACTTGAAGTCATCTCGCCAGAAGGACGATGATGATGATCACGCAGACCCTGGACCGAATGTCTTAGGGGAATCCAACGCGCCAGCCACGAAGCCAGTCGAACGGAAGCCTGTCAAAGAAGAGCACGAAAAGCATGAAACCCACGACCTGGAAGATATCCCAATGGAGGATCCTGTGACCACATCCGAGAAGGCCGAAGCACAGGCGGAAGCGGAAGCCCGGCGGCAAAGAGAGGCCCGCAAAGCGAAACAGGAACGGTTGGCGGAGGAGGCACGTCTTGCCGAAGCCGAAAAGGCTCGACTGGAGAAAGAAGAGAAAGAGCGGGCAGCCCGTGCAGCCCGTCTGGCTCAAGAGAAGGCAGCGGAAGAGGAACGTAAGCGGAAAGAGGCCGAAGAACGGCGAATCAAGCAGGCCGAGGAAGAACGCCAGAAACGCCTTGAGCAAGAACGGGTCCGGCTCGCCAAACTGCGCAGGGAGCAGGAAGAGCAAGAACAGCGACGGCGAGACGCTCTGCCTAGCAGACTTCGTGCTGCGGCCAATCTGGTTGGGGCCAACGATCCCCAGGCGAGAAGCCACATGTGGCTAAGGAAATTTATGCCTGTGGTGACCGCGGAGACAAAACAACTCGATCCTTCCTGTTCGCCTGACATCGCGGACGAGAAATGGATCCCCAACTATCTTGTGGCACCGATATTAGCGACCAATGATCTGCAACTTTCACAATATGCCGGCTGGGAGAAACGCAACGCGACGCCTACTCAGCGGGGGAACCTATGGCGGGTCACTCGGCGAATGCTTGTGCAGGCCGATGAGATGGAGTTCTTGAGTTCGTCATTTGGACAGATCATGCGGAGAGATAGCGAAGCACGCCCCAAATACTTCGACATGGAGCATGTATTCTGGGTTCGGGTAAGTTCATGATCAATCTATCTGCCAGGTGCGAGTTGAATGCTGACGTATCTTTAAAGCTCTCCGACTTCATGGATCTCGTTCCACATATTCCCCATCTGCATGGACTGGACATTCAGTTTTTGAAGATGCACATTGATCGCGAACCATCGGCGACGCCGCCATTCGATCTACCGCAGCCCAATGGGCATGTATCGGGACCTCCGCCCGTTGAAGAAGGGTTTCCCAACGGGATCACAGGCCTTACGAACGGCTATGGTCATGCAAGACCAAGTACATACGTCTAATGTTTGATACTGCATCGTTTACTTTGGCGATTACGGAGTAAAACCTGTACAGGTGGAATTTCCTTGATGTATGACTATGATACCTCAGTTGATGTGATGTGTGATGTTTCTCGAGTTGTTCGAGTGATTGGATAGAGCAAGGCTTTGATAGTCTTTCAAGTCCAGTTTCTTTTCCTAGTAGATCTATTGTTGTAGACATACAGAGTAAGCCCGGTGACTGAGCACCCTCGTAGTCAAGAATAACCCGAAGACCAGGGCGAGTCTAAAACAGGAAGAATGCGGAAGTGAACTTCTGCTGGTCGAGACAACATCACGTGACTGAATCACACGTGAGGGTGTATCTTACATAAGCCGTAGGGCACACCACCGACGATTTAGGCGAGAAAACCCGCGGACGCTTCCACAATCTTGAATTCAGCACTCCATCAACTCAACTCTTTGAGGAAAATCCGACAGGATATACCAATAGAATAATCAAAATGGTACGTTCACAGTTGCCTGCCCGTTGAACCCAAATCCAATTCCTGTCGAAGACGACTCGATTGCGAGGGGCAGAAACCAAAAAAAAAAGAAGCCATCCAAAAAAAAAAAAAAGTGCACCGCTAACGCAGAAATCGCAACAGTCGGACGGAGAAGAGACCGTTTCCAACCCCCCCGTTGCCGCCGATGAGGTCGAGGTTTCGGCCGACGCTGGCGCCGGTGGCCAGATGTCCGTCCTGGACGCTCTGAAGGGCGTTCTGCGCATCTCCCTCATCCACGACGGTCTTGCCCGCGGTCTCCGCGAGGCCGCCAAGACCCTGGACCGTCGCCAGGCTCACATGTGTGTCCTCAACGAGGGCTGCGAGGAGGAGGCCTACAAGAAGCTTGTTGTCGCCCTCTGCTCCGAGCACAAGATCCCCCTGATCAAGGTCCCCGACGGAAAGATGCTCGGCGAGTGGGTTGGTCTTTGTATGTTTCCCCATTCCCCCCTCTTCTCTCTTCTCTCAGTGGGAAGAAGAATAGATGTGAATTGGTAAGGCTAACCGAGATCGATGAACAGGCCAGCTCGACCGTGAGGGCAACGCTCGCAAGGTCGTCAACTGCTCTTGCGTCGTCGTCAAGGACTGGGGTGAGGAGTCCCAGGAGCGCTCCGTCCTCCTCAACTACTTCCAGACCGAGCAGTAGATTGTTCCTCTCTGGGGAATGGTTTACGCCGGTGATCGGTTGTAGCTGATGCGACAGGATTGAAGGAGGTGAAGTTTTTACATCGATTATGGGTATCTATGGGTAGTGGGTTGTGTGAGGACCATTGTTATGTGTCGGATCGGATCGATTATTCACGGTATCTTGAAGGATACCGGTATCCATGATCTTGGATTTCTTGTTCCTATTTTCCTGTCTGGTCGGATCCATCGCATCGCCAATTTCTTATGTCTCTTGTCTAGTTTGCTCTAGACGAGGGCTTAGGATTTAAATTAAAAAAATTCATGAAGTCGAGGAAACAATTTGCTGCACTTTCTATAGGATTGTAAATGATATCGTAAGTTTTCATTTCACTGATGGGTAAGATACAATTCCATTTCGTTCTGTATGAACCGACTGGGGATAGATGCCAACTGTATCAGGAATCCAAATATGTAACGGACACTGCCTGCCAAATGAGTTTGGTTGAATTTGAACACGAAGAAGAAGAAAAAAGAAAATCACCGGCTATGCGATTTGCAGTCAACTCAAATAATCCGGGTAGCCAAGATCCCAATCAATTACCCAAACGCCGAGACCAAGGATGCTGAAGAGTTAGCGGAAGCTGTACGAGGGCCGGACCATTTTTTTGGTTTCCGGCCGCAGGGACAATTGCTGGTACGGGGAGCTGCCCGGGTCGTAGTAGAGACCTTCGATGTGGCCGCTCTCTCGATGGAGGGAGATGTAGTAAAACCCGGAGATGGTGAGGCCTTGCCGGGAGTCGGTGGGAGTGATGAAGCAGCGTTCTATATTCGTGATTAGAAAGAGGATTTACGAACGGGTGACAGGAGAGAAATGACGACGTACCTTTCCATCGCATCAGGATCCACCCCTTTGATAGTTCCTCCGTAATCCATTTCCGACTGACTAGGTTCCTCGTCATCTCATCGTCTGTGAGGGTCTTGAATGGCTGCAGTTCCCGCCAGTAGGTACTGTCGATCTCGGCATCGGCTTTGAAGTTCTTCGTTTCCAACGTGTGCGTGTTGAAGTCGATGATTTCGCCCTCGAGGAAAGTAACGATGTGAGCGTCGTGGGACGGGGAGGTCTTGTCGGGGATGTTGTACGCTTCCATCGTCCCCGATAAAGTCATCTCTTGCGTGTTGATGTTGTGGATGGTGACCTTCACCGGCCAATTTTCGTCCTTGCCTGTCCCCAGATTGTAGATATTGTTGGCCAGGTACCGGCGACCGTTCGTAGTGTATACGCTGATCCGATTGCTGTTCTGGCTGTTATTTTCGCCGCCTCCGTCGACGATCATGGGATCCTGGGATGATGACGAAGGGGTCGGCACCCGTTGACCGAAGATCGAACTGGCACTGCTGGCAGCCCGTTGAGATCCTGAGAAGACCATACCGGGCCGCAGCCAGGAACAGATTGGGGGCGGCGCTATCGAAGTTGTATCCAGGATAAAATCATCGTGATCCCAGGAGAGGAAGTCGAGTTGGGCAAATCCGCCCGCAGCGGCGGAGTTGAGACTTTCTTCGAAGGAGTTCGAGTAGCGCAGACGGTCCAGGTATTTGATCGTCTCTTTTAGCCGGGGACTCGGGGGGTTATCCATGTTGAGTTGTCGATGGGCACTGATGCGAGCGCGCAGGTCGCTGTGAGTCAGGAGTCGATGCGGTTCGCCACGGCTGCCGGGGAGGAAGCGATATGCGCGGGATGTGGATGACCGGTCTCTGCTTTCCTCCGCGTCCTGGGTGCCTGCTCGTTCGCGGTCGAGGAGATAGTTGTGTAGGGTGCGAGTGCGTGAAAAGCGTGGTTGTCGCCGTACGGACTGCAACAGGGCCTCCGTCGTCGGGTCGTTCCAGCGGTGGGCGCTGTTGTCGGCAGGATCGTCGGGCAGAGCGTGCGGACTTCGACCGACGTATTCACGGCGCGCATGGCGTCTGGAAGCGGCGCTGCGGTCGGAGAGGCGGCCAAACCAGGAGGAGATGGAGTTGGGGTCTTGGAGCGGTTCGAGGGTCAAATCATCGTCGTTGGGGTCGTCGTTAGCGTCGTCGTCGTCATCGGAGGCCGGCGCCCAACCGTACAGGGAGCGCGGGTTGGAGACCCGACTTTCGTAGTTGGGCATGTTATTGCTGTGGTGATTTGGATTCTGGCTGGGGGTGGCGGAGGTGGGAGAGTCGCGCTGACGGCGCACGATGGGGATGCGGCGGCTGATTTCGAGGGAGGATCGCGTGCGGGCGGGGTTGTCGAGATCCATGGGCACGACGTCCAACTCGGCCTGGATCTGTTGGCGGCGTCGATTCTGGCGACTGAGCGACGAGACGGACGAGGAGGAATCAGGCGGAGAGCGCACACGAGACCGCAGGAAGCTCACGTTATCGTCATGGGCGTCATCGGCGGCGGGCAGCGAGGGGAGTGGGCCGGAGAGATCGTTCAGCTGCAGCGAGGGAGGGGGCGAATGATTCTGCAATCCCCCAGCCGGTTAGCATTGGAACGGAGGCCAAAGTCGACCCGCGGTGGAACCAGGGGCTGCAAACTGACCGAGGGAGTGTTGACCGGAGGCATCGTCCTCGGTGGCGGAGGACGCCGATGGGATTCAATCGGCAGGCGTGAAGTGGACGGGGAGGCAACTTGGGGATGGAAGGATTCGATTCGGATCGGGGAAGATGAAACACGGCGAGGGCAGAAGGAATGTGGCCAGCAGAAAGCAAAACGACAAGACGGAGAAAAGGGAGAAATAATGGCGATGGGTTGGTTGGCGGAGGGAAAGCCAAAGTGGGCGAGATTACATGATCTCTTCTTTCGTCTCTGTATTTTATCGTCTCCTTCTCTTCCTTCATCCCTTTCTCCATTGCGGAGTCTCCCTGATGGATCCCCCCACATTCCGATCTCCATCCAACGGCCTGGACTTCGTGTAGTTCTTTCCATTGGGAATTCTCCATCTGATATATTGGAGGCCTGCCGAATCACAGAATATCATGTTCAACACGCTCGATTTTCCACAACCGCATACACCGTCGACATCTCGTTGTCGCCGCAGCCAGCCAATTCCGTTAACCTTTAGCGTTGCTTTAATTATGGTCAAGATCCAGTCCATCGAATACTTCCGCGTGCCTCGATGACCTTGTCAAGATTTTCGATGGAGAGGGTGAGTATGGCTGGGGAGAAGGCTCCCTTGAGGGCCACACCGAGGCCGTGAAGGGCATCCTCGATGTTGTGCAAGCGGTTCCGAGGATATGAGGCAACACCGAGGACGTCAACTGGCTGAATTCGCCGCGTGTGCTGGAATCGAGCATCGAGCGTCTCAAGACCATCAAAGCGCTAGATCTAGATACCGCCCTGGATTTCCACGACTGTCTGCACAAGTGCATGGCGAAATCACTGGGTGAGCTGGCCAAGGCGTTGGAACCCCATCGTCCGCTCTTCCTGGAGGAACCGCTCTTTTCAGAACACCCGGATAACATCAAGTCGCTGTCGGGTCTTGTATCGTGCCCGATCGCCCTGAGCGTTCGAACGGCTCGTCAGCCTCTGAGGCGTGAAACGGTCCCTCGAAGACGCAAGCGTCGACGTGCGTCAGTCTGATATCAGCCACTGCAGCGGCGAATGTCCGAATTGCGCCGCATTGTCGTCATGGTAAACACCTACGACGTTGCTCTTGCACCACGTTTTTTCCTGGGTCCGTCGCCCTGGCCGCCTGTATGCAGGTGAACCTGACCACGCCAAACTTCGCCATCCAGGAATGAATCTGGGGATCCAGTACAACCAGGAAGCGGGCGAGTATGATATCACAAGCTAAGTTAAAGGTCTTCGCATCTTCGACATCAAGGATGGGTACGTAGATGCACTGACGAGATCGGGCCTGGCATTAAGATCGACGAGGTGGTTCGTCGACTGAGTCACTCGATGGAGTCCTGGCAGCCAAAGGAATTCTCTGACCCAGATGGTGCCATTCGGGGATGGTTAAATGCTCCGTTTTCCTCGCTGCTGTATTAAGGTGAGCTGTACTATACAGCATTATTGACCATCTTCCATAGTTAGAATAGATGGCAAGCTCGTAGATCTGATGGCCTCAATTTATACTAGAAAGGAAAATCTATTCTATCTACTCGATCTAGATATGTAACAAACCGATGATAAACCACCCCAATCAGGCCTTCTTACGCGCAGCATTGCATTCGTCTGCTCGTCGAAGACAATCCAGAATGATATTCCAAAACGCATCGACATCCACGCCTCGCGGGATAGCTACGCCCTGAGCGATAGGCGCAACGACGGAACGACCCAACGACCCAACCAACTCGACGTCCGTTCCATGGAGCCCGTCGGTGATGACACTCACGGTGAATCGCTCCCCGTTGCGGTCATCGAACTTCAAGACCTGATCAGGATGTTGCTTGGCGAAGACCGGGTTGAGCGTCGACAGGATCACTGCCACGGCGAGCGGGTCATGCAGGGGCGGACCATCATTTAGCCCAAATACGCTCTCGTACGTCGAGGAGAAGAAGGTCAATAGCTCGAAGAGCATCTGGCGCAGGACGGTGGAGGGCGCGGACGCATCGTCGCCTCCATGTAGGATGCGGGATTGCACGGAAGGCGAGGCGAGAACCTGATGCGTCAAGTCGAGGGAGATCAGGGTCGTCTTAGATGCTAGGACGGGGTTGCTGAAGATGGACTGAGATCCCTCGGGGTCACACTATCGTAACAGCATAAAATGTCAGAAAAAGTTGATTGAGGAATGGGGATTGGTTCGTCTTAGACCGCATATACGCACGTAGACGTTAAACTCCGCCAAAGGAGTGACATTGCCAATCCGCGCCTCTTGGCCCTTCAGCCGACTCATGGGCGCATCAGTGAACCCTTCACCTACGCCGCCACCCATGATGCTCAGCCCCTGGATGTGCTCTGCCACTTCGGGGAAGGTTGCAAACAGCAAGGCGACATTGGTCAGGGCACCGGTTGCGATGACCCAAGGTGTCCCTTTCGGGTGCGCCAATAGAGCATCGCGCATCGCTAAAATAGGATTCTTGTCTGTCACGGGGGCTGTGCTTGGTTTGGGCAGGAGTTCCGTGCCGTCAATACCGGAATCTCCTGCAAGGTGGGGAGGGTCGACAATGTCAGTGTTGTTCCTGGAGAGGGAGAAGAAAAGGAATGGGAATTGCCAGTAGGCTTCTAGCAGTCTTACCGTGGATATTGGGCGCATGAATGGCCGGTCTGCAGAAAGGTTTGGCATGTCCTGGATAAACGGGAACCTCAGGGCGGCCGATAGCCTCCAGGATCCTCGTGGCATTGACCGTGGTGTTTTCCAGGGACGCATTGCCGTGGACCGTGGTGATTCCGAGGAGATTCAAGGACGGATGATGGGCGGCAACGAGAATGGCGAATGCGTCCTAGATAGTGTAAGAAGGTGTACAGTAGATGGAGATGACTCTTCTTACATCGTGTCCTAAGAGAACCGTGTCAGCACTGGGGTAACTATAGCATAGTCCTGCATCTAAACCGGGACAACGAACCGGGGTCGCAATCCAGCCATAAGGGGATGGGGGAGGAGGCGGTCATGATGAAATGAACAATATCAATGAAGGAAGAATACGGCGGAGTGAAGGAAGAGAAAGAGAAAGAGAAAGAATAAAGGACACGACGAAGGGGCCATGCGGGGATGCCCCCCGATAAGCCGCGGCGATAACGGCGGTTCCTTATCGACCCCGGGCCCTAAGCCCTACCTTCCCCATGCGGCAGGCTGCTGCGTCATCCGGCGGCGGCTCCGGGGAAACCTGCGCCAGTCAACGCCTCGTTCCATGGCTCCGCGTCCCAAGTCTCCATCTCCAATCTCCATCCAAGCCCTTCTAGGTCTGTCAAAAGTTCCCATCCCCGAGACCCGGCCCCGTTGGCATTTCCGCGTTTCTGCTTCTGTCCTGGCTGAAAGATCCTTCTCACGACTGGGATGAGATGACCAGCGACCCTCCGCCTCGCCCCGGCCTGCAACCGCTCTCCCATCTCAAAGCTGGTCCGACCACGTCCAGCTCTAAATCCACGGCTCTTCCGGCGTCCTCCAATCTCCAGCTGCCATCCTCGTCAATTTCTCCGCGGCCTCGACTGCCAAAGCCCCCGAGCCGGGATGAACAGGCCAGTGCAACGAGTTATAAGGCAACGGTCGCCCTGATCCGACGCGTCTTGTGTCCCCAGACCGGAAACCATGGCGGAGCTTCCACCCCACAGCCTCGCGCGGACCTTTTACCCCCTCTCACAAGCTCAAACGAAATAGACCTTCAGCTGTACGCCATTCTTGCCGTCATCGTCAAGGAGTTTGTTCTCGCGTGGTATTCGAAAATCACTCCGGACCAGACCCTGGTCAATGAAGTCATTCAAGTGATTGCGCATTGCACCCGCGCGTTGGAGCAGAGGGTTCGAGGAACCGACGTTGCACAGCTGTTTCTGGATGAGGTTCCTGCTCTAGTCGAAGCGCATATTACCTGTGAGACAATGTCTTTTCTTTCTCCCCCCACCTTCCTACGTGTCCCATCTCCGCCCAACTCAGTTTGGGCGTTATTGACCTAGTACTGACCTTTTTTGACTTCCTTCGTCGATGCCTAGCGTACAGAATTGCTCGGGAACAATCTCAACTGCCTGGATTTTCTTCCTCGTCTCGCGAAATTTATCATGCCTTGTACCCGCATCCGGCGTTCTCGCCGGTCCCAGATCCCTCGGACGCGGACGTCGTGGAGCGACAACGCGCCAACGAGGCTGTATACCGACAGGTGCTGGCCCAGGAGGTTCTGGCAGTTCTTCTCCCTACGGAGGACCTAGAAAATGTCTGTCTGCGGACGCTGGTCGGCGACATCGTGGCGGACCTGATCTTGAGGAACCAAATTAGCGGAAAGGTGTGCGAAGGCTGGTTTCTGTGGGAGAGTATCACAAAGCTCCTCGATGCGGTGGGACGCCAACCCGCCCGGGAGGATGACACCACGACGACGGGACCGCTTAAACATGACCAATTGCAGAAGTTTGGGCTCCTGACGCCCAAGGAAGATTTCCAGAACCGCCATTCCTCCAAGGTCCCGCTGCCAGTGCCAGACTGGATGTGGAACGTCCTTCAATTCGGATATCTGGTCTACGTGACTCTACGTTTCATCGTGACGGGTCTCTTTCGCGTTGCAACCACCCCGCCAGCGGCGTCGACGACCACCCCCGGCGGCCACGCAGCCGAGGCATTCCCTTCATGCAACCCTCCAGGCAAGCGCCCCGTGCTGGACTATCGACTGTACGGAATGGTCTCTCAGCTACTAGATGTCCCCAAACGGATGCCGTGGCTGGGAGGGTTGCTGGCCTTGTCGCAACACCTGATCCTGGCAGGTCCAGGAAGATTAGGTGACACCGATAGTGTCCTTGATAGGTGAGTGGCTTTTTTTTTTTTACCTTCTGGATTTTCTAGCGCATCCTCCGTTCATTCTCTTCCTTTCCCCCCTCCTTTTCACATTCTCCCAAACACCACCCGTGTTGTCTTCGTGAAACGAGACGAAGGAAGGCGAGGGTGGGATTCCACCAGTGGAGAAGCGGTGCGGTACGATCTCCGAACCATGATCTACGCTGGCACTCCTTTTTGGCCGAGCACGACGAGCGATTGGAAGACGGACGGGACGATGCTGCAGTGCCGGTGCATTGCTCGCATGCTGCAACGATCACTTGATCTGCTGGTGGTGGTCGGCGGCCCGTCGCCGCCGCTGATTGGCGGACGGCCTCCCGTACCGTCCCGTACGGCCTGATACCGACGCGTACGGTTATCTTACGGTCTGGGTATCAGCGTGACGGTACCGCGATACGACACCCAGGTACTAGGTACGGTACGGCCGGACTCGATCGAGTGCGACGGGACGACAATGAAGAATTGACTCGTCTCGCCATCGGACATACCGAACTTTGAACCTGAACGTGCCCTGTCGATAATCGATCCACCTCCTGTTCTGGCCCGGCCCTTTCCGTCCCGTTCGACTCCAGCTGGCCTGATCAGCGAGACAAAGAAAAAAAAGGTTGAACAAAAAAGGTTGAAAGAACGAGCGCCAAAAAAAAGACAGAGGAGCACTTGGCATTCTGTCACCGACTGAGCCGGGTGCACTTGCACTGCCCATCACCGCATGGAGGAGGGGGGCGTCATTCTCCTCCCTGTCTAGGCCCTTTCTCGCCCCCCCTGTTGGCCTCCCCTCCGGAGGGTGGTGTTGTGGTTCACAAACAAAGGCTAAAAAAGAGACATTAAATGACTCGGGACGATCATCCAGGCATTGGTTGAGTAAACGGCCATGCGGCATTGGGAGTGGACAGGGATAGGGCGACAGCCCCGTTCTCTGCTTTCCCCTTTTTTGGGGCCAATCAGTGCAATCCGACGCCAATCGACAGCCGGCCGAGCGTTCAACGACGCTAATCCGCGCCTTCTGCCTATGAGAGTCCGGCCGGCCTTCGTGCCAGGAGGCCCTTTTGGACTTGTCGTCATCTTCAGCTTTGGGCCCTGTTCAATCGCACCAATCGATGGCCCAAGCTCCTGGTCTGCCCTTGAAGCCAAGCAACGATCGCTTTTTCCTGCTGGCTCCACTTGCTTTTTGGTCGTTCCATTTTCACGTCGCTCGTTGCACGGCCCTTTTTTTTTTCTTTTGTCTTGTCTCATGAAAATCTCAACTCAACCGCTTCTCCACAGTCCGGGGGGTTTTTACCGCTTACTCTCCATGGGCTATCTCCGTGTCTGCGTTGCGCAATTTCACTGCCAATTTCCCTTTTGATACCCTTTCTTTTTCTTTTTTTTTTTCTTTTTTCTTTTTTCTTTTTTTCTTTTTTTCGTTTTCGTTTTTTTCCCCCTTGGAATTACTTTCTCATAGGTTGTCTTTCTCTCCACCAGGTTCCTTCACGAGACCATTCAGGATCATATCTTTCCCCCCACTTTATTGCCCAACCTGCTTCTCACCTCCAGGGCGGCACTTTTTCCTTTGAACGCTCGTCCGGCTCAGGCCGCCGCGGGTACGAATCCCACCGGGCCTCCGACGCCGCACCTGTCCGTGCAACCTCCCTCGTCGCCCACCGAGAGGGGTCCTGGCCCAAGGAGTGGTAGCGATGCCGCTGGCGCAAGTAACGCCAGCAGTGGCGTCTCGACGCCTAACCTCTCAGCGACTGCGCCTTCCTTGTCGCCGGACCCACGCCCATCCGCGGCCGAAATCGCTTCCCTCAAGCGACGCTGCGCGGTGAGTCTTTTATCGCGGATTCCTCGTCCAATTGCGCGGCACTTCTTTGGTATTCCCGCCAATGGCGCCGCACACGGCCCTCTCGCCGGCCAAGCTCCCAATGATCATGATCAGAATCCACGGCTCCCGGACTCTGCCCGAGCATCGTCGCCTGTTCCTCCGCCCGCTTCTCCTCCTCACCCTACTACCCCTTCTCATCTCACCACCACAACTGCCCACCCGGAAGAGGACGCGCCTCTCCTCGCCGCCATCGAGCACGACCTCCTCGACCTCTTTGCCGACGAGTACTGTAACAAACATCTAATATATTCGATCATTGAAGCTATCCTGGCGAAGCTTCTTCCCGAGCTATCAGAGCGCAGCCTCACGGAGTTAATGGAGGACAGGGGCATCGTTCGAGCCACCGCCTCATGAAACCATCACCCAGTATTTTTCCCACCCGACAGTCTTTCAGAAAGAGAGAGAAAACGTCCCACACCAAGTCCCAGACGGTTATGACATAGTTAGCGAGCTCGACTTAATAATAATCATAATAATGTTAATGATCCTGAAACAGAAAAAAAGAAACGACAGAAAAGAAACCAAATCAGTTTCGCTTATAGCGCTTGAGGATCTCCTGCTCAAGGGAGATAGGTAGTAGCCGGACATGGCCGTTAAGATCTTCCTGATCCTTTGAGGCTCCTAGTGTTGACTAGTAGGCCCCGTAAGGAATCCATCCTCGCGAGTCAAGTCAAGTCGAGTCAAGAACACGTCCTTCCTACTCGAGTAAGAGGACGGAGTCGATATTAAAGACCTAGATCCGGCCGAGCTGGGCGCTCCGATACTACCTCCTCCCTACTCCCTAGTACCTAGTACCTAGTATCTATCGAGTAGATTAGTTGGTATACGTATGCGCACCCAGTCCGGAATAGTAGGTAGTGTAGTTACCTCCCTGCCCAATATTAGCAGGATGGTATGGTATGGGAAACATCGGCAAGATCGCCTATCCTGCGTAGGGTAATACAAGCGAACCAAAGCAGAAAACGAGCAAATCCTTACGTATTCCGGAGGGAGGAATTAGCTCCCTAGGTCCTCTCGTAGTGGGGAAAGTAATAACAAAATGGATCTATCGATGCAGGGCCAGAGAAACGAACCATGAATCGAATGCGTGTAATCTTAGCCCCCCCGTGCGGACGACATCAGAATCGGTTCCGAGGACGGATGAAAAAGAAAAGCAAAGGACCTACTGAACCGAGAATAGTGGACGAGAGGAAGGAAGAATGGGCGGCGGCGGGGTCGCTCGGGATCTGGTTCTTGGTTCGCGGATGGCGGATGGCGGGTACCTAAGCGTCGTAGCGTATGGCGTATGGCGGCATAGCGTATGGCGGCACGGATGGCGGATACGCAAAAAAAAAAAAAAAAAAAAGACAAAGAAAAAAATTAAGAAAGGGATGGAGATGCCTGCTCGGAGGATACCGACTAGGGAATTGCAAGGGAACTAGCCAGTGAGGATCGACTTCCCTGCAAATAAGTATGGATGGTGGATTTGGAACGGAATTGGGAACTGCTTATCGTCCATGGCCTGGTGCAGTTGTTAGTCTGTCCGCTGGGGTTGTTAGTCTCGAGGGGAATCGGAACTATAGATTATGATAGGACGGGACGTGCGTCAGGATTGAGGAACATGTTCCATACCCATATACTGTTGGAACTGCAAACAGGGGGTTATTAAAGGAAAAGCAACTATTATAATCAGACACGCAGCGTAAAAATTCGAAAACCATCAGAACGAATGACTCAAACATGCGGTGAAGGATTCAAGCAATCGGGAATCCGTAAGCGAAGCAGAAGGTAGGGATGACGACCAGGTAGCTATACAAGTCAAATACAACCAATAAAACAAATAAGATATAGTGGAATCGCACCAATACTGGACCTGGAAAATATAAATAGAATAAATAGACAGAATTGAATAACCAAAAGAAACCAGTAAATAACAGTCCAAGCTCCGTATTGAAAATCGTTCTCGTTCTCCGTTGCCATCCGAAAGCCCTAAATGAAATCCCAGTATGTATGACTGTAGTAGTCCAATGCAGTTTGTGTCCGCGTGGGCGGGTTAGTTTAAATGCTCCGTTGGGGCCAGCACCCAAAAAATAGAAATAAAAAGAAATAAAAAACAAAAAGGACGAGAAGCAAAGAAAGAATGGCAAGCAAGCAAAGCAATTCTCGGATAGGCGAAACAAACATAACCCCAAAAGCAGACCTTCCATCTTCTCGATTATTGTAATTCCGTCTGATTCTGCTCCGCCAGAACCTGTGCTGGTGTCTTCCGTATGTGAAAAAAAAGTAACAAATATGAAAATGAATCCGTTTAAACCCAGAGGTTGCCCTCTTATGTGTGTATCGTCTGATTTCTCTCACAAGCTTCGTCGATCCGTTGACTCAGCTGAGCTTAATGAAACAGGACATCATAGAAACATGCCGTGAAAAATGCAATAATACTAGTAAAACAGAAAGCCACCCAGTAATTGGAATAAAAGAATAGAAAAACAGGGGAATATGTTTTGAGCAGAAGAGGGAGCAAAAGAAAATGGATAACATGAGGAGGAAGATCAAGAAAAGAGAAAAAAAAGAAATAAAGAAGAAAAAAACAGAAAGAAAACCGAACTGATGATTTAAAAATATGTGGCTTGGTCGTGCAAGAATCGGAACTAACCCAAACTGCGGATGCTCCTTTTTCTGGCAACGTGAGGAGCGTCTTCGTGCTCATCAATGCGGGTGAGGCCTCCCGGAAGAGTAGTCTGCTGGCCTTTGGCCAATTCGAGCCGTTCCATCAACTTTCCAATGGTCACGTATTCCTGTGCTCCTAGACCAGTAGGTTGGGCCTCGAAATAATTCATCACCAGCTCCAGTGCCTTCCGGGCCTCATCTTGGGTTGGAGAGCCTGGAGAACTGACAGGAGAAACGGTGGTTGACTTTGAAAACAATGGTGGGTAGATGGTCTTTGCCCGGATCTCGGGGTTGCTGCGGTTTCGTTTGATCATGTTGGCCGAAGTGTCGAGACCAGGAAGTTTTTTAGGGTCACGGTCCTCCATGGGTGATTCCTGCAAGGTTCCTGGAAATGGTGGCTGCAGGCAAGTCCTAGGAGAGACCTGGTCGGAAGACTGGTCCGGAATCATAGAGCCAGGATCGACAGTACTAAGAGGACACGTTTGGCTTCGCGGCCTACTAGGAAAGCTGTCCGCAGAGGGATTGCGGGATTGACTTGTGGGAGTGAAAGGACTCTCCGACACCAAAGTTGAGGTTGGGCTGGTCACCGTGGTATCGAGTGGCGTGGTGCTCTTTTGTATGTGCTGTTGATAGTCGCTTATGAGCTCGGCCAGAGTCTCGGCTTTGATGTTGTCTTGGCTTTGAGTCGGCGATAACGGCGACGGAGTAGCGAATCCGGGGGATGTAGGGGATAGTAAAGTGGGAGACTGGATAGCTGATGCCAAAGCAGAATTGATGCTTAGACCAGTAGGGCTGTCCGAGTCGCTCTTGGTGGTGCTGAAAGAGCTCTTGCGAGACTTCGCACCGAGCAAATTATTCTTATGCTTGAATTTCTCGAGCCAGCTGGTGGTCAGGACCTTTTCCTTTCCATCGTTGCTGCCACAGGTGCTGGCGAAGAAAAGTGCCTTCTCCCTGATCATTTCATCGCTGAGTGAATAACCATGCCGCTGGTAATTCCTCACCCAGTTGGACAGGGCCTTTTCGATGTCAGGGACTCTCCCTTTAGCTCGCTTAATGGGAGACCGACTCCCGTCTTCTGTGCTCAGGTATTTTTCTTTCTGGCGGAGCACTTTCGAAACAGTACTTTAAAAAAAAAAACAAAACACACAAAAGTTAGAAAGGGATTTCTCTTTCCAGAGAGGCATCAACTTGGATGTCTCAGAAAGGGGAAGTATGTACTCTACCTTCTTTCCACACCGAAGAGCGCTATGATGAACCATCAGCCCGAACTCTAAGGAACCATGGGCATCATGATATGTATAAACTTACCTCCAATATCAGTCTGCTTGGCCGTCTTGTTCTCCTCATGGTAGAGGCACATGCGTCGACGGTCATCATCAGTAAGCGTCCTTCGGGGCGTCGAGCTGCTGGTGGACGATTTGCGTGGCGGCGGGATGGGTGCAACCGGCGCCACGGAAGGTTGTATCGGGACCGGAGGCAGACCTGCCTCCGGATATTGCCCGGGTGTGAGCATGCTGGGCCATGTGCTGGAAGGCAGCGTCAATGGCAGAGATGCATACGGGGGTGGTATCGACACGTCGTAGGCCGAATCCAAGGGCATCACACCATATCCAAACCCATGATAATCCAGTGGCGGTGAGTGTTGGGAGGGAGTGAACCCGCCCATGTCCATCCACGGTGATTGTGCAAAATCACTGTCTTGTCCATGCGAGCTCTCCGTATCCATGGCGGCCGTTGAAGTCGGTAGACGGTTGAAGGGTATGGGAGGAAAAAGAGGACAGAAGAATAAAAATGACCCGGGGGAGTGGTCTGATACTATAACAAGTGGCGGTCTTGCAGCAGCCCTGACAGCGGAATGACAGCCAGCGCTAAGCAAACCCGTCCAAGAATCGGAGAGGACAAGAGGTCAATGGGGTGGAATCAAAAGTCCAGAATTTGATAAGGGGGAAAAAGCAAAGAAAGGAGAATGTCTCAAGGGAAAAGAGATGGACAATCTAGAGCCGGATCGAGGGCCGAATATGCATGATCAACCTTCCAAGGAACCAGATTGTAAGTACTTCGTAACCATCGAATAGATCGGGAGTCGCTGCCAGTGTGTATGCCAAATACCAAGGAAAATAACAGCCGATGTCCCGTGAGGGAAACCAAAGGAAATCTTTCAACACCTGTATGTCCGAGCCAGAAGCTAACCAGAGCTAGAGAGAGCAATATGTATGCATAGAAGAACGCATGCAGGTTTTTTCTTCTCTTTTGTACAATGATGAAGGGAAGGGAGCAGGAGGATGCGGGTAAGGCATGAGACGGAGTTTAAGGTATTATTATTTTTTTCTTCAAAAAAAAAAAAAAAAAAAAAAAAAAAAAAAATTGAACTGAAATAATAAAAAGGAAAAAGAAAAATAAAATCAATGAATCAACAGGGTCAGGTTGGGGCGCAGGCACAGGGACGATCCGAGACGCAGCAGCGAGTTGTCGCGAGGCATCAGAGTCCGAGAAGTATGGGGTGGACAGGATGCGATAGATAGATGTTTCTGGGTGGATGAGAATCCCAGGGCCGCCAGCACAAGTAGAAATGATGGATGTAAAGTGTCGTATCTGATTTGGTGCTCGACCGACTAAGTCGAATCGACAGGGCTCGTTCTTTCCTCTTTCCTTCTGTCTCTGGAACGGCAATTCTTATTTCGCCTGTCGAGAAAATAAAAAGAAAATAAAATAAAATCGAATTAATTAAAATCCGCAAGAAAATAAAATGAAATAAAGTAAAATAAAATTCCTACGCTGTACGGTACCTAACACACCTCCGTCCATCACGACCAGTCCGGCCCTGCTATAGTAAAGGCTATTATTATTTGATTCCGCTCTCTATTGCACGGATGGCTATTACAGACACGAGTCTTGATAGTGCAGAGGGTTGAAAAAGCCGGGCTTCGGCACGATGATTGGCCCGTTCGCCCAAAGTAAAAGAAATAAAATCGTCACCCCCTGGGAAAATGGTGGGGGATTCGGCCGCTGATTGGCGGGTCGCTAGATTGGGGAGACAGGGATCTCCGTCCGGGTCCAAATACCACTAGTCTGTAACGTAAGTCTGCGTACGACGCCGTGTCCGGGTACCGTATCAAACATGACGGGGTTCCGGTTTTTTCGCCTGCCTGCCAGATGGCTAACGCGCTTGGGAATGGCAGTAAAATTCAGGCCCTCAGAGAGCTTGTCGACCCGAATGGATGTCTTTTCCACCGCGGAGGTTTCCAGGGTTTGTTACACCGATGTCGAGCGGATGGTCTCCCAATTCACCTTCCCTTGTTTTCCTTACTGACAAGCCCTTGGTCCTACCTTGCCTCCCTCCCCTGACTATTCTCCCGTAGTTACCGATCTACTAGGCACTTGCTGCTAAATATCCAGGAGAAATTGGTACCCGATGTACGGAGTACGGAGCGAAAGGTGGAGTAGAAATGCCAGACAGTTTTTGAAGTACATGGACTCGAATAAAGAAGGTTACGGCCCTTTTTAGGCTTGCATATTTTCTTTTTTTCTCGGCCTTGCTTTTTGGGCTTTTTTTTTATGCTTTCAAGGTCGTTCGAATGGATTCTCTTCAACTCGTTTGACAGATTGCCTCGAGACGGCAATCCGGTAGCACATAAGGAGACAGACGCCAGCGAAGGATGCATAATCCGCCCGAAAAGAGGGGATCGACCCAAGATGAAAATCATACGAAGTATACAGTAGTGTAAATTAAATGTTTTTTTTTCTTCCACGGGAAGAAGTGTACTCCGTAGTAAGGGTGTGAAAAAAAAAAAAAAAAAAAGGTTGAGCAACTTCCTGAGCAAGCCAAGATCATATTCAAATCCATTCACGGACGGGGAGCGGATCGATAAACCGCTGAACCTAAAGGCCCGCATGACATAGTTGATAAAGCGATGGTTTCCGACTTCGCTGGATCCTGACAATTCCAGGTCCAACGGTTTTCCTTCACAACCTTCTTGGAAGCGATAAGTATGCTTCTCGATTTTTGGTAGCGAACCTCTCACCCCTGCTCATTTTTCTCTCCCTCTTTCTTAACTTGTGGAAGGGGTTTATCCTTCTTATCCTTGCGATGCCGACAACATGTGAAGAAGGTGGATCAGACAGGGGAAAGAAAATTAAGAAGAGGGGGTTGAAAGAAAATTAAGTACGAGGCAGAAGATAGCTAGCGGTCATCAGGAGATTAACCACAAAGAAAGTCCTCGGGGAAGGTATATTAGAAGAGAAATAAAAGAAGTAGATCTTTTCAAGGAACCTGGGAGGATGAAGCCTCATTTGGCTGATCGCCAACAAATGGCGGGATTTCGGCTTGTCAACTTTTCTCCCTCGACTGCGAGAGGACCAAGCCTCAGCAGCGAGTAAGCCCGTAGAAAAAGGCAATGGGCTTTCCTGGAACCTACTAATTCGAAATGAATCAGCCAGTCGCAGGCGAGGATGGCCGATCTGCACAGTACTTTGTCACGAGAAAAACGTCGGGAGAGGGCACGGACGAATGGGGGGCCGCAGATTGATTCCAATTTCCCTTTTGTAACATGGACTGAGCATGGGTTGAAGGGGAGGTCCAGCCTATCAGAGGCCGTAAAGACAACATGGTTCGGGGCCTGGAGGTGTTGGTTACTTCGCACTAAGTTAGTCGCATCATAGCATGAGGTCGAGGAGCTAGGACCCCACGGTCCACAGGGCCCGCAGCGGTCCACTCCGGGCCGGCAACCTAAGCAATGCAAATCGTGGGCCAGAATTTGACGGGAATTATGGAGGGGGGAAGAAAGAGGAGAAAATGTGGATGAGGAAAAGGTAAAAATGAGGGCTAATTGAAAATAAAGGAAGGGGGGTGGAGGACGGGGAAGAAGAGAGGCAAAAAATAATCAGCAATAAAAAAAGAAAAGAAAAAAAAAGGGCTAAATTCCAAAATGCCTGCCAGATAGAATCATTGATTGATCAATTAAAATTCGTGCCCTGTTCAAAACCACCTCCGTACCCAAGACATGCAGATATTGATCGGGCATTATTGATCGGGGAGGGCAGCTAGCCCCTCCTGGCACTGCAACTCGGCGCAAACCTTGAACCCTGGCAGCGACTGACTCGGCAGGTCGGGATTACACTTACCTACTTCCTGTGCTCCCATCAAATGCCCCTCCCTGCCCTTGGCCCTGCCTCGAAGCGGCAGACTCCTCGTCGCTACTGGTGGTCGGAAGGCTTGTCAGCACATCACTGCAGCCCGTCGCCATCGCGGTACATGGTACCTCCAGAGCGATGTGTGACTTGGGGGCCAGGCAGGTACTCGGTACGGAGGGTGACGCACATTTAACCATTTCTCTAATGCATGTACAGCCTTACCGGGGCTTTCAGTCTCAGATGGAAGTGCTGGGGGGAGGCGTCGGCATCAGACACCTTAACCCAAGGAGTTAAGGGTACGGGTCGGGGAGGCGGGAAACGCGATCAATGCTGCTCCAATCGCCCATGCCGCCCCGCTTGTTCGGATGACCACGAGGGCTGTCAGGACTAAGGTTTCCCAAATGATACCTGCTGTCAGACAATTTGATCCATCCAAAGCGATGGGAGTTGATACAATGGACAATGGTCGAAGGAAGAAAGAACAGGTCGAGGCTTCCTCGCTTGTGGAAAAAGAAAGGGGGGGAGGTGTAGCCGAAAGAGGCGATGAAATCGATCCAACAATATTTTTTTATTAATTCAGAAGACAAAATCAATCAATCGAAAATTCAAACGCAGAGAATGGCTGGGCTTTCTTCCGTCGAGCGTTACACAACTAACAAAAAGTCGAGCCTCCAGGGGGGTTGGAAGACAGAAATCGTCGAGTCGCAGTGATCATGGCACTGCTGAGCCTTCATCTAGTCGAGATCACTCAGTCTGACGGGCTTCCAATCGATCTGCCCGTTGCCGCTTCTTCTCCCCGAGAGGATGACAGCCAGTCGCCTAAAGGAAAATCGCTACCCCATCTAGGAAAGAGTTGACATGGTGGGCTGGGTGGACGCCATCGAGTTTTGTGTAAGGAAGTAGCAGATAGTTCGGTGTGGGTGACTGTGCCCCCTTTTTTCTCTTTTTTCATTTCGTTTTCTTTCTGGATTCTTTTCCAATGGGCCATGACTGGTCGAAACCCCGAGTCTCCTGTCAGGAACGAGAGGACGACATGTTACGTACGGAGAGGAGGGGAGGAGAGAGACAAGAAGGCGTGGAGAAAATCCAAAGTCAAAAGAGAATTAGTCATAAATTAATAACCCCCGGGATCTCATGACAAGTTTCGAGTAGATCACTTACTCAGGACGAGGAAAAAGAAAAGAAAGAGAGAGAAAAAGTGGGCGGGAAACGGAAATGGCCGGGGTGGTGCGACGTCAGACACCCAAGGATGGTGTCGTGATAGCCTTACCGTTTTACGCCGCCAATAATAGATATCTGTCAGGTACGCATTTCGGTGCAGATGTCTCATACTTCCGTCGGGATTAATATCATCTCGCCTTAGTGCCATATCGACCTGTCGGTCTCGACTCGGACGAGGCAGATACAAGGCAGATACTTGGGATGGACCGGAAGATACTTGACGGGATTACGGCCTCGGTGCACTGGCCTCAGGTATCCCCCGAGGTATTCTGGGCAGGACCATCACGTCACTCGGTGAGCGCTCGAGCTGCATACATGAGAGATCACGGATGGCATCAGAGGAACAAAGCGGTGGATTGGAACTCGACCGAGGATGAAATGAGATCTTAGTGGCGTGGAGATGACCAGATCCCCTGGAGTGAAACCAGCATGTTCTGTATCAGCTACGAGGATGCCTCGTCTTGGCTCGTCCCTCTCCAAGCTGCAGGCCCTCGTTCTGCGTCCTGGTGCTCCAGCAAATTCTTTGTCTGCCCATTGTTACAGCGCTGGAACCACCGAAAGCCACGAACGCTAAGTGGATGCTGCATGGAAGGATCCCGCGTTACCCAAGGCAAAAATGTTTAGAACCGAATATCGTGGGAAAGGACAGACGACCGTAGGAACCATAGCCACAGTCCTGTGGTCACCGACAATGCCCCTACAGGCCACACTACACCGTACATCCCACCCACCCATGTGTCCGGCGTGAGGGTCGGCAAAGGGAATGAAGCATAAGACAGGAGCAAGACCAATGCAGCCTCCACTTTCGTGCTGGGTACCAGCATCCCTCAGTCGGTCATCTGACGAGCAGATTTTCATTTTTCCACTTTTCTTTTTCTCCTTCTCATCCGTTCTCCGCCATTCAAGCTCTTGTGCATGTCACGGGGTCGAGGATCCCGTAGGATGAACTTCACGGCTATCCAGTCCTTGCCCTCCAGCCGGCCTACTTCTCCGACTACCACCTTAATCTATAGGTTGACATTTTCCTTTCTCCGAGGGCCATCTGGCCTACTCGCCGAGGCTGTGCAAATCGGACTTACATTTGCCATCATACTACCGTACCTATCAGGAAGTGTACGCCCTGCTCAAATTGATCATCATCCGGTTCTCCACCTTGGCGGCTAATCGCTTTTTTTTTCGTCTTTATCTTCTATTATTTGCTTTTTCTATCTCCTTTTCTTTCAGTCGGTAGGATTCAAGTGACAGATGATAGAAAACGAAGAAACCAAGGGGAAGAAAAAAAAAAGCCATACCCCTCGGTGCCAAGATTATACCCAACAAAAAAGAAAAGCCCCGCAATTGAACAACAGAGAAGGTAATACTATGTCTTATTCAACCTGTCCTTTCGACGTAGCAGATTAATAATGTGTGTATTACGTCGGGAGGTAGCAATCCCAATCATAATCACATTAACTCGTGTGAAACCCGGACCTTTTGCCGGGTACCTGAAAATGAAACCACTGCATTGATCCAGCAGGGGAAAAAGCAAACAAGTAGACACTACCACGACCTAGATCGATAGATCACTATCTGGATAAATTGGATGGAGACCGAAAAGAGAGGATAGGATAGCCCGATAGAGACTAAACTCCTCGACTACCACCCTCCTAGCAATATGTCGCAAATAGCAAATAACTAGTAAGAGTCACCCCGTAAGCAAGTAATATCGGAGTTACGTACGTAGTATGTACGGTCGACGAGGGAGGTAGCATCCGTCCATCGACACTGACGTACGTACCACTAGGGAGCGTTCGATCCCGCGCAGACCGCTCCTTGTAGCTTGTGCGGTCATTGTCACTATACGCAGGGTTTAGGCATTTAGGGCCCTACGGAGCATGGCTGACGGACCTGCGAGGGGAAGAGCGGAGGGGAGGGGAAGTTTCTTCCCTGACGTGCATTATCAATTCAATCAATTCGAGGGAACTCGGTCGGTGATTGGTAGAGGGGTGAAGTATTCCCTCTGGGGACTCCAATCCATATGGTTAGTTTGGTTTGGTTTTTTATGATTAATTTTTTATTGCTCTATGGCGGCTGTCATGTTACTTCTCTGTTTTCTTTTTCTTTCCGACTTCCCTTTTGTAGCATGATTACCTAGTACTTACTGCGTACAGTGTGATTTCCTGTCAGCAACAAACAATTACCCTGTAGAGTAAGTGCCGAGTGACAGGGGGGTGTGTGGGAGAAGAAGGGAAGGGGCGAGAGAAAAAAAGAGAGAGAGCGACATGCAGCAAAAACTCAAAACTCAAAAAACCCAACCCCATCAGCCCGAGAGCGACAGGAAAAAAGAAAACAAATAGCCAAGGTCGCAAGGTATGTAGGTACTACGCAGTCCTAGCTGCGTCTTGGGTCAGGTTGATTACTTTCCCCCCCTCCTTTCTCCTCTCCTGCATTGTTACTTCGCCCCGTAAATACCGTATATTCGGCACCAGGGCGAATCACGGCCGGCGACACATATTAATTCAAGGCATAATTCATCAACCAGGTTTTTATTTGATTATTGCTTCCCTGCCCATTCGGTGCCTTGGGTAGAGCAACCCCCCCGGACCCTGTCTGCACCTGCAGACGCAGCATTAGGTGCAGAATTTTAGTCGTCCAGGTGGGAAAGGAACCTGGTCGGTCGGCAGCTACCGTGTATGTATGAGCTCCGTACCGTCGATGGAGGTTGGACGTCGTACATCGATTCGGATGGCGGAGTGCCAAAGAGGTCAATGGACGGCACTAGGGGGTAATAGTGGTCTATAGTCCATGCGATCCCCGGATCTTAACTGTGTTTTTGGGAGCTGCCTTTTCTTTCATTCCCAACCATACGGAGTACTAGTCTTTACTGGTTTAAGTATGTATGCATGGACAGTACCCACGTACGGGGGGGATGGGTGGCTGGGTATCGACATACATACATACATGCTCCAGACTACGGACACGAGTGCACATACGCATGGCCGGGGCAGCTCCGTATAACCGTATAGTCCGTCGGGTTCTGCATGAATCGAGCCAGATCGTACCAGACCGAATGCTTATTGCATTCGCTTCAATATGGGGAACATTAGGCCAACAGTCCGTGCAATGTTGGCATATTAAAAACGAGTCGTAGTCAATTGCCCGTGCGCAATAATGGGCTAATTTTAGCCAGCCACGGCTGGATTTGACGGAGTCAGTCCATGGCACTATTAAGGGATAAGTCCTACAGAGCTTCGTAGCTCCATGCCGACTTGGGACATCAGGTGATGTTACTCCTCTCAGCTCCCGCGAAGGAAGGCCAAGGGAAGCAATCTTTCTCTTCTCTCCTCTCCTCTCCTCTCGCAAGGCCGGTGCACGTTCGTTTGTCTCAGTCAGCCTCCTCGCTTCTTCTTGGGCTAAAGTCAAAAATGAAAGGATCGAGACGTCGAAACAAATGGTACTTTTTTTTTATCATCAACTGCAAGTCTAAGGCCGATGGATCTACTGATTCTTAGCAGTCCGAGAACAGAGAATCTAGAACCTCAAGTCGGAAGCCTCGGAATAGAAAAGCGGATCAGAGCAAATAGTCGCTTCCAAACAGGTGAAAAAAAAAAGAAATTTTTGAACGTAAGAATTCGGCAGAACTACTGTAGGTACTGCTGAACCATGAAAAACCCTATTCCAGATTTTCCGACTTTCAACCTACCGTCGAATATCATCCTCCTCTCTCGCACCCCTGCTCTTACTCAAACAAGATAAAAGGACTGTGCATCACGGGCTGTAGGCCCATGATTCAGTCCCCATCTCCTTTCAAACGAGTGATCCTGCAAATCCAGGCAGCAGGTGGCATAGTTGCTGCCCGTGCGCGAACCATCTCCACCGCCAATCAAACTCTCCGTGGCAGCTTCGCGGAAAAGAGTTGTCACAAGGGCTGGGCCTGGTGGACATGGATAATGAGCGAAGACTAAAAGCACCACTTAACACAGATTATCCATCCTCTTGAACGCGATTCGCCACTTTCTTCTCCGCTCTTACGCGGTCATGGGGATTAGGATCGATGCAAGTCGTTTACCGCTTGACAATCGTCACTGTAATCATACCAGTTAGCTCCCTTGCTCGGTCAACGGTTGTTAGGGTCCCAAGAGATAGCGTACCGATATCCTCATCCGCGAGCTCGTGCGTGAGACCGACACGTTGCGGCTGGTGCTTCACAGAGCGTCCATATACAATGGCCTGCTTGAACTGATCCTTGATTGTCCGGTGAATGGCATTACACTGATTGAGGGTTAGCAAAGACGCTGCCAACGAATGTAAAAAGAATGAGCATTGGGGGGGGGTTCATACGAAATCTTCAATCGTGGATGCGCCGGCCCTGAGCACAACAGGAGCAGTGTAATCAGGGGCCTTGCCCTTGGGTTTGGTGTAAATTCGTCGGAGGTTGAGCTTCTCCCACATGGTCTCCAGTAATTCGTCGATATTCCACCCATGCTCGGAACTGATGGGGCAGGCATTAGGAATCCGATACAGCAAGTCCAGTTCTTGAATCGAAATGGAGTCAATCTTGTTCAAGGCATAGATAACGGGGATATAGGCTCGACTCTTGGCTTCGAGAACATCGATGATATCGTCGACTGTCGCATCGCATCGAATGGAGATATCCGCGGAAGAGATTTTGTATTCGCTCATGACGGCTCTGATTTCCTGTTCGAATGGTAATTAGCCATGGAAGCCCGCGGAGCATTGGCATGTTGAAACCGTACGTCATGATCAATGTGTGTCAGCGGAACAGTGCTGGTAACCGCAATACCACCCTTTTCCTTCTTCTTGAAAAGAATGTTAGGAGGCTGCTTGTTGATTCGAATACCGAAACCTTCCAATTCGTTTTCGATAACCTTCTTGTCGACCAGCGGCTTGTTGACATCCAAAACAATGAAAATAAGATGGCAGGTCTTAGCCACGGCAATAACCTGCCGACCACGACCCTTACCATCTTTGGCACCCTGAATAATACCAGGCAGATCAAGAATCTGGATCTTAGCACCGTTGTACATAACCTGTCCGGGCACCGTCGTCAAGGTTGTGAACTCATATGCGGCAGCTATTGTAACCCAACATCAGTACTGATTGGCGCATTCGCTCAAATGATTTAGCCACAATAACTGACCTTCCGAATGTTGGCCTGTCAATTTGTTCATCAAGGTACTCTTTCCGACTGAAGGAAAACCGATGAATCCTCTGTGTTGGGGTTAGGATCGCGCGTTTCAACAAAGATCTCTTCGAAGTGCGGAACGTACACACTAGCAACACCAGTACGAGCAACATCGAAACCAGCTGCAACATCTCTGTTAGCATATTTTCATCATCCCGATCGAATGCAGTACTTACCACCTCCGCCTCCACCACCACCAGACGGGGTCAAGAGCTCTCGCTTTAGCTTCGCAAGCTTAGCCTTCAACTGTCCTGCAGCGTCCTGTCAACCTCAATTCAAACCACGGTCGTGTTGCTGTTGTCGTTGTTCTGCGTACCCAAGTGGTAGGATGTGTTTTTGTTTTTTTGAGTCCGAGCCATCTGAAGAAACGAATTAATGTCGACAATCCTTTAACGTCACAAGTACAGTCGCTGCGCGGTATTCGACACGAACCTCGTCCTCGACTTGCTTGATCTACATTGGTACATTGCGCGTTAGCAAGATTTCTTTTGTCACTATGCGAGGCTAAAGCAAAGCAGTTTGCGACATGAGCGAACCAACCTTCTCAACTGTGGTCGACATTTTGGCGGGTTGTTACGAGTTTTACCCCTCGTACAGGCACAATATTAAGTCCCAAAGAAAAGAAAAGAGATGGACAAAGTGAAAAGTCTAGGTATATATGCAGGGTCCCCGGGTCCTGTGGGATATGATTTATGTCACACGTTCTCTCCAGCCGTGGTGGTTAACCAGGAATGCAGACTCGCAGTTTCGCAGACAATCTTTGAAATTGTGGCCGCCACTTCATTCGCCGCTTAGTCGGGCAATGATCACATGGTGGGGCCTCGTCGCCTCAGGCAGCATTCAGGCATCCCCGCGGGAGGCGGCGTTCTTGCCGGGTATGCTTTCCTTTCCTCGAGCATTCCTTTGGCTCAATGGCTAATATTCATTCTTTTTAATCATCCTTATTCTGCCAAGCGACGATATCTGATCCTATCCATACCCATCGAGCTCATCCATTGATCAATCTATCACTACTATCCAAGAAACAACCCCCGCACTCTATCCACACCAGAACACATACATTTTCTCGTTTAAATCGGATTTAAATTCACGCAAGACCCAAATCGAGCAAGGTGAGGAGCGAACCTAGTAAAGGATGCCCTTCCTCCAATCTGCGGACCCACCCGGCAATGCGTTCGAGCAATTGGTGCGCGATCTCAGCGAAGCCCTAGGTCCAAGCTCGGGCCTCGACTCCGCCGATGTCGACCCTCTGGACATTCAGCGTCTCATGTCGTTCTATATTTCGAACCCAGATGAATGGCAAGATTTTGCCCTAGGCGATGTCAGTAGGGCGTACACCAGGAATCTCATCGATGAAGGCAACGGGAAAAGTAACCTTGTGAGTCCTACCATACTATACAATATATACAGAGCTATGATAGGATATATCATATGCAGGAACATATACTTTTTCTTCCACTCCTACTAAATACCACGTGGGTTAATTCTAAACTAATAGCAGTATAGTTGATTCTGGTCTGGAGTCCCGGCAAAGGAAGTCTGATTCACGATCATGCCGGTGCTCACTGCGTCATGAAGGTATGTACATACACACGTACCTACCTGCCACGATTATTTCGACTAGAACTCACAGTATCCTTCTCTTTAAACGGCACAGATCCTCAAAGGCTCCGTCCAAGAAACGCTTTACTCCTGGCCTGACCAGAACAGAATCAAACACGGACAGGCCTCGCCTCCGCAGGTCAAAAAGGTGACCACGTACAACGAGAACCAAGTGACTTACATGTCTGACAAGGTATGTATCCCCCTTCCGATCCGATCCTTATACATGACTTCCATCCGCATAACCAAAGAAATCCCCACCAAACTAACAATACCCCCGGCTGGGGAAACTCACAAAAGATGGGTCTCCATAAAATCTCCAATCCCGATCCTCACAATGTCGCCGTTTCGCTACATCGTACGTACCAACCAGATCCCATCTCCTTGATCCGTGTTTCCTTTTGATCAAGCTTGCTTGATCAAGTAGACATGGGCCTAACCCACTGACGTCCATCCAGTCTATACGCCCCCTAACGCCGCAAAGCGAGGATTCTCCATATTCAACGCCGAAACCGGCAAGGCGATACATGTCAAACAGTCGCATTTCTACTCCGTCCGAGGCCGGCGATGTTCGAATCCAGCGTCTTAGGTTGTGATGGAGGTTGTTTACATTCGATTAGCGGTTTAGACTTTGGCTGTTGGTCACTCCTCCAGTTATCGTTATGTTTCCAGGTGTTTTGGGGGCTTGGAGCTGGACTAGGTTTACTGTTTTATTGTTATTCATATTCATGACGGAACAATGACCAAGGGCGTATTATTATTTGGGTTTGTTTGGGAATAGACCGATACACAAATAGATCAATTCAGGGACCGAACTAGCATGATAGCTTGGACATGTTGATTTTCCTTAAAAGTCTGCCCTACATGGATCCTGCTGGAGATTTGGAAACTTGCCAAAAAGAGAAAAAGAACACGAATAGCCATTCGCTCCTAATACTGCATGCATGGACAGTATTTCTATCCACGAGAGAATAATGCTATGCATAATGTACAAAAAGTGGCAATGACGTCAGACAGCTGCTAGCACAGATGGCGGGGCAAAATTCAACACGCACACGAGATCAGGAAAAAAGACATGCAAAATGAACATGAAAAGAAAAATCAAGAACAAGAAAACAAGGCGTGCCAGTGACAAATGTGAGATATAAGAAAAAAAGCAAGACAAGCAAAACAAAAAAAAAAAAAAAAAAAAAAAAAAAAAAGCAAAACGCATCATCGTTGGACCCATTATTCAAATTCAAAACCCTTCATTCAATCCGGACGTAATTCTGCGGCTGCGGCTACAATCCGTTCAGTGAGTAGACCTGGGTTCTCTAGAACCTCGGACTGACGCCGTTGGAGCTCTTCGAGGCATGTCAGTGGATTCTGTTAAAGTCCAGTATAAGTATGCCGCTCGAAGGAGATGCAAAAACACATCAACCGTGACACCCACCCAGTCCTCCTGGTTCGGCACTCCTTCGGCGATGGGCAGTTGGCCCGCGGTGTATTCCTCTTCGGGGGTGTAGGAGACATATGACGATCTTCTGATGGGCATGGGTGTCACTGGTAGACTGGGACGCTCGATCTCACTTGGAAAATGAGTCAATCGCGTGTCTGAGTCAGGCGCCGTTATCGTTTGGCCTGAAGATCCATGGCCAGAGCTGGATGCGCCCGATATTACCTGGACCCTGGCTTTTCGGGCTTGCTGGATAGATTGGATATATCGTTGGATCTCTGGGACGTCGTCCCATGCATTGGACCTGGAGTAGTTTTCCCATGACTCAGGAGGTTCGCTGTAAGTCCAGGTAAATGCTGATTCTAACGACTGCGTCGTCGAGTCTTCTTTGGAAGACTCCGTAGAGATCCTTGTGCTACTCGGACTCGGAAGTGAAAGACTTCCTTGATCGTCATTCACAAACACCCGGGTGGGCTTGGGCATGTGACTTTCCCAAGGAAATATTTGCGTAAGTTTCTCAGGCTCGGGTTTCGTTTCAGGAACATCATAGTACATGTTCTTGGGGGCTTCCGGGTATGAGACAGGCGGTTGGAACAGCTGGTTATCCTCTGACATGGTATAAGTCTTCATTTCCAAAGCAATACCTTCAGGCTTGCTATTTAGGGGCGGAGGTTCACTTTATTTTGTAAGTTTACATTAGAAAACCAGTCATTGGATTGTTCAACTTACTGAGGTGCATCCCATTCAGCCTTGGGGGCTTCGAAAGTTGGGGTTTCAGGTCTCGGCGTGGATCGCTCTGACGAGTGTTCCTCCTCTCGATGAGTGAATTCCTCTGGTTCCCCACTGGGTTGGGTCTCAATAACATCCGAAGACGGCGGGTATGAGATCGGTTCGCCGACACTTGGTTGGACCCAGGTTCGTTGCTCTATATGCGTGACAGACGGTGCCCCATGAGGTTGTGGCTGGATGTAAGCCGATATGTGCTCTTCTCCACGGACGTATTGTGGAACAGCACTGAAGAAAGGTGCTTGCACATTTCGGTCAATATTTGACTGGGATACCTCAGTTTGTGGCTGTGGGACTTCGACAGGTGGTTCTTGAGTAGCGGGCTCATGAAATTCACTGGGCTCGGCTTCATATGGTGTAGAGTCTTCCTTCCCCGGTTTTGGCTGCGGCGCAGGAATTGATGTCCATGACGGCTCTGGATGTACCGCAGGTTGTGTTTCTACCGGTGGTCTTTCTACCGGTGGTCCCTGAGGGCTCGGGAAACTCTGGTCTGATGGAGCATATTGAGAAGTTTCCGACGATGGTTCCACGGGCGGGCCCGGTTGATGGGTTGGAAGATCACCTGGAAGAGGAGTGGGTTCGGCCTCCGGTCGATAATTGTATTCCGGTACACTCGCATCTGATACACTCGCAGCTCTCGCGGTCGGACGATAATGCCGATCGTAAATGGCCCACCACCTGCCTAGCAACTGATTATAAGGTGAATCAGCCGGTGCCACCTGCCTCGACATGTTCCATGGTTTCTGGGACCCAATGAAATGGATCATGTTAATTGTACTCTGGAAATGTTTGTAGGCCGGTACGTATTGATAGTTTGCGCTGGGGGTGCAGTTATAGGTGAAACTGAGCCGATGCCAGTCCTTGAAATGCAAGTTCAGCAATCCCTGGTCCGCGCCATCAAAGCTGATGCCGCGTTCTGCAAGCGCCTGGAGGGCGAAATAATCCTCCAGGTTGGGACGCAGCACCATCAGCCCGCTGTTGAAGCAATCCGGCCAGCCGACGTCCGGCACGGCGGCGAAATCCACGTCGAGATCGAGCAGCTCGTCAGGGGCTCGGAGCGCCACAACGTCACAATCAATATATACAATGCGCCGGAACTGCGTTTGTCTCCAAAGCTCGATCTTGGTAAACGTGGCTATCAGGTCCGGGCGTTCCATCAGCCAGAGGTTCGCCGGGGTACTGTTCGTCATCGGGTGAACGGGGATAAGTTCATCGTAGATCATCTATGAGAATTCTCATTAGGGCATTGCGCATGGGACGCGACCCGGAAGCATTGGAAGATCCTACCCGAAGCTCCTGAATGGTAGCCGGCTGCAAGCTGTCCGGCGTGTAGAGGACGACTAGTTTCGCGGTCGTTCCATTGTCCCGTAAGGAGTGAGCAAGGACCACCGCCCCTAGAGAGAGAGAACAGAAGCATTTTAGGACACGTTTGACAGTCAAGGACAGCTACCGGGATGCCAATTGTTTACCAGGGAGATAATGGTCGCTCAATAGAAGCTATGGGCGCGGTCAGCACTGGCTGCGAGACTCGGAAGAGCAAAACCAACACGTACAGTGCAATAGGCTACACTCCCTTCGGAGCTCATGGTGGCGAGATGGACACCGCACGCGATTCCAGCGATGCGGGAGGGAAGGATCTATAAATAACGAAGGGGAAGGTAAAACAGGGAGAGAGATTGCGAGAGGAAAGACAGTCGGAAGAAATTGAGGACCGGTCGGAGGCTTTTGTTATGATTGCCCCCTCGTCTAGAAAGTGACGTTTAGGGCCGACCCCGCATAAGCTCCAGCAGTGGCTGCAGGATCTCGTGCGACGGTTTGAAATGAAGCCTTCCACCGGGGCTGCATTCCGTTGACCGAGCTGCCTGGAGAATTTACGAACACGTTGCTTCAGCCATTGGCGATGCAGCAAGTCGAGGGGAGAAAAGAAAGAGGATGAAAGCCAGAGAAGAAAAAATGCAGCCACGACGGGAGGCAGTCCCGGAGGCAAAGCAAGGAGGAGAAGCGATGAGGGGAAGAAAGACGGAGGCGACGCCCCGTGCGCCGCGCATCCCGTCGGGTGGTCTCGCCAGGGGGGTTGCCTGCCCCTTTCCATCGCAGAACTTAACATTACACAGGAACGCTCAAGGCGCTTGATGCAGCCCTCTGTACAGCGAATTTACGGTGATACCCGGTCCTAGCCAAAGAGCACGAATCCGACTTACTTGCGGACGGTCACCACAGCTCCCGGATAGCAGCTCTGGATGGCAGCTCCGACATCCTCCTTCTCGCCCTGAACCGCCCATTCGACTGCCTTTTCCAGTGCCGCACGACTCTCCTGCTCCAACGGGGTGAAATGGCCGGATCGAGGAAGCTCGATGACCTGGCTGTTCTGGACAAGGTAATCACCAATCCCGACCAGGCACAATCGCGGATCAAGCGCAATGTCGGCCTTGCCCCAGACAAAGGTCGCACTAGCCTTCAGGGCCCCCTTCGGGCCTTCGTCAAACAGTCCGGTGCCGGAGCTGGCTCGGCGGAGATGCTTGCCCTGTTGAATGTTGTGCAGATCAGCGATGGTTTCAACCGACTTCTGCCAGCGCGCGAGGGCCGTATTGTCCCGGTAGTAAGATGCCATGTGCATGAAATTCGAAACGGTCCGTTCCTCAGAAATCGAAGCAGGGTAGCCTTGACCGTCGGCGGTCCGGGTCTTGAGTTCCTCGGCGGACGGGCCCAGTGTACTCGCCATGCAGTCGGCAGCGTCCAAAGCAGTATACTTATCAGTTCCGTACGATTTCTTGTGAGTCAACTTGAGGAATGAGTAGTAGCCGCCCGTGCCGAGGTACTTGACGAAGGAAACGGGCATCCTCACGGCGAAAATGTACCCCGAAAGGCTCAACTGTCGAGCGACGGGTTGAAGGGACTTCAGCGCCTTGAAAATAGCTGCGCGAGACCGAATCGGAGAGCGCAAGGAAGACTTGAGGATCATGAAAGATGACGATAGCAATCGGCGAATGTTGGACACAACAAGGCGAGTCTGATCACTAGGTCAATCTTGGTCACACAATCTCTGTGCAGGTAAGCTTACCAGTGGGCCGTTGCTGAGAATAAACCTGTCGGCCAACTCAGGAGCCTCGGACGCAAGTCGCATGGAAAGAACGCAGCCCCAGTCATGGCCAACGATGATCGTTCGCTTCTGGTTGGCCCCCGTCTCGCCGTCGACGCCATACTTGGACCTGACGGCCAAAATAAACCCGGTCAAGTTCTCGAGCACATCGGTAGACGTGTATTTATCCAGGCCGTCAGTACCGCCATAGCCAGGCAAATCAGGCGCGACGACCGTTGCCCCCTCCTGAATAGAAGAAGAGCCGAGGATGTTGCGCCAGATGGCCCAGCTATCGGGGAAACCGTGGATGAAAATAACCAATGGCTTGCTGTCCGCTGCAGTCTCGGGCAAGTCGTTGCAGACGTAGTGGAACTTGAATCCGTTGCGCAAGGTGATGATCTGGTGGTGCAGGCCAGACGGGGTCTTCGAGAGGTTCCACAGGCTATCGCGAGCTGCAATTGGGATGAAATCGTCAGCTTGGCGATGCGACCACAGCAGCACGCACTTCGCATGCGCAGAGCCGACCGGCCCTGTGCGAAGACAAGTAGTTGAAACGTACCTAACTGCAGCTCCAAAGTCTCTTTTTCATCCGGGCGCCGGAAAAAATATCCCGTCCTCACCGCACTATATCCATAGCAAAGCAAAGTAAAAAGCCCATAGGCAAAACACACGGCCTGTTTCAGACCTTCGAAAAGTGGGTTGGTCATGATGGCGCCAGGAGAGAGAATCCTTGCCTTGGCAAGAGAGTCTTGGGCGGAGAATCTGGACTGTGATCGAAGAATCAACGATGACAGACACCCAGGAGAGGGAGAGAGAAGTCTGGTATTTATAGGTGAATGCTCCAGATCCCACGGTGCTACTCGGGATTAGCGCAGCCGTTGGACATGGTTCTCTTCCGCCGCCCCGCGTTCATTGGCTCCGTCGCGGCGCAAGTGGGGCAGTCCATGTGATGACGACGTGCCTCATCCTTCAGGCAGGCGAATGCACGTGCGATGCCGTCCTGTTCGGGCCGGTGGCAACTTGTCCGGCGGATTTCTCATGCGCTCCATTTACAGTGCATAGAACATTCACAAGACAACTTGTCTCTCCTGCTATTGTCGAGGCAACGACAGGCCACTACAGGGGACAGATGCAATGGTCCGCACACACGTTACACGGATGCAGCCACATGAAGAGAAAAATAGCATTGTAGAGGATAATGATCAGAGCGCAGAACAATTAACGAATAAACCCCCGTAACTCCATTCACCCCTGAAATGCAGCCAGACCATGCAAAGCTCAGTCCACTAAAAAAGACGCTTGCGGGTATCGACTCGGAGCGCAAATAATGCAGAGATTGAAGCACAATCATACCCTGATGAAACGGTCACTCATAAGTTCGTGTCACATGTACATGCAAGAAAGGATACAATGGGCATTCATCTCTCAACCCAAAAGATCAAAGAACAAACCCCAGGTTTTCGCGATTGTCGTCGACGAGACGTCCGTACCTGTCAACCTAGATTAGACAAATAACTCGGCTTTTCCATGAATATTCACTCACTCTAGTAACAACCGGAAAAGCCAGACTTCCATATCGTCTTTGCGCAGAGCACTTTGCGCCCAGTCGCGGCTCTGCTGAGCAAGCCGCGGAGCTGCAATCTTGCCTTCTTCTTCGGCAATAAAGTACCGCATAGTCTCCAAATACTCCTCTCCTGTCAACCCCAGAGGGACGTAATGTACCCACGGTTTGACCCATTCATCGTGCCATTCACGAAAGACAGACACCTTGCAGACCAAGCTCTTGCTTTGCAGGAAGGCATAATACCGGCCACTAAACGCGTTGCCGTCAATATCCACCAGATACTTGTACGCCCAAGCCTCTTGCTGCTCTACTGGCTCCGCCAGCCGGAAGTATTCTCTTTGAGCGGCGCAGTCTTGCGAGTCACACTGTCCGATCGAAGTAAAGCTAACATCGAACAGATCACGATATGCATTGCGGTCCACCTCGTTTGACCTCCAGCGGCCAGTCTCATCCTTTCTGAGGACCTTCGCTTTGTTCAAGGCATTGATATGGCCGACGAACAACTGTCGATGGTGTCGCCGCCAACCACCACCTCGAGAGAATCCGCCCGTCGTTGATCCTCTCCAGTACATTTTATCCTGTTTGTCTTCCCAGTTAAAGTCACGCGCTTCGATGTAAGGCACGTTATCAGCCCAGTACCACGGGCTGGGATAAAGAATGTCTTGGAAACTCGAGATCTTGCTTTGTGAGAAAACTGGGAAGAGATCCCGCACGACATCAAAGGCATTCGCGCGCTCTAAAAATCCGAATTTGTTCCGGAGAGACGGCGAGGTGCATATGTCGGAGAAAGCCGTGGTATTGTAGACATAGCCAAGCTCACCGAGAGCATAAGCATCAACGATGTCGAGTGCATTCTCATCAAGGGAGCGAGCAGGACTATCTACCGGACAGGAGGCTCGGGAGCTAGTCCAAGTAGGTTGATGAGCAAAGCGATTAAATCGAGTTGTCCGGATTTCGTCGATGCGATCGCCCTTGTTTAATTCAGCCGGCTTGGGTGACCACGCGTTGACTGGCCTTTGGTTCTGAAAAGCGCTCGGGATGGCATGGTCCTTGGCGATGCTGACCAGCCTTTGCAAATCTTCGCTGGGAAGAATCACTCGTGGCTCATCGTGTGCATTAAACACCAAGTCCATGTCGGGAAGATGTTTGATAAAGCTCTTCATCATGCCGGCGGTGGCATCTCGCTGCCATTGTTGCTCCTCAGTACCACCCTCGACCAGAGTGACCTTTCCATCTCGGATGAGGACTCCCATCATGGAATTGTCGAACCCAAGAGCCTCGTGGGCGCGTTCCCGAATCTTCTTTGGCTCCAACGCCCAGAAGGGCAAGAGGGAATGGTAGATCGTATCATACTCGTCAATAAGTTGAACACCCCTTGCTTTAGCAAATTGGAACCACTTGTCGAAGTGCGGCGGAGGGTTCATGCCATAGCGACGACGGTACTCATTTACAGCATCCGTCAATGTTTTAGACTGACGGGACCGGAGCTGGTTGAATTGCTGATCGGCATTCGAAATCAGGCCAGACATGGGGTGTTCGGTTTCAGGGAAGTCCGGGCCATGGCTTTCGGAATGCTCCGAGGGCAATTGAGGGGAGTATAAAGGAGAGGAGGAATGGGGAGGAGGAGAAGCAGGAGGAGGCAAAGGAGAAGTGTTCAATGGGGAATATGAGGGCCGATGCCCTCGAAGAAGGACAATTGAAAGGCATGCCAGAATGGCAACCACCAGCAAGGCCACCAGACGTTGAAGTCGCATTCTGCCATCGAAGAGCATCTACCCATGCATGAAGGATGATTAATGTAGTGGGGACCGAGTCAAGGGCGAGAACGGAATGGAAGGAGACGAAGGGAGGAGGGCAGAGAGTAATACTCCGGCGAGAGTCAACAAACAGATGCCAAGACCGGCCGCCCGAGTAACACCCTCGACGGGCTCCACTTCCGAGATCTTTCAATAATAATGAATCAATTCCTCCATCTTACGGAGTGCAGTTCTATCAAGATATCAAGAAGGTCCTGCTGCGTGCCACCGCTGTCCAGACACCTGCCCCCCATCCACCGATATATCCGTCCCCGTAATGAACGAAGCCTCCTGGCTCGTCAAAAACCCCACAACCCCGGCAACATCATGCACAGTGCCAATGCGACGAGATCCCGATCTCTCGACGTGCGCTAAGATGTGGTCTCGCAGGTCACCCTGCATTTCTTTCTCCAACATCGCGGTCGAGATACCGCCCGGGCTGACCGAAATGATCCGGGCGCCCTTCTGGCCCCATTGGTAGCACGCGGCCTGTACGCGGAGGACATTGCCCCGCTTCGATGTCCCATACGCACGCATCGTATCGTTCGAGTTCAGATCGAGCTCTGCATGCTGAAGAAGCTGGTTTGTGGGTGCTTTGGCAAGATGCTGCTCCAGCGAGGTAGACAGAGTGACAAATTGGGCTGCAGTGCTGGCGATGCAGATCATACTTGTTCCCGGAGAAGCCACCGCGTAGAAAGAATCGATCACATAGGCAGTCCCGACCAGGTTGACTTTGTATATCTGGGGACAACTGGTATTTGTCATCGGAGACACTCCAGCTGTGTGGACGATGACCTCAATTCTTCCGCGTCTCGAGGCGTGTTGCGCAAATTCATGGACGGCGTTGCCATCGCTGACATCTAGAATATGTCCTTCTGGCCAAAAGCCATCTTTTCGAAGGCCTTCCAAGGCCGAATCTAACCGGGTCTTCGAGGCGTCCGCCAGAAGCAATTGTCTGCTTCCTCCGATGCGACGCGCAATGGCAACGCCAATGTCGCCAGACCCGATAACGACGACCACGGGGCCACCGGCTGGCGGAGCTGGGAACAAACTTGAGGCTGAAGTCATCTTCTTTCGAGAGAAATGAACCTTATGATACGCGACGATCTTGGTTCTTATGAGGATCACCTTTCCCAGATTTCGACTGGAACCAGAAGGTAAGAAGTTGGGCCCGGATGTCCATAAAACATGAAACGTTCTTGGGTACTCTTACATGCAGGGGCGCTTATCTTAAGTAGATCTTTGTAATTCGAATCTGCAGCTAAATAAAGGGGAAAATTGCCAAACAGCAAGGAGTGGAAGGACCGAGCGCATAAATCAATCCCTGGGCGAACGGCGGACCATTCCGGCCACTGCGCACATGGGAAAACTCTATACGAGGGATTAATCAGAAGGAATGAAATCTCAGCGTCTTCTATCGATCGGGAAAGCAAACGCGACCAGTTTGTGACACGTCTTTCAAATCTGCCCAAAACCCCGTCAGCCCCTATCGTTTCACCGTCCAACCACATGCGACATTGATTCCGAACCCCAGCAAGGCCTCTAAAACAAAAGGCTGGGCCTGAGGAACATGGAAGTAGGCGGCAAAACACAAAATCCCCACCAACAACACATGCGTGATGTAGAAAACTTGTCTTTTAGTTTTGATCGGGGCAGTAGTCCAGGACCACATCCCGCGAGACGCGCTCAACGGTCGTGTAAACACCATCAGGATTGTCACCATGGTGATTCCACCGAGACCCCATTGAACATCAGAATCCTGGATGCGCTTCGCAAGGAGCGAGCCAAAGTCGGGATGGCTGGACTGTATAAAGAAAGACAAATACAAAACGGCATGTCCCGCAAGCAACGGCGACAGGACCGTTCGGCCCAGAAGCCGATGATAGGGTGTCAATGCTGGCTGGGGGATTGCAGTCAAAACCGATAGAGGCGATGGAGCTCCTGGTTTTGAAGGAGCTATGTATAGAGCAGGAGACATAAGCACCTGAAAGGGGAGCTGCGAGAGAGCAACATGGCCTAACGCTTTGGTGAAATGCAGATAATCTGACCAAGCAATTAGTTGGGATTCCTGAGAGAATATAATACAAGTGAAGAGGAGTACTTACCATCCCCTGTATTCCAGATCGAGAGGCTCACCAGCCATACTAACCAGAGGAGAGAGACGATATGTTGTTTTCGTGTTTCGGTCCACCCTGCGAAGGGCGGCGAATCCATCCAGGATTTTGGCTTACGAGCGCGCCTATTGTTGGGCTTCACTGCGCCCTTGGTACGTTCGGAGTAGACATGATATAGCCGAACAATGGCAATGACCAGCAGCACAGAGCCTTGAGCGTAGTATCCTCGGATATCTAGAAGCTCTCGGCGTTGTTGTTTCTCAGCTGGCGAGACGGTCACAAAGTGCCAAGGCCACGTGAGTGACATCGCGGCAGAGTAAAAGGGGTTTTTGTCTGATAGTCTGATCCAAAGAATCTGAACAGTAGACCAATGGTAAAGAAACAGGAAGATGTGCTGAGAGTGGTGATGTGACACGCGAATGAAGAAGGGCTGAGGTGTGAAAGTGGCCCATTCCGAAGTGCCTGACTAACTCGCCGCCTGCCACTGGCCGACACGAGAAGGAAAAAAGATGCCCCATGCCACTCCGTTCAGAGGACTTCACCTATGCTTGCTTTGCACATAAACAACGCTCTAACGTAAAACACCACCATTGGATTTTCATAGGATTATTTGATAGTGGACCAAAAAGAATCTACATTGCATGCGCCATGAAGCATTTCATCCTAGTCAGGTGACCCGACCATTTCTAAGCCGACAATTCGTCATTCCCCCCAAAAGTAGCGTGAGTATACCATTTTTCGTGTCCCACTCGTAAGAAAGGGGTCTCACAACAAGTGTGGGTAGGTAGGTGTCCGAGACCTACGCCGAGCCAGGGCAATCGCTTACGGTGAAGTCTGCATCACCTCCTCGTGGCCGCCTGCGGCAGTCGTGGCAAAGTACCGGACATCAACATCCTCATCCTGTTGCAGCTTCTCTAGGCTCGGCAGAACCCTCTGCTGAATGAGATCCTGGCTCCGTGGCGATTGAGTGGCCGTTTTGCCAGACTTCTCCAGGTCCGTCAGGGTTCCCTCCGCCGGCAGGCGGCGCATGGTGTCAATCAATACTGCGTAGGACTTGGCAACGTTGAAGCGGATGTTCGGGATTTCATCGGCCACGAGTCTGTCCATAATGGGGAGAATCGAGTTTTCAATGATATCCAGGGAGACAACGGGCGCGAGCGTCTAGATGCATGCGTTAGTACGTGATTTTCCCCGGGGAGAGGTGGAAAGGTATGCATACCGAGATAGCGAAACACGTTGTCATTCTGTACAGGTAGTTGGGGTGCTGTCCCATAGCCATGACCTTGGGGATGATAGATCCCTTGGCCCAGTCAACGCCGAAGACTTCTGTGAGCTTCCTCAGATTTTGCGTAGCGGCCTCTCGAATGGAGAAAACGGTGTCACCAAGCCACCCCATGCAGAGATCACTGAGCTGTTCGTCGAAGAATTTGACTCCCAGCTGGCTAGCAAGCAGAGGAATATACTCAATGATAGCGAGGCGAACTCGCCATTGCTTGTCCTCAGCCAGTTGAACAATGGCGGGGAGAAGCGACTGGGAGAGTAGTTCAATGCCAATGACTGTAAAAACAATGTTAGTTTACGCGCATCTAAGACAAGCATTCACCGAGATCCAGGGCTTACCCTTGTTAACTAGCTCCAACTTAGAAATGATGTGCAGACGGACATCCGGGAATTCGTCCTTGAGCATCTGGAGGAACATGGGAAGAAGATGGGCGATTGTCCTGAGTATCTACGGTTAGCGACTTGATCAAAATGATCGTATGGGATTGATTTGCTTACTCGTCCTTGCCGAGGATGGGCGCAAGACCACTGATTTGAGTACCCAAAGCCGCACGCACGTGCTGAGAAGGATCCGAAACGAGATCTTCCACGCTGGTCATGATTTCGTTGAGCAGCGTCTCCCGATCAATCAAATTGCAGAAACCTATTTCGGGATTAGTCGATTTTCATTTCAGGTAGACTCAAAAGAGACATACCGGGGATTTGGCCCGCAATCGCAGTGCGGACTTCAGCTTCGGTATCCTTCAGAAGCTTAACGAACGAAGGCACCATATCCCGGGTCACAACTTCCTCGTGCACGGCTTTAGCGATCTAGAGATAACGTTAGAGTGACGTTCGTCGGCAAGATAGCACGAAAAAATAAAAAGGGCAGACCGACCTTCTCATATCTATCGGCAACCATGTACCTGACCCGCCAGCTCTTATCCTCGAAGAGGTTCCGCAAAGAAGTCAACAAGACACCGTGGCTGGGCTGTTGCTCCTTCGGGATCTCCTCGGCGATCGCAATGAGAATATCGACCGTGAGCAGACGCACGCTGTCCTGGTCGTCGTTGGCCAGGTATTGGAACAGGGGTATCATTTCCTCGATCACGACTTGGGCGTTCAATTCCTTCACAAACTTGGCGAGGTTATTCGCTGCCTGTCTTCTCACCATGGGCGTTTCATCGTGTACGAGACCTCCGAAGTATTGGCGGAGGCTTTGCTGCAGCGTCTGGGGGGCCTTGCTGTACGGAGCACAGTAGAGGCCAGTCGCGGAGACCTTTGAGGTGAACCAGTCGGCTTTTGAAAGTCGTAGCACCATGGGAACGAAGTAGTCTTCGATTTGCTTTTGGGAAAGCTGCTCGCCGATCTTGTTGAGAGACTCCACGGCCTATGAAATGGTCATTATAGTTGTTCACGCAGCATCCTGCATCGCATCCTACCTTCTCTCGAACCAAGGGTTCCTCAATGGCGGCCAAGTTCTCCAGAGGAGAAAGGAGAACGTGTCCGAACTCCGAGCCACCAACATACTCTGTAAAGTTACCCAGCTCTTCGCTCAGTGCAGTCAAAACTTCATCCTCATCCTCGACGGAGTCTAGGAGTGTTGAGTGTTAGGCGGATTATGCCACTAGAGAGAGGCGGCTACAACTAACCATCAAGGAATGGAATCAGTTCCTCGCGAGTCCGCTCGGGCCCCAAGGCCAGAGCGATCGTGGACAGACGGTGAATGGCATTGAGACGGAGGAGGACGTCGTCATGCTAGAAGGACCAATCATCAGAAATTATTACGTCGAGGACCACGGGAGGGCCACCAGGGACACCGCACCTTCAACTCATCGATAAGCACGGCGATAGGGTAGAGCTCGTCGTTTTCACCCTGACCCTCCATGGCGACTGTGATGGATTATATGTGAACTATGTGCTCGGGAGAAGGAAAAGGCGAGGGGCGAGGATGTGACCGGTCCCAGTCCTCACTCAGGCAGCGAATGAATATTGCTTGGACCAGGTCTCACGCGGAAGACGGCGAGAGGATTCGGAGGGGATCTAGACACGAGGGGCAGGCACCAAAAAGAGGAACGACCAAGTTTAGCACCTGCTCGGATCCGGATTAGCCTGTGTGGTCGAGGGAGGCGTGGTGGTATAGGAAGGGAGAAATAGTGGGTGCTGCGAGAGACCCCCGGAGCGAGGTTTCGTGGGGTTTGGGCCGCCGCAGGACGACAGGTGAGTAACAGCAGAGCAGCAGTAGCGGCAGCATACCTCGACAATTGGACTGGGGGCAAACTAGCGACAGGCCGAAGTCCTTGGGAGTAGCAACAAAGGGGGAGGGGAAATTAAGGAAGGGTTCGGCAGCGTGGGAAGGTAGGAACGGAGAAGGGGGGAGGGGGGAGCAATCTGATAGAAGAGGACCAGGTAACCGGGACGAATCTTGCGAAGAGAAGATGACGGTCTGCTGGCTGTGGCTGGTGCGGTTGGCCTGATTTTCGAGGTTTGGAGGGGTGCCGTGGCGGTGCGCCTCTGTGGCTGGTGGCTGGCGGTCCGCCCGCCGAAGAGGGTCAAGCCCCAAGCAGCAAAAGTGCGCCGTTATCACTTATGACTCCGACTCCTGCCAGCGCAACGCCGTGATCTCTCCCCCCCACTTCGTTCTGCTGAGATTCCTGGCCGTTAGCGGTTGATTCGTGCCCTGCCGATTTCCCGGTGTGAGCATCTTTCTGGTCGCCTGTTTCTGGTCTTGCCTTGTTTCCATCTGCGCCGCGCATTCAAGACCCCTCCATCATGCCCACCATCTCGGTCGACAAGGCCGCGCTCTTCAAGGAGCTCGGTCGGGAGTGCGCGATCCCCCCGATCCCGGTTTTGGAGACCTGTCACTGACCGTCTGGCCTGCAGATATACCACCGAGGAGTTCGATGAGTTGTGTTTCGAGTTCGGTATGTTGACTGGGCCGTTGCAGCGGGGTGCATGCTAACATGAGTTTGATTGATAGGTATTGAACTTGACGAAGACGTAAACGACCCCTCTGTCTCCTCTACCTCTGTCTGGACGCCTTCCTAATCGTTGATGATCTATAGACGACGGACCAGGACCGACCAATCGTGGATGGAAAGCAGGTCGCGCCTGAGTTGAAGATCGAGATCCCCGCCAACCGGTACGCTCCCTCCGATGCCCACGTGGATTGATAATACAAAGCGCATGGAATTGAGTGGTTTTACAGATATGACTTGCTGTGTTTTGAGGGAATTGCCCTCATGCTCAACATCTTCTTGGGTAGACAGCCTATCCCCAACTACAAGCTCTCCCAGCCGGCCAACGGAGAGCTTGAGAAAATCATCGTGAAGGAGGACGTAAGTGGCACAACGATGCACTTTTTGCGAATCAATCTCACCTAACAATCGGCAAATAGACCATGAAGATCCGTCCGTTGGTTTCCGGCGCTATCCTCCGCAACATCAAGTTCGACAAGGCTCGCTATGAATCTTTCATTGCTTTGCAGGACAAGCTGCACCAGAATCTTGCTAGACAGAGAACGCTGGTTGCCATTGGTACTCACGATCTCGACACGATAAAGGGACCTTTCACCTACGAAGCCCTGCCGCCGAAAGATATCAAGTTCACCCCTCTGAACCAGACCAAGGAGTTGGATGGAGAGGAACTGATGGCTTTCTACGAGGTATGACTCAGGCATGCGGTAGCTGACCACCGTGGATGCTAACAACTGTTACAGAAAGACAGACACTTGGGTAAATACCTCCACATCGTCCGGGACTCGCCTGTCTACCCGGTCATCTTTGACTCCAACCGCACCGTCTGCTCGCTGCCGCCCATTATCAACGGTGACCACTCGAAGATTTCGATGGACACCAAGAATGTCTTCATTGAGATCACGGCCCTTGATAAGACGAAGGTTGAGATCGTCAACAAAATCATGGTTGCGATGTTCTCCCAGTACACGTCGGAACCCTTCACGTATGAAATTCCCCTGGCCTATTTGGTTGGAAATCGAGTTGTGCTAACGTGCCAATCAACAGCATTGAACCTGTCCAGATTGTGTCCGACCACAACAACGCGACTAGAATCACCCCGGACATTTCCCCCCGCACGACCCAGGCCGAGGTTTCCTATATCAACCAGTGCTGCGGTCTGGACTTCTCTCCCGAGGAGATCTGCAACCTGCTGAAGAAAATGGCCTATGACGCCAGACCGTCTAAGACCTCCCCTAACCTTGTAGATGTGGACATTCCCCCAACCCGCGCGGATGTGCTCCACCAGGCAGACATCATGGAGGATGTTGCCATTGCGTACGGATTCAACAACCTTCCCCGTTCTTTCCCTAGCAAGTCTGGCACCATTGCCCAGCCTCTACCGATCAACAAGCTCTCCGATATCGTCCGAATGGAAGCGGCGATGGCGGGCTGGTCTGAAGTCTTGCCTTTGATCCTGTGCTCTCACGACGAGAACTTCGCCTGGCTCAACCGCAAGGATGACGGCAACACTGCCGTGAAGCTGGCCAACCCTAAGACCCTGGAGTTCCAGGTCGTCCGTACCAGCCTTCTTCCTGGCCTGCTCAAGACGATCCGTGAGAACAAGCATCACTCCGCGCCTATGAAGATCTTCGAAGTCAGCGACGTGGCCTTCAAGGACCTGTCCCTGGAGCGTAAGAGCCGAAACGAGCGACACTTCGCTGCGGCGTGGTACGGCAAGACCAGTGGTTTCGAGGTCGTCCACGGTCTGCTTGACCGTATCATGGCCATGCTCAAGAGCGCCTTCATCACCGGCGAGGAAGGTCTTGAGAACCAGGCCGTCAACGACTCCCAGTACTGGATCGAAGAGCTTGACGGTGAGTTTCCCAAATTCCAGATCCAAGATTCTCCCCGTTCTTTTGTGAAATGCACCAGTTACTAACGCTTTCTGGATTCTACAGAACCTACTTACTTCCCCGGTCACTCCGCCTCCATTCACGTGCGCATCGCGGGCAAGGACCACGTCATCGGCGCCTTTGGTATCTTGCACCCCACGGTGTTGGAGAAGTACGAGCTCAAATACCCCGTCAGCACGGTGGAGATCAACATTGAAGCTTTCCTATGAGCGAGAAGTGGGTAGAGGGGAGCGCATTAGAGATTAAAGTGTAGAGAGCATAGACGTGCTTGATCACTTGAGATATACGCTTAGAACGCCGGTGTTACGACCAAAGACAAAAAATGAGCCCTTTTTTTTTAGTTTGAAAAATGAATGAAAAAAGATTACAGTTGAAGACAACAGCAATGTACGGCCTCAGCCAGATGACCAAGTTCAGATGGTAACTAGAAGAAGCAGACTATTGTGTTTAAACCAAAAAAACCACTGTTCTAGAGTTCCGATGCAATGGATACAAGACTACGCAGAAGTGACGGAGATACGGGGAAATGAGACTACAGCATATACGAGATATATAAGATCTTTTTTTCCGTGATATTTTGCTTTTATGTTGATTCCAGAGAGCTGGAGTCCACCATACGCCCATGGAAAAGAAAAAAAATGTAAATAAACCGTAAATTCTTTTTTGTTTTGTTTCTTGAAGCCCCGTAATTTTCGTTTCGGACATCAATCTTTTTTCCTACCTAGATCTTTCACTAGGAAACTTTCTCTTTTTTCAGGAACAGAGTCGTAATGAGGGAGACGCCTTCCGCAGGTGTTGGAGATGCGGCGAGAAGGAAAACATTGGAAGATCATGGAGTTGTTTATTTGCGTCAGGTAAAGAAACAAGGTAGGACGACAGGAACGAAGAAAAAAGAGCAGGGCCTAAGAAAAGAAACCAGATTACTCCTGCGCAAAAGTCTCGGCGCCGGCACCTTCCTGTCCCTCCGTGGCCTGCTGCTCGGCCAGGCGCTGCTGCTCAGCGAGCTGCTGGGCGGCAAGAGCCTTGGCACCGTAGTCCTGGCTCATGGGCTGGAGGATGGGCTGCTCCTCCTTGGGCTCGATGATGGTGACGGAGTCGGGGAGAGTCTTCTGGGGGCCGGCCTTGCCCTCGGGGTCAGAGCCACGCATGATCTTGACCTTGATACCAAGGACACCCTGGCGGAGGAGAACGTGACGGGTGGCGGAGTCGATGAATTCCTTAGCGGGCTGACCGGAGTGGATCATGAATCCGTCCTAGAGAAAAAGTCGCGAGTCAGTTATACCGTTCGACGCAAGTTCTGGCAACCATTTTTCCGTTTGTTTTCGTCCCAAAATGTATACCCCAAACATCAATCGATTCCGTCGAAAACCCATCCATCCAATCCTTCCGAAAAGATTCAAACTGGGTTGCTTCTTGGGTTCAAACGTACAGTGAACTTCATGGACTTGGCACGGGCAGCACGGAGCTTTCCGGAAACGACAACCTCGCAACCCTTGGCACCGCTCTCCATGATGAAACGGAGAACACCGTAGCAAGCACGACGGACGGCCAGACCGTTCAGGAGCTTGTAGCGAAGGGACTCGCACTGAGCGACGGCGGAGAGACCGCGGTTCTGGACCTTAGCGGCATAGAGGGAGACGGAGTTCTCGGGGAACTTGAAGCGCTTCTGGATGAGGGAGGTCAACTCGCGGATGCGGCGGCCCTGCTCTCCCAGAACCTCCTGGGTGTGGGTGGCACGGATGACTATAAAGAAAAAAGAACATCCGTTAGCATTCGAAATTGATCCTTGTCGTCCATTCGTGCCAATTCCCGATCGGTCCCTTTCGCCTGAAAGCTGTTTTTCTTTTTCCCCCCTCCGTTCTTTCATCCGTTTTCGCTTGTCCCCATATCGAAAGAAAACCTGGCACGCAACAAAGCAAAGGGTGTGGATTCGAGCGACGTACTGATGTCGGTGACGGTGGGAGTGACACGGACTTCGACACCCGAGTAGCCCTCCTCAGCCAGCTCGCGCTGGAAGAACTCGTTCAGCTCGGCATAGAAGACACCGTCGGCGACGAACTTGCGGCGCTTCGAGATAGCTCCCTGGACAGCAGCCATGATTTCGTTTCTGCGGATTAAATTGGGTTGTCGAAGAAACGGCCGAGGACGCGGTGGTGGCGGAGCTCCAAAGTTGGGAAGTCGTTCGAGGGCGAAATAGTCGGCAATCGTCGAGATCAGTTTTGAGAATCCGCGTTAGTGGGGGATTTTTCGGCCGGCAAGGGCTTAGGGCTTAGGGCTCGCCACCGCCTGCTGCTTCGGGCGCCACAGGGGTCCCGTGCGTTGGTGCCTGACCCGGCAGGCAGCAAGTTATGTCATCGGATACTTCCACTGCATTTCTACATCGCAGTTGTAACATCGTGGGCAAGAGAACACAAAATCTCAGACATGCACATTCATCACAGCTCTAGACCGCTCTAGTCCAGTCCAGTGGCGGCCGACCGTTATCATAGATACATCGACATCGTTAGTCCCGTCCAGAGTGTTTTAACTAAAGAGTTGGGTTTCTCATTGCATCTCAACTTCCATCTGACTGATGGTCCGGGAACTTTGGCCATTTTCTTTGCTCTTCGAGAAAGCCAAATCCGACACTCCCGAGGTTACAGCATCCATCTCGGTTGCGACAGCCTTGGGGGACTCTCTGCCCGGTGCGCCGGTTCCAACGGAGTTCTGAGACGTCTCAACGCCGGTCAAGACTGGTGTCCTGGAGCGGGAGGCATCGCGGCTGATGGGCACAGTAGCACTGGTTGAACGAACGCCATTCATTTCCGCATCGGTCCGGCCAAACGCCTCGCTCCACCATTTGACCTCGGTCAGCTGAGGGAAAATCAGGCGCTCCTTGCCGCGCTTGTGGTCGTCCACGACAGGATCGTACTGCGGGTTGAGGAATTGTTCCCTACGAGCGAGGAAATAATCCCACACGCTTCGAGTCCGCTCTTTTGCTTTCCATTCCACCCGCTCTTTTTCGCTGTTAAAGAGGAAAGTGCCAAATTGGCACGAGTAGAGGTGGTAGAGTAGCCGCCGCAGAAACCGTTCATTGAACTCGAAACGTGTAGGGTATTGGTGCAAGAGTTGATACGTCGCATCCAGGAACTGATGGAAAACGGGGCTTGTCTCCTTCACCTTCGTCACTTCTTTCTCGGGGCCAGACGACCTGGGTGGGCTGGGTTTCTTAAGGCCGGGATTATCAGAGTCATAGCTTTGCATCTCTCCCTCTGAGTCAGGAAGCGAATCACGACTAGTATTGTCCCGATTAAAAAAGCCTTTGGCGCTAAGGAAAGCGTTCTCAATAGCCTTTCCAGCCCCTCCGGCTTCACCGAATCCGCGGTTGGGGTCGCCCCCGATTCTTTCATTCTCGATCTGAAACCATTTGTCGCTATTCAGGTGACCAGATCGATGCCGGAACATGTGTCCGAAGGAAAGCCAGTCCTTTTCAACCAACACCATGAATCCTTCCATGGTCCGATAGTAAGGATCCAGACATATTTGACTCAAGGCACTTAATTGACTGGTTCGGTCCCATCCATCGGAGCAATGAATCAACACATGCGAATGTTGAAGTCCAACCTGACGAGCGATCAAGCCCGCGCCGTCTAAAATGCCAGAAATATGCTTCAGCCATCCACTGCGCGCAAGAAGGTCTTTATTTGGTCCTAAAGGCGTAACATCAGACTCCTTCAGCGCATCAACCACCTTGTTCAAGGAGTCCCTCATGACATGGATATTGTCGATCCCGAGATACGCTTTCGTCGCGAACTTATAGTTGTCCATGTTTTCCGAGCCAAGACCCACGGCTTGCATAGCAAAGGCGTTGACAGTTGGTCGAGCGTCGACAATCAAGTTATTTTGCTGAGCCCCATACACATGAGGTTTCTTTTCCTCGACGTCACCTTGGAACGATGTCAACATCTCGTCTTCCAGCTCCTCTGCGTTGGTTAGAGTAATCCCCGTCTGGCTATTTGACATTTCACCTTGCGTCGAACTGGACGATTCGCTTTCCAGCTGCGGCGGAGTAACTCCTGCTAGCGGTCGCTCCGAGCGAGAAGTTGAGAAAATCGCGGCTAATAGCTTCTCATCCTGAATGCTCCGGTTCTGACGCACGCCCACCAGAGGCTGCGAACTTCGGGTGATCGAGCAATTGTTGATAGGATGAAGATATGTCAAGACGGGGACTCTTGCTCTCGAGCGATAGCGTCCCGCATAATTGAGCGTATTGTCGGAAATGGCGGAAGGAATGGGGAAAATCGCAGGGTATGTCGGGGAAAACTGGATGATTGAGGTCAACAAGATGTCTTCAGAAGACACAGGAAGAATAGTTTACCCCATAGTCCGTATTTATCTGAGATAGACGCCACCCATGGCCATCCCGGTCCACTCCTTGCCTGGCCCACTCTTTGCGAGGGTCGTACAGCTCCCACCCGTTGTGCTCACGCTCGGGGGGAGGCGGCTGGTAGGCAAATGCATAAAGTTTATCAATTCGGCCCACCTTGCATGTCCACGCCTTGATGCTTTCATATACCTCACGCGCCTTGGTTTCACTGGCGAAATATAGGCATACGAACGCAAAATCTCGACATCGCAGGCGGATTGACGAAGGCTGGCGGGAAACCGCAGGGGTTGGGCGGTAGGTGCAGAAGGATATTATCGGATAGGTGATCCAAAGCTCCCTAGGTTTTGGGGGAGGGTTTTGAGCTGGCGCGTTGGTGGGAGTCGGAGGTACGTGGGAGAAGATGATATGGTGAGGGGTGAGGTGGAGGGTGCCAACGACTTGTTCACCACGACGCGCCAAGGTCACATCGTCAACCTTTGAGAGACCAAAAGACACAGATTAGATCATTGTCACCCCGGAGATATCGGAGAGGCAGCGTACCTTGGCGACCCGTGTTCTCTCCATGCCTTCGCTATTACTTGAACCGCCCAACCTTCATGGCTGACCCTTCATTGAGAGCAGATGAGTGGCAGTCCTGGAAAATAGGAAGGGTAAGACTGAGAGATAATGGATGCAGTATATGCTCGATAATATCGACAGAAAAAAAGCAGCCAGAGCAGAAACAGAGAGAGGAACGGAGTTTAGTGGAGGCTGGAGCCGGAGAGAGGATTTCCGGGGACAAAACCAGCGGGCAGCACGGGACCGGTCAGATGCGGAGCCCCTCGCTAACCAAACAACTCGTCGACGTCAAGGTCCAGTGATTCCTCCTTCCTGCTTCACTTCCCTCCGCCTCCGCGATTTGGCATCCTTCCACGGTCTTGTGCTCGAGGAGGCCTGACTCGCAGGCTTTAAATTCCACAGAGTCCCTCTGGACAGTAATCTATTCGCCAAGTCGGCTTTCTTTATACTTCTCTCTGCTACTTGTCGTGAGACCTGTTACTCCTGCGCCTGGAGGCTCTGTTTGTCGCCAATCGGGCACCTACCTCTAGCTACCTGATTGCAGATCTGTCTAATAAATCTTCCTGCCCGAATTATACCACCGTGACCCCATCTCATGCTCAGCGACACATGTCCAAAGCGCATTAGCTCATGTAACGGCAGCCACTAACCAACTTCTTTGAGGGTCCTTGTATGATCATGTTTGGTTCGGGCATATCACCTCCCACTGTGGATGATGTCTTCCGATATCGCTACCAGCATGGAACAAATCTAGGATCAGTTTTCATGCATGGCCCGTGGTTGGATAACAGCGTGTTTGAAGACGACCCGAACGGCTCAAGGGAACTTGAAGCTCTGAAAAGGTTGAACCCCAGGCAACAATGCCGTCCTCAGGTTTATGAATATCTTTGAATATTCCTACTGATCTAGCGAGAAATCCCAGTTCACTCCACGAAAAAGGACTCAAGGAAACCACATCCACATGGGAAGCTCACTGGTTAGCTGCTCTAACCGAGCATGACTTGAAATGGCTCAAAGATGTCGCCAGATGTAATTCCATCCGCCTACCTATTGGCTTTTACACCCTCGGTCCGGCTTTTTGTCTAGGCACCGGCTTTGAAGGGGAGCCATCGCAGGTGTATAGCAGCTGCTGGAACACACTAAAGCACCTGGTTCTAAAATGTCAACTTTACGGTATTGGAGTCTTGATTGATCTTAAAAATATCCCAGGTGGCCAGCTCTGCTCCCAGGACGAGAGTAGCGAAAATGGAAGTGTTTGCGACAGCATCCACAACCGGATAGTGGTCAGAGATTGCCTCGCTTTTATCGCCCAGGAGATCACGTTCCATGCCCTACTTGGAGTCGTCGGAGTGCAAATTTCCAGTGAAACAGACTGGAGAACATGGGGCCATGAGTGGTATGACGAGGTCCTAGAAATCACGAGTTCAATCAATCCATCTTTGCCCATCTACATCAATGATGGCCAGAACCTGCCCGCAGCCCTGGATTACGCGATATTGAGGAACAGACTCCCAGCCCCGGTAAACCGGAGCCCTATTATTGTGGAATCGCACAGGCATTATACCACGGAATCGGACCAGCTACAAGGACCACAGGCCATCATCGGGAATGTCTCTAGGGAGCTGATAGAACTTGCAACCCACCATGGCAAGGTTGTATCCCAAGGAACCGCCGTAGATATCTACATTGGAGAGTACAGCTGCCACATGGATGACCGGACTTGGGAACACACGGACACGCCAGAGCGAGATGTATTAACCAAGAGCTTCGGCCAGGAACAAACCAAACAATGGACCTCTAAGACCTGTGGATCCGCCTTCTATCGCTTCAAATCGGGCGGAGCCTGTGGCATGGAGCGTGACTTCGAGCAACAAGTCAACATCGGCTCAATACCTGCACCAGCGTGGCTTATCATCCCTCGGGACCAAATACCCACCAAAGTTGATCAGGCCAAGTCCCAGAGGCCTCAGCTGCAGAATAAATTCCTCTCTCAGACTTCGAGATCCATGAGTCCTCATGGTCGCCGTCGCTTCTCCCTCGGCTGGGACCTCGGTTTCAACGATGCACTTTGCTTTTTCACCGCGATAGCTCGGGATGTTATCCCCGGCCGGAGGGACGGGGGAGATAAAATCGGGGCTCTGGACCTATGGATTCGCAAGCGTGTAATCGAAGCAACTTGTTTCGGCGAGGATCTCGACGTCGAGTGGGAGAGTGGTTTCCGGACCGGCGTTGACGACTTTTACAACGCAGTCGGTATCTAATGTTCACGAAGGGAACAGGGGATTTCGCAACATCCATCTCTAGGCTGGACCTATATTGCACGTTGAGTTAGTACTCTCTACTATATGCCCTAGTCGAAGTACTATGGTGTATTAATATGGCGGCACATGGACTCTAAAAGCACATCGAAGTATATTTTTCATTTGCTTGCGGGTGAAGAGCCCTGGTGTTTCCAAGTAAGGTACGAGGATACCGTCAACAACTATTAATCTTAATTACCCAGCAATATGATATTTCAAATATTTTCATCTTCACTTGAGAAAAGAGTTGAGCGGGTAGGACATCGTTCTATATACAGTTTCTATGCAAGATTACTTATAAAATGAGCCACGAGCCATAGGCATGGGCTCTCAATCGGCAATTTCTAATATACATGTATGACTAGCCCCCGCCTACTAGACGGGTGCACGCCAGGCTTTGTCCCCATCAAAAGCCAACTCACAGGCAGCTTTGTAGAAGGAATTGAAGTCCTCAGGTCCCTGCATCAGCTGGTCGGCAGGAGGATCCGAGAGGCCCTCTGTGATGTCCATGTCCAGGAAGAAATCCGTCGTCCGGTGGGCATAATACGGACCGCTTTCATAATAGGAGTATTTGAGCTCGTGGTCTCGGTAGCCGTAGCGGGTGATGCGCGTGCCTTGGATGTCTCTCACGGGCAGGAACATGTACTCGGCTGCCGTTTGGCCACTGGGGTCCTGGTTCTCGGTGGAAGTGCGCAAGGCGTCGTTGGGAAGCGAAAGGTCGATGAATGCGGGAAGTGGCTTGTCTTCCTGGTTGGCTCGGGCCTTAGCGAAGGCATCTTCCAGCACCTCCTGGAGGTTTTGCAGGAGGTAATTCCCGCGGGGTCCTTCCAGAAGCTCACGGGTCAGCGTCCGGGTGAATCGGAGATCCAGCGCATTCTCCGGAAGCAAGTAGTCCACGTTGCCCTTGGAAAGAACCATTTTAGCACTCTGCAGGAGTACTTCAGTCCTGGGATTGACTCCACCATGTTCTTTTCGCACCGTAAACTCGACGTCAAGATCCGGGAATACGTTTGCGTACTTCAAAGATGGGACAAGTTGAATGCGGTGATTTCGTATGGATTCGTCGGCTACACGGAAGGGCAGTCGGCGTAGGATGGATGTCACTCGAGGTATATCAGTGGTGAAACACCTGGGAGCAGACAATTTGCCCAGCTCCTTAGCACTGATGCTCTCTTCCATGGGAGAGGATTTGCGCACGAAAAGGCATTTGCCAACGGCCGCTGAAACCGTCTCGCGCACATTGTCGCCATCGGTCTGATCAACCTTGGGGTGGGATTTCTGTCGGAGTATTTTCAGGAGCTCGCCGGAGAGGCGTGTTTCGTGATTGTCGAAAAAGGGCATTTCGAGAACTTTGGCCACAGCGGATTGAGCTGGTGGCATAGCCCACCGAAACCATCGCTTTTCCCGATTCCACCAAGTTGTGTTGTCCTCTGGGTTGACATCATAGCATTCGATAGGTTGAGAGGCAGATAAATATGTGCCAAACGGTGCTTGAGGCGCAGTTTTATCGTATATTGCTAGGTTGAGTGTCCTCCTGGCATCTTCTGCGCCCTGCTTGTTTTCGGCCAAGTAAAACAGTTTACTTGGCTCTGAAGCCTGCTCCTCAAATACCACACCGTAGGTTGTGCTGACCCATGACAGAAACTCCGGGCTGAGAACGCGATTGCTAGGTTGGGCTCTGGGGGCATCTTGTGAGTATAATTGAATGTCTTCCTGTCGTATCGCAGCTGTAGCATCTTCTACTACATCCCGAAGCGTTTCGCATGCTTTTTGGCTTCCGGTTATCCGAACCAGACCAAGGGAATGAGTAAGGTCGATTTGAGCATCATGGAGGCTAGCTAGCACCTCGAAGGAGAAGTTCGTGGATCGAGCAAGGAGTGATAACAAGGGTGGAGAAAGTTTATAATCGAGCTGACCAGCTTCGCCCATAATTCCGAGTTTCCAGCAGTCCCTCAGAATCCTTTCAACCAAGAGGTCCTTGGCTTTCACATTATCCTGTGATCTCATAATTCTATTGGAATCAAGCTCATCAGCCGGTTCGAGAAATGTCGAGATTCCCGGTCTCCATCTGGCAGACGCTTCTTTTCCATGCTCCAGCACTTCCCCCTCCTCATCACCCACAAACTCCAAAATATAGGCGCTCAGTTGTTTGTTGGTGAAAGATTTCAAGATTTCTTGTCTGTGGTCGTGCCACTCGTCGAAGGACAACCTATCCCTAGGTTTGTAACGTCGAAGGAGTTCGATATTCTCTGTCACAGAGTCTTCGTTCGTAGGATTTTCCAAAGCATCGATATCTTCCAGCATTAACGAGAGGCTGTCTTGATCTGCAGGCCCATCGTCCTGGACGTGAGCCGGGAATTGGCGGTGGTTCCGCTCCTCCACGACGAGCACCTCCCCTGGTTCACCTAGAGATGTGACCGAGATAGGCAATTTCTTGCCAAGCTGCCTTTTTTTATCTCTTGGGTTCGTCGTGGGGGTGCGGCGATTGCGTGAAAATTGACGCCTGTAATGTTCATCGAGCTTGGAGTGCTGGCTACTGTTGGAGCGGAGGAATACATCGTGCCGGCGCAATGTTGGGGACAGCATGCACTTTCGGCATACCGGTAAGGGTTGGCAGCTTAGCAGCTCTGCTGCAGCTTGGGAGGACCGAGACAACATGTGGAACAAAGGAAGTCGCACCAAGCGCTGCGACCTTGAGAGAAACTGAGGCGATGGAATCTTTTGCGCCGCGGAGAAGAAATGGGCCCGGAATACGCTAGTCCCGATGCGGGATAGTCACCGACAGCCTATCGAAGTATGAAAATCACTAATTGAGAGCAATAATTCCTTCATGTTTCTGGCAATTTGAATCAGAGCAACGGGCTCAATCGAGACGGATTTGTTGGGTATTGTTCTAACATCTCAAGCGAAAATAAAATAACACATGCAGTTTCACTCCTTACTGCTAATTTCCCAGCTCTTCAGATCTTCACGGACATCAAACTCCGACAATTCATAGTCACTATTGCTGCGACTTCTCCATGCGTTGGCTTTGGCAGTGCTGTAAAGATTTTGCTCTATGCTTCCAGACTTTCTTGTATGACCCATCGCTGAATGATATTCGGGCATCCTCACGTCGTGGCGAAGTTGGTTGCTCCCCGAGCTTCTCGGTCGTCTTTCGAAACTGGGGGACAGTCGATTTGATGCATTGGATCGTGTTCCCGTTTCGTCTCTGGTAGAGGTGTCATGCTCTGCCGTTTTCCCAGATCGTGTGTCGTGGGTGTCATTACTCCAACTGATGGAGCCCGAAAATAGCTCCTCGATCAGCTTGTCCGCCGGCAGGTCGTCCGGTCGAGAATTCCAGGAAGCAGCTAATGTGCGGCGATACATGTCCTGCATGTCTGCAGCCTCTCTGCTCTGTACATTAATGGATGGCATTCGGCCTAGATCCACCGGATCGCCCTGTTCAGCGGAAACCACGCCGGCGATTCCTCCAAACACCATGGCTGATTTTAGGGGCGGACTGCCGGCTTGTCAGTCTCGGAACTAGCAAACTCCCATCATCAACTTACGTTGTAAAATTGCGGTCTCCCTCCACCTGGTGCATCGCTATCGCGATTTTAAGGGTGCTGTTGATCTTGCTTTCCTGCATCAAATATCTCCTGGTGACGCCTTCACGGTCGTCACTCTTCTCCACATATTCGGATAGGTTCAATCGAATCCTCCCCAGAATATTCCTGGCTTCTCCGGTGGCCCCGGCCTCGAACTCCTGGATGATCTCGAAATGGATTTCGCATTCATGGAGGGTCTGGTTGCGATCGATCGTAAGCCGCACCGGCAGCGTTTTCTCGTAGTTCCAGTATGCCCGGTGATCCAGGATCACCGCCTTATCGGTGTGTCCGTGATGTTCGGCCGCGCTCGATGAGGGTAGTCGCCATTTCACGTATGCCGTTCCGTTTACGAGGGGGACATTGTTGAGGTCGATAATCTTGCACCGGCAAGTCAGGTCAGCATCACATTAGAACTGCATGTATCATCGGCTTGACTTACCCGGAGGACAAGCTCAAACCTGGGCTAGACTATATATTCAGCATAATATCCCACTGGTATTTTCTTATAGATGCCGACTCACCCTCCGATTCTTCGGAACTGATAGAAGTCACTATTAGCATCAGGAGATCAGACATGAGGTCATCAAGTTGAAGCCAACCCCGAAGCACGGGGGGCGTCCGCGAAAGACATACCAAAAGCCTGCATGGTTGGCAAGGCGCAGCTCTGTGATTATTCCGTTATCACTTGTCACCCATTGATTCGAAAATGCTCTGGTTCTTGTTAGCTGGCCAGCGCACTAGGAGGTGCGATGGCCCTCGGTCTCCCCACACTCCCCGACGAGGCGGTGAACAACGACACTTGGCAAAAACAGACCGCCCGGGACAGCCTCCGCTTCGGCTCCAAATTCCACGGCACCCCCGACTCTGTAACCACCATCGCCATCGGCTTCAACCAAGTCCAAAGAAAAATACTGATATAACGGCAACCCATTCACTCGGATCGCGAAACCAAAACCAAAACCCCCCAACTATCAGCTACAGCCATGGATCGCCCTCCTCTCTCCCCGCCCTCTGAGCCAACACCCTCTCCCACAACCAAACCCGTCCCCATGGACTCGACAATCCGCACAACCCCAATCCATCCTCTCTTGCCCGACATACGCATCCCGGGAGAACCCTTACCCCTCTACAGATACCACCCAGTCACCTGCGCCCCCATAGACCCGGAAGAGCACCGCGCCCAGCTCGACGAACTGCGCCGGGAATTCCCGACCCCCGAAGCGGCGCTCAAGGCGCAGGAGGAAGCAGCCAGGGAAGTCAAGCAGAAGATGGAAGAGGCGGAGAGGAAGCGCGAAGACGTCCAGAAGGCCATGGATAAGAAGGTCAAGGAACGAAACACCGAGTTGAAGGTTCTTTCGAAGTACCAGGCCGTCAAGACCTAAGATACTGCGTCTGAGGACGACGAGATCCTGAAAGGTCTCGTTGGGATGGAACCATCGAATATCTCATCGACCGAGAATGCTACGGGCGGCGCACGGCAACCCGAAACCGACTACGATTGCGACTTCAGGCTCAGGTTTCTCAAGCCAAAATTTGCCGTCTTGCTTGAAGTCATCGCTTGGCGACGTCGACGCGCCCACACCGATGGGACGCCGAAGCTTTTAACTACGCCTTCCACTCGGCTCATTTCCTGGGAGTTGCTAGCTGCTGTGCGCAAGAATCCCGGTTCCTTGGAAATTGACCTTTTCGAAGGCGAGGATAGCCAGCCTTGGACCAGTCGCGTCTTTTGGTCAAGAAAATACATGCTTGATAATTCCCACAAATTCAGCCAAATCACCAAGAAACCTCGGCCCCATGGTCCCTGAATCGCTCAGGATCAAGAAGACGGCTGGCCTGCCGAAATGGCAGCTGCAACAGACACTGTTCAAGGTCCACAGTTCTGGCCTTCATACATGATGGAGGCACTTGAAAGGGGACTTGACACCATAAATCGGAAGGCCTATGGCAAATACAAAACCAAGATTCCCATTCGCTTTCTTTATCTCTGTTTTCTAAGTTGATTACTGAGTGGCACAGGCACTTCATGTCGCACGCGACCTAGTTGTGATTATAGACTATGGACCGGTTTGTATCAAACAATATCAATATACCAGGCGTCTTGTATAGATGGCCGGCCAATATCACGAACATAAAATTCATCAACATAAAGAAACGCGTTATTACTCATATTATTAAGTAACTTCGTTGTCCATTAATCATAAGCCCCCTACCGTGTGGTGGCTCATATTACCCTCCTTACAAAGTACCCAAGATCTTGACCACAACAGGAAGCAACTAAAAGGAATGAGTTAGTCGGGGAGTCTAATTTTCAGGGATCAACTTATAACTTACCTCAGAAGCATCCTCGACCAAGATTTGAGTCTCGTTGACGAACTTGGAGGATAGCAAGTGGTGGGCGTTGTCCAGAAGGCCACCGACTTCGCCAAGCAGGTCAGGCGTGATGATAGGCGAGACGTCGTTGATCAAGTCCCGGGTCTCGTTGACGAACTTAGGCGTCAGCAGGTGGGTGCCGTTACCAAGGAGGTAGCTGACTTCCTCGAGAAGCTTGGGCGTAATGGCAGGCGACACGGCGTCAATCAGGCTCTTGGTCTCGTCGACGAACTTGTTGGACAGAAGCTTGTCGGCGTTGGTCAGAAGACCGCCGACCTTGCCGAGCAACTCGGGAGTGACGACAGGAGAAATATCATCGATGAGATCGCGCGTCTCGTTGACGAACTTGGGCGTGAGGAGGTTGCCGGCGTTGGTGAGGAGGCCGCCAACTTGGCCGAGCAGTTCAGGCGTGACAATCGGGGCGATGCCGTCAATCAATCCGCGGGTCTCCTTGACGAACTTGGGTGTCAGCAGGTGGTTGGCATTGCCCAGGACGCCTTGAGCCTCGTCGACGAATCCTGGCGTCAGCAAGGAAGCCGCGCTCTTCAACAAGCTGCTGACTTCCTTGAGCAGTTGAGGAGTCACCGCAGGAGCAACCGTATTGATCAAGCCCTTGGTCTCCTTGACGAATTCGCGCGTCAGCAGATCAGCGGCGTTATCCAACAGGCCGGCCACCTTTCCGAGGACTTCCGGCGTGAGGATAGGAGCAACCGAGTTGATCAAGTTCTTGATCTTCTTGACGAAGTCTTGGGTCAGTAGATCGTTGGCGTTGTTCAGCAGCGAGCTGATCTCCTTGAAGAGTTCAGGTTTGATGAGCGGTGCGAGCGAGTTGATCAAGTTCTTGATTTCATCCACGAAGTGGGGTGTCAGCAGCTTGTTGGCGTTGTCAAGCAGCGAGCTGATCTCCTTGAAGAGACCCGGCGTGAGGAGTGGTCCGAGCGAATCAATCAATTTCTTGACCTCATCGACGAAGTGAGGCGTCAACAGTTTGTTGCCATTGTGCAGTAATGAGGCAATCTCTCCGAAGAGCTCAGGTGTAACAAGCGGGCCAAGCGATTTGATCAGGCTCTTGACCTCCTTCACGAAGTTAGGCGTCAGGAGCGTGTTGGCATTGCCCAGCAGCGAGTTGATCTCCTTGAAGAGTTCAGGTTTGATGAGCGGTCCGATCGAATCGATCAAGCTCTTGACCTCGCTCACGAAGTGAGGCGTCAACAACTTGTTACCATTGTGCAGCAACGAGGCAATTTCTCCGAAGAGCTCGGGTGTAACGAGAGGGCCGAGCGATTTGATCAGACTCTTGACCTCCTTCACGAAGTCCTGGGTCAAGAGGCCGTTGGCATTAGTCAATAGAGAGCGGACCTCCTTCAGTAGCTCAGGACTCAAGACAGGACCGACGGCCTCGATGAGTTGTCGCACTTCCTTGACGAAATCGGGCGTCAGCAACTTGTTGCCATTGTGCAACAAGGAGGCAATTTCTCCGAAGAGCTCGGGCGTAACGAGCGGGCCGAGCGATTTGATCAAGCTCTTAACCTCCTTGACGAAATCGGCGGTCAAGAGGTCGTTTCCGTGGTCTAACAACGCAGAGACCTTCTTGAACAGACCCGGGGTAACCAGAGGACCGATCGAGCTGATGAGGTCCTGGGTTTCGTTCACGAAGCTGGGTGTCAACAATGAGTTGGCGTTGTCCAGGAGACCCGTAACCTCCTTGATCAATTCATTGGTCAGGAGCTTGTGTCCCGTGTTGATCAAGTCCTTCGTCTGGTCGGTTGTCTTGTCGTCAAACAGGTACGCAAAATGATGGAAGAAGGACTCGACGTCCTGCAGGAACGTCGGGTTCAAGATACCCAAGAGACCATCAAGACCATTGCCCAGATCCTTCAGGGGATTTCCAGTCAGTCCGTCGAGAAGGCTTTTCAGAGGATCACCATTGCTGCCCGTGGATGATGGCTTGGATCCCGAAGAAGCAGTGACAGTAGACTGTCCCTTCGGCTGAGCAGAACGAGACGGAGTGGCCTCCTCGGAGGACTCGGCACCAGCCTGGGTCTCGGCGGGCGAGGCACTTGAGGCAGCAGCACTACCTTCCGAGTGCTGGGACAGGAAACCTCCACTGCCGGCGGAGGCAGACGAGCTGTCAGTAGATTGTGCCGCGGCATTCTCACTGGGCTGAGCGTCGTCGTCTTGGCTTGCGGATGGTTGCGGCGCGGCGTTTGACTGGGGAGGAACTTCGGCAGACGTCTGCTGGTTGTTGACATTGGCAGTTTCCTGCTCATCTTCGGCGTCGGCATTCTCGTCCTGCTGGCTGTTTATTCTGACGTCGGCCTCGGAATTGCCACTCGATTGCGCAGTCGGCTCCGGTGTTGTTGGGGGAACATGAGCAATAGAGTGCTCTTCTGCCGGAGCACTCCCCTGCGTCGGAGCATTACCCAGTGCTGAGGACGCTTGGGTCGGGGTGGCCAGCGAGGCGCTGGAAAGCAGAAAGGCGGAAAGAAGGGCTGAGAAACGCATGCTGGGCTGATGCTCTTGACGGGGGGGAGGACGGCCAGCAATCGACGGCTGGAAAGACCGAGTTCAGATCTACGGAGGCTGCAAGGCTTCTTTTATATCTGCAGGTGTGCGGAATCTACTCCCCACAGATCCGTTTGCTGGAACAGACCGAGGATTGTCCAATAATCCCCACATGTGAACCGACTAGGTCGAGTTGGTTTTTGCGTCGTTCCTACGCTACTGATGTCAGTGGCAGGACGTTTTGGGCTCGACCTAGCGGAGGTAATTCCCCTTTAGTTTCCGTCTGGATACGACATGTTGATCTTGTTTTTTAATTTTTTTTTTCTTCCGGAGCATGGATGGACCATGGGGTGGGCTCCCCTCTCTCCCTGCCTCCGCCGCACGGGATGATTCTCGTGGGACAACGCATAATCTGGCTCGATCTGAAGCAAGCTATGGTCGTCGGACTGAGCCGTGCACCCCATGTTTCGCTGAAGGATCTTAGTCTTGCGGGTGGGGGAGCGAATGGGCAGCACGGGAAATTGCGAGCTGCAGTCAGAATTGTTTTTTTGGACCCTTCGTAAGGGCTTTGTTTTTCCGCTCTGGTTTTCTATACCTCGGTGATCAGCATCCACGCTTATCGTCTACGGGCAAGCGAGCATCTGACAATCACCGCGTTCCTCCAGAACTATAAGGGCATGCACCAATTGACTTGCCGATCTGTGTCAAATGGGGATCCGTGATTGGATGCCTGGCTGGTAGTAAATGTTTAGTTCCTGGCTAGGGTGTGAGCCATTGAGGTACGGGCCCTAACAGAGTCTAACTCAAGCATCGGTGTGTTGGATGCTCCACAGTCCTCATTATTGCTCTGGATTGAGCATCATCACCAAATATGGTCCTACTTGCTAAGCCCCGTCGAGAAGATGATTTCCGAGAAACGTGTTGTTTGCGGGGACGGGTACCTGGTCGACCCATGGGAGAAGATTTTTGAGGACGAGTACTAGTTCAAGTGTCCCGTTTCCTGATGACGGTGGATGTCGTCGCACCCGCAATTGGGGTCTCACTTTTGTGATGCAACGGTCTATCTGACTCTGAACTCCTTCGACACAGCATTCTTCGGTGTGTTGGGCATTGCAAAACCATGCAAGGACGCAGTCAGTTCAGCAGCTGCAGGTGCTCCTTCCGGCTACTCGGAGGGTTCGCTCGGTAACATGTGATATGTAGGAACAGCACCCATGTTTCCCTCCAGGGTTTAATTTATTTTAGTGCGATGATCGACAGTGGCCATCAAGCGGGGTTTGCGCCTTGGTTCCTTTTCGACCACGGTAAAAATCTTGTTTTTTCTTGGGAGGACGAGATGGAGAAACGGCTCATCGTTGCCCGGCTCTGACCTTCTCCCCGTATTTTGTAGCCAAACGGGTTCCACTGATGTGCAAGCGGAGTCGTCCATTCGGCGATTCTGCGTGGTCCATCTCCCCGAGAAATGTATTGTACCTTGGCTCTGAGAGAATCTGGGGGTTGTGCCTTTTTTTTTTTTTTTTTTTTTTTTTCTTTCCTTGTTGGAAAGGAGAGAAAGAAAAGGTACAACCGGCAGTCTCCAAATCGAAAGTCCCAAGGTTCAGCCGTCTGGGCAGTGACGCGAGATCAGTGGCAGGCTTATCGTGTGCTCTGAGCTGCATTCGCCCGACACCAGGAAAGTGCACCTGCAGCCTCAGCCCCTTGCTCGTGTCTCGATCAAGAAATCTCCGAATTAATCGCTCCCAGATGAGGCAACCTGATAAGCGATTTGAGTAATATATTGTGAGTGAATTATACGCCGCAGTAGCCTCGACCCACCCGGTCGGGATCATCCTGGGGTTTCCCAATGGCGGGGGAAATAGCGGAAATACAGACAGCGCAAGCCATTGTTCAATAATGCTTCGGGCACCAACAGATTATGTCACTTTTAATATATTGCGATCCGCAAGGGCGACCAAGGACCATCTCGGGCCAGGATTCTTCGTTAAGACATATGCGGGGGAACGCGTCGGTCGAGAATCGCGATGGATGACGAGATGACGAGCGGAAAAGAGGAGAAAGAAGGGAATCGCGAAGGTTTCTCTTTTCGTCTAGTCAGCTGAAGGATTCCCCGCTCTCGATTAGTCATTTGTTTATTCCCTACGAGTCCCTACGGAGTAAGTTGGCTACTGTCTTGCATCCCTGTCTGCCTCTCTGGTTACTACGTACGACGTACTAACGATGGGTTGAAACGCCGTGGTCGCTTGAGAGTGACTACTGTTCTTCTTTCTTCGCATGGGATACACCAAGACCCTCCGACCTCAGTCCCAAAATTCAGACCACCACAGACCCAACGGTAACGACCCATTATTCCGCCGGTTTGACCCCTGCGGAAGAACTTAAACTTAACCGGGTCCCTTCAGCGCCCTTGGTAATAGCAGGACTGCCTCTGGGGAAGAGTCTCCTGTCTCCTGTCGCTCAGGAACCAGCCTTCAGTCTGTCTGGTTCTAGACTAGGATGCAATTTTTCCCTTTCTTCCTCTTCTCAACTCTGGACTCACAATTGAGAACCCTATTCTAACTTCCGTACCTGTATCAGATATTAATAGCATACTTGCCCTGAACCAGTGGCACCTGCACGGAACCAGAAAAAAAAAATAGACGAGATCTCATCTATGCTTATCCCAGGACATTGGGATCTACTATCTCACATTCTTGCCACTACTCCTTGATACTGCCCCAGATGCGACCTCCCTTGCGTCGCTACAGTCGCATGATCTAAAAATTCATCGAAACTCCCGGCATGTACGAAGTAGATTGACTTTTGCATCGATCTACCACGTCTAATCTAGAGGACTAGCCCTGCGGAAAGATCTCGGGCCCGAACGACAAGAGAACGTGCCCAGTCAGTCGCATTTTTGAGTCCCTGTCTACGGAGCACACCACCACCACAAGATGAAACAGGAAATCCATTTTATGTCTGTCTGTCCCTGTCCATGTCTAACTCTGCCCTCAACAGCCGAGACGTAGCGGTTTCTAACTACCAGTTTGGACTCCACTCGGCATTCTTCAGCTTTGACAACCCTGGAAGACGTGCCTGAAAATCCGTCCACGAGTCAGGTCCAGGCAAACCTTCGTGCACTCGTTCGCTCAGGAAAATGCTTCCTTGGGCAAACGACTCGGTGGCGAGCGTGCGTGCGAGAAGTGAAAAAAAAGTCTACCCATCCGCTGAAACCATCATGGTTTCAACCCACGAACTATCCTACACCTCTCCCATTCGAAGCTCCCGGCATCTAATCTCTCAAGCTAGAGCAGGAGCGACTGGGCAGGGTTTTCCCCTCCAGTCCCCCTATTCGTTGCTAGGTGATACTAAGACATACATGCTCATCTAGACAATCTATCCTCGGACAAGTGAATGACCAAAATCCGGCATCGTGTTTGAAACGACGTACTCTACGGTGATCTGTCTCCTTGCAATCAAACGCTGCTCGATGGATCTCCAAAGCACCGAGTGGTATCATCCAGGATCGAAATTCGTAGCGTGGCATGAAGATCCCATCGTCTCCAAGTCTGTCCGTTGCTCTTGCTGTAACCTGACCGTGAGAGGGAATGTTCATTTCAGAGCTGAGAACCGCACGATGTATCCGGGGAATTAAATTCATTATCGGTGCACCAATGGCGGCAAATATTCGTTTCTATAGGCTAGATCATATAGTTTTACCAAATATGTTCTGATTAGCATACACCAAGTAGAAGAACCATCATCCGGACAACAATATCCAGCTCCTTCTACCCGAAGTTCCTAATAGCCGCACCAAGCACGCAAGATCCAATCCAATCCACCCATCAAACCAATCATTTATCCGACTCAGACTGTCGAGCCGCCGTCAACTTGGTATTCTCGGCCTGCAAGGACCCGACCAGATCCAGCCAGTGCTTGCGCTCGTTTCGGAACCGCTCGAGCTCCTTTTTCAGATGCTCGTTTTCCTGGCGCAGGGTCTCGACTTCGGTGCGCGCGCGGGTCTTGACCTCCCGCTCGGTCTCCTTGCGCTGGCGGGCTTCGATCTTGGAGGCCTCCTTGAGCTGGTTCCGGTTGATCTTGCCAAGTTGTTTGACGAGCTTCGCTTCTTCGTTGAACAGGCCCGAGGCGACCTTGTGCATGCGGGCAGAGTCGTTGGCGGGTGCGTCCTGGCGCGTCTTCTTGCTGCTGCTGCTTTTGTCTTTGTCGCCAGAGCCCTTGTCGGAGCTCTTCTTGACGCTGCTGGCGGGGCTGCTGCTGACTTGTTCGCTGGACGGGTTGTCGACGGAGGCCAATGCGGCGGACAAGGCCCTGTCTCGCTTGGAATCCTCGTCGCGAGGTGGTAGGTGGAGGGATTGGATCTCGGACCGGACGCGCTCCAACTGGGCCTCGGTGTCGCGTTTTCGCTCCGCTAGTTTGATGAGCTGCTTCTCGTGCGAGGTCAGCTTGCCCTTTTTGGCCATCATGGCTTCTAAGGGTGCGATGTCCTGCTCCAGCGGCGTGGCGAGTCCCGATTTGATCGAGGCGGCGGCCGACGCATTGCCTTGGGATGTTTGGGATCGAGTGTCATGGCTTTCCTTCTCTTTTCGTTTGGCAGCAGGGCTGGCTGGGGAGTCTGCGCTGCTTCGAGGCGGCTTGTCGGTCTGAGATACTAGGCTATCTTCGGTGTTTGTGCGGGATAATTGGCCCTGGCGAGGTAGATAATCCAGCACTGCCTGGGGTGCATATCTATCCAGGCCGGCATTCAGCAGATAGGCAAAACTGGCGATCAGTCCATGGTGTTCGACTTCGGTATCCGATAGGTCGGAATCGGTGGATTCGCCGTCACTTCCATCGTCCGCGTCAGCCCTGTCTTCTGGCTTGTCCTGTTCATCTTTGGCCGAGTCGGGTGAGTCTGTCTCTTTGCAGGCCCAGTCCAGAAACTTCCCTGCATCCGCGCAGATACTCTTCGGAGTGCCCTTTTCGACCATCCAGCGAGGAATGGTGCCTCCGGGGTCACTCCGGGTTACCATCACCCATTCCACGGGGTTAGACTCTTCGTCATCCTCGACATCATCCTGTCCTGGCTTCTTCTCACCCACGGCTGACTTCGTATCCTCTCCTCTTCCTCCCTTGCCCCGCCCCTCTGACGTAGTAGTATCTCCGCGTTTCCGACCCCTCTTCCCTTCTGCATCATCGACAGCCTCTTGAGAGCTCTTCTCATCCCCTGGCCCTTTCTTGTTCTTCACCGGAATCTCCCGAATGAACTCCACTGATTCATATTGACCTCTGATGTACCCCTGCGACGGCGGTACATCAGGATGCAAGCACGGCTTCGAAATCATCATCCAACATCTGCCCCCATCGACCCCCACCTCCCAATTGATAATCAACGCCACGAAGTCCCTCGGCGTAGTGGGTTTAGGAAACTGCGCCGAAACATGGAAGACATTCACAGTGCCGATGCGGCGCCCGTCGTCGTCGCAGACCTCGACCTCCTCAACATGCTCCTCGGCCCCGATCCCGCGGACCGACTGATCCGGCGTGCGCCCCTTCTCCAGACGTTTCCGATTCGCCCTCAGCGTCTCCAGCATCTCGCTCGACAGCTTGGCCTGCCATTTCGAGAACGAGAGGCCCTCGTGCACGCTTCGCCGGGCGAACCAGGCCCCGTTGCCGTCTCGGCCTTGGAGTTTGTGGATGAGGAGTTCGAGCGGGTTGTCTTTCGCGTTGTTGGTCTTGATGGGCTTGCCCCATTCGCGTTGGAGGGATTGCAGGGTTGGGTCTGGGGTGCCGAGGCGGGCGGGGGAGGGGCTGACGCGGGAGGAGGGCGGGGAGGAATTGGTATTGCTGGTGGGGGCAAGATTCGAGGACGAGTTGGTCTCGGTGGATGGAGGTTCGGGAACGGAGTCAATGATCAATCGTGCCTTGCTGGATAGCTCGTTGAGGTACTCTCGTAATGCTTCTGGGGAGGTGGGAACCTCGTCCCAGGATATCGGGCCCAGAGATTCTAGGGCATCTTGCAGGGCTGCCATGAGGTGTGGCAGTTAGAAGTCTTCCTTCTAGAACTGGGAAAAAACAGAATTAGGGATTAATAAATGAAATTCCTCTAAACTAGGAAAGATCAATCACAAGAATGATGCGCAGATGAATATATGCGGGATGGTGGCGAATGCGATTAGGCTTCAAGATTTAGGGTGTGAGCAAATGAAGGAGACAGGTGGAGGGGAACAATGAGGAAACTACTGGCATGAAAATTGGTGCAGTCGCAGACCGTCAACCGTCAACATGTCCTAGCAGTCGCGAGTGAGGAGGATGAAGCAGAGAGAGTGACCCCTGGAGATTGTCCGCGGCTTTCTGCCCGGCTCGGGGATCTGACGTCATGGGCCCGGCGAGTCTGTTTACGGCGCGCAATACGGAATACGACGAACGCCAATCTGGCCCATCAAGATTCTTTCATATTTCAAATTAGGATGGTTTGAAATTGGATACATCATGCTCAAGCGACCAATGCATAGAACAAGACTAGCAAGGACCAAACAACGAAAGAAGAGAAGACAGGAAACCAGTCCTTGAATGAACCAGCGGTGCCAGCATCCGATTCTCGCCATCTCGTCTCTCCATTCAATGAAGAAGAAAAGACCACGAGCATATCCAGGTATTCTTGTAACCCAGCCTGGACGATAGGGGATGGGCCTATCCAGAAGACATACACAGTTGGCGGGCAAGTCAATAGAGCCAAGGAGGCGGTGGTGCCCTGGCGAGGGGAAAACAAAGGTCACGGACCAATTTGCTCTCGACCCTGCTCAAGAATCTGCCACGGACAGACATCCTGAGCCTGCACAAACGCACGCCATCCTCCTTGGACTATTCGCACACCCGCCGCTCATGTCGCCGAAAATTGAGATCACATACATACCAGATGTAAAATGACCCACTCCGCCGCTACCTTTCCCCCCTTTCAGATCCGTGAGCCCGGATCGCCCGTCTGATAACCTGTATCAGAAAGAAAGGGTTGTCTCCAAGCAAAGAGGAAGAGTGCTGAGTTCCTGACCCGGCACCCTCCCCACTGATCTCTGGAGGACGGTAAGCGACCCCGAAAAAAAGATGCACATTCCTCATCCAAATCATATCCCAAGCCGCGAGGCTGACCGGGTCTTTCATGACATATATGCGGGACTCTATCCCCATGTAATCGAAAAGCAAACAAATAGCCGACCCGCCGCTTCTTCATGCACAAAAGGAGAAAACAGAACGCTAACGCTGGCTCAAGCATGAAAGGAAAGACAAAAAGAAAAGAGCAACCAAAGAGTGAAGATATTATGTCCTTTGAACAAGATCGCAAAAAAAGAAAAATCAGACGAGATGGAGTATCGTAGGTCGCAGAATCACACAATGATAACGCCGTCACTGATGCCAATTAGCCTGTTGTCTGTATCCGAGGGGTATTCGCTCCTGTCGTTCTGGGATTTGACCGGGCCCCGGAGGCGCAACGGTCTCATGTTCGAAGTGCCGATGCGGGCCCTGGAATCTATGCCAAAAGAAAGCATGCGAATGTCAGGGAGACCATCAACATCAAGCGTCTGGTTCCGTGGACAATTACATCGTTGTCCCGTATTGGAGCGGCAGCGCAAAGTCTTGGTAGCGGTCCCCCCATCCAAAGCCAATCATGTTCGCCGCAGTGCTGCAAGGCTGAACCAGCATGCTGGGTAACGGAAGCACCGCAAGAGCAGCCGATGTCGCAGCGATGCTGTACGACTGCGGCGTGGTGTATGGCGAGGCGGTATACGGTTGGGTGTAAGGCGTCGGCGGCGAGGCAATCGGCATTTCATTAAGGTTGTTGAAACTGGCCCACATGTTCGGGTTAGAATCCCCTGTAGTGGCCGTGGCTGGGCTGGATGGCAGTACTTTCCACGAATCCATCGAGACCGACGGCTGCACGGGGTCTTGCCACCACGTCTCCGGCCCGGTAGAGCTGGGCAGCAGCGGCGTGGAGCGAAGGACGTCGACGACCCCTGCCCGAGGCGGCGGCGGAGGAAGCAGCGGCGTGAAAAGGCTCGAAATCGCAGTCTTTGCGTCCTCACTTCGGCCGCCGAGCAGCTCGCCCGCACCATCCTCCTCGAGGCCTTCCAGCGCCTGCACACTGGTGCGATAAACAAATTTGTTGGCGGCCTGAACAAATTCCTCCTGCAACTTCTTCAGCTGGCTTTCTTTCTCGGACCATTCCCATAGCGCGGCGGCCGTGTCGACCGAATAGACGTCCTTGTGGAAGTCGACTAGCGATTCGATCGTCTCCGGGGTAAGCTTGAAGGCGACTTCGTTCTGCGAGACCATGTCGACATGCACCACGTAGGCTTCGATATGGACCATTTGATAGTTGAAAATCGCCTCGACCAGAGGGTTGTCGTCCTTCCTGAGTTCCGAGTCGGGGGCCTTGGGGAACGTCATGGAACATAGGGTCCAGATGGCGTTGGGCGAGGATAGGGTCTCCGTCAGGCACCTGGTGTGTTGCGTCACGTTGTTCAGAGGTCGCTTGACTCGGTTGACTCGCTTCAAGGTGGCCGTCAGCCACGGCTCGATCCTGGTGCTCAGCACCACATTCGGCGACGACCGCGGCGCGAAGGCAGCGGCCGACGACGGGAGCAAGACCGTTGGCATTATTAAGGAAGATCCACGATGGTTATACTATATTGGAATGTAGCGTGGAAAAATGAATGAAGAAAAAAAGAGAGAGAGAGAGAGATATCTCAGAGAATGGAAAAAGAATAAGAAAGCGCAAAGATCATAAAGACGACACTCGCCCACACCAAGTAGGAATTCGGTTGTCGATATAGATTGGTGGTTCCGATAGAGACGGGTCACGAGCCGGAAGAAGAAAAGAAAAAGAAAAAAAAAAGTCTCTTTCGGATTGAGGGGCAGATAAAAAGCCGGGAATACCACCTGATCTAGCCGGAAGCGAATGGGACCGTATAAAGAAAGTTATATATTAGGAAACGCACAGTTCAAGTGCCGAGTGGAGTAGGAAGGATAGTGGAGTGTTCAGGTCCGAATTATAGAGTGGGCGAGCTCGCGCGAAGGAGTCTAGACGACGGCCGAAGGGAATGTTAATGAAGGAATGTCGAATGAGCCGTGAAGAGGGAGGAGGGAGGAGGGAGGAGAGAGGAGGGGAGGAGGCGGAAAGAAGAGGAGAAGGAGTATGAGAGAGAAGAACAGAGGGAGGGAGAGAAAAGGAAGTTGTAGGAAGAAAGAGGAGGAGGAGGAGAGGGGCGGGACGAGGGTTGGCCCGAAAGGGCAAGAGGGATGGCAGTACAGGAAAGAACGAAGGGGAAAAAGAAAAAAAAAAAAAAAAAGTCGTATTTGGTTTGAATTCAAGAAAATCGGAGGTCGATTGGAGTTGGTTCGATAACTTATACAGACAGGGAATAGGGAAAAATAGAATATTATTATCGTGGAAACAAAATTTCATTCGGGTCTAAAAAAAATAATTATCATCATGTTTAAAACCGAGTAAATAAAAGTAAAGCGAAAAAAAAAAATAAACGAAAAGAAAGAAATAAAAAGAAAATGCAGTTGGAGGATGGATGCGCTGCCACAGGTTAAACAAAACCAAAAAGGACGAAAAAATAATAATAATAATTATGACTCCCACTGGGCGCATGCAGGATGGATGGATGGCGATGTCCGGCGACTTTTCTCTTGCAGACGCGAAATCCCGATCGTATGGCACAAGTAGGCATACGTACAGTCCTCCATCCATTGAGATTCCTCCTGCGCTGAACGTCGACAGAAGATACCTACTACTGTAAGTAAAGTCCCCTAGGCCCAAGGCGCCTGGCGAGAAATACGGGAATTTGGCCACCATCCCGGATTCACCGTCCGATCTCAGCTGCGCACCCTCCTTGTCCTGGAACTCTGGCGTTAGCATCATGCAGCCGTCCAGAATCGTCGGCGACGGTGGAGCCTAGCAGGTCAAGACGTCACGCCTCCAAGGGACCGAGAATAATGAAAATGCACCCTGCACCGGAGTTATCGACCATCGATCTAAGAAGCGCAGAAGAAGAAGAAAAAAAAAACTGTAAATAATTGTAATACTATCCAGACTCCAGACCTCCCGAGGGACCAAGCCATGGCCAAAGAAAGTTTGGCCACAAACCCTTCGAGAGGGGAAGGTTTAAGGCCGGTTCTCCAGCGAGGAAAGGCGATCGCAACTAATTTCCACCTCCAAGTCAAGTCCGTCGCGATTGAAGATGCGCACGCCAGTGGTTATCCCGGACTGATCCCAAGACAGGAAGTGTCACAGACATCTTCGATCAAACCTGTCATGTCGCCGGCTCCGGACGGAGTAAGCAGGGCTGGGTAATTAGTTGGTGAACTACGGAGTATCCGTAACTAGGTAGTAGATAGTCAGACTACCGACAATCCTGATGACGCTGATGATGATAGCTAGTCCAGAATAATGACCGTGTTGTCCTGTTACACACAGCACAGCGCCAGATCCAAGTCCATCTACTAGGAGTACTCCGGAGTAGAAAACAAAGTCAGTGCAGAAGGGACCAAACCCTTTGCAGTAAAAGAGGGCTGGCTGGCTAAGCCCCATTGCTGATCCACCGGACGCATCTCGGGCAATTGAAACGGTCTTGTCCCCGGCATCTGACCGTCGCGGGCCCTGTCTGGCTTGATTTGATTGTATTCTGGACGACGAGGATTTTTTCTCCGTGGTCGAAGGATAACCCTGCCGCGGTCTTCCTGGCCGTGAAGATCATCTGACGGCAGCCTAACGGATCGTGAATCGTGAATCGTGAATACTCCATCCAAGTCAAGGCGGGCAAAAAGCTGAAATCCGCCACCGAGTGGGCCCGCCTTGAGTTTAGCGTCGCTTTTCAGCTGGGAAGTTCCCATCCCGGGAGCCTTAGGATGTTAGGGCCAACTGCGGGTGAGGAAAATCCAACCGATCCCAGATCCTTCTTACCGTCCGGTACGGAGTAGTTATTGTTATTCCCTTCAGGCTAATCACCTGAAAGGGAATTATATAGAGTCCAATCCCTATCAACTGTCTGGTGCGCACTGTCTTCGGTCTTCGAATCAAGGATGGTCTTGCTACCCACGACAACGGGCATCCATGCGGTTCACACTCGCTTGCAACAATACTGTGGGCGTGTGGTCCGACTCCATCTTTCCGGGCACATTGCACCATTGGCCGGTCTCTGGCCAAACCGTCACACATGCAAGTGCTTTTATACGCGCCACGGAGGAACTTGCAGTCTCGCATCTACTCGCCAGAGAGCCAATATTCCTTTCCCGAGCAACTCGACCGCGACAAAGAGATCGAGGCTGTCGGACAGAAGAGCCAAAGGGCTCCACCAAGCACTGGGGAGCCAGTTGCACAACGTCTGTGGGAAAAGAGACGCTAGTCCCCTTTCAATACAGATTCCCGCCTTTTATACTCACCGTATCCCACAGCCTGTGCTATCTTCCATGGTTCTGTATATTCTCCGTATGGCCTGGTGGTCCTAACAGGCTCGACTAGACCATGCACGGTTACTGTAACCGAGTCAGGGAACATCCTTATACTGCTGCTGACCCTCACACACAAAAAAAGTCCGACATTCCCTTGCAAGGGGGATGAATGGCAGGATTTCTTGAGCGCAAAAAAAAAAAAAAAAAAAAAAAAAAAGCGAGGAGACAAGAAGGCCACATATTATTCGGCCGTCATAACAACCGCAGCAATGAACCCTACCTACTACGGACAAAAGGTGAAACGGTTTCCCCGAAAACTTCTCGCCATTCGGATCAGTCCAGTTCCTCCATCTTTTCCGGAGTAGACAAATGAGAAAAAGACCTCAGTAGCTCAGCTGATGAATCATGGAGGGGTCGTCGAGTCTCGTGGGGCGAGCTAAAGGGTCTTGGGAAGGAGGAAAAACGTCTGTTCGGCCCTCAGATTCGCTGGCGCCTTCAGAGTCCGGCTCCCTGCGCTGCAGCTGGGATCCCTGCTACGATCTACCATTGGACCGAGCCTCGTCGATGGTCATCTCCATCTCCAGACTTTCTGGAATAGGAACCGTCCGGTCTGCCCTTGTAAGTCGTAACCATGGTACTTGGTCATTACAAGCATGCGAAAGGGGGGAGAAGGGAGGACCTTGGCTAGGGCTTTTGCCATACTCTTTCCCGTACTCCGTAGGGTCTCGGTTCCGATCTGCATTTTTTCCACCCCCATGCGTCTGTCCCGTCGGCTTGGGCTATTTGCCTAATCCGGAGGACTCGCCCGGTATCCCACATGCAACGCAATCAGGGTACAGACTAGCAGGCCCTCCCGGTTTCCCCCTGGCTGTGTATAACAAAGACAGGTGGCATCCCTGGGGACACTGCGTCTTCCGGTTAAAGGTGCCTGTCCATGATGAGCCACCGCAGGTGCACAATCAGGGGTAACGTCAACCTAACGCCTTCGGGACAGGCAGAAGGGATAATGCAAGAGGGCTGGCTGTTTGCTGGACTTTGCCATCGAATCGCCCTGTCCGAGCTGTACTAGGGACATCACCAAGTCATATTTGAAAGGCTGAGAGGTTGAGCTTGTATGCTGCTTGAGTCTCAGCAGGCGCTCAGTGACAGATGTTGATAAATGCGGAGAATACTTTGGGATCCATGGATTGAGATTGGATGGATGCCGGCTAGCGGCAATGCAGGCGCATCGCGGAATCGGTTGGAGTCGGTTTCCGATAGCTGCGGTTTTACACAGGCGACGCCATTCTTGCCTCTTCGTACGCAAAAAAGTCATTGACGCGTCGTCAGCTGGAACTAGGTGGTTCGGTTTGATCATCATTCGTCCAGCTGTAAGACACAGGCGTGGCCAGTGGCCACCGCAGGCAGAAATAGAAAAGGGAAAAGGGAAAAAAAGAAAAAAGAAAAAAAAAATGAAAACCAAGATAGTAGGTAGTAGGTAGGCGGTCCATTCAGAAATGCGTCTGTCCGCATCGGCGAAAGCCGATTGCTGCGCCTCACCGGGGCATCTGTCACGTTGTTCAATTAGCCACCGTGGCTGTGGCGCAGTTTCTGCAGGAAGGGTATGACATAATGTTGCTAAGATTAAAACCATGACAAGTTCACAACGCACAGCGGAGTCCCACTGGAAAATTTCGAATCAAATCAAAATGGGAATAAGGGAAGGCGGAACATAAAACAGGAAAGTAGAAGGACATGCATGCCCATCCTTTCCCAAAAGGGTCTGGCTTGGAGGAAACACCGAAAAGCGGGGTTTCTATATAAAAGCCGGCGATTGAGTGGTTTACGATTTACGACTCCTACTAGCATTTGATAGGCTCAATAGAACATCTACAAGGCTCTGCTCCCGTTTATCATCAGCTAGGCAACATTCGCAGTTGTCAATAAAATCACTAGGCAAAAGGAAAAGGAGAGGGACAAAAAAAAGAAAGAAAGAAAAAAGCAAGAAAAATTGGAAGAAACCGCACTCACATGATACTCCTTAGCGCCGAGAAAACAAGTTCCAAATAGGGTCATTTCAGAGCATCACCGATGCAACAAATGAACACCTCCCGTGTTCCCCTTCCACGAAGGTACGCGGAATTGATTCTGAGCTTAAATGGCTCGGCGGCCTGAAGAAACCCAACCACCATAACCATGGCAACACAGCGACTGCGTGCGACCTGACATTGTATTACAACGTCATACCATCGCGCTCGCAGATAGAACTAGCACCAGAGGACCTCCTCCGTCCCGTCATGCGTCTAAGCGCCCACCCCTATCGTCCCGAGTCAGACTTTAGACCGAGCACAAGCCTAAACGTACGCAGGAGGCCAATGCGGATGTCTCATTCCGGTCTGTACCCCTGCTCTTGTCTCAAGTGGCACTGTCCCCGCGATCTTGACTGGTGGGCGTGCCGGTTGCATGCGTCTATCAGGGATGTGCTTTTGAGACTACGACGTAAAGTGCGCATGGTGGTGGGAGGAGTTGCATTTCCAGACCCACCCGACCTGCTGACAATGCATACAGAAATGGTCAGCTGTTCTGCTAGCCGCTTTGGGTTCGGGTGCGAGAGGTGTTCTCGGCCTACGGAGATGTACTACGGCGTAGGGGGCATGCTTTGGCGGCTTGACTCGGGGGTCACGGAGAGGGGGGCCATCTGATATATCAACTCGACGTCGGACGGCCTCTTGACGTCACGAGTCTGGACCTGGCATTCTCGACGAGGTACGGCAGGGCCTCTCAACATCTAGAAGGGTCGATGATACTTGGTACAAGGTACTTTTCTTGTCCGGGTGGTTACTAGGCCCGTTTCCGATGTGATTATCATGGAAACGGGACGCTATGGACTCATGGTTTCTTGGGACAGAATGCGCAAAAGATACGAGAATAAACGAATTGACCCGCGAGTATAATGTGCCTTGTGCTGTTGATCAAGCTATAACGCATAGTTGCACGTAAGCCTCGCCTGATAAAGACGTCAATTCCACTTCAAGTTCAAGACTAGCACGATGTCTAGACTTGGCAGAGAAAGAGTAATCCACTAGTTTGGTTGATATAGACCCTCTTGTATCATGCTCCCACAAGGTTATTCCAGTGGTTGATGTAAATCACGTATACATGTTAAGCAAAGAGCATATGTTGGTCAGGATATACATCACCTTTTTGGTTCAATGACCGATCAGTACGGAGTAGTCTTGTCAAGCCATACAAAATGATATTAGACGTGATACAGCTCGGGCTGTTGAGCTCGACGGGGGAAATTATATGCGGAAAGGGGGGAAAAGAAAGAAAGGCAAAAAAAAAAAAAAATTAATTACACAAAAACATTTATCTCACTCAGTATGAGAATGAGAGAACCGAAACAAAAAAGAAAAAAAGAAATGTCGTCAGCGACAGGACTCGAACCTGTGCGGGCGAACCCAATAGATGAGATAGATGAGGAATCCATTCTAGTCTATCGCCTTAACCACTCGGCCACACTGACATCTCTATATTAAAAGCACAACCTTTACTGCTACATGTAGGAAACCCAACTGATTGACCAGGAAAATCGCTCTCTTCTCTACCTTTGCGCCGTTTACAAGGGAATATAACTATACCACCTATTAAAACATGGAAACCACGCAATCCACTCCATTCCAAATATTGTATAGCTAATGAATAAAGTCCACTTGGCTGCTCCTCCAGTCGCAAATGTGAGAACCTCCCCATTGACCAACATCCCCGGTCGTCGCCATTCTTGAGATACCAGAATCGCGAGTACTACCCTGCGCGGCATCGTGTAGTGCTTTCGGGGCACATGCTTCTAGCCCTGCGTCGTTGTCGGACTATCACATCCCCAACAAGTATTAACCAGGTCCATTCATATGTGACAAGTGTGGTCGGTGGTAGTTTGATCGCGACCTGTAAAGTTGTCATGCGCCCCAGCACATTCAATCGTAACGTTCATCGAAAGGACAAAATCGCCCAAAATGAGCGGATTATTCTTGCGTCTGTTCAGCAAGCACATATATTAGCATTTGCTTCAACTCCCTCTGGCCATCACCAAAAGCACTCAGATGGAATAAACTCACCTCCGGCGGATTCCCAGCGCCCCGAACCATCTTTTCTATCATCGCGGCGCGAACCTTCTCCTTGGGCTCACCCATACCCACAGCCATGTACGACAGCATCGGCGGGTGTCCGATATACGAGGCGTAGCTGTCGCGAACGATGTTCGAGGTCCATTCGTACTTGGTGGTGTCGGCGTGGCCGGTTCCGACGTAGCGGGCCTGCATGGCCTCGAGGTTCTGGAGCGTGCGCAGTTTGTCGGCCATGGTGGACGATATGTGTTGGAGTCTAATCGATTTTGCGAAGGGGAGGTGGATTGGTTGTCAAGAGGATGATGGGAGGCTGCAGTTCGGTTTGGGTTCATCGGAGAGAATCACGTGATGTAAAATCGGCGGGTATAAAAGGACTTGGTTTCGATCTGTAAATTGAATTCTAATATGATCTAATCTACGTTGGTATTCTTTATGGAGAACCCAGATCCGAGTCGGTCATTGCCGTCTCGTATAGCGTCTCTGGTTCATGGTCATTTTGATGGCTTGCCTAGCCGCAGTAAGCCGACGGTGCGGTCTGATGGGACGAAGGAGTGGATTCCCATGTCGGGAATCGTGATAGTGAAAGGTGAGTATTATTCATTCCTTCGAAGCCCTGTATCAGACTAACGCACGCCTTAGGAGAAAACACACCCTCGGAAAAGCTGACCTGCGTGGCTGTCACGTCAGTTCTATCCTATCCAATCCCCGAGATGAACAGCTTCTAACCCATATATCAGTTCCGGAGCGAAGTGTCTCTCTGCATCTCAAGTCCCCAATGGTAAAGGTCTCGTGCTGCATGACTGGCACGCGGAGATCTTAGCCCTGAGGGCATTCAATTACTGGCTTCTCTCTGAATCTCGCAGCGTTCTGGCGAATGAACGACATCAAGGCGACCCCTCAGATGAGAACACAGAACCATCTATTTCAACATCATCCCCTTATATCCGTCGCAGACAACGACCGCAACACCCAAATGAACATCCCTCACCCCCATTTGAGCTGCAACCCGACATCACAATTTACATGTATTGCACCTGCGCTCCCTGCGGCGACGCCAGCATGGAGCTCTGCATGGCTGCACAAGACGACCCTACGCCATGGGAGGTCAAGAGCCCTAGAAACAAGGACACCATGAACCCGACCGACTCCCACAATCACGAACAAGATCAGGAGCCCAAGCTCCTTGACGGACGAGGCTATTTCTCCCGTTTAGGCATCGTCCGTCGCAAGCCGGCTCGCGCAGACGCCGATGCCACCATGAGCAAATCCTGCTCGGACAAGCTATCCCTCAGACAGATCTCGTCGCTGCTGTCCTTCGAGACAAGTCTTCTCGTTGCACCGACTGAGTCGGCGTATCTGGCCGGTGTCATTCTCCCTGAAAGGGAAATCAGCGATGTTGCCTGCTTGCGGGCGTTCAGTGACCAGGGCAGATTGAAGGAGTTGAAGGGCCGGTCGTGGCCACTTGGGGGTTGTGATGATGCTGAGTCCAACATGTACGGATACCGGTTCCGTCCGTTTCAGGTTCTTTCGATACCTGATGGCCAGTACGATTCGCTTTGGAAGTTTGGGAAGACCCAGGCCGGGTCTTCTGATGAGGTCGAAGTGCAAGAGAAATGCAAGCCGGCAACCGTCTCGGCGCTTTGGGTGGCAGCACCGTCTGTTTCAAGTCCAGGGCTGTCACCAGTGGTAGACACCAGTGTGAAATCGCTTCCCGTCCTTCGAGGGTCCAAAACGGGTGTCTACGAGAATATCATCAGTGGCGTGAAGCAAGGGAATAAGGCCTCGGCTCCTCAGGCCCGGGGAGCGTCTGCACTGTCCCGTGCAAAACTATGGGGAATCTGGAGAGAGATTGTCCGGATTTCTTATCCCGAGACTGTTGACGAAGAAGGAAATGCGAACAACCCAGAAGAGAATTTAGAGAAGCTAGCTGCCCCCACGGCGATTGTCGAGGCTGCTACGTATCGGGAATTTAAAAAGGCCCCCGTCACAGAGATGGCGGCCATTGCGGCGCGGAAATCAGCGATACAGGAGGCAAAGAGAGTCTTGGGTGGCTGGGTCGCCAATGTAGATGATGCGGACTGGGGATTAGATGTTCTGGTTGATCCCAAGAAGCGAAAGCGTTGAGGCTGAGGGAATATATCGAGGCTATATGATTTAATGGTTCTATTATGCGTTATGAGTTGGCTATTAAGAAATTAAATACCCATGTGCTTATGTTTTATTATTCCACTCAATATCGACAAGTGATGGGCTCTTCCGTGTGCAATTAATTCTAGAAATTGCAACACCCCTAATCAAAATATTAAACAATGTAAGTGGCCAGAAAGATCGACGACACCCCAGAAAAAACCAAGGGATCTCGTCAAACTACCTAGTAAATGCCAGGAACAATCCGACTGCGGACCAAAGAGGTATACCGATCCCAATCAGCACCGTACTTCCTCTTGCACTTCTCCTCATCGCGTCTCTCGCGGTGAATGAGCAGCACGCCGAAGTAGACCAAGAAGAAGTAGGTGAAAATCATTCCCCAGCCGCGAGTCTCGGGCGTCTGCACGGCCTGCTTGTGAACGTCTCCCGTGGAGGCATCGATGCTCTCGATGATAGCATAGCCCGCGATGCCGGTGGGCAGCGAGTACGACCACGACATGAGCCAGTCACCCAGGTAGTTGATGTGGCGCGCACAACCCCACCATCCCGAAGTCATCAGTTTCGATCCACTGGCGGTCTTGATAAACTGGATGTGGCTCACGCGAGGGTCGGTTGGGTCGGTGCGGAAACGGTTCTTCTGGTTGTTGGCGCCCCGGAAGATCATGTAGCCTGCGGCGGTCACGCTTAGGACGAGCAGGATTCCCTTGGGGCCGAGCTCCAAGGGGAATACCGACAAGTATCGGGTCTGGAAGTTGTAGATGAAGGGAACCCAGACAAGGTCTCCGAAAGAAAGCATGTAGCCGAACCCGTCCATGATGATGTCCATGGTGGTCAGGAGTGCCGGCTCCATGTACAGTCCATCTAGTACGTAGAATGCCTGGAAAAAGGTGGAGAGCACGATCGAGTCAGTCACGTAGCCATAAGTCCGGTACTGATGAGCGACATTGGACAGGTTCATAATGATCCATCCGAGCAGTCCAGGCCGCATTTCAAACCAGGACTTGATATCGATGGTACGCGACGCTTCGCTGACAAAGGGAATGGGCAGTCGAACGCGCGGGTTCAGCTCGCGCCCAATGAAAAAATCGTATAGCACGTTGCCTGTGTGACCACCCGGGGCCAATTGTCTCAGCTCCGGGTTAAGCTGGCCGGGCGCTGGCACCGTGAAGCTCTTCGCATAGACGAAGATAGCAAGAGAGCTGCAGATCACCAAGTTTGCCGTGATCACCTGCAAGTAGTTGTCCCAGAGGAATGTCCAAACAACGAAGTCTGCCCCATACACGTAGGTGCCGAGGGCGCATCCGGAAAGAATCGTAACGGCGGAGGTGAACGCTGTTTGAGATCCGGTCAGAAACATCCCTAGGCAAAATAACAGAAGGGGGATCGCGCAAACTGCACCCACCATTGAACTTGTATCGAAGTCTTCCTCCACACGCCAGGACCGTGCCATCTACCTCCTGACCAGGCAAAAACACATAGAGAAACAAGCTGAGGAAGTAGTAGCTCAGCACCCACAGCGTCACTTGAGCGTCAAAGAAGGCACGGAGCCCTTCCTGCGGCCAGTTCACTTCTTTCTTCAGTTGATCGAGGGTCAGGGTGGAGGGGTGAAGCAGCGACGGGGCAGGACAACCGGAGACATCGTTACACAGGAAGGTGAAGCCGTAGACTAGGATTGGAAGACCGAAGACAATTCCAAATGCACCGATTCTATATCCTTGTCAATTCTTGGCTCTTCAAAGTCCGAGGATCCAAACACGGGCAAAGCACATACGGGCCAGCAAATTCATAACCGCGCTTCTCAGGGACCGGCTGCACGGGAATCTTGGTCTTTGAAGTCTTTGAATCTTTCTTGGGCGCCATCTTCAATTCAATGGGAAGCCACCGGCTCGAGGGAGTGGGGAGGAATTGGCGGGGAGTTTCGACGGTGAGGCCAAAGTGCTGGGAGGTCTGACCTCACGGCGGATCTTGATCTTGCGCGCCAGAGATCAATTGCGAGGGATGGGGTGATACTCCAGATGACGAGAGCTGTGGCGACTTATAAAGTTATAAGAGAGGCCGCAGCAGAGAATTGCCAAGTGCGCGCGCTGGTCTGAGATCGGATGCGCCACGGCCGACGGGGTCCGCGGATCATCTCTGCTTACATACGATGGTTTCCGCGACGTTTCATCATCTCCGCCTCCTTCTTCCTCCCCAGCTTCGGCCTCGCTGCTGAATCTATCGGTCCTGACCGCCGTCTTTCCTTTTCTGTTTGGTTCGTCCAGACTCGTTGAACCGATTTTCTCCACCGGTTCCCAGCTCTCCTTCCAATCCCATTTGTCTTATTGTCATTGTCGCTCATCAGTCCTGCTAGCGCAGCGCTGGGTCCATCCCGCCATCATGAAGTCGCCGACCTCCGCAATTCTTAGCTGTCTCTACTTGCTCTCGACCCCCTTGTCATCGGTCTATGCAGCCTCCGACTCGGGATCGAAAGATGCCCTTTCTCCCTGCGTCGCGCGCTCTCCAACCTCCGGTCTTTATTACGATTTGAACGCTATCTCTCTTTCCCCGCCCAGTCCTAACGGCGAGAAGTCTCGCAAAACCACGCGCGATGAAAGCTGGCATGCCAAGGGCCATGACTACGCGGCGAACTTCACGCTGAATGTCTGTGCTCCGGTGGTGGAGAATATCACGGATGTGGTGGGGGTTGAACCCGAACGGTGGCAGAATGTCAGTGCCTACTACAAGAAGGAGGGCAACATCTATTCGATAGGGTGCGTGCAAATTCGGAATCTGGCGGTTATGTCTAGTCGTCTAGTAGAGGAGGCATAATACTGACTGATGGCAATTAGGCAACAAGCGTCTGAGCCGTTCTTCCGTGGACGCAAGCTGGTCTTGAATTACACCGAGGGCTCTCCGTGTGCGGGCGAGTACCTTGGGAATGGCTCGCGCAACAAGTCCACGATCATGTCCTTCCTTTGTGACCGTGACGCACAGGGATCGCAGGCGATTCCGTCCTTCGTCGGCACCATGGATGACTGCACCTATTTCTTCGAGGTCCGGAGCGCTGCCGCCTGTGGCGGTATTGCTCGTGCCGACGGCCAGGGTCTGGGACCCGCCGGCGTCTTTGGTGTGATGTGAGTGTGGACTGTCTTTCTCAATGGATGATAAACCGCTGACCGAATCTGGTAGTGCTCTGATTGCCGTCGCGGCGTACCTCATCGGTGGCTGCGCCTATCAACGAACGGTCATGCACCAGCGCGGCTGGCGACAATGTCCGAACTTCAGCCTCTGGGCAGGGATGCTCGATTTTGTCAAAGTAAGTCTACTGGCATTAATACCGTTCTCCGGCTCCAGAGCCCAGGGGGCTTCCTACAAAGAACATAACAACCCACGGTTACCAATTTCGAGGATGGATTGATCTGCTTTGGCCGGCCTAAAGCTCAATTACATCAAGTCGGTGACTGACGCCGTCTTCGATCTCGTTTCTTTTTCTTTCCTCTCTTCTTTCTTTCTTCGTCTATATATTGGGATATATCCAGCGGGCCTGTCTGTGTCCATGCCGTCGAGCATGGGGTAGAGCTTTATTACGTTGGCACATCTTCTGCCATTTCCAAGCGGACTGCGTCTGCTGATGTCAATAGTGCATACATTGAGAGAAAGAAAAAGAGCGAATCTCGGTTACCGGCGGTTGATTCTGTCAACGGATCCAGCCACCCTGGTTTCACCGCCATCATTGCTTTCTCTTTCTTTTTCGTTCACCCGTCATGGGCCAAGTTGTTCGTCATGACGCCGCTAACCACCATCCGTAACTCAGGACATGGTCGTCATTCTCTTCTCCTCTCTCGGCCGTCTCCTCCGTTGCCGACGATCCCCTGCGCTCGGCAACCGCGCCAATGGCAGTATCCATCGCGGACGACGCTCCAGTGTGGATGCCGAGAACCGACTAATAGATCAATTGGACGAGCAATGGGAGGACTGATTGATTGGTTTATCTATGGGGATCGCTCGAGATCCCTCGCCCCTCCCCTTTTCCTTAATCTTTTAAAGCCACCCTCGATAGACCTGTTTTGCTTGTCCTTTTTATTTATGATGTTTAGTTGGGTATTCTTCTGATTTGTCTTTGTCGTCTGGGCGCTATGTAGTTGACTTGACTGGTCGTCTTTTGGGGTTGTCTGTATCATGAACATGAGCATCTGAAGTATGGCATCTGAGTTGAGTTTACATTAACAATGATAGTCAACCGTCTCGTGAAGACATCGAGTAGACCCTATAGCCCATACCTAGTATTAACTCGGCTCGACTGTGCCTTGGTCGTGTAGAATTGGAACATAATTTTAAATAATCCAAGCCATTATATCAACTAGCATCATTGGTCTAGTGGTAGAATTCGTCGTTGCCATCGACGAGGCCCGTGTTCGATTCACGGATGATGCATTCTTTTTTGCTTTCATTTTTTGCTGCGGTTGCTGTTACTGGTGGGTCCGGTTGAGGTTTTTATTCTGCTGCTGGGTTGTGTACATGACAGAGGGGTTCGTTTACTCTGGCATGTTATAGATTTCTTTATTTGTTGAAGTCAATCCAGGAGCCGTTGAATGAGATACGGTATGATTTGTCTGAGTGACGGTAAATCCCATCTACATATATCAACAGCTCGGTTCACTATATAAATCCCGCTGCCCTGTCCCAGGATATACAACGACCCGCACATGACACTATGCACAATAAACCATGCCACACATCACCCAGCTGGCGACAGAACACAGAAAAGAAGTGGATATACACAAAATACAGAAGGTAAGGGTACATACAAGGCAAAAGAATACTTGCCGTAAAACATGCTGAACTCCGTCTTTTCCAAAAAAGAAAAACCCACCAGGCCAGTCCCATTCCATCCTACACCCTCGCCAAAAACAGACACGCAACAGATGAAAAAACAAAAGGTTAAGATAATTCAGCCCGAGTGGTCCGCCCGCTACATGATCCGTGTCTCATGTATATTTATGCGGCTGAGCCACCCCGGCCATTCCGAGATCGTATGCGCCCATAGGGAGATTCCCTGCGCCGCCGAAGTTCATGTCGGGGGCGGCTGCTCCGGCCCCGGGACCGGGACCCGCGGGCTGCGACGGATGCGCATCGAGGCTGACGCCGGCGCTAACCGGGTCTAGGTTGAAAGGAAGGAACCAGGCGCTTGGTTGATAGTACTCGCCCGTCCCCGACGGGGCGTTGGGGTCCAGTTGACTCGCAAAAATGGCCGAATTGTCCTGTGGAGCAGGAGGTGGAGGCGGAGGCTCCGCACCGTTGACGGCCGACATGGCAGGATTATCGGGCGGAACAAAGGATGTGGTGGCAGGGTCAAAGCCGGAGAAGGAGCCATATACAAACTGCCGGTCCAGCTGGGGCAATTGGTCGGTAGGGATGGGAAAATCAAAGGGAGACTGCCCGAATAGTTGCCCACGACCCTGGTTGAACATGGCCGGCTGCGGGAATCCGGTTCCTGATGTGCCTAGCATGCCCGGGGCACCCTCCATATTGATGTCCATCATAGGGCGCGACGGCGTCGTCGGATCCAGACCCGGCACGCTGTCAACCTTGCTGCTCTTCCTGGAATGTGATCGCCGCGCCATGCTTGCCTGGGGTGAAGGAGAGAGGCTGGCGAAGAAATCCTCGACGCTCTGGAGGTCGGGTTTTTGGCTCATCACGCCCTCGTCATTCATCGCCTGGCGTTGCGAGTCGGGATCCTCCCAGTGTTGCCTCGAGACGCCATGCGGATACTTGTCGAACCAGTCACCGTACTGGAACATCGGCGTAATTTGGCCGCCGCTTTGGGTGGCCACTGAGCCCTTGATGGCGGCATCTGCGAACTGTCGATATCGGTCCTTGGCACTTTCGACCATGTAATGGAACATCCCCCAGTATTTCTTCATCTTGTTCAGGTACCGATACGTATGCCGCAGGTTCTCCTTCGACCGGGCCTCCAGCTGGGCATTCTTGGAGAAGATCCCCCAAATATGAACGGTGCTGGCCGAGTAGGCACAGTATCCAGCGAACGGAACAGTAAGAGGGTAGGCAGAGGCCCGGTCTATTAGTACAGAAATATGATGAGCTGCCTCCACGGCTGCTCGCCCGGCATTGCTCAAGAACGCCTTGGGCATATCCCGAGGAGGCCGTCCGCCCGGGGACAAGGGGATTGCAAATTGGTTCAGGAACAGCATGTTTTGGTGGATAATAATATGCAGAAAAAGAAATTGGTTGGCAATCCTGTCAGCGGCGTGTATCTGCAGGTTCTCATATGTGAACGCCAGGTAAGTCGGGAGGTTTGCAGAAAATTCCTCGATCTGCCGTTTAAGGAGCGTGTACCCAGACTCGGGTGACCATAGCGGGTGCATATCTTTTCTCTTCCCCCCTAGGTTGAGGTAATCAACGATGCGGCCCCATATTACCACGGCACGGATGATGTATGCCGACACGCCCATATTCTCCCGGGCATTCGACAACTGCCCGACATCCTTGGGCACGGGGTTAGGAACATTGCCATCCAAGTCCTCGGTGGGCCCCGGGATTTCCATCTGAAAGTTTGGTTCCTTCATGGGAAGTTGGATTTGCAGGAACTTCTCGTTCCCAATGGGCGGCCGCTGGCTACCGGACGAGTTGTAACGATCCATCAGAAGACAAGCCCACATCGTCCGCCTCCTGATTTCGCGGTCGGTGAAACTGAGCTGCGACCCATTGGCATTGTTTTGGCTCAGCAGCGGATCGTAGTCAAGCTCCCGATGCAGTTGTAGAGCGTACGCCATTCGAAGAGCCTGACCGCCGAATGACCAACTCCGTCCACCGTGACAGGTCCCGAATTCATGAAGACCCAGCAGCAAAAAGACGGTCAAAATGGTGATATTGGGCTCATCGTGGCGACTCATGGCGATGGCTGCAGCGGGATTTGCCCAGTTTTCTCCGCGCAAAAAGGGCGGGTCGGAGTTGATTTGCGGATGAGTTGAAAAGCGCGCCGATACAGCGCAGACGGCCAGAATCAACACCGGCGGAACGGTTCGAGCCTTCAGCCGCCGCGTGAAGCTGGGTTTATGAAGGAGGAGATAGGATTGTCCGTAAACGCAGTCGAAGAAGACCTCCGCCAGATGTTCCTGGATCTCCAACGAGGGTAAGAATTCCGACCCTTCGGTCATCAGATTATTGGCATCGGTCGGTTTGCTTTCCCGGCGCATGGGGAAGGTGTCCTGCGGTGCTCGACGATCCTCGCGAGTCCATCCGTCCATCTCCGCCGCAAAGGCTTCATCGGCCGACCGTTTCTTCTGCGTCTTCGCATTCTGGCCCGGCTGCGGCGGGCGGACAACCGACCGACCGATGGCCGCCATATCTCGCGTCTCTTCCTTCGGAATGGTTTTTATCACGCGATCCTCCATTCGCTTCAACCGCTTATCGAGCATCGCCATATAATCCGTCCGCGGGGCCGCCTTCCTCGTCGTGACCTTGTAGACGCAGGGAATCCGGGAGCGAGAGCAATGCTTGCAGGCCGGTTTCTCGCCGGAACAGCGAATCTTCTTCCTCCGACACGCGATGCATGCCAGCGGCAGGCGTTTTCGCTCCTTGCCGGCCTTCGTCTTCAGCTCACTCCAGGCGGGCTTGTCGTTCTTCGAGTCGTCGTTCGGTGCGGGGTCATCCTTCTCCTCCTCCTGCGGATGATCCTGTCCGCCTTCATGGAGATGGAAGCCAGACTCCCCCGCGGTGGGAACGCTGCCGGGGTCGGGGGAGCTGGCGCGACTCTGAGCGTCGAAGTCTTCGGGGAGGCCGGTATCGTCATGGCCCGGGGCCATTCCCCCGGAGGAGGCCAAGGGGGATTCGTCGGAGTCGGGAGGCATCATGCCGGGCGCGGGTACCCCAAGACCAAGACCGGGGTCATCGTTCGGCGGGATGGGGACGGGGGAGAGGGCGAAGGACCAGGGGTGGTGCGGTGGCAGCGACTCTGGGGAGAGAGACGGCACGAAATCGCGGGATGAGGCGGTCGATTCTGGTGGGTATGGGGAAGCCTTGGCATCGCTCATTATTAATATCAATGCGACTCTTCACGATTGGAAGAACATGCAGTCCGGATAGCTGCAAGGAGAACGCATGCGCCCGTCGAATTCTCGGCCAACGGGAGAAACACAGCAAACTGACTTCAATCTGGGGGTAACTCGAATTCCGAGGTTGTTCAGCAGCGACGTCATTGGACGAACCACCGTTGCCCCTATTGCTGTCTCTCTTCGCTCTTCCGATTCATTTCATCCCCTCCTGCTGGGTGGAATTCTCTTGGAAACTCTAGTCAGATCTGCCCCTGGTCGTGAAATGGTGTAGATTGCCCTAATTTTCCTGTTACCCCTTGTGTATTCGTCCTCGAAGGTCAATAATACACTTCAGGCACTCAGGCTTCAAGTTTAGACGCAACGTCGCTGATGCCATGACATCACGACAGAAATGCATAGCAACCATTACCTACTATTCCTATCATATGGTATTCAAGAAACTATAGCACACTTCGTATAGTCCGGACCGGCCAGTCTATCGATGACCTGTCCTACCAGCACAGCTTGTATCATACACCTTTCTTGTTACCCCGGGTCTCCTACGACCCCTTCACCCTCATCCCTCTTGATTCTCTCACATTCTCTTATGATGACTTGGGCCGTCCAGGTCGCTGGCGCGGTGCTAGACCGTCAAGCGAGGATACGATCTCTTCGCCGAGGACGTGGAGGTTATATGCCGGAAACACAATCCAGAGTCCACTGCCAATACGGTTAATTTCTGGCATCAGGGGAGGGAGCAAGACCGCTTACTTGGGGATAATCCACAGGAAGATCAAGGTGACCGCATCGTTATGCCCGATGTTCTCGAAACCAGAGAAAAACTCATTCAGCCCTAGGTCCAATTAGTCACGAATGCGCGGCGAATTGAATCGACACGTTGTCACTCACAATAAAGAAGGGTCTTGCCGAGGGTCATCACCGACGCGCTATACGCAACCAGCAGCGCATTTGCTCCCGTGCGCCCAGGAAGCACCTTCTCGTCCTTGAACAGCCACAACAGACCCTTCTTGGTCTTGCGCTGCGATGCGCGACCGCTGGCGGTTGCCGAACTTCCATGCCGATACACCGTCACGAGGTAGTAGATATATCCGATGGTCTCGAGGACATTCAAGACGCTCTGTGCGGCGGTAAAGCCGTTGCGGGCGTTGAAAGCCGGCCAGCCATAGATATAATCGATTGTGCCGTAGAGCGCATACGGCGTCCAGATCGGCGAATGCAGCTTGTTCCCCGGCATGCTATGCGGGCGCAACAGAACGTACCCGGCATCCCAGATGACCAAGGGGACCGAGACAAGGAGCCAAAGGGTCACGGCCGCGGACGGCGTGTGCACCCATTTTTTGCCGTTCCCATTGGCACTGGCGGACGGCGAAGAAGGAGGCGACGATGCCCTCGCAGTCGAGGGCGGCGGGAAATCGCGCGGATGGTGTCGCGTAGAGACCATGATGGGTGTCTCGATTCCGAACGAATTGCGGTGGACAAGATTGGGGTGCGCTTCTGCAGAGAAGGAAGTCACTAGGCAGTGGGGACTTGAGCGCCGAATGGAGAGGGGACGAAGAAGACGGGTCCTGGGGAGAGAAAAGCGCCGGACGTCGCATTCCCTACTCCAATAATGACGTCGCGGTGGCTCGATTACGGCATGACGGCTGAGAACTCCATGGATCTTCCCGGCGCATCGGAGACCAGCTCCACTTACCGAGTACTGCTTGCTCGGAAGTTCTTCCGCAGTTCTTACGGAGTCGTGAGCAGATAGATTGATAATTGATGATTAGTACTAGTATTAGAGGCAAGGGGGATCTGGTCTCGGATCTCCTACCCGGAGTAACCTCGTGCGATCGGGCCTGGACCGGGGATCTTCAGGGGTATGATTTATGAACAATCTCCTAGTGTGGGCCCAGCTGCTGTCTCCTCCATATACTGGAGGATTACTGACCATTAATCTTGATGCCCTCTGTAATCTGCATGCGCTTCTCCCATCCATGAGTGACCCTGGGCTCCCGGCAAAACAGTTACTCCGCGCCCCGAAAGTAGTCGGCAGAACCAGGCTGACCGCCAAAGCTAGATTGACCGCTTCCAGTCGATCGAAGCTCCATCTCGAGGAAAGAGAGTAAACCTCTCTGCCGCAAGTCAATCGACGCTCATAGCCGCAGAAATGGCGATAATTTAAAATTGAAAACGTCAAAAGTTAGCGGCAGGCTTTGTGTCATAAATTCTCTATTTTTATAGGTTTTTCTTCCCTTTTGAGGTGGCAAGAGACCTGCACCTCAGAGCGCCCGTACAAATTTTGTTATTTTCAGAACCAACCAGACCCAGATGGTCATGTGAAATCTGTGGTAGTTTAGAGTTTTGATCACATGATCAGACCCACATCACCCGTCCGCTTGCTGACGTAACCCCACCCGCCTCGGCCTCCAAAGCAGCGGTCTTTCTAGACCATCCTCCCTCCTTCACACCTTGATTTGCAATGGGTCCTGAAAACTCCCAAAAGGTTCCGCCCGTCATCACCTCATGGTCGTAGTAATAACTGACAATTCGATCACCAGAAAATCGACCGACTTGCCCGAGTCCGCGAGAACCAACGAAAGAGTCGGGCGAAGAAACAAGAGCATGTTCGTGACCTGGAACAGAAGCTAGCATCCTTCCAGGAGCGAATTCGCCGCCAGCATGTTGAGCACCGTCTGGCTGTTCAGAGACTCGAAGCTGAAAATGCCAAGTTGAAGCATCTTCTGGCTGGCTCTGGCTTAACTGCAAGCCAAATCGATGGTTATTTGCAGGCAGACAGTGATCCGGCCATGGCGGAGAAAATTGCCATCCCTCCCATTCGTGGGGCGGAAGCTGGATGCGGTATAAAACATTCAGATACAGTAGCTACACGGTACAGTCGATCAGGTCCTGTGAATGCACAGCAGGGGCTCTCGGAACAACCAGGTATAGATGGCATACCTGATCAACGGGATATCGAACCGTCCCTGATATCTAAGCAAGACCAGTCCATCTGCGGCTGCACCCCTGCCGAAGATGAGAAATCATGGCCCACCAACGAAGACATCCTCAATACCACGCTCTGTGCGCTTGCAGAGGAACTCATCAACCAATACAACACCTGCGGAGTGGACATGGCCGAGATTCGGAGAAAGCTATGGTCTGGTTTCTCTAAGGGTCTCACCACCGACGAAGGATGCCGAGTCCAAAATCAAATCTTGTTTCAAGTTCTGGATGAAATCAGCAACAATTGAGTCTGGCTTGTCTTGAATATTGGATTTCCATATCTATAATTCTACTGCTATGAATGATTTATAGCCAAGCTTTATGAAGTACTCGCTAGGTCCATCTCTGCCTCCTAGCAAGCCACTTGACTACATAAACCAGGCCTAGAAGCACGGGAACCTCAATCAGGGGGCCGACCGTTGCGGCCAAAGCTTGATCGCTATCGACCCCAAATGTCGCTATCGCCACCGCGATTGCAAGTTCAAAGTTATTACTAGCCGCCGTGAAGCTTTGAGTGCACGACAGTTTATATCCAAAGCCACACCGCCGCGTCACAACCAGAGTGACCATGAAAATGACCGAAAAATATACGATCAGCGGTGCGGCCACTCGAACCACGGACACGATCTGGTGCACAACTTGCCTTCCCTGCGAAGCGAAAAGGACCAAGATGGTGAACAGGAGACCAATGAGAGATAGTGGCCCAATCCATTTGAGAAAGTGCCGCTCGTAGTTTTCCTTGCCAATCAGGTGTCGCAGTGCGAAACGAGTGACAATCGCCGCACCTAACGGTATCCCCAGGAATACTCCAACGCTCTTTGCGGCTAAGGAATAGTCAATTGTCAATCCCTCATCGGAGCCACCGATTACCCGGATGAAAAATATTGCCATTGGCGCGAAGAGGACCATTTGCAGGATGGAGTTGACGGCGACGAGAATCGCACAGTATTCGCCATCTCCCCCGGCAAGCCCTGTCCAGACCAGGACCTGGGATTTTATTAGCCTGATACATGAGGAATGCCCTAGAAGTATTGGTCAATCTTACCATTGCAATGCATCTCGCAATCCCCACTAAAATAAGGCCCTCGCGGAGGCCTCTTTCATCCGGGAGAAACGCCCAAGCTAAAGCAAGCTGGATCTATTTGTCAGTCAAGTAATACGCATGATCCAGAGTCTCATTGTGTACTCACCATGAAGAAAGGGGCTATGACCCAGTTGACGATGATACTGAACCCAATCTGGATCCACAGCGCTCTCTCCCTGAAAGACCGGTGCAGAGTTTCGTATCGGACCTTACATAGAATGGGGTACATCATCACAAGCAGACCGATGGCTGATACTGTTTCAGCGAAAGATCTTCACCTAGTGGCGAGAACACTCACCTATGGGCACTGAAACGCCCACGAATTTCCCTTTTTGCAGTGCTCTGCTTGTATTCGGCACGAAATTACCCAGAATGATCCCAACCGCCATGGCAAGGAAGATCCACAATGCAAGAAAACGGTCTAGGATGGCCAACTGCTGGAAGGCAGATGTTGGACCCGTATCTTCTGCATCGGGGCCATTGCATGTGCTCTCTATTGTGGTACAGCCGGTTTCCGGATCGGTTGAAGAATCTTTATCTTGGGACATTTTGTATCAAGGTGAGGATGATGCAAAATATTGTATCCTGAAAAGAAAGCAAACTGGAATTGGAGAATCAAGGAGAAAACCATTGGAACATTCCATGGATACTGGCTTGAGGCCGTATACTTGGGAAATTTACCCGTCCCGCCAATCAGAATCGAGCAGTGACATATCATCTGATCACGTGCGGACCCTACATTTGGAATCCAGGTACAGCATCAACCACCAGCATACAGGTTTCATGATTGTCATCTTGACAGTTGATTCCAGTAGAGACTCTCGCTATTCAAGTGCCATCGAAGTGTTTCCCCAGTATGCAGGTGTATGGCCCACTCTGCAGTTAGTCACAAGGCCCTTTGGAGCCGGGAAGGGTGGTATGTTCGGCATAGTAGTTTAGATGCCAACGTTCACAAGAGCCTGACGGGCTAGCAATGCTCAGCCAGTTCATTTGGGTATCAAATGGAGGTCAAGGAAGAATCGGATGAATAGAAGCAGGAAACCGCGGCTGCACAGCACACACTAGTCGATGGGCACTCTTGACACTATCTAGATAGTGAGTTTGTCACGAAAAATCGAATAATTCTGCAATATCCCACACATCATACAACAGCGCAGACAAGAGAAGTGGGGGTATGAAATGAACCCGAGTGACCACAATACCAACAGCCGGGCGATGCCAAAGGGATCAGGCCGCTAGCAAAAGCAAGGAAGCCGAGCAGCAAGAAGAGCCGACAAGGTACTCCGAAGAAGAACACCAGAGAAGGTACCGAAAACAATAAAAATGAAAGAAAGAAACGAAAACAGAACAAGGTAAAATCCAACAACACCTTCCTCCTCCACGGCTAATCATCGGCAGCAAACAAGCCCCGTTAGCAGTGAACGGGACAACTCTAGATTCATACTTCCATAGGCTGGGTTGCCGTCTGTGCCGGCTACTCAAGACTGAAAAATTTACCCCGCAAGTCTAGCAATTAGTGACTACCGGGATCGGTCCGTACAATCAATGACAATGAATGAAAATCCCCGGCGACGGTGGAAATTACACCGATATTTGGGTCAGGCAGTGCCAAGCGCAGGCCGAAAGAGGCGAGTGACGTAGAGCCGAGGGTTGGGAATCAAGTACGGAGGAAATATGGAGTCGTTTATGGGGGTCGGTGCGGTGGGCGAGGACCGGATCTGGGGCTAAAACTAGTTGCTTAGCAGAGAGATAGCAGTCGTGGAGTGAGGTATTAATTCCCAGTGTTTCCTGCGCAGAGGGAAAGTGGATGGAGCAGATAGTGTGGGGGTCCAATTAGTGAGAGCCTAGTGATTACTTTCGGCTTGCTTTTACAACCATGCCATCCGGTTGAACAATGACTATGATTGCCAAGGCGCAAGTCCAATTACCCACGGGGTACGCTGATGAGATCATACAATGAGAAAGTCGCTGGTGTCGGAAGAAATATCGCGATGCAGCCCGAAGCCCTCATGCTTCATTAGTGAGTGCTACTAGTCCTCCCCCTAGTAGAGTAGAGTAGTATCGCCCCGCGGACTTCCCCACAACCCCAACTTCCCGACTCCGGCATCACCATCTGTTTGCAGACTGCCGAAATCTGCAAACACCACGGAGGGTCGGAGGAAAAATATCGATAGCCATGTGGCGCTTACGTAGCCAATCTTCGAATCCGCATCAGGAACCCTGGCTTGCGATTGGCACGCTGATCCGGGGATTATGATATCCTCGTGCCGAGCCAGGCAGCAAAACGGCACCGGTTCGAAAAGTGCAAACTTCACGAACGAAACCGAGATTTTTTTTTTCCTCATTTTTTTCTTTGATCCCGAGCTTCGCGAAAGGATTCTCAGCGGCTCGTAGCTCCTCCCCACCGGGGAAGAAGAAGAGGAGCCGCCGAAGGGCTTGAATGATCTAGGCAATCTCCCCGACGATCCACAGACGAGACCTCCACCCGATGCCGACGGACGGAGAGCACTCCGTGTCGACGGCCTGTCTGCCTCTCTTGAAGGCTGGCAGACAGCTCTCGGAGTCGCGATGCTCTGGAGCGCAAGGTGGATATTCGCCATGCCGAAATGAAGAGGCCATCGGGCTGTTATTGTCACTTCGTCACCCCCCGCTCCTTGCGGGTCAAATATCCCCGGCGACCCCGAATTTGCAGCCCTTGCGGCTTTACTCCGTACGGACCGCAAGGGTCGGAGGTTCTTTGTCCAATCCGGAGTCCCTGCAGTCAGGCCATGTCGCGGAGGGAAATTGCAGGTCGCTGGCCTTGTGGAGTCGTCTTTGTTCATTATTGGGAACGAAGAGAACAAGAAAGAAGAGAAAAACGCGGGGAACCTCCGGATGCGTCGAGTGACACGGTAACATCATCCTGCAGAGGATTATTTGATTATGATTTGATTATTATCTTACAATAATTATTATCATTGCCATATTAGAATTAATAGAATTGTTATGAACATGCCATCAGGGTTCTGCCTCAGGCCGACTGCCCCGGAATGCGTATGGTCACGAGGCGTTACAATACAATAGTCGGAATCAGCTATTTTCTCCATCGAATGTAGACTCTCCTCCCTGTTCACTCGGGATCTAGATCCGGCCAGGAATCCCGCATACCTGATCGATCGTGTCGAACTCCCGCGGATGCTTCGTGATTTTCCTCGGGAGGAGCGCGTCGGAATGCAGTCGGGCAGCGTGTAAGGAGGTTGACCGTCTGGCATCTCCCGATCCCAATCATCGCCAATTGGATCATGGGCTAGCATGAACCCTTTGGCGGGGCTGGAGATGCCGCCAAGAGGCATGACTCTGTGCTCCCTCGCCGAAGCCAATGAAGGGTCAACTGCCGACTTGGTCATACTCATTATTCACCACTACTACCTGCTGGCCGCAGTCGTCCGTTCGCCGTCATACCCAGGCCCTGTCATCCTGGAAAAGCACTTGCTCGATTGGGCCTGCTTCATGTCGATCAACATACCGTTCCAAACTTCCCTTTGCTGGCGGGTCTTTCCTGCCTCCAGATGAGACTAAATTGCTTGCTGTGGGGAAACGCTGCCGGCTGCCTGTACAATACAATCCGTCCGTCATTTGCTCAATGCACCTCAATTCTCCCCTTCGCTGGGTGGCGTTCCTGGTTGTGTGCTGGGTTATTAATATCTCCCTCCTCCCCTCCCTCGTCTCCCTTCTTTCCCCCTTATCACTCCCATCCTTCTGCCACTGTTGCGCGGTTGATTGTCTCTCCATTTACTTCCCCGCAACGATGAAGTTTGGTTGGTTCGAGGCGGCAGCTTTGGCTGCGGCCTCGGTGGTCAGCGCCCAGGTACAGAGTGCCCCTTTTCTGCGGATGTCAACAGATGGATGAGGATAGACTCCTAATCGCCTCTTCTAGGATGACCTAGCTTTCTCTCCCCCTTACTATCCTTCCCCGTGGGCCAATGGCCAGGGAGAGTGGGCCGAGGCCTACAAGCGCGCTGTCGACCTCGTGTCTCAGATGACGTTGGCCGAGAAGGTGAACCTCACCACCGGTTCTGGGTAAGTCATCGTGAAGCATTGCGCCAACTGAGGAGAGAGCTGACGGTTTCCAGATGGCAATTGGAGAAGTGTGTCGGCCAGACTGGAAGTGTGCCGAGGTGAGCATACATCTGACCTACCGTTGGAGAGTACCGAAAGCTAACTTGGCATGACAGGCTCGGACTGTTGAGTCTTTGCTTACAGGACAGCCCTCTGGGTATTCGATTTGGTATGTTGCTTGTCAGGTGCGCAGTGGCGCGGGGAGGCGATTGCTGATCATAACCTCTACAGCGGATTATAACTCGGCGTTCCCCGCGGGTGTCAATGTTGCCGCCACATGGGACAAGTCCCTGGCCTACCTCCGTGGCAAGGCAATGGGAGAAGAATTCAGTGACAAGGGTATTGACGTTCAATTGGGTCCGGCTGCTGGCCCCCTCGGTAGACACCCTGACGGCGGCCGAAACTGGGAGGGCTTCTCTCCCGACCCGGCCCTCTCCGGTGTGCTCTTCGCAGAGTCCATCAAGGGTATCCAAGATGCCGGTGTCATTGCAACCGCCAAGCACTTTATTGTCAACGAGCAGGAGCACTTCCGCCAGGTCCCCGAAGCTGCTGGCTACGGGTTCAACATTTCCGATACCGTGAGCTCGAACCTGGACGACAAGACTATGCACGAGTTGTACCTCTGGTAAGCATGTCCATTCCTTGTATATTCCAAAAGCCTTCACACTAACTTGTATAGGCCCTTCGCCGATGCAGTGCGCGGTAAGCAATTTATTGATTGATCTCCCATTATGCGTTGCTAATACTTCGATTGATAGCTGGCGTTGGTGCGGTCATGTGCTCCTACAATCAGATTAACAACAGCTACGGTTGCCAGAACAGCGAGACCCTGAACAAGCTGCTGAAGGCCGAACTTGGATTCCAGGGCTTCGTCATGAGTGACTGGAGTGCCCACCACAGCGGTGTTGGCTCCGCTCTGGCGGGTATGGACATGTCGATGCCTGGCGACGTTAGCTTCAACGACGGTACTTCGTTCTGGGGTACGAACCTGACGGTCGGCGTTCTCAACGGAACCGTCCCCCAGTGGCGCGTTGATGACATGGCTGTTCGTATCATGGCTGCCTACTATAAGGTTGGCCGCGATCGTCTTCACACCCCTCCCAACTTCAGCTCCTGGACCCGAGACGAGTTTGGGTTTGAGCACTTCGCGGTGGAAGAGGGTGCCTATGAGAGAGTCAACCAGCTCGTGGATGTTCAGCGGGATCATGCCGATATCATCCGCCGCGTCGGCGCTGACAGTATCGTCCTCTTGAAGAACAAGGGCGCTCTTCCGCTGACCGGCAAGGAGAAGAAGGTTGCTATTCTCGGTGAAGATGCGGGCTCCAATCCCTGGGGTGCCAACGGCTGCGACGACCGTGGTTGCGACAACGGAACCCTTGCCATGGCCTGGGGTAGCGGAACCGCGGAATTCCCTTACCTGGTCACCCCCGAGCAGGCTATTCAGAACAGGGTCCTCAAAGGTCGCGGTAACGTGTTTTCGGTCACCCACAACTGGGCTCTCGACAAGGTGGCCAAGCTCGCCTCCCAATCTAGGTGAGTGCCGGTTGATTTCTGTACCGTCCCCCTTGCGCAAGGATATGTCTAACAGGCGCACCTCTAGCGTTTCTCTTGTTTTTGTCAACGCCGATGCGGGTGAAGGATTCCTCAGCGTGGATGGAAACGAGGGTGATCGCAACAACCTCACTCTCTGGAAGAATGGCGAGAACTTGATCAAGACTGCGGCCCAAAACTGCAACAACACCGTGGTGGTCATCCACTCCGTCGGCCCCGTTCTGGTCGATGAATGGTACAACCACCCTAACGTCACCGGTATCCTCTGGGCTGGTCTCCCTGGCCAAGAGTCTGGAAACTCCCTGACCGACGTGCTGTACGGAGACGTCAACCCTGGTGGCAAGACCCCTTTCACCTGGGGCAAGACCCGCGAGTCCTACGGCGCTCCCTTGCTCACGAAACCCAACAATGGCAATGGTCCGCCCCAGGAGGACTTCGAGGAGGGCGTGTTCATTGACTACCGCCATTTCGACAAGCGCAACGAAACTCCTATTTACGAGTTTGGCTATGGCCTCAGTTACACCACCTTTGGTTACTCGGGTCTCCAAATTCAATCCCTGAACGCATCGAAGTACACTCCCACCTCTGGGAAGACCAAGGCCGCCCCAACCTTTGGTAAGACCGACAAGGCGTCGGACTTCGTATACCCCGATGAGCACCAGAGAATCCACGAGTACATCTACCCTTGGCTCAACTCCACCGACCTGAAGGAGTCTTCTGGCGATCCTCACTACGGATGGAAGGACTCCCGGTACATCCCCGAAGATGCCACCGATGGCTCACCCCAAGACCTTCTGCCCGCTGGTGGCGGTCCTGGCGGTAACCCCGGCCTCTATGATGACCTGGTTCGGGTTTCGGTCAAAATCACGAACACTGGCAACGTTGCCGGTGACGAAGTGCCCCAGTTGGTAAGCTAGCTTTGATTCTCTTTTTGAAAACGGCGGTCGGGAACAATCATCATGCTAACCTGTTGCTCTTTACAGTATGTCTCCCTTGGTGGCCCCAACGAACCCAGAAAGGTGCTCCGCAAGTTCGATCGAATTCGCCTGGGTCCTTCTGAGTCGACTGTGTGGACCACCACGCTCAACCGCCGCGACCTGTCCAACTGGGACGTTGCAGCTCAGGACTGGGTCATCACTAAGTACCCCAAGAAGGTCTTCGTTGGAAGCTCTTCGCGAAAGCTGCCTCTGCAGCGCTCGCTGCCCGTGGTGGCTTAAAAGACGACACGATCTGTATAGGAATTATGATCAGCGATGTACATTCTGAGGATCATGACTAGTATGATGAATATTAGCAAATAGGAATTAATCAGCTCAAGTTAATACTAGCCTTTCCCCTTCTACTCTTGTGTTCGTGTGTTGCTTTTCCTCTCAAGAGACAAAGCACTGTATATCTGTAGATGCGTGGCGAAAGCAGTAGGCGGTGAGGAGCGACGTCATTCCCCCGGTGCTTCCAAGTCTTCCTTCGCCGCGCCTTTCGCTCTCTGTCCATCACTTGTTCTCCGCTCCTACTTTCAACTGACCTGCTGGCTCCAATTGAACCATTGTCTTTCTACTCTTTGCCTCGTACACTTAAGAGGAGGATTCGCAAACAAATTGATATCTCTCGGAAGGAAGAATACTACGGACACAGAAAAAAGGGAGAGAGAAAAATAAACATGTCCTCATCCGACAAACCTCCCACTACAACAGCGCGACTAAACCAACCTCCGACGCTGGCACTTCTCGTCTACCCAGTGACCTTGATCGTGGGGTCGCTATTTTCCGTCCTCTCACCGACAGCCCAGGGCTCGCGGGATCATGCCATCGATCATACCGGCCCCCTGGCTCCTACGATCGCCGCCGACCTGAACCTGTCACAACCCCCCGTCAACTACTTTGCCCGCAAAGACAACATCTTCAACGTATACTTCGTCAAGCTCGGATGGCTGTGGACTACGTTGGCGTTCTCTCTACTCCTCGTCAGCCTCCCCTCCTACACGACCCCCTCGAGTCAACGGCCGCGACGAATCGGCCAGGCCATCGCCCGGTACGCCCTAGCTACCCTGGTGTGGTATCTGACCACGCAATGGTTTTTCGGACCGGCAATCATCGATCGCAGCTTCGTGTTCACAGGCGGTAAATGCGAGCGCGTGGTCCCGCTGGCTGAGGGGGAGGACTCGCCGAGCTTCCATACGTTGTTCACGGCTGCGGCGTGCAAGTCTGCGGGTGGGTCCTGGCGAGGCGGTCACGATGTGAGCGGGCATGTGTTCATGCTGGTGCTGGCGACTTCGATGCTGGTATTTGAGACGGTAGGGGCGCTGGCGTCGGAGAATGGAGCCAAGAAGCCCGAGAATGGAGACGAGAAGTCGGCCGGGTTGAAGACATTGACTGTTCGATTTGCCTGGGCGGTTTCCGGTCTCGGATGGTGGATGCTTCTGATGACTGCCATTTGGTTTCATACGTGGTTTGAGAAGGTATGTCCTCTGCTTCTTTTGGGGTGGTGATGCGCCTTTGGATTTGGCTAATGGTGAAACAGTTGACTGGACTGTTGATTTCCTTGGGGACGGTTTATACCATTTACATTCTTCCGCGACGAAGTATCCCTTGGAGAGACGCGGTGGGCCTTCCGGGTATCTAGCCTATATACTATCCCCTGGTCTCGCTCCATGTCATTTATGCAAAATTTCAGGAGTTCCTGTTTCAAGCATAGAGGTTCCATGTGCCGATGAATGATGCATATTGTAGAATACTACCATGAATGTATATCAGTTCTGATCAGTCTACGTTTCGCGGTTGGGGACCGGCTCTGGTCCTAGATATCCATGGCGAAAAGCTACGGCGTTTTAGCAGTGACTCACCGTCTGCAGCAGGGCTTCAAACTACTCACCTCCTGGCAGCAATGCCGACGCATACATGACCTTTGTTATAGGCCGAAGACCCTCCGGCGTCCCAAGCGACTGCTCCATGTATGGCTCCCAGGAGGCCAGGATAGAATCGGCATGCGCCTTGAGATTCACGGCTCCCTCTTTCTCTGACGACTGCTCCGACATGCACTGGAGACCCAAGCAGGTGCCAAATTCGCGGAACGCCAGACGGGATTTGATGCTCCGCTCGAAGTAACGGTCGACTTCGAACAGTTCGTCTAGGTTGCAGGTTAGTTCCTACGAAGAGCCTTGCCATCTGAGCGCATCAAGGCCAACAACGTACCAGACCGCTCATAGCCCTGACTCGCCAGCCGAGTCGCCCATTCCTCCTTCTCCACGAACCAATGTATCGTCCACATCGTCATCCCCAGATCCAGCGGATCACTCGACACACAGTGGTCTCCCCTCCTGCGCATCACCCGGCGATAGTCCGCGATCTCGTCGGCCAGGACAACACCCTCACCCGCCTGCTGCGCCGCCGCCTGCAGCAGCCGGAAAACCACATACCCATCGATCGGGTCCAGATTGCCCTCCGACGCGACCAACGGCGCCGACAGATCCGTCGCCATCTTCCACACCATACGCGGCCGCGTCGACTCGTGATTGACGAAGAACCGCGGGTGGATGGCCTGCGCCAGCGCCACCGCGTGTCGGTTGTATGTCGGATCGCCCGTCGCCAGAGACAGCCGGTTCAGCGCAAACATCCACACCGTCAGATAGTGATGATACTGGCCGTCGCCGTCCGGGCCCGTCGCCTCTGTCTTTCCAATGCGCAGTCCGCCGCCCAGCGGATTGTGGTCCGTCGCGCCGGGGAGCCGGCTCCGGCCATCGCGCGTGCGACCGAGCACCTCGTGGACGGTCTCGACGAGTCGGCGCGCGAGAATCAGGCATCGGTCGTCTGGCGGGGAGGAGTGCGGCGCGGTCTCGTATTCACGGTGGAGGGTGAGGAAGTTGATCACGCCGAATGCATCGGTCCAGAGGTATCGGCCGCGATGACCGCCCGAGCCAGGTGGTGGAGTCCATTGACTAGGGTCGGGGATGGAGTTGAAATCGCCGTAGATGGCTTCCTGCGCTTGCTGGAAGCGTCGTAGTCGCGGCGAGCTGTGAGGGATGGATGCGGTCATGATGCTCGTGCTCCAGCGGGGGCGAGGATGGAAATGGATACGTGCAGGAATTAGCGGAGGGATTTTCGTGGCCGACTTGGTTAAAAACATTGCCAAACTTGCGTTTTGTTTATTTTATTATCGCTTGTATATTCGAGGTGACGTGTGTCGACACCGGTGAAGTCATAATGATCGCGTTTGCGAATGACTTCATCGCCACCAATCAAACCCCCTCATTCGGTATTTACTTCTCCCCGGGACAACACTGAATGTTTTGACAACTATCGGGTTCAGGATTCATTATTCTGACCATTCTGCTCAATGTCTCAAGCGTCAGAGCAACTCCAGGCACTTTTCACCGCGGCAGCTCGTCCTCTACCGTCCATCGACGACCCCGAATTCGCCTCGCACTTTGACAGCTTCGGCGACTACCCCATCGTCCTCCTGGGCGACGGTAGCCATGGCACGTCGGAGTTCTACTCTGCGCGCGCAGAGATCACGAAGCGGCTGATCGAACACCACGGGTTCACCATAGTGGCCGTCGAGGCCGACTGGCCGGACGCCGAAGTCGTCGACCGCTACGTGCGACAACGCCGCGGCCCACAGGCGTCAATCGGCAACAGTATACCCGGCTACGAGCCCTTCGGCCGCTTTCCCACCTGGATGTGGCGCAATCGCGAGACGCAGGCGCTCGTGGAGTGGATGCGCAGCCGCAACGCCGGAGCTCCGGACGAGCAGAAAGCCGGCTTTTACGGCCTGGACATGTACAGCATGGGGGAGTCGATGCACTCGGTGATCCGGTACCTGGATCGCGTGGACGCGGACGCCGCGAATGCCGCCCGGCTGCGCTACGGCTGTCTGGCGCCGTGGGTCGAGGATCCCGCCGCGTACGGGCTCACGGCCGTCCGCGGCATGCACGACTGCGAGGCGGCGGTGGTGAAGATGCTGCGCGACCTGCTGGACAACCGCATGGAGTACGCCAAGGACACCCACGACGGCGACGAGTACCTGAGCAGCGAGCAGAACGCGTACCTGGTGCGCGACGCCGAACGCTACTACAAGGCGATGTACTACAGCTCGGCGGCCTCGTGGACGCTGCGCGACACGCACATGGTCGACGCGCTGAAGCGGCTGCTGCGCTCCAAACCAGGCAGCAAGGCCGTGGTGTGGGCGCACAATTCACACTGCGGCGACGCCCGGTATATGGGGATGGGCCGGCGGCGCAACGAGGTGAACCTGGGGCAGCTGTGTCGCGAGCAGTTCGGCGAGGAGAACGTCGCCCTGATAGGCTGTGGAACGCACGCCGGGACCGTGGCGGCTGCCCACGAATGGGACGACGATTTGCAGGTGATGACCGTGTGGCCCTCGCGGGCTGATAGCTGGGAGCGCGTGGCGCATGACACGGGGATTCCGCGCTTTTGGATGGATCTGCGGCCGGGCAAGATCGACCCGGAGCTGGCCGCAGCGATGGAGGCGGATTCAAACCGCCTGGAGCGGCTTATTGGCGTGATCTATCGGCCGAAGACGGAGAAGCTGTCGCATTACTCCCAGGCGGAGCTGCATCGTCAGTTTGATGCCTACATCTGGTTTGATCAGACGGTGGCAATCCAATCCTTGGATACGGTGCAGCCGAGTACACCGCTGGGGAGCGAAGAGACGTATCCATTTGGAGAGTAGGGGGGGAATGTAATGGGTGTAATGGTCGGAGAGGGAGGGTGATGGTGATGATAAGTAGTAAATAGTAAATAGTTCCAAGAGTGTTAATGCACGATGCACAAAATGTATAAACCAACCACTGAGTCAGCTGCATAATGACGTCAGCTCACCGCCCGGCATTATTTGTTTACCAAACTTTTGTTGATGCGCTTCTCCCGCCCTTGTTTTCCCTCCGTCAATTCAAATCGTCCATTGCGCTCTCGCCTCCTCTGCGGCATTAGAGTTTATTCCATCTCCACGTTCCATCTCCTTCTCTCTTTTTCATCATGGCGGTTCGCCGCTCCGCGCGTTTGCGCAGTCGCCAGCCTTCCTCCGAGGTAAGAGAAGTCAATGTTCGCCCACATTCTGCCCCCCCGACAACAGCCAACCTCACCTCACCTCACTTCACCCACCGATCATCCCACCCGGCGATTTATGCTTTCAATGCTTCACGGCCCTTGCGTGAATCTTAACCACATGCTGATCTCACTCCTTAATTCAGGAACCGCAGCTGCCTGTTGACCCCGTCAACCATCCCAACAACAGTCACACTAGCAACGAAGAACAGACTACTAAAACCCACAACACGCTCCCCTCTGTCATGGAGCGCGACGAGACCCCTGTTGTTGACACCCCTTCCCGGCCCAAGGCTGCTCCTACTCCTGCAACTGCTACTGCCCCCTCTACTTCTACCAATCTCCGCACTCCTGTCAAATCAGCTCCTCCCCAGCCCAAGCCTGCCGCCACTCCTTCGGTCGCGGTGAATCGCGGCACTCCTCTGAAAGCAACCCCCTCGCAGAAGACTCCCTCTCAAAAGGCCCCATCTCAGAAAACGCCCTCCCAGAAGACGCCCGCTCAGAAGCCTTCGGTAGCCAAAACCCCCACCAGTGTGCTCGCGCGCCCGCCTCACCAGGAGATGCACCCCAGCAAAGTCCACCAGAGTACCACCAAGCAGGCGGACTCGGGCTTGATCCTGGGCTTCAACCCCGTCAAGAAGGATGCCGAAGGCAAGGTTGTGAAAGAATCCCTCGGCCAGGATACTCCGTCCAAGGCTCGACCTTCGCCCGCGTCCACCCACTTCGGTACTCCGGGTTTCGAGTTCAAATTCTCCTGCCACGAGTCGCAGCTCAGCGAGGAAGCCAAAAAGCTCATGGAGACTGTGCGCGAGGATGCCGCTAAAATCAAGTCTCAGATGACCCTGGACCAGAAAGACGATACCCCTCAGCAGAAGGACGATCAGCAGGCCGGAGACCGAAGAATCGCGCAGCCCAAGGGCAAGACCAATCGCTTCAGCAATGCTCACATGGCCGAGTTCAAGAAGATGGACTCGATTGCCGGCCACGCCTCTGCCTTCCGCGCCACTCCCGGTCGCTTCCAGCCCGTTCAGAAGACTCTCAAGCGGACCACCTCCAAGGCACGTCTGGATGAATCGGACAAGAACTCCCCCGCTAAGGCGGCTGCCTCCAAGCCTTCTATCGCGTCTCCTGCCGTGCCTACTGCGAGCAGCACCAAACGCGTGAAACATGTCAAGACCGACGATACATCTACGAACCGTCCCGCCGAAGGCGAACCTCGTACTCCCAGCAAGCCCGCTCAAAGCCGTCCCCGGTCGACCGTTCGCAACTCGTTGATGACCCCGACTGCGGCTTCCGCGGCGCGCACCACCTACACGAGCATAAAGCCCCCTCGCGCCTCCATGATCCCCTCGTTGGCGCGATCGCCTTCGTTGAATCAGTCCTCGGCTCCGCGCACACCCAGGACGGACTTCAACCCTCGATTCAAGACCAACATCCCGTCTCTGCCGAACCTCAAATCGATTCTACGCCGTCCCCACCAGCCCCTCTTCTCCAAGGATCCCACCAAGATCGCGGCTGGCACCCACGCGGCCGCGCCCGACTTCGACTCCAAGTCGCTGATGGGATCTTCGCGGGACGCGTCGGAAGATCCCGTTCAGACCCCTTCGCCCAAGAAGCGCGTGGAGTTCTCGGCTAGCACGCGTTCCCCTGCTGAAGCGTCTCCTTCCCCCTCCAAGGCCCCCGCGCCGGCGCCTCAGCCCATCTCTGATATCGTGTATCCCACTCTGCCGGTGTTGACTCCGGATCACGCCGTTTCCAAGTCCGCAAACGCCGAAGCCAAGCCCACTATCCGTCAAGTTCGTCCTTCGGATGCCGCCCCTGCCACCACTCCCGCCCCCGATGTCGCCGGCGTGCCTCATGGAATTGGAAACAAGAAGCGGCACCGTGCCACTGAAGACGAGGCCGATGCCGAGAACGTGCCGCCTGCCGAGCCCGCCTCGGAGGCTCGCAGCACCAAGAGGGTCAAGCTGAGCTCCCCGTCTCCCACCAAGATGCCCACTCCTAGTCCCACCAAGGCTCGGACTCACACTCCCATGCGGTCGCCCTCGAAAACTATTCGATCGGGGACTCCGGCGAGTGCTAGGCAGAGGAACCGGGGCGTGATGAGCATGAGCCGCTTGAATATGCTCGCTCAGCCCAAGAATCGCCCTTGATTGCTCCTCAGAACGGGACTCACATGACCAGCTCACATGCATTTCACGAGACTTTGCTTTTTCTTTTTCCTTTCTAAATCGCACATAGCCATACCCAATTCTCCCGGTGAATGGTGTTTTCTTTTTCATCCCGTACAATTTACTACCCATCGACCCGACAGTCTCCAGACTGGCCCGTGTACTTACTCCGTCGGATTTGATATCTCTGGGATTGGGTCTCCCAACCAAGCAATGGGTCTTTGATTTGATTTTCTTTCTCACGCAGGCGCTTGGATGCATCCGGTATGCAGGATTCACTGGACGGCGTTGGATGTGTTTTTTCTTTTGCCTTTCCAAACTTCTTCCTACTCCAGATTTACCTTCCGTGCGCCAGGTGAATCGGATACGGGATTGTATTTCGGTGGATTGGCCTGTTGATATTCTTGATTTGTCATTGTTGATTTGTTGACTTGAATGAATGCCTGCTTAATTTACATCAAGAAAGTGATTGTTTTCTTTTCGGCCCTTTTCGAGCGTGAAATCCAGACAGCCAGACAGACAGATCAGATGAAACATGCATTTTGTGGATTTACTCGCTTCTATTCCCCTGCTTGTTTGTATCTATGGATTGATTTTGACCATGTGGCGATGAGATTGGTTCCAGATTGACTATTTCTTTTTCCATTTGATCTCTAGCGTTTTTGGTTGTCTTGTAGAGTCGTACATCCCTCCCTCACAACTATGATATTAGATATGACCAGGAACAGAGACCTGCCCTCGAGATACAAGACCTATGGAGACAAGAAAGGAAGCATTACAGCCGCGTCTCCAATAATAATCAATCAATCAATCAATCCTATGGATTTATCACGTGTTCTCATAACCATCCATTGGATAACTATGGAACCGACTGATCAACCGTCCCAATGCACCTCAAGATTCCTGTCTTGGCCTCAGGCTTCACGATTTAATATTACAGGAGGAGAAAAAAAATAACCACGGAAAATACCCTTCATCGAAGAAGGGTAGGGGTGGGAATAAGGAAGACACCAGAAATAAAGTAACTTGAAGTAAGGAATTTTCGCCTGCCAGTCTGATACCAACGCCTTTAGATGACCGTGTCATACCATACCGTCGTAACCTGGATCCATTGATAGGATATCAGGCAAAATTCAAAATAGAGAGGAGAGAAAGCGGTAGAAGGAAAAAAAAAAAACAAAGAAGTCAGGGGTGGGAGAGGTCGAGAATCTAAGATGTAAAAGAAAAGAAAAAGGCAAAACAAAAGGCTTGGGAAGGGTCTAAGATCGATAAGGAATAGTAGAAGGGCAGAAAATGCAAGTGGAAGGAGAGAGATTTGTGATTTTCGTCAACCATGGAACTTGAGTCCTTTCCTTTTATTCTTTGGGTTTCCTTGACAACTGTTCGTTCTTTGTTGGACTCGTCCCAAGGTTGGTGGGTGGTCTGATCTTGTTTTCTCCTCCAGGGTAGGTAATATCACAGGTAATGAGTAGAGTCACAGGAAGAAATCGAAAAAAGCAGTAGGGGATACAGGGTCAAAAAAAAAGCAGAACTCCGAATCCATCCACATCCGTAGACAAGGATGATGATAACAAAAAAAGGGAAATGACATAAGGTTGATAATAAATATTAGACATAAAAAAACAATAGGGAGAAAAATTGCCAGCCATCAAAAAAAAGTACAGGAGTAGAAAGCAACGCAAGGTAAAAGAAAAGAAATTCAGGTGATATCGTCATCGTCATCCCTTCATCGTGGCCAAAAATGAATCAAGATTGTATTCCTCTTGGTATTGCCGATCGTCCCAGAGCTCTCCGAGATCGTCGAGCCAGCCCTTCTTGCCCTTTTCTTTGACTTCGCCGTCGATGTCGACCATGTCGACTTCGTTGCCTGTGGCAGTGTCGCTGGGCTTCTCGGCATTATCGGCCGTTTCACCTAAGTTGAAGAGATCCAGGAGCTGGTCTGTATCCATGGTATTTAGGCCGGCGTTTTGTTGATTGACCACTGTGGATGCGACGTCGATCTTGAATCGTTGTAGACTAGAGAGGATTGTTAGTATCGGTAATGATTATCTTAAGAGGCTGGGAATCGAAACTTACTTCAGAATCTTCTCCTCCAGCGTTCCCCGGGTGATCAATCGGTAGACATTGACGACCTTCTTCTGGCCGATACGATGGGCACGGTCCATGGCCTGGATATCCTTCTGAGGGTTCCAGTCGTGCTCCACGAAGATGACAGTGTCGGCTCCCGTCAGGTTCAGACCCAACCCACCGACGCTAGTAGTCAGAAGCAGGACATCGTAACTGGGATCCGTGTTGAATCGGTTGACGATGTCTTGACGTTTGGTTGCTTCGACGCTGCCGTCCAGGCGGAGATATTGAACGGAAGGAAGAAGTTTCTTGAAAACTTCACTCTGTACAATGTCCAGCATCTCCTTCATCTGACAGAAGACCAAGGCTCGGTGCGGGCTGACGTAGCTGGCCCCGGTAGCCAGATCACCTTCGCTGGGTGGATCAATGCCGATACCGCAGTCGAGCATGAGATCGCGCAGGGCGCTGAGTTTAGGGGCGTGGGACACATCTCGGATGTAGGAATTCTTCGTGTTGAGGTAGGTCTGGACCTCATTGTACTGTTTGTGTCCTTCTTTAACGACAAGCGCCGGGGAGTTGCAAAGACGGCGCATGTATTGCAATGCTTGGAAGATGTGCTCCTTGTCGGATTTTTCAGAGCTGCCCACCTTGTTTGTGAGACTCTTCTGCTCCTTCTTTGTGAAATCCTCAAAGAGTCTCTTTTGGAGCTCACTAGGGTCACAGTAATAATTCTGGATGATCTTCGGAGGCAAGTCGTTAAGCACCTCCTCCTTCAGACGACGCAGCAAGAATGGTAGGACCTGCTTGTGCAGAGCTTCAATTGCCAGTGCTCCAGCCTCTTGCTCCTTCGAGGAAGACTTGCTGAAACGACTTGCCGCAATTGGTTTGGCAAACCGGTCTAGGAAAACCTTCTCCGTTCCCAGGAATCCAGGCATCAGGAAGTCAAAGAGGGACCACAGCTCCAGCACGTTGTTCTGGATCGGAGTACCGGAGAGGATCAACCGGTGGTTGCTGACGACACGCTTGACCGCTAAAGTGACCTTGGCCTTGGGGTTCTTGATCAAGTGACCTTCATCCAGAACGCAGTAGTTCCAGCTGATGGGGTTGAGGATGTCATTGTCATTGCGACAGATGTCGTACGAGGTCACCACAATGTCGGCGTCGGCGAGGGCGCCTCTTAGTCGAGCACGTTCCACCGGCGGTCCAACGTATGCGACGCTGTTGAGGAATGGGGCATATTGTTTGATCTCTTGCTGCCAGTGTCCAGAAAGAGATGGCGGGCAGACGATCAAAGACGGAAGCTTTCTGGAATCCGACGTTTGGGTTCGCGCGTATTCTTCGGCACGCATATGATGATCGCTAGCAACAATGCAAATAGTCTGCAAGGTTTTTCCAAGACCCATGTCATCGCAGAGAATACCATGCAGATTGTAGCGATTGAGGAAGGCAAGCCAGTTAACACCCTCTTGCTGGTAGGGTCGAAGCTCCGCCTTGATGGAGACTGGTAGCTGGAATTCCTCCACCTTTCGCACATCCAGCATCTGGGACATAAACTTCCTCTCTCGTTCACGGCCCTTGAGCAGCTCCTCCGAGAGGCCAGGCGGGTCTGGAATGCCGGCCTCCAGAGGAACGAGTTTGACTAATGTCGCGAATGATGTGGTGGCCAGCAGTCTCACATCGTTATCAGAGTCACTCATTCGCCCCAGGACCGGCACGACAAGGAAGATAACGTAAGGCAGGATTCCGTCTTCCATAACATGGATGAGGTGATAGATACATTCGACGGCTCCTTGGCGGTGGTGGACATCCAAAGCGTTGTTGATAGTAGGCAGTACTTTCTCGACCAGCATGGTCATGCCCTCCACCGTAATAACGCTGCATATCGTAGCGAAACATTTGGCAGCTGCATAACGAATGACGGAGAGCTCGCATTGCAGGGCCTTGGCCACAGTTGGCATGAGACCAACCACCCACGGGTAAAGACCCGGATCGAACTTAGGAAGAATGGCACGGAGCGTTGACAGTCCGTCCACGGCTTCCTGGCCCAAGTCATTGTCGGGATCCAGAATGTTAGCCGGAAGGTCACCAGAGAGTGCTTCTTTGAGCGGACGCTCGACCAGGGCTGCCAGGTTGGGCACTTTCTCCATAAGGTCGGCGCCAAATTTGACTGCGAGCTGCTCGAGAGCATCCTTGGCACCTCGGCGCATGATTCTCGCATCCTTTGCCTCCTTCTCGAACTTCGCCGCATCCGGATGGTCGCGTCGATCTTCTTCCTTGCGAAGCGATAGGATCGATTTTTCCAGGCTGGCATTGTGATGGAACTCGGGGGTCTCTGACGTATCCACGCAGCAATACTTGACCAAGTTTCCAATGACCTTGTCGATGGGTCCTCTCTTGGCGGCGGTCGTGTAGTACTCCACCAGTGTAACAACCGCGGTTGAAGAGCGTTGCTGAAGCTCGGCATTTTCTTCCTTTTTGATGTTGTCCATGATTCCTTTGATGAGATGACCGGGCTTCTTGGGGATGTCATGCAATGCAACCAAGGCACCGGCTGCCGCGGCTCGGACACGCATGTCTCTCTGCTCACGGACGTTTCGTGCCTCAGAGATGGCACTTTCAGCGGTTGCACGTGTGTCGGTCAGTACCTGGTTGGCAGTCATCCGGTGCATGGGCGTCAGGCTCTTATTTAGCCTGTCGAAGTCGGGCCCGATCACCTTTTCAGCATCAGATAGCGAGAACGCACTCGGACCAGCTTCGGGGTCCCCTTGAACGATAACGGCCAAGACGGGCAGTCGTGACCCAGGGACATGCCCATGGTCCCGGAAAGCATTCAGCAGTGAATGGCACTGTGCGCGAGCCACGTGGAGATAGCACGCGATATCACTATACCATAGCGGACGGTCTCCTTCCAAGATCGGGCGCAACTTCTCACATAATTGAGAAGTGTACTTGGTGCCGGGACCGGCGAACCTGGCATATTCTTCGATGACCATGGCAGATGAGAGTTGCGAAGTCGACGCGGGGTGGTTGAGACCTTCCAAAATAGTAGGCCAAAGGTTTGAGAGTCCATTCTTGTCCCAGAAATGAAGGAATTCTCCGAGGGCTTTGGAGGCGTGAATCTTGGACCGTAGCATCGTATCCGTGCCGACAAGGTCAATGTCACCTTGGAGCATGTGCCCATCAACATTGTGCGCCGAAGGCGGCGGTGGAATTTCCTTCTTTTCGGCCTTGCGCCCGCGCTTCTTGGCCCCATCAGGCCCAGCGTTATTTGAGCTGGGAGAAGACCTCGCGGGAGCAGCAGCGCTTGTTGGGAACGGCAAGCCGGACGGTTTGATGAAAAGGGAGGCGTTCATGGGGATGGGGTAGCGGGGGACACCGAAAGGTGCCATGGTTAATGTGATGAGGGGTTGGACATTGCTCAATAGTTCGGCCTCAAGGCTGAATGATCCGCGAGTCTCCAGGGCCTTCAACAATTCCGACCACACTTGGAGAGACAGTCTCAGAACGCTTTCGTTCCGCTCAACCAACAGGTTCTGGAAGATGAGACGTAGTGCTTTGCCATTGACCCACTCGTTGGTACCCTCACCCTCGAGTTTCAAGAAGGTCATCAGGGCTCGAAGCACGGCAGAACGTACGCTAGTAATCGTGTGTCGCAAGAAGGGGTAGAGGCGAGGGACGAGGTTGCCAAACGAGGACTCCGAATCGACGGCTGCGTTGATTTTCATAGCTTCGAGCACTTCTCGGAATGTGCAGAGCTTTGCCAGCAGGTCCATCACTGAGCCCGTACTGGCACTCAGGTCATCCTGCAAATTCGAAAGGCAATCCCACACGATGGTCATGAGGGGGCCCAACGTTCCCTGTCGAGAGGTGACGAATTCCTCCGCGATGGGGACCAGCGTGGCGGCACTCACTGCACGGACGTCGTCGTCGAAGTCCCCTAGGCCCTTCATAACCGCCTCCAAAACACCATCCATCAGCTTAGCATCCTTCACGAGTAGATCCTTTCGCACCGCCACCAGGTATCGAAGACCGATCATACCGCCATGGCATACTTCCCAAATGGGGCGCTCCAGGTCCAGGTCTTTCTGCATGATGACCCGATAGAGGCACTTGTAGACGGAAACCACTGTCCGTGTGCTGAGCTGGGACAAGAGGGCACCCAACGTTTGACCGACGGTCTCGCGAATCGGAGCAACAACATTATCGGAGATGTAGTCTCCAAAGCGGTCGAGCATGAGAACGCAGAGAAGACGGCAGGCTAGATCGTCCAGCCACTTGCGATTGAGGGTATCATTTTCGGCTCTCGTTTTCCCGCGCACCCGACCGGCACCGGCGCCTTGCACTCGAATGACTTCACGAAGAGCCATCGCCGCCCCGTGACGAACCTCCCAGTTCGGATCAAAGATATCGATCATGAGGAAATCACACATGGGATCAAAGGGCCACACCGGACTGGGTCCCTCGTCGACCAGCTCCGGCTGGATGATGGGTTTTGCGGGTGTCACCTCTCCCTTGAATTCCGTGACAATCTTCGAGTCGTCATCGGCGCTGGATCGGTCCAGAGAGAAATAATCGGGCTTCGAGTCGCCATTCCGCTCCTCCCCATTCTCCGCCTTTACTGGGTGGGGCGTCGTTGCCGAGGGAGTGGTAACGTTTTCGGAGGGCCGTCGCGCGGAGATATCCACCAGCCGGACCTTGTTCGCGCCCAGCTTCGCACTCTGCTTGTTTTTGCGTTTGAGCTGGTTCAGTTGCCGCTTGCTCAGACCCGCCTCCTCGCCGTTGGCAGGCTCACCTGGCGACGCGACCGCAGGGGGGTTCATGCCGTGGTGGTTGTTACTACCGTTGCTGTTCTCCCGCGAGATAGGCGAGGGAACCTCCTTCGTCCCATGCGCCGGCTTGTGAACCAGGTCATTGTCGTCAATCAGGTCCTCGTCGATGTACTCTCCTGCGAGACCCAGTCGGGAGATTAGTGTTTTCTTTTGATGTTGCAGCCGGGATGCCGGGTCTAGAGCGGCCAGTGAGTACTCGTATTCCTTGCCGGCACTGCCCAACAGCCTCTTGCCGTATCTTAGAATCGCGGTCAGGTCTAGGCGGTCCAGCTGGAGCAACGGATCTTCCGCGGACGGGGGCTGCTCTTCCTCAGCCTTGATCTCGACGTCCAGTTCGTCGTCGTCATCATCAGCCTTCTTAATCTGCAGACCATCGTCTTCATTCGGATCAAAGACATCTGCATTAGTGACGATCAGACCGATGGCCTTGGCGGAAGCCGTGCGGGTATCCCACGACTTGGACCGAAGATAGGGAAGAATGCGACCCAGGAGATTGAAGAGCTCGTCGGGATGTTGTTTTTGAACATCAGCCAGCTGCTGGGCGGCCGTGTTCCGGATGAGAGGCGTGCTGCCCGTCTCCAGCAAACTACACCAATGATTAGTCAGATCCCGGCGGCAGCGACGGGGCACCAAAAGAATACTCACGTGACCAGGCGATCCAGTCTAGCGCGCAACAGCAGTTAGCGTCATGTCATGTAAGGGATTTACCAGCGACCACTTTTTTCGCGTAGACACTAGGGAAAAACTCACCTGGAAGTCATGGCGGGCAGGTTCCCCTCTCACGAGGGGGGGAGAGGAGATTAAAAAAAATGAGAACGGGTGAGACAGTTAACCGGAGATCACTTGGCGCAAGTGAGCTTCAAGTCAACTGCCAGTGAGGGAGAAGAAATCACAGGGTGTCGGAATCGTCGTAGTCGTCGTAGCCGGGCAAGTCGGAGCTGGAGGAAGGCAGGTAGGTATGTAAAATATACAGCCGCGTTACACAGCCGTCACCGCCATCGAACAAGAAGAAGAGTGGAGAGTTGGCAGGTCCAATCACGAAACGCGCAGGAGAAGTAAAGGGCCAACTATTGTTTTATTACTAGGAGTCGTCGTTAAAGTCGGAGTCGCAAAACCGGCAGTCATCAGGAGAAAATGAGCAGATGGAAAATTCCGGACGAATTATGGTTGCGAGTTGAAGATTCACTCGATCATATAGAAAGAGAGGGAGAGGCGAGCGGACAAGGGAATCAAAAAAAAAAATTCAAAAATAAAATAATACAAGCAAAAACAATTAAGAAGGAAAAAAAAAAAATAAATTAAAGCAGTCCCTCCGAAAAAAAAAATGGAGTCAGTCGGCGAGAAGTCGCGATGGATCAGGAATTGTCGGGGGGGGCCGCAGAGCAACAGCCAAAGCGGAATCCGTCAGTCACCTCAGTAACTCAAGTATCAACAAGAGCGCTCGAGGTCACGCAGGCTGTTTATATCATTGGGGCTTCTTTCGCTGGGCGCGCCGACCCATGCTTGGGCCCTGCGCGCTAGTCCCCTTGCGGTCTAGCTGCCCCCACGGCCGCAAAGGTTTTCGTGTGCCCACGTGACCCCAACCTCACGGGAGGCGCGCCGCCTGAGGCTGCACTGCGCCGCGGCTTCCTGCGCCTACTTCAGGTGGCCCAGGGAGACTACGCTCGACTGCGGTAGACTACGACGCCTGGAGACTAGAGAGTATCTTCCGGCGGACCCCGGCGCAATGCCATCGTGCGTCCGTGGGCGATCCCCCCTCTTCCGATCAAATCCGGTCATTTAAGCTTGTTTCGCGCCCTTGACCTTACGCCAAGAAATGCCAGATGGCCTCATAGTTCGGCGAAGGGGCGTTTCATCCCTCGTCGACGTCGGCATAGGGACCAGTTCGAAGCAATCCGGACACTCCCTGAGAAGCCTGGCCGGTCGTACTCTTGTCGGTTTGGCCTGAGGCGCCATGTCGTCAGCGCGGTCTGCCTCAGGCTGCTTCCGGCCGGATCCAATCAGCAGGCATCGATTATATATATCGCGATGATCGTCCATCCGCACCTTCAGCAACTACGGTAGGCAACTGTCTTTGTAGTCCATAGGAGACCATATACGACTGGAGTTTAGTGAACAAAACTGAACAGCCTTGGGTTTTTCTTTTACGCACATCATTGTCTGCCTTTGATCTTCCCAAATTCTTTATGCCAACCGTTCCAAGGTTACGATTGCCTTTTCGCATGACCCCAAGATTCCAACTATACCCTACGCAGCACATTTCCTCCCGAGTAAGGCAGTCAAAGAAAAGACCCCCGAAACCCGAAAGAAACCCCATCTAAAGGGGAAAAAGAAAAGACGAAAAAAGAAAAAGAAAAGGAAATGTGAAGTAGAACCGAGCGTGTCCATTTCTATACATTGAGGACTTCATCGTCGCAACAAAACAGCATGACTTTGGTAGTAATAGTAAAACATCGAATTCGGCACCGCACCCTCTCAACATGGGCCCGTCACCCTCCTAAGACTTTCCCAAAAATGCAGTTGCCTGTTCTTCCTTCCCTAGCAATCCTAGACTGCGGATCTCTTCGGCCTTGGGCGCATTCTCACGGGGGTTCGATGCCTCGGCCTTCTGGTAGGCCTCCTGCAATCTGATCGTTCGGATAGCCTATTCCTCAAATTAGCCATGATATGTCGCCGGTACTCTCCAAAGAACAGGGCCTGGAAGCTCCGATGTATCCGGTTTTCTGTGGAATCGAGTGCGGAAGCCGGGGCCGCGGAGGGGAGTCAGAACGCACCTCCTTCTTGTGGTGCAGGCACTCGTGGTAGTCCTCCAGAGCGGGCAAGCACTTCTTCTTGCCGGCCTCACCCTCTCCGGCGTTGACAACGTAGCAGCCGAGCACTTCCTGCCAGAAGTTGAAGCAGCGGGACGGACCTGTGGAGGGGACGCATTAGCCGCGGACGTCGGTCGGAAGGATCACGGCATTGGGACCGCAATTCCCGGGCAGAGGCGAGGGAAGAGGAACATACCGCCGTTGAGACCAAATCCAGAAGCCATTGTGTGAGTGGGTGGTGGAGGAAGCGAGCGATACGGCGAGGCGTGAAGGGGCAGGAGAGGACGGATTGGCGATGCGAGGTTCGTTCTTTCCGGGTGGCCCGTGCGTCGGCGGTCTTGACGTCTGGCCGCGCTGAGTGCTCCCGAACACATCACCATCTTTCGCTCCCTCGCCCTGGACGCCATGGCTGCCTTCGCAGGGCTTTCCGCTGCTCATGCGATTCTCCTGGCTACTCACTGGTGTGCCACTGCAAATCTCTCTCATCTCCCGCTACTCCAAGCTCGATTTCCTGCATGCCTGCCCTCTGAGCGACTCTTGCGCATCATCTTGACCTTCCTCCCCGAGAGCACCGCGCCGCAGCGCTACACGTCCGTTGTCCAGGATATTGTGGACGGCGGTTCAAATCAGTTGGATACGGAGGAGGCCGATATCTCTTCCGTCAAAGATCTGACCGAGGCCGTTGCGAGGAAACGAGTACGGAAACTCCGTCTACTGCCACTCCGGTGTCCCGACGATGAAGACGGTCAGGATTCGGAGGACCTCTTAGCCCAATTCCTCATTCATCGAGCATACCGGATAGACGGCGAAACTTCCCTTCAACCCTTGATTCTCGATCTTCTCCTGCCGTTTTACGAACGCTCCCCGTCGGTGCGAACCTGGCTCATCTCGACCCTCCTCCCGCTGCTGCGATTAAACTACGAATATTACCCCAGCCAGGACGAGACTTTTTCGCTGGACACACTGGAGTCTATGGATGATCATACGGCAATTAACGTTCTTCTTTCGATGACTGGTGCGGAACGAAACGTCATGGACCTGGTTAATAATTTGCGGGGCTTAGTTGGTTCGTGGATGTATGGAAGCAATCGGTCCAAACGGCGAAGGCTCAGCCAAGCGGCGCAACAGAACTCGATTTCATCCCCCCCGGGTGAGACCCAGCCACTCACGAGGAACGGTGTCGGGTGGCACTATGTCAATGAGTGGTTGGTCTCGCGGAGTTTGGTGGATCTCGAAAGTGTTGTGCGCGCCTTTTCCAACTGGGGTGGACCCGAAGATGTGGACTTGGGAGGATATGATGAAGGCAACGGACAGTTACAGAAGGACGAGGTAACGGACTTGAGAATCCGCTATGCTCAGTCTGGACTTGCCGTCATTTACGCGAATGGCGACATCAGCGGGCCTTCCCTGGAGGGATCCAGTGAGGTCCTCGCTCGCGTTTCGAGGCTACTGGACTACGAAGACACATCATTTCTCACGTCAAACACATCGGCGCTTCCGTCGATCACATTCGAGGCAAACCGTATCTCATCGTCATCGAGAGTGTCTTTGCTGCAGAATGCCTTGCTTCTAGCCTCCAACCCGCTAACATACCCTTCCGCCTCCTCGGTTTCATTCCTGGGTGCTACACTTCTATCTCTTCGGATTTTGAATGAGCTCGGGTATCCTATTCCATGCAGGGCGGCTGCAAACATTTGTCTTCACAGCCATGAGGATATGCAACTGCTAGAATTGCGGAACGTAATGGCATCTGCTGTTAGGCAGACTCAATCTGGTCGGGACTGGAGGAAGACCCGCCAGCAGTTACTCTGGCTTCGAGATTGGGGGGCTGATTCCATGGGCCAAGCAGAGGACCATCCAAATTGTCACGGGCTCTTTTGGAGAGTTCCGCGGCATATTGTCGAGACAGAGGTTTTAAAAGCAATGCTGGATGCGAAAGGTGAGCGCCATTGGCAACTCGTGACTCTTCATCGGAATGCTAATATATATAGAATACAACTTGGCCGTCGAGCTTTACGTCACGTCAAGTTCCACCGTAAACCTTTCTCAAGTGGAGGAGGCTGTGAAGGAGGCTATCTTTTCGGCATACGATAACGCAAGCAATGGAAATCGAACACGAGGCGGCATGAGAAAGGCGCACGAAATGTAAGCCATGTTGAATCGAATCAACCGAGCAGGCTGATGTGCTAATTTGCCTTACGCAGTCTACAAGCATTCCAACCACACATGCCCGATTCCACCTCTTTCAAAAAGATCCACGCTCTCATCTCCGCGACGCATTCTCTGTCGTTCTACTCTCTAACTCTGCAGCACGGAGTCCCGTTCCAACCCGTCAGCATCCGCGTTCACTCAGACCCTCTCTCCCTGATCGAAAAGGTCCTCGATCAGAACTCCAAAGCCTACACCAAATTGGACGACCTTCTCAGCATCGGTCGAAACCTCGTTGCGGCCGGGTTTTCGCCTCACTTGCCCGACGACGAAGGCACCATCCCAGCTGATTCGGAAAATGCTGTCGTGACCGCCGAACGGCGCATTATGTCCCTGGCCATCTCTTCGGCTCTCTCGGACGACGACTTCGGCACCGCCTATTCATACATTCTCACCCGGCTCACTCCTCCCTCCCTTATATCCACGTCATCCCCGCTTACCAACCCAGCCGTGAAAGACGATATCTCGTGGCGTGCCGTCTATAATGCCGGACGTTACCGCTCGCAGACAGCATCCGCTAGTCCCAATCTCCAATTCCAAATTACCCGGCTGTCTCAACGCATGGAGCTTCTCTCTTTAGCTCTGATCCTCGTGCCGTCACCCGACCCACTACCGGAGGTTCTAGGCGCCTGGAGACGATGCGACGAGGAGATGACGGGGCTGCGCACGCGCGAGTCCGAAGAGGAAGAAATCTGGGATACCAAGGGCGACCGTATTTCCATGGTGCCGGGCGGTTTTGGCCCCACCGACAGCGAGCAGGACGCCTTTGAAACGCAACAGCATCACGCTCGACGCGCCCGGGCCCAACAACAGCAGAGTCGCCTCAATCTTGAGGAAGCCCCGATGGGTCTATTCGAAGTCGCCCGCGGCGCCGCCCTTGCCCTTCACAAAAATGCATTTCCCCTGCGCGGGGCCGCAGAAACAGATGCCGACGCAGATCCCCCGTCTGACCCGCTGCATCACTCGGCGTCTCATGTGCGTGGACCTAGCGACGACGAGCGAGTCCGCAAGCGCGACGTCGTCAGTAATATGGTTACGGGCGGATTGGCCAGCGGCATTGGATGGGTCCTCGGTGCTCAGCCAGTAAATCGTTAATCGTTTTTTTTGTCTATTATTTCTGACGAGAGTTATGACTTGGTGGTTCGGTGGGCTTTTCTTTTGTTGCCACAAAACCGCGTTGATATCATGTGACGATGCATTGCAGGCGTATAACATTAATCTCATTCCAAATCCAGTACATAAATTCAATATCTTGAGTACGCAGTATGTATTCCTCTATATTTCCTTTTAAACCGGTTTCTCAATTTCTCATAAATGCATCGCCAAGGATGTAACATTCACGACGCAAAATCTAAACGCGCCGGCAGAATCCAAAACTCTATCGTGCATTGCTTACGGACAACCTAGACAGTCCTAGTCCTAGGTAGTAGTCTGATGTAAGATATGTAAATCCAATACCCTCCAGGCGGGGAACTACCTCCGTATGATCTGTATCTGATCTTGATATTCGACATTCGGTGCAGATCGCACGAAGCACCAGTCTGGATATTGGGCAGGTGCTTTGTTCGACTCCAGACCAGATCTGGCTAAGAGCAGGAGGATTTAGTATCAAAGGTTTCAATTATGCTACCTAAGTAGGTAAACATATTTTATTTGAACGGAAAGAAACGCCCATATATTGGATTTTCCAGTATCGAATTCGAACTTAGGCTCGATGTAACCTGACCTTACAGACAAGTCGCACGGAGTATGCAGGAAGATGAAACATGATCTCCGGGGCAGGAATCACAGGATACGCCTCGGATTGATTGATTTTCAGCCGAAAGCAGATGACCAAGGGTCGAGGCATGAGATCGAGACTGTCTCACCTAGAGAGGTTACTACTAACGTTACTAGAAAGCTTAGTAACATCCATCTATGGCTTCAAAGTCATTTGGCAAGCCTATGCATATGTACCGGTTTCATTCATCAATGAGGTAAACCTAGGGAGATAGACTCTGAAAGAAAGTTCAAGAAAATATATGGAAACAAACTCAACGAACCAATAGATCACCCGTTCGTCCGGTCCAAGAAAACAGTGGAAATTCAACAAAAAACACCCACATGCGTCAGCACCGCTGGCCGCTGAAGGGGATGTATTTTCAGACCAAGAACAATCTCAATCGAGCAAGAAAAGTAGAGCAGACGGCGCAAAGACAACCGAGATGAAGGGGATCGATGCAAAAGAAGGCACAAAATCAACGCTGGATCAGCGACACAAAAAATCAAGGAAAGACATGATCATCAAAATCAGGTATAGGAATCTCCCAACTCCATAAGGATCGACAATGGCAAAATGCGGGAAATCAAACTAAATGAGCGTCGTCAAATGATCACAATTCGTATGCTTTTCTTTTGACATCCTGGTCAAACCAAGGGCCAGCCACTTGTAAGCGTAAGGAGAGACCGTAATATATGCGATGCATTATAAGGGGATGATGCGGGGATGGCGATGGATATAATGGAGGGGATCAAGCGAAAAAAAAAATCACGCAAAGGAATCGAATCATCGGTCGGTCGGCTGCACGGAAATGAGAAAGAAGGGCGAGGCTCTACTCGTTCCAGCCCCACACTTGCTTCACGAAGTTTGCCATGTTGACTTTTTTGTTCTTCATGTCCAGCACCCAAGGATGTTCCAGCATCCGCCATGGAGTGGCTCTTCGTGGAGGTTCTTTCTCGAGACTACATTGGGTTAGTTTCACGCTGCACCAGAAGATTGAACGTCATGCTCGAGGTAACATACCAGCATTCAATAAAGTATTTGAACTTGTCGGACCAGCGAATGCCACTTTCGGGTTCATCCTTCAGCTTGGGAATCGGTTGGCGGACGATGTACGTCAGGAGGTCAATAAGGCCCGCGCGAGGCTGCATTTCAGTGCCGTCGGCAGGGAACGGGAAGCGATGTTGGGCGACTTCAAGCAAGGTCACTCCCAGAGACCACACGTCGGACGTGATGGTGTAGGATTGGCCGGTAATTCGCTCGGGGGCCATGTAGTAGGAGGTACCGATGAACGTGTTCGCGTCACCCTTGGTGCCGAATTCTCCACTGACACCGAAATCACAGAGTTTTACCTGTCCATCGCGGCATAAAAGAATGTTTGACGGCTTGATGTCTGCAGTCAAACCAGTCAGCATCAGGCCCCAACTGCCTATCAATGTGGATATAAGACACATACCTCGGTGAATGATTTTTCGGCTGTGGAGATACGTCAACCCGTTCAGTACCCCTTCGGCCACCTTGCCCAGCACCTTCTCTCCGGTTCGACCACCCAACTTTTTCACTTCCTTGTATATACTGTCCAGACTGCCTCCTTCGCAGAATTCCATTGCGATCGAAATGGTCCCCGTCGACTTGTCCATGAACGCGCCGTAGTAACGACAGATATGGTCGGATGCACAGTCTTTATTAAAATTAAGCTCTCGGACAATTTGCTTCTTCACGTCAGGGTTGGGGTCCGTCGTGATGATCTAGCATCGGTTAGCGCCGTATCAAAACCAGCTTCTTCGCCGGGACACTCCCATCGGCAACAAGACTCACCTTGAGAGCGAAGACCGTCTTTCCCTCCTTCAGTTTGCATCGGGTGACCGCACCACCGGCACCTTCACCCAAGCTACCCAGTTCCTCGATTTTCTTCGATTCACTTGCGGCCAACCAGCCTTCGTCATCCAGATCGTCGACATCCAAGGGCCTGCCCTTCTCCAAGCTCAACTTATCCAGATCCGGGATCAACCCGTTGACGCTGCTGTCTCGCTCCACGGGCACGGCGCCCTCCCGATCGGAGTAGACGGAACTGATGGCGGAAGAGGGGTCGGGGGTGCTTCCGTGCGGTTGACGCAGCCCCATGGCGAATGACAGGGCTGAATAATTGGAGGACGACGCCGAGGCCGGACCGCTCGCTTTTCCATCTAGATAGGTGAAGCTTCCCGTTCGCGAATGCCCGTTCGGTTCGTTCAGGCCGTTGGTGGCTAGAGGCGGCGGCTTGGGTCGGCCGTTGGATTGCGGGACATCCTGACTGCTGCCCATGGGGGTCGCTAGGCGAAGTTGAGGGGGCGCTGGTCGGCCGGCCGGGCGCTGCAGCTGAGGGCCGTCGGCGGCGGCAGCAGCAGGAACGGGAGCGGGAGCGGGCGCCGGCACGCCATTTCCAGTGACGGGGCGAGCATTGGGAGACGGCGGGATACCCAAGGTGAGTTTGGGAGGGCGAGGACTGTTGCCGTTGGCAGGGCTGGCGTTCTTGTTGCGATTACCCGGCACGGGCGGTTTGAGGAGGGGAACGGCGGAGGATGACATGGCGAGATTGTTTTGCCTCTCACCAGGCAAAAACAACTCGTTCGGGTCCGCCAGGGTAGCCAGATCGGCGGCTTTTGAGGTAGACACTTTGAAAGAGTGGAACGGAGAAAGAGGGGGGAAAAGAGCAGACGACCAGGGGAGGCGAGACGGCGAACAAAGGAGGGCCGTGGGGCGTTTGGCTGGACTGGTGGCGGTCGCAGATGTGAGGGATTATTATGAGGGGTAAGACAAGACTAGATGCAAGAGAAAGACAAGAAAGTACGAAGCGACAGGGGAAAAGAGAGACAGATGGGGAAGTTGACTAGTCCGTCAATCAGTCAGAGCGAGAGCGAGAGCGAGAGAAAGTGAGAGAGTGAGAGAGTGAGGGGGTGGCAGAGAAAATAAGAAATGGGGGGAGACACTTTTTGCCCTCTCTTATTAAGAAATAGATGAAGAGAGAAAGCAAACAAGCGAATGTTGCGAGAAGGGAAGTGGATGGACAACACAAGAGAAAAGAAAAGAAGAAAAAAAAGAACCGGGCTGGATGGAAAGAGCAGTGATTTTATTTAAATTGATCGATTGGGTTGAGGTGATTTAATGACGGACGGGGCCGTTGGATCGCTAAAAGGATGGAAGCTTTGCACCTGGATCAAGTCAGGTCGAGAATAGCAACGGCGCCAATCATCGGATGCGGGTGGGACGGCGGAGGAGGAGCAGGAAGGAATGATGGCAGCGGCAGACATGGACAGACTGAAGGGAATCCAAACGAGGATGACGGAGAGCGAGTGGGGCGTTTCAAAAGGCGCCTAGAGAGGCTTCATCATTCGGTCTTGGGACGAGGGAGATAGATTGCCGCATGGAGCTATTTGGGGGGAGGGTGTCTTATGATTGGGATTCTACAGCGCACCGTTCGAATGATTCTGTCGAATCGTACGCAGTAGGAGTAAGTAGTTCCGGGCAGATACAGATTGTGGTATATCGTTTGGATGCTGCCTGGGGATTCAGGCTGCCAGGCAGAGACTTTGCAGAATTTGCACTTTCCCGATCGGGACGAGGGCAGCCCTACGAGCCGATTTGTCATGGAGTGACTTAACTCACTACGGAGTAGTTACCTTACCTACCAGTGGTTAGCTGGCTATGATGCTATCCTCCGTAATCCTGTGTCCGCCGGAAGGAATAAAGCCTCATCTGAAACCCGATTAATTATAGAACACTCATTGGCCGCCCAATCTATCTGTGGCGGTACACTCGGTCCTACCCACTGCAGGCTCTGGAGATCTACGGTCTTGGTCTCCGCGGATGATTTTGGATGAGATGATCTGGCATATCGTCTAGATGTCTACTAAGTATCGAGATAGTGACTGTAGTTCTTTGGATGCATATAGTATACTCCGTCCACGAGGATATCTTCTGATGAACAATCCGCCGCGTCAGCCATCGGCAGCGCTTGGGCCCTCGGGGCACGTGCGGCCTCAGCCTTGTGATGCGAATGTCGCAAAACACGCCATTTGCTCTGGCATGGACCTTTCGATCTCAAGCGATGAAGCTTCCAAAGTTCCAAGCGACCCGACTCCAGCACTAATCGACTCCTGACATCATCTCTACCGATGCTGGACCCCTCGCTCGATTCCGTAAATGTGACTTCCGAATCGTCCTCAACTCTTGACTCTCCAGTCCGACCCACCGGTTTAAAATAGCACTGTGCGCCCCATTTGCACCGCCATAATGCAGCGGGAAACCGGACTACGGGCGCAACAATCGAAATTGACTGGTCAGTGGGCATGCGAAGTGCTAATAATATCCGTAATTGACGGAGGATCGAGCATTAATTAAGGGAACGCCATGGCCTGTTTCATCTCATTGGTAGGTAGGATCTTGCGCCGACAGCCACCTGTGGCTTGCGAGGCTCGTCTGTCCTTGTCTCGGATCGGGAGGCTTGTCGTTTTTCGCCCTTCTTCCGTCTTCCCGAACGGAGGACTCGGATGAGGTCATGAAGCTGAGCTGTGTGATCTTATCCCATGCCGGTCTACTGCACAGTACTTTGTGCAACGGGCTTGACTGCAGCCGAATTCCACCTACTACTCCGTACTGTCCTACCACAACTCACAGGTAGACGCGCGGCATGGACGATCCTCGCTTGGGCTGGACCCCACCAGATCATCCAACTGACTGGCAGGGATGGGCATGATCAAGAGAAATATCGTCGGAATCAGTGAATGGCAGACATGCATTTTGACGCCGGTTCCTGAGGCATCCGTCTGTCTGTCCGGAACCCTGGTCGTGCGTGCGTAGTTCGCTTGACAGATCCAGGGCTTACTGTTTACCCCAAATTCTTTCCTCTCGGTTGGCAGGAAGTTTAGGAACCCCTCCATCGAACCATGAAACCCTGAACCCCTCCATCGGCGGAAACAAACAATCAAAGTAAAAAGCCGGGGTAATCGAGTGGTTCCTTGCAACGAGCCCATCGATTTGACCCTGAACTTGGCCCGGAGGATGGATCCTAGCAAATGCAAAAACATGCTATTTTTCTATTCCTGGGACTGGGAGACGCAACTGTCTGCCGAACCCAAGAACTTTCTTTTCGCCCTTCCCCTGTTGATCGGTGGAGCAAACACCACTCACTCGGACGTTTGTCTTGCTTGGATTTTTGACTCTCGACATGACCTATGAGAATGGCATGCTCATGCGACATACGTAGACAACCCCCCACTAGTCAAGGGGTATGCTATTTATGCCGATAAACTATGAACTATGAGGAATCCTGAAAGCAGCGACAACCTATCAGTTACTGTTCTTAAATGATCCGGGTATCTAGGCCCCAGACTACTAACTGACTGTACCCCTGATGAACAAATAGCGGGTTTTTCCCGTCCCCTTTTCTTCCCGTCAATCAATCACTCAATCCATCAATTAATCGTGGCCTAAAAAAAGAAACCGTGCTGGCAGACAGACAGGACAGGACAGAACCTGGAGAACGGACCCTGATAGGAACCCTTCCGAGTGACGCCCGTCCTTGAAGTTGAAGGAATCCAAATTCAATAGTTTTGTTGATCACCATCTATGGTGGGTTGTGCCCACTGCGCCCGTCCTGTTCTCACACGGTCCAGATGGAAGTACCGCCGAGTACAGCTTACATGGTATTACCCCTGGCGGTACAACATCCCATGGAGTGTGCGATCCAAGTCCCACCTGCCGACTACGTTGGGAGGACTTTTGTCCTTCCTATAAGAGTAGAATGCTGATATAGGAAGTATGTTTGTGTGGCTACTGACTAGCTACCACTTCGCAGCTCCTCCGTAGTAACCATTACTACAGCATATGTACGAATACGGGGCAACGGGTCCCTGTCGTATAGCCTAAGCTTTAATTAAGCCCCCAACGCGGCTAGCCACAAGCCAAGGGTCCTTTGCGGTTGATTATTGACGCCGCCAGATTTCTAGACCGCTGTCGATGGCACGGATGTACAGGGTACATGTGTACATCGTGGCGTGCGCTACCACCTGGGAAGCTAGGTGGCGGGTGTACTCTGTGCGCTGTACTTATATGTGCATGGCGGTGTTGACGCAGGTACACAGGCCCCAAGACCGCCATGCAGATTCTGGCCCCTTCGACACCCTTCATCAGCATAAGCATAAGCGTCTCGCCCTCGACTTGGGAAGTTAGGCTGTGCGGTGTACTCCGTACGGAGAATGTACGACATGCACATACCAAGGTCCAATAGGTACCTTACCTCAAAGGGAGGGGGAAGATTACAGGATGAAACGGTTAGCATCTTACCGAGGGGAAGGTTGACAGGCCAGAAATTGTGCAATCTCGGCAGAGAATTGACACCAACTCTAGGCCCTGCTCCGCTGGCTGCGCTGTACTGTGCAGGAGTGTAGGAAGATTGAATTTCATATGATTATATTAATTACCGCTCCATAGTTCATTATGTTGTGAATTGGATTTCCCCGTATGTTTGGAATATTACCATTATTATGTCCACACCGAAGATGGTTTTTCCAAGATAATTATGGAACGAGAGACAGGGGGAGTGGGTCCACCCTCCACCCTCCATCTACGACGGGGGAGTCATTGGTCAATGGTGGGGGACGCGGGAGCCACAGCGGGATGGTGGCAACCTCGACAAGTGGGGCTCAGCGTCAGGAACGGGCTGCCTGGACGGGCCTGATTGGGCGGCGTCGGCAACCTGAAACAAAGCCTAACCGGGTGCACAACGTCCTGTGGCTTGGCAACGACACACCAACTTTCCGACGCCCCCCCTGATGATGGAGACTCGGGGCTGGTTGGTGTTTGGTCGCCAGAACTTGCCGTGTTCCTGGTGCTCCGTAGGGCAGGAGAGACGGCTCGTACGGAGTACTCCGTAAACAAACCGTTGTTCATGTAATTCCTGTAAGAATGTGCGGCGTGAACAACCACCCACGAAAGATAGACCTCTATCGCACGCCTCTGCCGCCGCGAGACAGAACTATCGAAGGTGTAGGGCCGAGAATCCCCCAAACTAGTTGGATGACGCGGAATCCATCGATCCACAGCCACGATGACCTCTCAAGTTTCTGGTCCTTGTCTCAAAGCAGCAAGCGACCGACAGATCATCGGCGCGATACTTTTGCAACCCAGTGTAAGCAAGACAAGAAACTAAGCGCCAAACTAGTGCCTCGCGACCGGTCTCGTCCACCAACCACGATGACCAAACCCCCAATTTCCACGAGGGGCCCTCGAGCGCGGCGGCCCCATCCGGTTGAATGGACTGCCTATGAGGGCAACAATACACCTCACCGTCTCGATCAATCACCGCTGCAGCGCACGGCGGGCTCCACCGGGCTTGCAGGTCTGAGTTGCTTCTCTCTCCCCTTTTTCGTCCCTGAGACGATCTCCAGGGTAATCTCCCGGGCCATACAAAGGCCGCCGGCCCTCCCTCCCTTCTCGATCTTCTGATTCTAATCCGTTCCTTCTTTCTATCAAGTCCAACTTGTTTGAAGCATATCCAACTTGACTTCGGTCATCCACTCTCTTTTTCACACCCCAACTATCCACTCTCTTTCTTAATTCGAAACCTTTATACACGGTTCTTTTCAACCAAAAAAACCCACAAACCATCACAATGCGTTTCACTGCTGCTTCCATTGCTCTCTTCGCCGGCCTGGCCGTTGCTGCCCCTGAGGGCATCCACACCGTCTACCAGACCGAGGACGTGACCATCACCTCCTGCGCGCCCGATGTCACCGACTGCCCTGGCCGCCAGCCCCAGACCTCCACCCCCGAGGGTGTTGAGCCCGTGACCACCCCTGCTGCTCCTCCCGTGGCCACCACCCAGGCCTCCGAGGTCCCCCCCGCGGAGCCCACCTCTGAGTCTCCCGCGCAGCCCACCAGCGAGGCTGAGGTTCCTCCCACCGAGCCCACCACCGCTCCCGCCGGTGTGCCCTCCAGCCCCAGCGAGCCCAGCCAGCCCGTCGTCCCCGGCGTCCCCGGCACCAGCAACCCCGTCGTGCCCCCCGCTGCTCCCTCCAGCAGCTCCCCCGTCATCCCCGGCAACCCCGGCAACCCTGGCGTCCCTACCGGCCCTGCTGCCCAGACCTCCGTCGTGGCCGTCACCACCTGCGTGCCCACCGTCACCTACTCCACCATCACCGGCCCCTCCGGCGTCTCTCCCACCGGCCCCCCCGCTAAGCCCTCCAACCCCGTCATCCCCGGCGGCAACTCCCCCGGCAACACCCCCGGTGTTGGCGTCGGCCCCAGCGGTAGCGCTACGTGAGTTCATCTGAGATCTACCTTCTATCTGATCTTCCAACTGACATTTCTCCAGCCCCTCCACCTCCGCCCCCGGTGCTCTCTTCACCGGTGCTGCCAGCTCCGTCTCCGGCTCTTTCGGTTTCGCCGGTGCTGCCGCCGCTGCCGCTTTCTTCCTGGCTTAAATTTCTTCCCTTTCTTGTGTATAGTGGTAACCGCCTCCGGGGTCACTCGATGAGTCCGTGACCTCCAGCGTCCCGGGGTGTTTTTGTCAAACGAAGCAGTTCCAGGATCGGGAGATCGGTCGATCGAGACTAGATCTCGGGCGGTGCAATGTCATTTAGAATTCGTGTGGATATGGGGTGTGGGATGCAGAAGAGAGTAATATGACTTCCTTCTTGTGTCGTCTTTTTTCCTTTTGGTTTTCCTTTTCTTTTCTCGTCTATATATCCTTTTATATTTCTTTTTTATTGCTTTCTTGGTCCATTGCTTCGGAGTTGTTTTGTGAAGCACTTGGCTGGATACGATTTAATGTAAACCATGAACGCTTCCATTATCCATTCCGAGCAGTAATTTTACTTTTTACTTTTTGCAGTATACCTCTTGATAGAGTTTTGAGTAGGTCTCCTGGGTCGTGTGGACTGAACCGTGCCCTGTGTAACTTCGATGTAACTTCCCCGGGAGCACTTCCTTGTCACTGCGTCCCGTGTACTACCCAAGGCGCACTCTGATATCGGCGATCCGTCTCGTCCCCAGTAAGGTGCGTCTGCTTGAAACTCATTTCCCTGCACTTGCTGTTCATTCCTCCCTATGGCGTTGTGACCCTGAAAAAAGTACCAGTACAACATATATCACGTTTGACTATAAAATCCGTGTCATTCAAAACATTTAAACATTTACGAAACATTTAATCTGTAACCCAGCGAGACAGGAGCCAGGAGCAGTTTCCGTTGTATATCTATAATATACCTTTAGTCAGTGAGTGCCTGAAACGCCAGGCGTATGCAAACGCCCGTCTGGATAGACACCCCGTCCATCCCTCCATCTCTAGATAATTAAACCTACCAAATTATGAAGCGATCCAGTGCAGAATACCGAGCGCATTTTCCCAAGTATCCAACGCAGATATATCTCGTGGCACCGGGATTTCTACCATAAGAAGCACAAATTAAACCAACCGCCAAGCACGCCAAACTTGCAGACACATCAAGTATAATCTCCGGCCATACAACGTGCCTAGGCATTAATATAAATGAGCAAAAACCCACCGAGTATTCCAACCACGGAGATATCCGACCGACTGATCGACCGACCGACTGACTCGCTCGCACCGAGGAGGGCTGAATCAGGCTGATCGCAAACCTCCCCCCGGGCGGGGGGGCCAATCCCAGTGCCGGGCTCTCTCGGATCCTAGCCACAATCCCCGTCAGAAGGGCCAAGCCAGGCAAAGCGAGGGACACCGTTTCGGATGAATGAAAAAATGGAAAAAAAGGGAGAGCTCGACTTGATTTGATCGGGACTCGGGAGGACTCAGATCGGGAGTTGACAGGGGTGGGCTGTTTCGAAGCTGTCGATCGCAGTTTGAGGATCGATGTTTGGATGGCAGTGCCTGGGTTAGTTGAGTGTTTGATCTTCTGATATTCTTTGTATGGTTTGATATCTTTGCTGCAGAATCGTGCCGTTGAGGGTTTGATATCTGCAGCAGAGGGATGTGTGTGATGCCCTCGCGACCTGTTACCGCATCGAGATAATGACACGAGGTGACTGCGTCTGGTTCAGTTGTGAACACCGACCGACCGGGACACTCTGGTAGACTATATCCGTGGAGTAGATGGGCGGTGGAGAATTATTGATTATTGATTACTGAATATTGAATGCTAACTACCAATTATTCCAGATAGGATTATTGACTCCAGAGCCCGGGACTTGACATGCTGCACAAACCCTGCAAATCTCATAAACCTCCGAGCGAGCGAAAACAAGCCCATCGCGATCGTCCAAAGCCGACAGACAGAACTTCAGAAGACAGATAATTCCCACGACGAGCCAACCAGAGGCCCATTTGCAAAGGAATTGACCGAGAGCGAGGACAAATGGCAACCAACCACAGGCCAAATAATCCCGGACAAACGAACCCACCGCAGCTCCAGCGCCAAAGGGGGCGGTGTTGCTCAGCAAGGCTGTATCCTTAGTCCGACTGCCTGTCCCAGACTTCCACCCAACACCCAAGAGTCCCTTTCTGTCCCATCCCACTGGCCCGTTAGTCGCGCCTCCACTGGGCCTTGTCATGCGTCAGAGCATCAGGAGTGGATGGCACTCGTGCAAAAGTTGGCCTTGGCGGGATTCTTCCCCCCTTTGGTCTTCAGGGTAGTATCCAGCCCTGTCGGCGCTTGACTCGATTCTCCAGGGAGCAATATGCAGTGCTCAATCACGGAGACTGACCGGACCCCAAATCCTGTTCCCGACCCATCGGGCTGCTCAATGTTTACGTCTGCTTGTCCCTGCCCACTTTTACCTCTTGGATCGCATTCATTAGCTCTCGTTTAGGCCCGTCTTGCTCTTTTACTCTTTCCGGTACATGAGGAGATCCTGCGGGGCTCATTCGACGGCCTGACCGATGGAAGGAAGGAGGCTCAGTTTTCTACTTTCTAGTATCTTTCTGTCTTGGGTCAAGTTCGTGTTGGTTTTTTGGGAACCTCCCTGTTTGTGGTGTCATTATGGGCCCGGGGGGTCGGTCGTAACCGTAGGGAGCAGAGTCCAAGAGGAGAATTAGCCCTAGAAGATCTCCAGGATATGATGGGTTTCATTATTCAATAGGAGACGAGGCGGCACCGCCTCGCAGGGATTGTTTTATAAGTCTTCATTGTCCTATCGCCTCCCATGTACCCAGTCTCCCAGGTTTATGAATATGAATCCACCGACTCTTTGATCGATCTCTCTTCGACTAACCGTCTTGTGTTGTTTTGCCCTGTCGTGTGGCGACTTCTTTAACACCCCTCCGTCGCCCCCTCACTGCTCGCCCTGTCGTATTCGATCTTTTTTTATCTTTTATTTTTATCGCGGGTTTGTACCACTTCGCTTCTGGTTCCGGACAAAGAAGTCGACAAAGAAAACTTCGAAACTGACCGGACGGACGGGCTGGTGTAGGTCAATAAAGACAGAAGACCCTGGCAGCCGGAAACGACATAAAAGAGATCTGTGGTGCCGATGTTTTGACAGCATTCGTCTCCTCCACCCAGACATCTATACCCGTCTCTTCACTAGCATCACCTCCTTCGCCTGATACCACTTGATACCATCTACAACGGCTTCAAAACCAGACCAATGGACCTCTCTTCCCTCGAAGGCCCTCCTATCCTCGACCAACCTCACGCCAGAGACCCTCCCTCCGTGCATCTTGCCGCCCTCCCCTCTTTAGGGCTTCCTCCTCGACCAGCCTCGGCAGACGCCGTCTCTCGCATCTACTCCTTACAATCACAACCGCAATCGCAGACCCCCTCACACGGTTACTCGCGCTCTCAATCGCATCTCATCCCATACCCCCAAATCCCCTCTTCCCACAGTCTCTCCCCCAACGCCAACCCGGACAGCAACCTGCCGCCGCACTACCGGCGCGCCCGCACCCCCAGCCCAACACCCATGTCGTTGGCATCGTCTTCTCCGAGCCCCAACAGCTCGCGTCACACCCGACGGGCTCCGTCCCCGCAACGTCTCGTTTGGCTGGACGCCGAGAAAAGCTGGGTCATCGTCTCGGGGTCGCAGACGTCGGTGTATCGGCCCTCTAGCCATGGGTGTCACTGCGGGGGAGGCAACGGTATTGGTGTCGGGATGAGTGCGAATATGTCCTCCACGAACACAAACGCAAACCTGAACCCGAACACGATGATGCCTACCATGAACATCAACCCTGTTGCGGACCTCTATCCCTCTCCGATGATGGACGCGCCGCCCCCTTACGAGAGTCATGTTTTCGATAAGCCGCTGGTGCAGGTCCAAGGGCCCGGGGGAAGTCGTCGCAGACGAACCAACGAGTCCGCTGCTGAGTCGGCCTCGGGGTCTGGCTCTGACGGGGAGCCCTCCAGAGGTCGCACCGGGGGATCTCGGTGGACGGCGGTGGCGAGACGGTTGAGAGCATCGCCGGTTAGATGAGTGCGGGGCTTCCGTTTTATTTTGGGTGTGCCATTTTATGGATGGGTGGAGGCTCTGGTGCTGAGGTACTGAGTGCACTTGGACCCATGGGATACAGGTTGATCGGGCCCGGATGGATATCATTTTGATACCTATTGTGTCTGTCGTCTACCTAGTCTTTTGCAGGGCAAAAGATGGGTACAGAAAGGCATGGGCAGATTAAGGAACCGCGCCGCAGTGTATACTGCAATTACAAAGTGGATGTGACTGTCAATGTGTGGGGACCGGTGCTCTTATGCACTTGGTTTACAAGCATTGCATCCTGGTTTACTTGGGATCTGGGTGGCTAGGTCCTTAGCTAATGCCACCTAGTCATTACTGATTATTTGGCAAGCCAGATAGCCCATGTACATGCACAGGGACATGTACAGCTTCATTAACAGCTGCAATGACAGTTGAGCATGGAAGCATACGAGGTTGAAGGGGTCGGGATAAACAGTAGAAGCAGGTGCCGATTATCAATCATGTATACTATTTTGCTATTAGACATTCTTTACTTTCATTTGTTTATTTAAATCTTCAATCCAGAACATTCTTTCAGATAAGTACTATAGAGTAGTATGTCCTTCCTCGTGACCAACTTCAACAAATATTAGATATACTGTACATCATACTCCCTGCAGCCTCTCTTTCCAATTAATACCATCCAAAAATAATCTAGTCTAGAAATAATCAGTCTTTGCCAGTGCTTCTGTCATGGTAAGCAACAGTGAAGCTTCTGTGGAAAGTAAACTTTCCCACATATTCACCTCTTCCCAGAATCTCACTTGCCTCTTTCGGTTTCCTTCACTCCACTCCATTCCCCTCTCTTCCCCCTTCTCTTTTCCCCTTCACTCTTCTCATTAGTTAGTTATTCCATTTCTAGTCACCTAGGCCTTCACTCATACCCATTGTTACTTATCTTCCATGGCATCTTTATAACTATCCTTCTTGCCTCTCCTACCCCCTCTCCATCTTCATCCCCATCTCTCTCTACTTGTCACCTCTTCATCCCTCTCTCTCCATTTTTCTCTCTGTACCCTTACAGCACATCTCACTATCCATTGCCTTATTTTGTTTCTTTCCTTGAATTTCCCTCATTCTCTTTCTATCTGCCTTGTGGGATTTAGATCCTCAGCATGGACGACCAGGTCCTAAAGCTGGCTGAGCTACATTACATAGCAGAACAGAGTGCACGTCATGCCCGTATCTGGGAGGGTCAATACCAAGGTATTCATTCCTTCCAAATCAAAGCAAGCACCCTCAATCCTCTGACTGAAATAGCGCCCCCTTGTCCCAATTTCAAAGAAAAGTGGCAGTCCATCACTCCAAAGCTCCTTGAGGGGTACATTGAACGAGCTCGGCTCCTGGACTCGTCCGATTTGCATCAGAAATCTCGAAATGACTACGAGAGATTTGTCCAGATGTTGTACAATAAGTGTTTTGCCGATATGGAACAGCTTACTGTGGAAATGACTTCGTCTATTTCTGGTGAGTATGCTTTCCTTTGGTGCCCCCTCCTCCACTTATCAAGAGAGACCGTATGCTCATTTGTTTTGGTTCAAGTGAACGACTTTCAGAATCAGTTGAAAAGCTTGAACGATAACGACTTGTCTGAAATTTACCAGTCCTTGGCTATCCAAGATGAAGAGGATAGTGACCTTGACGGTTACATGTCCGATATTGTTGATCAACTGGAGTACAATTTGCGAGATAATGAGGATCCTGTCATTCCTACTATCGAGAAAGCGGTGGAGAAAGGCAAACTTGCACTGCAGCGGCTGTCAAAGGCATTGGAAGGCTCCCATGTCTCGACGGATGACACTGACTGGAAGTCCGAAATTGACCGGACCTTGCCTTACGCTCAAAGCGCCAAGGTAATCATCGGGGTCGTCGGTAGCACTGGCGCAGGCAAGTCTTCTCTCATCAATGCCATTGCCGACGAAGAAATCATTCTCGCCACAAACTGCATGCGCGCATCTACAGCTGTGGCTACCGAAATCTCATTCAACTATGGGGATTCCAAATACATGGCCCAGATTGAGTTCATTAAGCGCGAAGATTGGTTGCGGGAGCTTGAGGTTCTTGTCAGTGACCTAAAAGATAACCGCGATGAGGTCATAAAGGGCAAGGCACCAAGAGACTCCGAAGCTGCGGTAGCTATGGACAAAATCAAGACTGTCTATCCTTGGCTGGAGCCCCAGGACATCCTCAGCACTCCGATTGCGACACTCCTTGACCATTTGAGTGTGGTGCACCTGCTGGGTAGCAACGTGACTATCAAAGAGAACAAGGCACGAGTTTTCTCACGCAAAGTCAAGTTTTATGTTGATAGCCGGGGCAAGCGTGCCGCTAAGGGCAAGAAGACAGAAGCCCACAAAGAGATGGGACTATGGCCACTAATTCGCGTGGTTCGAGTATTCGTCAAGGCAGATGCATTGTCTACAGGAGCAGTGCTGGTAGATCTACCTGGTATCTTTGATACCAACTCGGCTCGTGTAGCAGTCGCTGAAGCTTACATGAAGATGTGTGCGGCACATTGGATTGTCACCCCGATCAATCGCGCTGTGGATGACAAAGTCTCAAGAGATTTGCTGAGCAAGAATTTCAAAATGCAAATGCAAATGGACAGCGCATTCAATGACATCACGTTTATCTGCACTAAAACCGATGATGTTTCCATACGTGAGGTGCGGAATTCATTGAAGATTGACGTGCCGGTGCAAAAGCAACGCGAGGCGGATATTGCAAAGATTGGGGCCGCACTGTGCGAGCTTCGTGAGAGGAGATCAAAAAACATGGAAGAGCTTGATTATCTCAATGATGATCTCGATGAGCTGGAGGAACGTCTCTCGGGGGGAGAGCATGCAATTGATCCATCCCTCCTCTCCCCAACCAAGCGCAAACACAGCAACATCGGATTGGATCCTGTGTCGAGCTTCATCGAAATGCCTTCGAGCCCGTCGACTACAGACAATTCTGTAAACATGCATGTGGAAATGTCTGCCGAGATGCAGCAGTTACTGAGTCAGTACCATGAGATAAAGGCGAGGCGAAAGACTCTACAAGCGCGGAGAAAACCGCTGAATGAGGAGATCCGACTCAAGGAACAAGAGTTTGAAAAACTCAAAACGCAGTCCGAAAAGTCCAAAGAAGAAATCTTTCGTGAATGCATCAGAGCTCGCAACGAATATTCCAAACAAGAAATCAAACGGGATTTTGCTCGCGGAATTTTGGATCTAGACGAGGAAAACCAGGCGGATGAGAATGAGAGCCCAGGAAACGACAATGAACCTCAGCAAACTAGAGACTATGATGCGTTGGAAAGGGACCTTCCTGTATTCTGTGTATCGACACGGGCTTATCAAAAACTGCGTGGCCGACTCCGCAAGGAACCCGTTGTCGAGGGATTCGCGAGTTTTGAAGAGACGGAAATCCCACAGTTGCAGAAGCATTGCATAGAATTAACGGAAAAGGCAAGAAGAACGTTTGCACTTCGATTCTTGACGAAACTCGACCAATTACTGCAGTCAATGTCCTTATGGTCCTCAGTAACCAACTCGGCGAACATAATACCTGACCAGAGGACACGCGAGATGGAAACTGGTTTCAACAAAGCGCTCTCTATCCTTAAAACCGTATGCCTTCCCGACTGCTTTTGCATGGACCATGATTCTGACTATTTCAGAAAACCGCCAATTCGAAAGATATGTTCCTGCGAGACTTTGGCAAGATCTTTGAAACGAGCATCTTGAAGAAACTGGGTAAGTAACTCGAGAATGTACAGCTGGAAGAAAACTAAGAAACCAGATCGGGCCATTGGAATAGCACTCAAGGAGTTTCCACAAACAGTCGAAAAATGGAATGCTCGGCGTGCGGAAGGAGGCCTTGCTTTCCAAACCTATCGTGCCATGTGCAAGCGGCAGGGCATATTCCGAGATAAAAATTGGAATGATGATCTGTGAATATCAAGCCCAGACCTGCATCCATTTGATAGAAATACTGACCACTATTGGCAGAGCTATTCCTATGCTGAACACAATCATGCATGGGTGGAAGCAGTGTTTTGAAAGCTTTAGTCCTAAGCGTCTCCGGCATTTGATCGACACACTCATCCTCATATTACGCCAATTCCACCGAGATGCAGTTCTTTCCGCCGGCGACGGCATTGCAATCAAAAACGAAAAGAAGCTAGACAACTCTGTTGAAAGTCACTGCAAGGCATTAGAGACCAGCCTCAAGGATCTACGAAATCAGATCCAAACCGAGCAGAAGGACATCAGTCGCATCTTTGCCCAAGTGATCCGTCGGGAATTGAGGAGTACATATGAGGAATGTGCAGAGCAAGTTGGTAGGTTCTAAATTGGAATACGTACAGATCATCAAGAGCCTTGATGCTGACCTTAGATGATCGAATAGGTAGCGGTACCCTTAATCGCATGAGAGAACTGATGTTTCAGCGGACCAAGGATGCGAATCAAGTGTTTAAAAAAAGTGCCATACGCGTTCGACGTGGCTTGCTTGAATTGGAGAAAACTACGGGCGAGAGGCTTGGAGAGATTCTCGACAAGACAGTGAGCGATATGAAGCGCGACTACTACACGGTGCTCATTGAACCCGGGGTTCGGAAATTTTCCAATGAACAGATCCAAATCCGGAACGAGGTGCACAAGATCGTCCAGGAGATCCAAACAGAGCTGCAACTGGACGAGCTTCTAAGGATGAAAGAGAGTGGCAGCCACCGCGCTGCTCCCGAGACAACTGTCAAGGCGGAACCCACCGAGGTCGAGACTAGAGGGGTGCAGGAGGTCGGGGTGACAATCAAAAGAGAGCTTGACGACTGGGAGGCCCAGGCATGATCAGGTGGAGGGACTTTGAGCAGGGAGCAGGGAGCAGGGAGCAGAGGAAGCAGATGAATAATGGGTTGCTAGGGACTTTGGAGCATGATCAGGTTATGACCAATTGGAACCGGAAGGATAGTCGTTTGTGGGTATCGAGGCCGTGGGCTAATGGCCACCGGCGTCGTTGGAGCGATAGCGAGAGAAAAACAGACCGTGCTAAGCCTCCATGAGATGGCGGAATGAGATTGATTGATTGATAAATTGCCAGTAGGGAGGTGAAACCAGTCCAGAGGTAGTGGACGCCAGGTAGCCCGACGCGCCCATAGGAAGGAAAGATCGATGGGATTCGACGGCTGCACGCTAAGAGGGTTCGTCACCCATCACCAGCCTCCAAGATTTTCACGAGTGGAGGAGCAGATCGGTCGTCCAGGACAAACATTCGGCGAGGGGAAACGGTCATATAATCCACGAGGGAATCACTGGGGTTGACCGGCGGTGCTACTTTTCTTTTTCCTTCGTCTCGTGTTGGTTTAACCGCTGGGTGCTGCCATTGTGAGTCCCGAACCACTGTCCGACCAGAATTGATCTCTGCGACACTGCCGTCTCTGCCAGCCTCTCGAGTCTTCCCACATTGCGACGCATCATGACGGAGCAGACCAACTGAGGTTCGTCGAGCTGTCAGTCTTGAATCGTCCCGAGCAAAAAGAAAACGATTCCACCGCCTTCGCCGCAGTTCGATCGGGCCCGCCAATCAGGAGCGTCCCGCCATCAGTCATCAAATCGTCAGGAAAATCAAAGAAAGAATTGGAAAAAAAGGACGAGGAAATGGTTCTTCCGCAACTTTTCTCTCGCAACAAGTCCAAGAAGAGATCTTCCAAGCCCTCGTCTGCCTCTGCGCCGCCACCTCCGGAGTCTCCCCTCGACTACACTTCCTCCCCCTCGTCTTCTTCCTCCTCCACCCCTCGCCACTCTTTTTCGTCCAGGAATCCTCCTGCTGCCACTAATCTCCCTCCCCCTCCGGCCAATCACCCTCTTCCGCGCAAACCGTCGTCTCGTCCCTCCCACAGTCGGACTTCGTCGACGCCGTCGAAATCCTCTTCTGCGTCTCGTCATCCGACGTCGGCAACTGCGAGGTTCAGTTTCTCCTCGGCCTCTCGCTCCTCTCGCTTCTCCGCCGGTCACCGGTACTCGCACGACCCGAACTCTCACCCGTTAAATCTTCCGCCCGACGAGCTCCGTCGACTAACAGCCATGGCTGCTGCTGCTGACCGAAGCTCGATGGACATCGATAGCAATGATCCTCGCCTGAGCTCTCCGTCTCCTGCCACCAACGGAGTCAATGGAGCGCAGAATGAGCGTAGCCCTACCCCGCCGCCTCATACGTCCAGCGGCGCCACAGCCGATGCCGACTCTTTCAAGTTGGCCGGGAACAAGTTCTTCAAGGATGGAAACTTTGCCAGAGCTATTGAGGAGTTCAACAAGGGTGTGTGTTTTCTTGCCGTCACAGGTGTCGCTGAATCCAAGTGCCTCGTTCTAACTGATCGCCAGCCGTGGAAATTAACCCTAACTCCTCCGTTTACCTGTCCAACCGTGCGGCCGCTCACATGTCCGCTCATCATTACTTGAATGCCCTGGAAGATGCCGAGCGGGCGCTCGAACTCGATCCCTCCAACTCCAAGATCATGTACCGTCTGGCCCGAATCCTGACCAGTCTGGGTCGCCCGTCCGAGGCCCTGGAGGTCCTTGCTCGGATTGACCCCCCTGCGTCGGCGACCGACCGTGCCCCCGCCGAGAAGATGCAGCGATTCATCACCCAGGCGGAAGAGACCCTGTCGCAAGATCGGGGAGTGTCCATGGTTGTGTTCTGTCTTGACCAGGCGAAGCAACTCCTGGGCCAGGGTGTGAAGGAACCTCGCAAGTGGACTCTGCTGGCCGCCGAGGCCCAGCTGAAGATGGGCAATGACAACTCGCTTGGAAAGGCCCAGGACATTGCCATCGGCATGCTGCGAGAGAACAGCCAGGACCCCGATGCGATGATGATCCGCGCCCGTGCCTTCTACGGCATGGGGGAGACTGATCAGGCGTTGAAGCTGTTGAAGATGTGTCTGGGTCTGGACCCGGACATGAAGCAGGCGATCAAGCTCGTTCGCACGGTGCAAAAGCTGGTCCGCACCAAGGAAGAAGGAAACGCCGCTTTCAAGGCCAAGGACTACCGCAAGGCCATCGATCTGTGGACTCAAGCCGTGGCGGTTGACCCGAGCAACAAGGACATGAACGCGAAGATCCTGCAGAACCGTGCCCAGGCCCATATCAGCCTGAAGGAATACGACAACGCGGTCAACGACTGCAACGAGGCCCTGCGCTTGGACCCGTCGTACATCAAAGCGCAGAAGGTGCGTGCCAAGGCCCACGGTGGAGCCGGCAACTGGGAAGAAGCCGTGCGCGACTACAAGGCCGTGGCGGAAAGCAACCCCACCGAAAAGGGTATCCAGGAAGATATCCGCAAGGCCGAGTTCGAGCTCAAGAAGGCGGGCCGGAAGGACTACTACAAGATCCTTGGGGTCAGCAAGGACGCCACGGACCACGAGATCAAGAAAGCCTACCGCAAGATGGCCATCCTGTACCACCCGGATAAGAACCGTGATGGCGAAGCCGGTGATGAGAAGTTCAAGGAAGTTGGAGAGGCCTACGAAACTCTGATTGATCCTCAGTAAGTTATTTCCCTTAACACTGCTCCCCCTGCGTCGGCGTTCTAACCAGGCTATAGGAAACGTGCTTCCTACGACAACGGTGACGACCTCATCGATCCCTCCGACATGTTCTCTGGCGGCGGCTTCGGCGGCATGGGAGGCATGGGCGGTATGGGTGGAATGGGAGGCATGGGTGGTATGGGCGGTATGGGTGGCTCCCATATCAACATCGATCCCAACATCCTGTTCAACATGATGAACGGCGGCGGTGGTGGCGGTTTCGCCCAAGCCGGTGGCAACCCATTCGGCGGTGGCCAGTCTCGGGGCGGATTCCCCGGAGGATTCCCGTTCTAAACGATTTGACCAACAGCACAGAACACAAAAAACGTCTTTTTTTTCAAGAGCGACATTGTTATTCAACACGACAGAACAAAACCAGACGGATCAAAAGTATGATGATGGCTCTCAGTCAAATTGATTTGACTTCGGGCTGCATCGCACATACCCTGTGGACTCATTTCCTACTTTTTTCCTCGATTGCATCTGCCATGGCTGTCTATACATGGTCTTTTCGATTATTCCCCGGGGTGCGTTGCATGATTTGAGACTGGAACCGACACGATAGACTTGATGTCTTTTTTTTTTTTTTTTTTTCCTTTTCCATTTTTAATTTCCTTTCTGTTTCTTTTCTTTCCAACCCTTCGCATAGATGGGACATGTTTTATTGTGATATTTGCAGCAACCGCCTGTCATGAACAGGATGGATATGATGAGCAAGGGAGAGAGATCCCAGTCATTCTGGCGTTATATACTCTTGGGTCATGTTATTGCTAATTATGCCGGCCATGTCGGGATTGCCATGGTTTTTTTTCATTATTACTTGGGTATCTGATGAATGAATATGTTGATGAACTGTTAATTTTACTTTTTCCCGGGTGGTGTAACACCAGGAAGCCTCACACTGTAAACCATTTGGTCAGGCACCCAGGCACCAATGCCGAATGCGGTGATGACTTTCCAAATTGGGACAAATCAATTACGTCAGCAAGCTTAATCCGCCCTCCAATCAAGATCTCCGTCTAAAAGGGCGCTAGTCCGGAAGAAGAGAAATCAAAACAAACACAGTGGGCTGCGGAGTCGCTAGTCGGTACTTTTGTACTCTGGATGGATGGGAATGTATCTCATACGCAGTATGCTTTGGCTGCTTCACCATCCAGTCAGTCAATGTCAATAGAATAGGGATGTAGGTACCTTGGTACGACCTGCTGGCATTAGATTAAGGTTCGTGACAGCCTTCATTTCCCGACTTCGGGTGGTGCTTTGAGGCTTTCCCGGCAGGTATGTGTCTGTCTGGGTAGTTACATGCTTTGTTGAGACCAACATGGGTAAAGAGTAAAAATAGATGGTGGCTCTATTGGAAATGTATTGGTCAAACAATGGGCAAAATCCAGATGAATACACTGTATAACTAATTACCTACTGCGTAGGTATTTACGACGATGCCAATAACTGCAAACAAACACAACTAGCTATAGTAAGTAAGTACGCAAAATCAAAACAAAAACAATGAGGAACATAAGGAAATGCCAGCGCATCAATTCCAATAGCCTGGAGATACCAACGGATCTAATCCTGTTCCAGTTACACAGCCTACTTGTCAGGACATTTTTTTTTTAAAAAAAACCCGGCCGTAGTCCGGGAGTATTGAGCCAACGGTAGCGGTCTGCTGCAGGTTTAACTCTGGCGCGATCATCACGCCGTCGCTTGCCGCCTCGCTTTTCTTCTTCTTCTTTTTTCTCCCGTCACTCTTCCTCATCCCACTTCCTGCTCTTTCACGTCCGGGTTTTCTCTGAATCTTGCTGGATTGGATTCGGGTTGAGATTATTCTTTTTCTTTTTGGTGGGGTATTCTTTATCGGATCCAGATCGTCGGCAAATAGGTATGTAGTACAGTACTCCCAGAGCCGTGATGGTCTCAGACACTGACGCCCCTCGTTTCTTGACAGAAACAAGCGCTGACTGGCACAGCCGCAGCGCCTAATCGATGTTGTTATGAACATGCTCTCTCAGACCCGATTGCAACAGCTATAGCAACTGAGGGACTTCGAAACGGAGCCAGGCCGTTTCCTCGTGCAACGACAGACTCAACGTCTCCGAGATAACCTCCCTCATCGATCTTAAAATTATATTTATTTCACTCTCGCCTTTTCTTTAGTCGCTACTTCCACCACATCATGGATGGACCTCCGCCTCCGCCTCCGCCCCACGGCGAAAAGCCGAACACCACTCAAGGCGAATATCGGAAGTCGTCAGACCTACCGCCGGGAAACTACGATATCTTTATTATCCCACCGCATTCCTCGGGCTCCGGATTCTTATACCTCCCTTCCCTACAATGTCATCGGAACAGCTTTATCGCTGGATCGGTATGCACACTGTTCGTGGTTCTATTGTGGGTGACACTGGCACCGCTCGTGAAGACGTGGTACGTCGCCACGATTGCGAGTGGAAGCGGGTCAGGAATGGCTGTCCTAGCCATCGGAGTCGGCATTGCTGGGTGGGCATTTGGTGTGTCACAATCTGACTCCGGCTCTGGTGGCTCTCAACAAGGCGGTGGCCGTCCGGGACCTGGAGGTTTCGGGTCTGGTGGATTTGGATCTGGGGGTGCCGGCGCCGGCGCCGGAGCAGGCTCTCATCATCAATCTTCAGGGGCCGGTGGAAATTACTCGCGAGGTGCAAACTTCAATAGCCAGTCCGGAGGGCAACAGGGTAACTTCGGCGGGAACTATGGTGGTCCTCCTCCTGGCAACCAGTATGCCGGTAACCAGTACGGCGCTGGTGCTCCGCCGCCTCAACCCCAGTCGCCTCCCCCAAAGGCTGATCCCCCGCCGAGTGAGAGCGGTTCGACTTCGAACAAGAAGGAAAGCAAGCCTCAAAGTGGAGAGGATTGGGAGAAGGCCCGGGAAGAAACGAGACGAAAGGAAGAACTTCGGCGCAAGATGGAGGAGTTCAAACGAAAACGTGAAGCTGAAGCCCGCGAGAAGCAGAAGCAGCGGGAGCGAGAGACAATGGAGCGAGAACTCCGTGAGCGGCGAGAGCAACTCGAAAAGGAGATGGCTGCCGCTAAGGAAAAAGCTGAGAAGGAAGCCCGCGAGAAGGCCGAGAGGGAAGCGGCGGAGGCTCGCGCAAAGATCGAAAAAGAAGCCGCAGAGGCGCGGGCAAAGGCTGCGAAAGAAGCCGCAGAGGCCAAGGCAAAATCGGAAAGAGAAGCCGCCGAAGCCAAAGAGAAGGCCGAGCGCGAAGCTCGGGAGGCGAAAGAGAGGAAGGAAAGAGTCGCCGCGGTCCTCAAGGCAAAGGCTGAGCGCGAAGCTGCCGAGGCGAAGGCCAAAGCAGAGAAGGAAGCCGCCGAAAAGGAGGCCGCTGCCAAAGCTGCTGCCAAAAAGGAAGCTGATGCCAAGTTTGCGGCTCTCAAAGAGGCCGCCGCGAAGAAATACGCCGAGAAGAAGGCCAAAGATGCCCAGGAGGCAGCAGCCAAGGAAGCCGCATCCGCAAAGGAAGCCGCATCCAAAGCCTCTAGCCAGAAGTCGGCCACGGCAAGTGCACCTCCACGCACTCCGTCGCCCAAGAAACCGCCCTTTCCCACTGCGCGGACGGCCACAACGGGGGCCGAACAAGACGACGCCTACTCCTTTCGCCCCTACGACCGGCCCCGGCGCCCGTATGGTGCTGCGTCCAAATCCTCCGTGTATTCCGAGTCTTCCTACGCTCCTTCTCAATCGACCGCTCGAACCTCGCCGCCTCCATCGATCCGAGGCGGGTACTCGACCAAAGATCCCGACAAGATTGTCATCCGTGGTGTGTATGCCTTTAACAATGCCTTCCCTCGCACTCCAGTGGCGCAGTTAGTGTCTGGCCAGGGAATGGTGACGGACGGGTTGGTTCTCCGCATCACCACCGAGGGACTGTTCATCGACGACGACGTGCGAGGAGTGCCTCAACGAGAGTGGGACGTCAAGGCATGGACCCTGAAATTGGCCGAGGTGTGGTGCCCTCAGTACGGCGGACAGAAGAACCAACAGGCCCCCAAGCCCAGCAACCTATTCTTCCGTCGAGGCACCGGAGAACCCACGTCGGAAGAGTCCGATGCGTACTTGAACAGTTTGTTGAAGGTTTGCAAGAACACCTGCCGACTTGCCACCCCGGGAAGCTCGAACCGGAATGGCAATGTCGTTGACAGCGAGACACAGAGTCTGCACGTCCTGCGGGCCAGCATCCGCGACCAGGAAGGCCGACGATATGTCTTCGTCCTGCAGGAGACTGAAGGATGGAAGGTCGGCATCGGCCTGCAGCGGCTGCGCAAAGGCACGCAGGTGCGCGCACTCGGGGTGACCAACATGGCGGCTAATGAGAGTCGCACGATTATTGGAGGCCTCAGCTATGCATGACTATATGGTTGTTGGAAATACTTGAGCGTTGCATGGACTCATTAGCGAGGAGTTGATTTCCAGTTTTTCGAACCTTGCACGGGTGATTGTTATGCTAGACATTCATTTGCACAGAGATTCCCCCCTTGTTTTTTGGTTGCTTATACAACCCACGATCTTGACGTTTGATGATGATAGTTGTTCTTGATTTTGATTTTTGGCATATAGTGTACATAATTTTTGCACATACTCCAGTTTTGTACACAGGATAGTTGATCACGGCAATGCCGCGATAAGGTCATAATGATGCGCTACATACTCTATACTATATGCTGTGACTTTGGCTCGTTCATCGAGACGACGAAATGCTATCGTCACTCCAGAACATCCCGATGTCTATACTACATCTCCATCTTCCCTTCAACCGTCTTCATATCTCGCTCTCCGCCATCTATCTGGACTGCCCATGAGATTTAATCACCAAAAACATGGAGTGTCCCACCATCACTATGCACCGAAACAACTACACCTTCTGTATCGATGAGCTACCCGACTCCATCTCGAACGAGATGCTTCTACTCATCTTCTTCCTTTTCACTTGCTTTGAGATATTAATAGCCATAACGCTCATGCTCTATGTCATCAATCTCCTACTAAAGCTTATCTCCCGTAAGTTATCATCCGAGTCCGACCGTGAATCTACTCTATCTCTCTAACAAATTCATCCGAGTAGTATTCCCAAGGCCGCGCTCGCCATGGCTTCGCGCTTTATTGGTCCGACTGCGTGCTCTATGGCACTGGCGCGATGTCGCATATTGGGCGATGATGGTTGGGCTGGTTATAAGTCGGTTGGGTCTTCGGAATAAGGTGTATGTACTGGATTGGCTTGTCACGGATTGCTTCGCGGTCTTCGCGGTTATGTCGGTTTTTTTCGAAGGGGCTCCGATGCGGCGGTTGCTCGAGTATATTGGGGTAGGTGGTGGGCGTGGACATGGGGGTAGGGATGAGGGGGGTGATAGTGAGGAGGAAGAGGAGGATTCATCGGAAGACGAAGAGGAAGACGAATGGGAGGACGAAGAGTAAAACCTCGAGGACGACTACTCCTTCTGCAGGGAAATCAAGTGATCGACAAAAAGGATCACATCGATGAGAAGGATAGATGAATCCAAAGTCACAGCTTGCTCACAGTTATCGCGATACCCGTGTCCATCCGAGAGCTCCGTTCTAGTTCTTCTGTTCTTCAATTAGTTACGTCGATCGAATTGCCTTATTCACTGTTCATAGAGCACAATTCGGAGCGAATTCCTGGGAATCCGATTGCCCAGACAGCTGGTTGCCGGGTTGAGTTGATCGACGCGAGGGTGGAGGTTTATGATATTTCTGCAGTGTTGGGTCCACCGTTCAGGAGAAGCGAGAGTTGAGATCGGAAAGAAGAAATATCTAGAAAATGGGAGCTTTGGGAAAGGCTATTTGACATACTTTAGGTTGCTGACTTGCTGTTGATCTTCCCATGGAGCGACGGTTTGCCGTAAAGTCCTATATACCTGTACCATGGGATTGTATCTTAAGAGAGAGCTGGATAAACTTCGACGAGAGGTCCCTGCAACTTGCATCTGCATTCTGCACAATCGTTTCGCAGCTGCCTGCTTGATGCGCTCATCGATCGACAATCTCATCTCGAGGGTCGAGTGGATCTCGGCATATCGCTTAACCATCTCGGTAGTCTCATGTCGATCCCAGCAACTATTGAAGATAATCTGGTGGAATGCCATACGGAGCAATGCCATTTTCCCGACCAAGATTGAGCAGGATGGGATCCATGGTAGTATCTGTGTCGATTGTCGCATCAGGAATCGTAGGGTTTGTCAATCATAGATGTAATTGGAACTATGGTGCAGAGGACTGGATATAAATACCCCTAGGAGCTGCTGCGCTGTTTTGTCTTCCCTAAGTTCATTCTTAGTGACCAGCAAATCATCCCTCCGTGTCTCTAATACTTCTATTCCCTCTCTCCACGCCTACACTCAAGTACGTCTTTCCCAAATCTAAAATCTCCGTCCTTACCGAGCCTAACCCATCTAGAATGCAACTCAAATCCCTCCTCGTTCTCGCCGCCTCTTTCTCCCTGGCCACGGCCGACTACTACGTCGGCAACTGCGGCCAGGGCCCCGACTCGACCAAGGAAGCCCCTACTAAGAGTGCCTGCAGCGCTGTCGAGGGCACCCTTTGCACCGGCACCGGCATCACGCGCTGCGTCGTCGACACTGGCAGGTGGAGTGACTTCACTTCGGCCTGCAAGAAGGAGGGCTTCGACAAGACCTACCAGCGACCTGGGTCGGTGGGCGATCTGTCCACGGCGAAGAGCCTTGCCGCTTGCCCTCGGGTTTAGAGATGGTGTTCAGGCGTGTGAACTGGACTGAACTGGACTGGACTAGACTGTATATACTGAGACATTGATGTCATGATATGAATATGTGATTTGCGTGATGGGTGAAGGCGCGTGGTGTAGACTGGTGTAGCAGTGGAGGTAGTCAAGAAGGGGACGGCGTGACCTCTCGAAACGCGCCTCGTCTCGTGACAGCGGTGCCTGAGGATCCTGTATCAGGTGTTCTCCGACAGCCTCGATTTCCTCCGACGAATGCCTCAATCTCTCCTTTTCTCCCCCTGTCACCCTCGCTTCGTCCTCCACGGAGAAGAGAACGCCCCTCGGGACCCTCTCCACTCCGCCCCCTGATTAATGCCTCTTATCCTGTCACGACGCCCTGCAGATCGGCCTGCCAGCCTGACTAAGCGGCGAGGCCGACCTGACCGCCAACGAGAACCGTCGGAAACAAGTCTTGTCGGGGATTCATTCCATTCAATCCAATCCTCCCCGTCCTCTGCTGCTGCTGGTCAGTTGAGGCTCTCTCCTGCCCCAGATCGTGGGTTGGCCGTCTCTTGCTCTCCCCATCCAGCTCCGTCACCATCTCCCCGCTTCGACGAACCTGTCAGGTCCCACCAAGTCAGGCACCGACTTGTCTCTCTTGCCTCTCCTCTCCTCTCCTCCCCGCCGCCCGCCAACTGTCCTCAGGATCGCCCTTCCCTGCCCCCTACGACGTGGTCCCTATGCAGCGACGGTAATCAACTCACGCAGTCCGACAGTCTAGCATCTTGCCCCTCGAGGGCGCGTTCTCCCTCCTCTCTCCCCCCTCACCTCTCCTGTCATCTATTATGTCCTTCAACTCCACTCAATCCTATCAAAGCCACGCCGCCTATAACCCGATGGCCGCAATGAGCGCTCCCGCGGGTACGTTCCTGCCAGGAACCAAGGTCCAGGTGGGAGGTCATCGCGTTGTGGTGGATAAGTACCTCTCCGAAGGTGGATTTGCCCACGTCTACGTCGTTAGGCTTCCGCAGCCCATCGATGGAGTAGACCGGGCCGTCTTGAAGCGGGTGGCCGTCCCGGACAAGGCAGCCCTTGCCAATATGCGGACGGAGGTCGAGACGATGAAGAAATTGAAGGGACACAAGCACATTGTCAAGTACATCGATTCCCATGCGTCTCAGCTGCAAGGGGGCGGGTTCGAGGTCTTCCTGCTCATGGAGTTCTGCTCGGGCGGAGGTCTGATCGACTTCATGAACACGCGGTTGCAGAATCGCCTGACGGAGCCGGAGATCATCCAGATCTTCGCGGACGTCGCGGAAGGCGTGGCCTGCATGCACTACCTCAAGCCTCCTCTGCTGCACCGCGATCTCAAGGTCGAGAACGTGCTCATTTCCCGCCAGGGGAGATCCTCCATCTACAAGCTGTGCGATTTCGGCTCGACCGCGCCTCCTCGTCCCGCGGCTACCTCCGCCGCTGAGGGTCGTCTGATCGAGGACGATGTGCAAAGACACACGACGCTGCAGTACCGCAGTCCGGAAATGATCGATGTCTATCGGAAGCAACCAATTGATGAGAAGAGTGATATCTGGGCCCTGGGGGTCCTTTTGTACAAGCTGTGTTATTACACTACCCCGTTCGAAGAGGTTGGACAGATGGCCATTCTGAATGCCAGCTTCAAATTTCCCCCCTACCCGATGTTCTCGGATCGCCTGCGGATGCTCATCTGTGAGTTTTGAACTGGTTTCTGGTACCACATGGAGTCAATCGTACTGATCGACCTTTAGCCTGGATGTTGAAAGAGAACCCGCAAAAGCGACCTAATATTTATGAAGTATTGCGCGAAGCTTGTCACATGCAAGGAAAGGACGTTCCAATCCGAGATGTAAGCATTTCCCCAGTTCTCCCGGTTCCCTCCTACTATATCTAACACGTTGGTAGATCTATGCCACTCGCTCCACGTCGGAAGCGCGTCGGTACCAGGAACTTCCACCTTCTCCAACAGAAGCACCCCAAGTGGGTGCTGTGATCTCTCCTCCGATCCAAGAGACCCAAACCAGTATCCCGGAGATTGCGCCCATGCGACGAGGACGCCCGACTCGGCCGACGTCGACTTCGCAACACAACTCTGCGAAGCCGAGTCCCTCGCCTTTCCGGGGGACCTCTTCCACCGACCCCTTTGCCATTCTCGATTCGGGAAGCGGCCACAAGTCTCGGAATTCAACCGACGAGTTCACGAATCGATTCCCGTCCTTGGACCATTTCAATATTCTGCACGAGAAAGGGGGCAAGTTTGACTTCGAGCCCAGCGTGGCGGAAGCTCAAGAGGACGAGGACCTCTCACGGCGGCTTACCAACGCCCTTGCCGACGATGCTTTTGTCAAACGCCCTTCGTCGGAGAATGAACCGGTCCCGGAGCCACCGGTGCAGAGGCGCCCTCAGCCCTCTCCTCTGAAAACCAGACCGGTCGAGCCCCCGAAGGAGGAGCCGATTCGCCCGCAGGTACCACTGTACCAGCCTGTTCCCCAGAAGCCCACCATGGTTTCGACGGGTACCATGACCTCGCCCCCTGGTACGCCGGGCTTGTCTGAGGCGAAACCATCCAGCCGACCGATCTACAAATTCGCGTCGTCGGACCATCAACGCCGTCCATCCAGCCAACCTTGGTCCGGAGACAACGAGCAGCGGTCACAGAGACCAAGCAAGGCCCCTTCGCCGACGCGATCGTCCTCTAACCTCGCGCCCAACCCTCGAATCTCCGCTGACCGGATCTCGGATCTCTCGACCTCCTCGTCCCGACCATCCCTGGAGGGCTTGCGACCGACGAACTTGGACGTTGACGACCCCGTGGGCCGGTCCAAGTCGGCCAACGGCAAATCTCGGCCCGTGTCGATGCATGCAGGGGCCAAGTTCGAGTCCGGACGTGGCTCCGAAAGCGCGCGCTCTTCGCTTGATCTACCCAGACCGTCCTATGAAATGGGAGTGCCGCTGCAACACGCGCGCACCGAGGTGGACCAGAATCTCGATCGGGCCAACATCTCGTCCGATATCGACTACCTGCGGGCGCGAGAAGAAGAGAGCAACCGGAAACGAGAGAAGCGGTATAGCGGAAGTTCCAAGCACACGAAGCGGTCGAGTCTGTCGACGTTGTCGCTCTCGGGCACCAAGAACCGCTTTGCCGGTCGGTTTGGCGAGGCGTTCCGTCGATTCGAGCAGACCAACTCCGACAGTAAACCGCAGTCGCCCGCCGCCGAGGACCCCCCCAAGCAATTCCTGTCGGTGACCGCCTCCGAAGTGGTGGAGCCCCCGGCCGAAATCAGCGACGACGAGAACGACGACATCTCGCCCGAGATGCGCCGGGAACTTGAGCGGCGGCGTCTCTCGCAGGAGGAGAAACGGGTGGCCAACGCCGCCGCCGAATACCGTCGCCAAGTGGCCGAAGGAAGTGGCCGCGGCGACACGCCGCGATCGCTTGCGATCCAGGGGCGCGTGAAGACTCTGCTGGCCGAAGGCAACAAGCCGGCGCCGCCCCCGAAGACGGCGACGGGTTACGGACGGTACACCGAGGAATCGCCCAGCGCTTTGCAGGCAAAGCAGGCGGAGGCGCGTCCCGAGCCTCGATTGAACACCCGAGCTGCCGTCCCCGCAGCGTACGGGTCGCTGCAGAACCAATCCTCGCCGGGGGCGGATCGATGGGAGAGCCCGTCGAGTCTTCCCCGACAAGAGACGGCGCGCACCGGAACGGCACGACCGGCGGCTCCCCCGAAACCGAAGAACCTGCGGGCAATGGGACAGGAAAGCGGTGGCGGCGATGATCGCAGTCCCATCATGCAGGAGCCCCCCAGTGCGGGTGAGGATTGGGAGGCCAACTTCAGCCGTCGATACCCTAGTCTGTCGGGGCTCGAAATGGTGGAGACGGAAATCGAGGCGCCCAAATTCCCTAGCCTGCGGACCCGGGAAGTATAATATTTCTTTTTTCTTTTCTTTTTTTACCCCGGTGTATCATCCTCATAGTTTTTTTTGGGTTGAGAAGCCAGGCCGTTTTGGTAGAGGAGCCGTTGTTTTGCAGGGAGTCCGGAAGTGAGGCAGGGTCTATAGAGTGCGAGGACCTAATCTGTGTTATTACATACGGGTATATATGCATGTATCGATCTATACATATTCTAGACATCAGCCGAGTCAATTTTCGAGTCCATTTTCCAGAGTCTTTGTTCTAGTAATGCTGAGGGAAACGTGGAAAAGTAAGACAAAGAATGGACGGGGCAGCTGCCCAAAGCGGCTAGACTCGCCCCGGACTTGCGGTGCGGCTCAAAGAAACCTGGCGATTCTTATCGCGATCGACCCTCGTCAGCTCCAGCTCCCTCGCGCTGACCACCATCACCATGGCGCCCGTCACCCTTGGCACGGTTGACAGTAAGGCTTTCCGACCACCAGGATCTGCTCGGTTGGGGCCAGCTACTAACCGGTTTGCGACCAGACGATCTCAAAGATGTCATCCAGCAGCTCTTTGAAATCCAATCCGCCGTGCACGGCTACCTAGGCCCGGAGACGCAGCAGGAGCTCGTCCGCAAAATGTACTCTCCCCTTTCATCCCTCCTCCTATTCAAGGCCTAATCTCTCAATTCGACAGCAAAACCCTCACCCTCGGCCTGTCCACGCTCTCCACGCATACGCGCGACCCCCCGACCCCCTTCGACACCGCCGCCCGCGACAACGTCCCCGCCCACCCGTCGGAGCTCCCCGTCAGCAGCATCCAGCTGCCGCCGGAGATCATCGACTACGTGGACGCGGCGCGCAACCCGGACATCTACACGCGCGAGTTCGTGGAGCTGGTGCAGCGCGGCAACCAGGACCTCAAGGGCAAGCAGGAGGCGTTTGCCAGCTTCCGGGACGTGCTGGCGCGCGAGATGCGCAGTGCCATGCCCGAGTGCCGCGGCGAGGTGGATCGGGTGGTTCAGGCGACGAGTAGTCCTGGTGATGCGGAGGACGGGGGGGTGGATGGGGAGGGACAGGGAAGGGCACAGGGCTAGGAGCGGACCGGGGGGAGGGATTTTGGGTTTCCTTTCTCGCTTGGCTGGAAGGTACGACGGACTCGTACATACATATATTTTTGGTTTTGCGTGCATGCATACCTGGGCAAGGGATTTATTTGATGAAGATCGGAGAGTTATTTTCTTTTCGGCGTTACCTGATTTGCGTGTTGTTTATTATTGGGCGTTTACCATGGACATGGGTGGGAGTCATTGAGTTTTTTTTTAGGGACTAGGAGTAGGGACTAGGGAGGGGGAAGAAATCGGAACCGATTATTACATCCTACGTATTACTTAGGCTGTACGCCGGGTAGTTATATCATGAGGATTTATTTTGGGCAACGCTGAGTGACCGCGGAGTCGGGATTGGAATAGGAGCCGGACGACGGTCCCGTCAATCCGGCACTCTGTTCTGTACACCGAACACCGCAGATTTGCAGGCGGAGTTTTCACTTTCCTTTTTTTTTTTTTTTTTTTCTTGGGCTCTGGGTGGATGCCTGTCCGTTGCCCCGGGATTTCCAGGGTGGTCCGTTCTATTTTCTCTGCCGGTGGCGTGTTTGATGTGATTCGTACCGATCCAGTCCAACACTCAAGGTCCAGTACAGACTAAGGCGAAAGGAGGCATCCCTTGCGCGCCCACGTGTGGACGGCCTGAGGAATCAGGCACGTGGGGAGGTAAGGGGGAGAGCGAGGGATAGGATATGGATACTTCTAGCTCTACTGCGTATCCTGATAGTCACTCATCGTGACTCCCGAGTAGTCCAGTATAGTCCAGTATCGTCCAGTTCATGACGTTGGTTTCTCCGCCGGAAATCCCCGCATTGAATCCATCGCGGCTTGGCAGATCTTGGTGTATTTACGGTATCCCCATAATACGGTAAGAATCTCCGCCCCAGACGGCCTCACCTGACATCGGCTCATCCTTCGTCTCTTTCCTCTCTCCCTCTCTCTGTCTGTCTGTCTCCTTCTAGTCCCTCTAGTCCCTCTCGACCGTCCATCAATCCATCCATCTGCCTGCCTTCCCCGTTGTCATCTCGTATCACTCTCGGCCGCCTCGCTTGTTTGCTACCCTTCACACCCTAGTTCACCCTCAGTTTGCACCCCGGTTCTTCCTCTTCTCCTTCTTCCTCTTCTCCTTCCTTCTTTCTCTGTCTCTCTCTTTTCTTTTCTTCTTTCCTTCCTCTCTCCCCCTCCCCTCCATTTCCTCTCGCCAATTCCTGATTCCCTCTCCATCTCCATCATGCCTCGTATTCCTCCGCCTTTTCTTCATCCGTAATCTTTCCGTCTCTCTCCCCGGCCAGCCTCGTCTCATCTCGATTCGTTTCCTCTCTCGGTCGACATGAGCTCGAGCAGCGGTAGTCAATCCCCCGGCGATGGCATCACCGGTGGTTATACCGGAGGCAGTTTGACCCTCAAGATTGCCATTGCAACCCTCGCCGGCATCACCTGGTACAATGCCGTGGAGCTGATCATTCTCGTCTTCGTCACCTTCAGCCAGTATTCCGGCCTGTACTTCTGGTCCCTCTTCATCTCCTCGTCCGTCGGCCTGGTCCCCTACTCCATCGGTTTCCTGCTCAAGTTCTTCAATCTCACCGACCAGACCTGGCTCTCCGTCACCTTCATCACCGTCGGCTGGTACTGCATGGTCACCGGCCAGTCCGTCGTGCTGTACTCGCGCCTGCACCTGCTGCTCCCCAACCACCGAATCCTGCGCCGCGTCCTGACCATGATCATCGTCAACGCCGTCATCCTGCACATCCCCACCACCGTCCTGACCTACGGCTCCAATCTCGCCAGCGGCAACCTCGCCTACCGTCGCGGCTACAACGTCATGGAGAAGATTCAGATGACCGGCTTCTGCATCCAGGAATTCGTGCTGTCCGCCCTCTACATCTGGGAGACCACCCGCATGCTGCGCCTGGATCCGGACCGCGGGAAACGCAAGATCATGTACCAGCTGGTGGCCATCAATCTGATCATCATTCTTCTCGACGTCGGCCTGCTCGTCATCGAATACCGCGACCTCTACATCATGGAGACCATGATCAAGGGCGTCGTCTACAGCGTCAAGCTGAAGCTGGAGTTCGCCGTGCTGGGCAAGCTGGTTCACCTCGTCCGCAGCCACGTCTGGAAGACCGAGTCCACCTCGCGCAACCGGGCCTCCGACTTCCCCGATTTCGTCGACGCAACCCGCGTGACATCCGACCTGACGCATGCCGCGCCCACCGGCCGCCGCCGATCCCACCCCTGGATGGACTCGGATGACGTCTCCATCGCCATGTTCGAACACGCGGGTTCCGCCTCGGGCCCGACCATTCGCGACCAGGAGACCGGACACTCGGAAGTGTCCCACTCATGGAGCGGCGAAACCCACACCAATAATAGTCAGGGCGATCAAGAACCTAGTCCCGTCGATTTCACGGACCCCTGGCATAAGCAGAAGCACATCATCCCCATCAAGCGATATGATCATCCCGGGTGACACACATGAAAAATTACAATAAAAACAATCCTATACCTCCGCCAAACAATGATACCCCCTTTTCTTTTTGGATTTTGCTCCATTGTTCTGTCTTGCATTACCTTGCATCCACATATTACATCATCTTAGCGTCATGCATCGCGAGCGATCTAATACCGAACATAACCATCGAACGAGATAACGACTTACGAGATCATGCCATGCATTGGGCCGTCGGGTCCAAATGTACGTTGTATGATTTAACACCGTTCCACATGGGGAACACGGGCGGAACCAACCGAACCAGAAAGCAAGAGCCGTCGACCACCGATCTCGATGGGGAATCTGGACCTGGAACAGAGTTCAGGGGACCAAATCCAAAAAACGGCTCGCACGGGCGGGGATGGACGGGACCAGGCAGGAGAACAAGGAAACTTTCTCTGGGCCATCCTCCGAGCCGCCACTTCCCTTGCTAACGGCCCCAGCACGACCGGGGTTCCTTCCCATCGGTTAATAAACACCAGCAAGAAAGGAAGTTGGAACAAAGAGAAGAGATCAAAAACGGCCGCCGCTTCCCGTGTGTCCGTGCCGGGTTTGGTGCCGGTTTTAGCTTCTGGTTTCTAGCGCCCTTTCCCTTTTTCGGGGGAAGAAAGCAATAGTTAATCGGTCTAACCTGCGCCACCTGAGTCAATCTCAATCAACATACGCAGGAGATTGAGATTGATTCAGGGAGCTCGGTCGGGCCATATCGCCCCTATTTATTCCGAGGTCCCGGGGTAGGTTGGTTCATCTCATTCTCATCCCATGTGTCTTCCGGTTGCCGGCTGCTACCGGCTGGTACTCCTCTCCCTGGGACTAAGGACGAAGTACATATCCCACGTGTAACTTCCTGTTGATCGATTGATTGTTGATTACTTATACCCCTTTCGTATATACTTGACCTTGTCTATATCATACTTTCTACTAGGTCCATATTTCGAATAGATAGATGAAATACAAAAAGTCGTTAGGAATAATCCCCATGAACTCGAGCTCGAGATAGACATCGGAATGATCGGATAAATAGAACAGCTAATTAACAGAGCCCTAGATCTATAAACCACCCTTTTCACCCAGTAACCAAATGCCACTCATAATGAACAACCAGGAGAATATACCATAAAATACCAAAACTAACATTAACCAAAAAATAAAATAAAAATAAAAATAAAAATAAAAATAAACAAACCAAATCCCCCCGGAACCCCCATCCGAACCCAAGCCCCAGACCCAGACGGCGAAATTAGCCTAAAGCCCGAACCCCAAAGTACTGTACGCAGAAGGGCATCGGGGTCTTGGATCTCGATCTACCGATCCATCTATCTAGAGATGGTGATCTATCCATCTATCTAGGTATCTATCACTATCACCTTGTCACTTGTCAGCGACAGATCCATTGGCGTGACGGCCTAGCCATTATTGATTATTCTCCGGGGTCATGGAGTCGGTCTTGGCTGTGGGTGGTCGAGTCGCCGTCTTCCAGCTACTGGTAACGATGGATGTGACATGTGTCTGCGTCCTTACCGAGACGTGGTCCATATTAATATGTACATGTACTTTACGTGGTACCTGCAGGCGAGACGGTCAGGTGGTCTGCCAGGGGTCAGGTGTCAGGTGTGCTGGTTTGTGTGTTGTTGGATCGGCTCTCAAGCAGGTAGGGAGGGAGGGAGGGAGGTTAGGTGGCTAGACCGCTACGAAAACACGGACTTACGAGGGGGAAATGAGAAATCGGAAAAAGAAAAAGAAGAGACCGCTCATTCATGAGGAAATATGCCCCGGATTTCAAACAATCAAACCATTAATCAAACAATAGGAAGCAGAGCAACGCCTTGGACAGGAACACGGCAAAACAAGGGTTTACCTAACAGAGCAACAAAAAATGAAATAAAATAGCCGAATGAAACTCCCTATTAACTGAGTCATACAGATTCATGAAACATCAAGGGAATAACTAAAAATTGCCTAAATGCTAAACGCCCGACTGCCCTCCACCAATCCATCCGACAGTTTGCTCACCGCCACCCACACCGGCGCCAACTGCAGGATCTCGTCCAGGGCGGGAATCAGCCCGACCTGATTCTGATCGCTCCAGAGGCACACGACCCGGCCGCTGATACCAGGGCTCTCCGAATCCGACGACGGCTCCCATTCGACGTCGACGTGCCAGGTGCGGTCCCAGGTGCGGCTCCAGAGGCGGACCTCACGGATGCCCGTGGGGGAGGTGTGCGGGAAGCGAGGATCGACGGCGCCGTCGTCGACGTGGAAGCTGGAGATGGGGCGGTCGAAGGCGAGTTTGCAGGCGCGCGTGTTTAGCCCCGACACCTCGAAGCGGGCGCGCGACCCATTGGTGGATCGGGAGATGTTGAAGGAGAGCCAGTCGGCCATTGGTGGTTGGCGGTCGTCGGGGTGCTGCGCCGCGACCCGGGGAGCCTGCCCAGCCCAGGCGCACTTGGGTCGGCTGCCAACCAACTCGCAGCTGAGATCTTGGCCCGCCGCGCTGGGAAGATCCCGGGCCACGTCGTGCACGAAGGGCGGCATGCCTGTCAGTGACACCCGGTTGCTGCCGTCGTCCAGGTCGACCTCCTGCATGAAGTACAGTTTCACCCGGTTGGTCTCCGAGAACGGGAACGCCACCAGGTTGTAGATCAGAGTGCCCAGCAGCACAAGCAGCAGGAACATCGGCAGGTGGTAGGTGTACCGGTGGATGAAGGGGAGGAGCGGCGTGAGGAGCAGCGTCGTCAACACCGCCACCGCGATGTAAACGAACAACCGAGGGCTGCCGTCCTGCCCCGTCTGGTGAAGCGCGCTGGTAAGCAGCAGTGCCAGAGGGCCCACCAGGATCAGGACGATCGGGGCGATGAAAAGGAACTGCAGGACCCACGTCCATTTGGGCAGGTGCAAGCTCCAGGCCTGTTCGCGTCCGTAGACCTGGGGGTCTTCGTCTTCGTCGTCTCCATCCCGGTAATGGCCATGCTCCCCGGCCACCCGCACATAATTGGCAAACGTCGTCCGTTGTCCACCACCCAGCAGGGATGTCGACTCCGTCGGCGCCTCCTCGCCATCCTGATCGGTCTCGTCTTCCTCCTCATCGACCATGTCCTCGCGCTGGCTGTGGGCCGTGCCCAGTCGACTCCCATAGCTGCTGGGCCGTCGCGAGACTGGTCGGATCTGGTTGGCGTACTCACCCTTCCGTGGCAAGGAGAAGAGCTCCAGGTATGAGATCCAGGTGGCGAGGAAGACGCCGCAGTAGAAGAAGAAGATAAAGTATCCTCCGGCCAGTCCTCTCTGATTTTCGTAAACGGTGGCAATGACCTGCAGAACCCACGCCACGATGAACAGCCATGTCAGGGTGTAGACGCGGTGCAAAGCGGATGGTCGGGCGAAGTCGGCCACCCGGGAGACGAACCAGGCCAGGAACACCCAGGCCGAGATCATCATGCTCCAGACGGAGTACTCGCTGCTGTGGACGATGAACGGGTTCACCTTCGTCACCAAGTAAGCCAACCCCACGGTGACGGCGGTCGGAATCACGAACAGCGAAGGGAACCGGAAGAAGCCCCGAAGGCCTTGCAATGGGACCCTCTCGAGGCCATCCTCTGACTTGGCCGAGGACCGGAACAGGTACATCTTGTCGGCCCGCGTGAGGGAGATACTCGTGGCGAGCAGGGTCAGAGGAGCCACGATCAGCAATGTCACCGACAGGGCAAACAGCGTGTGCAGGCGAAACACAACGAAGGTACTGCCAAACAGGTCAAACCAGACAGCCTTGGACCCTGATCCGCTGGGGATCTTATCTTGATCCTTAGCTGCCGGGCCGTCGAACTGGTCGCTCGCGTCAGATACCAGGCCCGTCGTGGTGGCCACCGCGGCCGAGAGCATATGCCAGAGCGAGTCCTTGCTCGTGTGCCGCGCATCATCCTGGTTTGTGTGATACCGAGCTCGCGGCTCAATGAACGCCACATCCAGTCCCCGCAGCCCCAGGTCGCCGTTGAAAACCACATAGTCGGTCTGGCTGCTGATCAAATGCATGTCGAACCCGTTGGCCGCCAGCACCGAGCCGAACGGATGCGGCGACTGCAGATACGGCCGGGTGACCTCGGTGTCGGTGCTGCGAAACAGGGCCGCACGACCGCCGGCGCCGGCGCCCTCCAGGTTCAGGAAAGTATGCGGTAGACGGGAGATGGGATGTTGGCTGTACACGCGCGCGCCGTTCAGGAAATCCTCCTCGCCATTGTTGAACAACACCACCAAGCCCCGCCGGGGGGCATGTCCCGGCGTCGTAAAGTACTTGATCAGCTGCAAGCAGGTGACGACGCCCACTCCGTCATCGGTGGCTCCGAACCCCGTCGACACGCTGTCGTAGTGGGAGTTTACCAGCACCCCTCCTTTGCCCGTCGGCGTGCCGTTCGGATCGTCCCACCACTGGTCCGGATCATCGCCCCAGCCCCGAATGTAGACGAGTATATTGGTGCCCTCGAAGTAGACCCCGAGCTCTCCGGCGGTAAGCGTGCTGCCGGTAAACGTCAGGTTCGAGCGGGTGTCGTCGAAGACAAAAACGTCGGGTTTCTCCTCGTCGAGCGATCGATACTCCTCCGGGGAAGGAGCGGCGTTTACGATCTCGTCGATCCGGGTGCGCAGCCAATCATGGACGACGTCGTTGTGGCGCGAGTTGTAGGGATGAAACCCGCTGGAGAGCACTTGGAGATCGGCCCAGGCCTCGGTGATATTCAGCCCGCTCGGGTTGGAGCTAGGAGCTGACGGCACGACATGGTGGATAACGAGCAGAGGGATGGCCAGGGCCAGGTACACGATCGCCGTGATGACCGTCACCGGCCACGGGGTGAAAGCCAGCGGATTGGCCCGCGACAGCCTGGGAGGAGCCATGAACAAAGCTCGAGTGTCGCAGGAAAGGCGCGAGGTGCAGTGAGGAGAAGATGCGGAGGGAAGAAGTCGAGGCAAAGAAAGCAGAAGGCGGAAGAGAAAAGCGGGGAGGGTCTGACAGGTGACCCGCCCGCGATCTGCTGCCGGGTATCTTCTCTGCAATTTTGTATGGAAGGGTACTTCCGAGCATGAATCCTACAAGTTCCTCTAATTCCTTACTTACTTACTGCGTCCATCCCCGAGAGAGATAGATAGATAGAAAGATAGATGGAAAGACACAAATACCATGTCCATCGATGTGTATGTAACGTTCCTGACTATGCAAATATCAAAAACAATATGAGCAACACAAACTCAGAGACCGTCCGCCAGCCTCAACGCCGTTTTTCCATGCAAAGGGTCATTAGGAAAGAGTGGGAGGTGCCTATATAAGTCCCTCCGATGGGCTTCATGGATCGAATCCCCGTCGGCGGTGCTGTTGGTCCCATCCATGCCGACTCTACTTGCTACCACGCCACGTTGGCTGGCCCCCTGGTTCCAATAATGTTCTCGAATATGCCTAAACCCGAACAATCCCCCCGCAGGAGTCATAATAATAAACAACAGCAGAACACCCTCCCGAGTGGTAACCCGCTACCAATGCATTTTGCCAGTCGATGACCTGGCGAACAAATCCGTTCCCCTGTCAAGGCCCTACTCGCGGGTCGACCAGGAGCATTTGATCAGGGCACGAGATCAAAGGGGGAGGGAACACAACCCATCAGATGTGTGGGGGGACAAAACAAAAAGCGATAAAGAGAGATAGATATCAAAGAAGAAAAGAGAAGAAAGAAAGAGGAAATAAGCTCATGGCTGATGAAGAGGGCTAGAAATGATCGGAAACAGACACGCTCAAGTAGAAGGCAAAAGAGAGGACAAGAGAGGGGTATCATCAACCTTGAGGATGTCCGATGTCAATGTAATCGTCGTCATTAATAGCTGTCGCATGCATCAGGCCGGTCACCTGGCCCTCTTCTTCGTCTAGTTCGTCGTCATCGTCATACATGGTAACCTCGGTCAGATCCCGCTGAGGAGTTACGTTTCGATTGAGATAGTCCCGGAGTCGGCACACTCCATCGCCGCTGAACACGCAGAAGACGTCGCGTTGCTGGTTGGTGAATTCCGAAGGGGCCTCGCGACAGAATACCGTGAGCTCCGGCCGCAGAAACTCCTGCACGCCGGTAAGACTGAGGTGCGTAAGTCGAGGGCAGTTATTGAGCAGAGCGTGGATTCCCTGGTCTCTGGTCAGCATTTCTTCGCCGTCTCAGAATCACAACCCGGAAGGGGGCAACTTACATCCATGCTCAACCTGATGCAATAGCTCAGATGGACTCGCTCCAAGCAGCTCGACCCCATGGAAACCTTGGGCCGGGCCAAAGCCAAGATACTCTCGTCCGTGATCAACTGGCACTTAACCAGTCCAATGCGCCTTAGTTTGGGTAACGTCGCGAGTTGCTGGACGCTCGTGTCCGTTAAGCGGTTGCAACAGGCCAGGTCGATGTACCGAATCCGGTTGCAGGACTTCACCAACTGAATCACCGCGGCATCGGTGATGTTCGAGCAGTGACCCAGGTGGACATAGTGCAGGTTCTTCCCGAGCTTGCAAATAGCCCACACCGCACGATCCGTGATAAACCGACACTTCGCCAGGACCAAGTTTCGCAGGCGAGGAGCCGACTGGACGATACGTTCCACCGATTCATCGCGAATGTTTTCACAGGCCGTTAGATCCAGTATGCGCAGGCTGTCCATGGAGTGGTGTCTCGGCAGCTCTAGGAATGCCATATCGTCTATCGAGGTGCAGTGAGCGAGTCGTAGCTCGCGGAGGTTGGGGAGCGTGGCCATGAGAGAAGTGACGGAGGAACTGTTGACAAGATTGCAGCCGTGCAGATCGATCTCAAGGATGGCCGGACAGTTCTGGGCGAAAGACAAAATCGCTCGACCCGTCACTTGGACGACGCTGTTGAGTTTCAACTGCAACGAGGTTAGCCCGGGGATCGTTCTCAAAACATGCATAGGCAGAAGTTCCACTTACTCTTTTGATCTGCCGACAATTCTGCGACACGACGACCAACGACTCGTCCGTAACCTTGATGCATCCGGTGATATTCAGCCCTTGGAGGCGAGGGCAATTCCGAGCCACGGAGTACAGGGTGTGATCTGTCAGGGACCGCAACTCCGAAACGTCCAACGCTTGTAGATACCGGTTGCCCTCTACCACGTCCGACACTCCCTTGTCCGTCAGCTTGGAGCAATTAGTCAGCGTCAGACGCTCGATCCGTTTGCACTGCGAGAAGGGAATCACGGTGCCATCGCTGACCTCCGCCGTCAGAGCCGACAGGTTGAGTCTCCTGATGAGCTCCGAGTAGGGAAAGATCGCGGTTGGGTCGCCGACGGATCTCGTGATGCTCTTCATGTTGCTCCAGTGATTACAGGATGGCCGATGCCAGAGTATCCCCACGCAGTTCGCAGCCCATCCTCGACACACCATCATGCAGCTTAACATATCCGTCGGCGCGCTGAGCTTGGAGAAGATGGCGATGAGAATCTCGGGGGGCAGGCGACCGATCGGCGGAAGCATCGTTTCTTGGTCGACGCGGCCGTTCAGGTCTCGAACGGTGCCGAGTCCGACGGAGGATTGCGAGTCATTTGCCTGGGACGTGAAGAAGTCGGTATCGTCGTCGACGGTTCGGTCCGGGGAGGTCGAGTTCGAGGACTCGGAGGGAGCTTCGCTCGAGAATCGAGCGGGTTGCCGTGAGCGGGGCATGGGGTCGGTTGATGATCGAATCTCCCAAGGGTCGTATCTTTCTTGTTTTTCCAAATAACGCTGCGAGGTGTCTATCCAGATCTCACCAAGGGAGGGGGACTGGGCGGCATAGACAGGAGGACCTCAGAAAACCATGGGTAAGGCCGACCGAAGGGGGGAGGGAGGGGGGTGTCAGCCGGGCGGAGCAGTGAATTTGCGATGGCTCCTTCAACCCAAAAAGGTTGGGTGGACGCGGGAGAAGGTGACGGATCAGAAAGCTGCCTAATCTTGTCGAGGGGGTCTAAAATTAGAAAGCTTGGTCAAGGATGGCGAGGCAGGAGAGTCGAGGGCGCTTAGGGTGGGAGAGGACAGCGCGCGTCGGGTGCTGAAGAAGGCAAATGGCGGGGGGGAGACGAGAGGAAGCGGAAGAGTGGGCAGAAGTGGGAAAGCGAGATGCTAGGAAGGGAGAATATAATTCTCCGTCAGGATCACCTCACTTGGTTGAGACCCTGAGGGTGGAATGTGAATAAATAAGCAGGGTTGAGTAGGTGGAGGAAGTGTGAAGGCGATCGGGCGGCTGTGACGACGTGAACTGCAAGGGAAGGCGGCGGCTGCGAACCAGGAAAAAAAAAAAGAGGCGGGAGAGGTGACTGGAGACAAGAGACAAGAGACAAGAGAAGAGACAAGGTAGGGACTCCGTCGAAGAGAAGAGATGAAGATTGGCTCTGCAGAAAAGGCAAGGGACCGATTGACTGCAAGAGGCGAGGCCGAAGAAGTTCAGTTCTTATCCCGGGGGTCCCGTGGCCCCGATAGAAGTAGCCTTACAGAAAGACTGCCGGCTGACTGTGCACCGCCATTAACTATTATGGAGGCATTCCACTTCATACTGCGCATCGTGACAGTTTCGATTCTATGGAAATCTATTTCCTGGCTCCCTTTCCTTCTAACCAGCCATGATTCGCTCGAGGCCCAAGTCCAGTGCCTCCTTTCCCAAGTGGGATCCCGCTGGGGCCGATACAATCTATATATCCTCCCATCGTCATCCTCATCACCAGTAATATCCTCCACTCCCACTTCATGTCCGATTCCCCCCTTTGGCCCACTCCCGGAGCACATTCTTTCTCACCTTGCCCGTACTGGTCTTGGGCAGTTCCGCCACCACCTCCACCTCCCGCGGGATCATAAACTTACTGATCCCGCTGACATTCCGGGCCCACTCGATGACTTCTTGGCCCTTCAACTGTTGCCCAGGCTTCGACGTGACAAACGCCTTCGGTCTCTCGCCCCAGTGCGTGTCGGGCACGGACACTACTCCGGCCTCGAGAATGTCGGGATGCGTGACCAACATGGACTCGAGCGCGACCGAGGATATATTTTCTCCGCCTGGTCCCGACGCATGAGTAACTTTCTAGAACCCTAAAGTGATGGTGTTTGGGACCGGGAAGACTTACCACTGATAATAATGTCTTTGGCGCGGTCAAGTATCTGGATCGCGCCGTCGGGATGCCACACGGCTAAATCTCCCGAATGGAGGACCCCTCCGGCGAAGAGCTTCCGTGTAGCCTCGGGGTCTTTGTAGTAGCCTCGTGCCGTGATATTCCCGATGAAGACGACCTCGCCGATCTCCGTCCCGTTGCGAGAGACGTCGACAATCGTTCCTTCGGGGACATCGGTTTGGACGACGCGCACTGGGAGACTGGTCACGAAACCATGCCCCTGTCGCGCCATGCGCCTGTACTTCTCTTCCGGCGATAGATTGTCCCACGACGGCATGTGATAGCCCTTGGTGATGGGCCCGTAGGTCTCCGTCATCCCGTACACATGTACCGGATGCAGGTTCAGATTGGTCATCTGCTCGAAGAGATGGGGGGTGGGTGGACTGGCCGCCACCGTTACATGGACGGGCGATTCAAGACGCTCGGCTTCTTTGGCACTGCAGAGTAGCGTATTCACCGTCGGTGCCGCATTGAAATGCGTGATGTGCTCTTGTTTAAGCAATTTCCAGATCTGAGGGTAATCGATCTTCCGCAGACAGTAGTGAGTGCCGCGGACTGCCGTAACGGACCAGGGGAATGTCCAGCCTGGAAAGAGTCAGCAAACGGCGAACCTTCCTGGGTCTAGGGAGGGGAGTACTGACCCATAGCATGAAACATAGGCAAAGTCCACAGGTAACCACAGCGGCCGTTGTGTGGATTTAGACCGGACTCGATCACATTACCCATGGCGGCAAGATAGCAGCCCCGATGAGTGTACTCGACGCCTTTCGGCCGAGCCGTGGTGCCACTGGTATAGGCCAGAGCAATGATATCGTCTTCGGAGGCCGCTTGGCTCTCGAGTCCGTTCCAACCCTTGGCACCGGTTTCTATGTCATACTTCAACCCCTCCAGAACCGCCTCGTCGAAGGGACCAGACAATTGGCCTTCCGTGGCATCCGTATCGGTGTCAACGATGATGGAAACAGCGGGATTCGACTTTCTATACGACTCAAGAAGGGGGAGAAATTCCTGGTCTACAATAATGGCTTCGACATCTGAGTGGGTGAAGATATACTCGATATCATCAGGCTTGAGGCGGTAGTTCACAGCTAATCAGCCAAGCATTGGCATCCCGTGTCAGTATACAGTCATAAAGCACAAAAGAAGTCAAAGAAAGTCGAGAAAGTAAAGACAGCATGGTTCCTCACCAACATTGACGGCCCCCGCAGCGGCAATCCCGAAGATCGATTCCAGGAAAGCGGGCGTGTTAGGACAAAGAATGCCGACTCTCTTCAGTCCGTGCGTTCTCAGATAGTACGCGAGGCCGCGGGCTCGATCGGCCGTTTCCATGTATGTTCTCCGCAGAACTTGGCCATTGGTGGTGATATGGACAATTGCCTCCGCCTACATTCATCAAGGTACCCATCTTAGATCACCGATCTCATGCACGACCCGACACCAATCAACCAACCGGCGACTCACCTCTGGCTCGATAGCTGCCGCCCGAGGCAGGAAGGTCGTCGGCGAAAGGGTATGGAAATTGACCGAGTGCTCGAATTGAGCGGGCGATGCGGTAGGACCCTTGCTTTGAGCAGGGATCAAGTGGCTTAGTAGGCTTGACAACCGGGATTTTGCAGCTGACATGGCGGGTTTGCAGTCAAGGAGGGGAGGAGAGGAGAGGAGAGGAAGGGAGGGGAGGGGAGCAGGTGAAGACGGCAGGAGGAGCAAGAGAGGCACGCATTCGCCCAAGTTGGAGAAAAGCCAATAATGCGGGGAAGCGCCCATTTCTCGGACCGCGGAGAAGCGGAGGTCGGGGCTGCCTTTCCGCCCTTCACGATTCGGTTCACACTGGATGAAGGTATGAACAAGATCATCCCTGACTCTCTCGCCATCGCGTCATACCGGATTGGACTACAAGGACCTGATGTGGTCAGCCGGTCCCTCCCCAGCGAGTCGCCCGCATCATCTCGTCACAGCCGTCACATGCAGCTTCACGCTCGCCCGGCGCTTAATTGGGGTCCGCAAAGGGGCCTGCTTTGTGGGTTTGTCTTTGGCTTGGGGGCTCCTATTTTATTGTGTTTTATTTGTGTTTTTCTTTTTCTACTCGAGAGTGGAGGTCGCATGGGGGGCACCGTGATGGGGGTGCAAGATCCTGGGTCATGTCGGACGAAGGGAAACAAAGCAACCAGGGGAGGGAGAGAAAAGGCCCAAGAGTAAAAGAACAGAAAGAAAAGTTGTCACAGTCAAAAGTCGTAAAGAGTCATTTTTTTTGTTTTGAACTCTGAAAAAATCTTTGGATTAAACCGCCACGGCGCGAAATAACGGTCAGCTATTTTGAACAACCTTTCATCCCAAACGACTCCGTAGTTTTTTGATCAACAGAAATCGGTCTCTCCAAACCTCCATGTGCGTCACAACATGAGCATTGTGGATATTCATGACAAGTAGGGACGGTGAGAAAAAGGTCGATCGGTTCACTGTCCAACACCTCGCTGAAAGAAAACCGCTCGCGATCCCAACCCATCCCATCACAGACACAAGCAACCGGCCGCGCAACTAGGTATCTAATATCCGTACTCAGCAAGCTGGGTCTTGGTCTTCTCGTTAACACCCGCCGACTTCTGAGCGTGGGTGAGTTGGCGGCGAGCGGCCTTCTTGCGCTCGTAGTAGGCGCTGCTCTTGACCTTTCTGCGCTCCTCGAGTCTGTAGTGATGATCTCCGTTAGCCATGGCCCATCCCGGACTCTCCAATTCGCCATATATACGCACCTAGCAACAACATCCTGGTACTTCCAGCCGACCTCGTGGCTGAGACGGCCGACGGTGCAGTACTTGCGGCCGGGGCGGAGGCGGAGGACACGCAGAGCCTGGGGAACGACAACGCGCTTCTTCTTGTCGTAGGGAGGGGGAACACCCTCGAAGACCTTCAGGCGCTCCATAGCGGCGGCACCACGGGCGGTCTTGTGGGGAACCATGCCACGGACGGCCTTGTAGAAGATGCGGGAGGGGGCACGGAAGTGGAAGGGACCTGGTCACAGTCAACTTCTGACCGACTTTTCGGTTTTGGATCATCTCGAGGCTGTCGACTTACCTCCGCGGGTAGGGTTGAAACGAGTCATCTTGCGAAGGTAGGCGTGGTACTTCACTATATTCGGCAATCTCAAGTCAGTCGTCCGCAATCATCCAGTTGTAGCACAATATCCCATCTCTCCATCAATCCGTTGGGCGCATGATGTCGTCCGTCTTTCGATTCCTCCATCCGTGATGATATTTTCCCCCAACGGTGGCGCTATCCACAAAATTTCCCAGACGACAAAAAAAAATAGGTTGTGCGTAGACAAAAGAAAAGAAAGTCGGGTTGTGATCACGTACACTTCGCGCGGAAGAACTCGCCGGAGATGTTGAGGGCTTCACATCTCACAACGACGATCTTCTGGCCGTTGAGCAGCTGCTTAGCGACAGTGCTGGCCAGACGACCAAGGAGATGTCCCTTGCCGTCAATGGTGACCTGTAAAAATCAAACCGACACAGGTCAGCGATCCTGTTTTCTCAAACCACATTGCCATGTGCCCCCCGACACCAATCATCCATCTATCTCTCGTCCTCTTCATCTTCCCTCAACGAAACAAGGCATCTTCAAGATATCACGGCACATGGCGTCGGGATGCATGTGAAGGGGAGGTGGTACGCACGACTGGCTCGGTGGAGGACATCCTGCTCTGTCGTCTCTAAAGGAAAATATCCGGCGAAAGGAAGAGCGCTGCTCTAGGATACTCCCTTGGGATGTATGTTGTCGGCGGTTGTTGTCGTTGTGGGCAGGTTCAACGCTCACAACGAAGTCGGATGGTTCGCACTGTCGTGAGGGTCGCTAAGCGAGGCTCCCTTTGTGGAAGATCGAGGGCCACAGCCCTAACTCCCGGCCAATCCCGTTGCCGCGGGTCACGTGGCCCCGCCGGGCCCAGCCCTCGACCTTCAATCTTTAATCTTTAATCGGTCGCCGTCGCCGACTTGTCGCAGGTTGCTCCCTAGCACTGCCTGAAGCCGGAGGCGCGATCCACTGTGGTCTTTAGTTAAAGGTGTTGTCGCTGATGTCAAGGGCTGGACACGATCATTGGCCCATCCCCGCAATCCCGATCCTCGCTCCGATAGCCTCTGATGAAGAGCCACTGCACACACGACGCCCAGATGGAATCCTAATTAATTCGGTGGATTATTCATTTCCTCTGTGCTACCCTCTGTTAACCTAAACCTATTGTTCTATTTTTGTTTCGTCCTTTTGCATTCCCTACTCCGCTCACGGAGCATACTTAAATCCTTTAACCGTATGAACGCACCCAAAATTCGTTATGCATCGCACATTCTCTTATATTATTATATACCTTATTACAATTATTTGATAGGCCTCCTATATGAGGCATGTACATATACGCAGTAGGTACAGATCATTCACAGTATTTACCGTTTCAACAAAAGAAAGTAAAACCCGCATCGGTGCCATCGTAGCACCAGGCGGGTCATAGACCGTACACATCATACCTCCCTTTCAATACAAGGGCAGCTTGGCGTCTTGCGTGCCCCGTTCAATGACTTCCTGCAGGGTCCAGCGAGGAGGCGTAATCGCTTTCCGACCCCCTTTCTCCGAGTCCGCGGGGAGAGGTTCTTTCAACCCGCCTGCAATTCCCGTCGAGTACTTCAGGCCCAAGGCGTTGCCGACCTCGTCGCACACCATCAGCAGGCGGTCCAGATCGTCCTTGGTGTGTGCGGCAGATAGACAGAAGCGGACACGGGAGAGTTCTAAAGGGGTGGCAGGGTAGGTTACTACCACTACCGAGATCTTGCGTTTGAGCATTTCATGCGAAAATGCCGACATTTTGGCGGGATTGTACAGCATCAGCGGCACGATAGGAGAGTCGTCGTGGCCGTAGACGATAAAGCCAAGTCTTTTGAGTCCGAGCCGGAGATATCGTGAGTTGAAGGCCAGCCGCTGCACTCGCTCGCGGCCCTGGCCCGGGTGCAGGGGATCCTCGTCGGCGATCAGTCGGAACGAGGAATGGATCTGAGCGAGGACCGATGGCGCCGGAGCTTCGCCAAATATCTGGCCGGCGTTGGTGCAGCGAATCTTGTCAATGATCGATTTGTCCGCAGCAACGTAGCCGCCATTAGCCCCAAAGGATTTGGTGAAGGTACCCATCAGAATATCAACCTCGGCAGGGTCAATCTTGAAGTAATCACACACGCCACGACCACGAGGGCCGACAGCACCAATCGAATGGGCCTCGTCAATAAAGAGATGGAACTTGTATCTCTTCTTCAGCTCAAGGATCCGAGGAAGGTTACACATAGTGCCTTCCATGGAAAATAAGCCTTCTACGGTGACGAGAATCTTCTTCCACGGTCGGTGGGTACGGGGCTGTCCCTGAGAAATCGCTTCTCTCAGTCGTTTTTCAAGATCGGCCATGTTGTTGTGCGCAAACACCTGGATAGCAGCGCCCGAGAGACGCGCACCGAATCGGATGGATGCATGGTTGAGCTCATCGGACAGGATCAAACATCCCTTCTCCACAATAGCGGGGAATATGGTCGCATTTGTCACAAAGCCCATGGAGAAGATGACGGCATCCTCCTTCCCCACGAATCGCGCTACTTGGTTTTCCACCTCGACATGGAGCTTCGACGTTGATGCGTCGCCGCAGCTTCCTGACATGCTGATGCCATCCTGTCGAATGACTTCTTCGGCGTTATCGGAACAGGGTCCTTCGGACTGGGCAAAGCCAAGATAATTATACGAGCTCAGGTTCAGCGTGTCTGTGGTTGTCCCAGTCAATTGGAAGTTGAGGTTGTCGTCGTATGACTCCCGATCGAGTAAGGTGATGTATCTTCCGGGAACACCCGTCGTAGGCCGTTCAAAGCAGTCGTTGATTCTTTGCTTCAATCGACGAGTATAGAAGCTCTCAAAATCGCTATACAGCGAGGCATAGCCGTTGCGCGGCCTCAGATGTCGATAGGTGTGGGATCGAAACCACTTCGCGACGGCATCATGAAAGTGGCCGAGAAAGATTAGAACCAGGAAGCTGATATAAGTAGTTAGAGCGATGAAATATGGCGGCTCATCGAGAACTGGGTCGGCGATCTCTCCGCCAGGGTGTTCACTGGTGTAGAGATGTGAAGGATCGCCCAAAGGGCCGAACTCGGCATGCTGTTTCGCGAGCCTTTGGGCCTCCGCGGGGTCGGGAAGCGTCTGGCTCGAGGAAGGTGCCGTAGCCTTCGTTGGGTCAGGAGAGCCACCAGACACTGCGCGAAGAGAAGCAATGGCCGTTGAGGCAGCTTTCGGAACCGGAGAACTCTGGAAGCTGTCGGCCAAGGCAGCAAAATTATTGCGCGTGGTGATTGTATCTTGACCAGAACTGGATTTATCTCTGCGTCTCCATCGCGGCATGATGAAGGGCTGACTTGGACTCTGCGCCTCGCGAGATGGGAAATTGATTGACAGTCCAAAAGGCCAGTGCCTGGGTTGATCAGGAGAAGAAGAGAAACAGCTTCCGCAGTACTCTCAGGCTCCGGCGAGTCGCGGTCATCGACCTGGCGGATTGAGACTAGCGCGGGGGCTCCACCCGGCCAGTCCGGCCTTGTTTGCGGCCGATCGGTGATTGGCCGGTTTGCAGTGGATCCCAACACCGACTCGGAGAGAAGCGGATGAGGTAAGCACCGTCCCAGAAGATCATGATTCCATACTGAGACCCATGGATGGTTCATGGATCTGGCAGATGCACTCACTGGGCTTTAACAGGCTTAGCAGAGCACGCTATCAATTCTTCTAAAAATTGCACGGCTTCGAGTCTTCGTGCTTAAGAAACTACGATCTAATCTACGAAGCGGTTTCAAGGAAGACTACCCCCGAATCTCAAAAAGAGACGCCGAAGGAAAGAAGGACAATGAGCCAGAGAACACGCTTTGTCTGCGTCTCGGACACACATGCCTATACCCCATCTGAAGCAGGATTCAAACTGCCCGCCGGCGACGTCCTGATCCATGCCGGGGATTTAACCAACCAAGGGAGCAAATCTGAGCTCCGCAAAACGATGAATTGGATCGCAGCCGCCGACTTCGAAGTCAAAATCGTCATCTGTGGTCAGTCATCTCGCTTCTCACCTTAAGCAACTTCGAACCCGCTGTGATGCTGAAGTCGAATGCGGATCTCAGGTAATCACGACATCACGTTGGACGCAGCCTTCTACGCCGAGCACGGGTCAAAATTCCACGGCCAGCATCTCGAAGATCCCCAGGAATGCATGGATGTCGTGATCAAGGCATCGCCATCGATCGTGTTTCTCAGGCACCAGTCAGCAATAGTCCGCTTGACCCGGCCTGACGGTCCAAACACCGTTTTCAAGGTCTTCGGTTCTCCATTCTCCCAATCCCCCGGAACCTGGGCCTATGGGTACGAATCCACCCATGCGGCTGCACTCTGGGATCAAATCCCATTGGACGCGGATCTTGTCGTCACCCACACGCCGCCTCATTCTCACTGCGACAGCCGAGCGGTGGGTGCGGTTGGGGTTGGGTGCAAGGCCCTGCGTCAGGCGTTAAGTAGGGTCCGACCGTTGCTCGCGGTGTGTGGCCATGTCCATGAGTCGCGAGGCTTTGAGCGAGTGCGGTGGTCGCAGAGTTCGGCGTCGTCGTCACCTTCCTCGAATGCGAGGTTCAAAGAGAGCGACGAAGACCAAGTAGTCAAAGGGGAGTTGCCTGTTCCGGGAAGTAAAAAGCAAAGCCTCGTCGATCTGACGGGTAGGAAGGCTCAACGCCTCGACAATCATGGCTGTGCGACGATCGAGTCTGGGATGTCATCGTCTCAGGATACCTTGGCCTTCCCGTGCCCTATGGATCAGCCACTCCCACGCTCTCGCGCACACGAGCAAGAAACAAAATCGCCGCCATCCTGCCCGCAGCCCGCCAGGCAGAAACCCCGACCGCAGCGACGGGAGACGTGCATCGTCAACGCGGCGATCCTCGCAACCAGCTGGCCACACCGTGGAGGGAAACGCTTTCACGCTCCTATCGTGGTCGACCTGGAGTTGCCGACTTGGGGGGAGCCACCAGGACCTGCGACACTGAAGAAGTCTGGTCCGGGGCAAATGTGATCTCATTTCCCCGACAACGCAACGATTGGATTCCAACGATGGAATTCTAGCCCGGCCTGCAGCAGATAGCTTGAGCTTTGACCCGGGCAGGGTTGACGTACTGCGTATGGTTCGCCCGATGGTCGCTGCATGGCTGCCTTGGAAGAGGGGCGGGGAAACACAGAGAGGATAGCGACAGGATCTGTCACTTTGCACCCTTGTCTAGTTGGTTGCTTTACCCTCCCCCTCGATCTTGAGGGTGGAAAGCGTTGGTGGTTGGGTTGAATGGAAAGAATAACACGGGGATGTTATTACATCATGGGAGTCATCAAACCGACACCTCTGCAGGGAGTGGCAGCAAGGTGTGCTCATAGGTGACGAGATGCCGATTGAGTATTCCGGCCCTGTTTCAGATTCGATGATGTACGACATCGAACGGCGCAATCCCTTGGAAACCAGACGGGCAACAAGTCATCGAGCCATCTTATACCGAAACAACGCCGTCCTACGTAGTGGTCCTGCATTCTTTTCTTCGTCACCTGTCGATCCAATTTTCCACGACCCGGATCATGACATGATCATGTACCCCCTTCTCCTCACGGGAATCCGCATCCGACCAACATCTCATCTCCAAAGGTACGAAAAATGCTGTAAGCGCCCGAGCGAGCATGACCGACAACGGAGTGGGATCCAGTCCTGCACATGATTAGCGTGGCGGCTAATTGTCTCTCGCCTCTGTACGAGCATCCAGCTGTACACCGGTTGGAAGTTGGATACCTAAGGTAGCTAAGTAGGGACCTAGTGAAAGTACTGGACCGTAGGAGATACATGCGGATGGAGGGAAACAAAGAACGCAACAAATGGAAGTCAGCGAGTAAAAATAACATTAAGGTTCCCACGACTTTACTTTCCACCCGCAGCTGAAAGTTGGCCCATGGACCATGGTACCTGAAAAATAATAATAATCAAATACGATTAAAAATAAAATTAAAAATTAAAATAAAACAGGCACATTCCCCCAACAGGGGCCAGGAAAAGATACTCCAAGGGTGGCAGACGAAGGGTGACACAGAAACCCTCAGCTGAGTCGAGGGTCAGCGGGGCTGCTCAGCGCATCTCATCTGCGCGGGGGCTTGGCGGGGCTGGGTTGGCCTGGGCAGGCGCGTTAACCTGGAATATTAAGTAAGCTTGGTCTTTTAACTCGCCGACTAGACCCGATCGGGGAGTTCGTTCAAGGTGGGGGTGGGTTAATTTAGTGGATTAAAGTCCCGGTCTAACTGAGCCTAGCTGCGAAACTACCGAATCGAGTCCTCTTTTTGATCCTTGATCCACGCATCCTGCGACGGAGCATGTACTGCGTAAGATGGTTCGATGGTTGGATGGGGGGTTGTTGCTCACGTGTTGTGTGACTTGGACTGCTGCCGGTTTTTTGTAGGGTATACTACTAGGTAGGGAATAGTGGGTAGAAGGAGGACGGTGGACATGCGGACTGATGACAGTTTCGTATTCCATTGCAAATATTTCATTGCAAATATTAAATCTTATCCGATGTCATATATCTCGTTTACTGGAAATGGTTAAAGAACGGGATGATATACACAGAAGCAGGTACATAAGGCTGGAGAAATACGGAGGATCGAGCATCTTGAATGGGAAGATTACGAGCTAATCAATACTAATTCCAATCTGACGTCGTCGTAGCTGAGGTACATAAAGCTTACCGCAGGCTGACTCGGAGCATATGAGTAACACCATCCGCACCACGAGGAGGCAGGAATCTCCCCCTTGTCGGACTATGTCCTACGAGCGTGGAAAAGTCAGTTAATCACCCCCCCCCCCCACATCAAGGGCTGATATGTGAGCCAGCAAGGTACGAGGCCGATCAGCCAAACGGAAAACGCCAATGACGAAGGAATGATCCGTCAAACCTCATTTCCTAAACGGGCAAATGAGCGTCGCGGGTCACATCCAGACGGTCAGATGTACAGGACACCGCGACCCCCATGTCGGACGGCCTCGAGGCTCAATGAAACCAGACTAATATGATTACGGATGCACAATGCGCATCCCTAGGCATTGTTGGTTGGCGTTATCAGCTTCCAGAGAGAGACGGCCTCGATCCGCCAGTTATTATGATACGAGATGGGAGCCTGGACGGAAACAAAGACAGGCCATCCATGCCTCTCCCTCCTTCTCTCTCCCCCCGCATCGGACGTATGTGCAGGACGATTTAGACTTCTCAATAGAGTTTCCCGCATCACTACCAACGCTTTTTCCGTTGTTCGAGACAAGTCACAGAATTGTGCCTCATCTTTGCCAGGTTCCCGGCGTCGGAACCGATGATTGGCGACAGGAGGCCCGGAGTGTGAAGCACTAAATCCATGCAGTCTAATGCCGGGACAATCATTGCATGGCGCGGATGGTTGGCCCTGTTCGTGGAACGGGCCCCCATGTGCAGATGACTTCGACTAGGGTCCAATTACGCCTTCGAGAAAGATCGGTTTGACGGAGATGGGTCACGGATTACGAAGGGCCATGGTCCAGCGAGGTGGGACAGGCAAAACCGAGGTTTCAAGGTCGATACTCGGCCGGAGATCAGAGAGGTGACTCGTCCCATCCCATGCCTTGTCCTCTCCCCTCGTAGTGATACCTACGGAGAGACGGGATCAGTCTGACCGACCCCCGGCTGTCCGGCACCATTGGTCAGCGTCGTTCTCGGTCGACAGTTGCTCAAGAGCGCAAGAGAAAAATCGCGCTGGTTGAACGCATCAAGCCCGTCCGGTCTGGCCGTTAGCCGACCGAGGTGATAGATCGACGTGATTCGAAGCCCTCTTCCCTGCGGCCGCGACTCGCGAGAAAATGTGACGAAAGGCAATCTTGTGACAGCAATAGCCGCCCGGAGATATGTACGGGTCAGTTCCAAACCGGGGACACCAGGTACGCTGTCGATATCAACCCGGCAACGGAACCGACCGGGAATGATCCATGGGACTGTTGCACGCGGAGTCGGGGCCGGATCGTAACATGGCTTTTTTAGCCCACTTCTGCGCTCTGGAAGGAAGCCAGGCACATAAAACACGCATCGGCGTTTCTGAAGAAGTGTGGCGGTGGTCCTGCGTGATAGCTGATTCCAATAATAATAACGAATTCAACGTCACCGAGCAACGCTTACAGTTGGTCCTGCTGTAGGGGGTCGGAAGGTGGGGAAGCGAGGTGCGACGGGCCAATTCGCGGCTGCAGAAACTGCAGCATCATCCCTGGGTGAGGCGACCATATGGAGACGCACAGGCAATCTGAGGGAGGGGTGGATCCTTGGAGAATGGATCCGCCGGGGGGTGTGATTGGATGACAGGTTCCTAGTCGGGGAAAGGCAGAAAATGACGAGGCCGCGTCGGCCTATGAGAGGGGGCGAGAATGCGTGAGATGGTGGGAAGCGTTGCAGAGCAGCGAAACCGTGCGGGGTTTGAATTCGACAAGATGGAAGATAAATGGAAAATAATTAAATTACCGGTGCTCACGGGCCAGACGGAGGACTCTGATTAGTTGATCCCGGGGGATTTTCCAATTCCTCCAGCGAGCAATCACCATCCGCGACGGCGGGGCCAGAAAGATCAGGGTGGGCTGGTGACGGCCGTCGCGCTGCTCATCTGCCCGCCAGCCCGTTTGGGAGGTAAGGATGATGACCAGCAGGAGGGTCACTCCGCCAGACATCCTTTCCCTTTCCAGCGCAGGGTTTGAGGCGAGCCGAAGGGAGGCGTGCTGGCCAAGCGCCCCCTTCGAAGCTGATGGCGATGACACTGACTATCCCCGACCGAGAAAGAGCGAGATACTCCGTAGTCTAGAGAGTCGGAGAGAGGAATGTATGGTGTCGTTGGGTATTTGTATCTCATCCGTTCCTGGCCCAGCCCACGCTGCTGCATGCTCCGGTTGGAGTTCCCAGCTAGATAGATGCATCAATCTTCCCATTGCTATATCCCTTCCGCCGTCTTGATCCATGATTCATTGATTGCCGGATTGATTGATCTGAAACCACACCCGATCCGTCTTTCTTCATCGTCGTGGCCAACAAATCAATGATTGACCGCTCTTTACCTTCCTTTGCTCTGCCCTTTCTCGCCATTATTCTTCTCCCTGCCGCTGCCGTTCCTTTGTTGCCGAAAGGTTGAATGGAGTCCTTGCTATAAAGTCTCCATCGCGGGTTTCATCCAGGCCCCAGTTGCTCCGCCCATCATTCACCGCTGCTTTGGAGAACTCAGGCAAGAACAGGCCCAAAAAGGTGGGCCGGCATACTCCTCTACCTAATTCGATGTTATTCCCCTCGATGCCATTTCGATTATCCGGTTCGATTATTCCTTGAGTGGACTGCGATCATTATTATCTCATTTTTGCCTGACAGCCCAAACCCTATCCCTACGATCGTTCGGCGTGGCATCATCGAGCGTCTTCCACCAGGGACTGCTATATTATTCACCACGACGGAGTGGCACAATCTGCCTGGTTCTTATTCATCCATTGATCATCCAGTCCTTTGAGCCCGTCAACGTGGTGCCACTTCATCGCATCCGTTGTTCTACTTTTATCCTAGTGCCTGTTCCCAGCGTGGCAGTGTGCCCGGAGGTGTGACTGGCCCTATTTATTTTTATTTCGATTATTTCTTTTTTGCCCCTCGGTTTTGTCCGCCTGTCCCGTAAAGCAGTTACCGCCCAGGCATCCATACCGCAGCGCAACCACCCAACCAAAACCCCCGACCGACCGGGTACTTTTTCGCCATTAATACGCCTCTGAACCTTTCCCATTACGGGGCAAACACACCGAGCCAAAAACCTCGTTTCTCCCCCTCTCTGCAGCCACCACCCAATCACCGCCGGCTGCTCTCCTTCCCGTTGCTGGGCCGGACTGCCCGTTCGCTTTGCCTCTTCCGTTCGGTCCTTCTGTTTGCCTTCCACGGCCTTCCCCTGGCTGTGCTGCCCATTTATCATCATCCTCGATTTCCCTCCCGGCGATTTCCTCGCGACTTGCTGCATGATCTCTGGATCTCCCTGGATCTCGGGGGCTTGCTTACCATTTCCCTCCTATTTTCGCCGACCTTCTGCAAAAGCAAGGCGCTTCTCTGGCTTGCTGTCTCTGCGATGAACTGATCCTTCGTCACGGGATCCCACGTCACCGTCACCCCATTCCCACCCCCCAAACTGGCCAGTCAATCTGAACCACCCTGATTCATTCTCTCGCCTCGCCCGCCGCCTTCGCCCCCCTTCTCCCGGATTCTCTTGTGTCTCTATATATTATCTCCCTCTCGCTTGAAATACACGCCAATTCCGCCTAATTATTCCCCTCCCCAGAATCCTTGGATGGTGAATATATGTTGTTCAACCGTTTGAACTATATCTCTCACCATGTCATCCGCACCCGATATCGATCCATATGCCGTGTTGGGGGTTCAGAAAGATGCGACGCTACCCGAAATCAAGACCGCCCATCGAAAGCTCGTGCTGAAATGCCATCCCGATAAGATCAAGGACGAGTCTCTGCGAAGTAAGGCTCAGGATCAGTTCCAGAAGGTCCAGCAGGCCTACGAGCTTCTGTCCGACGATGCCCGAAGAACCAAATACGACCAGAAGGTTCGCATAGCTGAGCTCAAGCGCGAGATGATGGCTCGAGGAGGAATGCCGTACTCGTCCCCGCGGGCTTCGAGCAGTGCTCGGGAGTATCGCGATGGGCGCATCTATGAGGAAAGGGCCCCCGCCGAACCCTTCGATGATGAGATACCCTTTACCGAGGAGCCGCGCACCACGTCTCGCAAGTTCGAAGAGTTTGGAAAGCGCCGCAGTGCGAAGCCTACCGAAGAGAAGAAGAAGACCAAGAGCGTTCCTGTAAGTAACGTTCGTGCCGCGAAGGATACCGCTCGCGACAGCGCGAAAGCGACCCACTCCAATCGGGCCAAGTCCCGTACCAAGGAACGGCGACGGGAAGTCTACGAGAAGAGCCACGAGCGGGTCTATGGGGATTCCGACGATGATGGCGCTTCTGACTCCTCGGCCTCGTCTGTCTACGTGCGTGTCAAACGTCCGTCGGAGTCGAGGCGAAGCCGGGAACCATCCTCTCGAAACCCCAAACCTACGGAATCTGCTCGTCGGAGTAGTCCACGCTATGAAGAGGACAACTATGCCGGCGAGTGGGAATCCAAGCACAAAACCGCTAAAGATTACATCCTCCGCTCCAAAGGCAGAGCCCCCGTTGAGACCGATGCACGCCACCGCTCTTCCCGCTCGCCTCTTCGCCACCGTGACTACGAGTCGGCCGAGCCGGAATCGTCCTCTTCCCGACGCTCTGGTCGATCTGCGCGATCCAGCAAGGAAACCGTGCGTGGGTCCTCCCGCCATGGCTCCTACGAGCATCTCGAGCCTCAAGCCCGGCCCTACGAGCAGAAGGTCCCAAGTGTGCCAACGGCCGCTACCGCGCCTGGAGTCAAGACTTCCTCCTCCTCTCGGCCTTCTCTTTATCCTTCGCGATCCGCAACCACCCATTCTCACCCCCGATTGAAGCGAGAGGGCACGAGTCGATCAGAGCAGGTCCTCCTGGGTATGGCTTATCCGGATGGCCCTCCTCGAACTTCCAAACTAAGAAGCGGCGACCGATATGATTCAGGCTACTCCAGCCCGGGTACTCCGGAAATGCCTAACGGGGAAAGCCCGTCGAAGTCTTCGTCTACTCGCTACAAGATTGTCACCGAACCAGACACAGTTGTGGTTGAACCAAGCATGCCATCACCTCCTCATCCTTCTCCAAAACGCGCGCAAACCTACTCGCCTCCTCGTCAAGAACGCCCGGTCCGGCCGACTCCCAAGCCGGTCCGGAGTAGTACGACCTACAGCTACAAGCCGGACGCATCCAATCGCTACGAAAGCACTCGACCTTCCACCTCTCGACAGCCCTCATCCCGCCATCTCTTCGGCGAGGTAGAGTACGGTGCACGCGGAAAGAATGATATGAAGTATGCTCGAGAAGTCGGTCCCGAACACAGCAAATATCCCACTCGTGATGCCCGCGATTCCCGGGATTCCCGGGATGCGTATTCCCGGCATGTCTACGACGACTACCGCAATCCCCCCATGGGACGACGACAATCAACTTACGCGTAATGAATACATGATAACGACAGTTTATTTGATGTCCCATGGAAACAGACATGACGCTGCATCGTTTTACCAATATTGTGATTTTAGTACATTTTGAACGCCTTTTTTTTGATATCCTTGTTCTCTCTTCTTTTTTTTGCATGATTTCTTTGTGGAGCCAACCCCGCATTCTGGTGGCTCAACCTTCTCTGTTGATTGATTGTTCATCAATTGATTCATCTAGATGATACTCGGTGGCGCTTCACTGCGACCCCACCCGAGTCATCGCATCTACCGGCGTCGGATTCATTCAAGACTGGCATTTTCTCTTGATTTGTCTTTTTGTCACCGTCCGCTATTCCCGGGAAATCTGCTCTTTCCCTCATTTCTCGGATCTGGATCCCCTTATCTTTTCACCTATCTTTCTATTCATATCATCCTATATCCATACTCAATTCACCCTGTGCGGCCCTCGAATTTGCTGTTTTTATAACCCTCTTATGACCCTATTCTTGTGATTATTACTACCGACTGGCGCCTGGCTGGAACAATTTGATGAAATTATGTGAAACTGGAGTAGATGGTTTGGTCTCAATCATCTTGTCCTATGATATCTTATATATTACGCAATAAATGTATGGTTGATCATTTGGTTGATCAATCATTTGCCATATCTTACTCTGAAATTCCCAATCGTAAGAATGAAGTACTTTGTTTGACAAGGCACAATTGGACAAACCCAGTAGTGAATACAAATATTATAGTCCTTGATTCAAGGTATACGTGAACCCATCATAATGAACTAGGGACAAGGAACGTACTTTCTCTTATCCTGAAATGCCCCATAGACATGCACCCACATGCAACCCGCGAACCAGACAAACCCCTCAAGTCCTCAAACCTAAACTAAGACACCATTATGAATAGACAGATGGATACGTAGATATGTCGATACCAGGTAGAACAAGTCCCAGCAGACACAAACGCAACACGACACAATCTCGATACGCAAGAGACAGGGGGGGAAGGAACCAGGGAAGGAAGAAAGGCTTTTGCTAGAACCTGAGTTTGTCTACCATGGTAATACGCTAAGTGATTCATCCAATCAAATATAACATAAAAACACAGGGACAAGAACGAAAACCAAATGAAGAAAATTGAAAACGGGAATGAACATATCTAATAGGTAAGTTAAGTAGGGGTGGGTAAAGGTATTTATAGTATGTAGTAGGCTGGGGTTGAAGATTAAAGGGGGAAGGGGGGACAAGTTGATCGCTGATGGTAATGTTCAAAAGGCATGGTTGAATGGATGGAGTATTTCCTTCCCCCTTCTCTCTTCTGATTTCGATTCTTTCTCTTGCAAAAGTTGATGACCCTGTTTTTTTGTTTACGGTTCTGACCAGTCGACTTGGTCTGTTACTGGGTCAGAGCCGTCCTTGGCGTATGAGATACGAAGACGAAGGCGAAGTTTGGGAGGAAGAGCCTAGGACGGATTGTTAATTCGTTTGCTTTATACTGACCATAAGAAAGGAAAACGGAAGACTTACCCCGTTGAGACCCGCAACTTTCAGCATTTGAATGCCTTCCTCGCCGGCTTCGAGCTCGGCCTTGTTGATCGCACTAAGTTGAAGCCGCTGGCTCTTGGGCACCGCAGCCTGGAGTCCAACGTTGGCGAAACTGTTGAAGTTGGACAGGTTCCGGAAGCGAGCCTGGATCTGTGCGGTGGATGAATTGCTTCGTTGCACGGCCAGAGTAAGGTTGAGATCATTCTTGTTGAATGCAGCATGTGCAGCAGGAGCAGGTGCTGAAGGCGAAGGCGAGGGGGCAGGAGACGTGCTGGATCCTAGGCCTCCTCCGAGGAGATCTAGAGAAGAGCTGGCGGGTTGGGAGGGTCCGGGAGAGGGCGTGTTGTTTCCGTTAGAGCCAAAGAGATCCATGATAGCGCTGGTGTTGGTCTGCGCCGGTTGCTGGGGAGCAGGGGATGGAGATGAGAGTCCCGAGTCGCCGCCGAGAATGTCTGCAAGCAAGTCGGCCGTGTTCTGCGACGATCCGTTGCCAGTCGGGCTAGTCGCCGGGGCATCAGAGCCACCCATGAGATCAAGCAGCATATCCTGTTCCGCCTGTTTGGCGGGCTTCTGCGTCTTCGCCTTGAGAATTTTGCTCTGGCGCTTCTTGGTTGGAGCGCCCAGCACTCTCTGTTCCTCACGGATCTCGGGCGGCGGCATCCGTTCGAGGACACCACGGCGGATTTGATCGTAGCCAAATAGGTTGTTATACTCCACGGCTCGCTGTTGGATTTCAACACTTAGATCGGCCGTGCGGCTGTTCAAGAAGCGACGGAGACGCTCGACCTGCGAAGGGTCGGTCATGCGCACGGTCAACTTCATCGAGGCGGTGGTGATATATTCGATAACCGTGGGGGTGGCATATGTGCTGTTGAGAATGTTGTTAAATAGATCGACGATGTCACTATCCTTGATCTCTTTGACTAGCTCCTCTTCCTCGTACTGACCACCCTCAAGCAGATTGTCGGCATACTCGCCAATAACCCAAGTAGCGGCGAGCGTAAGCCCTTCCTGCGAGATATCCTCCTTCAGCGACAGGTAAAGCTTCTGCACGGAGTAGGTTTGCAATTCCGGCGTGGTCGCAATGAGACGAACAAACGACGACAGAATCTGCTCCTTGACATAGGCACCAGCCAGTTTCAGAACGCGGAGAATCGTGTCGACGTGCCAGCGCTTGTTCGGTGCGAAGCGGTCGGCCGCGATCCCAATCTGGGTCGTCATCGCCGGCTTGAACTCGTTATCGGCCACTTCCAAGAAAGCGAGCAGCTCTCGGACGAGGATGCGCACGTTGCTCTCATTGACCAACATGAAACTGAGATCGAGTGCGCGTCTTCTGATACTGATGTCGGGGTCGCGGAGACACTCCAGGATGGTGTTGCGGTGCCGCTGAACGGCGTTGGGTTCGATCGCGACAACCTTGTTCAGCGTGTTGAGAGCAACGTAACGGATGTTATTGTCCTTGTTCGTCAAGAATTTTCCGAGGATATTGACACCCAGGACCCGCAACCCGGAATCGGCCTCAATATCGAGAATGGTGAGAACGGCCTCGTAGAGGATAGCGTTGCCGACGTTCTTGGTTGAATCGGTGTTGGTGGCCACCTGGGCCAAAATGTCATTGATCAACTCACTAGTCGCCGCATCGCCTCTTCCCAGCACGCGAAGGAGACGCAAGATCTTGACTTGAACGAAAGGATCCGTGATCCCGGAGACGTCATGCTCCGGTGCGTATCCGGAAGTCGTCAGTCCCTTCAAGGCACGCACGAGACCCCCGGCGAGGGGCCGGAACATTTCGATGACGCCCTCCTGGCCTTCCTCCGCTTCCTCCGCCTCGCACATATCGATTACCAGTGTCAGCCCGCACAGTAACACGCCATGGTTCCGGTCCGACAAAAGCGTCTTAGCCTTCTCAAAGAAGTGCTCCTGCAGGTCGGGGACCTTGCGACATATACGCATGGCACAAATCGCTGCCTTTCGTCGAATGTAGGGGTTGGCGGTAGACAGGAGGTTTTCGACTTCGGGGAACAAGTCTCGGGACATTTCGACGGAGGCGATATTACCCAGGGCACACAAAGCGAGCCCGACGATGTATTGGTTCGAATGATTGAGATCACTTCGCGTGAGGTTAGCCCAATGTTTGGCAACAGGGAGGTGTCCTGGAGGGCCGCTCACTTTTTTAGTGAGTTGGTAACCAGTGTTAAAACTTCTTGGTTTTCATCCAACAACAGCATTGTGCCCAAATAACCCAAGCGCTTGTCGGCGAAGCGGTGGGACGCCAACAGTTTCAGACATTCGATCTGACCAAAGTGCGTCCGTTCTCCCAGCGTAAATAGATACAGCAGCTTGGCCACATTGTTTCTCCTGTCCACGAGTATGAGATGAGGGGTTCGGAGGAGCATTGAGACAATGGATATAGGTGGAATGCTGACCGGATGCCGGAATCATGGCTTTCTTCCCGGAACGAGGCACGGATGGCGGCGCTCTCTTTTTGAATAACGGCGCGCTCGTCGGCGATGGTCTTGGCCGATCGAACATTTCGGATGAATTGTTTGACTGTTCAATTGCCATGGCAGAGACAAGGCCGACGGGGTTAGTCGAGGAACAAGACGATAGGGGATGGATGCTAGGACAGTGTGGGGGTGGGCAGGACAGAGAGAATGTCAACACGTACGGGATGCCATGGCGGTCACAGGGACCCCCAACGGGGACACTGGGGAGACAAGAAAAGGGGATACAATGAGGAGCGACCCAGGGTCGGGGACGAAGCAGGAGAAGGGCGAGGGCGAGGGTCGCAGGCAGGCGAGTGACAGAGACGTAGTTTACTTCGTTCACGTTGAGCCTCGTCCCGTTGCGACCTGGCCGTCTTGGCACCCGCCCCGATGCGGTCTAGCGGCCCCTCGTGTGCCCGGTCGGGGGTCTGCCACGTGACGCGACTGCGGCCTGACGGTTCAGGCAGCGGGCGTCTCCTGGCGTATTCGTATGCAGCTCGGAGTGGGACTAAAGAGAGACAGGGGAATTTAGATTACTCCTGAGTTCTCCGTACGATGTAGGCGGTTGAGCTAGAAATACTCCATAGTCTATATGTAATCTATATGAAGAGCAAAAACAAAAACCAAAAAAGAAATGCTCACACTCGGATTCGAACCGAGGATCTCATGATTACTAGTCATGCGCTTTACCAACTAAGCCATGCGAGCCAACTTGTTTTTAACCCTGGGTTTTACGAATTATCAAGGTACTCACCGTAAAACCAGTGATCTCTGAATCTCCCTCATTCACCCCTTCATCTCCATCTTGTCCTTGTCAAGATCACTCGGTCAATTCTCAAGACACCTCGACCATCCCCCACCAAAGAAATCATGTCCACAATCAGACCCTCCATCCGTGACTCGTATTCGTATTTTCACCCTTAATAGAAATAAGGATACTAAATCGGCACCTCGGCGAGTCGGCGAGTCCGCGCCGGCATCAGGTGCGCCCCATGACGTGAGAGCTGCTGCTTGTTTTCCTTTCCGGAATCCCCTCGGAGCCTTGACTGACGCTGGCCGAGGATTCAGAGGGGCTGTACGGTAGATCCGCGCCCGCGAAACGTGTCAAAAGATATGTCCGCATCTCCTGCGCCTCCGACCTCCTCCCAATCGCTCTGGTCCCAGCTTGGTCGTCAGCCTTGTAAGGATCCACATAGGCGGCACTATTTCCATCCAGTTCCCGACCCTTTCCCCTTGGACGCTGTGGATGCCGAGACAAGCTTTGCCATATATAGTCTCTCTGCTTGCCCCTTCTCTTCCGTTGGTGCATATCTCCCGAAAGGAAATTTACTCGTTCCGGGGATCAATGTGAACCAAATCCCCCTTTCCTGGTGCTCTTGACTCCGTCAGCAGCATGTCTACAGCCGTCTCACAGCCAAACGGCTCTCCGGCGTTACGACCCCGTACACTTCTCGCGAACAAGACCCCCGAAGATGCCACCAACCTACAAACTCTAGAAAAAGTCGGTATTGATTCGAGGTAAGAGATCTTCGATATGCTCGGCAGGGATAGCCAGGATCTAAGTGGTAGCTAACCTGAGATGCTAGTGGTCGCTCGACTCCTATCTCCGAAGATGCCCCCCCTTCGCAACATTCGTTGTCGACTGCACGAAAACAAGCCCGCGCTCGAAATCGCCTCTTCTACTCTATCGAATATGTCCCCCGAGTATCCCACTTTGACCCGCAAAGCGATTATCACAACTTCCGCGGGTTCTTCACCCTCTTTTGGATCGCGTTGTTTATCATGGTGGTGACCACGGTACTTCGGAACATCAAGGATACGGGATATCCGCTGAGAGTGAGGGTGTGGAACATATTGTCGGCCAATATCTGGTCCATGGGATTTAGCGATCTTGCCATGGTGACCACGAGTATGTTGGTGTTACCTCTCCATCGGCTGTTCCGGAACAGTAGCGGCTGGCTGCGCTGGTCGAGAGGCGGCATAGTGGTGCAGAGCATCTTCGAGGCGGCCTGGCTGTCGCTTTGGATCAAGTGAGTCCAGATTGTTCCTTTATTTCGCCCTGTCCACGGAGGACTAACTCGTTCACCAGCTGGCCGTTCATGCTGCGATGGACCTGGACTGCGCAGGTCTTCTTCACCCTCCACACCTTGACCTTTCTCATGAAGATCCACTCATACGCTTTCTACAATGGACATCTCAGCGAAACTGAGCGCCGACTTTCGTCGCTCGACAATCCAGGGTCGGTCTCCATGGATGCGGCCGTTCGCTATCCGGAACCAACTACTCGTCGACCTGTCACCCGCCGACCAAGCGGTCACTCCCGATCCCAGTCTATCGTAGAGCTGCGCGAGGACCTCGCCACCGAGCTGACCTCGCCGCTGGGCCGTGTCACTTACCCTCAGAATCTCACTCTCCTAAACTATGTAGACTACATGTTCTGTCCCACTCTGTGTTACGAGTTAGAATACCCTCGGAGCAAGCAGAGGCGGTGGACCGAGATCGGATTCAAGACGCTCGCTGTGTTTGGATGCATTTTCTTACTGACTCTCACGAGTGAAGAGTTTATTCTTCCGGTGCTGAGTGAGGCTAACAGCCAGCTGCACACAGTGAGCAATGTGACCGAGAAGGCATTGATCCTCGCCGAGTCCATCAGCATGCTCCTGTTCCCATTCATGATCACCTTTCTACTCGTCTTCTTGGTCATCTTCGAGTATGTGCTGGGCGCATTCGCGGAGATCACCTGTTTCGCCGACCGTCACTTCTACTCCGACTGGTGGAACTCCTGTGACTGGTAAGTCCATGGTATTTGATCCGCATCATTCCGACTGCCTCTGACCACTCTCATCAGGCTCGAATTCTCCCGCGAGTGGAACATCCCTGTCCACCACTTCCTCCGCCGACACGTCTACTTCAGCTCTCTTTCGCGCTTCTCCAAACCCGTTGCCATGTTCATCACCTTCTTGGTGAGCTCCGTTGCCCACGAACTGGTCATGAGCTGCATCACCAAGAAGCTCCGTGGCTACGGATTCATCGCCATGATGCTCCAGCTTCCCATCGTGGCGGTCCAGAAGTCGAAATTCTTCCGAGGAAAAACCACCCTCAACGTATGAATCTCCTTCATTTCCCTTGGGATCCCATTGCCCTCCTTACTGACCTGTCCACCTGCCCTGCAGAACGTCTTTTTCTGGCTCTCCATGATCTTCGGTCTTTCTTGCGTAAGTACCACCTTTCCCCTCTCTCTCCGCCATCGTCCGTTCCAGTCCACACCCTAATTTCCTTTCCCTAGATGTGTGCTCTATACGTTCTTGTTTAGAACATCGAAGAAGCCAGTGCCTATCGACACTACACTTGTCGCTTTTCCTCTCCCTGTCCTATAACCACCCCTTCTGTACTATATTCCACTCGTTGTGTATTCTACATACGTATATATACATATACCCTGCATTGTAAACCACGTTGTGCTGTTTACTCGCTACATTACAGATTGTGTTTCTTGATTGAATGTTCGCTCCGTGTGTGATTCATTCGCTGTGTAAATTGCATTATCGATTTGTCTGGGGCTTGGGTCTATATACGGTGAGATTTGGGTTCTTTTTGGTTTATATTAAGAGGGTGGTGTTGGTTTAGAATGCTTTGCTTGTTTATCGTTTGGTTTTAGATTTCTTTTTGGGTTAGAAGTATCTCTCAGATGGCTTTCTAAACTTTGATGGGGTCATATATATTTCAACTGATGCGCACGGGCCCCAGTGTCCATGTTTGTGTTTTTTAATGGATGAGAAGAAAGACAATAAAAGAAGACATTCTATTCAGTTCAATTTATGTAACTCCAAGATCCAATGGAACAAAAAAAAAAAAAAAAAAAGGCTGTTCATGCGCATAGACAGTAATATGAAGTGAAGCCTTGCGCCATCCAAAAAGAACGAAAAAAGAAAAAAAAAAAAAAACCTATAAGTCAAATGGTCTTAAGCAAGCCAGACCAAAGAACAAGATCCAGATGAGACAAAAAAAAAATAAAAGAAAAAAAAAAGAAGGGGACAGGGCAATCTAAGAATGTTGTACGTGTGAATTCTGTTTCTATACAAGCCTCACTTCGATCCTGTTCCCGCACTCTAGAGGTGCTCGATCGGCTCCTCAGGCAAGAGAACCTCCCGCTCTCTCATCCGATCAGGCAGACAGGCCTTCAGCGGCGGGCGAATGATGTCGTTGAACAGGAAGGTTCCGTACACGAGGAGTCCGAAACCGACCACCTGGAGCCATTTGAAGGACTCCCATCCTAGAGCCAGCGAGACGAGCCAGATGAAGAGGGTACGGCAGGTATCGATGGTGCTGCGAGATGTGGCCGAGACGTTTCGAGTGACGGACAGCCCGAAGAAGTTGAACCCACTAAAGATTTCAAGTTAGGTTTTGGGTGCTTGACTCAATAGGAAGCGGGAAGATAAGACATACCCAATGCTGATCATGATCAGGATGCTGGAGACGGCAACGGCGCGATTGTTAAGCACCTGATGCCAACCCTCCTTCGCGTCAAAGTAGCCATAACGACCGGCCGGGGTTTGCCCGACGGAGAAGTATAAAATAATCATTGCGACCACGGTCACAGAGAAACCGAAGATACCTTCCCATCCAACAACTTGCAGAGGGTCCATCTCATAGTTCTCCAGAATCCATTCCTCCAGGACGAACTGGGACGCGGTGAAGATTTGGGCTGCCGCAATCAGAAGAACTCCGATGATGGCCTGCACCGCTTCGGGAGTTCGGGCAACGGCCCGCGCTTGAATGGCAGCATTCATGACGACATTTTCCTGCGTGACGTCGTGCTCATTGTGGTCAAAAAGGGCGCCCGCAAGGCCGACCAACGCGACACCAAGAACCACAATGCAGAGCGAGATCCACTGGTAAAGATACAGCTTTCGATGAAGGAAAAGGACACTGAAGAGGCCCACGAATAGCACCAGAGCTCCCCGGGTCATCTGATAGATACTAGCGGCAACAAAGAGCAGGCCAACGTTCATGAGCGTCGTGCCTGCAATATCGCAGCAGGCCGGCGCTGCAAGCATGAATATTCTTCGACCATGTAGAGGGAGGCGTTGTTCGTCCAAATGATCCGGCTTGGAAGGATCCTCGGAGTAACGAGCCCCATTGATCGTGCCGTCCTCGTCGTCCTCGTCAATGCCGTCATTTGCCCCGACGGGATGATATCCTCCTGCCAAAAGAGGCGACGAGTTGTTACGCGATAATCGCGGAGAGATGAAGCGTTGGTAGAGGAAGGTGAGAAGGACGACTATCCAGCTACCCATTTCACCTACAAACATCTGTGCCCTATTATAGGTGATGATTCAGAGCTGTCAGCGAAGATGCATCATCAAATAGCCAAGTAGAGAAGGGCAGGACGAGGCCTACGTTTGGATGACAGGCTGTTCGAAGGTACGGCGCTCCTTCGGGTCTGGGGAATCGCAGTTTAGGACGCATTGCATGTCCTTTCCAGGGGTTAGCAACTTCGCAGAACACCAAAGACCACCGGGTCATCCAACCTGGTATTTATTGAGGATTGTGTTGCACACCCCGGTCACGAGCATCATCGTGACCAGGAAGGGAATCAACGCCTTGTTCGCCATGGTCGAGGACCGGGTCTGTCGAGTCGTTCAGAACGGATAAGAGAGAGAGTTAGTTGTACCGTAGTACTGTTGTAATCTAGTTCTCCGCGGGGCCAGGACCGATACAGAGGGCCAGAAGGGCATGGACAGATGGACCTGGTCAATATAGAAGGAAGGGGTTTATTGAGAGCCCATCGCGGACAAAGAGAGGCGGGAGGGGAAGGGAAGGGGGATTCGGTCTGGGGCGAGCTTATCAGCAGCTGATCGGATCACCCGCGGCTTGGCGTGTTTGGGCGGTATGACTTGGACTCGGTCACTTCCGGAGTGACGCAAACTTAGACCCTCTTACACTTCCTGCAGCCCCTGGATCGCAGAACTCAGAAGAGTCGACGTACCAGGCAGGCTCTCAAGGTACACAGAAAAATATGCTCAATTGTTTGTTGGCTACCATTCCTTCAACGCTCCGCCTCTTCATTCGCCTTGCCCCATAAAAAACGCCGCGGCTAATCCAACGAGATCGACAGTAAATCACCGAAATCAAGCCAACAAAAGGCGCCACAAACCATATAATAGTAGTAGGTAGAAAGTAAAAAGAAAGAAAGAAAAATTATTGAACACCAATCACAGTGACGGAGGAGCACTCCATCCGTCCTCTGGTCTGACTGGCCCAGATCTTTAATATACATAAATTCATTAATGCATATGTGGATCACAACACGCCGTGCGCCCGCTGAGATAGATCGATCATGCAAACAGTCGGCAAAGTAAATCACCTCGCAATATATTGCCCTTCTCTTTTGTTACATAGCACAGATAGCAATCCCACTGTCGTCTACATTCATAGACGGATCCTTGTGATCAAATGTGTCCCAATCGATTTCTTCCCACGAGTCATTCATCAGAAGCCCGTCTTCGAATCGACCGGGGAGATTGAACCAATCGACTGGAACCCAATTATCATCGGTGCCCTCGCCACTTTTGGCATTCATCTCGTTGGTTGTGGGCATGTCGCCATCCTTGGGGGTCTGCGTGACAACCGCCGTCTCGACCGAGTCCGGGGTGTCCTTAGACTGGGTATTGGTGAACATGTCGGGATTGAGGAATTCGTCCATGGGGCCAAATCCGAGGCCGCCGTCATCGCCAAACTCCATGAACGTGTCATGGATAGCCTCGAGAGAAATGGCGCTCGTGGCCCAGGGATCTTGCATTTGCACGGGCGGTTCCTGCTCCGTGGATTTGCCGGCCTCCTTCCTGTCGTCCTTGGATTTGGCAGGCTTAGCCGTCGAGGCAGGTGCCTTGGTCGAAGCCGCGCGAGGCGTGAGTTGCTGGTTCGAGGCGGGAGAAGCGGTCTTGGGACCAAACTGGCTGGGTACTCGTCCCATCGGAGTTGTACCGGTTGTGATGGGTGTTGTTCCTTCCAGTTTCGGCACCTGCGGAGCCTCCATTGTAGCGCCCTTCCGAGCGGCCTGGGCCCCTGCTTTGTCTTGGGGCTTGACGAGGCTGCTACGGAAGCTCTCCAGGGCAAACTCAAGAGGATCTTCAATCGACTCTTCAACCTTGTGACTCTCTTCCACGTGCCTGTCCAGCGCGTTCTGATTAGAAAAGCCATGATAGTGATACTGGCATTCGGCAACGCTGCATTTAAAGGCACCAGGTAGGGCGGCCGGTGTGGGCTTGGCCGCCTCAGCCACGGCTTGTTTGACCGCTGCAGCCTTAGCACCCGGCGTGCCAGTGGTGGGAGTGCCACCAGCGTGGGATTGCTTTCTCTTCTTTGGCGGAGGTAGCTTGAGTTCTTGCGGGGGTATACTTCCGGGTCCATATGCATGTGGAACGCCCTGTGGAGACGGCGCTCCAAATGGCGCCGGCGGAACCGCTGAGGTAGCCGAAACGGCGGTCTGGCTCGACGCTCTTCGTGCCCGCTGGAGAGCCTCTTGTTCCTGCTGAAGTTGCTGAAGATTGTTCGCATTCAAGGCGGGCATGTTGTTCTGAGCGGTCGGTTGCCCGTTCGGAGGACTCTGCGATGCCCCGGGTCGTTGTTGTTGGCTTACACGGGTGATCATACCGTGGAATAACTTCTTGACATAATTGATGCTCATTGCGAGGTTTTCCGGGGGAACAGTAAAGTGGTCGGCCACAGCCCAATCAGGCCCGGGCTTAAATTGTCGCATTAATTGTATACGCTAAAGATTTGATTGTGTTAGCTGGTAGGCTCTGCAGAAGGGAGGATTTGTGTGATCAAGGACGTACCATGACTAGTAAACTTCGCACATTTTTTTCCTGGTTAGGGATCTTCGCAAAAAACTGGACCAAGGCGTCCATCCTGCCCAGCATATCGATACATTCGCGAAGTTGCTGAGTCATGACGGCCTTCTGCTCCGGTGTAACTGTCACAGGTTCCGCCGGAGGCGCTTGCTTCGCCATGTCATTATACAATTGCCGGATCTTTTCGGGTAGGTTGTTCCATGCTTCGTCGGCAGCCGCTTTGGTGATGGGGGCGCGAGCTTGTTGTCCTTGTCCTTGTTGCCCTTGCTGTCCTTGCTGCGCTTGTTGTCCTTGTTGTGCTTGCTGTGCTTGCTGTCTGCGTATGTGTGCCTCTAACTGGAAGCGTTGCTGCGGCGTCATGGCAGCCAGCTGTTCCCGTGTAAACGGCAGATTGGGTCTAACTGGAGCCGGGGCCGGTGCTCCTTGGGTGGCTGTCGGTTGTGTCGATGCTTGCGTCGCGGGATTTTGCGAATCCGTGGGTTCTTCTTGCTGCATTTTTCTCTTGGGCGGCGGCTTAGCAACAGGTCCCTTTGCACCTTTGCCAGGAGCTGCCGTTGGAGCTTTGATCGGCTGGGCTGGTTGAGCTGGCTGTGAAGTCGGTTGCTGTGCTTGAGGCTCTTGTTTTATCTGGGGCGTGGTCATGGGAGCGGTCACAGGGGGTTGCTGGGCTGGCTGGGTTTGCTGGCCTTGTTGGACCTGCTGGCCTTGTTGACCCTGTTGTCCTTGTTGGTTTGCCATTGTCGCACGAGCGGCCATCTGAATCCATTGCTTCTGCCTGTTTTTATGGAGCAGCTCTCGAAGTTGATCGTCATTAAAATTCTGGACCTGGGCACCTAGTCGCTGGCGAGCCATCTGGATATCCTGCGCGGTGACCGGTCGAATAGGAGGCATGTTAGCTGCAGCCTGCTGTTGGTTCGCGGGGAATGGCTGGGGGTTCCCGAACGGCTGTTGCTGGCCCTGGAAAGGCACCGGCATCCACGCGCCCTGGCCACCTTGGTCTGGATTCCGTCCATTCTCTTTGCCTTGGGCCAATATCTGAGCAAGGTGAAACTTTTGCATAGTCATCAATTTTTGAAGGTCCATTCCGCCGAGAACCTGTTGATTAGCGGCCGCCCATTGCTTGAGTTGGCCCCAGGTTTTGATGTGTTTCGGAACTGGAGAAACCATGTTCGGGTTGTTGCTTAATATCGATGGAGGGAAGTGCAAGCGATCCATCTCCTTGACTTGTTCGGGCGACATTTCTAGCCCTCCACTCTGCTGACGAAGAAGCTGCAGCTTATAGAACTCCTGCTGGCGTTGCTGCTGTTGCTGGCGTTGCTGGACCGACATTTGTTGTCCCTGCATCATTTGATTGGGTTGCGGCTGAGCGCCACCCATCCCGGCAAGTTGCTGCTGTAAGTTTAGGGAGGCCCTCATGTTCTGATTGTTACCCATTTGACCATTTGTCATTTGCTGGTTTTGACCGGGCTGCGACATATTCTGCTGCATGGGCATCGATGGCTGCGTAGCGCCCGCTCGAGCCATGGCTTGGGCACGACGTTGTTGGTTTAGAAAATTATTCAATTGTTCCGGGCTCATTTGAGACAGGTGCTCTTGAAGCCCTTGCGGAAGACCGGCGGGGATTTGCTGTCGACCCTGCATCGTCGGTTGGCCTCCCAAAGGCTGAACACCGTTCGCAGGAGCGCGCGACGGAGGCCGGACCTGAGCAGCCACTTGGGCTGGGGATATCTGACCCGGCGCCATGGGGCGGTTTAGCATGGGCATGGCAGAATTTTGTTGTGACATCTGCTGTTGCATGTGCGGATTGGCCTGGCCAGCCTGCGATATGGCTATTTGCGCCTTCTGGGCGGCTTGCGCGCGAGCTTGGGCCTGCGTCTGAGCCTGCGTCTGAGGGGGAAATTGAGTAGGTTGTTGTGTTCGGTCCGGCTGAACAGCTTGAGAATTTGGCATTTGTTGCTGAGAGAAGAATTGTTGCGGATTCATTCCTGCCCCGTTCATGTTGGTTTGTCCACCTTGACCCAGTTGCTGCCCAACCTGGAACATGTTCTGAGGGTTAAAGGGCTGCTGGTTCATCTGAGAAGAGCTGGCCGGAACCACCAACTGGCCGGCTTCCTGCGAACGTAGCCCATCCGCTTGTTGTCCTTGGATATTCTCAACATTGCCAATGAACGATGACGGATCCAAATGTTGTTGGTTATTGGCCATGGGGAATGCTGAATTGCGCTGAAGATTCATCATGTTTTGCAGCATTTGCCGCTGCTGGGGGTTCATCATGGGATCGTTCATCATCGCAGCTGGGTCGACCCCGGCGTTCTGCGCGCGGTTTAGCTCCATTCGAGCGCGCTTGTGTCTCCTCAGCTGTGTCAAGGCCTGCGATCGGAAGAAATAGGTGACCGGATCAATGTTCTTCCTCAACAGGTATGCTTTCTGCTCGGGGGTCATGTTCTGCAGATTCATCTTTATTTTTTCCACGTCTTCCTGAGAAGTCTTCGAAATTATTTGGTCGGCGATCCGGCAGACATGGTCATATTCTTGGGTGGTTAGAGAATTGAGATCGTCCGTCAGCGAAGGGCCCCCATTGGGCCTTGGTTGCGACCTTTGTTGTTGCGGTTGTTGCTGTTGCAGCATAGTTTGCTGCTGCTGCTGTTGCTGCTGCGGCTGCGGTTGTTGTTGGGGTTGTTGGCGAGGCTGCATCGACACCTGCTGGTTCGGATCGTTCATGTTCATGGGCATTTGTTGCTGTCCCGGCATTGGAGAAGCTTGCATCTGGCGGTTCATCTGTTGAGGGAATGGGGATTGTCCTACTCCAGGAATCCCGGCGCCCGGGCCCCCCTGGGGGATCATCCCATTTTGCATGACGGCCGCCTGCCGAGCACGCGTGTCTCGAATATGTATGAGCTTCTCGTTACACTCCTTGTCGTAGTCCACCTGGGGTAAAAAAAAAGAGAGGTCAGATTGAGTTCATCCGTACGCCACCCGAGAGTCGGCACCCACCTTTTCCCGGGCTTCTTTAAAGGCCTTTTGCTCAAAACTCAAAGCCGCCTGGGCTGCGTTTTGAAGCTCGACACGGGGATGTATTAAGCGAAGAGAAGTGAGCCTGAAGGGTTGAGACCGAAGTCAGCTCGGTGTAGCGGGGGAACAAAGGGCGCAGAGAGAAAACCGGAGACAAAGAGGTTCGAGGTAGAACCAAAGCGGTCAACTACCCGGGAACCTTAAGGCGGCGGGCCACTCACATTTGATATACCTTGACGGCCCGATCCTTCACAGGAACTTCGGCCCTCCATCCAGTGAAAGGACCTTGAGACTGCAATGCTTGGGCGACATAGTTCATCATCGCTTGGTTGTTATTGTCGTTCTTCGGCGCTTGCATCTGTCCGTGTGCCTTGGCGCCACCCAACGTCCCCCCACCATTGTTATAAGTTGCGGGATTCATGTCAACAACCCCCCGCGCTCAATGGGGATCGAGGAGCAGTCCGCGCAAGCTTTCTTTGGGGGTCAGCATTCGCTGAAAGGAATGCTAACCTTCAAACCGTCCCGGCGCGTGATCGTCGGAGGGGGGGGGGGGAAACAAGAGTGCGATAGGTGTTCTCTGTTCTGTCCTTTCTTTGCTTTTTTCGGAGGTGTCCTAACTGACGTGGCGGGGAGGAATGAAAAAGCAAGATAGCAGGTGACGGCGGAAAGTAAACGGGAGGGGAGGAAACAAGGTACTGGTGCCGACGAGGTTGTCAAGGAAATTGCGATAAGACTCGGGGCGGGGACGAGGTCGAAGCTTGCGGAGACGCAGGAGGAATTCCAGCGAGTACAATGTAGGAAGTAGTACGGAAGACAGAAAGGCAAGGGGGAGAGAGTAAAGAAAGAAAAAAAAAGGCGTATGGGAGACCAACGCAGCAGGGAAAACAAGGCGTTCGGGCACCAGAGTTCAATCAAGGCGGTTTTGTTGGCAGAAGAGCCGGAGGAGTGGCTTGGGGGGGGACTAAGCAGGAGGGTCGCGGCGAAGGTTGGATCAGTGACAGGGATGTTGCAACTGACGCCAGTCACACTGATCCAGTGATTTGCAGAAAACGGTCGAATCGACGACGGGGTCTCGGGACGACGGCGATGCCAGATCGGAAAATGGAGGTGGGAACAAGAAGGTTCAAGGAAAAGAAAACGGAGAGGAAAGGAAAGGAAAGGAACGAAAGTCAAAAAATGATTTTAGAAAAAAAGGGAAAAAAAGGAAAATCTGCGAGCGTTGATTTCCTTTAGGTTAGAGCGATTTCACGATGTGGATGCGATTTGATCCGTGCGGGAAACGGTAGGGGGAGCAATTAGAGAAAACAAAAATACATGGTCACGATGGACCGGGTTTAGTGGCAGTATTATCCGCGACACTAGAGGGGAACTGCAGGGGAAAGAGAGGAAGACGGAGGAGGGCCGAGGAGGATGGGAAGAGGGTGAGTTGGGCTTACCAGACAAGCAATGAGCGCAGAGACTCTTTTTTAGGGGGGACGGAGAAAGAGACGGTGGTGGGAGTGGAGGAGGAAGATTACCGCCGTTCCTTGGAAGGAAAGGGGAGGGAAAAGGTAGAGTGCGTTAGAGTCTGGAGGAGGGGGAAGAGAGAGAGAGAGAGGGAGGGAGGATGGAATGGAGTGGTAAGAGAACGAGACTAGCAAGAAGATGAGACCGGGCGAAAATGAGGAGGTCCCAAGGAAGAGTAAGAATTAGAATAACACCAACCCAAAATCCAATAATAATAATAGGATGATGATGATAATAATAATCCAGTGGAAGGAAATTGACTTGGTAAAGGAAAAGGAAAGGATAAAAAACAATTAAAAAAAAAAGAAAGGAAAAGGATGGAATTCGAATAAAAAAAATGATACAAAAGAAAAAAGAAAAAAGAAAAAAAAAAATAAAAAAAATAAAAACTGGCTGGAGACGAAAAAGCAACTCAGTAATAATAATAACAATAGTTTAATAACAATAATAATAATAGTCAAAATAATGATCAAATAATCCAATAATAAAGACCAGCCAAACAAGGGGAGACGAGAGTAGCTCGCCGACATGAAAAGAAAACGATAAAGAACGACGGGTTCTGGGAATTTCCCTGGCGCTGGAATAACGGGCTCCCAGACGACGACGAAGATCGCGGCGGGAGGCGGGCACAAAAAAGGCGAAGACCAGAAGGGTGGGCGACTTTCCAGACTTCGCAGGCGTTTTTCCGGATCGACCTGTTGGTCGTCGTCAGTCTAAGTTAGTGACGGGAGCGGATGGAGACCAAAGCGGGCCATCGTCAGGTTACTGGAGGTCGACTACGTCCCTTCCGACCTCGAGGTGCTCTGCCTGCAGACCCTCCAGAGGCCTGCTAGCCGACTAGTCGCGGCGTCGTGTACCTTTCGAGCCCTCCGCGCTGAACTAAAGTCCTACTAGTCACCGTCTTTTCCCACGATTATTGGCTTGGAGTGAAGGAACCGGCTCGAAGGGGACGCAAGGTCTTGCAGGCCAAGACCCGAGTGGTTTCGCAGGATAACCTCAAATCGTTCGTGATCATACACCTCCCGAAGAGTCATGATCCATCCCGTGGTCTTGACTTGACCCGGCCCTGACCTGATCCGACGGGATTGACTCCGTACCAACTTCTGGTTTGTGCCGCATTTAGAGTTCTCCGGCACTTGGGCAGTACTGGAATTTGAGGGACGGAACGAGCCAACCTGAGGTATGACCGACTACCCAGGGTCTGCCTCTCCTACCGAGCACAGTACGAATCGTCCATTTACGCATACGCCGTACCTACGCAGGAGGAGAGCTGAGAATCCCATCATCGGCCGAATGCTTCCCGGACGGAGGAGCGAACGGACTACCCTCCCTTATAATCATTAATCCAAGGACGGCCCCCTCTTAAGGCGGACTAGGGATGGGCAATTTGGGGATATTGATCTATTTCTAACTCTAATTAGCATGACGATCTTTTTTGCTTTCCCTGGTTGGAGGGAAGTAAGACACTTTCGGCCCAATCAGCGGCGTCCCCGGGGCTCCACAGGGTTCTAGATACAGCGACGTACTTTTGCGGTGGTGTCACCCCCCTCAAGGAACCGGATTTCCCTGCAACCTTCTGCTACGCCTTTTGGCCTGGCGGGGTTGTCGATACTTTCTCATTACCTGGCAGCGGACCGACGACGTCGAGAAGGGAGGCGGGAATCGCAGAAGGAGGCGGCTGTCAGGCTCTGGGAATCTTTCTCTTAGGTACTGGTTAGGTAGTCGGTACCTGCTAGGTACTTCCCTAGTTCGGTGCTACCGTACTAGTGGTATTTGCGTTACCCGACAACTTACTTCGACCCGCACCTGCACTCTGTCTCTCTTCTTCGCCTTCTTCTACTCTGTCCGGAGAAAAGCTCACTCGATGGGTGGGCAACTGTCGCCTTTAATCAACTAGTTTAAAGACACACACGAAGATGAAGGAACAACAACAACAAGAATAACAATAACAACAAAAAAGGAAAAAAGAAAAAGGAAAAAGGGAGATCATACTAGCTTGAAATCCATCGAGATGATCGCTCTCTCGGACATCTAATTAGACAGCTTGGCAAGCGTCGAGTTTATTTTCCTGGCTACAGCCAGCACTTTCCCCATCCACACGGACGGAATCCAATCCCAATCCTGCAGCTCCTCATAGCACTGACGGTTTCTGCTGGTATAAAATATGGTTTATGGCTCATGGGCTCCTACCGGACTCTCGCGCGCGCCCTTCATCTGCTGCACACCCCGTTACCCGTCTGCGATCTTTTCCAGTGTTGAGGATAGTGTTGTACGTACCGGCCTTTACCATCTGCTGTGGAGCCCTCATTTCGTACGGATACAGCGTACATCATTGAAAGCGCCAAGAACGCTACCCATGCTAAAGGTACTTCTACGCGTTGTTTGAGTCCAGCGGTCAAGCCATTTTTAGATTCGCCTGACCTGTCCCACAATCCCGGGCATCGTTTTCTGGTTTTCGCTTTCAGGTGGCATGATTCAGACTCGCTGCGGCAACCTAGACTAGGTACATGCTCGATACTTAATGGCTGGGTTTCCTGCCACCGGTAGAGTCTGTATTGGGAGAGGAATAGCTGGCGAGCAAACCCGCTGAGTGTTGACGCTTCCATCCTGAATATTGAAGCCTACTGTTTCTATGTTCTATTGTCACCATTACTACTGCATTCAATTGCAACCGAAGAACAAAGACAGGTATACTCGCCCATCGTGTCCGGAGGGGTGGTTAGGCAATGGCGGGAAAGCGCTGCTGGCATGTCACAAGAAAATAGGCGCCGAAATTGGCAGATTCCAGAATCCCGCGATTGGCTAAATAAACCCTCATGAGATTTGAGACGGAAACCAGAAAGCTACACTATTTGGCATCTAGTCTGAGACAATTCCGGGGTTCATTATGTCGCCGTTTCGTGTGCTATAAATCCGGGCGTCGCTCCCGTCGCATCTTCTACCTGGGATGCTATACTGCCATGCAAAGAGAAACATTGCGCATCGCCCAAGCTGCATATTATTCGCATCACTAACCAAGGACCCGCGTCTTGAAGTCTTTGTCAAGGAGCTCTGGTAACCATCCAGATAAGAATGGTCGCTAAGCGTCTCTTTGAGAGGCTTAATGTCTTGATTATCATTTATGGGTGGCTTTTAACTTTGTGGCTAGTATGCATCTAATAGGAACTGTTTTGCAATCTATAAAAAGCACCACCTGATAGTTGAGCCATTCGATTTCACGGAGGGGGGTCTCAAAGTGATGGCTGCGAGGTTTCAGTCGTACTTCGGCAGTTGAAATAAATAAAATGGAAAAAACCATTCGCAACGTCGAGTATCTACCTAGGTACGTGTGTAGGTGGTGCGCGCGCAGGTCATCGCCCAATACCTTAAATGCAAGATATCTGCCGGTATTGGACAAATGCCGTTTGGTACAATGAGAATGGCATTGACCGATCGAGTGTGATTCTTGCCACCTGCATACCTGCATATGTTGTAGGCGCAATATAAGGTTGCAAGTCGTTGGTCTTGTTTCATTCAAGTGTGTTACATGGGTTGAATGCCTTGGGACGGAGATCCAATCAAGGGCATGTCCTCCTGGTGGGGACTATATATAGAAGATGGCTGGTCATGAGGGCGCATGGCTTGGTTTTTTTTTCTTCCTTTCGCTTCGAAGCTTTTATTTTTTATTCTTATTGATATTTAATTTTTTTTAGGGGCGCAGTCGCTAGACATTATAAAAGGAATTGTCCAAATGGTTACATAGAAATTCATAATAAAGAGGGGGACCAGAGACAACGAGTGAAACTTTCTGGTGGTACAATCTCCCGAAGAAGATCAGCACCAAAGCTAACACCTGGCGATAAATGGAAAAGGGGAGAATTCATCCCGGCCGCGTTGCGAGGCTCGAGGATCATTGACCCCTGGAAGAGCGATCTACTGCGTCCGATAGAGAACCCGCCAGCCTGGTAAATGGGAAGTAGTGCTCGCCAGGGTTTGCGTGCCAAGCCCCCCGGGAGCCTTGCTGCAAGCTGGAGAATATGGATGCTGGCGGGCCATGCCGCTTTGGGCAATCCTTCTTGCGACACGTGGGGCGCGACTAACAGCATGCCGGCTTAATATTATTATCCACCGGTCTGGCCTTCTGATTTGCCTGCGACCGACTAGTCAAGCGAACCTCGCCAGGTTGACGTCGCTGGCAAATACCACGGAACAGATCGACGGTGCTGAAACCGAAACCGCGCCCACCGGCCAGGACTTGAAAAGTTGCGAGGGAGCGTCGCAACTGGCAAATGAGTACCTGACTATCACGGCCCTAGGCCCCCACCCTAGGCCCGATCGGGACAAGGGCGCCTGTTTCTTTTTCGGGATCCTGTCAGGTGACAGCACGTGACGCGGCTGCTGTCGTCACCAGCCTTCCGCTGCCGTTGGTCAATGTTGGTTATCTCCTGTCAACGGAATGAATGATCGATCCAGAGAGCATCATTCCCAACGCACCCTGCGGATCCGAGTCCCGATTCCACTCACGACGGTCTTTTCTGTCCTCGGGACTGCCCTCCTTTTCCTTCGTTAGCCACCCAAAATCTCTATCCACCGCGGTATTTTTTCTCTCTCTTCGACGTTGTAGATTTCTTTCCCCGTCATGATCACTCTGGATCGATCAGGACCCTGAATTTCTCTTGCGCTCGCTCGTCTCCCCACCTCTCGACCATTCTCGGGGTTCTTTCCCCTCCCATCCAAACGCCATGGTTTCTACATCGCCCATCCCCGTTGGATCTAGTATCTTCTTCTCCTTCACGCTCTTCACGATCTCCGTCCTCGTATTGTTACTGCTCCGACGCTTCCTGACGCTTCGGGCCACCCCGGCTTACCTGATCATCCCCGTTTTCCTCGCGCTCGCGCTTCCTGCGAGCGTCGTCCTTCTGGTCCCCATTGACCTGGCATCAAGCTCGCGCGATGGCGAAGGGCCTAGGGCAATTTGGCTTCCCGATCGGTTGATTCTGGTGTCCTGGCGCATTGCCTACTGGCTGATTTTCGTCCTGACTTGGTGAGTTCCCGCGATCGGATGGCTGATTTCGGTCATGCCTTTCCACACCAGAGAACTAATTCGTTTCTCTTTTTCAATGTGAACAGGGCTATCCTTCCGTTGCTCGGAGAATACATCGATTCGGGTTATCGCGATGCTAAAGGTCGCATTCAGTATTCGATTCGATCCAATGCTCGCTACCAATTGCTTGTCTTGGGCTGTGCCCTCGTCGGTTTGATTTACATTTCGATCCAAAATGGCTTCGAATTCCGATCAATCAAGGCGCTGGTCATGGCTCTTGCTTATGTCTGGGGTTTGGTTCTTGCGATCTACTTGATGGGACACGGCCTCGTTTCCATACCTCGCACCTTGTTCCGTAATGCAAGTGTCAGCGGTCGGTTACGGAGACTCCAGTCCTACGCCCCGCGACTGCATGACCGTCTTATGGATGCAGTGAACGAACTGGAAAGCCTGGAATCGCAGGTGAACCAGCTGCAGCGTCGCAAAACCGGATCTGCGCGAGATTTCCAGGACTGGATTGAAGAGCTGGGCGATGGGTCTAGTGCCCCGGAAGCACAGTCTCTTCTCCAACCCACGGAAGGGTCTGACACGGTACCAGCTGTGATAACGGAACGTTACATGGCCGACTTAACTCGGCGGCTTCAGCGCGCTCGACACCAGAAGGCTCGGTTTGTCGACGAGTGGGATCGTCTAGTGCTGTCCGCCGCAGACTTGCAAGCGATCATCAATTCTTCCGCGTCGAAGAAGCTGGAGTTTAGCCATTCCACCAATCGCGCATCCTTCCTCCCTCGCGTGAAACTGCTGACGCCCTATCTGCGGCATCATGTCTACGTTCATCTTGTGCCCAATATCCGGAGGCTTCTGGGAGCGGTGTTTTCGGCCGCGTCCATCTGTATCGTTTGGTCCGAGTTGATCAAGTCCATAGCACCTCGACTTTCGATCGTGACGCTCTCAGTAGTCTCGTACCACGAAAGCCCGGCGCCTGTAAACTTCTGGAGGCAGGTCGCTGCCTCGGTTTGGCTGCTGTACATGTGTTGGGCGGCCCTGGTGGGCGTCAACGATGCCAAAGTGTGGGGGAACCGGGCGTTGGTTCGGCGCAACACCTACGGCGAGAGTGCCTGCTGGTATGCCGGGTTGGTCGCTCGGCTCACCGTTCCCATCGCCTACAACTTCCTGACTTTTCTTCCCGAGGTGGTCCGTGTTGAAACCACGTTCTATCGACTCCTCGGTCAGTACATTGATCTCATGCCTCTTGGAAAGGGCTTTGATTACTTCTTCCCCGTCTTCATCCTGCTCCCCATCTGCGCCACGCTTTTCAACCTCTACGGCCGCGTAAAGAACGTCTGTGGCTTCGGGCTACTGGAGGAGGAAGAGGAAGACCTTGAAAACAACCCCGGCGGCTACGGCATTGGCGGATGGCGCGAAGGGCGTGACCTGATCGACCGCGAGCTGAACGGCCTCGGATCCCTCACCCTGTCCACCCGCAGTGGTCAGTCGCCCCGACCCACCAACCGCGTCGAGGAAGGTAGTCGGGGGTTCTCGTCCTCACGCACCTCCGGAAGCGAAGCGATCCGCTCTTCTCGGTCTCCGCGAGGAACGGCCCCCGCAACGGCAGCTCTGGAAGAGGACGAGGACGAGGAAAACTTCTTCCAGTCATTCGCACACCGGGTGCGGAACACCTTCGAAACGGCCAGTAAGCCGGAGTGGCTGCAAGGCGACGCCTTCCGGCTGCCAAGGTGGATGGGGAGTGAAGGCACCGATGCCAACGGGGGCCTTGCGAGGTGGTTTGGAGGTCGACCAGAGCCTGGCGGAGTCAGACTTTAGATCATCCTTTTCTTTTTTCTTTTTTCACCCCCTCCCAAGGCTTTGGGTGGCTGGCATGACTGAAAGGCGTTTTTTTGACGAATAGATATGTGACATCCACTTTGTATGATATAACACAAGCACTAGGATAATAGGTATATAACACCACAACTGGTTTACAGCGGGACTTGTGGAACTGCCTGGTTACATCGGAATTAGATAACATATAACGATAGAACTGACCATTTGGACGGTGTGATGGTTGCCTTTCCATGGGAGCACCAAAGGCGCGCAGGCAGCCAAATGGCGCCTAGAAAGCAAGTCAGATGAGCTTGAGCCGCATTCCTAGTCAATAATAATAATCATTATCATTATCATAATTCAAATAATTAAAATAATCGGACTAATAACGTAGACCGCTAGAACGCGTCTGACTGCCAGTCATTCCCCGCCAATTGATCCATAATTCTGGTCCCGTCGAGTGTTTTCTTCATAGTTCCACCCAGAAGAAGTGGCGGTCTCTGTTTAGTTCGTCCTGCGTCTTTCCGGGGAATTGCGGCAAAAAGAGGAAAAAAAAAAAAAAAAAAAAAAAAAAAGAGGAGGCTCTCTCCGCCTTGTTTGCGGCCAGATTGGCGTGACCTCAGCAGAAAAAAAAAGAGGATCTCCGGAAGTCGGATTCCTTTTTAATTTTCCTCTCTTCTTCGTTCTTCCTTTCTTTTCTTTCTCTCCCAACCTCCCCCCTCTTCCCCTCCCAAATCCATGACCCATTTGTTATCGCAGGTCTCTCAGTCCTCTCTGGGCGAGACGTGTGCCTTCTATTTGGATTATATTGCAGGCAACGTCCCCCCGTCGCTGCGCTCGTTGCAGCATAAATTTGTCACCAACACCCTTGCTCCGCACCCGCACTGGATCGCCGACCTTCGTCACGTCTTCGCCGCCGACCAACACCGCGCCACCCTCGTCGTCGTCACTCTTCTTCTCGCCAGTGCCATCGCCGCCGTGGTCATCATGTCGTGGCGCAGCCGCTTCACCAACCTTTGGCCGTCTCGGTCCCCTTACCCGCACGTCAGCGAAAGCGATTATAGCTACATCTCGCCGGATCAGATCGTCGAGCCGCCCTCCCGCGCGTACGACGACCAGGACAACGAGCCCGATACCCTGCTGCTGAAGCACCGTAAGAACACCTACGAGCTGCGATTCCCCGCGTACGCGATCAACGACGGCGTGCTCAGCGTGGGCCAGCTGAGACAGCGGGCCGCGGAGGTGACGCATGCCCCGGACCCGAAACGAATCAAGTTGCTTTATAAGGGGAAGCTGCTGGGCGACGATTCGCTGCCCTGTCGGTCAGAGGGACTCAAGCAGGACTCCGAGGTATTCTGCGTCGTGTCGGAGGTGCGCCCGGGCGAGAGCACGCCCAGCGACCTGTCTGACGCCGAGGTCGAGAAGTCCGCCGTGGGAGGAGATGCGTCCGAGACACCCGAGAAGAGGAAGCGCAATCGCAACCGGAACAAGAACAAGAAGGGCAAGGGCAAGAATAAGGACAAGCGCACCGGCGAGCCCGGCCCCGTGCCCCCGGCAGTCGATCAGCCGAAACCTTCGTCCTCGGGAATGCCACCCCCGGCGCCCAACCTGAAGGCCCTCCCTACCGCGATCGAGCAGGTCTCGGCGCTGGCCGGGTATTTCTACACGGAGCTGGCTCCCCTGTGCGAGGCCTACATCGCCAGCCCGCCGACGGAGCAGAAGGCGCGCGATTTCGAACACAAGAAGCTGAGCGAAACCATCATGGCGCAAGTGTTGTTGAAGGCGGACGGCATCGAACCGGACGGCCAGGAAGACACTCGCAATGCGCGCAAGGCGTTGATCAAGGAAACGCAGTCGGTCCTCTCAAGACTGGATCAAGCAGAGAAGTCATAACCCTCGGGGCCATATCATGATAGACCTATTGGCATGAACCGTTATCGGTGTCATGTTTCCTGTATATTTGAAAGAATCTATGCCCAGAGTTGCTTTATTTACTCTTTTCCATTTTGTTTGTAATTTTGGGAGACAGCGATTGACATTTCTAGCGAAGACGACATACACACGTTCAAGTTGGGAGTACATATGGATTGGCTTTGACGCATTGGCCGTGGCTGATTCACACGTGGCAGTACGCATCGCGGCTCCGATCCACGGGGCTGTCAGCCAGAGCATGGTCCACGGCGTTCAACATCTGAGATACGGTAGATTGCCGCAAAGCTGGTGTCTGTTCGTCATCATTCCCGGGGAATGTCGCACCGTCACACATAGATCGGTCCACGCCAGCTGGTATCACAATATGAGCCGGTCGGGGAGTCTGGCCAGACGACGTGGTCCGTCAACGTACACATGAACTTTTTTTCATGGATGTATGTACAGGTGTGTGCATAGCATCTCCGGCGTAGTATGGATAGTTCATGCCCTGATGCATGACATGACGCAGCATGATACGATGTCTTCTGAAGCTCCCAAATAAGAGGGTCGGTGTGGATCCTTAGGTAACGGGAATCGGCCAGGGGGCAGGAGATGGGTGATATATCCAATACATGCCATCCAATGAACTCGGAGGATTGAAGGGAATAGTGCAAAAAGCAAAGCCGAGGGAGGGGCAACGACCGGAGGATATGTCACATCGCCCATGAGGCGGAGGTCTGCTTCATGTCATTTTGGACCGATCGACCGGCGTTGGACGGAATCGTCATGCAGGAATCGGAGCCCAAAGGACAAGCCGATCGGATGGGCAACGAATTGCAGTTTAGGGGAGGAAGGGACGGATTAAGTTGAGACGGCTGTGAGACATCACCGCACAGGCTATACTCTCCTCTGCTATAGTCTGTACTCTGTAGGCAAGGCGGTGACATCGACGGTCTCCAAGAGTACCTGGAAACACGCCGCGGCGAGCAGAGTGGGCGAGGTACACTTGGGCGAGAGTTCTAGGCTGTCTCCACCACTAGCGCCGCTGTCTAACTGTCTAACTGGGATCGCGGAAGACTAGCGTGGCTCTTCCTTGTTCCTTCTTTTCCCTCGTCTTTCTCTTTCTCTCCCTCTCGCTCTCTTCCTTCGTCTTCCATCTTTTCCCTTTCCACTTCGAGCGACACCGAAGAGGAGAGACAGGAGACGGGACGGATTCATCGGATTGATTGATTGCTTGAATTGAATCTCTTCTTCCTTTAACCGTTCTCGCCCGTCTCTGCCCCATCGTGCCCGCCCATTCTTTCGTCCACTCCTTTTCTCTCCAATTTTCTCTTCCCCTCTTCCTCTTCCCCCCTCCCCTTTATCTATCTCCGTCACTCTCTTGATTCCCTCATTGTGTCTTGGTTTTATTGCATTTTTTTTTAACTCGCCTTTTTTCATCTAATATTTTTTCCCTTTCATCCCGAGGCGACTGACGACTATTGGGGTCCTCTCCACCTTTCAATCTCCTAGTTTCTAGCCCCGGAGATTCCCTGGCTATTGATCCCTGGCCTATAACGGCTGCCGGACCTGAGGCACATCCACGGTACCGCGTCCGGAGAACCAACGCGCGCACCAGCAACCGCAATCATAAATCAACAGCTGTCGGAGACAAAACAGGCTAATCTCCACTTGGTCCCTATTTACAATTTACTCTTTCGGGCCGACCTCACGTCCTTGCTTCCACCCCTTTTCCGTCCCGACTACGAGCTCTGCCGACAATCCTCAGAAATTTTCCCTCCTCTTCCCCCTTGAGACCTCCGACCACGCTATTTTCGCAGCAACCGCCGATTGGGATATCAGTTCAGTGACAGTCAGAAAAAAAAAATTGCTGGGTGGTCCGTAGTGCCCTACTGGGATGGCCTGATCGGCAAGATCTCTAGTCAATCTATTCTCCCTAAAAAATTTTGCCCTTCACCATCCCCACCAACCAACGGCCTCCTATCGTCATACCGTTCGACCAAAGGTTCCAGCTGGACTGGCCTTGACTCTCGCTGAATCATCTTGACGCACGCTGGAATGGCGGGGACAACCACTGCAGCGTATACCGCAGATGTTTGGACGTCACCCAGCACTGTAGACGGGGGTCAGAACCAGTGGGATTACGCCGTCCCGGTTAGACAGAATGTAAGTATCTCTCGCCCGATGATGCTCCTGCCCTGCCTTGCCCAGATCGATGGAGTATGGTCACGGTGCCCCGCCTACCTGCTTCTCTGTTTGCCCGATGCCGTTGAATATGTGGGGAGCAAACAACCTCCATCGTTGTACTGACAAGTTGCTTGCTGTAGAGTACCGTTCGTCGCACAAAATCTCGATCGTCTCACGATTCTGCCTATACCCGCTCGCGAGATCGTGTCTCTCGAGGATCTCGCAGCTCCTCCGTGTCCAGACATGCCTACGCACATGACCCAACGCGCCGACACGACGCGAGTCTGAGTCGCCGTGCAAGTGAAGCCGGGAGCTTGCGGGCAGCTTATGGTTATGGGCACGACACAGCCAACGCCAGCCATAGCTCGGGAAATCTGAGAGACTCAGTAGATGCGCCGCGCGATGCTCCTCTTGGCCGGGGCGATATGAAGGATGGGATTGGGCTGTACATGAATGATTTCGACCACGAGAACTGGATCCACCGGGACAAATTGGCCAAGATTGAGAGCGAGGAGCTTCACCAGGCCGCGATCTTTTTCCAACGCCGAGGGGGCGGCCTCGAGCCCAGCCGATCACAACGCGGAAGGAATCATGAGTCGAACCACACCCCTCTGAGCGGGTCTTCGGTGACCACGCCGCCCGCGAATGAGGCCACAGAGCCTTGGCCGAACATGCAGGATGATCCGCGGGATATCACGAGCTCCCCGACTTCTTTTGAGCACGGCACCGAGCGCCACAATTGGGACCTGCGTCGGCCGGAGGAGATCGCCGCCGACAAAAACGCTGCGAATTTCTACCAGAATCCTGGTTTGCGCAAGAGCTCGTCTCGGATACCCATCCCGACCGCCAGTCCGGCTCCCATTTCACCGAACCAAACGGGCCGTGAGTTCCCTATGCAACGCGCGCGGGGGCTTACGAATGGAGAGGATGATGCGCTGGCCTTCGGGAAACCACGGAGGGCTAGTGAGCCTATCGTCGTGGACTCTTTGGAGGGCTCGACTCCCCCGGGCGCTAGCAGTCGACCCGTGAGTCGCGGGTTCCCAAGCGGTCAGACTACGTCGGGCAAGAGAACTACCGGGAAAGGAACGGCAGCAACGGGCACCCGAAAGTCGTCGGCGCCTCCCGCCACGCGGAAGACAACTCCGAGAAGTCGAGCTCCGTCTGGAACCCAGCGTCCGACCACACGATCGGGCGAAGGCCGTCCTGCTCACCCCGTCAATCGTCCCGAGGGTGATCCGCCGTGGCTGGCGACCATGTATAAGCCGGATCCGCGTCTTCCTCCGGAGGAACAGATGCTCCCCACTCACGCCCGTCGGATGCAGCAACAAATGTGGGAGCAAGAGGGCCGGACGCCGACGACGTATGATCGCCAGTTTGCTCCGTTAGCCATTGGCCCCGATGGGGGACCACGTCCGGTCGAAGTGAAGAAAGAAGAGCCCCAGAAACAGCCGACATCGCCGCTGCCACCGCCAGTGTCGCCGCTACCACCGCAGCCTTCGTCGAAACCGGAGAATCGGGCGCCCGAAATCTTGCCCACGCCCAAGAGTCCCGATCCCAGCACTCGACCCAGTACAGGAACCGGCTACAGCACCATGCCTAAGGTGCAGGAGCCTCCTCCTGCGGGACTGACCCCCAAATGGAGCCCGCCGGTTGTCACTGCGCAGGAACCCCCCCAAAAGGAAAAGGGATGTGGATGCTGCATTGTGATGTGATATTGTTCCCTTTTTTGATATTACATATTGTTTGCCGATCCTTTGCAAGATACCTAGCCTGGGCTTTTACTTCTACTTTGCGAACTACCTATTTCCTTTCTCTCTCTCTCTCTCTCTCGTCTGTCTCTCTTTCTCGCACGCTCACTCTTTCCAAGACTTTTTATCTTATCCTATTTATTATTGGCTTGTTCATTCAGCGTGCCAGGTTGGTTGGCTTGGTGTTTGTGATCTTGATAACCTTCTTAAGAAATTCTTAATCTCGTGATTTATTTCTATCTTATTGTCGGACCTGTCACATTTGCATTGGCTTGTTTGAGGTTGCAGCCGTGGCAATTCGTCGTTCCTTGCCAGATTCCCCTACGTTTGACATAGTTGATTCCTTTCCCGTTCTGTTAGCCCCATTTGCTTTAAAAAGACTGGTCGAATTCATTTGGCCCCGGACACCTGATCGAGTTCAGGATCATATTGTTGTCGAGTTGCAGCAGCCGGGGACCAAGCTCACGACTTTTACGAAGCACTTTCTTTCGCGATCCTTGTTTGCCAAATTGCATCTATCGTTGGCCGAGTTGTATTGATTTAAGCAAGGACCGAAGGAAGATTGATATCAGCGGATTTATATAAGCATTTGAACATGGCGTGGCATCCTCCGTCTAAGACTAGAACACTCGAGCTTCTTGTAGGGCGGATGATGTAAGAGTCTTACCTCAGCAGATCACATGACATCATCACGTCAACGTCTCTTCCGCTTGGAAATCGGAGGCCGCGTTTGAAAGCTTATAAAGCGCATCAGCCCCTCCTTTGTCCTCCCTTCGTTTCCCCCTCCATTCCCTCTCCGTCCGGAGCCCCGTTGCCCACCATCGCTTCCATCTTCTCCCGTCTTTTTGGGTCGTTCGCCGGTCCCTCACCCGCCGCCATGTCCGCCGCTAAGACTAAGGCTCAGACCTTGATCAACGAGAACGGCGTTGGTGAGTTGATCGTTTCCTGATCGCACGGTAGTCGGAGGAAGCTGACATGTGGTCGGTGGTGTCTAGTCGTCTTCTCGAAGTCCTACTGCCCCTACTGCAACGAGAGCAAGAAGTTGCTGAACTCGCTGGGCGCGAAGTTCGCTACCGTTGAGCTGGACCAGCTGAGTACGTTCCTCCCTCTATTCTTGCCGCTGATGCATTATATTATATCCCACTTTATGATATATGATGCCGGGGAGTCCTGATGAACAAACACTAACCATTCATCTATCGACGGAACAGACGACGGCGCCGCCCTCCAAGACGCGCTCCAGGAAATCAGCAGCCAGCGCACCGTCCCCAACATCTTCATCCAGCAGAAGCACCTCGGCGGAAACTCCGACCTGCAGGCCAAGAAGGCCGAGCTGCCGCAGCTGCTGAAGGCTGCCGGTGCTTTGTAAGAATCTGATACGCCGTGTGATTGATACCGGGATGCACAGGCTAGGATAGAATCATATTATACATATTGATCGGTTTTTTACTTGTGTGCGGAAAACGTCCATGGGTCCCATGGAGGATGTAGAATACCCCGCGGTATGCAGGAGGGGGTGTCGTTCATTAATTGGTCTGATAAGCCGTAGGGATCGGGGCCAATCGGGGGTGGTTTTCGGTAGAACAGACTACCTACCTTAGGTACCTCGTAGGTAGGATCGAAGCGAATAAAGGGATACATACGTAGTTCTTGAGAGTATTCTAGAAGAGATCACAGATCCGCGTCGGAGCGGATCTCTTCCGACTTTGACTGATTGAGATTAATCTTCCATTCTGCAGTTGGATGACAGGATTGAGCCAATCAGAGTCCGGCCTGGTGACGCGGCCGGATGTCTGCCTCAACGGAGTACCTACATCTGGGCTGTATCTGAGGAGCTCAGTCTCCCATTTTCTTTCCCTCTTTTTTCTATCTACCCATTTCCCTTGTAGTCCCATATCCGAAGAAAAATGACCACCCTCGACGACGCCCGGAAGAGCAACGCCTCTATCACCAGCCTCTACGGCCCCGGCCTAGTCGCCGTATTCGGTACGTCCCACCCATTCTGCATGCAAGAAAACATTAACCCCCCAGACTCACGAGAGATCTGAAAATCCAGCCGGCGGAACCAGCGGCATCGGCGAGTCCACCGCGCGCGCCTTCGTGCGCAACACGCAGTCCTCGCGCGTCTACCTCGTCGGCCGCAACGAGACCCAGGCGTCGACCATCCTCGAGGAGCTGCGCCGCCTGAACCCCGACGGCCAGATCACCTTCGTGAAAGGCGACACGTCGCGGCTGAGCGGCGTCGACGACGTCTGCAGGCTGATTCGCGAGAAGGAGGACCGCGTGAACCTGCTGTTCATGAGCCAGGGGAATGCCGCGATGAGCCAGAATGGTCCTTATCCCTCCCTCCTTCCCTCTCTCTGATTGAGAGGTAACTGTACGATGCCATGGATGTCCATACTGATAAACCATGCAGTCACCGAAGAAGGCCTCGACTCGAAACTCACCCTGCACTACTACGCGCGCATGCGCTTCATCTGGAACCTCCTCCCACAGCTCACGAAGGCCGGAGAAGAAGTCTCCCAACCCCAGTTACAGTCCCAACCTCTATCCCGCGTGATCTCCGTCCTCGAGGCCGGCGGTGAATCCCCCTCCCTCGACCTCTCCGACCTCTCCCTCACCCGGACCTTCACGCTACGCAACTGCGCCAAACACGCCATCACCATGACCTCGCTGGCGACGGAGCACCTGGCGCTCACGCACCCGGGCACCTCCTTCGTGCACGTCTTCCCGGGCATCGTGCAGACGGGGCTCATGCGTGACGCCGGGGGAGTGGCGCGCTTTGCGGTGTCGGTGCTGGCGAAGACGCTGGCGAGGCCGTGGGTGGTGCCGGTGGAGGAGTCGGGCGAGAGGCATTTGTTTGTGGCGACGAGTCCTGAGTATCAAGCTGTGGGGGAGAAAGGGGGAGGGGGGTATTTGTTGAATTGGGATGGGACGCCGAGGGGGAATGAGAAGGTGATGGCGGAGTTTAGGGAGAAGGGCACGGCGGAGGTGGTCTGGAAGCATACGATGGAGGTGTTTGAGAGGATTCGGGGGAGAGGGCAGGATGGAGCTGGTCAGTAGATGGGAGGTGTAGTTGATGTGGATAGTAGAAAATAGGTCTTTAGGTATTAGTGCTTTTGTAGACAGTCTCTCAGAATTCACGCAGCCTCTTCTAGTTCAATCCATGAATGTTTATCTAGCACTGAAATACTCCAGAAGAAAGCTAAAAATCTTATGTCACCATAATCTCCAATATCAAAGCCCCCATTGGCTCGAAGTTGATCCACTGTGGATGCTGCAAATAAGATTATCAAAGGATTTACTTCGGAGTGGAAAGAACTGTATGCCTGCATCTGCATAGAGAGTAAAGTACAATCTTATATTCGTACACAATCCAACTGCATATAATATCTTGAATATCCTCAGACCACCTTCTGCACCACCGTGCCAACCGGCCGTTCCACAATGCCCATCACACCGTCCACCACGCTCTGGCGCGCTCCCTCGCTCGACACGTTCTTCCCGGCCAGGTAGTTCAACCACACCAGCCGGCTGATGCGCTCGTCCTGCACCCGGCCCATGAACTGCGCCGGCTTCCTTGCCTCCGCCTGGAACAGTGCATCCAGCTGGCCCTGCGCGTTGCGCACCAGAAGCAGCGTCTGGCCCTTGGGCACGTTCTTGCGTTGCCCGCCGCCAAACACCTTCTTGAACTCGTTCACCGCCACGCCAAACGCCTCGTCGTCGAACTCGCTCGGCGGCAGCGCCTTCTGCTGCTGCTGCTGCTGCTGCTGCTGCTGCTTCTGGGCTTCACGCGCCTTCGCGGTCGCCTGCTGCGCCCGACCCGTGACCCCACGCACCCAGGCATCGCGCATATGCATGAAGTCGGTGTTCCGCGTGGGCACGATGCGGAAGGCCGTGCGCAGCCCGTCCGTCTTCAGGATGGCATCCCACGCCGCGTCGCCGCGCTCCGGATCCAGCAGCAACTCCCGCAGCTGCTGCCGCTCCGTCGAGACCAGCGACGTGGCGGACGTGGCGCCGGGGGCGTCGATGACCTGCGGCTCGCCCGGCGGCTTCACGGCCGTGCGCACCAGCCGCTGCTGCAGCTCCGGCAAGTCCGACTGCGCCACGTACATCCCCACCACGTACACCTGGATGCGCAGGAACGACACCGTCCGGATCCCCAGCCCCAGCAGCTGATACGTCTCCTCCTCGACGCCCGCCCCCGCGGGCACCTCGTCGCCGGGGCTCAGCGCCCGCGTGTCCAGCGTCTTCGGCAGCTTGATCGTCGTGGGGAACTGCGGCACCGAGCTCGTCCCCGTTTCCACCTGCTCCACGCCGTCCTGGCCCTGGATGCGGATCACCGACGGGCTGCCCGTGAATCCATCCGGTCCGTCCATCTTCATGGCGCCACTATTCCCGGTCTGCGCCTGTGTCTGTGGTTGTTTCGCCTCGCCCTCACTCGATTGCTCCAACGGTGCCACCCCGAACAGATCCAGCTGGATCACGCCAAACATGGCCACCGCGCAGGCGGCGATGCCCGCCGCCGACAGCGTCATCGAGCGCCGGTACTGCGTGAACTGCTGCTCGCGCATGGGTCCGGGGTTGCTCCCCGCGGCGCGCAGGGGGTTGGCCTTTGCGGCGCCGGCGGCCGGGGAGCGGAGGTGCCGGGTGGTGCTGAGGAAGCGGGTCGGGGTCGGTCGGAGGGTTGTGCGGCGGATGCATTGTCCGCAGGTGCGCCAGGGCATCGAGCCCTGGATTGTAGGGGGTAATGTCATTGTTGTGGTAGGTGGTGCAGCGAGGGAGTTGGAGGTCGGTGGGATTGAGTGGAGGATCAACTTGCAAGTCCGGGAAAGCTGGAAGTGGTGGAGCCGGGGGATCGTCGCGCACGTGATCCAGACTGCCCTGGTTCTTCGGAGGTATTGGTATGTCTGTGGATTTATATATGCATGTTTTAGGCGAAAGTGTAATAGTTAAAGAGGCTGGAGTGCTGGATTAAACGGAAATATGATGTTCGCTGAGGTGGCATTAGGACTATGGCGCCACTACTAGATCACTAGATCTGGTCAAGATGACTAGAATTATCTCAAACTATACAGAGTAACGACCGTAATTTGTTAGCTATTAATTCACCACGACCTTGTGCGATCCTCCCCCACTGACTCGGACAGACGCTATGCCGTCTGTATAGTTCACGCCCCGAGAGACATCATTGCCATCGATTGTGATAGACGGCTTCTCTGCCCGGTTGACAAATGGCAGAGTCAGATCTCCCCTAGTTCCCTCCGGAACCGAGAAATGCAGCGTGTACTCATCCGGCTTCCGCTTCCACGCTACCTGGAATTTTCCAAGCGAGGTGGTGAACCCGCCTTCCACCGTCTTCAGATCCCCGAACTGCGGCGCGATCTTCCATGTCAGCCCCAGTGGCGACGTGACGCTGAGACCCAGCACGTAGCTAGTTAATGCTGAAGTCGGGCCTGCAGACCACCCGTGTGCATGCGACACGTACGACTCGTCGTTCGAGTACCCGCGGTCAAACCGGTACCCGAATGTGCCGTCTGCCAGGTATCCCTCGATCACCGTGCTCTCGGTGCCGTTAGGGTTGTTCAGGTACCATCCCCAGCTGCGTCGGATGAGCTCCAGTGCCCGGTCGGGGCGGCCGGCTTCAAAGTGACCCTGGATCTCGAACGAGGAGATGAAAGGGGAGATGTTCTCAGGTAGCTCCGGCGTGACGGCTCCGATTGGAGTCCAGTTCTTGGTCAATCTGTTCGAGATCTTCGCTGCACGCTCCTTGTTGGTGATTCCGTAGAGCAGTGCCAAGCTGTTTGCGTCTTGCGGGTGGAGGCTCGTGTTTGTCGCGTTGTCCTTGAAGGCACCGTACCCATCGTCCCAGCAATACTTGTTGATCGCTTTGCGTAGATCCTTGGCCTGAGCTTCCCATTTGGTGGCGAGTGGTGTCGCGTTCACTGCCCAGTAAGCGATTTGCGCACCTGTTGTCAAGGTATGATACAGACTGTTTTATGATTAGTATATTAGTAGGAAATTGGGATAATGCGCTCACATCATCTGCGCCTGGGAGTTGTTGTATCCCTGCTGCCAGCGTGCCCAATCGCGCGTGCCGGTCACATTCAGCAGACCGCTAGAATTGTCCACCTTCTGGTAGACGTAGTCCATGGCCTTCTGATATCCCTCCCAGTTGTCTAGAAGAAAGTCGGTGTCATTCGTGTAGAGAAAGTAGTTGTACGTTCCAATCATCGACCACATGTGGTAGGTGTCCGAGTTCTTCTGGCTCAGCGGTGGGCCGGATTCGTCAAATGCGCCATTGCTGGCCTATATCGACGATTAGCCCTTCGAATCGAGTAAGGAGATGATTAGAGCTTACCTGCGTATCGTACATCACCTGCAGAGCATTCTTCACGCTCTCCAAATCCCCCGTGCTGACAAACGAGGCGGGGACCGCTATTCCCATATCTCCTGGCCACACGGCACGGTCTCGCTTCGCACCATCCATGATGATCGTGTCGCCAGGCCCCATGGTGGCATTGTTAGCCCAGCCTTCTTTAAGCATGGGAACCTGACGGCCTGTCTTCACGGGTGCCGCATTAGTTTGCAGGGTGTAAGCACCGCTGTACCAGATCCGATTGAGGAGCTCGTCATCCGAATGGAAGTACCCCTGGTAGGCTTGCAGGTTCGCCCAGGTAGGCTGGAAGCCAATCTCCAAGCGCACATCCTCGATGTTGACGGTCGAGTCATCCTCCGTGAGTAGAAACACGGTCAAATACCGAAAACCACCTCGAAGGTACTTATCGGGCATGACGTATGATTCGTTTCCGGGATTGGAGAAGGATGTATATAGCGCGCCATCGGGGCCTTTGAAGGCGCCATTCGACGAATCGGACCATTCTCCGATCCATTTTTTGGACTCCGTAAATGCCAGCCCCAGGATTCCTTCGTCCGATGACGAATAATCCAGAGTGACAATGCCGCCGACCTCGATCCCAAAATCGAAAACAACGCTCGAGCCATTCCCAGACAAAGCGAACGGGATGGATTGGTTGTACTTGGTGGACTTGGTGGGCGTTGACACCGACAGGACTCTCTTGGGGCTGACGGTTCGCGATGACGGCGCATAAATGTTTTTCTCCCAGGGGCCAGTAAAGGCACTGTTTTTGGGACCGGAACAAACGGTATCTCTCCAACAAGTCTGCGCTGAAGAGAGTGAGGCCAGAGCCAGAAGGCTCACGAAGCCAGAAAGCCAATTTAGGACCGCCATTTGCCAATCCGGTGCGCTCACTCGTGGGAGGGGAGCCCTGGGATGGGGCGCATCATCTTTCTGGCGTTAGCTGTCTATATAGCTGCTTCGGCATGACTAGTGCGGGAGCCAATGATGGTCTGTGTCAGGTTGGTGCAGCAAGGAGCCAAAGAGGGGTTGGTTTCTTATTTTTCATTTTATTTTTCCCTATTCACGCCGGACTTGTCGGAGCACCCACGATGCTTGTCCGGGTCCCCAACGGCGCCGTTCGGGCGTTGTTTAGACGAGGTGACAGGGGATGTTAGGCCCACTTGGACACCCCATCGGCGCAATGGAAATGGCCAAATGGAATTCCCTAGTCAGTCCGCCAAGTTTTTAAATTGTTCACACCAATTGAAGAACCCGGTCAGAAGGGCAAACGGGTCGGATAACAGGAATCTGGAAACTGCATGAAACTGCGCAGCTCCAGAAATCAATAGCGCTGAAGACGAGAATGACACGATGTGGGCTCCCGGAGTAGTGAGCACCATTGGCGGAAATTCTCATCCAAACATTTCACTTAGGGCGCCCCATAGGGCAGCGATTGACAGCAGAATGGCTTTCTCTTCGTCATCGAGTCGTCGAACCCCTTTGTTTTTCCCCGGATGCTGTCAAGTGTGACGACAGAAATCTTGCATATTAGACCTCGGTCGAACTGCCACCGAAGGATGGTTCAATGCGAAGATCAGTAGAATGCGTGTCGGGAATTAATAAAAGGCGAGCTAGGAGGATGTCGGGATGGGTGGGAGGATAAGAATATTTTCCACCAAGAAAAGAATTGAGACTATGTATTTTCGCTGGACGCCTCTTTCATTGCTTCCTTTAACCTTAGGAATCGCTTCTTTGGGTAATGCGCCTGGAGTTGAAGCCAAGGACCAAGTCTGCACTGTCAGGGCACTTGGAAATCGAACAGACGACGTGCCAAACCTCTTGCAAGCATTCCATCGGTGTAGCAGCGGAGGCACGATTGTCTTTCCGGAAGACCAGTCATACTGGATCGCGTCGAGATTGAATCCGGTGCTGCACGACGTGACGATTGAATGGCGAGGGAAATGGACGGTGAAGCTTTCTGTCGTGAATGCTGCCAGCGCATCAGCTGACCCGAGCCGCCCTTCAGTTCTCGGACGACCTCAATTACTGGCGCAATCACTCTTACCCCGTCGCGTTCCAGAACCACCGTGCGGGCTTTGTCATTAGCGGACGCAAAATCTCCATCGATGGCTACGGCACGGGAGGCATCGATGGCAATGGAAACGTCTGGTATACAGCCGAAGCAGGCGACACGCAACCAGGTCGGCCAATGCCTTTTGTGTTCTGGAATGCCTCCGAGGTCAATGTCGAGAATTTCTATGTCAAAGACCCGCAGCTATGGGCGCTGAATATTATGAACGGGACTAACATGCGCTTCAACAACATCTACTGCAACGCCACTGCGGTGAACGCTCCATGGGGCGAGAACTGGGTCCAGAATACCGATGGTTTTGGTATGCCAACACTCTTCTCGTACTTGGTGGGTTGTTCCGACTTGCTGACCACCGACAGATACAATGGATGCCCATAACATCCAGCTTACGAACTTTGTGTACCAGGGCGGAGATGATTGTATCGCAATTAAGCCCCGGTCCTATGACATTGACATCCAGAATGTGACATGTCGTGGAGGGAACGGCATCGCGATTGGCAGTCTGGGTCAGTATCTAGAAGACTCCAGCGTGGAAAATGTGCGAATCGACCGTGTCAAGGTATCGTGGATTCTCCGTCCAGTCTCCTTCGGTTGCTTCGACTAATCCAAACAGATCATCCGGTATAACGAAGACATGCACAACAGCGCTTACATCAAAACCTGGATCGGTAAGCGGGTTCCTCAAGACGACTACGAAAGCGGAGGCGTTCCTCGTGGCGGTGGTTGGGGACAGGTTAAGAACATTCTGCTCTCCAATTTCGAGATCCAAGGAGCCGACGCGGGCCCCTCGATCAACCAGGACAGTGGAGATAACGGCTCGTTCTCTGGATCGAGTCTTATGACGGTTTCCAATATTGCATTCACCAACTTTACCGGGTACATCCAAGACGACGACCCAGTGACGTCGACCGTCTCGTGTTCAAAGAAAAATCCTTGCCACGGTATCACATTCGACGATGTCGTTCTTTATCCAGGTCAGAATGGAACCAGACCGGGCATCGGCTCTTGCCAATACACTGCGAAAAGCGGCGTGCAGGGTCTGGAGGGGTGTTGAAAATCATATGTGATGGACATCATTTCCTGGATAGATAGACAATTCTTGTAGGTCAGTTACTATGCAGTAAAGGCTACTAGTAGTAGCTTGAGCATCAGCCGGGACGGGAAGTCCTGTCGACGTCTATGGCACCTGCTAAATATTTAGCTCCAATTGTCATCCGAAGGGCGCGTAGACTTTGCCACATCGGCAAGATCGCGACTACTACTATTTAACCATCATCAAATGCATTGTTCTTGAGTCAAGCTATATTACTTTTCAACATACTTTCATACTAGATACAGTACCTCAACCACCAACCACATTTTCTTACCCTTTGTATTTTTCGGATATTCTTCTACTGAACCACCATGAGGAACCCTTGGATCGAGACTCCCTTGATTGAATCGGCGGCTTTTTCGAAGGCAGTCGGATGGTATGAAACATTCCCCGTGTTCCAAGGCAATCTACAAATCTAATTGTCCACTTTAGTAAGGTCTTTCTGAAGCTGGAACTTCTGCAACCATCGGGATCCTTCAAATCGAGGTAAATTCGCGGAAAGAGAGCGCATCCCAAACGCCATGATTAACGCTGCGACAGAGGAATTGGTTTCTCGATCCTCCAAAGTCGCCTTGACCCCGAAAACGACGGCAAGGAACTCCATTTTTACATCTCATCCGGGGGCAATGCAGGACTGGCGGCCGTTCTGGCAGCTCGGGACATCGGATGTTCATGCACGGTGATTGTACCGTATACTACGAAACCGGCCATGATCGCCAAATTGCGAGCGATCGGTGCTACGGACGTATTCCAGCACGGGAATAACTGGTTCGAAGCCGACACCTACCTGCGAGAGAACTTCATCGACAACCAAGACGAGCAGCCGGACGCGGCTAAAAGAAAGAACATCTACGTGGCACCCTTCGATCATCCAAGAGTGTGGGAGGGAGCGGCGATCATGGTGGAGGAGATTGCACGCCAGTTGCCTCCGCGAGAAGAGACTGCGAGCGGTGCCTTTCCAGCCGATGCTATTGTCTGCAGCGTTGGTGGGGGCGGCTTGTTTAACGGCGTCGTTTCAGGGCTGGAGACGTATCAGCAGTCGCGGAAGATAGCCGCGCCGAAAGATACCTATGTGGTGGCCACCGAGACCAAGGGAGCCGACTCCCTGGCGCACTCGATCCGACACGGCAGCCTGCAATCGCTTCCGGCAATCACCTCCCAAGCCACATCGTTAGGGGCTGTGTGCGTGGCTCCCCGAGCCTTCGAGAATGCGCAGTCACCGCCGGCCGGCGTGAAAGTGGTCAGCGCCGTTGGGTCGGACGCCGAGGCAGCTCAAGGCGTGGTGCGTTTGGCAGACGAGCACCGGCTCCAGGTGGAATTGGCCTGCGGGATCAGCGTGCACGTTGCCTTGATGATCCGATTGCGAGAGCTGGTGCCGGATCTGACGCCGGACAGTCGGGTGGTGGTGGTGGTGTGCGGAGGGAGCAACGTGACGACGGAGATGATCGTCGAGTATCGGCAGCAGTTGGGCGAGGGATGGAAGTAGAGAAGATACAGAATTATGTACTCCGTATGCATGAGCAATAAAGCAAAGTAATGCACGCTGACTAAAAAACACGGACCAACGACGGGCCGAGCGGGACGAGGTTTTCTCGTCTGCGTTCACTTCATTCCGGACTCGAGAATACACGGCGGTCCCCGAAGTGCCCTCGCCAGCTGCTGAACCTCCCGATTTTCAGGTAAGAGGATTATTAAGATTCGGGGATGTCGATGCGGTCCTGCATGCTCTGTTCGCCCGGTGGCTGCGATGCCTCTCGCTCCCAGCCATGAAATGACTCGTAGTCGGGCCTCATCGCATCCCCGTGGCCTCTGCTCCTCGCGCCCTCGACCGCCGCCTGACTAATATGGCAAGCAGTCTCGTGACCGGCGCTGCCCGGCTTAGGGCTTCACCATGCCCGCTGTCCATGAGGATCTGGCCTCCGCGGTGTTCCCTACCGACGTGGACTTTTCCCCGGAGATCTATCCTCGCCAGGTCACCCTGAGGGATCGCGTCACCGTCGCGACCCTGGTGCCCATCTCGCCATGTGACGACATCCCCCGGGCCCTGCTGGCCTACCTGTCCGACCAGCTCAACAAGGAAATCGAGAAGGGCGATACCTATGCCATGATCGACCTGATCCCCTTGGATCACTTCCAACCCTATTGGTTCTCCAACTTCGGCGCCATCATGTTGCTGGGTGACTTCAAGAGCGTCCAGGACATCCAGGCCATGGGCCGAGCCGGCGCCAACTGGTCCAAGATCTGTCTGGGGAGCTTCAACGTGAGACCCAATTACCCCGGCCGGAGTAGTCATGTCTGCAACGGCATGTTCCTGGTCACCGACGCGGCTCGAAATCGAGGTGTGGGTAGGTTGATGGGTGAAGGGTACTTGGACTGGGCTCCGAGATTGGTCAGTATCCACGTTCCCTTACTTTGTGGCGTTTTCGACTTCCTTTGTGTGAGCATACCCCCCGTCTCACCTAGACGGAGTGTGGGGGGTCGGGGTTGTTGCAGACTGGGGATCCATCTTCCATGTGAATGTCATTGCATTGTCTCTAACTTTTCCCGCAGGGTTATACATACGCGGTCTTCAACTTGGTCTACGAGAGCAACGTTGCGTCTTGTCGTATTTGGGATGCTCTCGGGTTCAAAAGAATTGGCAAGGTCCCGGGAGGAGGCCGTCTTCTATCCAATCCGGGGCAGTACGTCGATGCGATCATCTACGGACGGGATCTTGGTCCAGAGGGCGAGGATTCCGTCACGCAGGATCGCTTCGACAAGATTCGATATTATCTCAAACACTCAAAATACCCTCGAGGGGCTGACCGCGCCGAGAAGAGCCGGCTGCGCAGTGCGGCGACGCATTACAAGCTGATCGGGGGTAATGATGGGGATAACGAAAAATTGATGCTGAAGGACAAAGAGGTGGTGTCCGACCCTCAGCAGCAGTATGAGATCGCGCGGGATATGCACGTTCAGCAGCACGCGGGAATCAACAAGACCACCGCAGCCATCGCCGTGAAATACCATTGGGTCAGGATCAAGGAGACCGTCAGTCGAGTCATCCGGGATTGTCCCCAGTGCAAGGAGACGCTCAAATCGCCCTTGGCTAATGGCCTTTTCCGAACGGAGGACCAGCTGGACAATGATGACCAACCTGGCGCTCGCGAAAGTGACATGAGCAACGAGAACGACATGGATCAAGAGGATCTGAGCCACGACATTGCCCACGACATCAACCACGACATAAGCCATGAAATGAACCATGAAATCAGTCATAATCTAAATCATGACATGAGCCATGACAATGACATGAGCCATGCTGCCGATATGAACCATGACGGCGACCTGAACCTGTCATCCAGCGCAGCCATGGGTGCCAATTCGCTGTTGGACCACAGCTCGCTCGATGTTCACCAAAGCCACAATCCTTTCGTGACCCCCCATCCGTCCGTTGTGCAAGGATCATTAGATGCCATCGGCGACTACACTACCATGCCTCTGGACCCGCAGATCATCGACATTCACCATCAACTCCCTCGATTCCAACCGCACGATGCCATGGCCGACCCCTATGCACATGATGCTCATGGATTATCAAGTACAAATTTCGACGATGATGTACGGCATCATGCAGCCCATGATTACCATATGATGGTTGATGACACCACCGACCCGGGAGGGACGCTGCACCAGGATGCGCTGGGGCTTGTTCATTCCCAGGCCAGCGACGTACATCACGAGCAGATATTAGCCAAATATCAATACGTTGGACAGACTGATGATGAGCTGGACTTTACATAATTTTTTTTTTCTTTTTGGTTTTCGATCTGTTGTCTTTTTTTACAAGCATGACGGGCGTTGAGCGTTTCGGGTTATGCCTGCATTACAAGCTTTAGTATTAGTCATTGACGGAGGAAGGAGGACCTGTGTATTTTACATTGCAGACATCATAGAAGGAAACGGCTTGTAGACCAAGCCCATGAAATACAGCCGCATAATTCATCGTGCAGTGGACTGAGGAAGAACAGAGTAGAAAGTGTCTGATAGTACTCTGTCAGAGTAGAAGAGGGGCTGTAGGCGTAGGGTTCCGCCAGGCGGCATGATTGGTCACCGCCCGGTGCTTTGGCGACAGCAGAGAAGCTCCGGGAAATTTTGGTTTGGTCGCCAGCGTTATTGAACTCCCCCGAACTGGGACTGTCAGGGCCACCTTTCATCTCGATTTTCACTCCCTTATCCTCCCCGGGACTACCGCTTTGCTTATTCGGTCGTTTCTTTTTCTCTATCTTAATTAATCAAAATGGCCTTCGCCGGCCAAACCCCCACCATCATTGTGCTCAAAGAGGGTCCGCTCCCGCCCGCATTCTGAACCCCGTCTGTGTGTTGTCAGGAGAACCTGTTGGCTGACTTGCTTCTCTTTTTTTCTCTCTTGCGATGATTTAGGCACGGATACCTCTCAGGGCAAGGGTCAGATCATTTCCAACATCAATGCCTGTGTGGCCGTGCAGTCCACGATCAAGAGCACTCTCGGTCCGTATGGAGGGGACTTGTTGCTGGTCGACTCCAACGGCAGGCAGACGATCACGAACGATGGAGCCACGGTGATGAAGGTGCGTGTGACACCTATATCATCCGCGGAGGGGATAATGGGTCTATTCTCGAAAACGATTTTCGAATACTGACTGCCATGCACACGATTAGCTCCTCGACATCGTCCACCCCGCCGCCCGCATTCTCACCGATATCGCCCGGTCTCAAGATGCCGAAGTGGGAGACGGCACGACGTCGGTCGTGGTTCTCGCCGGTGAGATCCTGAAGGAAATCCGGGAGTTGGTCGAGCAGGGTGTCAGCGCACAGACGATCATCAAGGGTCTACGGAGGGGTAGCGCCATGGCCGTCAACAAGGTGAAGGAAATCGCTGCGGACATCATCCAGGCGGGCGAGAGCGAGGAGAAGAAGGTGGAAACGCTACGACGATTGGCCGGAACCGCCATGAACAGCAAGCTGATCAAGCGCAACGCCGACTTCTTCACGAAGAGTAAGTCTCCTGTTTTCCTGCGGGGAGGGAATTGCTGTAAAATCTTTGCCGATACTGATACCGGGGTGGCTCTCTATAGTGGTTGTCGATGCCGTGCTGTCCCTCGACCAGGACGATCTGAACGAGAAATTGATCGGTGTCAAGAAGGTTACCGGTGGTGGTCTCCAGGATTCCCTCTTCGTCAACGGTGTCGCCTTCAAGAAGACCTTCTCCTACGCCGGTTTTGAGCAGCAGCCCAAGTCCTTCCGGGACCCCAAGATTGTGTGTCTGAACGTGGAGTTGGAGCTGAAGAGCGAGAAGGACAACGCGGAGGTTCGCGTCGAGCAGGTGTCCGAGTACCAGGCCATCGTCGATGCCGAGTGGCAGATCATCTACAACAAGCTCGAGGCCATCTACAAGACGGGGGCCAAGGTTGTTCTCAGCAAGCTGCCCATTGGTGACTTGGCTACGCAGTATGTACTTCCCAGTGCTTTGGTGTTGGGGTTGGGGTTGTCCGGAATCCGCCTGCTAATCGCTCCTTTCGCAGGTACTTTGCGGACCGTGACATTTTCTGTGCCGGTCGTGTCTCGTCGGACGATATGGATCGCGTGTGCCAGGCCACCGGCGCGGCTACGCAGTCGACGTGCAGTGACATCCAGGAGCGCCACCTGGGTACCTGCGGCTCGTTCGAGGAGCGCCAGATCGGTGGCGAGCGGTTCAACCTGTTCGCCGAGTGCCCCGGTGCCAAGACGTGTACGCTGGTGCTGCGTGGCGGTGCCGAGCAGTTCATCGCCGAGGTGGAGCGTAGTCTGCACGACGCCATCATGATCGTCAAGCGTGCTCTGCGCAACACCACCATCGTCGCGGGTGGTGGCGCCTGCGAGATGGAGCTGTCGAGCTTCATGCACGGGTTTGCCGACCGCAACGTGCCTCACAAGCAACAGGCCGTCGTCAAGGCGTTCGCCAAGGCTCTGGAGGTGATCCCCCGACAGCTGTGCGACAACGCCGGATTCGACGCCACCGACATCCTGAACCGCCTGCGCGTGGAGCACCGCAAGGGTAACGTGTGGGCCGGTGTGGACTTCGACCACGAGGGCGTCCGGGACAACATGGCGGCGTTCGTGTGGGAGCCCAGTCTGGTCAAGGTCAATGCCATCCAGGCGGCCGTTGAGGCGGCGTGCTTGATCCTGAGTGTGGACGAGACGATCAGTGAGTTTCCCCTATTCCTGGGTTCATGGTTATTTCCGAGCACGGCGCTAACGCAGGATGTCATCGACAGAGAACGAAGAGTCGGCGGCGCCTCGGGCACCGGGCCGTGGCCTTCCCCCCGGCGCTGCTCAGCGGGCGCTTGGAGGAGGCCGAGGACGCGGTATGCCTCGCCGGGGTCGGTAAAGGATAGACGGAGATTCCGAGAGCACGACGCATGGGGACGTCGGCAGATCAAGGATATAAAAAAGCCCTTACTAGTACAATCTACTATGTGTTTGAATGAACGGCCCTTGCGTGTTTTGTAGTGCAAGCCAATTAGGTCGGAGTATTGTTACGCTGCAGTAGTTTCAGGCTGCGCAACACGAGCCCGACGGAAGGCTGGCTGAGCTGACGTGCAGTCGGCGACCCCGAGGGGCAGAGTTTTCCGGCAGAGTCAGGCCAAAAGAAATCGAATGCAGAAACAAACAAATCAACCAAGATAGATCGGTATAAATAAAAGAAATCAATACCATAAACTAAATAAATATAAAAAACCCAATCCGGATAATAATCCCGCTCCGATCGCCCCGGCGTTCCCCACCGGATCTCGGCGATTTCGTAGGCTGCATCGTTCTTCGTCCTCTCTTTCGCCGCGCTGCTGCTGTCACCATCGCCTGTCCGACCTTAGCGACTTCTTGTGCTGGCCTTTTATTGTTTGAGTCTGCCGGAAATGTCCTACTACCCCCCTTACTCGGGCCCGCCCGGTTATCCCCCACAGCAGTATTCCTACCCTCCTCAGCAGCCGTCCTACGGCGCTCCGTCTTATCAGCAGTAAGATCGCCGCCTCTATTTTGTGTCCGCTGGACTCGGTGCACGACTGAATTCAACAAATCCAAATACAACCCCAGAATTAACTTCATTCCGCTGATCTCTCTCTCGCAAGACCCATGCAGCACCATCACCACCAGTCGTCCTACGGCGGCGGCTATCCTGGCCAGGCTTATCGCCAACAGCCTCCTCCCGGCAACCCTTACTCCTACGGCCAGCCGTCGCCGCAACCCTACGGATCGCATCCCCCTCAGGGTGGCTATGGCGTATGTCTCCTGCCCGTGATAGTTGCATCTCGCCATGGTCGCCGTCGTTGACATTGCTTGTTGATCTCTAGGGCGGCCCGCCGTCGGGCTACCACAGCCCGGCACCCAACGGTGGCTCCATGTATCAGGGACGAGCCGGTACGTCCCCCGCCTTTCGCATCCTACCTCGACCTTCTGCGCGCCATAAAGCTACCTCTATACTTGCGCAGTTGCTAATCGCGCAACAGGCCCTCCCGGTGGCTACCAGAACCCCTACGGCCAGGGCAACCACGGCGGCCACGGCGGCCCGGCTCCCCCGCCTAGCGACCCGGTCGCGTTCGGCCATGGCGCTCCCCAGGGATACAACTTCCAGTACTCCCGCTGCACCGGCAAGAGGAAGGCTCTCCTGATCGGTATCAACTACTTCAACCAGAAAGGGCAATTGCGCGGATGTATCAACGACGTCAAGAACATGTCCACATACCTCAACCAGAACTTCGGCTACGCCCGCGAAGACATGGTCCTGCTGACGGATGACCAACAAAACCCCATGAGCCAGCCGACCAAGGCCAACATCCTGCGCGCCATGCACTGGCTGGTCAAGGATGCCCGTCCGAACGACTCCCTCTTCTTCCACTACTCGGGTAAGTCGACCTTCTCCCGAATCAATGAATAGAAACATGAACGAAGGGTGCTTTCGGTGGGACGGTCCGGTCTGACAAAGGCGCAGGTCACGGTGGTCAGACCCCCGATCTGGACGGTGACGAGGACGATGGATACGACGAAGTGATTTACCCCGTCGATTTCCGCCAGGCGGGCCACATTGTCGACGACGAGATGCACCGGATCATGGTCAAGTCTCTGCAGCCCGGTGTGCGACTGACGGCCATCTTCGACTCCTGCCACTCGGGTTCCGCTCTGGACTTGCCGTACGTCTACTCGACCCAGGGTATCCTCAAGGAGCCCAACCTGGCCAAGGAAGCCGGCCAGGGTCTGCTGGGCGTGGTGTCGGCCTACGCCCGCGGCGACATGGGCGGCATGATGTCGACGGCGGTTGGTTTCCTCAAGAAGGCCACCAAGGGCGACGAAGTGTACGAGCGCAACAAGGTGACCAAGACGAGCCCGGCGGATGTCATCATGTGGTCGGGCAGCAAGGACGACCAGACCAGTCAAGACGCCCAGATCGCCGGCCAGGCCACGGGTGCCATGTCGTGGGCCTTCATCAGCGCCATGCGCAAGAACCCGCAGCAGAGCTACGTGCAGCTGCTGAACAGCATCCGAGACGAACTGTCGACCAAGTACACGCAGAAGCCGCAACTAAGCAGCAGTCACCCCTTAGGTAAGTGAAACACACAGCCCGCGGAGGGGGAAACCTTGTAATCGAACACAGACTCTGACCGGGTATAGATGTGAACCTGCTCTATGTGATGTAAATAAATGGGGTTCTGGCAGGGGGTTTTTTAACGGACATCGGTTATTGCATTGGGTTTTATCGCACGCCAAAAGGTTTTCCCGCGCCTGTTTTCTTTTTCTTTTTCTTAGCTTCTATTGCCTATGCCTTATTCTTAATTCAAGCATGATTGCATTTATTCATATCGTGTGATTACTTGTTTCTCCAGCGTGTGGCCGTTCGACCAGTTCTAATTGCCATTTAAGATTACATGGAGGATGGAACATGTGGTTCTGATAGGATGTCATGGTCGGGTATGGAGTAGATTGCAATCTAATCTAAACATTACTCTGTATATTGCATCTAGGATATTACTATACTGGCTGATGGCTCTTACCATTTGCTACCTAGTCAACTCAAGCAGGTTCTACGAGACCCAAGCGATTCATGCCCACCTGATTCGTTTTAGATAAATAAAATCGAAAAAAGAGTCGAGACAAACTATACAGCAACGGACCGCCGGGTTGGAAGTATGATAGGTTGGGCAGTCTGGGAACCCACCCATCAGTGAATATCGCTAGTGGATCCATCCAATTTACGATTCTTTTTCTGCTCTGTATAAAAAAACGACAGAAAAATAAAAAAGACAATATACAGGTCTACTGCGCTGCCTGCCAACTTCTGTTTGTGATCAATCATCAATCACGTGGGTTCTGTGACTCGGCGGCTGAAGATTTCAACCTGGACGTTTCACGAAGACCTGAAAGTATTTTCTCTAGAGCAAACGACGCAAAAGCCAGGCCACGATTTCGAAGAGAAGAACCATCGAGCTCTACATTTCTCGGGAATCTTTACGCGTCTTTTACAGACCGATGTGAGGACTGTTATTCTCCATTTCATTTCTATGGTTTACTAACATCCCGGCTAGTATCTAGTGGGCTACAGTACAGCCACCGGACGGACAAACCAACCAACCAAGGAGTATGGCTTCTATGCTCCGGATAGACCGTCGAAGCGGCCAGGCCTACGTCGAGCGAGAGATGAAACCGCTCAATCCCAACGGTCCGTCCTGGGTGCACGAGACCCCCTACTTGCCCGAAGGATGGGAGTCTACCAGCACAGTCGGCGCCCCGACGCTGAAACATGCAGCCATGAGGCAGACCCTCTCCAACCAGAGAAGGCTGGTGCCCGAACTGTTTGCCAACGTACCGTGGCAGATCGCGAGTTATCTGTGGGATTGTCTTGGAAGGAGGTGAGCTCCTTACTTTTCTCCCTCCCTCCCTTCCTTTTTCCCTCTCTCTCATGGAAAGTGTGAAGGTGGAAGTGACAAAAGCTAATTAACGAAAACACTTCTAGTCGGAAACGAACACTCTATATATGGAAGGTGTTCGCTACTGCGTATCCCCAACAGTTCTCCCTGGTTGCGCAGTATCGCTCTATGAAGATCGGGGGTCTGAAGCTACCACTACGGGATTATCTCGCCATGATGAAGAGCGATGACATGCACTGGCGCGTCACCCTGACTCTCAGGGTATCGTGTCCGTCGGTCCCCGAGCTAGTAGAGATCTCGGATGTCCGAAACCTCGTGGCTCTAGATGTGATAACTCCGGCGGGGGCAGGTTTGGTCTCGGACGATCCCGAAACGCCAGATCTGCAGGTGACGGCGCTGAATGATCGCATCGTGCGGACGTGGAGCGAGCTGGCGCAGACGACGGGGGCGTTTGCGCATCTTCGCATCCTGCGACTCTTCTACCAGGACGATCTGTCGAAGGTGGTGCTGCGCTATTTGGCGCGGATTCCGGCCCTGCAGTTCATCGTCGTCTACGAGTGCGACGGGCTTACTCGCGCCATGCGCCGGGGCATGGATGGCTGGGAAGCGTATTCTTCGGACTCGATCAGACTGATCGAACTTTTTGAATCTTATCAGAACAGTCTGTCCTGTGGCGATGACCATGAACCTATGGACCGCGATCGTCCTATTTTGGATTTTCATCTGGGGACCATGATGGACCCTTTACCGTTGAGGAGCGCTCGAAATCGGTCTAAGGTGCTGTGTTTACGGCGCACGAATGCAGAGGCCGAACCGGCCAGCAAACGGCTCAAAGTGACACGCTCCCTTGATACATTCCAGAAACCGTCTAAACGACGAAAACCCGTGATGAAGGATCGTCGGACCAAGGATCTTGGCGAAGCCCTGGGGGATTTCCTGTGACCTGGGGGTTTTCTTGTAATTTCTTTGTTTCTTTTTCCCCTTTTATTTAATTTAATTATTTTGGGCAGCAGCTAGGCGCAGGAGACTAGCGGTGATGTCACTTGCAGCCGAGACCAGCAGATGGCATCTGCATAGTACAGCAGCCAGCAGCCATCTGATTGGAGCCAGACGCATCTCGGAGAATAGTAGGCATGCATTATCCATGAATGCTCCGATGGTCTACTTCAAGGAGTATAAGACCCGAAACCATCCAAATCGGCCAAAGCATACAAACCGTCCAAACCATCCAAATCGTACAAACCGGCCAAACCGGCCAAACCGAACAAACCGAACAAACGGCCGATGACGCCGCCATGACAGCTGCCGCCCGCTGATTGGCTGCGGGGCGGCCACCAACCAGACACCGCCGATTCCCCGCAACGCCCCGTGATTGGCATATCGTCCGACTTTCTCGCTTTCTCGCTCTTCCTCTCCCCAGCAATTGACTCCAATCTTCTTGTATGCCGGGATCTTGAGCCTTCTGCTCTGCTTGCCATTGTTGATTCCCTTCCTCTTTGATCGAGGACCGAGTCCTCTTCCCCCACCCCACCTGATACACCCACTCATCCACCATGACGGACCGAGTCCCCGCCGAAGCGGTGGCCGATCCCTCCAACGGGTCGGCCGTGCCATCCCCCCGATCCAGCACCGACTCTCGCTCCTCCTCCGTGCGCAGCCAACCCTTGCGACTCTCCCATGGCGCATCAAATCACCAACACCGTCACAGTCTGAGCGAGACTCTCCGCGGGGCTCCCCCGGGGTCCCCGCGCTCGCGACGACAGCCGTCGCTGAACCAGTCGGCCATCCAAAGTTTGATAGACAACCCCCCGGCCCCGAACCACGCCAACCCCGCATTCGCCGGCCGAGACTGGCGGGGGATCTCCATCGGGGAGCTCGTCAGTCCGGAGGATTTGAAATTCGTCGAGATCGGCACGGGAATTGAAGAAGCGACCAACGTGCGTTCATGAGGTCATCGCGGAGAGAAAGTGTCGTTGGATACGGATGATGGGAGAGAGAAAAAGCTGACGAGTGTTTCTTTGCGACTGCTCAGGTCTTGATCGACACGGGGGCTCCGGTGCTCCTGATCCGTGAGGATTCCCAGCAGAAGTCGGCCGTGGGCACGTTTGATTACTCCGATTTGAATGCGTACCTCCTTCTTGCGGCGGGCCTGGCGCGCCCGGACGATGAGATGCTCGCATCCTACGAAGAACTGGCCCGCAAGGCCCGCGAGGGGCTTCCCATCCCGCTGCGGGATGTCAAGGATCTGGGTCGGAAGGAGCCGATGACGACGCTGCCGGCTTCGGCTAGCGTGATGACGGCGGTCGAGACGTTTGGTGGAGGCGTCCATCGCGTTGTAGTGGTGGATGACCATGATGGGAATGAAGTGCTGGGGATCTTCAGCCAGTTCCGACTGGTCAAATTCTTGTGGGAGAATGGGCGCAGCTTCCCGGTGCTTGATCAGCTGTATCCGCAGGCGCTGTGGGAGCTGAGGATCGGATCTCGCGATGTAGTGTCCATCAAGTATGTTCTTTCCCCTTCCACCTCTGCCATCTCCCGTCAGGTTTCAGGTTTAAGGACATGGCCTGACAATGTGTTTGCAGCGGAGACAAACCTCTCAGCGAGGCGCTCGGAATCATGAACGACGAGGGAATCTCGTCCATCGCCGTAGTGGACAATCAGTTCAATGTGGTGGGCAATATCTCTACGACGGATGTGAAGGTGAGTGAAACCGGACACGATTCTAAATTAGATCCGCGGCCTGATTGAGCAGCTTCTTACGCGATCCTCATCGCTACCCTTGTTGCACAACACCTGCGCGCATTTCATCTCGGTGATTCTGTCCACGCGTGGCTTGATTGACGGCCAGGATTCATTCCCTGTCTTCCATGTGAATCCTGGATCGACTTTAGCGCACACCGTTGCCAAGGTGGTGGCCACAAGATCTCACCGGTGAGTTTTCATTCCTCGACGTAGATACCTTGTAGCTCTGCGGAGGGAGGGGGTGCATGCTAAGATGCCACGATCTTAGGTTGTGGGTGACCGACCCCTTGTCTCCTTCATCCTCGGGGCCTTCGACGCCCTCGCACTCTTCGGTACACATTCCCCTACCCCCCAGTATAGCGCAGACGCAACCTCCGCCGTCACCCTCGACAGCCAACGCCGCACCGCTGCCTCCGGCGTTCAGCAGTCAGACGCAGCCCTACTCGACCGTGCCGCACACGCCCTCGGCCGGCATGGGGCCGTCGATCCCGGTGTCAGCGCTCCCGGGCGCGCGGCTGTCGGGGCGGCTGGTGGGCGTGGTCAGTCTGACAGACATCTTGAATCTGCACGCGCGGGCCAGTGGCTTAAGCCCGGCGGATCCCGCCGAGAGTCGCAGTCGACGCCGACGCAGCAGCAGCTCCAGCGTCAGCGTGCGGCGCAGCGGGGAGATTGGCCGGGAATTATTCGGTCGATAGACATGCTCCTTTCTTTGGCTTTTTCTTGTTTTTGCTTTTTTGCGCATGCACGTCCCGTACAGAGTTCATTCAGCCCTATTTGCTTTCTGTTCCCCAGTACAGTTTAGTTCGTTTAAGCTTCGCTAGAGCCATCAGAGTCAAGTCTGAATGTGAATGAATCGCCACTTTGAAATCAATCCTTGAGCCTCGCTTGCCCTGAATAGTGACTGATCAGCGACCTTCCTAAATTATAGTTATCGAGATCGTTGGAATTAGGCATGTCCGAGATCTGTTCTCGTCCAATCAGCATGCCGCCACGATCTTCCACATTCCGACTTGATCGTCCCTGTCACCCTTCGGTCCTTGACAGTGACAGACCCCTTGGGGCAATAATTCGCATATTTGAGGCCATGAAAAAAACAAGCAAAAGGGACCGTCGTGAACTGGCCGCCCGAGATCCACCGACCAGACTGGCTCATTCGTCACCCACTCCCTCGGACACCCTAACCCTGGGTCTGAATCCTCGTCAAACCACCCAGACAAACCAGAGATCAGAAGGGAGAGACTCAATCAGCATCGACAGACGTAATCCCGCACACGCAAACCAACAACCCCCACCCCTTCGTGGCTTCTGGTACGCTAGTACGCTACCTGAGGAGCCCTCCTTACCCAACAGAGTACCGGACCAAGCTCTCTACTTACTTCTTTGGGTATTTCGTCTCCCCGGGCCCTTGGGATCTGTGGACAGGGTCGGCGGGTCACCAATCAGAGTGAATAGCGCGGTTCAGTGGAGTTTAGGTCATTTGGGTTTCCTTTTTTTTTTTTTTTTTAACCCTCTGTTCGCTGTCTCTCTGTGTATGTGATCTGCGAGGTGGAGAACGGGGAATGCCGAACACTAGTTAACTGACTCGCCTCTCTGAGAGGAACTGTTTTTGAGGTTCTTCGCTTGGACCTTACGTGTCTACGTACCTTCTTCCATGGAGGGGGTTGTTTGGGATGTGCTGTTTTTGAGGTGTGGAACCGGTTGTTGATTAGACTAGTAGTTACGCAGTAGGGCAGGCAGCAGCAGATCGACTGAGCGCTGCTTTTGGCTGCAGTCCGGAGCGTGGGGTGAGCGCAAAAGTGCGTGTCCTGAGCGATCTCTGAGGGCTCCCGGATTGCTCCGGCCCCGACCCTTTTCGACATCGAAATGGTTTACTGCGCCAGGCGCATTGCAACTTGTCATCCGATCAAGAGCTTGGTCTTGCTGACCGCCATTGCTCCTTCTTCTAGAGCGTACTTAACTAGCTGTCGATATTGAGTTCTAAGGATCCTGTAGAAGCCTGTATAGGCTTTAATGCGCTCAATGCTCATTAAAACGTCAACACGTGACTCCAGATATATGCCTCCTCCCGTGACCCCCTGGCTTGTCGCCATCCTTCTTCCAAGTCATCCTGCCTTCTGGATTGTGAGCCTCATAAGCTTCTCCTGACGTGGAAGCTTCAACCGTTGATCCAAAGAAGTCATGGAGTTATATGACATTTGTCCGTCCGAGCTTGTGTTCAAAGAAACCGTTCACACCTTGAGTACTCAACTGTTTTTCTTGTTGTGGTTCGCGGCCATTGTTGTATTATGAAAGTAGTAAGCGTCTTGAGGAACAGAAATAATCTATCGGTTTGTCTTATTAATATACACAGCATCGTGGAAGGGGTCCCCGACGTTACTACGAGCCGGAAGACCGTGAACTGGACATCCATGTTCTCGAATCGACTGCATACCGCCGCTTGAAAGACAGAGGCCTCTGCGATAGTGGTATTGTACCCAACTTCTTGGGAGCGATCAGGAACCTGGACCCGTCCTTATACGGGTCGAATCTCAGCATGTTTTGGGGGGACAAATATCCCCCAAGCGCAATATTCCTGGAATACATTCCAAATGTGGAAATGATTCATCTGCACAACTTCACAGAAAAGCGGATGGATGGATTTATCCAAGGAATTCATGAAATCCACCAGGCTTCAGTATGCCATCTAGACCCGAGACCGCGGAACATGATGGTAGTCCGAGATGATCCTGAGAGAGTGATTTGGATGGACTTCGACCGAGCAGAGACCTATGACTGTGATGATTTAACTGATGAACAAAAACACATTTTGCAAGAAGAAGAAGTAGTAGTTAAAGAGTTAAAGCAATGCTTGGTGGGTCCCTCTATATGCATGCTCTTCTCATTACTAACTGGACATAGCAAGCAAGCTGATTATTGCAAGGGAAAGCTAGAGGAGGCTTACCTATTCTACTGTACATAGTGTATGCTATATCATCTTTAGTTCTGTAGTGTAGCAGTTTAGGCCTAACCCATCGGAACAATCTCCGGAAAGGCATCGAGGTATCATGGATCTGTAGTTTACGCACGGTTTAGAGAGCCTGTGCCAGTCACGTGGGTTACGGTCGTAGCGGGAGCAACCGGGGTGTCCGGTGCGTGCTCGGTGAGCAGTCCGTGAGTGTCCCAGAGCGCACATGGATCGCTGACATGCTGCCCTTATAAAAGCGGCGACACCCCCAATTGGGCAAAAAGCAGCTCACTCATACACTAGTAACCGATCCCACGTCGATGGTATTGGAGCTAGCTATACTAGGTATAGGATCAGGGTTGATATCGTACTGGGAGGGATATCTAGTATCCCCTTCATTCTCTCCATGCCATAGATTCAATCGAACAGGTTTATTCTCCTACTTGTTAGTCTCTCGTCCTTGAGAAAGGAAGCCAACAAACCACCGACTTATGAACATAGTTTCTATGAACATCCCCTCTTCATTAGCCCACAAACCATAAACCATAGTCCATAACATACCCCACCCCATAATAGCCACCTAGGAACTAGACCCTCCACCACACCAACCTGGACACACCCAAACTTCCACCAGAAAATAAACTCACCCAAGAAGAAGGGGACAGGGAAGAAAAGCGAGTGATTGAATTTAATTGACTTACACTGAGGTCAAGTTACTGCATGCATGCGTGCGTGTCTGGATGCGTGCAGCCTTGGATGCTGATCCACTGCGAGTTAACTTTATTTTTAGTTCGTTGCGCTAGGTAGGTTCAAGGTTGGGGGGTACAGAGTCTTAATGTGGTTACTACACGGAGGTGATGGTTGAGATTGGGTTAAACGGCTGGATTGATTTTTTTCCCTCTTGCTGTTGTTGTTCCCATTTGGGTTGGTGTGGGGGAGGGTCCTGGCCTTCTGGGTTTTGTCGTTTAGGTTAGGTGGGTTGTTTGTCTGTGTCTGTTGTCTAGGTTGGACTAGAGGAGAGTAGAGTAGTGTCTTGAACTTTGAACTGGGTAGATTACTAGGTAGTATACCTGTAAGTAGTATGCATATATAGTGAGGAGATTGAATATCAAAGACACCCTCTCTACAGATCCAACTACTTCCACTATATAAGAGCACGCAGAAAGTAACCAGCAATCCAATCCAATCCAATCCATTGACCAATAATGCATGCCCCGCGTTCTTAAACCCCGCCGTAGAACAAATGAGAAAAAAGCCTCAACCTCAACCAACATCCTGAAGGTCAACGGAATAGGCATGGGTGAGGACTCATCCAAAGCCAGGGCCTTAGGTAAGGATTACTCGAGCGGAACTAGCACTCATCCAGAGGAGGGTTCCCAGGGTGCGCCGTGCAGCCAAGCCAGGCCGATCCGCTGGATCGACCGCTTTACGGGATTAGGACTAGGCGGGTCTTTTTTTACCGGGTCAGTGTCACCCGTACAGCAGACGCCGGGCAGACAGGCAGACAGTACCTGGGAGAGTGCCAGACTGAATACCGAGCCGTATGGTATTGTAGAGCCCAGAAGTACACTAGCCGGATCCAGTGGACCCACACAAGCTGGCATTGGTCTGTGCGGGTGCAGCGTCGATCCTGTCCCGTCGCTTCGGGTCCATCCTTATCGGATCAGAATCTACGTCGTATCCTGGGGGTAGAGGGAGGGGGCCTGATTTGAAATAGAAGAACGAGGGATTGAAAAGACCGTCAGCTCGTATTCGCGCGTCACTTCCCTTCGACCTTCCCAGGTAGGAGGAATTTTCTAACGTCAGCGTCTGGCTCCGGTCCATCAGTCGAGAAGAGATAAGGGTCCCGCACTTCCCGGAAGCTCTCCTGGGAACCCTGACGTTAGACCCCGGAGATTGGACGCTGGAAAAATGTGATCAGCCAAGAACGAGAATTCCCAGAATCCCAGAATCCATCACCGTGATTGTACCACCCGCCGTCGCTGGGTCGAGTTCCCCAAACTCTATCGATGTTGCAGCCACCCCGGGCCTTGCTGTTTGCGGATTCGTGGCTCCGCGGCAGCTCTGCCTGCCCCCTTTTGCAACCCTCCGCTGGAAGAGAGTACCACCGTCTCCACTGCTCCTGGCTTTGCACGGGCAGGACTGGCGTCTCCATCCCCTGTCTGTCAAAAATCCCCAGGATTCTAGCCCCTACCGGTCAAGCGCACCGATTCAGAAGAAAAACTTAGATTTTCTATCCGTGGAAATCCACCAACGAATGAAGCAACCAAATAGGTTCACGAAGAAAAGAAACCGACCCAAAGAAAATGTCCAGCCTTTAGAATTATCATACAGCCCACTCCTAACCAATGAAGAGAAGAAAATCAAATCAAATAGAAACGCCAACGATCCCTGGGTATTGTCCCCTGACCGGGTTCCCTTTCCGTTGAACGCAACGCCGCGGAGATTGCGTGTTACATTCGACGGAAAAATAAATCCACGCACACACAATAACACAAAGAAAAGGGTGAAAAGTTTTTGGGCAGTTGCAAAATGTGGAGTCAAGAAAAGTAAAAATAGAATCCCCCTCGATTACCCCTCCAGCAGAAATGAAAAAAAAGGAAGTTTATGCAGTGATGGGAAAGTCGTCAAATGCAACCAAGTCATCGAATTTAAAGTCCCCCTCGGTCATGGGTGGGGTGTTGGTCAACGTAAATGCAAACTGACTGAAATCGGCATAATCCGGGTCGATCCCGTCGTGCGAGAAGGGGACCGTCTCTTCCTCCTTGCCCAGGGTCTCGAACCCCGTCATGTCGGGGTGTCGGCTGGTAGACGTGGGCGAGTGAGGAGTGCTGGGGGTGGGACAGAGATCAGGGGTCGGCAGAGGTTCGGTGCCCACCATCTCAACCTGAGGCGACGTCGTCCCCGATGGGAATCGTTGGGGTTCGGATCGGACGCGCGTGTGTTGGGACATGGGTCTAGGCCCCTGGACGGAGGAGAGCCCATGCACCGGGATGACGGGCGCAGATCCCATACGATCCCTGAACTGCTGCCGAACAGGCATGCCCATGTCCCCGGCCAGAGGCGGCATCGGGGAGGGCTGCAATCCTGCCCAGGGTGAGCGAAACGACGGCGGGCCGAAGGCTTGCGCCTGCCATGCGGGCCCCGTCGAAGGCGTAGCAGCGGCGATGTATGGTGGGATCTGGCCCGACGAGGCAGGGACCATCTCGGGATACGACGGCGGAGTACTCCCGTCGTATGTGGGGGACATCATGTAGTGGTGGTTATGGCTCACCGCCACGGGACTGGTGGCAGGACTGCCGTTCATGCCCTCCGAGATGGAAGCGCGCATGCCGGACAGATCCAGACTCATCTTGCGGATTCCGCCGCCGATCGAGGCGCGCGGCGTCATATTAGCAGCCCGACGCTGCTGAATACCCTGGGGAGACGGACGGGTCGCCAGTGCCGTGAGAATGTGATGATGGAATTGGTCTTGGATCTGCATGTTCTGCGCCTGAAGCATGCGGCTGATCTTCTCCTGATAGCGATCGTCCACTTCTTCGTACATCGCCTCTTTCTCGACGATCTCCCGGGTGATCAGGAGGCCTTTACCGGTGCGCTGCTTGTGCAGAGCGGAGGCCCGGTTGGCCGATTCCACCCGAGCATCGAGACTGCGATCCTTGCGTCTGGACGCCGCAATAAAAGCCCTGCAACATCGCTCGATTAGACAAGAGGAAATCAAGAGGGGATCGAACGTGATGCTCACCGCTCCTGGTTCTCTTCTCGCGTACGAGGGTTAGGAGAAACCTCGAGATCAATCGACGGGGAGGCCATGACAACCAGGTCACAAGAAAAAAAAAAAAAAAAGGTTGAACAAGAGTCTGAGAACAGGTCAGGCTAAGAGGATGTCAGGAAGAGTTCAAGCTCTGTCAGTTCATTTCAGAGGCAGCTCGCAATGAGAGTGATGTAAGAGTAAATACTGCAAGACCGAATAGTTAACCAACACGAGACAGGCTGTCGGAGGGAAGATGGGCAGAGGGAAGATATTAAATAGAGAATCGCGAGGAAAGCGGATGGAGGGGGCCTATCCACCCGGACCCAACGGTATAAAGTTTGCAGGAGCACAGGTAGCTAGCTGTCAGGCATGGAACCGACATTGGCAGTAGTAGCAGCAGCCAGTAGCCCCGGGCAGCAAGCAAGGTCTAGACGAGCCATGGGGCAGAGTAGAGAGGATGCGCCGGGTCGGTGAGTTTGGGGCCGGTGAAAGTCTCGCTGGGGGGCGTTCCATGGTTCCAGGCTCGCCCAGATGTGTCTCCCTGGCGGTACCCAGAGGGCAGGGTGGCCATGGATCCGATGCTACTCAAGCGAAGGAGAGAAAAAAAAAAAAAAGGTGAAGATGAAAGAGGGAAACCCGATGGGAATTGGGTGCAGAGCCAGTGCAGAAGGCCCCGTAGGAGCAACGGAACCAATTTCCAGGAGGAACGGAAGCGAATCAAGGGCGCTGTTTTTCCCTCGGACTTGGTCTTGGGGGTTTCTCCAGTTTGTCTACCAGTGACTTTCGAGCGGCCATGGAACGAGATTTAGTCAGGCCTGACGGAGCAGTACTTGTTCTCGTGAAGTGCCAGAGGAAGGGGGGAGTGGTAGGAGTGGTAGGAGTAGTAGTGGCAGTAGTAGTGGTGGTAGCCCTCGTCGCCTACTAGGAGACTTCTGACTTGGCAAGTACCTTCTCTCTCGAGTAGGACTCGGGATGCTGCAGACAGCCGCTGCAGACTGCAGACCGGATCGTTCCTTCCTTTCCTCTGCATCGTCTGCTCCTGCGAGAAAAGCGAAGAGAAAATCCGGGGGAAACCTTGCGGGTTTCCTGTCCGCTGATTGGCCGATCCCGCTCCCAACCGGGCAAGAAGTTCTGCCGATCGATCGGCGCACGGGCCCGATGTCGTAAGCAGGCGTGACCATCTGGTACCGTATCTGACCATTAATACGCCCTTCTTGGCCGGGGAATTCACGGGAGGATCGTATGGCGCCTGAAAGACCGTAATTCGTCGTAGTTCGGCGATCGCTGCTGCTCTCCACCAGCTCTCTTCTCCGTACTCCGTTCCTCTACTACACCTACTGCCTCTACCTACATAGCTATCACTACCATCTAATATACCCACGTCGTTCAGGAGACCATGCCGTCGGAGATCCCCCTTGAAAGTGCCTCCTTCTACATAGGTGCTAGCCCGTCTCCCGAAAGACAATCCCTAGAATCTACCTGCCAGAGCATCGGCTCGTCCTTAAGCTCCGAGAGAATGCGCCTAGACTGCGGCCGTTGAGCAACGTCGAGCTGTCTAGGCGATCGGCTCCAGACGATCAACGGGGGGAGAAGGATGAGGCGATAAGGTTGCCCCGACCACTAAAGGCCACGGAAAATTTCATTGCCAATAATCCAGGGAAGGTTAAGGTACCATCCATTTTCCCCCGAGTTCTCGACGCCCGCCAATCCGGTTTTTGCGGTGCCTCGTGTCTCTTCCCCAACGGGGCAGCCTCCCTCGACCCTCGGCTCTGAAGCAGGGAAAAGGAGGCCTCTTCCCAGCCATGGCTTTTGCGGGGTAGGCATCTGGGAGGGGAAGATGCGATGGCCATGGCGGTGCGCTTCTTTCGCTTTTCTTTGCTCCTTCTTTCTTATTCTTTTTTTTTTCTTTGGGTAAGAGCTGTCGGTTGACTGCGTTCGTGACGGTGTGGTATACCGTGGACCGTTCCTGCAGCTGCCGACAACAGAGCCAGACAGCCACGATCCGCCCGTCAACACAATCGCCTTATCTTTGGGGCCAGTGTGTTAGTTTGCCACTCTCGCTCTCGGCCTAGGCGGGCCTAGCCGACTCCAAGGTCCAGATGACCGATGATCAACCCTTCGCTCGCTACCTCGTCCTCTCCCTCTCGCTGCTGATCGACAAACGTTACGACCGAAGCTAATCGCCGAACTAGAGCGAGTCTCTTCCATCTGCTCCATCTGCTCCATCCGATCCTGGGGGGACCGAAAAAGCATCGGACGGACTTCCAGGTAACTTACTCCGTCCAGGGTTTCGGCCGAACGCCACGGACGACGCCACTCCGGGCATCTCTCGTGCCTTTCCTTTTACTTCCCTTAAATCATAATTGTCAATCCGTTGTCGACAGGGCGGATTCCACCGGTCCGCCTCCCTCCGTATCGGGCAACACCCGAGGCAGAGACGGTGGCGGAGGCCCCAAATTCAATTGCAGTCTTCTCCTATCGCTCAAGAATGTATAACAACATCGTCCATGTGGAGGTGGCAAGAAGAAACAAAAAAGAAAAAGAGATGAAAAGACAGATCAGGTATAAGCATATAACAACAAATGCAGGCTGTCGAAAGCTAACACGCAGAAAGATCCGTAGCGAACGTTGCGTAGAGTTTCCTAGGCAATCCCCAGCGCCGGCACCATGCCCTGCTCCTCTTTCCGCTCGTTGCCCATCCGGTACGACACCTTGAATCGCATCTTAATTGAGTTGCCCTTGCCTGTCTCGACTCCGTCCACCAGCATCTCCTGCTGCACCCCGTTGGTCTGCTGAGGGCCCACGTCCCGTCCCGATTGCGGCCGCAACTGTAATGTGTATGACTATCAAAGGAATGAGCAATGGGCCAAAAAAGTGAAAATTAAACAAACAAAGAAAAAAAAAAAATAAACAGACGGGGTTTGAAGCATACCTTCTCAACGGCCACCTGGAAATGAAGCTCATTCAATGGCTGGGACGTGGCGTTGGAGAACAAGGCCACCACATGAATTAATCGAGGTTGTTGCGGATGTCGTCGCGCCACGAATTCAATCCGCAGCGACGTGTTCAGCACCTGCACCCGGTTCACGCTGGGCAGGGCGCTCGTTTCCGGCAGCGACGAGGCGAAATTCCACTCGTCGTCCTCCTTCGCCACGCTATTGGCCGGGCCCGTGGCCGACGCAGCCGCCAGATCAAGAAGGGAAGACCCGGCCGCTGCGGGTTGCGCCGGCTTGGGGCTCTGGGACGGGAATGGGCTTGCATGACGGGGACTGGCCGACACCAGCGACGCGAACGGGTCGACCGACGCCGGCGGCGGCGGAGTGGCTGTGTTCTGGGGCTGCGGCTGGGACTGGGACAGCGACGGTCCTGGCCGGGGCGACGGTGATTGCGAGATTGGTTGCGATGAGTTCAACGAGGATAGAATATCGTAATTGGGTTGGAATCCGCCGGGGGCCTGTTGGACGGGTGGCGTGGCAGAGGCCGCTGGCGGGTTGGCTTGGATTTCATGAGTTAGTGAAGAACAGGTCAGAACACCAGACCCCGGGATTTTTTTTATGCTTCCAAAAGGTCGGCCAGTCAGCTGGTGTTCACTTACAAGGTCCCAGCGAGATTCCTCCTCCCATAGGGGCTGGCTCATCTATCGACAGTCCGAGAAGATCATTCTCCAACGAGCTACCACCTGCGGCCGCCTGCGGTGCATTGCCGTTGGGGCTGGGTTCCGGGTCGAAATCGATCAACGACAGCTCGTTGTTGGCGTTCTTCGACACTCCGGTCGTCGTGCCCAGCGTACCCTTGGGGATCCGCGATGCAGCCTCAAGATCACCTTTCTTGACAAGCTTGTACCGTTCAATGGTGCGATGTATGCTATCGTTGATTTCCAGCAGTTTGCTCACGGCCTCAGGGTCGTCTGACTCTTCCTCACACATCTTTTGGATCTTAGGGTGTGCGCTTTGCAGGGCGTTGGCAAGTTCCTGGGCCACGATGTCAGTACACCGACTTTGATGAATTGGTCGGACCTTGTATGCCTCACCTCGAACACGTCTCCTTCGGCGACCCGATCTCCCGGCTGCTGGCTCTGTAGCATCTCTTCCAGGATCTTGGCCTTCTGCTGCACCCTGGCCACTTCTTCCGCCGCTTTGGCTCGGTAGTCGGTTTTGTGACGGTTGTCGAACCCGGCCATTACCTTCATCAGCCGGTTGGCCTCCTGTAGATCCGCCGGCGTGCCTCGTCGGATAAGTTCCTGCAACTTGGCCGATTGAGCCTCCCGCTCTTCCTCCTCCATTTCCTCTGCCGACCGGAGGTTCTAGGGATGGTCAGTCGGGGTCCGTTGTGGTTGGCGCAAATGGGGGAAAGGAAGCGGAATGGGACCTACGTCGCTGGGATTCAGGACGGCGGCATCTTCCAGGCGAATCTCCGGGAAGACGTAGCCCTTGTAGAGAAGAAGACGGTGCATATCCCGGATAAAACCTAAATCTTCCTTGTATCGGGACGTTTGGCAGATGGTCTGACGCCATTCTTCGATCGATTCCAGAATGCGATGTTGAACTCTCGAGGGACGCAGAGACGGCCTCTCGGGGAACCGGCGCACCAACTCATTCAGGAACTCCTTCGTGCTGATTTGGAGTTGAAAGGGGTAACCGCAGTTCTTGACGCAGATATCGAGAAGCTACCGTGGCATCCAAGATTGTCAGCCCCGCATCCGACCAGATGGCCTCGAAAACACCTTACCGATAGCGCCAGCAGCGCGACATTCTGGTTCCGCGAGTTGATCAGACGGACGATCTCGAGGGCGGCCTCCCGGGGACTGTAAGAGAAAAGTAAGAGTGCGCCCTTCCCCTCTCCCTCGACCAGGGCCAGATCCGCGACTCACGCATTGCCTTTTTTGGAGTTGACCAGGTCCGCAACTTCGAGGTTCAGGGCGAGGTTCGGTTCGTAGTGGGAGATGTCGCAGGCATTTCCTGCAAGGATGCGAAGATGGTCAGTCAATGTGCCATGCCGATTGGTTCCAAGGCCGGGGAATTGTCTCGACGTACGAATCGCTCGCTGCAGTGGTGTCAGGCCCAGGTCAGCGTAGACACCACCAAAGCGGTCCCTAGCTGCCATGCGTGCTGAAGCGGCCTCCAGGGTGACGACGGAGGAGAGACGGGATTAGAAAAAAGGGGGAGGGAGAGAAGAATAAACCAAAACTCCCGGATGGGGATCCAGCGCCGAGGGGTATATAATGAGGACGATAAACCTGTGGGGGGAAAGATGATGGGGAGAGGTTGGATCGTGCCAACGTTAGGAGTGCGTGGTTTAGTCTTCCACGTGTGGCGGTTCCGTCGTCGGCCTTCAGCAGATCATCTCTTGGGCACTTTCCACCTCCTCCGTCGCATCCCCCCAGAACAACCGGCGCACCGTCGCGAAATTCTCCCCTTGTACAGCGTCTGCACAGATTCCGCCATGGTCCGACACAAGAAAGACAACTTTTCGCGAGGAGGCAAGAAATTCGCCAACCCCCGCCCACGCCCTGTACCCCGCGGTGACGGTGAAGCCGCCGACAGACCGGCCTTCAAGGCTGCCTGCTGGGATTTGGGTCACTGCGATCCCAAAAGATGCTCGGGGAAACGCTTGATGCAGTTCGGATTGATGCGAGAATTGTCGATCGGGCAGAAATTTCCCGGCGTCATTGTCTCGTAAGTCGTCACTCTTTCTTTCTTTTTTTTTTTCTCTCTGGCCTCCCAGGTTCTTGTCGCGATGGCTTCCTACAGTCAACTGACACGATCGCTACAGTCCGAATGCGAAGAAAATCCTGTCCCCTGCCGATCGCGAACTACTTGAACAATTCGGTGCCGCCGTGGTAGAATGTTCCTGGGTGAGGGTGAAGGAGGTGCCGTGGTCACGAATCGGCGGGAGATGCGAAAGACTCTGTATGCTGTAGCCAGCCAATTTCAGGATGAGTGAGACATATGCTAACGGAAACCAGTGCCGTACTTGATCGCAGCCAACACAGTTAACTACGGGAAACCCTGGCGACTCAACTGCGTCGAAGCGCTCGCGGCCTGTTTCTGTATCTGCGGACACGAAGACTGGGCTCGCGAGGTCCTCAAACACTTTCCTTACGGCGAGGCATTCCTTGAGATCAACTCCAAGCTTTTTAAGCGATATGCCGCCTGTCAGACCGAGGAGGATATCAAGCGGACGGAGGAGGAATGGCTGGCGAAGATCGAGAAAGAATATGAAGATAGCCGCGCCGAAGGGGGCGCCGACGATATGTGGACAGTCGGAAACACGAATCGCAAAGCCGGGGTAGATTCCGACTCGGAGGAGGATGACGATGAAAAAAGCGACAAAGATGACGAGGAAGAAGAAGAGGCGGATAAAGACCCCTTCGCTATCTCCGACGATTCGGAGGAAGAAGAGCAAATGGCTGAAATCCGACGCAAAATCCTCAGTTCGAAATCGTTCCAGAATCCCTCGGTTTCCGACAAACCGCAGCCCGAAAAGATCGCACAACCGGACCCAGAGCCGGTCGAGGACTCGGATGCCGAGTCAGGATCTGCTGAGGGCAGTGATGATGAAGCCTTCGACAATATCATCAATGCGACGCCCGTGACGGACCGAACAGGAATCATCGCCGCGTCCCAGAAGAAGAAGAAAGAGACTTACAGTGCCTCGTTTTCTCGCACGACGATTAATGCTCCCAAGAGGTGGTAGATTATGAACCCTACCTCGACGAGGTACTATGTCCAAAAAGTTCCTTTATAACGACTGCTGCTCTTTTATCGCTTTCAAATCATCGGCATGGACGGCTGTACAGCGGGTCCTGGTCAAGAGATCAAATTTACGAGAAAATATTTTGTTATGTATAGTACCATGAATGAGATGAACCAATTTAGGACAGGTTATGCTATGAAGCTTGACGAAATTCTGAAGGTGCATGAAGGTGCCTGAAGGCGGCCTGTCAGGAACACCTCCGCTTCCTCCTCGCTTCTTCTTCCTCTTTTCCCTTCCCACACGCATCCCCCATCGGATCATGAGTCAACCAACGTTGTCTTGGTTGATTGGTGCATCTGATTCAGTTGGCTCAACTATTACAAGCCGTCTCAGATCGATCAATGTCCTTTTACGCCGCGGAAAACAGGGCGTGGGCAGTAAGTACATCTGATAGAAGCATCGCCTCGCTCAACCTACTCGCTACGACACCCTTGGATAACACCAGCGATTACGCGCTATAGATCATACCCTGCAGATAAAGTTACATCATATTCTTTAAATAGGATGCAGAAGATTCAGAGGCAGCAACAATCCCCTGTCGTCCTGTGAGTAATAATAGCGCCGACCTCACGTTCACTGGCCAGTGTCACATTCTGACCCACGTTCCTGCAGGGTTATTTCACATTCCGGCGACTGATTCGGTCAGATCTCCCATCATCCCCTTAGGATGGTCAGCTGCCGGCTGAGAAACCGACTGATCTGATAGGATCACAAGTCTCGCCGGGCTGACAGGAACTCGGGCGCCAAGCGGCAAAGCGTAACCTCGTTCGGTGCGCATGCTTTATTCGCCGCGAACGCTTGATCGCCAACCCTCCATAACCGCCCTCAGCCTTAATCTCCCCTAGTTCGCCTGACTGTCCCTGATGATAATGACTCAGATCCCTTTTCTGCCAAACAGCGGCGGCAATGTCACTGCCTCGTGGCTTAGAGATGAATGCGACGGGGATGTCTGCGACGATCACAAGGCCGAATAGTATTCATGATTTCTTATAAGAATGGATCGATAAATTCTAGGCGTTTCGCAACCGGTAACACTGCTTTGCTTTCTTCTCTTCTTTCGGATCTTTCTTTTTCCCCATATCATACAGATAGAAAGTCTTTTCCAAATTCTGGTCATTTGAAGCATCTGTTTGTTTACATCAAACAATGATGAAGCGCCCTGCAGTTGTTGAGAGGGCGGGTTCGTCCACTTCACGAAACAAAGATTCCCAAGTAATCAAGAAGCTTGAACGACTCGGAGGCCGGCCGTGGAAGCGAGAATGGCACATGCTCAATCTCCTCACTTCCTTCCTATGGAAACAACCGTCAATGCAAGCAGCCGACGTCCATCAACACACAGTGTGGTTATTCGACAACACCGCTTACCAGCGTGTCACTCCCAAACCCGCCGGACAAAGACGATGGCATGCCGAAGTTGTCGCTTGTATATTCGAGAAGGATAGCCGCAAAGATATCAGCAAAATCGTTGCAACGATCGCAGATCTGATTGGTCTTGACGGAGAAGTAGGTACCGAGAGGGAAACGCGCCATCGGATGGCCGAACGACTGCGGCCATTCTTGCATCATGTTGCGTCGTCACACTTGATGATGCTTGAAACCCCTCTGCCAAACAACACTGCGCTCATTCGACAGATCGGGCCTACGGATGGCAGTGGCATTACCAGTCAAGTAGTGACTCTAAGCAACAAACACATCGCCGATGGGTCCTCGCTACCATCATATCTCCGAGGCTGGGGAGGCAACGTGTCCATGAACACTGTCTTCGCAGGACCGGAAGGCTGGCTCGTCATATCCGACATCGACGACACGATCAAATACACGAAAACTTCCGAGTCGACCGGGATTCTTCGCACGACCTTTGCAGAGGAGCCAATGCCCATCGCGGGAATGCCTGAACTTTATTCCCGTATCCACAGGGAGCTCGCACCAGCATGGTTCTACCTATCAGCGTCTCCTTACAACCTGTACCCCTTTCTACGGGGGTTTATCCATGATCACTTCAGACCTGGCACGCTGATCCTTCGGGATTCGTCATGGATGGATGTCAGTGAGTTGGTCAAATCCTTCACCGTCAACACCATGGAATACAAGATGGACCGGATCAAAAAGATCCGACGCTGGTTCCCTCAGCGCCAGGTCCTTTGCATTGGCGACTCGACCCAGAAAGATCCCGAGGCCTACGCCGAGATCTATAGGAAACACCCAGACTGGATTCAAGCCATCTGGATTCGAAAGGTCACCGATATTCCCCATTTAGAGGAGAAGAACTCCTCCGAGCGGTTTGAGGAGGCTTTTCAAGGCATCCCAGGCAATGTCTGGGAGGTATTCGAACAACCCGATGAAGTGGCAAGCCTTGTAGATGAATTGAAGATCAACAACATGACATAGGTTCGACTTCATGCCGTATACGTCGAGGGGTAACATCCCCCTTTTTTTCAAGTCGCCTTTCTTTTCTAGCCTCTAGATTTTCCTTGGGAAACAGAAAAGAGAAAAAAAGGTTGTCTAATCACAATGCATTGTTTCGACTCATGAGTGCTGATCCAAGCGTGCAGAGCGGCCCTTACGTCAAGATGAGGGCATGCCACAATCGAAGCCACCTCTCGATTCCTCGCTGCAGGTCCTATCAATTTCTTCTCGTTGATTAAACCTCTCCACTATGCATTGATTAGCCTTTCCTTCTGGCAAGCAATAAACTTCCAGGTCGTCCCTCCGGATGCAAAAGCCTGGTAACTCCAGGAGGCAAGCAATACCCTCCAGGGAGAAGTATACGGTTCCCAAGCCATGTCAGACTTGAATCATCCCAATTAATCCACCGCAATCTTTGGGGATCATCAAGAGTATATTGCCTACCTTGGTCCACGCAACCCTAATTGGAGACGCCATGAGGCCTGCACCGACGACAATGGACGAATAGACGTTCATCCCCAGAACCATGCGAGCACTACCACTGCCCACCTTCGACGGCAACCACTATCACAGGGCTCTTGAATAATTCTCGCCTGGATTCGGGGCTTGATCTTCGACACTGACTTTCCGACGCCCAAGCCAGCCGCGAACCAGCCTGTGCGTCCCAGTCACCAACGCGCGCAGCAACGAGGTCGCCACGCAAACGCTGCAGCTCCTTCGATCTCCATCCCTCTTCTCACACTACTGGCACTGGATATGCACCACCTGCCCTGCCCCCCCCCCCCCCCCCCCCCCCCATCGAGGCGGAGTACCTGCGCACCGAAGCTCAAGACGACGATACCATCGACGCGCCGCTGCCCGTACCCCAGGAGTTCAACATCCCGGGCATCTTCAGTCACCAGGGCTGGGATCCGGTAGACATCGTGCTCGACTGCGCTGGCACTCAGACCTTTCGATAGGCGCACTCACCTCCCGTCGTGAAAGATAACGGCATCGTGTTAACGGCCGTGCAGACCATCCCCGTGCACGACCACACGCCAGGTGAAGACACCCAGTGTCGTCAATGGGGAATCCCTCGCTGCGATTGAAATCAGTCGCTCCGCGCCCGGGTTTCTGGAACCTTATGTTGAGAGTGAATTTTGATGACGCCTTTTACATAATCGGCCTTTAGATATGGATGTGGTGAGAGTCGGTCTGGTTTGATTTGACGATGAATCCATAGAGTATGTCATATTGATACGCATTGAGCGGTTTTTCTTTCCAGCGGTGTATTATAGACTTTATTTTTGTTTCTTTCCCCCCTCTCCTATTGTCAATCTATTCACCTGGCAGACGAGAGTTCTAGTTTCATGACTGACTAAGGCGTAATACTAAATCCATAGAATGAATAATGATGAATAGATTGATAAATTGTCCTTATGGATAAGTAACAACACGGAGGAATGGAAGGAACAGAGGCGCTTAAGGAGATCATAACAGAAATGAGACAATAAAGAGACGAGAGAAAAAAGGAGCTCGAGTCGGCAAGAAAACAAGTGCGAACAAAGTCAAGATACTCGCGCAGGCTATGACCCTCAGTATGATACACGCACACATATGTAGTCTGGAAAGATAAGAATAGGAATAAGGGCAGACACGGTGAAGCAGAGGGGGAGAGAGTAAGACACAAATCAAGCATGGACAGGAAATAGAGAGAAAAAATGGGACAATGGATTGAATTAGAAAAAGGGTGAAGATATAGACCCCGTAGTCAAGAGAAAAAGAGAAGACAGAAAAGGGATGATAGAAGGCTAAAAAAAAGAAGAAAAGGTCATGAATTAAAAGCTCACTCCCTCCTTGCTGCTCCGCTAATTTTTGGTCTCCTCTTCATTTTTGTCTTTCAGCTTCATTTTCGCCAACCTTCCTCGTCCTCTCCTTCTGTATTGATATCTCTCGACCCTTATTCTTTGTGTTGTCTAGGCAATGCTGCAATCCAGCTGGGCTTCGTGATCGGTATGGCTGGGGTGGGTCCGGATAAGGAATAGAACTCAAGGCAATGATTGGACATTTCCTCTCTTTTCCCATGTCCTCGGGTGATGTCGAGCGAGGTCAACCCCCTGTAATCGTGCACACTCTTAGGACGTTTACCCTTGGAGGGAAGGGCGTGACAAAGAGAAAGAAAGGTCGGTGGAGGAACGAAAACAAGCAGACAACAAACAGATGGATGGAGATCGGAAAGATAAGAAACGTCTCGTACAATAATGCATTGGACCGCACTCGGCGGCTGGTTCATATAATGTAAACTCCGTCCAAGTCAACCAGATGCCAGGACACTACTGCAAAGTAGCCAAAAACCGCCCGTCTCGTTTTCCGGAAGCGAAAAAAAGAAGGGATATCATGATCAGGCGAAAAGGCGAGAGGAAAAAGGAAGCAGGGCATATAGGATAGCGCAAGAACTGCGAGATGGAAAATAAAAACAGAGATCGACCTTTCCTAGAGTAAGGAGTCGAGTCTAGTAAACACGCTCAAACATGCTGCAACAATCTGAACAAAAGAAAAGGCCAAGGTTAGCACAAGCAGTATCAATAGGCAAACGGCTATTGCCCAAGCAATGGAATTTCTCAAACGTACCTCCAACTGGAGTTCTTTGTCTTTACCCGAATTCACTTCGTCATTGATGGCCTGGGCCAAGTTGGCACCGATGGCCTGAGAACCACCCGGCCTCCGAGCAAAGGGCCACTGCGAGTACTCGGCCAACAGCTCATCCACCTGCGCAAACGCTCTCTCGCGAGCCTCATGGCTCATCGTAACGAGGGCGTTCTCCAGGACGTTGGCCGCATAGGCGGCGCACACCATCGAAATTGTCCGCAGGTACCGGAATTCAATGTCTTCGGGGAGCCACGTGTTGGGGGGCAGGATCACGGTGCGGTTGCTGCAGATGTTGCGAACCCGACGGTGGATGTCATCTTTCGCGCCCCCGTCGGCGACCGGGTGGGTAGCCATGTCGAAGAGGAGGAAGTTGCGCTTCTCGGTGCGCAAGATACCTTTGTCGACGAGGCCCTTTGCGAGACGTTCGCGCACTTGTTTCAATTGGTAGCCAATCTTCATCAGATTCCACGTTTCACCTGCAGGCCGGCGTTTCAAAGATTAGCCATGGAGATCGATAGATCACATTCAGCCGTACGTACCGCTCATCAGATCGATCCACGAGTTCACGCTCATCTTCTCGCTCGACTTCATCATCTTCAATGCCTCGTCCAGCAAGACCTCCCCAGTCAAAGTATCGTCAATGACCTCGATCACGCGATCGGCCAGAGGAAATCGTCGCCGAGAAGAATCCTTCTGCATGCTAATGCGACCGCGGAGAGCCAACTCGATGACGATGCATCCACGCAGGGCGTAGGAAATGTTCTCGTTCCAAAACGACAGGTACCCCTAACACGAGCGAATTGGAACAGGTCAGCGATCAGACCACCCAGGCAGCACCGGCGCCAGAAACCCACCTGTTTGTCCTTCAATCCCAGCAGCAAGACTTCCTCCATCAGCGTCAGTTTGGGTTGTTTGTTCCGTTCCTCGGTTTCGCTGATATCTCTCGGGTCGAAGGCGATCTTATGTCCGTTTTCGGTGCTGGTAAACGAGGTCTCGGGGACGCGGTTGTCGAGAGCGGAGCCATTGCGAGACACGGGCGAAGACACTCTGCTATCGTCGTTCTCGTCTCCGCCAGTGGCTCGACCGCCACCTCTTCGGCGAGTCAAGCCCCCGGCTGAGGCCATTAGGAAATCTGAGATCGGAGGTCGGGGACGGGAAGGAGCCGGTCTAGCGACAGGAGAGTCGGGAATTCAATCAAACGGATTTATGCCGCTAGCGCCTGCGACATGGGATTTCGGAGGGGGCCAGAGGGGGGTAAGAGGGGGAACAGATGGGGGGTGGAAGGGAGAAGGAATAAGAAGGGGAGCACGAAAGGGAAAAAAAATTTAGAGAGGAAGAGGAAGATAATCCCGAAACGATGGGAGATTATCAGGGGCGGAAAGAGGAAAAAAGCAGAGAAGATCCTCGTGGAGAATGAGAGACCGCGAGAGGGAGAGGGAGAGGGAGGGAGAGAGAGGAAGAGGGTGAGAGAGAAAGAGGGAGAGATTGAGGGCGAGAGAAGTGAGCGTCGGCCAGAGCGAGTTAAATTAGCGGACGGGTCTAATCAATCGATCAAGGGGACCTGCAGTAGAACGAGGGCCGATAAACCACGGCGATGGCAACGGACAGAGCAGAACAGAGGCAGAAGAAAGAGAAAAGAAAGATGAGCCTGTCAACGATCCCGTGTCGCTAAGGCTATCTGGTCTTTAGCGCTGTTTCCGCCTCTCTCCCGCCCAACACGAGCCGCGATATCAACGGCCATTTGTTCGGCTTCATTCTCTTGCGTTACCCCCGGTCCATCCAGCACGCTTCCGGTGCACCGGCTCTTGTCCACTGCGGCCGATCCCCTTCAATAGTTCCTCAAAATCTCCGTATCCCGGTCCTCCCCTGGTGTCCTGATCCACGGTCCATCCGCTCCACGTCATCCACCCAAATGGCCTCTCCACTATGGCGGTTCAGTTCAACGCCCCCCCGTAGATGCGCCCGACCCAACGTCTCCGTCCTGTTGTCGGGCTACAGATCTCAGGTCGCCTCGTTCAGACATTCTAGAGCTTCAACACACCTCCCCTCTGTCACCCAGTCGCAGACAGTATACGCAAATCGGCCGCCGACGACATCAACGGATCAGGAGAAAGAAAGAAAAACACTGCATTGAGATGATATACACGATATAGTAGGGTGAAAAAGCACCGGCATGTATCAGCATACAACGGAGCGCCAACGACTCCCCGGACGATCTCCGCTGGGAGTAGTATACGCCAACATCCCTTTCTTTTTCTATCTAGCCCTCCATCCTATTTCCGAACTCTCGTATTACGTATGTCGTATTTAGTGGGCTGGAACTCAGTCAGCGAGGATGCCTCAAGAAGAGCTTATCACGGCGAGGAAATGACTTACCATCGGGCTGAGCAAGGATGTACTCAACAGCCTTGTCAACTGTTTTAATCAAAGGGATGAGTATAGAGTCTTCCACGATACACCTCGACTGCGGAGGCAACCGGGCTAATCAGAAAAACTTACCGCTGTGGATGGCATCGGCCTCCTTGTCGGGGATCTCGATGCTGAATTCCTGTAGCGAGGGAAGAAATCATGTCAGTCGATGTCCACCAGCGACCTTGATAGATTCAACGGGAAGAACTCCATACCTCCTCAATGGCCATCACGACCTCAACGGTATCCAAGCTGTCCAGTCCGAGGTCATTCGAGAAGTGAGAGGCGCCGCTGATCTGTTGGGTGCACAATTCTTTAGTAAACCACGCTTCCACGCTTTTCCGAGGAGTTCGGCCGGGACGCAATCGCGCCCGCGGGAAGGGTCAGTAGCGACGGACCTTGCTGGCATCGGTAACCTACACATCATCAAGCACGTTAGTATAGATCTTGGAGCTTGCAGCTTGTTTCCGGGCCGACACCCAGGCCAGGGAGGCCATCTGATTCGGCTGCGACGCACCTTGTCAAAGTTCTTCAAGAGGTTGACTATCCGGCCCTCAACCTCAGTCTTGTCGAGACCGGCAGGGGCGGAGTAGAGGCGGACACCCTGGTAGGCAAAGCGAGGGGCGAATTGAGTCGGGCGAGCGACGGGGGAGCTACGGATCTGAGAAGCAACCGGGGTTCTGACGGCACGAGGCACGGAAGCCCTCAAAGAGCGGACGATGGCGGAGCGGAACATGATGGCGGTGGGAGAGAAAATAAAAATTGACGGCGCAGAGGCACGAGTCAAGAGGAGGGGGATAGAATTGGAATGGGGGAAGAAGGAGAGAGATGGAGGTGGGGATCAAGAAGAAAGAGAGGAGAAGAGGAGAGAGAGAGAGGAAACGACGTGATGGTGAAGACGGACGAGATTCTCTCATGCGGCTCGGGGGAGCAAAATCCTGCGGCGGGCCAATCAGGGGGCGGCAGAAAGGCATGACCTAAGCCGCCCGGAGCAACACGCAAAAGTGACTTCGACTTCCTCTCGACTTGCCCCCCTCTGAGTCCCTTCGCCCTCCACCCCCAATTGACTCTCCTCTCCATCCTCTCGCTCGCATCTCCCCCACCCCGCAGAGATGGCCTCCTCCTCTCCCTCCGTCGCGAGGCTAATCGCCTCCCGCCGTCCTACGCCTTCCTCCATCCTGACCTCGTCCTTCCGTCCCTTGGCCTCAACCGCAAACTTCTCCTCCTCGGTGTGCCGGGCGGCCACTCCTGCCGGCCCCCCTCAACCGGGCTTCCGTTTGCCGCCGCCTCAGAAATGGGACCAGGGCGCCGAGTCGTCGCTCGACAAGGCCTCCAAGTATTTCCTCATGGCTGAGATTTTCCGCGGCATGTACGTCGTGCTGGAGCAGTTCTTCAGACCGCCGTAAGTGTGCTCTTCCTCTCTGTCCCCACTCCACGCGAGCTAGGCCCCCCGGATCCTTGTCAATTGGATCGAATATCTCGAGACCGTGTCGTCGCAGCATGAGTTGGGTCTCTGCGCAATGCCCCCTCCGCCGGAACGATCGGAGCTTCGAAACTGACGTGATGCCGCGACACCAGTTACACGATCTTCTACCCCTTCGAGAAGGGTCCCATCTCGCCCCGTTTCCGTGGCGAGCACGCTCTGCGACGTTACCCTACCGGTGAGGAGCGCTGCATCGCCTGCAAGCTCTGCGAGGCCATCTGCCCGGCCCAGGCCATCACCATCGAAGCCGAGGAGCGTGAGGACGGCAGCCGTCGGACGACCCGTTATGATATCGACATGACCAAGTGCATCTACTGTGGCTACTGCCAGGAGAGCTGCCCCGTCGACGCCATTGTCGAGAGTGAGTCCTAGATTCCTCTTGTGTTTTTACTAGTATGTGTGGAAAGAAACTTTTCCAGAGCTAACCTACCTTTTTTTCTCTGCAGCTTCCAACGCTGAATACGCCACCGAGACCCGTGAGGAATTGCTGTACAACAAGGAGAAGCTCCTCGCCAACGGTGACAAGTGGGAGCCTGAGATTGCCGCGGCTGCCAGAGCCGACGCTCCCTACCGATAAAATGCCGTATCGAAAATCGAAAGCGGCTCTGGTCGTCGCACCAAGGGCACTTCTTTATTAGACTTCTGTAATAACAGTGCCAACCCATATCTGTGCAGTCCCGATGCATGTCTTTTGTTTCATGGGATTGTTAGAAAGTCGAGAGAGGGAAAGGAATACTTTTCTCCATATAAAAGATATCTGAGGGTTTTGTTCTTTTTTTTTCCTTTGCTGTGGTCGAAATTTTCCGTCTTCCCACTTTCGTGTATGTACATAACTAACGCTTAGCCTGCCTCATTACCACATGTACTTGTCGAGTTTCCATGGGAGCCTTTCTTATACGGCCCCGGGGCTCTGATTTGTCTGACTGTTTTCCTTTTTTTTATTGTTCTTATGTTGGAGGGAATCCTTCAGGGTTTTGTTCATTTCTGTCTTGTTAGGGAATAAACTTGAGAATCAATTTCTTTTGTGTCTGGCATATTGGCCGTAGAAGCCATCAGGCAAAAATACCATCATACATCCATGGATATACGAAGAGTCGGCTACGCTGGAAGTGTCGGACGTGGGCAAATTCCCTCATATTTGTATGAACAGGTAAAATCGCTGCCTATGCACAGATGCACAAATAAACAAATGACCCCCCAATAGAACCTGAACACCAGATCTCCTGCAGCTCCGTCACTCCACAATTTTTGGTTTTGCCTTTTGACGCGTGTGTTTTTTTGGCTTTTGGTCTCCCTGCGGTTAATCCATCTTGGTATATCGGTCGAGGAAACGCCATGAGAAGAGGATCGCCATCCTTCTAGATACGTACAGCAACTGCATATTACAAAGCTTCCCCTAAGAAGGTCCTTCGGTGCTTCTTTTATTTCTTCTTGCCGCCAACCCTCCCCTCGAATCCGGGTCTGGCCTTCTTCTTGCCTCCGGCGGGTTTCTTGTTCTTGCCGCCGCCGCCCTTCTCCTCGCGTCTCTTGCGCAGGTTGTCTTCGCGCTTCTGCTGCTTCACGTCCTTGCCGCGCTTGACGGCTTCAAGGCGGTCTTTCCACTCGCGCTCGGACTTCTTCTTTGCGGACTCCTTGCGCTTGAGGGCCTTCTTGAGCAGGGAGGTGTCGTCGCGAACACGCTCGCCGTGAGCACGCTTCTTGGCGTTGAGCCACGTGTCTTTCTCTTCGAGGTCGGTCCGCTTCTCCTCGTCGAGTCCCGCCAGGCGAGCCTTCTTGGCCTCGGCTGCCTTGAGGGCTGCGGCGGGGTCTTGAGGGCCGCTGCGCTTGTGGGCTTCCCGCGCATTCGACAGAGTGGGGTCGGCGGTGTTACCATCGGCGAAGACAACGCGGCCGAAGGCGAAGTTGTTGTTCGAGCTGACGGAGTCGGCGGGCGAGCGCGGCGAGGCGAGGAGTGACCCCGAGCCGCCGGGGGAGAAGCGACGAGCCATGGCTTCGTCCTTCGCCAGCTGCTCCTCTTCCCTGGCCTTCTGTCGCAGCTCCTTCTTATGAGCTTTGCGCTGCTCGGCTTTTTGTCGCCGCGCTTCGATCAGCTCTTGGCGGTTGCGAGCGGGCTTGCCATTGAGACCGTCTGCGTGGCGCTTGGCACGGAGCTCATCGAGACGTTTCTGTAACCGTTGCTTGAGTTCTTCGGGTGTGGGCTTAAGCGGCTTGAGTTCGGTGGATGAGGTTTTGGAAGCATCATTAGGGTCGGAAGGGGGAACGATGGAAGATATAGAAGAGCTACCCGATTGGGGATTCGACGTGTCGAAGGCTGGGGAGTTTGGCGATGACGAAACGGACTGCTCTGTCTGTTCCGGGTTGAACTCGAGCGAAAGCCCCTCGGCGGCTTCCTCTCCGTCAACGTCATCGTCCGAATCCTGGGCGGCGGGTTGCTCAGGTTTTTGCACGGCCTCGGCCGCAGGAGTCTTAGTGTCCTTCTTCTGCTGCTCGGCTTGCTTTTCCTTCTTCGCAGTCTCCTTGGCTTTCTTCTTCTCCTTCTGGTTCGCCTTCTTCTGTGCCAACTTCTCTTCCTTCAGCTTCTTGCGGGCCTCGGCATCCTCATTAGACTTTGCTGAGGATTTATCCGAGCGCTCCGAATTTTCGGTCTGCTTTTGCTTCTTGGAGTTGGCGTCGCCTCTGCTGAGCCCCTCTTTGGGGACTTCCGAGCCCAGCTCTTCGGCATCAGACGAGCCAGACTCGTTCTGTTCTTCTTCCCGCTTACGTTTCCGAGCGTTCTCGTCCATCACGTCCTTTGCAGTTTTGGCAGATTCCGGGTCCAATTTGGCTCGCTTGGCCTCGCGGGCTTCCTCTTTGGTCTGCTTCTTGCGTTGCCATTGGTCCTATTCAAGGATTTTCACGGTCAGCCGTGCTTGGGGGCAGAGCGGGCTAGGAGACCGGGGAAGAGAGAAAGAAGGCCGTTTGGCACTGAAGCAAGGGAAGAAAATTTTTGCACGGTAGTCACATACACTGCCATCCTCTCCGTAATAGTACTTTGCAGGAATCAACGACAACAGACCATTGAAGGCCTGAGCATGGCTTCGCAGCCGTTCCTAACGGGAGAAAAAAAACCGGCGTTAATTTTTCCATGCGTGTACAGGTCGCAAAGCGGGGGCAAATGGAACACACCTCGATATCATCCATCTCGGGGGAATTGAGAGTACAGCGGTCAACTCAGATCTCAACAGATACCGTCCACGCGCTGCAACTGGAGGATGACGGGTCTTGAGGGGGATCGAATGTAGCGAAAGCCGCGGATACCTCGAAAAAATTGGGTGGGCGGTTGAAATCTTGGCATCCACTTTTTTCTCCGCTCGGCTCTCACCGCCTGCACACACAGACGATATTTTCTGCTTATCAAACGTGCCGCTCGGCCTATCGCGGTTTGTTTGGTTTAGATGCCTCCAGTTCTCCTCGTGCAGCTGTGGTTGGATCCGTGAATTGTCAACAACACTGATGCTCCACTAACACTAGACTGTCTCCCAGCCATTCCTGCTCAACAGGATACCTAATAATAATTACAGTACCGTCCGACAACTTCTATCTATCCCGCCGATCTATAATTCCAGCGGACAATGCTGCGTCAATCCGGTCTTCGCCATCGCGGTTTCTTTCCAACCCCTGCTAGTCGAGATCGTTCAACGGCGAATACCTATATCCGATCCGATGCGGTCCATTAGATCGCTCGACAACTCTTCCACCCATCCAGATGCTCCATCCAAGCGCATATACCTACTACGCCTGGATCTTCAATGCCTTCGGTATATCTAGGTCGGGACACGCCTCGCTTCGAACGTCCGTGATTTTGTCGTATGGAAATGGAATCGTCCAGATCAAGTCGTACCTGAAAGGAGGCCATCTATCAGTCAACCAGTATCACCAGGGGAGACTTCTAGGCGTTGTTTTCTCTCACCGATCTTCGGGGTACTCCGGCGGGTCCTCAACGCCGAGGTCCCGGGCCATGTCCTGCATCTTCCCGTGTCGCCAGGAGATCAAGATGTTGCCGCATCCTCTATATCTGCGGACCTTCTTCTCGACGCAATGCACCCGATTGCGCTTGCAGGATGTGTCCACGGGTATGTCGAGATCGTCCGCAAGTGGGAGGACGGTTTCGTAGGAGCGTCTATGCTGTCCCTCTGAGCGTAGCTGTCAGCATATCTGTTGCCTTTCGTCTGCTGACGGCATGGCCGGACATACTGGAGTTGACTTTCGGGGCCATAATATACCCGATATCGTATGGTGAGTTGTCTCCGAACACGTCTCGGAGACATTGGGCTCGTTGCACGCCCTCGGCGCTCAGCCCGCTGTCGTTCGGGTCAGGCGGTTTCTCGCCATGGCGAATGATATATACCGTCGGCTTGTGTGAGTAGGGTAGAGCACAAGCTGTGGCGTGCAAGGCGGTGATGAGTAAGGGGATCAGAAAACGAAGGATGATCATGATGGCTCAAGTCCCCGGAGAGACCCTTCTGTAGAATAAACCGTGCTCGTGGAGGAGATTCCCTGCGTCCGAGACAAGTCAAGTAAAATAGCGAAAGAGCTAGGCAGGTAGTGATAACCGCTCGGGCAAAGAGGTTCTTATTGAGAGATAAAATGATTTAATAGTGCGTCGATCTTCAGTCCAGCATGCGAATAGTGGGTTTGCTAGTGGCCATCAAGGTCGAACCTGCACGGTGAGGCGATGGGCATGACATGGTCATCTGAAAAGATACTCGCTCTTGACCGATAGAATAGATGCACGAAGGGAAGGGACCACTCTGTAGGTAAACCACCTTGGGCGACGCCAATGAGCACCTGAGCTTGTACAACATAGCCAAGTTGCTTTCGATTGCCCCGCTATTGCACAGATACTGGGTATGGACAGGTCTCACGCCCAAAAAAAGAGAAAAAGAAAAAAAAGGAGATTCGGTGGGCCGGGAATGCTGGTCAGGCGGGTTGTCAATACTATCCGGATCACAAAACCTTCATGGCGGCCAATCTTGCCGCCTACCAGGGTCAGATGATCGGCTCGACATACATAAAACGTGTGCTATTACTCTGGAACGCCGAATTTGAATGGTAGAAGAAGTGACTCGTCCCAAACTCAATAATAGCCTTATGGTCATCGAGTATCGGCTTATCACCGCATGTTCCTTGCTTGCAGGTGACCCACCGTTCGTATGTAGATCACTCACCACCGCACAACAATAGGAGCGGGCTTGATTTGATTTTAGAATTTCCCATAAGAGGTGATGTTTGGCAGTATCTGAATATATTTTGATTCGGAGCTTCTGGCGATTTTGAAGTGGTTGGTGGTTCCTTTCGTGAGTCGATCGGCTCCTTATATATTTTGATGGTGGTTCTAGTATGAGGCATCATGACATCTTAGCAGACCGCCCTAAGCCACGATTTCCAAGCACTCGGTCTATTGATTAGTATTTACGATGATATCTTGGCCCAAAGGCGTTGGAACTTTAATTATATTTTTAAAACACTGTTCGAAAGTGAGTTCGAAGGTTGAATATGTTTCATCACGAACTCCCATAAATTCTATATTGAGCTCATAAGGATCACTGCATACATCCAGCGTACCTTCTCCTAGCGTATTCCTAGCATCCTTCTACCCCATAAGAGGGCATTCATTGCCACCAGACCTAGCAGTGGGGAGAGTTTGTCTAGTGGGGTGTCTGACGGACGTTGATACTGGGGTTGGATTGCGGAGTATGCCCGAATATCTTCAGGGGCTTTAAGGTACTAGTTAGACATAACACTGAGCCCCAAGTATCCGAATAGCCCCACAGCATGTTCAATATAGGCTAAAAGGCTATGCCTCATGTAGGTAATATCTCTTCCCTGCTAGGGCACAGATCTCTGTTTACACTTGGGCCCTGACAGCTACATGGGTGCTGAGGGAGAGCTATATGCTGCAGGCGCCGAATATTTAGAAACGAACTCCTCACCGTAAGCTTATTGGAAGGCCTCGTAAGCGAGAAAGCAGGTACCATCCAATGCCTCATGCATTCGACCCAAGGCTAGACCATCCTGTTCATGTGCATCTTGACTGCTGCTTACTGCGTAGGCAGACGCTTGTCGTTGTTACCTGGGATGATGATATGTCATGATCACCACAAAGTTGCTCACCAGGAGAGTTGGACAAAAGTGGCAAAGGATGCGACCATTATGGCCGTTGCTGAAAATGCTACAAAAATAAACTCGGTACTCGTCACCGGGCTGTCGGTGAGCCCGGTGCGCGTTCCTCATCGTCCTCTTGCTTATGCGGTGACATCAAACTGCATGATGCTAACGAAACCCAGGCTGTGCTTGATGAAAGGGCCGACGGTTCTAGAGCTTGACTGCCTTGTAGCAAGTTCAGCCTGCAGAATCGAAGCGGCTCATCTCAAGGCTTCTTTCCAAGCGAATCTAGATGCCGCGGAGACCGGAGTCGAATCCGAAAAGATCCAATAATAGTATAGACCGAGTGGTCACTGGTAATGCCTACGTAAGTGGTTTTTTATACTACGTATTACCTCCTCTCCACACCGTCCACAGAAGGTACTTCGTACTACTTGCCTACCTAAGTAGGTAAGCCTTCGTTAAGGAAGAAAGTGGAATCGACGGTATAAGCGGTGTATCAGATAATATGGTTGCCTGCTGCCGGGCAACGATACCCGTACGGCCTAGTATGTATCGAGCATGTATTTGTGCTCGGCATTCGGCAATAACGACAGTCCAGAGTTGGGATTCCGAGAGACCCGAAATTGGGAGATGCGATCTCTGCACCATCTGCATCTAGTCACTAGGGAGTTATTCCATCGATACCGCCGACTGCGCCCGAAACTCCGGCCGACAATTAATCATGACCAAGCCGATGTTCGATGACGTTCGACGGCTTTTCCATCTGCCTGCCTAAAGCAGTAGCGGGGGATGTATAGCCACTACGTGTGGCTGTGTGGATTCGACCGCGGGGCTGTACGGCTCATGTTTATGAATTACCCGTACGGTGGAGCCGGCTTAACGTCAAGCTTACACCAAAACATACATTAGTGGTTTTAATTTAATCTCGACAACTCTGGCTCGCTAACTGAAGAGAGTAAAAGTTTCAGCTGACCCGAAGTCGAGTACCTCGTCAGCCGTAATTTAGGCACCAGGAAATCGTGTGATAGGCAGAGGCCCGCCCAAGTCGGTATGCCCGAGTAACCGCTGCAGTGGCGGGGAAATGACGGCGATGGTATCAGATCGATATCATCGATACCGTCGTCAGCCCTGGGCAGCACGGGGCAACCGCATGGCCGCAGAAAGCACAGCCACCGCGATTTCTAGAAGGACGAGCTGAAGCCGGCATCGCCACGATAATGGGGTGGCCCGGTAATACCGCGGTATTTTCGCCCGAATCCCCACCAAAACAGGCAATTCGCAGCCGGGCCGTGACGATACGGTGACTGCGGCGTGTATTATTGGGCGTGTGGAATCGGGCGGCTTGGCGAACGGGGTTTTCCTGGCCGATGGTGGGGTTTCTTCCATCAGCAACTCAGCCCTGCAGCGCCAGATCACCTTATCCAGTGGCCAAAGATTTATTATAAAAGGACGAGGGGCTCCCCATCTCCAACTTCTTCCGATCATCATCTCCAACCATCATCAGTCATACCCATCTTCCTTTTCGATACCCTCATCCACCTCACATCTAAACACAATCATGTCTGGCCCTTACGACCAATACAACCAGCAAGGCTACGGTGGTGGCTACGGCCACAACCAGGGCTACCAGCAGCAGGGTGGCTACCCCCCTCAGGGCGGCTACCAGCAGGGTTACGGACAGTCCCAGCACCAGGGCTACGGCCAGGACTACAACCGTGGCGGAAGCTCCGGTGACTACTATGGTGGTAGCAGCGGCGGCAGCTCCAACGACTACTACGGCGGGCAACAGTCCCACGGCCAGCATCAGTATGGCCAGCAGTCTCACGGCCAGTACGGTGGCCAGGACTCCTACAACCAGTACGGGTACTTATTTTTTACTACCCCCATCCCTTATCAACTTTCTGTGACAACTCGCTAACGTATCTATCAGAGGTGACCAGCAACAGGCTCCCGGCGGTGCTCAGGAGGGTGAGCGTGGACTTGGTGGAGCTCTTGCCGGTGGTGTCGCCGGTGGCTTCGCCGGCCACAAGGCCGACCACGGTATTCTCGGAACCATTGGCGGTGCGATCATGGGCAGTATTGCGGAGGATGCCATCAAGAAGCACAAGAACAAGAGCGAGCAGCAGCAGGGCCCCCCTGACTACGCCAGCGGATACGGTAGTCACCAGGGTGGTCCCCCCTCGAACCAGGGTGGTATGATGGACCAGCTGGGCAACTTCTTCAACAAGCGGTAAATGGATCGACTCCATTTCTCATGCCCACCTCGCCTTCCTTCGATTCACCTTCACCTCGTTGACGACTACCCTACGCCTTCGCTAAGCCTGGAATACCTTTTTAAATATCTTTTGGCTGGTCGGGATTCGCAATAAAGTGCGATCTTTTTCTTTACATTTCCTTTTACACTACTATCTTGATTGGGTGTTTTCTTATTTCCTGTTGTTATTTGCGACCCTGAGTATACCCTACTCAGTTTTTATGAAAGTTATGGATACAACTTCTCAATGATGACTCGAATTCATTACCATTTTCTTTCCGACCTTGGGGACAACTGTAGCGCAGTAGAACATGTAAAGATATAAATTCCCGAGCCTTGATGAGATAGATAGTTTGCTCTTTCTGGAACGCCAATCGGCTGCGGCTTGATGCTTTCGGAGGCCTGCGCCATCCGCAGTGCAGCCCTCACCCCGCCAAAGATTTTCGAGGGCATTCAGTTTATCTCCTGGGCTCACATTCTGGTCTAGGGCATTTGTGCTGAGTGTATACGTTATTTTGAGCATATGGAATAGATCATCGGATGCTTTATTGGGAACATTTGATTGCTGAGGGGATTCTACCTTCATCGGTCATTTGAGAGTAGAAGCCAACTCGAAAATAAAGTCGAAAGGCTTCCCCGGGTCGGCCATTACCCGCTAGCCGTATGTAGTTAGCGCAGATTATGGGTGCCTCAGGCCCCAACAGGTGCCAAGCCAGACATCAAAAGTTCGCGCGGAAGATCCCCTTGAGACCATCGGCGTCAATACTTACACCAGCACAGCACAACATGATTGTCCGGCATCTGTATGCGCGGCAGAGTAAGTTAAACGCTGGAATTGATACGACGATTGACCTTACAATTATCATGGGACTGATTGTCTCTTCCTCACAGGCCGCTCGTTTCTTGCCCTCGGCCGCCAGGGTCGCTTTTTCAACAGACTCTACTCAACCGAAACGCCGGTAGTCGAACCTGAGGTGCAATCTCGTGTTGAAGATCACTCGGCTCAGTTGGAGAGCTCTTTGCCATCGATCTCGGATGAAGCTCGGAATGCCGCCCAAGAGGCTTTCGTGAGACGCAAGGAACAAGGTGAGCACGAGCATGGACATATAGCATTGCGGCTTCTCCCTCTTTCCGGATCTCGCATTTTCTAGGATATAATAACTGATCCGATGGCGTCTAGAAACCAAGTTCCGCGAACTTGGTAGCAAGGTTTCCAATGCCTACCAGCCCGAGGATCTCATTCGATTCCCCCCCAAGCCTTCGGACATCACCCTCGAACTGCTCCTCGCCTCCCAGACACACCTCGGACACTCGACGTCTCGCTGGAACCCTCAGAACTCCCGCTACATCTTCGGTATTCGTGACGGAATCCACATCATCTCTTTGGATGTGACCGCCGCCCACCTCCGACGTGCGGCCAGAGTGGTGGAGGAGGTCGCCGCCCGGGGTGGTCTGATTCTTTTCGTCGGCACACGGCCGGGCCAAAAGCGATACGTGATCAATGCCGCAGAGCTGTCCAAGGCATACCACGTTTTCGAGCGCTGGACTCCGGGCAGTTTGACCAACGGACAGCAGATCCTCGGTCACTGCGCCACCAAGGTTGTGAACGCCTTCGACGAGGAGCTGCCTGCCTACCAGGAGGCCTTGGAGGAGCAGTCTGCTCTCAAGCCGGACCTTGTGGTTTGTCTCAACCCCGTCGAAAACGACGTCCTTCTGCACGAGTGCGGTGTGAACAACATTCCCACCATCGGCGTTATCGATACGGATGCCGACCCTACCCGTGTCACCTATCCCATCCCCTCCAACGACGATAGTTTGCGTGCCGTCGGTCTCATTGCCGGCGTCTTGGGAAGAGCAGGCCAGGCAGGTCAGGCCAGGAGGCTGGAGGCGGCAAAGAAGGGCACTTTCACGTACTCAGCGACGACAATTAAATTGAGTGAGGACGCCCAGCTATCAGAATCTCAGCCGGAGAACAAGCAATGAAGATGAATGGTGACTGTGTTGGGTTTTCTATCTCGGGGTTTTATGCCTATGTCCAAGTTTGAAAATATGCCATGGAACTGTACTGTATAGAACATTGTATATCCTCTTTTCTGTTTCGCTTTGGTGTTGCTACGTGTATTAACAAATTTTATTCGAATTGGGATTTATCTTCTGCTGGAGCCTCAGGCTGAAAACTGTCTTAGGGATTCCGTCTTGACTGATAAGCTCTCGGAAGCACACAACACTCAGAGTTTGAGTTCTGATGCCAAGTCTATCATTCTTACTGCTAATTATCTAAAGACTGCAAGACTAATCTCAGATTTTGACAGTGTACACGTTGCGGCCCCGTTTGTCTGCGCCTTTGTATTCCACCGTCTTGCCAGAGTCAGAAACAACGCGTCGCTCATCACCGTTGTGCAAGATAATATCCAAGTCTGTCCAGGCAGGGACAAATCCACGGCGTTCATCACGAGAGAACCCGACGATGACCCTGTCTTCTGTTGAGCTATAGCTGAGCGTGTACCGCGAGATGGTAGGATTGACTGAAATCCCATCATCTTCGAACCAGGTAGTCGAGAAGGCATTGCCATGGGAGCTGCCCCGAGGCGGGAAGATTTCCACTCCTCTGTAGTCGTCAAGCTCATCCACTGCCACCGAAGCTGCAGTTTCGTCGCCTGGCACTCTCGTTTGAACTGACTTGCCGACGGGAATTGCACCGCCAATTTTGGCAAGCAGCGGAATACTGGTTTTCCACTCGGAGGGTACCTCGACCCATTGGCCTGAAGCGAAATAGGTGTATGGCGCGTTCATGTTCACGTATCCATAATCGAACTGGACATTGGACTTTCGGGGCAGATACACCTTTCCGACGCTGACACCGGGCTCGTATACGCCTCCGACTAGAATGGTGTCTCCGAACCAGTACTGCTCCTCACCGGATTTGAGGGGCTTTGTCCAAACTTCGGGATCTGTTTCGAAGCCCCAACCAACCCAGCGCTGAGGCGGGGATGCTGTGAGATGGCTTTCTAGGCCGAGCGAGTAGATGTATGGCAGGATCTCATATCTGCGCTTGATCGTATCTCGAACCAGAGGCGTGATCTCGGGATACATCCATGGCTCGATAACATCTCCGACGGAGCTGTTTCCGGGCGAGGTCTTGAAACAATTGATGGCGAAGCGTGGCGAGTAAATGCCCAGTTGAACCCACCTGAGGAGGAGCTCCGGGGACGGCTGAGGCCCTGTGAGACGAAGTCAGTATCATCGTTCTGCTTCGAACGAAGAGGCGTGTTGGAAACATAACATACCTTCAAATCCTCCGATGTCGTGACCAGCACACTAGCAAAGTAAGTATGTGTTATTTGAATTTCAAGAAAGAGGAGAGAACTCACCTGCAAGAGAGAGATTCCTGTGTTTAGAGATAAAGAGTTAGACCCCTTCATGCCCTCCCAGCTGGTAACATTGTCACCACTCCAGGTGCTGGCTGCATATCGCATAGTTCCCGGAGTGGCACTTCGGGTCAAGATGAATGGTCGGTTTTTGGGTTCCAGATGCAGCAGTGCATCGTGAGAGGCTTTACCCATGAGCTCGGTGTGTATCGCACGACCCCAGAGCCCAACACTATCGTCTTTGCTCTGTTTCTGCACGGCTTCAGCCACTGTTGGCTCATCAAGAGCAACTTTCCAGTCATCACTGGGGATGGTGTATTCGTTGTTATCATTCCACATGGCATCGATACCAACGCGCTTGAGGCTTTGAACGCCGTCATACCACCATTTGAAAGCGGCGGCGGAGGTGAAGTCGATGTGGCAACCATCGCCCCCCGTTGCACCCCCGGCGCTCCACAATCGCATATAACCCGGCTCCTTGGTGGCCGGATTCTTGAAGAATCCGCCTGCATCGACAAGCTTCTTGAAGTCAGGGTGCGAGGCGAGAAGGAAAGGCTTGATGTTCGTCAGAAGACGGATTCCCCGCGAATGATACTTCGCGATCCATTCTTCTGGCTTGGGAAATCGGTGTTTATTCCAAGTAAAGACATTCCGGACCTTCGGTTCCGTCTCTGCAATCGAATAGCCCGAGCTCATCTGGTGGGCGGAGCACGGAATATCGTGCTCTTTCAGCTTGTCGGCGAATTCCATGAGCACCTGATTCGCAGGGGGCTCATCCACCATGGTGTATTTGTATCCGCCTGAGATATACCCATATGCCCAACGTGGAACGAGAAGTGGGAAGCCAACTAACTCCGCATATGACCTAACCACTTCCTTGAGAGTCTTTCCGACAATTAGGTACTGCTCAAGACCACCGTAGTCTTGACGATAGACTTTGAAGTGACCCCAGAGACCATCCACTTCGGATCCAACAGACCAAGACCCTCTGCCATGGGTTGTCGAGAAGATAGCCACGCATCCTTGCGCAGTAGCCTTGATCAGCAACGGGATGTGCTTGTACAGCGGGTCGGTGTTATAGACATCATATCCGAAGCTGTCTGTGGCAGAGAGAAGGAAATGCCGACCGCTGAGATCCATCGGAGCTCTTTTCTCGCCCAAACCAACATGGAGCGCATCACGGTCATGTTCGGTATAGTTCGCGATGCCCGCTGCATCCGCCACATAGGAGCGTAACGGTAGATCTCGATACAATGGCTTGTTTTGGTCCTTCCATGCCAACGAGACTACTGGGGTGTTTTCCCAGTCGACCGAGGCCTTCAGGTCGCCAACCTCAATTGTTTTATGAGAGCCTCCCGTCGATGTGGACACTCGAGCATTGTCGACAGTCGTTGCTGGCTTTTTCACGTTCGGATACGGAGGGAGAGGATGGTCTGGGGAGGTGAAGGTGACCCGGAACAAGTTTTCACGGATTGTCTCGAATGAGAAGTCAAAGGCTTGCTCCGTCGTACTCTTCGATCGAAGGTGCACTGCTGATGGAGTAGTGCCCTCTATCGAGGTTTCTTGATACCCTTTCGGGCAAAATTCCTTCTGAGGCATTATGAAACAACTGGATAAGAACAATGGCTGTGGATTATTTGTTTCAAGACTGACCCAGAAGACTTTCGACCAAGAGATGACGCCGTATTTGAATACTTCTCAACTCTTTCCTCCAAATCCGAGCCATGGAAGACAATGTGGTGATTGGCACCCCCTCACATCTTGTATAGTCGGGTTTCGGGGATCTTCTCCGATGTCATCCTCTCGGTTCCAAAAATTCATGGTTTCCCCAGGTCATTGCGGTCATCTCCACACTTCAGTTTCCCCGCAAGGCTTGGCTTTCGAGCATCACACCACTAGCGACATAGAAAATGCCGAACACTCGTCGGTATACATGACCGAAAGCCGATCCTTGATGGCCTAAACGTCAGTCAACACCCCCGCGTTCTTGTTTGCCGTCTCCACGAGGATTCAATTGGATGGTACATCGGGTATTGTCCGACATTCCTCATATCATGTATCCCGTCGTACGTTGCCGGCATTCTATTAGCGAGTACTACTAGAGTCTATCAACCACGCCATGGCTCGACTCTGCAGTGGTTTACATGGATGTCGGACATCGATCGCTCTCGTCCGGGATTAGCGGCTATTGTTTCCCCCACGGGGTTGAGTTTCCCATGCCTTCAGGCCATGTTGTTATGTCCTTTGCGAGAACTAGGGCTGTTGCTCTAAAACCATCTTCCTTGCCCCCTTTTTAGTTGTTCAAAGGTTCTATTCCGAGCATCTTTCCCTTGAGATTCGGACGGTATATTCTACCTCTAACAGGTTTTGTTCAATACCTGGGATTTACTTCCTCTCTAAACATCACGGGTAACAAAGGGAAAGTTCAAGTATGTTGCAGCAGGGAGAGACCCCCTGTGGGAAGCAGAGGCAAGACGAGCAGATTGAATATGCTTCAGCCGCGCCTACCCACGATCACCTCCCCCAAGACGAGCATAAACAGGACAAAGCCCTTGAACTCATCGAGGATATGGGCCGCTCGACCATACTGACAGCAGAGAGTAACTCCAGGGTTCTCCGGAAGATCGACCTGAGGCTTCTGCCCCTTCTTTTGGGCATCTACTTCTTGCAGCAACTTGACAAATCCACCCTCTCGTACGCATCGGTTTTCGGATTGATTGAAGACGCAGACCTCAAAGGTCAAGAATACTCCTGGCTGGGATCGGTCGTCTATCTGGCACAGCTAGTCGCCCAACCCTTCCTGGCATACATCCTGGTGAAGGTACCGTTGGGGAAGTTCCTCGCATGTACGACCTTTCTATGGGGTATAGCGTTAACATGCATGACACCTGCAAACACCTTTGGGGGATTGCTGGCTTGTCGGCTCTTATTGGGGCTCTTTGAAGCTGGAATCCGTAAGGCCTTTATGATATCCAGGCTTTCCTTGTGAAACCGTGCGCTAACTTAGCAAAGCCCCTGCTTTCATTGCAATCACGCAAATGTGGTATCGTCGTCTCGAGCAGCCTATGAGACTTGGTTCGTGGTATGCGATGAATGGCGTGGTATATATGGTACGGTTTGCAATCTGGAAACGTTGCCAACTATACCTCTGCTAACGTGAAGACTGGACTGACAGTTTGGAAGCTTGATCACCTACGGTCTTGGTCATATTCAGTCTTCAGTTTTAAAGCCATACCAGGTGCGAATCTTCCCCCTTCGAAACGTATGGGATACTGATTGCCTGATCCTTTATATTAGATTATCTTTCTGTTTTTCGGCCTTATCACCATCGTGTTCTCCTTCGTCGTGCTGTGAGTGAAACGGCAGATAAATTCTACGCCCCTCTGACCTGTCGTGAAGTGCATATATGCCGGACTCGCCGGTAAAATCTAAATTTCTCGAGGAAGAAGATAAACTTTTGGCAATTGAGAGGTACATACTACACAAGTCATAGATTATTGGGCAGCTACTTACCAGAAGGATCAGACTTCGAATGAATCAGCAAGGGATTGAAACCCACGAGTGGAAATGGGACCACGTCAAGGAGGCATGCCTTGACATTAAATCCTTTTTCTGGTTTGCACTGATGTTTTCCATCTCGTAAGACGATTAAAAATGGCTAGAATCCACAGGAAAGACCTTAGCTGACAAGGAAATAGTATCCCGAGTGGCGGTATATCAACCTTTGGTCCGCTTATCATTCAAGCTTTTGGATTTGATCAGTTCAAGACTATTCTCTTCAATATACCCTTTGGTGCTGTTCAACTTGTAGCAACCATGGGAGGAGCATGGCTGGCAACGTACCTTAAAATGAAGGGACCAGTCATAGCCCTGTTGTGTCTCCCTGCTATTGCTGGTTGTGCAATGTTGCTTGAGCTACCTCATGATGATGCCCATAAAGGACCTCTTCTTGCAGGATACTATATAGTGAGTCATAGAGACAAATTATTTGATGTTGACATGTTAACAAAGCTCTAGATTTCGGTATACCCAGCGATTAGTATGTTCTGCTTGGGCTTTTGATTACAACAGGCTAACACCGACTAGCACCTATGATTTACTCATGGTCTGCAGGAAACACCGGAGGGGAGACGAAAAAAAAGGTCACCAACGGTATACTACTCATTGGACAATGTGCTGGAAATGTATGTTGTAGGACAACCCACAAAGTAAGCTCATTGCTGATTACCGAACAGGTACTTGGCCCAAATCTTTATACAACCGAAGAAGCTCCCCTTTATCGAAGAGGTCTTCTATCAAAGTAAAGCATACCCTATAGTTTACTATACCATCAATGCCGCCTGCTAATTGAATCATAGTCTTGCGATGTTCTGTGTACTGGTTTTCCTCTCCCTGTAAGTTTTTATTCGAAGTATGGCCCTTCCTACTGCTTCACTAACAAAACCCAAGAGTCAACATGGCATACCTGTTCTTCCTCAATAAGAAGCATGAGAAGAAGCGAGTGTCGATGGGTAAAAGCGCGAAGATTATCGATCACTCGATGCATGCTATTGGCGCGTTCCAGACGGACAAGGAAGAATCGTCGGCGCAAAATGACTTGAATGATGATAATGCATTCAAAGACCTGACTGATTGGGTGAACGAGGACTTTGTATATGTCTACTAGAAGGAATCTCTCCAAGGGGAGCCGCCTGTGGCCGGACGAAGATGTGTTATTAGGGCAAGGGAATAGGCTGGATGGAATGTTTTCGAATGTAGGATATTAACATATGAACCATGTACTGTTCAATGGCAATAACCGTTGCTTAGTTTACCGGAGGCCATCAAAAGCCCTTTTAGTTGATCAGCGTCTAAGAAAGAAAGCCAACTGTAGCCGAGTCGGCAAAGCTCCGAGCTTCACCCCGCGTTTCATTCCATCTCTTTCGATCATCTGCAAGTGTCCTCTTCCATCATCTCGTTTGCATTGAACAATCCTGGCAGCTCTTTGCCACAGTCCCAACCAATAAGATGGACTCCGACGACTCTGGGGTAGTCGCAGCTCCTCCGGGGAAAAAGCGAATACCGGTATTCCTTGCCCCATAACGTTGTTTACATTGCGCTATGGATGTGTTAATCATTGGATATGCAATTTATAGAAATCCTGTACCAATTGCCGACAGTCAAAGGTGCGATTGTTACCATGGTCTCATTCGATAAATATTCTATTTTTGACTTCGCTCTAGGTGAAATGCGATGGAAAACGGCCATGTACCAGGTTCTTTCACCTTTCCTCTACTATCTACTTCATGTTGTCAAAATAGAGGAATTTGCTAAATCATCAATAGATGCGACAAGATAAAGAAAAAATGCGTGTTTTTTGAGACACCTAAAGACCCAACCACTCAGTATGTAGATGTTTCATTCCTACTCTAATGCTCTTGTTCTTCAATGCCCTACGTTGTTCCCACAATTGACTCTGGTCGTGGCACAGGAGATTAGAGACCGTAGAAAACGAAGTTCAGCGCCTGAATGAACAGCTTGAGGAATTACGCGGACTACTTCATTCACAGATTTCACAGTCTTGTCATGAGAGTCTTCGCACACCATCACCTCCCCGGATTGCACCTACTTCTGCATCTATAACTGCTTTTGATACTATGGCGAGCCCTGAAGCAATCCCACACAGTCGTCAATATAGCGCTGCTGGAGAGGTGCATCTCCAAAGCCCACTCCAAGCAGCGAATTCAGAGACCAGTCGTCCCTCAAAACGAAGACGCTCTGGGTTCGAGATCAGAGACGAACCGGTTTCCGATTTCATCAGCAAGGGTCTCATAACGGCAGACTATGCGGTATCATGTTTCAATACGTGAGCCACCAGCTACTTTGTTGCGTTGAGGATTGTGGAGAATACTGATATAGGACACAGGTTTTTTCAAGGATGTGTAGGTCTCAAATTGTGTCTGATTTGGCTCTGTCGACCCTGAGATAATGTCTGACGTGAGATGAGATGTAGGATAGGTATATACCCATTTTTGACCCTGGATATGACACGTTTACCTCGGTACGCTCTCGGAGTAGCATTCTCCTGAATGCTATCTGCACCATTGGCAGCCGCGTTGAAAGTAAGTTGACCGCGAACTGACGATGCATTCTGAAACATTCTTATGACTTTATAGGGTCTGGCTCACAGATGTCCGACTTATTGCACTCGGAGCTCAAGCGGTGGATCAATGTCATCATCCAGAACGAGAAGATGAGCTGCCTCGAGTCAGTGCAGGCCCTGCTAGTCGTCGCCTGTTATTCTGCCGAGCGCTCTCTACTCTTATCATTTGCAACTCGGATGGCGCTGGACTTGGGCATAGATGCGGCGTTTGAAGAGCTCACGCACAGACTGACAATGAAGGAGGTCGAAGAGATCTCCAACATCTCGGGACTGAGGGAAGAAGAGCGCATTCTTATGGTAAAGTCAAGGACATGGTTCGGACTTTTGGTCCTGGAGCATATGTAGGATTGTTGCTACTTTTCAAGTTGTCTCGCGATTATACTCAGGATGATGGCTGATGCTCTGTAGTTTCCGCGTGGACGGTGGAAAACCCCCGGGGATTCGAATGACCGGAAACGCTCGTCGATGCCGCATGTTGCTTCGTCATCCTTCGTCGACAGTCCTGGATCTGCGTCTGTTCTCTCAGGTGGAGGTAAGCTGAATATCACATTCTGAGGCTAGAGATATTGACAGGAAAGTAGTTGAATGTGATTAGAGGTACGATGAATTTTCCGGAACTGCCCCAGGCGAAGCTAACCCTAGACACAGTCAACATCAACGATACTCTAGGGGCAAGTCAGACCCTGAACCGGACCGATATTGCGGATTTTGTGCATGAAGCCAAGGTAGACCTCGATCTCTGGTTTGAGTGAGTATGCCCTATTCACCGGTGTTTTAAACTGACTCCATGCTGTAGCTAACTGTCCTCCAGTGACTGGTTGCGAATCATTGGTAAAACCCTAGAGGATTCAACCTCAACCCTCCTCCAAAGCTAATTAACGATGTAGAAAACACAACCACCGCAGCGCAAGAAAAACCATACTTGCTTGCTGCATTACGAGTCCAGAAATGCTGGTCTGAGATGATGCTCCACTGCAAAGCCCTCCGGTCCATGGGCGTAGAGAACGTGGCGTAAGCAACAGAGCCAGCTTTTTCCTTTTCTCCCCTTTTTCATCCTACTCCCCCGATAACTCCATCACATCTGACCAAGAACAACCCGAACCACAGAACCATGTCATCCGTCGAGCGCAACATCCTGCTCATGGCCAAAGCGAGTGCCCGGAAACACCTCCGCCTCATCAGCGTGGAACCAGACTTCTACCTCGCCAAGCTCAAGTACGCGATGGACTTCGTCTGGGCCAAATGCGCATTCTGCTTCCTCCTACTGCTCAAGCTCTCGCGACTGCTGCCCGAACGCAAAGAAGAACACCAAGAGCTACTCGACCACGGAACCCGACTCCTCGACGAACTGGCCAAGTCCGGCTCGAACAGCGACACGACCGGCAACGGCAACGTCTACCTGCATATCCTGCGGCTGAGCATTGAGAAGTACGGACGAACGCTGCAGGAGAATGAGATGGGGTTGAGCCAGACGGCGACGACGGCGCCATTTTGGGAGCTGTTTGATGCGCAGGCCGATTTGCAGTCGTTCGTGCCGGAGCAGTTCGTGACCGAGTGGGATTTCCCCGGGCTGAATTTGTTTTATTTTCCGACTGCGTGGCAGGATTTCTTTGGGGATTTTTCGCTGGCGGTTTGATTTGTATGAGGCTGCCGGGGTTGATACACTTCATTATTACCATGTGGAATAATAAGTGGTGAGTATGGGAAAGGTAAGACGAAGAGGTAGATTGAATGTTCTTTTGAAAAATGAAACCTCTTCTAATTGGTGGTAAATGTCATCATATAAAAAAAAAAGTCTAAAGCCAACTTTTCCCCTCATTCTTGTTGAAAATGAACGAGACATGGATATCAAAAAATGAGAAAATAGAAGTCATCAAAATCAAGGGACAGAAGAAGTAAGGAGCGCCAAAGTCAATTTATAAACGGGGATGCTAGACCCTGTTTAACCCAAAGCCCTCATGGTAAGTTCGACCCTAGAAAGAAATCAATCAGCATCGGTTGCAGAAAGTTATGACCACCAGGCCGTTCCATCAGATATGAAAACAGTGGGAATAGGATGCAACTTACACAGCGAAGGTTCCTGCCGACACAGGCATGGCCCTCAGCAGAGTGGGACCCAGACCTCTCCAGAAACCACCGAATCCCTCGGCGGCGTAGGTCTTCTTGAAGCAGTCCCGCATCGACTTGAACTGCTGCTGCTCGCCGAACCCGTCGCACTGCATCTTACTCTTGACCACGTCGAACGGGTAGCTGCTCAGCCAGAGCGCCTCACCCGCCAGACCACCGTACGTGGCCACCTTGAGGCTGGAGATCTCGTCACGCTTGACGTTGTTGCGCTTGGCATCCTGGTTCATCAGGTACTCGAAGGTCAGAAACCACATACCGTACGCCTGGATCTCTCGGAGATAGGTGACCGCCTGGCCGCGGAAAAGACCGCGCAGCACGCCCTCATGGGCAGAGAGCTTCTTGATGCAGTCGATGGGACCGCTGTACAGACGGCCCGCCCCGTGGGGCTGGGTCTGCAAGCGGATACGGACGTGCTCAATGGGTCCCGAGAGCACGGAGTTGGTGATACCCGCAAAACCACCGGCCATGTAGTACTGACCGTAGGAGAGGCTGCTGTCGGCATACTTCTTCTGGTTCAGCGCCTCCAACCGTCTCCGGGCCTCGTGGAAGGCACCGAATTGCACGCTAACCTGGTAGGAGTCAGTTTTGAGAGTTTCCCGGATATCTTGAAGATGCAAGGAGGGGGCGAATACTCACGCAAGCACCGATTCCGATCAACGGAGTCAAAGTGCCCTTGTAGAAAGCAAGGGGACCCTCATTCTTGAGAATCTTGCTGGCACAATCCACAGCACTGGAGTATTGGGTGGTCGTTTGCAGTCGCACCTTGACAATATCTGCAATTGTTAAAAACCAACATCCCATGCTTTGGCTCTACGAGATGGGCTACTAACCAAAAGGTTGACCTGGAAACGGGTTAGCAATTCATTCATATCGGAGCAGCTAGGTCTCATTGACATACCCAGAAGGACCTGTGCAATTCCACCAGCGGCACCCGCGGACAAATCCTTGATGGTGCGCAGGGCCCCGCCACCCTTCTGCAAGTCTTCAAAGGCCTCCGATTCCATATCGACAGCAAGAGATTCCCAGAACAGAGTCAATTGGCCCGGATGGAGGGAGGAAGAGAAGGAGGGACGGAGGAGGGAGAGGGAAGACGCGGGAATGGGCGACCATAACGTGCTTATCAGGATAAGAATGCGGGCCTCCGATTCGGCGGGGGCGCCGAGCACGTGATCCCGCTCGGGAAACGTGACGGTACCGTATGGTATTCCGGATACGCCGACCGCCCGGGATGCGCTAAGCCCGATCGGGTCATTTTCCAGGCCGGCCGGAATTTTGCCCCGAGGGAAAGACGACAGAGCGCGAAAGAGAGAGTCGAAGCCGCGAACACACCCATCCCCTCTTACTTCCCCTCCCCATTATGCAGAGGCGGGCGGTTCTGGAGGTGAGTCCTGCTGCCCCGAATCGGCTCTACTGGCAATCCGTGATTTCTGATCCGATTCCAATCCACAGCTCTCTCGCCGCCATGGTGTCGACTGGTCTTGCGCAACCCGACGCAGAGAGACAGCTTTCGCGCCGGCGCTAACCTACGTCCCCCGGCGTGGTTTTCGATCATCTCTAGTAGCTCTCGACTCCTCCGACTCGTCTTCCTCGGCCGGTACAGGTGGCAATGGGACCGGCTTCGGCTCTACGCCGAAATTTGCTTCCCGTTGGGGTAGCAAATCCCAGAGACCGGCAGGTTTGAGTCCCGCTGAGCAGGCCATGCGCGATGCTCTAGTGGAGAAGGGTAAAATAGAAAGTCAGCAGCGAGACCTAGTTCTACAACGAAAAGAGCAGGAGAAGCAGCAGCAGCAGCAGCAACAACAACAAAGATTTCAACAACTACAACGGGGACTCGCCCACCGCCCGAATAGCTCGCACCATCAACATCACCAACGTCACCCGGAAGGGCATCACCGTCATCGTTCCGGGTCGCCGGCGGATGGCACGAGGGTATCCAGATGGCAGAACGACAGACGCTCATCACCCAATCAACACCGAACCGAGGGTCTTGAACCTGATAGAAGCTTGGAAATAAACGCTGGATCACCGCCGGAGCACCTTCGAACAGTCGATTGGAGATGTCCAGACTGCCAGTTTTTTTGTTATGGGAGACATTTGTTGTGTCCGCGCTGCAGATTTATCAGACCAGATCTAAACACGCCTCCGCCGAGACAGGAGCCTCAGTTGAATTCGAAAATTCGGAAGATTGAGTCGGAGGAGACGTATGGCAGCGAAGAGAGCAGATTTGGCCTTAGCGAGAGGAATAATGCCTTTAGGAAGGCGACGGCCAACCGCGGCCAATTCACTGGCCCTCGGTTCGTTTATGATTACAATATCGAGGCCGCAGAGCAAGAATCGCAGCGGGCGTCTGAAATGAACGAGAAACCCCGTCGACAAAAACATCAGCCGAAACCGGAGAGCCAAATTGGAGAGAAGGAAGATCCCTGGTCATGGAGCTTTTCGTCGCGGAGTTTTGACACGTCTGCTGACAACGCTGAGCAAGGGAAGACGTCGAGAATTCGAGACGGCCGGAGGCAACGACAGTCGTATGCGGAGGAAGAGGAGTATGACGAGGATGAACAAACTCGTCGCCGCGAAGAGCGCAAACAGAAGAAGAGACAGAAAGCGAAGCACAAGGAGGTCGAAACGGCCCCAGTCCCGCTTTATCTCCCAGAGTTCATTAGCGTCAGCAACCTTGCCGATGTCATCGGTGTGCGTCCGACCCAGTTCGTTCAGCGGATGGAGGAAATGGGGTTCGAAGATGTCTCATATAGCCACGTTCTCGACGCCGAAACCGCAGGGCTGGTTGCCACCGAGTTTAACTTTGAACCCGTCTTCGACACTGGCGCCGAAGACGATTTGACTTCTGCACCCGAGCCCGAGGACAAGACGCTTCTGCCGCCCCGGCCACCCGTCGTGACCATCATGGGCCATGTCGACCACGGTAAAACGACCATTCTCGACTGGCTTCGCAAGTCGTCCGTGGCTGCGTCGGAACATGGAGGTATTACGCAACACATCGGCGCTTTCTCCGTGGCCATGCCTTCCGGAAAGGCAATCACCTTCTTGGATACGCCCGGTCACGCCGCCTTCCTGGAAATGCGCCGTCGCGGTGCCGACGTGACCGACATCGTCGTGCTCGTTGTCGCGGCCGATGATAGCGTGAAGCCTCAGACGATTGAGGCCATCAAGCACGCGACCGGATCTAACGTGCCCGTCATTGTTGCCATCAGCAAGATCGACAAGCCGAATCTCGATCTCGAAAAGGTGAAGCAGGATCTCTCCAACCACGGCATCTACGTCGAGGATTATGGAGGCGACGTGCAGGCGATTGGTGTCAGCGGTAAGACCGGCCAAGGAATGCTGGAGCTCGAGGAGGCCATTGTCACACTATCGGAGGTTCTTGACCACCGGGCGGATGTCCAGGGCAATGCTGAAGGGTGGGTCATCGAAGCCACGACGAAGAGCTACGGACGTGTAGCTACGGCACTTATCAGACGGGGTACACTCCGAACGGGCGACATCATCGTCGCAGGAGACACCTGGGCACGGGTGCGTACTCTCCGAAATGAAGCCGGCGTGACGATCCCCGAGGCTACTCCCGGAATGCCCGTGGAGATCGATGGCTGGAGAGAACAACCGTCCGCTGGCAGTGAGATCCTGCAAGCCTCGGACGAACAGCACGCCAAGGATGTGGTCGAATATCGGCTGGAGAGAGCCGAGACTGCCAAATTGGGTGAAGACACGGCGGCCATCAACGAGGCCCGTCGGGAGACGATGCAAAAACGCCGATGGGAAGCATCCCAGGACGGACCTACCGGCGCTGACCAGGACAAATCCGGACCCCAAGCGGTGAATTTCATTATCAAGGCCGATGTTGGCGGGTCGGCGGAAGCCGTGATGAATTCGGTCACGGCGATCGGGAACAACGAAGTGTATGCCAACGTGCTCCGTTCTGGGGTTGGACCCGTCGGAGAGTTTGATATCGAACACGCGGCGGCGGCCAATGGTCACCTCATCTCCTTCAACATGCCTATTGACCCGGCCATGATTCGGATGGCGGAAATGCGCGGGTTGAGGATCATGGACTCCAACATCATCTACAAGCTCATCGACGATGTCAAGGCGATCCTGAGCGAGAAGTTGCCTCCGTCGGTGACCACTCGCGTCACCGGAGAGGCGGAGATTGGGCAGATCTTCGAGATCACCGTCAAGAGCAAGGTGAAGATGTCCATCGCTGGTTGCAAGGTTCGAAACGGGGTGATCAACCGGGCGCGGAAGGTTCGCGTGATGAGAGGCCAGGAGGTTATCTACGATGGTAAGTTCTTCCATCCAAATGTTGCGAATACTTTCATTTTGACCGCAAGATGCTGACTTTCTTCTTTCTCTCCCCCCAGGCATGATCAACTCTCTCAAGAACGTCAAAAAGGACGTGACGGAGATGCGCAAGGACACCGAGTGCGGCATCGGGTTTGAAAACTGGACGGACTTTGCCGTGGGCGACCACATCCAGTGCTACGAGGAGATCTTCGAGAAGCGATATCTCTAATCTGCCTTGGTGGTAATCTCCTGCTCCCCGTCCCGGGGATCGGGAGTTGCTGTCATTCTTGTAACATATCTTGGGTCTTTATTTGCATTGGGCCTCCGGCGTTTATCTGACAGCGGGCGGACTCTCATCTCTGCATCGCCTTTGTCATTTCATGAAACACTTGTATAAACTGCGGTATTTGGGAACGGGGGTGTTAGAAGCAAAGGCACGAGGCAGCGCCAAAAAGAAAAGCAAAGAGCGAGAGATTCAATGTCTCTCGATGTATGTATGTAACTATATGGACTTGATTTTCCAGGACGACCGTAGACCGCCGCTTTAGTGAGGGCGTTCAGGGGTCTCCGGGAGTATTTCATATCACGCATCACCGCTCCTTAGTATTTACTATAAAGGAATCAATCCCATCCGACTGATTTGATTCTCCTACCAAGCGTCCATTCGCACGAATCATGCTGATTCCTCAAGGTCTTCTCGCCTGTCGACACGAAGCCATGCTCACTCGGTTGCGTCTCCGGCTACCGAATCGTATCCCAGTGAACCATCACCACACCCGAACAAAACAAGATGATGCTGTTCCTCGTGGTCCAGCTTCGAGGCCGATGGCCCGCAAACCGCAGAGACCCATTGCATCGATATTTGAGTGGTTTTCACGCTCGCAAAGCCGACGACCATATATCACCCAGCTGTGCCTTACACCGCTGATATTCTGCCTCGGTGACTTTTCAGCCCAAATGATAGGCGACGATGATTTCGACTATCATCGCTCGCTGCGGAGCGTCGTCATCGGTCTTGTGATCGCGATTCCCAGTCACGAATGGTTCCTGTTCCTCGGGCGGTGCTTCAATTACAGCTCCCCCTCTCTGTCGTTGGGGGCCAAGGTAGCTGCCAACCAAGCCTTTTACACCCCGATGTTCAATGTCTATTTCTTTGCGTGTCATGGACTCCTCGCCGGGGAGGGGCTCTGGGGGGCAGTGGAACGAGTCAAAGAGAAAGCATCTATAAGTATTCCCAGAAGCTTTCTATTTTGGCCGGTGGTGACGGCGTTCAACTTCTCCTATATCCAACCCCAGTCTCGAGCGATTGCGACGGCGATGTTCTCTGTGTTTTGGCAGTCATACTTGAGCTGGTTGAATAGTTCTGCTGGAGAGGGGAAAGCATCTAGAGCTTCTTAATGAAACGAGCTACCCCGGGCCATCTGCAACCTCGCACCTCTTCGTTCTTTGGAGATCAGCCATTCCGCTCAGGCCGCTCAGGGCGTGCTCAGGGCTACTCAGTGAGCAAAAAGCAGCGAGGGGTGAGCACTAAAACAGAAAAGGAAAACCATCGGCCTGGCGAGCAAATCACATCCGTATGTACAGTACAGTTCAATGAATATCAGACCGACATACGCATACGTCGGGATCACGACCACAAGTCGAGAGAAATGAATCATCGCGCCTTCCACCTCACTCGACTCACCCACTTCGCCCAATCCCTGACGTCCTCCCGTTCCAGGATCCTGTCGACCGTAAACCACTCCCGCGCCAACTCCTCGTTGCTCGCCATCCGATGCACGAAGCTGTGGCACGCGCGACACAGCCACGCCACGCTGTTCAGCATCCACTCCTCGTGCCACCCCTTCTTGCGCACCTTCTCGTGCACCCCGCGCGGGATGAGGTGGTGGTACGATAGCGGGATCCAGTCCCGCTCGCAGATCTCGCACCCCTCCGTCCGCGTCGTCGCCCACACCGGCGGCGCCCGCGTCACCGCCCCCGCGTACTCCGTGACCACGCGCCCTAGGAAATCGGAGACGTCGCTGGCGTCTCCCGGTGCGGGGAGGAGCCCGTACACGGTCAAGGTGTCCGGCACGGAGGGCGGGAGCGTCGTGAGGATGGCGTCAAGGGTGGCCGGGGGAAGTGGGTTGGAGGTGTATCGGTCTCGAAGGGCGGCGGAGTGTTGGATGCTGGTGTAGTCGAGGGTTTGGAGGTCAGGAGGGAAGGAGGTGAAGATTTCGGAGGCGAGAAACTGTTGGTTATTGATTCTTTATTACTGCCATGGTTCATTGATGGGGGGTGGTCAGGTTGATCGGGTGTATACTCCCGCATAGGATATAGAGCAGGGGGATGAATAGGTAGGTGTCTATTGATATTCGGGGTGTGTTATGTACATCGATGAAGTCCGCCAATTCCTCAGGATCGCCTCGTAGGGCACTGGACTCGGATTCTGTAGGCTCTGGCGCAGCGCGGACGTCGTCTTTCTTCACCTTTCCATTGCGTCGGGGACCGGGCTTATGCGCCTTTCGTTTCGTCTTGGCCGGTCGGTGCGTGTCGGACTTCTCGACGATGGCGCTGGACAGACATTCTCGGAAGACGGGGTAGTTGGCGTCGTGGGGGTCGGAGGAGGTCATTAGGGTAGAGAGATTGGGGATTCGTTCCAGTTGTACTCCGTATGAGGGGGAGGAAACAGCGAGTGAGAGGAAGAATTCCGTCGGTTGCGGTCACGGGAGACGACTGACATCATCCCCCGCGGACTTTGGGTTTTCGAACATCTACTCCATACGCCACTCTTCGGGCAAAGGAATCCATCATTATTGCCCGATGCTCAGCTCGCGCCAAAACAATTGCGGAACTATGGCGGCGCCATCATCTCGGGTATACGACGTCCGTCCCAGCAGGCATCCATCTTCAAGGAAGTGATCGGCGTGAACGAGATGACCAGGTTCAAGGTCTACGAGTCTCGCAGGTTGCCCTTGGAGCGACAGGACATCTTGAATGATGACTGTCGGAGAAGAATGAACCGTCATATCATGACTCTACTGGAATTCTACTTGTTCTTTTTCGAAGCACACAACACGGAGGTTGAGTTGCAGGAGTTGTACGCTGTAAATATTTCCAAACGCTCCACGCAGAAAGAAGGATTTGGGGTAAGGCAGCAATTGGTCTGACCTTCTCTTTCCCCTCCAGAATCCATGGAAAAATAGTGGATGTCAGAGTGAATAAGAAGGCGTGATCAGTATATGTGAAGAAGAAAAAAAACGAGGCAAAGGACGGCGGAAGAGATTTCATTTTATAGCCGCACGCTGACCGCCCGGGGCTTATCGATAAGACTAGCGTGGCTGGTCTCGTCAACACCAGGCGGCAGAATAACTACACATCACAACCCTTCTGGCTGGATCGCACTCGTCGCCTCCGTAAACCCTGTCTCCAATCCCTCCATTACCCACTGGCTGCTCGAACCCGGCTCAGCATCATGCCTAGGGCGTGGAATCTCGATAAAGCTGCATGGCTCTATCCTTTCCGGGTCCGTCCATGACATCCTGATGATCCTGGTTGCCGGTCCGGCGACTCTGTTTCTAGAGCTGACCTCGTTTGCTTTCGCGCAGGGCCTGTATTATTTTGCCTCGCATCGCTTCCTGTGGCCTCTCTTCAAGACCCGGTTGATCCCCATTGTGTTGCTGTCAACCTTCATCTACTTCCTGCTCTTCTTCTTCACCTACCTGCCGCAAGTGGCGTTCCTGGCCATCTTTCAAGGCAAAGGGGCGTGGGTCAGCGGTGCCTTCCTGGTGCTGGGAGAAGGAGCCGCCGTTGTGGCCTTGCTCTTCGAAGCCTTCTTCGTCGATGAAACGCTGGTGGACATCTTCGACGCCGTCCTGGTGAACGAAGGCTATGGGGAGTTGGTCACCACGTCGCGGGTGTTATATCCTCAAGGCGACGACGTCGTGCAGCGATTGGGCAAACCAACTCACAGCGCCGTCTATGCCCCGTTCTCGCTGCGACAGATAATAGAATTCATCGTCCTCTTACCGCTGAACTTTATCCCGGTGGCGGGCACGCCAATGTTCCTCGTGCTCACCGGGTATCGAGCGGGCCCATTCCATCACTGGCGATATTTCCAGCTGCTGGACCTATCAAAACCGCAGAGGAAGGATCGGATTCGTCGAAGACAGTTGCAGTACACCTCGTGAGTTCCCACCTACCCTCCCGAAAGATCCACTTGGATGTGATTTGAAATTAATCAGCGGTCATCTACGGAGCACAGATTTGGAACGGTGGCTTTGCTGCTTCAGCTGGTGCCTATTCTTTCCATGTTTTTCCTGATGTCGACCGCGGTTGGCTCAGCTCTTTGGGCAGTGGACATCGAGAACAAACGCGGTCTCCTCGTGGAATCAGGTCCGGACCCAGTGGGGGACTTCCACGATAATGAGAGATGAATGACGCAATGATAAGAGATGATATGAATGATCCCCCCCTTTTCTTTCCCCCCTGCTTTTTCTTTTCTTTTTCTTTTCGGGTTGATTTTTTTTTTTTTTTCGATTTCCCCTTCTACTCCGTATACTTTAATTAATCCTTTGTGTCACATTCTCTGACAAGATCTCATTTATGAGGGGGCTGAACCGGGAATAGATGATACATACATCCTTGGTTCGGACGATCCCAACGTGGCTTGAGTCTTGACCGTAGATACAGGGCAGTGTCGACGTAGGGATCTGAATTTTTTCAGGTATGAATCACGATAGGAACGAAAAGGACGGGTCCCACTCGGAGGCGCCCCTTTTTGTGGTCTTTGTTTGTTACAGGCTAGAGCCCAGCGAGGCCACCCATGCGATGGATTCCAGGTCATGGACCCCTGAAGGCCATGGACGGTGGAGTCAGGGTAAACTCTAACGGAGGATTGTCTTCAGTCTATTGGAACTTGCAGGCAAAGGCCGGGTCCGGATCCGAGTCCGAGGATCCGCAGTGCCCAACGACGAGAGACGGAGAGAGGAAAGACCAAAAGACGAAAAGACGAAAAGAAAAAGCTGACAAACGCCGGGATTTCCGATGACGCCGGGCACGTGACGGCTGCACGGGATCGCGGATCATTGACCAGCTTCGGAGAAGGCTTCCCTGCGCGACTCCACTGCTCCCCCGGTCACCGGCGCTCTTTCGTCTTGTTGACTGGAAAATGCGACCGTTGGGACCTCGCGGATCGTAATTGACAACCTGCGTTTCTCTCCCTGGTTGATCTTCCCTGCTTCGAGTACTGCCTCGGCCGATCTCCCGGCTTTCGATCTCCAGCATCGATCCAGTCCGTTGCTGTCCCACTCCATTCCGGCGGTGCTGGCGTTTCAAAGCGTCCCTCGGCTTTTTCTGCGAGTCCCATAAAATGCGAAAATCCCAGCTCCCCCTGCGAGACGGATGATATACAGCATGCTCTAGGCGCCCTCGGATGCGACCTGAAGCATGGAAACACTCGTCGCCACGCTTCGATGCCCATGGACCAACGAACCAGGTTGCGCAAGGCCTGCGATGCCTGCAGCATTCGGAAAGTGAAGGTATGCACAATCCTCCTCCGACGACCCTTGCTGCCGCGACGCGGGAAATAATTAAAGCTAAATGGCCCCCGTCCCCCCAGTGTGACACCAGCGGTCCGCCCTGTCGCTCGTGCGCAAGCTTGGATATTCCCTGCACTTATGAACGACCGAGTCGACGTCGCGGTCCTCCCAATCGCCATGCAGAGGCGTTCAAGAAGCAAAAGCTGGGCCCTTCGCCGGCTACCTCTCCCACCCCCTCGGATCAGCCTTCGCCTGTTCGACCGGCATCGATAGTATCGGTCGGGAACAGCCCCTCCTCCTCATCGTTTCCGTCATCGGTAGAATCAATCTGCTCGTTTCCCACCGTCCGACTGCTGATCGACGACTACTTTACGTACATCCACCCCTTGATTCCGATCCCCCACGAGCCCACGTTCCGGGCCGCTCTTGACAGAAGGGAAGACCTCACCAATCGTACGTTCCTGGCCATGACGGCCTCTATGATCGGGACCCTGGTGGCGTCGTTCCCGAGACGGCCCAAGCTACACTTGAGAACGGAGGCCGAAAGGACAGCGTTCCCTCACTCGATGGCCATGGTGAAGAAATGCCGCGATGTCGCTGTGCAAGCCCGCGGTATGGGCTATCTCGATCGAAGCGCCACCGTCTACGACGCGGCCATCAGTTATTTCCTGGGCATCTGCTCGGGTTATATGTACAGCATGCGTCGGTGCCGTACATACCTAGCCGAGTGCTTAACGATGCTACATGTGTACGACCTGTGTCGCCCGTCCCATCGATTTTCCTCGTCCTGCGCGACCAGTCCCAATTCTGCGTCTTCGCCACTATCGCAGGATCGATTCGGGGCGGCGGGGGAAGGTCCGGTCGACCTGGTCGAGCAGGAGCTCGGGCGGCGTCTCTTCTACACCACGCTCGTCGGATATCGAACCTTACAGCAAATGGGCTCGACGGATACCACCTTCCATGTTCCCCCAGAAACCCCTACGGACCGATACCCCCCTCTCCCACTCGAGGTGGACGATGAATATATCTTTTCTACCCACGTCGAACCCCAGCCGGCCCATCGGCTCTCCCGCCTCGTGGGTTTCAATGCCAACGTGCGAGTGTATAACTCGTACAATTCACTCTCGGCATGGGAAATCGCCTTCGGCAGCGGCCAGATATATGATTGGGAACGACAACGGACGGCCATCTGGGATGGCTTACAGAGAGCGAAGTCCGCCCTGGAACGGGTTCCGAAAGAATTGTCGCTTCAGCCAACTCCGGTCCCCTCCTTTCCCATGGCAGCAGACCCGAATTCGGTTGAGCGCCATTATATCCAGTACGAAATCCAAAAAGCCAATATCTACGCGAGTCAGCTGGGAACGCGATCCTATCTGGTAGAAAAATACTGGAGCCTTCACGGGGCCTGGCAGAAGTACCAAAGCTCGACCGACCAACGGCAGCACTCCAGGAGCCCGTTACCGATCAAAGTGGAGGGCGAACGTCCCAATCCTTACCGGGCTCCCAGCAGCGATGCTCAATTGGATGGAATTGGAAAGATGATGGCGGAAGAACGTCGGCTCGTGATTCGCGATCTGTCAGTTCTATTACGATCTGTCAATGAGATCAACATGGAGCCCAACGGCGCCAGTTTTGTAAGCCCTCCCCTTCCATTCATCTTTACAAATGCTAACCTATCATTTCACAGTCTGGCAAAGTCCGCCAAGTCGCGTCAACCCTTCTGAACCTCCCCGATCCAAGAGCGGATCCGTCGACTCCCTCCACCCTGGCTGCCGGTCCGCACCCTCTCACCACCGCCGAAACCGAATCTTACCTCCACGCTTTCATCGACACTCTTGTGCGATTAGAAGGCCTAGCCGCTCCGACTCCTGGTGTCTCCGGCACTAGCCCCGCCAACGGCCGCTCGATGAGCTACCTTAGCGACCACGAACGAGATGAAGAAGAACTACGCCAATGGGCCAGCCTCAAAGAGTACCAAGTCAAGTTCGCCGAAGGCGGCGGCATGTTCACCGAATTATGACGAACGCTCCTTTTCCCTGACCTTCAACTTTTCGCCTACTCTACATCTACCTTTTCTACCTTATATACCCATCATATACCTCTTCTGATTCTTTGTTGATATTCTCCCATTTTACCACTCTTGTCTATAACACGAGAATTTAGCCCCGGATCTTGGATATTGAATCCCATGAAGGCGATTCTGACCCGCTGGATTCCGATTTTCCGATTGATGTTTGCCTCCTCGGGTGTTGGTCACGTGCTTTTTTTGTTTTATTATCACTGTATACCCTATCTTGGAGGTAGTGAGATGAAGTTCCTCTCTGCCTGATCTGTATCCAATATTTGATATTTCGTCCACGTTGAATTAGTCTCTGATGTCATTTGGCTTCGCTCTGGAATTAAAAAGTCTGGTCGCTTGCACAGAATACATCATGAGTAACGAATCTTATTTTTTTCATTTTCATTGCTTGTTCGCCGTATAGTCGATTCTCTCGACTGACTTTTTCACTTTTGGAAAAAAAAAAAAAAAAAAAAAAAAAAAAAAAAAAAAAAAAAAAAAAAAAAAAAAAAAAAAAAAAAAACTAAACACAAAATTCTTGTTAAATGAAATCCCACACAGGTCCCGTCAATTCAATGAGCGACAATTAGCCAAACAAGCGGAACGTCCACGGATAGATAGAAACGAGAGAAGAGAAAGAACGGCACGATAATCTCAAAGCTCACAAACTAGCCGTCATCGTCATAGTCGGATCAACATAGATCGTCATGGTCTCGGTCTCGGTCTCCGTCGTCGTTTTGATCTGCGTCGTTGTTTCGGTCTTGGTCTCCGTGACGGTGATGAAGCCCTGCGGCGTCACAGGCACGACTTGGAGACCCCGGAGAGTTTCGTGAATCGCGCCGGTCGGTTGCGCTGCAGGCGTCACCTGGGGCCCCGTGGTGGGTGTAGCGGGCTCTAGCGTCTCCGCCGTGGGCTTTGTCTTCTGGGACGGGGGGATGTGGGTGTCACCGGCTTCTTTTGGCTGACTTGGTGTTGGGATCACTTTGGGTTCCTGGGTAGCTTTGGCGTTTCCTGTTCCAGGAGACTCGTCGGGGGCAGCTACCGTGACGACCTCCGTCACCGTCGCAGTGATAGGGATGGTCGTGACCAGTTCACCTCCTTCTGAGACACCACCATGTACATGAGAGGCAGTCTGGCCCGGAGCCGTTGTCTTGTGGTGGTGTCTTGTGGGCCCAGTGGGAATTTTCGGTTTCGGAATCGTCCTAGGCGGCCTGATGGTGGTCGTCGTAGACGTCTGCGACGATGTGGGCTTGCTATCGGAAACATGTGACCAGGTATTGGTCCAGGATGTGGATTGGCCGGGAGTCACAATCACGATGGCGGGATCCGACACCGGGGGAGCCGTAGTTCCAGGGACTCTGGTGTGTTTTCCATCCATAGGCATTCCGTCGCTGATGACAGACGAGGGTGCCTTCTGCGCAGATTCGGAGACAGTGCTCCCCGTGGGAAGTCCATCGCCAGTGGTAGCTGGGATAGTTTTCTGCGTTTGGGGAGGAGAGGATCCCGAGAGTCCTGTGGGTTCGCTAGGGACAGGAATTTCTGTATTTGGTGCCGTAGGCACTCGGCCAGTAAACTTGCCGATGGTGACAATAGTTCCAACTGTGGCTGAGTGTGAATGTACACTGTTTGTTGCCTCCAAGGACGGAACAGAGGGGGAAGAACCGCTTGACACTGCCCCAGGCAACAGCCCTACTACACCGACAGTCAAACTAGTTGTTGTTTGTGCTGGGTTCTTGAGTATGGGGTCTGTTGTAGAGACAGGGACACCACCTGTAGGCGACGAGTGAGCGGTAGGCGCCAAAGAACCGGAAAGCGTGTGAGACAGAGACTGTCGATTACGTGTCGATTCGATTGGATGCGCTGTACTGTGAGAATCACTTGACGGGGCTGGAACCAATAGACTCTGAGCTGAATTCAGAGACGGCAGCGGGATAGATGGAGATCTAGTGACACTCTGCTCAGTGGGATGAATTGTGGGAGTATGCACCGCTGGACTTGAACCAGAGGAAACCTGGCCCGAATGTCGAGGTGGCGACGGATTCGGGTGAGACTTGGTTGAATGATGCGCGGGAGAATGGACTAAAGGCGGAGTATGAACTGTTGAGCTTGGAGCTGACGGGACCTTGGGGGAGGTGTGCGACGGCGATTCGACCGAATGCTGCTCGCTCAAAGTGATGGTGGTAGGACCATACGCCGTCAGACTTGGCTGGGACGGAGGAACTGAACTGATGGGAGAGGGAACTGAAGTAGATATAGATGCGGTCCCCTGATTTTGGTGTGCCGTGGAATGGTAATCTGGGGACGTGAAAGTTGAACTGGTTGGCAACTGAGCCGTAGTTATATGCGGATGCACAGGAGTCGACGCAGATGGCTGTTCATTGCTTGGTTGGGCAATGGAATGAATGGAATCCGCTGAGCCTGTACCAGGTAGAGGTGGACTATAAGTGAGGGAAGGCGTAACAGGAATGACAGTCAAGGCATCGTCCGTATTACTACTGACGGATCCCTGGAGATTGTGTGGAACCGGCAATGAGGACTGAGATAGCTGTGCCGAAGCATCGCCTGGTCCCAATTCCCTGATTTTAGGGAGGAAATGAGCGATCGGGCCAGCCGAACAATGAAGGATGAAAAGAATGATAGCGAAGGTCAGGTGTATGAGCTGCATTTTTGGATTGACGATTCAGGGTGCCAATAGACTAGTTGAATAAATGAATGGACGCAGACCAGTCGTTAAAGAGAGAATTGAGACGATATGAAATATACTTTGAACAGAAACCGCATGTTGCACATGAACACGCGTCGGGCTCGATTAGATACTCATTATGGATTAACGCGAAGAAAATAATTAGAACGAAGGAAGCGCCGAAAGAGGGAAGCTTAAAGACCGAAAATATTTTGAGGGAGGGAAACACAGACCAGGGAAGAGGACATGGTCCTTTTAAGCACTGCAGGGTCCCAAGTGGCAGGCAGCTCCTTTGTTTGCTGGTCGGGGTCCAGGCCGTCATTGTTTGCGATGCGATTCTGCAGGCTGTGAATGGCGAGATGAGAAGAACAATGAGAAGCTTTTTTAGCTTGGGTGGGCCCTGGATGAAAGGATAATTGGTGGTTGCAAGCGCGCGCGCTATAAAAATAGTCAAGGAGGTTGCATCAGACGCCGGGGTGTTCTCTGCAGCTACTGGTTGATTGGCGTTCGCGTCGCCAGGGGTACAATGGCTTGAGGGTCCGTTTTCCTTGGCCATCCTTGCAGGTATCGCCTCATTGCCAATAGGATGAACAAAGAAGAACTTGTCTGGTGACTTGGCGGCTCATCGTCCAGATGGGCCGGTGGCACAAATCTGCCGCCTGCTTGGCTTTGTTTTTCGAGCCGGTGCAAGCCTTCAGAGGAATGGATATGGAGAAAAAGGCGCACTATATGAGATCCAAATTTGCTTCTTTGTTGGACACGGCCCATTCGCATGATTTAATTAGGCTCTCCTGCGTGGACGACAATCGGGGAATCCAACGAATACAATGTTTAAGCTCGCCAGATACCTGACTAGACAGCCACCTTGAAGGAGCGGCCTATGCCCTCAAAGGATGAAATCTTCCCGTCGATACTTTTAGAATCGCCGTAATAATGCAGACGGTAGGTTCCACCTTGCAGAGGTCTAGGGTTCCCCACGTCGTAGAATTCATCCTCGACGTGCCACTGGAGAGTCACTTCACTATATCCCAGAACCGTGTTTGTTCTTTTCCACTGGTAAACGAGATTCCAGTCGTGGTCATTTCGTACAACTTCCCAGGTGTTGGTGTCAGGGTTCTGTCGTTCGACGGCAGCAAAAGTGGTCCCAAGACGAAGGTTGTTGCGGGGATTCGCTCCTACAAACGTCGTGCTCACCACGTCGCCAGGTCCGTAGGTCACATTGTCCATCGATGAAATAACATCTCCATACGCCTTACCCAGTGGACGGCCATCGTACACAACGGACGGAATGAAGGTGAGTGATTTATCGGTGTTTATCGGAGGTGTCACTCCGGAGGGAATCGGGGACAGCTCGGAAGTATCCCCACCGAGATGAGGGAGATACGTCAAAGTCAGATTGACATATGCTGCCAGAGTATTAGGTCCGTAGAGAGTTGAGGCACCCTCGTAGCGCTGGACGCTGTATTCCTCCTCGGTCGCTACGTAATGCGCGTAGCTGTTAGATGGGGCCCCAAGAACGGCTAACGGATTCTGGACAGAAAGTGTATCTTTCGCTGATTTGGCGATTGCCTCCTTCCAGCGCCGCCCAGCCATGGTCGTCGCCTCACTTGTCGAAATTATGATGAACAGCTGGCCAACTCGAAGGACCTGAATGTCCACGATATTCGGACTCCACGGATATGGCTGATCGATGGAGCCCACGTCTAGGAGAACCTCCTTCGGAGCTTGGCATGCTTTTTGTTCCCGCGAGGGCTGATGAAGAAACGCTCGCGCCACATACCAGAGTGGATTTTTGTTGGCCGGTCCGCTGCTGTTCTGGGAGAAATCAAAAAATCCAGGCCCATCGGTGGTCCCACCAGCAAATGAGAACCCCAGCGCCGCCGAGCATGTGGATAAGACGCTGGAGTTGAAGGGAGACACGAAGGTGTAGTCAGACAGGTCTTGGTATAGATGGAAAGCGTGGACATGGGAGCTTGGGGAAATTTGGACAGACTTGGAATCCAAGTCATCGTACAATTGTCGTGCAGCCACATACTGGCGCCGACCGATGTCGAAACAACTTTTGGCGCCGTTGTCCTTTTCGCGGAAAAAAGGTCCACGGCCATGACAATCTTCCGTCTTCCCACCGCAAGTGCTGTCTGAGTAGCGACATTGCTGTCCGGAGCCATCTTCACACCATGCACCCAAGGTATTGGGGGAAGTGTCGCCGACATTGGACTGAGAAAATCCTGCGACGAAGTCATCTGCAAACTTTGCATTGTTTAAAACACTCCTCTCAAATAGCCATGCAGCCACACCTTTGTTATCTCCGGTTACGATCGTGTTATTGTTATACATCGAGGTACCATGCACAGGGAAGAAGGTCAGGATGGCGGTTGTCTTGTTGTCCGATTCCCGATCAAATCGCAGCAGGGTCATCGATTTGTCTACATTGGCCGAATATTTCGCCTTCTCTTCCTCGGGGTTGTGGTCGTATGAATATGGGCTTCTGTTGACATTGGCATCCTGAACGTCTATCGAGCCGAAGCGGAGATATCCAAGGGCCAAGCTCTCATGAGCTCGCTTGATGGACAGCAAGACACCATCCACGATGGCTCGGTAGCTCTGCTTATCAAACCCTTTGTTGGGGATTTGAGGCAAGAGATAGTTCATCCAGGCGCCTGGCCCGGAATGAGAGTGTGTCCCAGTGAGAGCTACATTGCTCTCGCCATAGCGCGAGTATTCGTTTCCTAGGCCGGCGAGACCCTCAAGAACACCATGACGGATTCCCGTGTCGCCCGTGAGAGAGTCAATGATCAGGTAAATAAAGGTGTCCTCCGGTTTATCAGGATTGGCAAATATGAAGGCCCGAGAGAAGATCCGCTGTCGTAAGCCAGTCCCGATCTGGTCCAAACTGGCGTAGCCCCCAAAGCCCACCTCTACTACAGGGCTGCAGAATGATGCATCAACAAACCTAGAACATCGACTAGTCAGACGGAGAAGGGAGAATACCCGGTGATGTCCGCTTTGCCCGCTCCCAGCAGAAACACACTGCCATCTGCATTCGGCTCCGTCGCCCTATCTTGCCATCGAGTCCGAGTGTTGGCACTGAGCGGGTGACGCTGGTCTGGAAGAAGAGTGAACAGTAGCAGTAGGACGAGCAGGGCTACAGAGGCCCCGCCAAAAGCAGCATTCAACTTGAGATTCGCCATGCGTGCAGCGCAGTATGCGAAGCAAGACCAGGAGTTTTTTTGATTTTCTTTCTTTCGTATTACAGTGTCAATGCAGGTAGGCTAGGCTCCCTTAATCGATAAGCAAAATAGATCCGGGCGGGGAAGTAGACTACAGTTATAGCTGTGGTCGTCTGTTCCTGTAAACAGTTTCAGGCCGAGGTGGAAGAGATCCCCGGCACAGCGCGTGACAGTGGACGACATCCGGGATGGAACGCAGATGTCCAATTCGCAACCCTCCAAGCGACGAGGAGGAAGAGCAACGATTGGCGTAGAGACGGTCGAAGGGTGACATCGACCCAGCCGTCTTACCTAAAGTCGAACTAGCCTCGATTGGGCGCGCGTTCTTCAGGTCCGCCCCGCCTTGTCTTTGCAGGGAAAGGAATTTGTCACTGGCCGCGTTATTCGCCCATTGGCCGTGTTGTGCAGGAAGGAAAGCAAGGACCGGGTTGTCCTGTCTATCTCTTGCGGATGGATGGCTGGATGAGCTGAACCCTACCAGCAAGGAAGTCGGCTGGAGGGTGTGCTCGGTTAGTAAATCAGGAGATCCTGATGCCGATCACCAGGATGGATTTGCAAGACAAGAACTGCAGAGGAAAGCTTGTGGATGTGGCGGATAGACCAGCCCTATCTAGTCGAGTCGAGCTGATGCCGATCTACATCGACGGAGATGAGAACGACTTACCCCGTAGGAGTAGTGAAGAGGGTGGAGTAGAGAAGACAGAGAGAGAGAAAGACGGACAAATGAGAGTCGGTCGGGTCACGTGGACCGAGCTGAGTCAGGAGACTCTCACCGCCCGGATGCGGCAGAAAACGCCGACGCGAAATGCGAGCAGCTTCTCATGAACCGGAATATCGGCCTCCTTTATTCAATTCACCTCTGCCGTCGCTGACCCGACCTGACCTCATTCTCCTGGCATTCTGGACAAGATGCCTCTTATCAACGAATCCCACGACTCCCTCCCTTGTAAGTCCCTCGCATGATCGCATGATCCACCTCAGCGCCTTCTCTTGAGCTTCCCTTTCGTCTAATCGAAGTGGTTTTCTTTGCTATACAGATATCGATGCCGAGCCTTCTGCTCGAGCTCGAGCAGATGCGGAGAGACTTATCACGGCCGAGCTGCCATCCAATTACTCGTCGTCAATTCACCCTTCCATCCCCGCATTCCCCGAGTCCCAGTTCTCCCCCCTCATGCAGCAGGAGGTCGAGCGGAAGGCCGCGGGACTGCCGTTGGTCGGGGGCATCGATCTCTCGCGATATGAAGCCCCCGAGCCCCCTGCACGATCCTCGGATGCGGGGTCAGAGTCGAAGCCGAATCTGGAGGAGTGGCGTCAAACCTTGCAAAAGGCGTACACGGCCAGCTCCCATTTGTCCATGCGACACGAGAATCTGGCGCTGCTCGAGGAGAACGGCAAGAACGCGTGGTTGATTGGCAACTCGCAACTGGAGGACATTCTACGCGGGCTGGAAAAGGAACTGGCCGAGACCAAGGAAGCTGCGGAGACGGTCAACAAAGAACGGAAACTGGCCCAGGAGGCTAGCAAAGGTGAGCTTGCGGGGCTGGAAGAGTCCTGGCGAAAGGGAGTGGGTGCGACGTTGGACGTGGAATTGGCTGCGGAGGCCCTACGGCTGCAAATCTTGGACCAGAGACGTCAGCTTGCCCAGCAGCACGGTCGGTAAAGGCGGTCCTTATCTCGCATGCCCGTTGGTTCGTTGGATTCTATTGGAACCAGCCCAGACCCCGTACGACCGGGGGGTTAAAAGAAAGGACCCAGTCAGGTGAACCTGTTGCATCTGGCACTGCTGGAAACTGCCTGACTCAGGATCCGATTACCCGCTGGAATCGAAACCATGGATCATCTCTTCTTTTATCCCCCTTGTTCATTTCATACGAGCCTTTCACACTGCTCTGCATCGTTGATTGAGAGTTACCACTTTGCCAAGTCGACCGAGAATGGCATCCGAGCTATAGAGGATGATCGCCGAGACGACGTCTTTAGCTGCTTCTACAGAGGGGAAGGACCGGATACTTGGGACCGGATTGGATGGAAAAATTATTTGCAAATGAGGAGGCCCGGGGCTGAGCTGTTGCCAATCAGGCCCAAACGAAGCTGAGCAGAGCAGCTTTTCCAGTGCGGGGAAGAAGCAGAAAGGAATCCTTGGCTTCTCCCCACTTCGTCCTCTGCGGCCTCTTGACTGGCCTCGCGGCTGCGCAGGTTGCTCCGTTGACACCTCAGCGAGCCAATCTATCTTTTGCCCGTTCAAGCCCTTGGCTGGTCTGCTTGTCGTCATCTCGTCGGCTTTTACTTTCTCTCTGTTTCCCGCCTCCTCTCATCCGCAGCACTCCGTTCTGGACGCGAGAAGCCTCTCAATTATCGACCTCAATGGCTCCTGTGCGTGTCAATTGCGTTGGTTCGGTCGGTCGGATTTTGCGGAGTTGATTTTGATACCCTAAAAATGCATGTTTATCTTTTGCTCTCCTTCTCCTCTTTTCCGGATGCAGCCTATGTACACTAAAGCACCTTGTGAAACAGGAAGCAAGTCCTGCATTTCCTACAGCCCCGTATACGGGATTTCCTTTTCCTTCCCCTTGGCAGGCCTCCTCTTTCAGTGGGACTTCACGTATAATATCATCCTCTATTATGCGGGGAATCTGTGGCGGCTGTGACGATCCCTGGCTGACACTTCGATATGGGCCATGTCGCGGATATGATTCGATCCATGCTCCCCCCTGGTCCGCAGCCACTGGCTCTGGCGCTGGCATCGCATGGATCGGCTTGAATCAGACCTGTCCTTTTTTCCGGACGAGGGACTTTTGACTCGTGCGGGGATGGATTCGTCTCAATTGCTCTTGTCGTCCTTGTCGTCCACCCAGAGGGCCCGGATGGATTCCTATCATCTTAGCTTTGCGGGGTTGTATCTCTATCCCAGCAAGTCTAGGCGCACAGGAATTGATATAAATTGCACTGGATTCCTCTCTGTTCTCTTGCTCTCTCTTTCAATTGAGTCAGGGTTCGTTCTTCTTCCCTGCTCTCTAGTCCAACCACTCCCTGCTCCCCTTTCGTATCTGTAGCTTTCTTTCTCCCTCCCTCTCTCTTGGTACTAGCCCACCCAACCAGGAACCATGACCATCCCCGAGGAGGTCGACATCATCATCTGCGGCGGCGGCAGCTCCGGCTGCGTGCCGGCCGGCCGTCTGGCGAACCTGGACCATAACCTGTCGGTTCTGCTGATTGAAGCCGGCGAGGATAACCTGAACAATCCATGGTCAGTCAGCCTAGCCTTCCCAACCCCTGGGGGCCTCCGCGGACAAGTGTCAACTGACGGGAGCTTTTCTACACGTCCAGGGTCTACCGTCCCGGCATTTACCCGCGGAACATGAAGCTGGACTCCAAGACCGCTTCGTTTTACTACTCTCGTCCGTCGGAGCACCTCGATGGTCGACGGGCGGTCGTACCCTGTGCCAATGTGCTGGGTGGAGGCAGCTCGATCAACTTCATGGTAGGTCGTGTTACCCTGTAGCTCTGCAGTCCTTGGTCCTAAGGACCATCGAACAGCTAGACAATGGATACGGACATGGGCCAAGCTAACTTGTGTCTGGAGATGTACACGCGCGCCTCGGCGTCCGACTACGACGACTGGCAAGCCCCCGGCTGGAAGACCGACGAGCTGATCCCGCTCATGAAGAAGCACGAGACGTACCAGCGGGCCTGCAATAACCGCGACATCCACGGCTTCGAGGGTCCCATCAAGGTCTCCTTCGGCAACTATACCTACCCCATCAAGGAAGACTTCCTGCGCGCCGCCGAGTCCCAGGACATTCCTGTGACTGATGATCTGCAGGATCTGAAGACTGGGTAGGTGGATTTCAATTCATCAGTTGGACGTTACTAACGCAGTGGGAATATAGCCATGGTGCAGAGCATTGGTTGAAGTGGATCAATCGGGATACTGGTATGGATCCGTATATCCTTTTCTCATGGTCAAAGACACATCAATTCTAACACGAACCAACAGGCCGCCGCAGTGACGCCGCCCACGCCTACGTGCACAGCACGCGCGCGCGCCACTCGAACCTGCACCTGAAGTGCAACACGAAGGTGGACAAGATCATCATCGAGAACGGACGCGCCGTGGGCGTGGCCACGGTGCCGACCAAGCCGCTGGACGGCCGCGATCCGCCGCGTCGCATCTTCCGCGCGCGCAAGCAGATCATCCTCAGCAGCGGCACGCTCAGCTCGCCGCTGGTCCTGCAGCGCTCGGGCGTCGGCGACCCCGACAAGCTGCGCCAGGTCGGCATCAAGCCGCTGGTCAACCTGCCCGGCGTCGGCCGCAACTTCCAGGACCACTACCTCACCTTCTCGGTGTACCGGGCCAAGCCGGACGTCGAGTCGTTCGACGACTTTGTGCGTGGCGACCCCGAAGTGCAGAAGAAGGTGTATGAAGAGTGGAACCTCAAGGGCACGGGCCCGCTGGCGACGAACGGCATCGACGCAGGTGTTAAGATCCGGCCGACGCAGAAGGAGCTCGACGAGATGAAGAAGTGGCCGACCCCGGAATTCGTCGATGGCTGGGAGTCGTACTTCAAGAACAAGCCGGACAAGCCGGTCATGCATTATTCGGTCATTTCGGGGTATGCTTTGATCTTTGATTCTTTCTTCTTTCCCCTTTGAAAAGCCAGAGGAACTGACATCAAATCACGCCAGCTGGTTCGGTGACCACATGCTCATGCCCCCGGGCAAGTTCTTCACCATGTTCCACTTCCTGGAATACCCCTTCTCTCGCGGCCAGACGCACGTCCAGTCGCCCGATCCCTACGAGAACCCCGACTTCGACGCCGGCTTCATGAACGACAAGCGCGACATGGCCGCCATGGTCTGGGGCTACATCAAATCGCGCGAGACGGCGCGGCGCATGGGCTCGTACGCCGGCGAGGTGACCTCGCATCACCCGCTGTACGCGTACGACTCGCCCGCGCGCGCCTTCGACATGGACCTGGCGACGACCAAGGCGTATGCGGGTGTGAATCACCTGTCCGCGGGTATTCAGCACGGTTCGTCTTCTTTCACCCCCCTCCTCCCTGACCTGGGAAAAAGGAACCCGATTGTCTGACTGAGGAAATACAGGCTCGTGGTCCCAGCCGCTCGAACCCGGCAAGGCGCCCTCGTCGGTGCATCTGAACTCCAACCAGCAGGAGACGCGAGATACATTACAGTACAGCAAGGAGGATATCAAGGAGATTGAGAAATGGAGTACGTCCACGTCCCCTTCCCCTCGGCTTGTCCTCTCTTTCGGATTCCATGCTTGATAGTTACCTCGCAATGCAATGATCCTTCCTACTAACACACTCGCACAGTCCAACGCCACGTCGAAACGACCTGGCACTGCCTGGGAACCTGCAGCATGGCGCCGCGCGAGGGCAGCTCGATCGCCAAGCACGGCGGCGTGGTCGACGAGCGACTCAACGTCTACGGCGTCAAGGGCCTGAAGGTCTGCGATCTGTCCATCTGTCCGGATAACGTGGGCTGCAATACATTCAGCGTAAGTTTTCTCCCCGCTGCGCTTTTCTGTTAGGTTACTGTGTTCCCGGACGGGAAATAGGAGATAGCACGTTTGCTAACGGTGATTGGTTTAGACGGCCCTCCTGATCGGCGAGAAATGCGCCATGCTGACGGCCGAGGATCTGGGATACTCCGGCGAGGCGCTCGACATGAAGGTGCCGAACTATCATGCGCCGGGCGAGTTTGCCAATCTGTCTCGCTTGTAGAGAGAGCAAGGAATGTGGATCGGTGGGAAATCTACGGCTTGATTGGTAGGGTTGGTTTGGTAGTCTGAATTGTGGTTTTGTATATTTTCAGAATGAAACTCAACTATTTCATGAAAGTGTGTCATTTCTCGAGGCGGCCTTCAGTCTACCTCTGGACTTTGGCGATTCTCTAAGATACAATGTGCAAGGATTATGTCCCCGGAAATATTAGAGTCTGCTTTCCGGAACCGCCAGCTTCACGTCCACTCCCTCCCGCGATACGTCGACAAGCGGCTTTTCCGCAATCGCCTCGGACATCTTCTTGTCGGCCGCTCGGTTCCACTCGTCCACCTCCTTACACATCCCCGCCAGAGTGCTGATGGGCGCGGAGTAGCCGAGTCCACCCTGCTGCGGGCTCAAGCGAGCGCGAGAGTCGTCCGCCAGGATGTGGGCATTTGAGATGGAGAACAGGGCCGGTTGCAGCTGAGTCAGTTTTCCGCCGACCTTGGGAAGCCAGGGGAGGTAGAGGTGCTGGAGCAGAGCATACCACTCCACCAGGTAGGATAGAAGGAAGAAAGGCACCGACGGTGCCGGCGGGAAGCTCACGGGGGTTTTGGCCAGCGTGGTCAGGAGAAGATAGAGGTCGCCGAAGGCAATCCCAGGGTTGGGATCGGTCACGATGAAAGCCTGTCCGCCAATGTTTGGAAGCTGGTTCGGACGCTCGGTGTGCTCGATCAGGCGCTGTTCATATAAGAGATGAGCAATGGAGACGTTCTCGGCGTTGACAAAACTCTGAATGACACCATGCAGCCAGCTGGGAAATTGTCAGAACTCCTTACTCTCAAGAAAGAAAAGGGGGAGAGGCCTGTCCTACCTTGGGCCGCCACCTTGTCGGAGATAGGTTCCAACGATGGTGGCGCTGTTGTCGACCCCAATACCGTAGATTCCATTGGCAGGACGAATGCAACCGGTGCGGAAATTAGACGCAGGGTCATCGGCAGCGCGGATGATTCCCTCGGCCTCCGCCTTAGACGCAGCATAGTTGCCAAAGAACTGATCGTGGTCCTTGGGCAACTCGTCCGAATCCTTCACCACCTGCACCAGGTACTTAGGGGCCTGCGTCCACGGGGCAATCCAAAAGGGCGGGCGACGGATGGTGACAGAGCCCGACGACGTGGCAATCAGGCAGCTTGCGCCGGCTTTTTTTGCGGCCTGCAGCACATTGACAGTCCCGCCCACATTCACGTTCCGGCAGAAGGGCAAAAACGCCTTGTGTCGCTCCGCAGGTCTGATCGCCGCCGCATTGTGGAACACGGTCAAAGGCAGATCGGCCACCGTCGGGGGCCATGCCTGCAAGAACGCGCTCAGAACGGCGGTTTCATCGACAATGTTGGTCTGGACGAAGGCAACTCCCTGGTCGAGAATTTCGCGCTTGGGGGCCTGCAGGTCTAGAACACGGATAGCTGCCGGGTTCTCGCCGCGAGCCAGAAGATGCATCACCACCCAGTTGCCCACCAGGCCTGCCAGAATTAGTCAATCACCGCTCCTCACTACCTTGCCGGTGGGTTTCTTGGATACATACCAGAACCACCAATCACGACGTAACGTCGATTCTGCTTGGCAGGAAGACTCTTGCTCACGTCGACGGGCGAGTTGACGGCGCTTTCATAGGCGGCGTGGATATCACCGACGGTCCAGCGACGAGGAGACAGACGACGGACCTCTTGAGGAACCGCTTTCATTCCCCGATTGACGTGGTAGAGATAGAGAAAGCCCACGCCTGCGAGGCACGCCAGCAGGATTGGTAGGAGCATCTCTTGTTGGGGGGTCTAAAGCAGTCCTGGGTGGTTGATACAAAGAGCCACCGGTAACGCGGTCGAGAATTTTATAGACTCGGTAGGTACCTCAGCTATCTCAGCTACCTCGAAGTAGAAACGCTGTGAACCGGGGGAATCCAGTAGACAGAAATTCCAGGCCAATGACAACCTCACAGACGGAGGCCGACGATGGAAAGGAAGAAAACAATTCACTTCGCGAACAAAGAAGGGGAAGATTCCAACCGAGGAGACTACTTGGTTGGACCCGTCGTTTAGTGAGTTCGGTTAGAGGACCGTGGATAATGGGGATTATCCACCGCGGTCCCGGCGAGATGGCCCTGGAAGCTCTCGTGGGAGTCCCCAGGTAGCTCAGGTTCATCCATGGATGCTTACTCCATGTGCAGGTAAACCACGAGGACTTCTCCGCATGGAGGAAATCCCCAGGAAGAAAAAAGAAAGAAAAAAGACACGAAACGAAACCAAAAAGACCGAAATCGGCAAACCGGCACGGGCGGCAAACCGGAAGCGAGCGAGACTCTCTGACTGGTTCTTTCTCCCTTGGCATTTCATTCTGTTTCTTTCTTTTCTCTCTTGGTTCTTGTTCTCTGGGCTCTTTCTCCGCCTGACAGAGGACCCGTCCGGGGTAGATAAGATTATCCCAGTCACCACTAGGGCATCACGCCATCCGTCGTCACGATAATCCTAGGGGCAACGGAACAAGGATCGATAGACACCGTACTCCGTATGGACCTACACATACTCCATAATAGTATAGGCAGGGTCCTCCCAGGAACGGAATTGGCCCCAGCATTTCAATCGAAAGCCAGCAAGCACCAAGGAGGTGGAGACTCGGAAAGACAGACCCATTGACGATCTCTGGCGGCCTCGGCCTTGTGCCAGCATCCCACGGGAATTGGACACTCGAACATCAACCGTTGGCCTTGCAGACACCTCGGTTATTCCCATCCAGTCCCTTTGGGTCATCATGATGAGCGGAGAGAACCTCATAAGAAAGGAATTTCAATGCGACGGCAGATGAGACAGTGGGCGATGGAGATCCTTCCTTCTCTCACAACCCATGTCCAGCTTATCGACTATCAAGGGAGATAACTGACTATAAGACTAACGTGAATTGAATCCTGAGCAGCCAAAGCCCCACCTGTCCAGCTCATTATTAAGAATCAAGCAACGCTAATCTTCACGCTGCAAATAAATCCGTCAATCCTTCCCCGGGCGTCTAGTCTCTCTCTCTTTTTTTTTTTTTTGTCTTTCTTGGGCTGCTGCTAATGCGTTTTCCTGTTTCTTTACGGCTAGGAGATTTATGTCTGCATTGCATTAATTCTCCGAGGCCTATACTGACATTGGGCACACTTGGAGGAATCTAGAGGGCAGGCACTAACAGACAAGAAAAAAAAAAAAAAAAAAAAAAAAGCAACACGCCTGAGATAGCTTCACATTTCTATTCTTTCTTCTATTCCTCACCTTTACTTCCTTACTTCCATGCTTCATACTTTACCCTCTCACGAACCAACCAGACTTAGTCTATAGACTGAACCCTTCCGTCCTCGTCCCCTCGAGAGTAGCAGCCCAAGCCAGATTGTAGGAGGCACGTCCTCCTATACCTTAGGAATATGTCCGCACCTCAGCATGACCCGGCGGATTCTCAAAAATCCCCCCGCTACCATCAAGAGGAGTCTACCGCCGCAGAGACCCATTCCATTGACGGCTCGACCACGTCCGAGGATACAATCGAGGTGGAGGGACTGGCGCAGAGCTTGTCGGCGCATGCATCTCGACTGTCGCAACCGTCTTTGGCCCGGAAGATCACGTCCATCGCAACCAATGGAACCTCGGATCCGAACTACGAGGTCGATTTCGAAGACGAGTCGGATCAGCAGAATCCCAAGAACTGGTCACTGAAGTACAAGGCCTTTGGCATTGGGGTGCTGTCCTATAACACTCTGATTGTGTGCGTTGAAGTCCTTCGGCTCGTCGATAACGGTGTGGGAATGGCCAGCCAACTGACTGTTCCAGGGTCCTGTATTCAACCTCGTACACGTCCGGAGTGGCAGAAATCGCCGCCGAATTCGACTCCTCCAATACCATCGTCACCTTGGGCCTAACTTTCTACCTGATCGGCCTGGCCATAGGCTCCATGTTCATGGCGCCGTTGAGCGAGGTCTACGGCCGAAAGCCGGTTTCCGTCGTGTGCCTTGCTATCTTCACCATTTTGATCATCCCCTGTGCCCTGGCTAAGTCGGTGGAGGCCCTTATCGTAGTGCGGTTCATTGGCGCCTTGTTTGGAAGTGTCATGATATCCACCGCCCCGGGGATGGTGTCGGATCTAGTCAATGATGAGCAGCGCGCTCTGGCCATGTCCATCTGGAGTATTGGCCCCGTGAACGGCCCAGGTCTGTCTTCGCATGCCTTTCTTGGTCTCGTTACTCTACTAACCAGAGCCTGCAGTGCTGGGTCCCATCATTGGAGGATTTGTCACGCAATACCTGGGATGGCGATGGATGTGCTGGATCGCATTGATCTTGTCGGGCGTTGCGCTGGCCTTCTCCTGTATCATGGAGGAGACGTACGGGCCCATCATTCTTCAAAAGAAGGCGGCGCGTCTGCGCAAGGAGACCGATGATTCGCGCTGGTGGAGTCGATACGACCAGAAGACCAGCCTGGCCGAGATGCTGAAAGTGAACCTGGGGCGACCTTTTGTCATGGCCGTCACCGAACCCATCTGGTGAGAAAGAACCGGCCCTCCTAAGAACATCCTTTTCATTACCTAAGACATTACCTAAGAGCTAACATTCCTCCAGTATATTCTGGAATATTTATATCGCCATCGTCTACGGGATTCTCTACCTCTGCTTCACAGCCTATCCCATCGTCTTCCGTGACATTCGCGGGTGGTCGCTGGGCCTCTCGGGGTTGGCATTCCTGGGCATCGGCATCGGCTGTCTCATTACCATCTCATGCGAACCGCTGATCCGCCGGATGATCAACAGCCACCGCATCGACCCCGAGACCGGAAAGGTGCCGCCGGAAGCCATGGTCTCGATCGTCTGCATCTCCGCCATTCTCATCCCCGCCGGTGAGCTCTGGTTCGCATGGACCTGTGCGCCCGCTTCCATCCACTGGGTCGTGCCCATCTTAGCAGGCGTCCTGTTTGGTGCAGGAAACACCGGCGTCTTCATATACGCTTCTAACTATCTCACTTATAGCTATGGCGTGTACGCTGCGTCTGCCATGGCCGGCAACTCCGTGATCAGAAGTGTCCTGGGAGGTGTCCTGCCTCTGGTGGGCTCGTATATGTATGCAGGCATCGGACCCAATTGGTCTGGTACGCTGCTGGGCTTGCTCGAAGTTCTCATCATCCCGATCCCGTTTGTGTTCTACAAGTACGGGTATAGGATCCGAGAAAAGAGCACGCTGATCAGGCGCATGCAAGAAGATAAAAGGCGACTGGAAGGAAAGCGGAAGCGATTGATGCAGCGGCTGGAGGCAGCAGGCCTCCAAGCGGAGTCAACAGAAAAAGAGAAGGAGAAGATGGAGGTATAAAGGGCACAAACCAAAGGCAGCGCCCGAGACGTCGATTATGACTTTTTCATTTTCTGCATACAAAAGTTCTTATTCCCCAGATGGCTGGCGTGGCTAGGCTTGCCCACTCCTCTCACGGCGGATATATGGCATATTTGGTCATGGCGAGCAACAAATTCAAGCATGGTCAGGCGAATATAATAGATAATGAGTCGTTTAATGAATGCAACGAAGACTTTCGATTTCCCTCATCTCTCAGACAAGGAGAACACGACCGGATGGAGTACTCGCTCAAGTTGGTCGTTGGACTCTCCGCTCGACCTCCATCGATTCATGCAGAATCCTTTCGTATTCCCCTAATGCAATCGCACCGGCGGCAAAGACCATGATTGCTTCGACGTAGATGGTCTCACCGGCAATCATCGACCGTCTCACGTAACCAAGCACATTGACCCATGCACCCACGCGCAGCTCCTCCGACGTGACCGTCTCTAGGACTGCATTGATATCGACCGACACGGTTGGTACATCGGACGTTGATTTACGTCGGGGATAGTTATGCTCTAATATTAGACGGCCTGTGGGAACGGAATAGGTTCTTACACTAAAGGGTTAGAGAAAATGCCACGAGGGCGATGAATCAGCGGAGGAACGGATCCATTAAATGGGTCATATGAGCAATAGGAATATATTGAAGCAATACAAGCAGGAACACGGGAACAGGAGAGAATCAGATGATCTACGCACCAGCCCAGGAAACGGACCTTGCTGTCAGCAGGGAGAGCGGCGAGGTTGGAGAGGAAGGCTCTCCTGGAGGGAAGAGGACCGTTCATCCCTCGAGGCCTTGGGCCAAAAGAGACATCACCGACCAGATAACAGGATCGAGGGACCGAGCAACTGTGGCGGGAGCGACGAAGGGTTGAGCTGAAATGAAGTTATTTTGGTTCTATACGGCCGGGCTGCACGTGACACACCGCATCCGATAGGCCGAGCGTATGTCATCGGCCAACGAGGGGAACACGCATTTCCTCCATCTCGGTCGCCTTCGCTCTCTCTCTCTCTCGCAGTCGGCAACGTTTCCTCTCTCCGCAGTCCATCCCTTAAACCAGCTCGCTCCTGACCGGTGAAAACCTTCATCGCACGGTCTCTCAACACCTCCGATTTCCTACGCTGTCAATCCTCTGCGAGTCGTCGCACCTCGCCCCCTCTTCTCTTATCTTCGTCCTTGAAATCCGCCGATCTCTCAGATCTGCTGTCAGACGAGCACAAAGAAAGATCTCCTCCCAGATCTTCAGAACATATTTCCTGCATCTCCACTCAAAAGGCCCCCTGTCTTTAGTGGGTCTTCGATACCAAGAACAGTCCACACGCACATCTCGTCTTTCTCGGTCATAATGTGGTCGTGGTTCGGTGGCGCCGCAGCCCAAAAGCGGAAGGATGCGCCCAAGAACGCGATCCTGATGCTGCGGGAACAGCTGGATATGCTTCAAAAGCGGGAGACGCATCTGGCAAATCAGATGGATGAGCAGGAGAACGTGGCGAAGAAGAACATCAGCACAAATAAGAACGGTATGGATTTTGGACCAGTGCTCACCTCTCATTCTGATCTGCTGCGTGAACGATGATCCAACTAACGCAACCGCAATTCAGCCGCCAAGGCTGCGCTCCGAAGGAAAAAGGTCCATGAGAAGAACCTCGAACAGACGACGGCGCAGATCGCCCAGTTGGAACAGCAGATCTACTCGATTGAAACTGCGAATATCAACCAGAAGACCCTGGAGGCGATGAAGAACGCAGGCTCCGCCATGAACCAGATCCATGGCTCGATGACTATCGACAAGGTGGACGAGACAATGTATGTGCCGAGCCTGAAGCATCCGCTGCGATCGTGTCATGCTAACACCTGGCCAGGGACGAACTCCGCGAACAACATCAACTCAGCGAGGAAATTGCGCAGGCCATCACGAACAACCCGCTCGGCGAACAGCCAGACGAGTCCGAGTTGGACGCAGAACTCGAGGGTTTGGAACAAGAGGCCATGGACGAGCGCATGCTCAAGACAGGCACAGTACCGGTCTCGGATCAACTCAATCGGCTACCTGCCGCAGGGACTGGGGAACGTAAGTCACGTCCTTCAACTTATCCTTCCGCATATCAGAGGTTGATTCTAACCATACCACGCACCCACAGTCAAAAACAAGCCACAAAAGACCGAGGAAGAAGACGAGGAAGCAGAGTTGGAGAAGTTGCGTGCAGAGATGGCCATGTGATGATGCTACGAAGCCCTTATTCTGTTCCTCGGCGTGTTGGTCTTATTTTCTTCCATACTAGATCCCCTATATGAGCAATGCCTTCTCTCTGCTTTCTCCCCTTCACTTTCCTCATGATTATACAGTCATCAATCATGCGTCCATGTAATCGCGACCAACGGAGTTTTATCTACCACTTGCAGGAGAAACTTGGCTTTTCTTTTCTTTCCTTTTCTTTTCTTCTTCTCGTGTCTTGGAAGTTTGGGACTATCAACAGAACTCGCACCGTTTCGTTTTCTCGTCCGTTGTCTGCCTGTGTGTTTACATTTAGGTTGTTTTTTGTTCGATTCTTGGATGGTCTCATAAACATACCTCCATCATCCCGTCCCATCCATACCTCATCTTCCTGTCCTTAACCTTTTTGGTTTTGCTGATTCAACCTGCCTGGCCCACCCAACTTACCTTACGGCATTGCATGGTTCCTTTATCTACTTATCTATTTTATTATACCTACATGAAAGACCCGAGTCTATGTCGGAACGAAGAGATGTTCTTTTTTCATTCTATTTTCAACTGCTCTGACGGTTCCTGTCTTGGTAACTTGGTAACCATTGACTTTCGCGGTTGCATATAAAGCGTAAAAGGTGCCAATTACTTACACAGTAAAACGAGTCGAAGCTGTAGATATGATCTAGAGGGGTTGAAGACAACGGAGACCTACTAGTACAGGCCATCGCGAACCAGACGAAGAAAATCTTATCTACCAGATCTAATCTACAGCAACACCATTAGACAAAGAAAAAAGTAACTATTCCCACCCTAGACCATGCGGTCTCGAGAGAGAAAGCGGAATCTCAATAGACAGGGAATAATCCCGACATTAAAAGCCAAATTGAATTGTTGAAATGACACCACCACATATTGAAAAATGAAAAGACCACACTTAAACTCCGGGTTTTTATCTCATACCATCATCCAGGGGAAAAATCCGGCCCATCCCGAATAAAAAGGAACATATTAAAAAAGAAAGCTTGAACGAATAGACAAGAGTAAGGGCTGTTCAACCGCATTTGAGGTCTAAAGGGTTCCTCGCGCCGTTAAGGGAACCAGGCATAACTCTTGAGCGGTGCTCTCCGAGCCCCGTCGGTGGCTTCGCTGCACCATCTGGACTTCCATTCGTACTCCTGCGCGGCCGCCTCGACAAGAGCTTCCTTGCACTCGGCCGGCAGCTCCTCGAGGATCTCGGGGCTCAGGAATTCGGGGTTCGACGGGTTGGCCACGCTGACGAAGCCATTGGAGCCGAGATCGTGCACATCGCCGTCAGGACCGGGAATCCCCAGGTTGGAATGTGGCGGCGTCTCATAGTGAACATCATGGATGGCGAATCGGCGAGAGAGCGCAGGCGGGATGTCGGAGAAGATCGATTCCTTGCCAGCTTCCTCCTCGTTATTGTCGTTATTCTCGTGCGTTGTTTCCTTCGAAGCGGCCGAGACTTCGACAGGGGGGTCACTCTCATCACGGCCGTTCGTCAGGCTGAGGGTCGACAATTCCTTGGTGAGTTTGGCCGCAACCCGCGGATCAGGAGGGGGTAGACGCTCCCAGCGTGCATGCGTAGGCTGCATGATCTTGGGATATTGCAAAACGTTGGTGTGAATGTCGTAGTATCCCTCCAGGTTCGCACGGCGAGCATGTGAGATGAGAGCATTGTAATTGCTAAACCATTGAACCGTCAGAATGTCATGTTTGAAGAATCACCCGGGAATGGGTTACGCACCTGGCTTCACGGGCATGCTCAAGCATCCAATTGTCTCCCGTGACCGTAATCTTTCGCTTCTTCGAATCAACCGCTTTCCCAACGGGAAGAGGAACCGAGGGCACGCTCGTGTGATAGACACTACTCGCGCCGTGCCACGCGACGTACTGGTTCCTGTTATACGGCTCGCCGGGCCCCGGAAGCTTGTCCTCGGGAACGGCAAGCTCGCCTTCAACGTCGCCGCGCTCCCGCGCTGCCTGAGCATGGTAGTCGTCGGAAACCTTCTTCCCGCCCACGATGATTTTGGCGCCGAACTCTCTGAACACTGACCGAGCGGTCACCACACCGATAGCTCGACCCTTGTAGGAATGAGGGATGATTTCGCGCTCGATCAGATCGCGCTTGGCCTCGTCATCGATGATAATCTTGTAGAGCAGCTTGTGCTTCTGGAAAAACAGATACGAGTCCCTAAAACCGATGCAGCGAGCCGGCTCCGTAGACAGCATGTAGTATCTCTCGCCGCGGTTGAGGATGGTAAACGTGCGAACCCGGTACTCTCGATCGCCCTTCAAAACGCCATTCTTGTCAACCTTGGTCTCGCCCTCCGGATCGTCCGGAAGAGCCACTTCGTCGTCGATCACGTCCATCATGTTTCCTTCCTTGTCAATTGGCACTTGGGTGACGTGGGACGGCCCGCGGTTTCGAGCCCATCGTCCTCCACTCGCCGCCGGGCGTCCTCGCCTCCTCTTCACCGGCGTGCTCACGTGGATCGGGGTCTGTGGCGCTCCGTCCTCGGGCGCATCCCATTCTGGCGGGCGGTTCTTCGGCGGACGGCCTATGCGTCGTTTTCGCGGGATCGCGGAGGGGCGACCGCCGGTGCGCGTCGGCGTGTCTGCTCGCGACGGGGTGTTCGACTCCTCCTGGGTGGGCGTTGCCGCGGTCTCTTCCTCCGGAACCGGTTCGGGTTGCGCTTCGGCATCAAGACCGTCCTCCTTTTCCGACGCGTCTCCGGGGTCCTCCTCTACGACCGGGGAGGACGCATTGGAGACGGGCGCTTCCGCCATTTCCTCGTCGGAGGCGTCGGGAAGGGGCGGCGGGGCATTTCCTCGGGGTCTGTCAGTGCACGCGCGCGACATAGGATGCTCGTCTGCGAGAAACCCCAAAAGGGAGAAGAGAAGAAAAAGGGAACGGGGGAAGACAATGACATACTCAGTGACTGGGCGGCCGCCTGGGCAGCTGCTCGGAGCTTCCGGGCCATCGCGACACGGAGTGTTTGGGTGGACGTGAAAGCCAAAAACTGCCAGCACGGCGATGGAATTATTGCTGGATGCCCTTTAGACTCGTCCTTTCCGCAGCATCGCCAGGGCCCCCCGGATTATCGGCTACTCCGGCGCCGACATTTGTATCACGTGATTGCCTCTGCTCTTCTGCCTCAGGCATCCACGGCAGCCACGTGCCGTGATCGAAAAGGGCCCTAGACCGTCTTGGCATCCGGCGGGCTGCCAGATGATGTCATCGCCATCCCCTCCGGAGCACATTCGCCCTACAATCCTCCGTACATCATCGAATACTCCTCTACGATTACACCGTACTCTCAAGGGGATATCAGACCACTTGACGCGCTATGGTTCCCCACCGGTCATTTGCCAGGAAGCCGATCTAGCACCTTCTCGAAAGAGCCAGGCTGCCCGGTTTCGTGCTGGATACCGGAACGTCGCCATCATTCAGCGCCCCGAGTGACTCAACGATAAGGTATGCACAGACATTGTGATTGACGTATGAGATGGGTCTGCACGCTGCAAGCCTGCTTCAGTTTCAATTTCACATGTCATAGAAACTCGGGACGGAGGGAAGTCATTGGAAGGAATTCTCGAATCCCCTCCGCTCCACCGGCGCCTCCAGAGCAGTAGCTTGTCGGTAGTGGGCATTGGACCAGTTCCGCATTTTCTCGAGCATCAGATGCAACCCGAAGGAGGGGGAGGATGACATTGCACTGCCGGAAAATAACCTGCTCGCCAGTGCTCATCATGTCTCGGTAAGGTTATTTCCCCCCCTCGTGCAGTGCCCGAGCGAGGCCAGTGTCTGCTTTTCGCTCACACAATAATGCTGCATGCCGCGCAGATCACTTCACACCTCCACGCCGCAGCCTGCAGATGACCTGCCTACTACTGATTGCGTACAAGTAGCCTCAGCCTGCAGTTTTGCTCCCCTCCCTTCCTCCCCCTCCCTGGCCGACCGGGGCGAAAATGCCCATAAATTTGCTAAACCGAGAATGTTTCTGGGAATTCGGTCTCTGTAGGATCACGACGGGGCTGCCCGTATGATTGGCGGGCGAAACAAATCGCGAGGGAGCCAGGATTGGAGATCGGAAGCTAGTCAGTAGCTAGGGCGGTCTTGCTGTATACTACTATCTGCACGCACGAACTCAAGGGGATCCGATAAGCCCCCTCGATCGTTCAGATCGCCTCTTCCGCAGCCGGACTCCAAAGTGGCCGGCTGATCCTGCCGTCAAATCGGGCGCATCTTCGGTCACCGTTTCGACGACAGCTGAAGCCACCAGCTGCACTGGCCTGGTGTAACGCCGGATGGGACCTTGCGACCTTGCTGAACAGCTGCTCCGAACCGGTGATTTGGCCATGTACCCCCGTAAGGAGACGGGCGGAGATGGACCCAACAGGTACTCGTACTCTCCTACTGCCTGGGTTTTACTTCCACGGTATTCGCTGGTCGACCGTCGAGACTCGAATGATTATTGAATTCAGCCGTGACGGGCGTATTAGGGAAAGCCAGCAACCCGCGATGATTTGCCAAGCAGCCATCACTGCAGGGCTGCACATCGTCCGGGATAATCCCGTACTATCCTCTAGTGCATGAATCGAAAGGGCCGGGATGACCGAACGAGACTTATTCATCGTCATCGGGCCAACGGCAGACTGTGCAGTAAATGGATCGATGGAAGGGGCCATTGACGCGGGCGCTGAGGGACGATTGACAAGGACGGCAGTGTTTGACTCCACCGGATGAATCCATAATTCCATATCTCCCAGAGACGGTGCTGGTAAGACTGTCCAATGCAATACACGATGGTGCAGGTAGTATATGGCATTACCTACGGAGTTTTGATATGGGAAGAGTAATCCATCACGCAAATCCATGATCGACCGTCCCGATGACAACATTGACGGAGTCCATGCTTAGACCGTAAGTCACTAGTTATGCAATTATTCTTAATCGATTAGTCTTAATCAATTGGTCTTGCTCAATTAGCCTTCAATTAGTCGTCAAGTTCACGGTGAGAAGCACCCCGTCACGGATGGCGACTTCAGCGAGGGGTACTTGGAGTAAGACAGTTCAGACTCCGTAAGAACCATGGAATTGGGGATCCACGTTGGCTCTCGAAGGCGTGGGCGAAACCCAAGGGAAATCCAATCCAATAATCCGAAATTCAGACCCCCAGACTCGAGGGTCCATTTTCCCGGTTTCATCCCGACGGCGAATCACCTCGAACCAAGTTCCTTCCTTTCCCTCCCCCAACTTCTGGCGCCTCATCATCGGACCTGTGCTGTCACCAGCTCCTTTCCGGTTTCTTTATCGTATTGTATTTTAATTCTATTCCGTTTTGACTCGTTCTCTTGGATGTTTATTTATTTTTAGGCGCCGTGAGGATGGAATTCCGCGACTTTCGGTCGTCGCTGTCGGGCCTCTTCCCCCCTCGAGGGAAACCAGCATAGTCCAGCATTCTTGCTGCTACACCTAGCATAGTCTCTTTCCTTTTTTTTCTCGGGGGAGCCCTATCATCTCATCATTCCGCCAAATGACTAGTTCTGATTGCCTGTCAGTCAGCAGAGAAATGTGGCTCCGTGGTTCCATCACGGTCGTCTCTATTTGCCAGCAACACGGCCATCTCCACCGGGTGTGAGGCTTTTTTTTTTTTTTCTTCTTTTCTTTTTGAGTCGCCAGAAAGGGGGGGAAAAGAAAAAAGAAAAAAGAAAAAGAAGCGCCCCATTTTCGCGTCCTTGCCTGTTTCTAGGGATCAGGGCAGCTTTGCCTGCCTGACTGCCAATGACACTGGATCCTCCGAAGCTTTTCCCGGCTTCCAACCAGAATCACCCGTGGGTTGGAATTGGAGGCTCGTATCCATAGGAGGCCAGGAACTTTAGGAATGAGGAGGATGAAACATCCAGAGGAAGAATAAAGAAGACTCGACCCCGTCATCGTCTGCTTAGATTGGATTCCTCACGAAGCCTACTTACCTGCTTCCTGAGATACTCTTCGACCTCGTGATTGGCATTGGCAGCCTGGCTTACAGGCTCGTACCGCGCAGTACGAGAATACATCTGGGATACTCCGTACATCCCTCCGTCTACTTCTACTGCTGCTGCCTCCTGTTGTTCTGAATATTCTTATCGTCCATTCTCTTTCTGCCTCCGATGACCTGAGAATCCGGACTATTTCCACCAAATGCAATGTTCTCTATGGGCAGCCATTGATTCAGTGTCAGTGATTCAGTGAATGCCGTTAAATATCCCCCATACTCCTACCACCCACCGGTCCCTCTGAACAGCGGCATCAGCGGCAGCTTCGGAGTATGTCTTTGGGCTTCAGCTTTTGCTATTAAACGCCACCGCTGCAGGACCCTTTCTGTTCTGATTTAGTTTATCTCGCCTCTCCCATCTCAGCGCGAGAGACGCCCAAACCATCGATCACAAACCGAGCCCCGTTGCCACCGGAACCACCGTGACAGAACAGACACAGCCAGCGTCTGGGGAAATCCCGCAACGAGGCCAATCCACCCGGGATTCTTGAGTATTAATCTTAATCTTAATAATCTTTCGTCAATATTCAATATTCAATATTAATGTTCGTCCGGGCCTGGCGCTAATCCCAGACTGGCCAGTTCGCTCATCCACCGCGCCGTGGTTGTTCTTCCAATCATCGCCCTCGCTTCAGTCGTTTTCTTCAGGTCGGTTTTCGCCTGAGTAATAGTCCAGAATCATAATAATCCCCTCTGCCGGCCTTCAATTCGGCTTCTGCTGCTCTCTTTTCTCTCTCTCCTCTTCTGCTTCCTCGCTCTGTCCTCGAAGAACCCCCTCCGATCTTGATCTACCCTTTGAACGCTCCCACCACTGCCGGCGTCACTGGAACCGCCCGTCGACCCCTCGTCTCTTCCGACTCCGACCGAGATCCAACGTTTCTCACACCCGCAAACTTCCTGAACCTTCGCTCTTCTCCGCCCAAGGTTTTTTTTTTTTTTCTTTTTTCTTTTTTTTTCTTTTTTTCTTTTTTTCTTTTCATTTTTACCTTTAACGCCTCGCACTTTTTGACCGCCTTCTTCCCGTATCAATCGTCGCCCGACCACTCGCCACTCCGTCATCGGTCTCGTGGAGGAATTCACTCTCGTTTCGTCCCATTTCGGTCTCTCTCTTTCTACGTTCTTTCTCTTCTACGTGATTAGACCGGAAGTCGGATGGAAAGTTCATCATGGCCGCTCAGAATGGACCTGACTCGCATGTCGATGCCGAATTGCTAAAGCAGCCGCTATCTCACAGGTGAGTAACACAACTTTCGCTTAATCCTGCCGCCAAATGTGCTTTTTCCCTGCTCTCATTGTTTGGGTTTCAGCGCTGGAATCGAGGTGCAGTCTGCTGGATTTTTCCTCCGGGGAAATTTAGCTACATGCAATATTCTCCCTCGGTTTGCTGGCACTGCAGCTCGAACTTTTGAGACACATCGGTTGGGGTAGCTTTGCTTTGCTGGCCACCCGGTCTGTCGCATTGGGTTGGGAAGGCAAAAAGAAAGAAAGAAAAGAAAAGAAAAAAAGAGGCAGCCCCAACCAGAGTGCTACATTCCAGCCTTACCGTTGCCTTCTGGAAGAAGGAGACTTGCAGATTCATGCAGCTCTGGCTTTTTCCCTTTCCTCCCAACTGCTGGCCATGGCCATTCCCATCTTTCTTCCCTGTCGCCTTAGGATGGGCTTCGTTCCTCCATGATCAAATACCCCGCCATCCTCCCTCATCATGCTGTTTGGCCGATGTTTCTTCCATAAACTTCACTTGTCATCACGCTTTATATCCATGGCTAACCGCCTTCACAGTCACGGCCTGCATGAGGACGACAACCAGGATCAGATCGGCTCCAAAAGTCCCAGTCCGACGGGAGTCGCTACACCGCAACCCGATCCTTCAGACAAGCGTCTGCCATCCATAATGCACAACTTCCTTCAGGTTGGTGTTCCCTTTGGTCATCAATCCAACCCCTCCAAACCACGGACCTTTCCTTCTGAGACTCCTACCTCCGCGTACTCTGTACAGTCGAATGCGCCTGCGACGAGGACGTGGGATCACCGAAGTTCCGGCCATTCTTCCCCCTCCCCGTCGGGGTCTTATGTCATGACGGGACGCGATGCGGCTTCGGAGATGAAGTCGTCGCTCGCTGCCCGAGACAATCACTTTGTCACGCCAGAGAACCTGCCCCCGACGAATCTACCTACTCCCCCTTACTGCTCCGCATCTTCCCTTCTCCAGAAAGACTCGGACGAGGCGGAATTGGGGTCCTCGGGCCCGGACAAGAGCGTGGGCTCGATCTTTAATGCGTTGAAGAACTATCTCTCTCCTTCGGGCAGCTCCTCCCCTGAACCTCCCGCCCGCCGTCACACCTCTCACCCAGTCTCTAGCGTCTCTGGCGATCCAGTCCTTGCCTCCCACTTCTCCAATCCTACCCTCTCGTGTACTGCAGATGCTTTGTGTTTGCCGGACACCCCCCTCTACGACCATGAGAAGCCACATGTTTCTACGTCTTCTGAGAACCTTGCGAAGCTAACTGGAAATGTGTCTGATCTGTCGCATCTAAAGAATACGCCCCCTCTCACACCGCGGGCCATGTCCAACGATGGTTCTCAAGCCGATAAGAAACCCGACACCACGCCACCCACGTCGGAGCCCACGCAACCCGACCCCGTCGCCAAGTCCACCGACGAGATCGCGGGCAAACTCAATGAAGCCTTTCCATCTCCGTCCGAGAGTCCTCAACCGGATGGCCCGCCCGTTGGCTCGCTCAAGGGACAGCTTTACGTCAATATCTCTCAGGCTCGGGGACTCCGACCTGGTTTCGATCCCTACGTGGTCTGCGTGTTTGAATGGAACGAATGCATCTCGAAAAGTGCCCAGGACGAAGAGGAAGCCTCGCTCGAACGCCAGCAAAAGGAACAAGAAAAGTCGGAGCTCGAGGCCGGTCGACCCATGGCCATTCCCATGAAGAGCCGTCAGAGCAGCAACAACAGCGCCCTCGACGGCCCTGACCACAGAAGCCGGGCCCCCGTTACCGACCCCCACTGGAACCATGAAGCTACCTTGTAAGTCACCGCTCTTGTGCGATTCTTCGTTGTATTCTCTCTCGGCTACCCGGCCGGGTCGGGTTCATTCAACATCGCACCACTGCCAGAACCGTAACAATGCGCACAGACCGCTGACAAGTACCTTGTAGTGATGTGCTCGGTGACCAATCCGAGGTCGATGTTTCGGTGTATGACCGTAAGGACCAAGAGGCGTTCTTGGGTCACGTGCGACTCTGCGTTAACCTCAATGAAGATAACAGCCGGCTGGAAGGATGGTTCCCGTTGAAGGCCCGGGGAGCCGGTGATTCGCAAGTGTCTGGCGAAATTCACATGGAAATGCGGTTTGAGAAGACGGAGAAGAAGCAGGTGGGCCCTAATGACTTCCAGATTCTGAAGCTTATCGGCAAGGGCACGTTCGGACAAGTCTACCAAGTCAAGAAGAAGGATACGCGCCGAATCTACGCCATGAAGGTCCTGTCGAAGAAGGTGATTATCCAGAAAAAGGAGGTTGCTCACACCCTCGGGGAACGAAACATTTTGGTCCGAACCGCAATGGCAGCGTCTCCCTTCATCGTCGGCCTCAAGTTTTCCTTCCAGACCCCCACGGATCTCTACCTAGTGACGGACTACATGTCGGGCGGCGAATTGTTTTGGCATCTGCAGAAGGAGGGGCGCTTCCAAGAAGCTCGCGCCAAATTCTATATCGCCGAGCTGATCTTGGCTCTCCAACACCTGCACGAGCACGACATCGTCTACCGCGATCTCAAGCCGGAGAATATTCTACTCGATGCGAACGGCCATATCGCGCTCTGCGATTTCGGGCTGTCCAAGGCGAATCTCACCCAGAACGACACCACCAACACGTTCTGTGGTACAACGGAATACTTGGCTCCCGAGGTGCTACTCGACGAGCAAGGATACACCAAGATGGTTGACTTCTGGTCGCTCGGCGTCCTTGTCTTTGAGATGTGCTGCGGCTGGAGTCCGTTCTACGCCGAGGATACGCAGCAGATGTACAAGAACATCGCTTTCGGTAAGGTTCGGTTCCCGCGAGATGCTCTCAGTACGGAAGGACGGAATTTCGTCAAGGGCTTGTTGAACCGGAACCCCAAACACCGACTCGGAGCCAAGGGCGATGCCAAAGAACTCATGGAGCACCCGTTCTTCCACGACGTTGACTGGAAAGCCTTGTGCCGGAAGGAAGTCATCCCTCCCTTCAAGCCGAAGCTCAAGTCCGACACGGACACCTCCAACTTCGATCCCGAATTCACCAATGCTCTCAATGCCTCGTTGAACGACCGAGCGGCTGCCGTGGCCAACGGGTTTATGACGGCCTCGACACCGCTCTCCCCCGGCATGCAGGCCAACTTTAAGGGCTTTACGTTTGTGAACGAGAGCTCGATTGACCATCACATGAAGAACGAGCCCGGCGACCACATGGACGAGGACACGGAAACGTGGCAACGATCCCACCGCAAGCAGAACTCGACGGACCACCGCATGAGTGGCGTCCAGAAGACCCACGACGGCGCCGAGCCGGGCATTTTCAACGTTGATGATAACTTTGACATGTGAGCATGTCTTCGCGCGATGCATGATGATGGAGTTGTGATTTGATTTTGATTTTTGTCTTTATTTTGTTGCATATATCCTCTGCGATCTTGTACATGGGCCTAAAATATGGGTTGCCTCTTCTTTCCCCATCTGCTTCATATCATGATGCCCTGGCAGTTACATGTTTTTTAATCATTGACCTTACTTATCATGGGCGAGACGAGTCTCTTTGTGTTCATTTCCTGTTTGTCGATTCATGCACTCAAACCATCCGGGCTAGATGGATTGGATATATCCCTTTGCCGGCTTCATTGCTTGTGGCTCAAATCAATTGCGAGGCTTTGCTTTCTTTCTTCACATTTAACTCATTTCATGACCTCTGTATCCAGAGGGTATCCAGGTTATTTCTTTGGCCCTACATACATCCTTTTTCTTTTCCTGCACTCCTTGATCAATTCAACCCGCACATCTCCGGTGCATCGGAGGCCACCCTCTGCCCGACAGGACAATGGCCGACCATTTCTTCGCAATTCTCATGATAAACGGGGTTCCATCATTGTAGCGGCGTTTTTTGTTTTTTTATCTTTATTTTTTGTTCCTCCCTTTCTTTCCCAAGAGGGATGGCAGCACGGCGCACCGAAAGGGAGTCCGGATTCCAGTCCGCTTATAAATGGTTGATCTACAATCCAGGTGTGTTGACAATACAACCGAATGACCGTTCGTATTTCGATTTATATATAGACGGAGAACGAGGCTGTGAGGGGGTCCTGCAGACGAGGGTGACATGAGTCGGAGAATATCCAGGACCACGTGCCCAGGCTGAAAGGAGAGCCGCATTCAATCCTCGGAATCTTTTCTTCCTCGCCAGTATGATCCATTCATAAGGCTGTGCTTTGCTGGCCTTGTCCAGCATCGCTGGTTTATTTTAGCGCCATCCTTCCACCGGCGTCTCCGCCTGCATGGGGGCCGAATCCTTTTTTCTTCCCTTCAAATCAGAGAGGAGCCGCAAGGGAAGCTCTAATTAGGCAGCGATGGAGAGAGACGAAGACGATGATCCATTCGCTGCCATCGTCGCTGTCGATCTCGAATGCGGTGGGCCTTAGCCATACGAGATTCCCTTGGCATTGGACTTCGCCTCCTTTTCAGCCTCTTCCTGAGCCCTAGAATAGATTGCGACACGGCTCATCCTCAATATCCATCAAGGCTCCGTTACACCGCTTCTCCCGCGTGTAGCCGGCAAATGTGAATATAATTATAATGCTTGGGCCCCCATTTGAGTCTGTAGCATGGCTTCATTGTGACAACCATCGATTCTTTTTCTTTGGTCGGTTCGAAGTCACTTCATCTTACCGCCCACGAGTTATTCTACTCGACGCGGTGATCTTCCAAGATGCGTCTTTTCGGTGCGACCCTCGCTTCGGCTGCTCTAGCTGTTGCTCTACCCTCTGTGTCACGAACCATCTCTTCTACTCCTTCCAGCACCCCGTCTGGGGCCACCGAGCCCTGTGCGGTAGTCGGCCGTCTCCTCGAGAGCAGTGATACGGGGTTCATCCCCGCTGAGTCCGCGTACAAGTGTCTGAAGTCCGTCCCCGTAGCCATCAAGGACGATGAGGAGCTCATTGACGAGCTGAAGCTCCTCTGGGGGTGGCATTCGGAGACGGGTTGGCTGAAGAACCCTCCCTCGACCTGGGAGTTGGGCCCACTGGACCTCATCGGCGAGCTTGACAAGATCAAGAACAGCCTCGGCTCCTACGACAGCGAATATGACGTGCAGATGGCCATCTACCGGCTGACCGTCCGGACCGGCAACTACCACTTCAACTACTGGCCCGACATCCTGCAGGTCTTCGGCTTCCAGCGCCTGGTAGGAGTGGCTACCGTTTCCGAGGACGGGACCAGCGTGCCCAAGACCTACGTTTCCCAGGATCTCATCGCCCAGGAAGATGACAACGACATCGATATTTCCCCGATCAAGTCCATTAATGGTCAAGATGTCCAGAAGTATCTACAGTGGGTGGCGGACGAATCCCAGTACATCAATGCCGACGCGCGGTACAACCAGGCCACATACAAAGGTCGGAATTCGCAGAATACGTTCACCGTGCAGGAGTCGTACCAGGACGCATTCACGAACCTCACGTTTGCCAACGGCACCACGCGCCATCTGATCAATGTGGCGGCGACAGATCAGAATTTCACCGGGATCGCCAGCGGCAAGGACTTCTTCCAGTCGTTCTGCACGGGCGACATCAGCAGTTACGAGGTCTATTCGGAGTCCATGAAGAAGGGTGACAATGGGTATAAAAAGACTGCTCCGCGCCGCCGCTGGACAAAGAGACAGGTCATCCCCAGCAACGACTACCCCGAACCCATCGTGGAGCACAGCGAGGGCGCAGTGGCCGGCTACTTTCTGACAGAATCTGGTCTCACGGACGTTGCTGTCCTGAAGATCATCACCTTTGACCCTGAAGAGAGCACCTACAAGGAGTTCCAAAGCGTCATTCGCCGGTTTTTGGAGAAGTGCACTCGGGCTAACAAGAAGAAACTCATCATTGATCTGCGCGAGAATGGCGGAGGTGAAACGGCCCTTCTCCTGGACGCCTTCATGCAGCTCTTCCCGGATAAGGAGCCCTTCAGCGCTCAGAGATACCGTGCTCAGGAGCAATTTAAACTAATCGGGGAGGCTGTCGACGCCATTTGGACCAACAAGACCGCTCTGAAGTGGGTGGAGGACGAGACCTCGCTGTGTAAGTTCAAGTCATAAGATGCAAGTACGACGACACGCTGACCCTTCATCTACTAGTCATCTCCTCGGGAGCAAGCCTGAGATATTGGTCATACTGGAACTTCGTCAATGCAAACGACAAGACATTCGCTTCGTGGGACTCCTTTTACGGGCCTCATGAATACAACGACGACGAGTTCTCATCCATTGTGAGATATAACGTGAGAACACCCCTCTTTCCTTGGCCCCTACATGATGTGAGAATATTCAATATCTGACTATTACTTCACAGCTATCCAACAGCAACCCCAACAGCATCCTACCAGCCAACTTCACCTTCACCGAATCCTCCAGCAAGAAGGCGTCCTTTGCCGCAGATGACATTATCATGTTCACTGACGGGCTTTGCGGATCCTCCTGTGCCTCGTTCCACGAAGAGCTGAAGAACATCGCCGGCATCAAAGCGGTTACCGTGGGTGGCCGAGCTCGATCCGGCCCCATGCAGACCATCGGCGGCACCAAGGGCGGCGAAGTCATCCCGCTGTCCTCCGTCTCGGACGACATCCCCGAGCTGCTCAATGCCACTGTTCAGCTGGGGATAGCGGACCTCGACCAATCTTCCATCCACCGCCTCATCGACACCGAGCAGGTCTTCCTCCGGGTAGGGGATTCGGGCAGCCGTGTCCAGGTCCAGGATCAGATCCGCAAGGGCGACTCGTCCGAGACCCCCCTTCAGTATATCTACGAGGCTGCCGATTGCCGCATCTGGTACACGGCCAAGACGCTGTTCTACCCCGAGCAGGCGTGGGCTGCGGCGTGGAATGCGCACACAAATCACACCAAGTGCGTTGAAAACTCAACGGATCAATCGTCCAGCCTGAGCGGTGGGTATAAGGCCTACGGATCGGGATCTCTCAAGGGTGAGATGGACCAGGGGGAGGACGGTAATGACTCGGACTCGGCTGGCAAGACCAATGCTGCGACAACTTGGAGACCCAGTCTTGTTTATGTTTCGGGTCTGGCTGTCCTGATGGGACTCATGCTGTAATGAGTTCGGATTCCTGGGATTGGGTCAAACAAGAAGAAAAGAGGAAGGAAAAAGGAGAAAAAAACAGAGCCAAAGATTATAGATGCCTGGCACCCAGATACACCACGGTCAAATCATATAGATGTAAATAATGCTAATGACATAGATGATGCTCTGAACCGACACAATACTTGTTAATCCTTCCTTTGATGTCCGATAGGAAGTACTCCGGAGTACAAAACTCATACTTGGAGTTATTAGTTCTGACGTCAGGTCCTCCGGACCATGGGTTGAATATATTAAAAATAGCCCGGCTATCCTATTTGCGGGTAAGCGTGCTTTAAGCGGCCTTTTTTTTTTTTTTTTTTTTTTTCACTTCTTCCCGTGCTTCAAGCTGAAAGTTAAACAAAAAGTCAGGGATCGGTTTCGAGTTCCGTCCCGGAAGGATTCCAACCCAGCAGGCTTGCCGTGTCTGGTGCATAAGGGGGGATGACACCGTGACCAAGTGAGGATTTCGGATGGATTGGATTGGATTGACTTTACTAGTACTCTGCACCTCACAGTAAATGATCATTACTCGATGCAGGACTGCACAGAACGGGCGAGTAGATCATGTTCAATCCCCATGGAGCCGATGCTCCCGAGCGCAAAAAAGCGACGGTCCTCCTCCAACCGGGACGGGCAGTGGCAACAACGGATGTGTTCGTCGCAAAGTGAGTCCTTCATGTTGCAGATTTGAAATTCCTGCACCGACCCACCCCGTCCCGAGTCATTACGGGCATTCTCTTCTTCTTACCGAGTTCTGGATATATGTCCGGAGTACGGAGTAGTAGTTATCCAGTCCAAATCTGTTGTCCCTCGCGAGCACGGGGTGGGCGAAACCAAAGCGCTCCATGTTTCACGGTGCTGGGAAGATGGATCTGTTGGACTCCACTTGTGCTCGGGATAGCGAGGGTGGTCGATCTCGGGGGGGCTGATAATGCAGAGGACACTTCCACAAGGAGTATAGGGGGCTGGAGAAATTCGTCATTGGCCAGGCAAGACCGGACCAAGACCGGCACCTGCACTTTCTAGGCAGGGACCTTCGGGGGTTATCCCGCAGAAACGAAGGCCCCCGTACGGAGTACTCCGTGCTGAGGAATTGGACAGCAGAGCGGCCAGGGAGTTTGATATATAGCGGATAGATCGATGGCGGTTTGGGCTAAACCAGATAATATATGGCTACATATATCGCGTGCCGGCGTTTCCCTTGATAGGGTGGACACGGTGAGACAGCGCACCCACCGCATGGACAGATGTCTGGGATTGATGTGATCATATGGTATGGACAATTTGGAGATTGGTCATGGAACCCCGTATACGGCGCGCACTAGCCAATCCAATCCGTTCAACGGTGCGAACCGATGGATGGGATGGGTCCAAGCGGACGATGATTTGGAAGTAGGAATAATAATGGATCATATCATGGGAGTAGTAGTTGCCAGAGGAACCTGAATCGGGTTGCAACTGGTGGGTGGAGGAACTGAGAAAGAGAAAAGAATAGGACATGCGTGAGTTCTACGACCAATGGAAGAGGAGCAGACAAAGACGCAAAACATGCAAAAAAGACAAAGCAGACAAAAGGAACAAAAACCGACAAAAAGGGGTTCGCTGCAATGAACCGCCCCAAACGGGGCTAGTGCCGTGTTCCTGAGGCCGCCCAGACCAGCCCCACTGCGCTAGGCCCTGGCGGGTCTAGCGTCAAGCCCGACCACGGGTTTTTTCTGATTTTCCGTCGATTTTATTTTTCTGCCTCGTCAATCCTCCGGCGGACATGACGATGATAATGTCCCCCCCCTGGTTCGTGTCCAGCCCCGAGGATGATCTCAGTTAGAATGGCTTTGATCCGACTGTCTTCATCCACAGAATCCAACGTTCATCCCAATCATCAATACAATGACAATCGCAAGTGCCCAATGAGGCATGGATTTGGGTTTGCCGATGGGCAACTGCGAAGACTAACTCGCTGCTAACCGCTGACTAGTAGCCTAGTCCACCTCCCCCTTTAGCACGCGTGCAGTTTCCCCTGGCCAACTTGAGTCCTCCAACTTTCCTTAGCCCCGAATCTCTGACCCTCTAGTCTCTAGTTTCTGCTCTAGCTTACCCCCCCAAGTCTCCTCTGGGCCGGGAAATTCTCCTTTCCCCTGGTGGCCGGTCGCCGATGACACGAGCTCTCCGCCTTCGAGCACGAGTCGCTGGCATGCTAGTCTAGTCGTGAACCCAAGATCCTCATTCTCCTAGTGGGGACGATCGGCCCTCGAGTGCCGTCCAGTCCTCTTCGTTCTGTGCTGCTAGCCTAAACGAAGAAGTGGCGTGTCCGTGGTATGTGCTCAATGCCTCATGGCCCTGGGTTAAGCTACTTCGGGTCAATATTATGGACTGATTAGTAGATAGTATGCTGCGATGCTTTCTGTCGCTGGCTTGGAGTCCCGGTTGGGTTCCTAAAATAGCCACCTTTTTTCCATCATTCCTTTTTCTTTTTCTTTTCGCTACTTCTCCCCTCCCCCCATCTCATACTACTAGTATCTGTTCTCACACACTTTGTCTGGGGTCATTCAAACCTAGCAGTGTTTATTTTGGTTTTGATTTTGATTTTTCTTCTTCGCCCCTACTCCGTCCACAAACGAGATAAGCATAACTCGAGTCGTGGCGCAATATCTCCCGGCACATACCAACGCGCATCCTGCTCTCCTTTCTATTCCCCACTTAATCGCTTCCCTCCTTTCCCCTTAACTTCGCTCTGTGCTCCCAATTCTTTTTTGTTTAATTTTCACTTTTATTTTAATTTTTTTTTCTTTAACCCTCTTTTGGACCATTGCCTGAATTATCAATCTCTCTTCATGCTGGCCAGATGCACATTGAGGGCTCAGGATGAATGCTGTCGCTACTAGACCCGAGAGCGCGCCGTTTACGTCTCCCCAATCCGTTTACGACTACAAAGATTCCACATACTCAGTGATGGTACAGCCGGTCTCTTCTCGGACGTCATCGGTTTCGTCCTTCAAAACCAACTACAGCGTGTCAACCGCCCCTACCTGTTACTCCCCAACTTCTCCGAGCTCCTCGTACCGTCAATGTGATTCTGCTGCCTCCTTGGACAAGATCCTCGAGTCGGTCTTCAAGCGACTCCCTTATGAAGTATACGAGACCATTCTAGACCAGTTGTACAATTTGCACACCGGTCCCAACCAGACCGGGTGTCTAACATGCTATCAACGCGATCTACATGCTCTCTCGCTGACCTGTCGGCCCTGGGAACGGGCTGTCAGAGCTAAACTGTGAGTGCGAACGCAGCGCGTATTATTTTGCCCAACCAATGACTTGCTAACGCGAGATCTTGACCTTCAGGTACAACCGAATTCACATCATCGGAAACGATTCGCCGTCCCAATTGAAGAAATACAGGCTGAAAAGAGGAAGTCGGTTGAAACTGTTGAGGCGGACTCTCAGGGAAAGGAAATTGCTGGCCAATCTCGTCCTCGAACTTCGCGTCCCGCAGATGGATCTGCTATTCACAAACGGCAAACAAAGCTCTCCATGGCAAGAGTATCGCGATCTGGTCGCATCCGTCGTCATGGTCTGCCCTAACCTGGAACGGTTATTGGGTTTTTCTATTCCGTACAATCACGAATTCGACCGGCTCACTCATGCGTTGTCCACCCGGCGGAAGTTGAAAGAGCACACGTGGATCTTGGGCGAGGCTCCCGAAGCTTCGGAAGGTTCTCCTCGCAGCACGTCTTGTCCCGGAAGCCTGGGCCCCTTGCAGATGTTCGAGTTTCTCGACTACCACGTTTCGTGGACTAATTTAGAAACTCTGATGCTTTATGGGCTGACCGAAAACAGCGCATTGGAGCCGAGCATCTTTCTTCGTATGTTCAGCCTCCTGCCCTCGTTGCAAAACCTGTGCATTTCGAATTTCAACGAAGACGCCTTTGCGGACAGCGCTTTGCTCTGTTTACCCCCCTTGAGATCTCTTCGGTTGGAGAGCCTTCCCGGTGTCACGGACACGGGTCTGGCGCAGTACACTTCGCGCCCGGAATCAAGTTCACTCCGCACGCTGGCTCTCATCGAACAGAACGTCGAATCGATGTTAGTGATTTCGAAGATCCTGGCATCGTTGGGACAACTCGAGCACTTCAAAATCGTCCAGAGCGACAAATCACCGACCTTGGATACGGACGGCATCGTTTTCCAGCCCTTGTTGGCTTCATCAAGTCTCCGGCACATGCATTGGGATGTAGCCTGTCCGGACCCGCATACGGCCCTGACCAAACTTGATTACGCTCCTTTTGCCAAGCCCCCAAGTCATATCGACGCGCCAAATTCTCACCTTGCACAAAGCATTCTTGCCGGGGGATTCCCTCGCCTAGAGGCTCTCCGTGCGCCCTCTGACGTGGAGCCGCCAGGTGTTCTCCAGGGCGTATGTCAGCCGATCCCGCGTGGACAGGCGCTGCTCCAGCCAGACCGATATAGTCTTCCCCGCAGCTCCCATGGCTCTGTCAAAACACGCCCCATGGCCCTACCGGGTGGAAATAATTTGACATCTGCCCGGATCCGCGCACAGACATGGATCGATATCGCTGCGAAAGACACGGAAACTGGCATGAGGGTGCTGATCACCGACCACTCGGACTCTTACGTACCTGATAGTGCGCTGGAGGAAGAGGAGGGCTTGTCGGACGAGGCCTCGGATCTGGGTATGGAAGAATTTGGCGCGTGCGGGTCACAGGAACGCCAGAAAGACGGCGAAAACGCGGAATCCGAGGATCCAGACGGACCAGTTACCGTATACGATTTCAGAATGCCTGCTTACATGGGAAGGATAGGCACCACCACCAGCATGAAGGACGTGTCAATCCCACGCTTCATTCTTCGTCCGGATATCCACGGGCAAGAAGCCGACGGAGGTCTGGTTGGCTGGAAACATATCCTTGCTTCCAACCAATCGCTCACGTATGCAGCGGGTGTTGGTGTAAATTGCTTCGGTAACAAGGGCATTCCCACTCCACCCCCTGATGAGCCATCATCGCCCGCGTCGACTCCAGGCACACGGTTTGGATGGGGTAGCATTGGCAATCGCTCAGCATTGGGGACGAGCCCAAACACACCCACCACCCCGTCCACTCCGATGAGTCTTGCGTCCACAACCGCGCTTCCCTGGGAGAAGGATACATGCACGGGATCGTGGAACTATAGCCATAAGAATGGCCGTGATTGGTGGTTTCACATGGAACGAGAGCGTCCAAAAAACATCGAAATAGTTGATATTAAGCGACTGTTTTAGACTTTGGACGCACGACCTCCAGGGCTCTCCTTTGCACGGCTCCTTTCTTGCTATCCCATGGGCAGCCTACGACATCCTCTCTTTCTTCCATCAACTTTCCTGCCTCATAGGAAAGAACACAAAAAATTCGGCATGCAGGGCACATGCCGGACCACGGACACACGCGGCAATGGCGTTACGGATAAATATGGCGGACGATCATCTCGACACTGCTTGCAAAGTCAACCTGTCGGGCTGTCCGGTCGAATTTCCAAATGGCATCAAAGGTTTCAATGATGCCTTTCTCACTCTCGCTCTCACTCTTACACACTCTTTCTATCACTACTATATACCCCGAACATACATGTTCATCTTGTTTACTTCGAGGGGAGCTAACATGGCATGCACCATCTATCCCCTCTCAATATATTATCCCATTTTAGACTTCTTTCGCATAACCAGCTTTCACAGTGAATGGCGCTCTTGACGAACTAGGAATTAGGATTGGATGCAGGCTTTTCTTTTTGAAAGTATATTTTGGTTTTCTTATCACTTTCTTTGTCTATATACCTTTTCCCCTCGCCTTTTCATTCGTTGGTTTGAGTTTGATGGACATATCATATTTCGTCCGGTAAATTAGATACTGCGATGTAATTTAATTAGTGCATAATGTAATAAATGCATTTTCATTCCGAATGACGCGGTTTTGATTTTTAAGAGTGGAATTCTACCGTAGCCGCTGGGGTAGGTGGATGGATATTTTCTTCTCTTTGCAGACAGATCTGGAATGGCGAGCCTACTTAACCTGGGAAGTAAACTCTTCTTACATCGACGCACGTGCCTATGGATATTCAGGTTTACCTACGACTTACGAAAAACAACATCGGCGCGTATATCAATCAGATATTGAGATTAGACCCGGTGTACGTAGATACATGGCAGTAAGATGTAGATGAAGAAGGGGGATACGGGCAAACGAGAAGACGGATGGATAATAAGATACTGAAAGGGATCATCATTGCAAGGAGAATTCGTAACGGACGTTTGAAAACGTCCCGTTAGACGTAGATACCCATGTTCGTGTCCTTCTTCTTCGCCTGTACTTCCGCGATGGCATCCACGTAGTTCTCGTGTCCGATCTTGCTCTGGCCCTTACGGAGAGCGATCATACCGGCCTCGACGCAAACAGCCTTCAGCTGGGCACCACCGAACTCGTCCGTACTGCGGGCCAATTCGGCCCAGTTCACCGAGTCCTCCACGGTCATCTTGCGGGAGTGGATGCGCAGGATGTTGGCACGAGCCTCCTCGTTGGGCAGAGGGAACTCGATCTTACGGTCCAGACGACCGGATCGCAGCAAGGCGGGATCGAGGACATCGACACGGTTGGTAGCAGCCAGCACCTTGATTCGGTCATCCGAGGCAAATCCGTCCAGCTGGTTCAGGAGCTCCAGCATGGTTCGTTGCACTTCACGGTCACCGGACTTCTCCGAGTCGAAACGTTTCGTACCCACGGCATCCAACTCGTCGATGAAGATGATCGAAGGGGCTTTCTCCTTCGCGAGAGCGAAGCAGTCACGGACAAGCTTGGCACCGTCACCGATGAACATCTGCACCAGCTGAGGACCGGCAAGCTTCAAGAAGGTGGCGTTTGTCTCGGCCGCACAGGCACGAGCCAGAAGGGTTTTACCGGTACCGGGAGGACCATACATCAAAGCACCTGGCGGGAACAAGATAGTTAGTAACTCGATATAACGAGATGAATGAGGAGGATCATCCACATACCCTTTGGCGCCTTGATACCAATCTTCTTGAAACGCTCCGCTTCCTTCATCGGCCATACGATAGCTTCGACAATCTCCTCAATCTGCTTGTCCAACCCACCGATATCCGTGTACTTCTCCGTCGGCTTCTCATCGACCTCCATGGCCTTGACCCGGTTATCATATTCAGCTGGTAGTGTATCCAAGACAAGATATGAGTCCTTGTTCACACCGATCAGATCACCGGGCTTGAGTTTCTCGTGATCTACGAGACCAATGAGAGGTAGGTAGATGGTCTGGCGAGTCGACGTCTTGATAACCGCAGACTTGCCCACTCGAGTAGCGTCCAGATCGATGTTGGCTCCTTCCTCGGCGGCTTCGGCCTCGACGTCCAGGTCCAGCAGCTCAACGACGTTTCCGACAAGGTACGGTAGTTGTCTAGATGGCGAGGAAGATAGTCAGGCGGAGGTTCAACCGATAGCCACTGCTCGTGTGGGATGAGGGGATGGAGCCACCGCCCTCATCCGAGAACAGCGAGTGGCAAGAGAGATGGTGAATAAGACCATCCCTCGAGTCAAAAGAGTTCAGCGGAGTTAACATACCTGTTATTCTCGATCTTCTCCTGGTTATCCTTGACCTTTTCTCTCATCGTGCTCTGCTCGTGCGTCAACCGCTGGTATTCGCTTTTCATTATGCGCATCTCGTTCTCGAGCATCCGTCGTCGCTTGACGATGTCGGCTGTGCTGGAGTGAAGGATTTCCTCGTCCAGAAGTTCATCATCGTCGTCCTTCTTTGCGGCATCGTCCATTTCAGCATCGCCGTCGCCTTCGGGCTTCTTGCCGTCGCCATCGCCCTGCTCCTTCTTCTTGTCTCTCTCCTCACGCTCAAGGTCGTCGAGATCCTCTAGGGTGGACATGATGTAGGATTTAGGGAGGAAACGGAAGGGGGATGAAAATTGACAGCACGCAACCGATCTAGATTGGCGGAGAGGGGGGAGGGGGCAGAGAGCGAGATGGGGTATGAGTTGGAAAAGGACCTGCCGGGCAGCTGTTGAGCTCCGGCCAAACAACGTCAGCTGTCCTGCCTGCATCACGTGAGACCACTGACAAATGGAGTGGCTGACTAAGCCCCTTGTATGGAACCGCGACTTCACTACCTCCTCCGGAGTATTACTTAACTACTACGTACACCATCGACGGTACTATCTGGCTATCTGTCGCAAATTCTACCCCTATTATGTACACGTCCCCTGTCTGCATTGCCGATCAGTAGCGGTAGTTGGGGTTGTAGCTCAAGGAGGCGTTGTTCCCAAGGTTGTCCAGGACCTTTTGACGGCCAAACTCGAGAAGACGGTACTTTGACATGAAGTCATCGTTGTTGACTGCGCGGTGGTTAGCGTGGCTTTCGTTGATGAGGCGTGAGGAATAAATAAGAATGCACATACTATATCCACCACACATCCTTCGCTTTCCAGTGAATTCTGTGCGTCCGTGCATCATTCTCCAATTATCAAAAACTGCATGTGAAAGTCAGTAAATTTCCGAAAAGCGAATGATATCGTTCCGAAAAGGCTCTTACTCAGTGCTGTTCCAGGCTCAAGCTGGGTCCAGAGCTGCATCTCCGGCCGGTGGATGATCTCATTGAAGGCACGAGCCGCATCGTACCATTTCATCTGCTCTTCCATAGTCCAATCGGTCTTGGCCGCCCGGTCGTAATTGTTCCATCGAATTTGGAACAGCCTTTGGTGTTGCGGATGTATGTTGAAAACGGGAACCTGGGCCGCAGGCTGTATGCAGGTGTCCTCGTTGCCGCTGGCATGGAATGGTTGCGGGATCTCAGCGAGAGTATGGAAATGATTGCGATTTTGGGCAAACAAAGTTTTCGCCGCCTGAAATCCATCGACTAGTAGGCTGGTTCCCCCATCACCATCAGTATGGGACAGTAGATGGAAGAGTTGAAGCCGGGCGGGATCAGTGAAGTATGTGTTATCTGTGTGTGCACCAAGCCCTTCCGAGGTGTATGCGGTGTCCTTGAAGGTCAAATCGGACGTGAAGTCCCAAAAGCCACCTGAACAATGTGAGCAACAGTACAAGTGCCATAGGATGTTTGCGGAGGGGAATGGAGGCACTACCGTAGTGAGTATGCCTGATAAAGGCAATTCTTTCCAGAAGAGACTTTGTAGACTCTGGATCGACAGGTACACCCTGCACAAAACAATAACCGTAGACTTGCTAGGCAGATGTTAGACAAGGCTGGGTGGTTTCGCACCAAACTTACAATCGCTTCAACCCACCGCCACAAAGCCCTATCGTCTTCCATAACGCTGGAATATGAGACCGCCGGGGGAAATGGATCGCTGGGGGGTTGATGCTTGAAAAACCTTCAGCGAAGCGTTAGCAAAAAGCAATGAACCCATAGTCGCAGGCATAAAGTTGACTTTACCGAATTGCCATCATATTTGGATCCAGTGGAATCTTCTTTCCGTTGGCATGCAGTCTTAGCCACGTGAAAGGGTAGAAACTCTGATGGCCGTCCAGCCCTTCTATAAAGTCAGCCCTCCGATCAATAAACAGCGAGCCGGCATACGTACACAGCACTTCAGCCCCATCCGCGGTGTATTCAATCCTTTCAATCTTGGCATCACTGGGTATCTAAATCCAGGTGGGAAACTTGCTGTCAGTCAAGGTGATTCGTTTTGAGGGAATCGAGGGACTCTTGTACCGAAAAAGTATCTACAATGCGTTGCCTTGTGTCCGGATGAATGCATTTCGAACATTGGCAATTTTCCCTAGAATCGAGTAAGGTCAAGGGTTAGTGGCCAGAAGATGTGGCCCAAGAGGCGTTAGATGTAATACCTAAGCCAAAAATTTCCACTGCGGCGCACATTAGCATGCAGCAAACAATTGATGCTTATCGTTAGCAATGGTATGTCGCTTACTAAAGACCCTCGTGTCCCTCGGGTGTCCTTTTCAGGGCTGTATATCGATTATTGTATTTGTTTGTCTCAAAGTCCACAAAAGGCTGCAATGCTGATCTCGCGACAAATGGATCCTCACGCGACGGTCGCGCTGGCAGTGACGAGTTTGCCTTTGTCGAAGTGGCCGCGGGCAATCGACGGCATGAAAGACGTTGTCGAGGGGTTTGGCCGATAGCTCCCAAGTTGGTGGAGAAATTTCGCCGGCTTGCGCCCTGCACAGCATTGAGACGTTAAACTGGCGCTTACATGGATGGCCGTCACATCACTCCGGCAGTTACTTACAAGTGAGGACGGGACGGTGCTGGCCCATGATGTCAGAAACCGTGTCAAATACGAGGGGAAACTGGGGACAACCTACCCGACATTCTTGACAGACGCAAAAGCCCCGAAGGCAGGAATGCGACCCATGATTTCGATCTCCCAGGCTGGTGGTCGCGAGGGCGTCGGGGCGGGAGAAGTCGTAAGTCGCAGCAGGCAGTATTTATTCCGCGGCCCGTCGGTTTAGGACGCCCCGGTGTCACGTGCACGGACCATCCTGGCATGCTTTGCTCTATATTATAATAGACTAGTAATAGTATGGACTCCTTCTTCTACATGCCCGATATGGTATTTCCAGATCCAATGGCCCTATATTACATGAATCACCCGTTCATAGTTTACTCTGGGGCCCAGCCACCTTCAACAGACAACGGCCATTGCTTAGGACCACCTTCCCATTCCCATTCTTCGTGACAAAACGGATCTCCTCGAGATCATTGTGGAAATTGCCAGTTCTCCAGATCTCAGTGATAAGCTTGTCACCGGGCTTGACTGGCGAGGCGAAACGCGCCTGGAATTCTCGGAGGTTATTGGGATCGCTCCCGCCCAGCTCCCTCAGGATACCCTGAGCAGCCGAGTTCCAGCTGAACAACCCGTGGATGATGATGCCACCAAATCCCATCTTGGCGCCGGGCTCCGGGGTAGCGTGGAGCGGGTTATAATCTCCATTAAGCCTAACAGGAGCCCCGATCGATTAGCTGCTCGTTTCCTATCCAGGTAAGTTGCGCATTGGATGGATTTTCGCCTCACCTGTAGAGGTGTGCGGTTTCCAGATTACTCTGAACCACATGGATAGCGTCGGGACTTTTGCCCTCGGGAGGTGGGTAGCTGACGGTGCTGGGACCTAGCAGTCAAATCTCTACGTGAGCCAGAATGTCTCGGGACAGTTACGGGTGAACTTCCTTACCCTTCGGTCCACCCCAGTTACCCTGGCCGACAAAGAAATTGCTGCTCACTGTCTTGGAATATACCTCACCCGTATCCTTGTCCACAATTGACTGCTCAGTCTCGACTACCGTGCCCGGTTTGCCTTTATCGTAGACGCCAACCACTTTATTGCGCAGCTCAAACGTACGACCAGCGCTGGTGGTCGGCAGGGGTTTCAGCACGGTGAGCTTGCGCTGACCGTCCACTACCCTGCTATAGTCAAATTGGGGCACCCCAGGAATAGGAGTTGCCTTCGAGCGTGCATAGAAATCCGTCACTTCCTGGTCCGCGAGCTTGAACGCTTCACATGGAGACAAACATCAGTGTCTGGATTTTGACTTGTTTTAGTCGTCGGGTCAAAGGTCCATACGGAGAATTAGAGGATATGTTGGGAAGACAGCAAAATTAGGGTGCAGTTCCTGACACTCGCGCGTTAGCAATGCGAGGATAACAGCGCATCAATTGGCACTGTGGCTCACGTAGAGGAAATGCAGTTCATCAGCTTTGCAGCCGATGCTGTTCGCGAACAGCAGAACATCCCTCTTCTGCCAGGAAACCTCCTGGGCAGGATATTCGAAGCCAACTCCTGGTGCCGACATCGGAAAAAAAGATGGTATCCCCTTAGATCAAGTGATTAGTAGGAATGTCTGTCTTCGGCGCGATCCTCTGAATAAATAAGTTGACTCGGTTGCGGGGCCAGCCGTGAGGAACCGAGGCTCGATCAGGATTGGCCGAAGCACGCCAAGTCGGCTAACTTTCTGTTATCAATCAAATCAATCATGACTAGTTAACTACTCAAATAGTTCAGTACGGAGTAGTCAAGTAGGGATTCATTGATCAATCGTGTTGTCGAAGGGCAGCCTGAAGGTCGGAACAATCAAAAAAAAGGTATATTTCTCTATATCGCAATATAAACCTCAATGTCCATGGGGAGAGAAAAAAGAAAAAAGAAACACAAAAGAATTCGAACCTTAACAACATAAGGAGACCGGAGGCAGCTAGACTAAGCGTCGACTCGGGGTATCTACTTGGGGAATTCGAGGAGCTTCATAATCGTCTCTTGTGGAAATCATCTCTCCGTATCGCGCCGAATAATGATGCCCGTTCCCCTGCCTTCTTCCAAAAACAACGCCGTGCAAGCAAATCTCAATGATGAAAAACGAAATCAAAATAGATGCCGGACCGTGATCTCAAACCATAACTTCAATATCCCAATGCCCATATATATGGACTCTCATATATGTTTTGCTGTCCATGCGTAAATTCTTTTGTGTACCGAAATGGCCGTGCCGTGCCCTGGACAAAACGCCAGGGCAGCGTACAGGCCCCAAGTGGTCAGAACCGAATGCTTTTATTTAACACCTGTTCGGATTAGCCTCATGGTCGCAGTCGAGGGGAACGATGCCGGTACTTACATCTTGTAGAAGCAGTTGCCCTCCGACTGGCGGATCGGATCGGAGGTCTCGAACTTGTAGGAGATAGAGATGTCCAGGTCACGCTTGTTCTTGTCATTCGGCTTGTTCTCCAAAACCCCGGACACAGTCTCATCCTCCTCGACAGTCAAGACGTCACGCAAGTAGAAAACGGTCTGCTTCCAGTGCGTGTACTTGGCATGAGGGCCGGTGGAGAAGACGATGGGCTTGTGGCAGGCACCGAATTCAATATCAAACCAGGCAATCACGGCGTGAATGAAGTCGCTGCGCTTGGCAGGGAGAGAGAAGGGGACCTTGAAGACCAGATCGGCGGTGGTAACGGTGTAGAGGTCGAGAGTGATGATGGGGCAAGGGTCAGTAACCAAGGCCTTCATCTCCACGGTGTCGACAAGGGGCTCCGTGAGGGCGATCTCCTTCATGGGGCTGTAGTTGAAACCATAAACGTTGTCCCAGACTAAGCAGAGTTAGCGTTCGGACTACAGGGGATCCCACCCGGGGCACCGGGGCCTCTTACATCCAATCTTGTCGTCCTTGTATTCGCCATCCTCAATTGCGGCCAAGTACATGGTAGCCTTGTCGGGGAAGATCTTGCCGCCGGGCACGAGGTAGCGGTCACGGGCGTAGAGAACGGTGTCCAACATGCTCTCGTAGAGAAGGAAGTATCCCATCCACTCCGAGATAATGATGTCAACCTTGGGGTAGGGAAGAACAACCTCTTCCATCTTTCCTTGGAGGAGAGTAATCTTATCGGCCATCCCGTTGACGGCGACAATCTCGCGGGCTTTCTCGATGATCGAGGACATATCAACGCCGATCACGTGTTTGGCACCGGCCTTGACAGCGAACCTGCAAAGCAATCCATGTTGTCAGAGCACTGCATGAGAGCCCCGTGGTCGCATGTATGAGAGCACTTACATGCTGAGAATTCCAGTACCGCATCCAACGTCGAGGACGACTTTGTCCTTGAAGATATGACGGTTCTGGTAGATTGCATCGCGGTACGATCGAGTCCGGACATCATCTTTCTAGAAATCACAGGAACATTAGCAAGCCATTAAACGAATAGAGGCGAATTGGACTTCAAACTCACAAGCATTTCCTCGTGGATGCCTGAAGGAGATTCAGAGTTAGCGGGGCTCCTTAAGCTCAATAGAGATTTGTAGCAATTGGGCAGTGATTACCATGATGATCGTAGCTATGGTTCCAGTCAGCAAGAGACTTTAAGACATCAGGTTTTCACCTCTCAACATACCTAGTGAAATAACGGACTTCGGCGTGGTCCATGCCCACCATACGGTCCGCACTGCTGGTCATCGCAGCAGGGTCTGCAGATTGTTGTCTCTCGGATCCGTTCATCGTGAAGGGATGGTCTTTTCGATTCAAGGAAAATAAGAAAGAAAAGAAAGATAGATACTTGAGAGGAATTCCACAAGCAACGAAGAATTCGAAAATAAAATTCTTCGTCTGGGATGCGATGAAAGGGAAGGAGGAAAGTTAAGCGCCTTTTGAGATCCCTTTCAAGGACTTTTTTTTTTTTTTTTCCCCTTTGACTTTTGCCCTCATTAGGCATTCTTCCCCTCCGCACGGCCAGAGCCCGCCGGGTGGCACTAGACCCGATCGGGACGTCAGGTGGCTCGAGTATCGATACGGTACGGATACCATGATTACCACGGCGTTCTTCTGAGATGCAGTCCATCGTCAGCTGTACAATTTCCTCATATCAGTCCATTGCGCTGCTGTGGAGAGTCTCGAGCTTCGGCTTCGGACTATCGGGTGTTATACTGCTATTTCACGTCAACGAAGGCCCCCTATTGTCATGATACCTTACAATTGGAAACAACTTCGGTCGCAGACGGCGTTTTGCTTCGTAACCAATCATCGAAATAGCAAACAGGGTTCTGACAACGCAACTACGATATAGAATGGGAGAACTTCAATGTCAGAGACCGACATGGTCTCTCTCGGATCCAGGTATCGTGTTGAGTCCGGCAGCTTTTCGGCCCCTCAGCGCCTCGAACAAGAATGGGCTTGCACTTGGCTTGTTCAATTGAGGCGAAACGCCAAGATCTTTCCAGTCAGGTACTCCGCTTGCTCTCTCCAACGGTCGTTGCGCGCCCTCACTCTAGCGTCGGGTCTCTCCTTAAGCTTCCACATTCCACCGGCGCACGCCAGACACAGAGTGCACAATGATTCTAGGGTCAATTAGGGGGAAAAGCGGCTATTCCTTGCTATTTCTTCTCGTCGCTATCTTCGTCGGTCGGACAGCAGCCTCTCTAGGTGACCACCTCCCGGACTTTAAAGAATGTGTTAAGGTACTACATACAACCGCAACGACCTTCGATGCCCGCAGGCTCACCATCCAACCAGATCTGTCAAACGGAAAACTGTGAAGAGGGCAACTCGGCTCTTCGTAAGTCGTTCACCGTTTCTACATACTCACGCGTTACGCTGTCTGGCTGTCTGGTTGCTAATCCCGTTTCAATCCCATTAGCGCTCCATCTTCGTTTGATGCTGTGGACCTGCCCTGCCGAATGTGATTATACCTGCCAGCATGTGGTGACGGACCGTCGAGTCGCTCGCGACCCTCCGATGCTCAACCCTGTTGTACAATTCCATGGGAAATGGCCCTTTCGCCGGATCCTAGGCATGCAAGAGCCCTTCTCCGTGCTGTTCTCCTTCCTCAACTTCGTTGCGCATTGGCATGGTATGGCTCGAATCCGCGAGGTCATCCCGTCCTGGCACTCTTTGCGGAGCTACTATCTCGCCTTCGGATACTGCGGGTTATTGTGCTGGACCTTTAGCACGCTTTTCCACACCAGGGATTTCCCCCTCACGGAGAAGCTGGATTATTTCGGAGCCGGAGGCAATGTCATGTACGGGTTCTATCTGGCCATCATTCGGATTTTCCGTCTCGATCAAGCAGAGCCTCGCCATAAACCAACGCTGCGTCGTCTCTTGACCGCCGTCTGCCTGTTCCTCTACACCCTCCACGTGTGCTATCTCAGTTTCTGGTCCTGGGACTATACTTACAACATGATTGCAAACATCGTCGTCGGGATGACCCAGAACGTGCTGTGGACGGCCTGGAGTATTTATCGCTATCGCAAGACCGATAAGATCTGGACCGTGTGGCCCGCGTTGATCGTGGTTTGGATCATCTTGGCTATGAGCTTGGAGCTGCTGGACTTCGCCCCTTGGGAGAGCCTGATTGATGCTCATAGTTTGTGGCACCTGGGAACCGTTATCCCAACGGCATGGTGGTATTTGTAAGTTGGGCCGGTACTCCGACGCCGATTGCATCCAAGCGCTAACATGATGTCCGCAGGTTCCTTATTAAAGACGTCCAGGACGACGTGGCTGGAGACCGATTGAAGGCCTGAGCTGACGGGGTGTAATCCATCCGATCTACATGGGGCTTGGACGGTATTGGGGGTCTCTGGAGGGCCCAGATGACTGGAAGCCTCATACTAAGTTACTCGGACTACCATCACAATGATGAGTGGTCCTTCTATATTTCGCCATCTATCACCTGACCGGGGGCCCAATCCCACCTAAAATGTCTAGTATATGTATTATTTAGTTCTCTGTTGTTCCACCTTACGGTTCTATTTATCTTTCCCGGAGTAGCATGATCGAGGAGGACTCCGTATGATCCTGACATCATCGGCAATATAGTTCGTTGAGCACAGCATCATCTGATAGACTTTCTGACGGGCGACGGCGAAGTTAATTTCCACGGCCTTCCGTTGGCTTCTGGGGCGGTGTGTCCACTGGGCCGCCCATGCTGGCTCACCGCTCGGCAGCCCTGGGGCAGTACCACGGAAAGAGCTAACCGCAGCTGGCCAATCTGTCTCACCTGGTCACGGGCTGTGCCTTGTCCTTCCCCCCCCCTTCGAGTTTTTCTACATTCTTCCCTTAGCCTTGTGCCCTTGTCCTCGTTTTTCCTTCTTCACCTTGTGTGTCTCTGGGCAATTGCCTATCACTACTTTCAATCAGACCTCTCTCTCCCCCCTCATCGACACCACTTGCGCCAAAATGGCGTCTCCGGCCATTCAGAAAGCGATCTCCGAGGCGGCGGTGCAGTATGTGAAGCCCGAAGGCAAGGTCTTCCAGTATGGTACTGCTGGCGTAAGTCGGTCCTTCTTTTGGCTTGTGATTTTTTTCCCCAGTGGAGCCGAGCTAATTAGTATCCTTCTCTTCATAGTTCCGTATGAAGGCGTAAGTCATCTTCCCATTGTCCACCACCCCCCCCCCCCTTGAAGGATTGATCAGCCCCGCCTCCACAATACCCCGCGATCGCCCTTTTGTTTACACTTCAGCCAACGTATGCTCCCAGTGACCTCCTGAACACGGTGGTCTTCGCCGTGGGCTTGCTTGCCGGCCTTCGATCCAAGAAACTGAGCGGACAATGGATTGGTGTCATGGTGACCGCCAGTCACAACCCCGCGGAGGACAACGGTGTCAAGTTGGTTGATCCTATGGTAAGTTGACTAGATGCAACGCTTGTTTGGGATATTTCTGACGCTGGATTCTACTAGGGCGAGATGCTGGAAGTAAGCTATATCACGAATGAACACACCTCGAAATTTTGCCTAATCATGTGCTGGACAGGCTGAATGGGAGGCCTATGCTACTAGGCTGGCCAATGCCCCGATGGACAAGATCGCCGAGGTGTATGACGAACTCATCAAAGAGATCGATGTCAGCATGGAAAACCCCGCCCGTGTTGTCTTCGCCCGGGATACTCGTGCCTCTGGCTCGCGCCTTGTGGGCGTTCTCAACTCCGCCCTCACCGCCTCGCAGGTCGAGTTCGTCGATTTGAAATTCATGACTACCCCCCAGCTACACTATGTCGTTCGCTGCAAGAATACCTTGGGAACCCAGTATGAGTATGGCGAGCCTACGGAACAGGGCTACTATGAGAAGCTTGCCGAGTCTTTCAAGCGAGTCATGAGGGGCGTTAAGATCAACGGTTCCTTGACGGTGGACTGCGCCAACGGCGTCGGCGGTCCTAAGCTGAGGGAGCTGATCAAATACCTGCCTTCTGCCGAGGAGGGTGGTGTCAACATCAAGGTTGTCAACGACGATGTCATCAACCCCGATAGCCTGAACTTTGATGTAAACATGCCGCCTCCAACCTACATGTGCGCTCGCTAACCCTGATCAGTGCGGTGCCGATTATGTCAAGACCAAGCAGCGCGCCCCGCCATCTTCCAAGGCGGGCGCCCTGGACCGCTGCGCATCGCTTGACGGTGATGCCGACCGTCTCATCTACTACTACAGTGATGAGAGCAACGTGTTCCGCCTCCTTGACGGTGATCGCATTGCCACGCTTGCCGCTTCTTTCATCGGTGATCTCGCTCGCAGTGCCGGCATTGCCCAGAAGCTCAAGATTGGTGTCATCCAGACCGCCTATGCTAACGGAGCCAGTACGGATTACATTGAGAAGGTTCTCAAGCTTCCCTCCGTTTGCACCAACACCGGTGTCAAGCATCTCCATCACGCCGCCCTGCGCTTCGATGTTGGTGTCTACTTCGAAGCTAATGGACACGGAACGATCACTTTCTCCGAGAATGCTTTGAAAACCATTAAGAGCACGGAGCCTCAATCTCCGGCTCAGCAGCGTGCCCTCGAGAGCCTGCAGGCCCTTACTGATCTGATCAACCAGGCTGTCGGTGACGCTCTCTCTGATATGCTGCTTGTCGAGACCATCCTGGCCCACAAGAGCTGGAGTCCGAAAGAGTGGCTGGGCACTTACACCGACCTGCCCTCGCGCCTTGTGCGCGTGGAGGTCGCAGACCGCTCCATCTTCAAGGCCTACGATGCGGAGCGCAAGCTTGAATCTCCTCCCGGACTCCAGGCGAAGATCGAGTCTCTCCAGTCTCGTTACAACAAGGGCAGAAGCTTTGCTCGTGCCAGTGGCACGGAGGATGCCGTGCGTGTCTACGCCGAAGCAGCCAGCCGCTCCGAGGCCGACGACCTTGCTACCCGCGTGGCCAATGCCGTTCGCGAGGCGGGTACTGCCTAAGAGATCTGCCAACTGCCCCCAAAAAGTCCCAGGAGAAATTGAGCTGCAGGAATGCTCACTCGATTCTTTCTGGATTGAATCATCCAGTCATAGAGTTACGGGATCTGTGATGAAACGAATTGATGAGTTTAGTTTTGTGATTTTAAGAGATAAAAACATGTCCACATCATAGTAATTTTCGGCTGCATACAGATCAACGTTCATGAACACCGGAGAGTAAATCCATAGAGTAAATCCGTAGAATCCATCTGTAGAGGAAGGATTCGTAAGTACTCCGAGCGCATGCAAAGATCGGACGCCGCAGAATCGTTGATCCGGGCTCCTCCGCGGCTTTGCTCCGCCGATCTACTTTTTCGGCCCAGAAAAAAAAAAGTCCGTTCCTGCTCCGGGCAACAGAGGAGAATTTCTCGACACAACCATCTTCCCATTTTCACCGTTCCTTTGCAGATTTCAAAATGGCAAAGGGTCGCACTAAGAAGCGCACTCATGTTCGCGCGCAAAATGCCTCCGCAAGTGCCAGAGGCGGCGGCGCATCGATGAGCAAAGCCCCGAAATCTATGGTCATCCGAGTCGGCGCTTCTCAAGTCGGCTCCAGTGTCACCCAACTGGTCAAGGATGTTCGTTTGATGATGGAACCCGATACGGCCGTGCGATTGAAGGTATGTTAATCATCCTGGAGGGACTCTTTCATTTTCCAATGCTCATTCGAACAGGAACGCAAATCCAATAGACTGAGGGATTACACCTCCATGACCGGTCCTCTCGGAGTCACGCATCTCATGCTCTTCTCGAAGTCGGCGACTGGCAACACTAATCTGCGTATGGCTCTCACGCCGCGTGGTCCGACCCTCCATTTCAAGGTCGAGAGCTACTCGCTGTGCAGGGACGTCGAGAAAGCCATGAAGCGTCCCAGAGGTGGAGGCCAGGACCACAAAACCCCGCCGCTCTTGGTGATGAACAACTTCAACTCCCCGAACGCCGACGAGAACTCCAGAGTCCCGAAACGTCTCGAGTCTCTCACCACGACTGTCTTCCAGTCGCTCTTCCCGCCCATCAACCCCCAAGCCACCCCCCTCTCTTCCATCCGCCGTGTCATGCTCCTGAACCGTGAACTTTCTCCCGAATCTGAAAACAAAGACGAAGAAGACTCTTACGTCCTAAATCTACGACACTACGCGATCGCCACGAAAAAGACCGGCGTCTCGAAACGGATCCGTCGTCTAGACCCCAAGGAGGTTCGCAACAAGGAAAAGAAGGGCGCCGCCGTGCCCAACCTGGGGAAGTTGGAGGATGCTGCCGACTACCTGCTGGATCCCTCGGCTGCCGGCTACACCTCCGCCAGCGAGACCGAGATGGACACCGACGCGGAGGTGGAGATCGCCGAGAGCACCACGAAAAAGGTCCTGACGAAGAGGGAGCTGCAGCGCATGAAGGCCGGCGAGAAGGACAAGGCCCAGAAGAAGCTGAACGCTACCCCGGGCGTTGAAAAGCACGCGGTGAAATTGGTTGAGCTGGGTCCGCGTCTCCGGCTCCGACTCATGAAGGTCGAGGAGGGCCTGTGTGAGGGCAAGGTGATGTGGCACGACTTCATCAGCAAGTCCCAAGAGGAAACCAACGCCCAGGAGAAGAACTGGGATCAGAAGAAGAAGGAGAAGGAGGCGAGAAAGAAGCAGCAGAAGGAGAACATCGAAAAGAAGAAGCAGGATAAAGCGAAGGCTCGGGCTGAAGGCAAGGGCGGAGACGACGAGGAAGACGAGGATGATGAGGACGATTGGCTCAGCGACGATTTTGACGAGGGCGAGGGTACGGAGGATAAGGACGATGTTGAGAATGACGATGACGATGATTCCATGGAGGAATAGATTGGCCACTTCCCAAGTTGTGCAAGGCAAAAATGAATGTGAAAGGAGTCTCACTGCTAGGACTCCAAAAATTTATACCCGCCATAATCTGCTAGACTTTTTTTCTCACTACAGAAATACAAAAGCGATGACCACTTAGACACTCAGAAGATCAAAAGTTATATCATGAATTCATAATTCAGAATTTACGCATTAAGCGTGCAATTATCACAGCTCTCTGTCCCAGCATCATCACCGCTTCAGCTTCTCATCGACAATGCGAGACACCATCTTTTCCAGAATGCTCATGTCTCCCCCAGCCGTCCCGGCAAAGTAGCCCTCGACACTCTTCTCCACGTACTTGCCCACAATGTCGATCTCCACGTTCACATCATCGCCGGGCTTCTTCGCCGCCGTGACGATCTTCTCCTGGGTGTAGGCGATGAGCATCACCTCGAAGTAGCCCTCGGGGCCATCCACGACGTTAGTCACGGTCAGACTGGCGCCATCCAGCGTCACGTAGCCCTTCTCGACGATGTAGCGCATGACCTGCAGCTCGCGGGGCTGCAGACGGAAGACCAGCGCGTTCTGGTCCGGCGTGACGGAGAGGACGGTGGCGATGGTGTCGACGTGGCCCTGGACGAAATGCCCGCCCATGCGGGTTTCGCCCAGCACGGCGCGCTCGAGGTTCACGCGCGAGTTCGTCCGCAGAGATCCGAGGTTCGTGCGGCGCAGCGTTTCGGGGGCGACGCCGACTTTGAACCACGTCTTGTCGGTGTCGAAGGCCGTGACCGTGAGGCAGGTTCCTTGAGAGAGTAGATTGAGTGTTTGTTGCGATCAATTTCCATGTGGCGGTTTTTCTGCTTATATACCATTTACGCTAATGCTGTCTCCCAGATGCACGTCGGTCAGGATTTCCGCGCAGTTGGAAATGGTCAACGAGGTGCCCCCACCCCCGGCAGACGAGGTATCGAGGGGCTCCAGGGAGGACACGGCTGGAGGCAGACACGAGGAGCTGCGTCAGCGCGAGTCGAAAGCATTTTTCATTTCATTGAGGAAAACTCACTCCCGATCGTCTCAACCAGACCGGTAAACATGATGCAGTGCCGACAGACGTAGACGGGCGAGGCGGAAATAGAAGGTTGGAAATGGTGGGAAGTGCGGCAGCGACGGATGCACCTCGGCTTTCTGGGAACTTCCGTCGGCCATCTTGCCGAATGACATGCTGCCTCCTTCTCCTACATGCATAGTCCGGTGTATACATGCTCCCACATAAAAGATCTATATATCCGCCCTTGACTCCTGCCATCCTCTCTTCAATGTCGAATCCCCGAATCCTTTCCCGATGCATCGCCTTTTGAAATTGCACCGCGCCGTGGTCGCCCGTCCGTCTGCGCTCCCCGCCGTTCGGCGCACACCGCAATGGCGCTCCTATTCCACACCCTCGAATGATACCCTCCCCTTGTCGGGGATCCGAGTTCTGGATATGACGAGAGTGCTGGCTGGTGTAAGTGTCCTGGCATGGACCTACCAGTGCATACAATTTATTGATCGCCAGCTTGTATTGTAGCCATACTGCACGCAGATTCTAGGAGACTTGGGGTAGGGGTTACCATTGAACACTCTTTTTGTTGATCTGCGCTGACTGAAATGGCGTGACGAATAGGGCAGATGTAATCAAAGTGGAACACCCCGTTCGTGGCGACGATACTCGCGCTTGGGGTCCACCCTATGCGAAGTACGAGGACGGGTCTCAGGGTCCCGGCGAGAGTGCCTATTACCTTGCGGTATGGTAGACTTCGGTTGGGTATGGGTGCTCTAGGGCTGGGTTGCTTACTTGTGTCGCAGGTAAATCGCAACAAGAAATCCATTGGTCTCTCCTTTGCGCACAAGTCCGGCGTCGAGATTCTGCACCGACTGGTAAAGGAATGCGATGTGTTGGTAGAGAATTACCTCCCCGGGGGACTCAAGAAATACAACATGGACTACGAGACGCTTCGGGAGATCAACCCCAAGCTGATATATGCCAGTATCACCGGCTACGGGCAGACAGGCCCGTACAGCAACCGGGCCGGCTACGATGTCATGGTGGAAGCCGAGATGGGCCTGATGCACATCACAGGCGCCCGAGACGGTGACCCAGTCAAGGTGGGTGTCGCGGTCACGGATTTAACGACGGGCTTGTATACGTCCAATGCGATCATGGCCGCCCTGTTGGCTCGGGTGAGGACCGGAAAGGGACAGCACATTGATGCTTGCTTGAGCGACTGTCAAGTTGCTACGTTGGCAAACATCGCCAGTTCCGCTCTGATCAGCGGGCAGAAAGATTCGGGACGATGGGGAACGGCGCATCGTGAGTCGCTTAAGTCTTGGAGGCAGAAAAACACGTTCACTGACCTTTCTCAGCATCTATTGTTCCCTACCGCAGCTACCAAACCCGCGATGGAGACATCCTCTTCGGAGGTGGGAACGATAAGCTCTTCGGGGTGCTGTGCGACCGCCTCGGATACCCCGAGTGGAAGACCGACCCTCGTTTTGTCACTAACAGCGACCGAGTCAAGCATCGCAAAGAGATCGACAGTCTCATCGAGGAAAGGGCCAAGCAGAAGACAACGCAGGAGTGGTTGGAGATCCTAGAAGGCAGCGGAATGCCGTATGCCGCAGTGAACGATATCCAAGGGACGTTGAATCATTCTCATGGTGAGTGTCCCTCTATTCTTTCCGAGTATGGTCGCCAATCTCCGTCCAAAGCTAATACTGGCGATATAGTTCAAGCTCGAGGGATGGTCACCGAAGTGAACCATCCGGCCTGTGGTCCCATCAAGCTGGTGAACACGCCCATTAAATATTCCCATGCAACTCCTGGCGTTCGCACACCACCCCCGACCCTTGGCCAACATACAGATGAGATTCTCGGGGAAGTCCTCCAGTACAAGGCCGAAGAGATTGCCCAATTGAAGCAGGAGGGGGTGCTGTCGTAGTACTAGGAGCTAATAGTAGTATCCAGTACGTGAGGGCGTGAGGGCATCCACCACGACTCAACAAAGACCAAACATAGTATATAGAAGAACCTAGAGAATGAAATCATAGATATAAGAGAAGATGAGGAGAAAGAAGCATACCAAATAAATGCAAGCCCCTCGACGAATCTGCGTCGGCCATCGCCCATCACGTGACGGTATATAATCTCTGGATCGGTTCACCAGCAAAGATCCTCATTCCTCCCTGGATGGCAACTGCAGCAGCCCAGAGCCTGACCCGTTCGCTGCCTCTCTCAATCCCCAACCTTGTCCTGTTGAACCCGCACCCATAGACCGTGAGTTTGTGTTTCTCTGGCCTGGCCGGGGGTATGTCACCACAACATGGGACTTCTTCCTCCCTGGCGTCTATAGAGACAACGCCACCCACCACCTCCGGTTCGCAACCGCCGGCTCCCAGTATTGACTCGTCCTCCGTGTCCATTTCCTCGCTCCCCGAACAGCGATCTTCCAGTGCCTCCTCCTTTTCCTCCAGTAAAGTGCATATCCCAAAACTGTCCGCGGCGACTACCGAGCTCCTGGCCCGGGTCACCGGCAATATCAGACGAGAACAGCAGCAGCAGCAGCCACCCCAGCAGCAAGGAAATGAAACAAACCCCATCCGGTGGACGAATCCATATTCCAGTCAAGGCCTGTCTGATTTTCGCAGTATCCAACCTGCCAGCAAAATGAGAGCTTCTTCCACCATCATAGAACTGCCAACGGCGCCGTTCGTCTACTCGAGTCATATGACATCGCAGACACCTGCGACTTCCCAACAGACCCCAAGTCCAAATGCTTCAAACCTTCCTCGTGAGTCTCATGGAAACCCACCAAACCTCGTTGCCATTGCTCCGAGACCATCAGGGCCTCCCGCTGCTGCTCCCTCGGCGGCAACTCAAATCCCAACGCCGTCGCAGCCTGTGGCTCCAACGGCTCCAACGGCCCCGGCAGCCAAACCTGCGTCCTCGACCACCCCTTTAGTTAAGCCAAAAGGACCAGCAGTCGGCTCCCGTCAACGCAAGAGTACCACATCTATAAACGGGGGGAAGCGCACTAAGAGGCGCAGACGAGGCAACCACAGTGATGGTGAAGATGTCATCCGAGCCGACGATTCCAGCTCGGATGAATCTGATATCACACCTACGGCTACGCAGACGAAGTCCGGCCGACAGGTCAATCGCCCCTCACTCTATGTACCTTCGGCAGTCTCCCCTGTGGCCGCCAAGACGAGCGGTGGCGCGACAGACACTCCGGGTCCAACAGCAGCTGCTCGCAAACGGAAACGAGTGAGTCAAAAAGGAAAGGACATCAATATCAACTGCATGCATTGCCAGAGAGGCCATAGTCCGATGAGCAATGTGATCGTTTTCTGTGACCAATGCAATCAGGCGTGGCATCAACTCTGTCATGATCCTCCGATCGAAACCGAGTTCGTCACGGTCAAGGAGAGGGAATGGCACTGTCGGGGGTGTAAGCCCGTCCGGATCACCATCACGCAGCCTACAGTGGTCCGCAGCAATCCGAATCTCAGCGGGCCTTCGTTCGGCTCTCAAACCCATCTTCCACTGGCGCCACCCAGATTAGAAACCGGCGGAGAAGGCCTTTCTACCGATGAACGACGCGGCTTCTTGTCGACTCTGTCACATGCGGCTCTCGTTGAGCTGCTTGTCACTTTATCCAGCACTCATCCGGCCATGCCGATGTTTCCGGAGGATCTGAAAAGTCTGCCGTCATCGAAATTTTCGTTCCAACCAAATCTATCAGCAGTTTCTACTCCCCTCTCGACATCATCGACCACACCAGCGCTGACTAACTCAGCAAATTCGACATCGACACCGGGGGCTGGAGAAGACATGGCTCCCACCAACTTTGACCCGCGCAAAAGATACATCGACGAGCCCTCGGAGGATGACTCGGAGGACGAGGTTGTGGAGCATCGTCTGTATCCGCGCGCCGGGAATGGTGTCCGTCTCCCGGTCAGCGTGGATGACCTCGACATTATGCGTGAAGATCCTCGTTGTCCCACGTTCAGCTACATGCTACATGGTTCCGCCCAGGCCCAGGTTAAAGCAAATGGGATGGCACCTGTCTGGGGCAACTGATCTTCTGTTCTTGCTTTCATTACGAATTTCCAATGAGTGTTTCATGCTTATTTGACCCGATGACTACTTATAGACATTTACGGCGTTTACGCGGCGCGGTATCTCCCGTATCCTCTATTTGGGGCTCGTTTATTATACTCTGAATTTCATCTGCACTAGAGAGATTCTCTTTCGGTCACCCCTTGTTTCTTGCAGAAGCTGTACATCGCCTCGATCATAGCTAGATGTGTCATACGGTTGGGACAGACCAGACTTACACTGAATTAACGTCATTGGGCTGAACTGGCTTACACCTCGCTGTGTCGGGACATACGGAGTGCGGTGGTCTCTTGAGGGCGCCTCTTATGACAACACTCCTACTCACTCGAGCGGGAGGATCCCAGACGACATCCGCAACTCTTGTTCGTTGCCTGGACACTCCGCAGCCGGTATCATCTACATTGTAGAACAGCAAGACATCGTCGCAATCGCCGTGTTTCAGGACCAGGTCGGACGTCCTCGACGACAACCCGATGGCCGTGCGGGCTCGCGTTGAGACACACTCGTACAGCAAGTTCGCGTCGGCCTGCGTGCCCGTCTGATAAACTCCCACCCCCAAGCAAGCCAGCGACAGCGGATCCGGCGATCCCCACGGCGTAAATGCATTTCCTACATTGTTTACCCCCATGACGGCGTCCAGGCCGTACTTGCGGATCATCTCGGGGACTGGCAGGGTACCCCGTGGTCGGCCATTATCACTCTCAGCACCAGGCGGCGCGGCCATATACAGATCGCTGGTCGGCAACCCGACGAAGCTCACTGGCAGATCGTGTTGATGTATCTCTCGGGCCAGCCGGCTCCATTCCTCATGATCAAAGAGCGTCAGCCGCGTACAGTGGCCCAGCATCACTCGTTTGTTTGTGGTGCTCGCCGTCCACCGATTCCTCCGCAGCGCATCCAAAACATACCACACGAGGGCCTCCCTCCCGCCATCCAGATTATAATCCAGATGGAAATCCACATGCTTCTCCAGCTCCAAGGCACGCGCCGCCGCCCAGTCGATATTGCGCTTCGCCGCCGCCTCACCAGCCTCCACGTACGGCGTCGTCCCGATCACATCCACCTGGGGGTACCGGGCCAAGGCCTCCTCCAGTAATGCACGGTTCTCGTCGCCGAACTCGCCGGAAAAGACGGGGTCCTGGGCAAAACAGACCAACTGGATCTGGCAGGCCGCCTCCCAGCGTGTTTTCAACTCCACCCCTGCGTCCAGACAGGTCAGTCCCACCGTGTGATCGACTTCCACGAAGGCTCTCATGGCCGTGACGCCCGAGGCGACGGACTCGGCGAGCAGCCATTCACCGCGTTGCAGCAGATCCGAGCGGTGGAACCCAGCCTTTGCTTGCGCAGTGAGACTCAGGGCTTCCTGGAACGAGCCGGTGGAGGGCAGATGAGATGCGGAGGAGAGGGCGCTGTGCACGAAGGCTTTGTCGAGGTGGATGTGGGGATGTGTAAGGGTAGGAAGGGCCAGTGGTTTATCATTGTTGTCGTGGTTGTTGCTATCGGTGGTGCCAGTGGAGGTCGGGGAAGCGCTGGTGATTGCGATGGAATGCGACGGGCGGTCGAAGGTGATGTTCCAGGAGGAATCGGGGTCCGAGGTCGCCAGTCGGACATTACAGATGGATTCCAAGGGGATCAGCGACGGCGGAGGCATATTGAAGACACCGTGGGATCCGGTAGACCTGCATGTATGATGTTAGTTATTTATAACTTGAAGTTCGTCAAGTCAGCGGAATCTCCGCATGTTCGAACGCCCCACCCAGCGCTAATCTTCAACAACACCAGCTCTGCACTGCACAATTTCTCTCCTCTCTCTTTCTCTTCCTCCACAATTAATTCGGTATTAATTAATATGAGTCCACAGCCGTACCGATCAACCCCATAAACCACCACCACCACCATGTCCAACCCCCGACCCTGGCACCACCACCTCACGCTCGACCTGGTCCTGCGCGTCCTGAACCGCACCCTCCTGCACCCCTGGGTCGCCTGGATCGGCGTGCTGAGCCTCCGCGCCCAAGTGACGCCCTACACGCACCCGGCCTTCATCCTGACGACCGCCTACGCCGTCCTCCTGACCGCCGTGGCCGTCGCGCGCGTCGTCAACCGCCGCGTCGCGTACGGCCTGCCGCGGCCCGTCGAGCCCAGCGACGAGGTCGTCGTCGTCACCGGCGGCGCGAGCGGGCTGGGGCTGCTGATCGCGAGGGTCTACGGGCTGCGGGGCGCCAGTGTGGCGGTCCTGGATGTTAAGGATGCTAAGGAGTTGGAGGGGATAAGGGAGGAGATGATGGCCGGGGTGGATTATTATCGGTGTGATATTGGGAATCGAGAGGAGGTGGAGAGGACGGCGAGGAGGATTGAGAAGGATGTAAGAAATTTGATTCTTTTTTTTTTATGGTGACTACGGGTTCTATAATATGCATGGAGATGGAGGTGGTAGCGGGAATGGAATTGATGAATGACATGGCTAACTATCACTTTCTTGCTAGTTGGGTCCGCCGACGGTGCTGGTCAATTGTGCCGCTGCTCGTGTCAATGGCCAGCCGCTGCTGTCCCTGTCGGCCGATGCTTTCCAGAGAACCATCCAGACCAATCTGCTCGCCGTCTTCCATACCTGCCAAGTGTTCCTGCCTCGCATGTTGGCCAGCCCGACCGGGGGCACCGTGGTGAACGTGAGCTCCGTGCTGGGTCAGCTATGTGCCGCCGGTCTCGCCGATTATTCCGTGAGCAAGGCAGGTCTGAGCGCTCTCCACCGCACACTGGAGGCCGAGCTTCGTAGCTCGGGAGACGATGAGAAGGTTAAGCTGGTCCTGGTCGAGACTGGGCAGCTGGCCACGCCGCTGTTTGAATCCGTCAAAACACCGAATAGTTTCTTTGCGCCCGTGCTCGAACCGGTCCACGTTGCTCAGGAGATCGTGTCGGCGATCGACGAAGGCCAGGCCGGTGTGATCCGGATGCCCACGTTCGCCTCGCTGGTCAATTGGTATGCGGTGTTGCCGGCCGGTCTGCAGCGAATTGCTCGGGCTCTGAGCGGCATCGACCACGCGGTTTCAGGGACAGACAAAGTAGCGGAGCCTTCAAGCCAATCACCGCAAAAAGAGCCGTCTTCCGATACAGACTGATGCGGCAAGTCAAACAGATGGGGTTAAAACTTTTCATGCGGGAACCTGCCCCCATGCATATGGAACGAGTCGGCGTGATGTATATATGTATATGAAATGCCCGGGAACGAATTCGCTTTACAGTTTGGAACTCGTTCCCCGAATGTAGGATGCCTTGACCTTGACCTTGACCCGAAAACAAGGCGGAAATGGCGGGTGTTGGCCCCGAGAAGGACGAATCCTCTATTTCTCGTTGGTCAAGATCATCTTCTCGCGCTCGCTGCGTCTCTTCGGCAGAGCATCCTTCTTAGTATGCTTCCGCACGTTCTCCTCGCGTCTCTTAAGAGCCATAAGCTCTTCTCTCTTGATCTCACGGGCCTTCTTGATGGTTCGGGGCACGTGGCGCTGGCGTCGGATTCTCTTGATCTCGGGCATGTGCGAGTATCTCTGGATCAAAGCCTGATCATATTCGAGCTTCGTTCGTTGACGGGCACTCTTGATTCCACTGCGATCCGAGGCTTTGGAGCGCCACAGCCGGATGTTGCCGTCGTCCGAGCCGGAGAGGATGTATTTGTTATCGGGCGTAAATTTGGCGGAGAAGACGCTGCATCATACGGGTTAGAATGATCAAGTGTGTTTGAAGGGGTCTCAAAAGGTGGACGTACCGCTGCATTCTCTGGGTGTGGTAGATATCACGCGAGTGGCCTTCAGCTCGGTTCCACAGGCGGATTGTTCTATCGTACGACGCCGTCACAAGTTCCTCGCCAGTCGGGCTGAATTCCACGTCCATGACCGCAGCAACGTGGTCTTTCAGCACGTTCAAGGCGCGGTCCATCTTTCGCATATCGAATATGTAAGCGTTGTGGTCTTCGTTGGCCACGGCGAAGTTGAATGCCTCCATAGGGTTCCAAGAAATCGCGTTCGAGGCCAGCCGGAGGACCAGTTTGCTGAGCGGAGAGTTGGTCCGGAGATCGTACATAATGACAGAGCGGTCCATGCCAGTTGACGCCAAGATCGAGGTTTCCGTCTGGTTGAAGGCAACCGATGTGATAGTGTCGATGTTGGTGGGCCAGTGAAGGACCTGCGACGGCGTTGAGGAGGGTCGAGAAAGATCGTAAATGGAGATCTGCGACGACGAGACGGCGAAAGAGGGATGGTTTCTATGGTGTGAAACGCTGGTGAAAGGGCCCTGGCCCAGATACGTCGCCCGCGGGGGAGAGTCCGACTCCGAATTGTACGGATCCCACAGCTTCACGGTCTTGTCACTTGCGCAAGAAAGTAGTTGCCGCTCCGGTGTCCAACAGACCCCCTTCACGATATTTTCGTGGGCCTGCGTGTTCCAAACCTCGCCCTTGGTTGTCAAATCCCAGACTTTGACCATGCCATCGCCACTGCCACTTGCGAATCGTTCCAGAGAGCCGGGGTCTTTGGCCATGGAGTAGACTCCGTCGACGTGACCGTCACCCATCTGGCCCAGAAAGGGCGCGGCGAAGAGACGCTCGAGCTTAGTAGCATTGAGCGCTCGCGTGTACTCTCGAGCTCGTTCGAATGGATGCTGAGCTGGGTCCAGGTTTCGGGGCTGTCGAACGACAGAAGACCCCGGGGCCTGCTGCGAGGAAGCAGGACGAGAAAGAGCTTTGATTTTCTGGGACACACATTAGTAAGACCAGTAAGGACGTATATCCTCGGCAGGATTTGAAAGATTCAAGACCACTCACCATGACGCTCTTCGGTTTGGGTTTATGGAAAAGATGAAGAGATTCAATGTTGGTTTTTTTTTTTTTTTTTCTAAGGCGGATAATGTCCCACGCTGGTTGGCCCGCCAAGCCGCGGGCGGTGAGCGCGGCAGCTCCAGCAGTGACGATTCGGCTTCCTCCATCCTGCTTGTCATCAACTCTTCCAGCTCATTCGGCCGCCATTCCTCGTCCACTGCCATCGTTTCCTCCTCGCAACCCTCCCAACAAGATACCCGCAGCCTTTCCAGTACCTCCCATATCCTCCTACAGCTATGGCGCCCTCCTCGATAACCGCTCAGCGGATCGAGGAAGCTCGGACTCTCTCGAAGACCAACCCTTCCAAGGCTGAGAGTACCTTCAAAGAGATCCTAGCTCAAGGTCCTGGATCGTCGGAAGCTTCCTCTAGGGACTACGAGAATGCTCTGGTTGGATTAGGAGAGCTGTATAGAGATGGGAAGAAGCCGCAGGAGATCGCGGACCTCATCAAGACCAGCCGGGACTCCTTCTCGTCATTTGCCAAAGCCAAGACTGCAAAGCTAGGTAGGTTGAACTGAAGATGGGCGAACTCAGTCGCTTCTGGGACATGTAATTTGAGCTGACTGTTCTGCCTCCGAAAAGTCCGCCAGCTACTGGACTTGTTCAGTGAAATCCCCAACACGCTCGATATCCAGGTTGCCGTCATCCAGTCTTGCATCGACTGGGCCATCTCCGAACGCCGTTCTTTCCTTCGACAGAACCTCCAGACCCGTCTGGTGGCCATTTACATGCAGAAACAATCCTACTACGATGCGCTCAACCTCATCAACCCCCTCCTCCGCGAGCTGAAGCGATTGGATGACAAGCTCATGCTGGTTGAAGTGCAGCTGCTGGAGTCGCGGGTGTTCCATGCCCTGGGCAACCAGGCCAAGGCGCGTGCTGCCTTGACGGCTTCTCGGACATCGGCCGCTTCCGTCTACACACCTCCCAACCTGCAAGCCGGCTTGGACATGCAAAGTGGTATGCTGCATGCGGAGGACAAGGACTTCAACACCTCGTACTCCTACTTTATCGAAGCCTTGGAGGGCTACAGCTCGCTGGACGAGGGCGAGAAGGCGACCGCGACTCTCCAGTACATGCTGCTCTGCAAGATTATGTTGAACCTGGTGGATGACGTGACGAGTCTGCTGGGCTCCAAGCAAGCCCAGAAGTATGCCAGCCCTCGGCTCGAGGCCATGAAGGCCGTGGCGCGTGCTCACGCCAACCGATCGCTGGAAGAGTATGAGAAGGCTCTGTCGGACTACCGGTTCGAACTCGGCAGCGATGCGTTTATTCGCAACCACCTCCGCCGACTGTACGATGCCATGTTGGAGCAGAACCTGATCAAGGTGATCGAGCCCTTCAGCCGAGTGGAGTTGGACCATATCTCCAAGATGGTCGGGCTGGACACGCAGCAAGTGGAGCGCAAGCTGTCCCAGATGATCCTGGACAAGGTGATTATCGGCGTGTTAGATCAAGGATCGGGATGTCTGATCGTCTACGATGAGACGGAGCGAGACCAGGCGTACGACGCTGCCTTGGATACCGTGGCCAAGCTGAGCAACGTGGTGGAGGAACTGTACACAAATCAGGCTTCGCTGTTGGAGTGAGGGAGCATGGCCGTGTTGAGACGATGGTCGGGACATGATATAACATTGCAGACATGAAATCGGAATAATTTGACCGCATTAGCCAGTAAAGATGTGTAGATCTTCGCATTCTACTCTATTCTCTAGTATGCTCCGTGTTGTATGTGTCTTTGATCACTGGGTTACCGAAACGGGACTAGCGCCCATCGCGGCAAAAGAATCGCGACGCCGCGAAAGAAACGACGTCCTTCCGACCCATCGGGAGCTTGTTCCTTCCACTCCGTATTTGCTGCTCTCCTCATCAATTCCCGATCCGATCCCTTGCGGGCCTATTCCCTGCTACGTCACGAGAACCATGAATGCCCCAATGCCGCCCAACTACGGCCGTGGCTTCCCGCAGGCCGCCCAACGGTCTCCTGCCACGCCTCGTCGCGGACCTCCAGGACCAGGTCGGTTCTCGGCCCCTTGATCCGTCGTACGCTCACGCTAACCCTAAATCTCTCCTATAGCAGGCCCTGCAATGCCGGTGCCCATGGCTCAACATCCCGTTCCCCCTCAGTATCTGCCTGCGCAGCGCAACATGGCACACCCCAACGACGCCGCCATACGTCGGAGCCGCAAGCCCACCGACAAGAACATCCCCGACGGTATTGAAGATGTAATTGTCGGAGAAGGCGTACAGCAGTACAAGAGCCTGCGCGACCTGGAGAAACGACTTGACGCCGCCATCGTCCGCAAGAGACTGGACATCCAGGATTCAATCAGCAAGACCGTCAAGAAATACCGCACGATGCGCATCTGGATCTCGAATACGGTGGAGTCTCAGCCCTGGCAGGATGCCAGTGGGCAAAATGGGTCGGCACCTGGAAGTAACCCCGGCTCGGGACGATACAAGGTCCGTATCGAGGGACGCCTACTGGACGACGACAGTGATCCCACGGCAGCCGAGGACAGTGAAGACGAAGGCGCGGACGAATCGAATGGAGATGCTATGGAACAGGATTCTGCGGAGGCCAAGAAATCCGGCGCCAAACGTCAAAAGCAGCGCTTCTCGCACTTTTTCAAGACCATCTCCGTCGACTTCGACAAGGCCTCCACGGCCAACCCGGAGGACGTCAAACCCGTTAACTGGGCCAAACCTCAGCTGCCACCCAACGCCGTCTCGCTTCCTCCCACTGCGGACTTCGACTCGCTGCAGTTTTCTCGGGCGTCCCAGGAAAATTTGAACGTCACCATTAGCCTTGTTCACGACGAGGTGCCTGAGCGATACAAGCTGAGCAAGGAGCTGGCGGAGGTCCTCGACGTTGAGGAAGAGACCCGAAGTGGCATCGTCCTTGGCATTTGGGATTATATCCGCGCTATGGGCCTTCAGGAAGATGAGGAGAAGCGCCTCGTCCGTTGTGATCATCGTTTGCGATCGGTTTGTTTTCCCGTCTTGCCCATACCCCCTTATTGCTTGCATCCATCCATGCTAATAGCATTTCCTCTGCCCTACAGATCTTCGGTAGAGAACAAATGTTTTTCCCGCAAATTCCCGAGAGCATCGGCCCTCACACTAGTCCTATTGACCCCGTCAAGCTGCCCTACACCATCCGCGTCGACGAAGAGTTCCACAAGAATCCCACGCCTACCGTGTACGATATCCAAGTGGCCGTGGAGGACCCTCTCCGCGCCAAGATGCTGGCATTGACGAAAAACCACCAATACTCCATGGCCATGCAAAAGATCACCGCGCTGGATGACCAAGCAGCTCTCATCATCCAGACCTTGACGCATTCGCGCGCCAGACATTCCTTCTACACGGCGCTCAGCAAGGACCCGGCCAACTTTGTGCGTCGCTGGATCAATTCCCAGCGCCGCGATCTCGAGACGATCCTTGGCGAAGCCACGCGCGGTGGCGGCGAAGATGGCAGCGGACCCGAGTTCCGCCGTGGAGGCTCCGATGGTGCCTGGGACACGCCCGTGGCCCGTGAAGCTGTACGGTACATGCTTGCGAAGCCGGAGGCAGCTATGGGACGGTGATTTTAGTTACGTCGGTGTTCTGATCATCCCTGGATGGGAGGGGAAACCCGTTGGGCTTGGAGGCGCTTATGTGGTGTTCGGATTGGGGGTAGTTCTTTTAATACTTGTTTCTTGTTCTTCCTACAACTCAATTTACTGTACTTTGGAGTGGTGTCAATCTCACTTGTGATACTCAACCGATATGCCATTGTAAATGGGGATGGAGATGATAAAATAGGTTTGCCCAGGTTTATAGAACTCTTGATATGCTGTAGTGGGAGAAGGGGAAGAAAAAAGAAAAGAAAAAACACCCACATGCTCCATGGTCCAATCTAGGTGCGAGGATCGAAAATGTTCAAGCGATAACGGCAGGCAGTTGGGGTCATCATACAAGATGATGAATATATACCACCGTCTGATAAGCCCCAAACGGAAAAGCGAACAGACATGACAGGCATAACGGGAAAAAATATCAAGGCAAGAAGAATCATTATATAGCAAGGAAAAGATGACGAGATGACGAGAATAATAGATATAAGAGACCAGCCCAGATTTCAGCGACACCATGATTTTCAACAAGCAGCATCTTTCGGAAGATACATAAACTATAAAGCAGTGAATTATGAGTGTGAATGAAAAAAGTCCTGGTCAACAGAAGCATGTATTTAGAGTTGAACAAATTGCTTCGGAGGGTCTTTGGTTTGCACATTTGCACATGCATACATTGGTTTGAATTGAAAGCCCGGTGGCTCTTCATGTGTAGGAGGTAGAGATCAAACGATGTGAAACCACCTCAAGTAGCCAAGTCGGCCTTCCTCCTGCGCAATTCGTCCGTAATTCCGGTATCCACGGCCGAGGCGATCTTCTCGTCGATTTCATCGCCGTGGAATAAGCTTCCTTCCTCCTGCTCCAGCTTGGCAGCCGCGTCGAGAACGGCCTTCTGCGCGATATCGTCCTTCAATTGGGCGACCTTCTCTTCCTTGGTTGCCGAATGCGGCTGAGCTGGAGTAGCCGGGCCGCGGAACCGCTTCATGACAGTCTCGATCATCTTCGAGAACCAGTAGTAGTTGAGCGAGTTGAGGACCACGTTGGAGACGACGTACGTCAGCACCAACCAGGTGGGGACCCCGCCGGCGGTGTGAGAAGCGAAACGGGAGAGTTCGGTGCCGGCACTCCGGCAAGCTTCGTCGAGCTCGGAGCAGTGGGCCGTGGGGTCGCGCAGACCGAAGACCTGCGAGGAGATGTCGACGGGGAAACCGGGGCTGGAGCTGGAGCTATCCCAGGTTTGTTTGAGGGCGTACCACATGTCCCGGTAGACGAGAACAGATTGCCAGGTTCCCCAGACGAGCCGACAGCTGAAGAACATAAAGAGGAGCATCATGCCATTGTACCATTGGAGGTTGCTTCCGGTCATGTTGACCTTGTCCAGGAACCAGTGGATGTTGAGGAAGGGGCTGGAGAGCTCGTAGAGAATGAATACAGGCGAGTAGAAGTTCACGAAGGGTCTCTAGAGTAGTAGGCCGGAGAATTAGTGCTGAGCGCTTGACAATTGGAGAGGACGAATGGGAGGATTGCCCGAAGCAACGTACGTATCCAAAACTAAAAACCCACAGGGCACTAATGGCATGGAAGAGCATGCCGACGCCGAACATCCGGACATAGATCGCGCTGATGATCAAGTCGTAGACAAAGTATCCAGCTGCGAAAGCTCCCACCATGCCACAAACCCCAGTGTATCCATAAATGCGTTCACCGATATTCATCGACTTCCGCTCCTCATCAGAAAACATAGCCCACAGGGCCAGTGCATTGATGAAGGTGCTCTGCACCAACGACACAACGTGCACATCCCAGTTCAGCTTCGTCCGCCGGTTGAGCTGGGGGTAGTGTCGGGGAAAGAGGAGCGGAGATAGCCACGGGGAGAGGACGAAGTGAATGAACTGGTACACAACAAAAGAGAACAGGATCTCATGGATATGGTCCGATAAGGCGGGGACGTTGAAATAGATCGCCCAAGGGTCGACAGCGTCTCGCAGCCATCCCGGGGGAGGCGGCAATGGGTCCAACATGCCGACCGCTCTTCCGACGAGGAGGACCGAGAGGGAAGAGGCACTCCTAGATAGGAGGTAGTAGACGGGCTAACCCAGATGCAAAGCTAGGATAGCGATGCCTCCAGGAAAGGGGGAGGAGTAGAGGAAGGTCCAGAAAAGCCGGGTGGGGACTCAGACGGACTCAAGGCTAGCCATGGTGGAGAAGGGAGGTGGAAGAGTTAAGAAGGGAGGAGGAGAGGAGCAGGCCAGGCACCCCGAATGATGAAGCGCCGAGGCTGCTCCCGTGCCGGCCGATGCCTGATTCGTGGGGCTGCCACAGTTGGGATTCCGTTGGGGCGGCTGACTCAGTGCCTGACCGCCTCGGGGTCATCTGATCCAGACGGCGGCCTCAGGCTACGAATTATGTGATCCTACGGAGGGTCAGGTGATGGAAGGCTTCATTATTCATGCATTTCACTGGGACTCTGTACACAGAAGTTGCAAACAAAGGAAATTACAAAAGAAAAGAATTTCAACGCCGACATCCTTCGCGTGTCCGGCCAAAAAACAGGAGGAAAAGAAACAGGAGAAGAAAACGTATCAACATGGCAAAAAGAAACGGTGGTATATGGATATCACAAGGAAGAATCGACATCAGGTGGTGGCAGACGATCGTCTCAGGTCATCAGCGTGACGGAGGGGATCATTTCGCTGATTATCCCACGGCACTCGTGATCTCTGGGCCGAGTCCGCTGTCGCTGTGCTGTCCGTAGAGTACCATCTTGGCTGCCTCAGCGTCCAAATCTCCGGCATCTCGGTCATTTGAAGGGTCGTCGCCCTTGGTCGTCTCGGCATCATCATCGTCCTGCGCCTCTGCACCCGGCCCATCATTCTCATCTTGTTCTCGATCTCCCGGGGTGTCCTGCTGTTCCGCGCCAGCTCCCCCCGGGGTGGAGCTAGCGGTGCTCACTCGTCGATCAGTGGAGACAACGCTGCCGGTTCCATAAACCATGCTATCCGTGTAGGTGCCGGTATAACTGGTCCTTCGCTCTGTACCTGTGTCGCTCTCTTCACCACTCTGGTGTTCCTCCTCTTCCGGGAAAGCTTCGTTCTCTTTGTTGGCTACCGAGCTCCGGCCACCCCACGAGGCTTTCCGTTGGGAAAAGTTGGACTTGACAGAATGGCTTCGCTTCAGGCTCGCAAAGCCGCTGTTGCCGCTGGCTTGTCGGTCAGAAACACCACGGTTGCCCGTTACGTGACTTAGACTTAGGATCCGCCTTTCTTTGCTGGCGTTGGACGGGGTCACAGAGCCAGCCTGTGAAGGGGTTTGCCCTCGCTTCTTCAGAGCCAATCCAACGCTGCTGCCGAGGATACTGCGATTGTCCTTGGCGGTGCTAGCATTGCTGGCGCAACTAGGACCTCGCGCCCGAGAACCGCGAGATTTCTTCATATTCAAACCCGGCATGTTGGGGCGGCTAAGAAGCACACTGCGGGCATGATCGAGAACACCTTCCAGGATCCGCTTCTCCAAGCTGTCTGCGCGATCTTCCATGACTTGCATCTCTTCCTGGCGGAGCTCCAGTGCCATTTCCAGACCGGAAACCTCCTTGTTCAGCTTCGTGTTTTGCTTGACAAGGTCATCCTTTTCGGTCTTCAGGCTACTGATCATCTTCAACAGCGACTCCTTCTCTTCGTTGAGAGTAACAATCTCAGCTTCGACTTGGTCTTTCTGAGCGTTCCGCCTCTCAAGCGCAACCGCGGCTTCTTCAGACTCCTTGCGTCTCCGCTCGTTGTCTTCGGTGACCATCGCCGACTGGGCCGTGAACATCTCGTTCATCTTGCGGGATGTCTCCATGATGTCCTTGTGCATCTCGTCCAATTTCATCATTTGCGTGACCGACTGCTCGGTGTTGGTAGCATGTCCTATGAGGGTATCGAGTTTGTCATGTACGGGCCCATTGGTGCCTGTGGCATGACTGAGCAGCTCGTTGAGTTTGTCGTACATCTGGCCATTGGTACTTGTAGTCTGGTTCAGAAGCTGGTCGAGTTTCTCATGCACCTGGTCATTCGTTACGCGTTCAACAAGAACATCAAGCGCCTCATGCACCTTTTCATTCTTAGCATGGTCCAGGATGCTGTTCAGCTTCTCATGTACTTGGCTGTCGTCATACTTTTCCGGTTCAGGTGCTGGAAGCGCAGGAAGAAGTTGCGGGATGGTAGAAGGCAGAGTAGAAAGGTCCATTTTCAGGTCTTCGGCAGACTTCTGTGAATGATCGTAATGTTGGCCAACAATCGACAGAATCTCTTGAATGGACTCCAAAACCTGGGGATGGAACTCGTGCAATTTGCTTTCCACACGATCAGTCGCTGCTGCGGCTTTTTCGATGTCTGATCGAGCTTGCTCCTGCTGTGACTTAACCTCATTCTGAATTTCTTCCATCTTGGTGTACGACGTATCGACCTTCTCAAAGAAAGTTTTGGTGTCGGCGCTAATCCGCTCGCAGGCCTCGTTGACGCTATTGCCCATGGTACCAATGACGAGCTTGATGTCCTCGGCGAGGGCTTTAGTGTTAGTGACGGCCTCAAGGTTGGCCTCATCTCGTTGAGCAGAGTCCGAAAATTTCGACTCCATGGCACTTTGAGCTTCGTCATATTTGCCGATGACCTCGCCAAGCTTTTCGTCAATCTTGGTGCCCAATTCAACAATGATGGCAGCTCTAGTCTCGTCATGTTTCACGACAGCTGCGGCATCTCGTTCCTCCTTCTCCAGCTTCTCCGCGTCCTGCTCGCCGCGAGCGCGCTCGAACTCCCGATTGATCAATTCCGTGAGTTCGTTGACATTTTCGACTGTCGTGAAGCTTTCGGCAGAAGCTGCCAAACCCTCGAGAAGTTGCTTGAGCTCGGAGAGGCCTTCGTTGCTTCCGTCGAGCTTGCTCTTCATTTCGTCTCCAAGACCCTCGACGACCGCCCGAGCCTCGTCAATCTTCTCGGCCAGGCCGGCGTGCTCCACCTTCCGTGCTTCAAAGCCTTGGGCGGTCATCTCATTCTCGGCCTCTGTCTTCTCCCTAAATTCAGCGACCAGGGCAGAGAGATCTTGGAAATCGGTTTTGGTCGGCAAAGTCTCAACATCTGGAAGTTTGAGCTCGTCCACCTGTGTCTTGACTTCGAAAATCATAGCCTCGACCGTCTGCAGGTCGGCCTTGACGAGTTTCTCGGTATCGGTTTCTTCCTCGGTCCCCTTGCCCTTCAACTCCTCGAGGGCAACCCACATATCCTTCATCAGGGTCTCAAGGGTTCCGATCTCGGCCTTTGTTGGCCCCTCCGCTTCCAAGCGAGTTCCCATCTCGGATATGGCTTCTTTGGTCTCTTTAACCATAGCCTCCAAGCTTCCGAGCTGCTCGGCCTTTGCTATTTCATCCGGGGCGGGGAACGTCATTTCGTCAAGCTGAGACTTTGTGTTCCGAAGCAGGGTCTCAATCGCATCCGTGTCCTCCTTCTTGGCTGTCGTCTCGTCTGTAGGGTTCTCCCGGGCAACAATTCCTGAGATGGAACCTTGCAGCTCGTGAAGGCCTGCCAAAACATCATCGAGGTGCTCCTTTTTGAGAGCATCCGCGGATGGTTCAGCGGCTCGCGGAGTTGACTCGATTGCCTCGACCTTGACTTGGAGTTGGGAAATCAGAGCTTTAAGCCCCTCAATATCGGTGCCTATGTTTGACTCGTTGGCAAGCATCAGCTCCCCTCCCCTGGTCGTTTCCATCTCCTCGACACCCTCGGTACCCTCGGCACCCTTGTGTGACTCGCGCAGTGATTCTACGTCTGCCTTCAAACTGCTGAGCCCTTCTTTCAGGGTTTCGAGGAGCTCCGAGTGGTCTGAAGCAGCTGGTCTGTCAATGAGTTTGGCCAAATCTTCCCGGATAGTACCAACCCCATCTTGGAAAACATCGACAAGCTCGTTGGTGGAAAAAACGTTTTCACCGCTCTCTTTAGGGGGTTCTTTTTCGGTGTGGAACGTTTCAAGGCTTTCACGGAGAGCAGCGATGATATCGTCTTTGTCGTTTTTCGGTTCCTCTGCGCGGACAAGACTCATATTCATTGACTCACGAAGGCTTTCAAACTCCTGTTTGATAACCTGTGCAACATCCTGGGTGCTCTCGGTTTTTCGGCCTTCTGAAATATCACGGATGGCGTCAAGAATCTCGTCTTTCTCGGCCGATACATTGCTTCGAATCAACATGCCGCTTAGACTGGTTCGAAGATGTTCGAACTCCTTTTCCATGGCATCGAGAAGTTCTGGGGTATCGGGATTACCACCAGACCCATTGGAAAGAGCAGTTTCTGTGATGGTCTTCTCCATATCGGCCTGCAGTAATCGGAAGCCATCTTTGACGGTATCCATAATCTCATGCTTGCCCGAAGCTTCTGTAGCGGCGGCGGCGTAAGACTCAACTTCCTGACGTACGACCGCGATTCCATCTTTGATTGCGTCCAGCACCTGCGAATTATCTTGTTCATTAGATAGCGAGCGTTGATGAGTTTCTTCCTTCATGGCTTCCAGCTGCTCCTGAAGACGTCCCAGCATCTGATCACCCACGTTGTGGTTAGTGGACGCAGTTGCTTCTTGAAGTCCAGCGGAGATAGCTTCCATGAGGTCGTCCTTGTTCAGCTCGATTTCTCTGATCATGGAGTTCTGGTTCTCCATTCCTTCTGCAATGGCATTCAGAATGTCATCACGCGAAATAGATGGCTGGGCGTCAGCACTGACAGCAGATTGCTGGGCGGAAAATGCGTCGTTGACAACGTTGGCGACATCTTCCTTTGTGATGTGAGGAGTCTCCATTTCTTTGGCCGCTGTGAAGTGTGCTTCTATCCCGTCTGACACAGCACTCAGAATTTCGTCCCGACCCAGGCCGGAGTCGAGGGTTTCCCTTGTAAGTGCACTTTGTGTCGTGACCGATTCGGTAACTGCCTGCAGTATTTCATCGCGAATCGTATGAAGATGTTCAGGCTCCACGGACCGAGGTGCGGGCTGACTGTTTTCGAAACACTCCCGAATGGTTTGCGCGATTTCATCCTTGGTGATAGAGGGAGGCGGTGCGAAGTCTTGCATCCCAGCCTGTACGGCGGCAAGAACTTGGTCGTACGTGACAGCGTGCTCATGCTTCGGCTGATATTCCTTCAGACCTTCTGCAAGGCATTCAAGAATTTCGTCACGCTCCAGTCCGAAATTTTGCAATTCGATCTCGGGTTTGTAAGTCTCCCAAGCCTCTCGCACTGTCTCAATGATATCCTCCTTCTGCATTTCGTTTCCGCGGAGCTCGTCCCGTAGTCGAGCCCAATCGAGGTCCTCAAAAGCGCCCTTGAGAATGGAATAGATCGCCGAACTATCCATGGCAGCTCTAAATTCGGATAGCGCGGATGAGTGGTGCTGGTTCTCGGCAAGGATGGACGCGAGTTGCTCCTTGAGTTCGTGGAGGCAATCGTCGACAATGGCAGCGATTTCTTCCTCTCCAGGAGAACTATTAGATTGATCCTCCAGAGCTCTGGGCATTTGGGCTTCTTCGAATTGACGCGCTAGGTTTCGTCCCATCCCCAAGACCTCTCCACGGAGCTCTCGCACCAGTGCTTTCACTTCGTTTGTAAGTCCTCCTCCTTCGATGACACTGCTTCTCACTCGTTTCATGATAGCCAGCATGTCGTCCTGGTTATCGGTGTGAATTAGAGAGCGGTCGGACTCTCTATGATTGTCCATCTCGTCTCCCTCAGGCCCAAACACCGGTCTTGCATCGAACGATCTCGATTGGGTTCCAGTGAAATCTGAGTTCGCGCGTGGTGGCATGCGGGCGGCACTGAAACTGAGTCGGGTTGGCACCAGGGCCTTATTTCCCGCGTCCTCTTTCACATGCGTCAGGATTTCCTCCAGCATCTCCGCAATTTTGCTGTCGGGGTGACTTTCAGATGTGTCGGATGTGGGTCTGGATTTCAGTTCCTCCGCCAGCTCCACAAGCTTATCCTGACCTTCTTTCGTGGCCATTTCTCGAAGAACCTTTTCCAAGAGAGCAATGCTGGCAGAGCCGTCAGAGATTGGCGCTGGAGAGCCGCACATCTCGCGTTCCATTGCTGCAGCGAAGGGGTTAGGGCTTTGCATGCGGGGCGCTGAGTAACTTTTCTTCGAGTTCGGAGAACTATCCGGGTCCCTGTTGTTAATATCTTTATCAGATCCCAGGAGAGTACTGAAATCCCACCTTGTGGCAGCATCACTATCTAGAAACTTTGCAGACAAGCTGGAGGATAAATCGCGAAGACTCTTCCGAATATCTTCGTCTCGGGCGTTCGTGGCGGCTTTGAGGCTGACCAGGTCTGTGGCGTTATCTTTGCTGCGGCGGCTCAACTGCGCCATCTCCCGCTGGAGATTGCTTGCGATGTCCGTGAGACTGTGGATTTGTGTCGATAAAGAGTTCAAACTCGATGGGTTGGTCTCACTTGAGACCACAAACGGATCGGAGTCATCGCTCTTCGGCTGCACTTCGCTCTCACTCGGCAACTGCATATTCTGCAGAGCCAGCATAGTCGCCGAAGGGGGGGTGCTTTCGCCCAGAATGGGTTTGGATAGGTAACGGTTGGAAATGAGCAGGTTGGGAAGGTCGCGATCCGAGTCTCGGTCCTCCTGGTCATCGCTAGACTTCGTCGGGCTCTTTTCTTGTTGTTTGGCATTTGGGTCTAGTATCGACGCTTTGAGCGGTCTTTCCGGTGACCTGCTTTCCAGGTAGTTCAGAAACTCGGAGCGAGGGTCGTTGTTCTGGAACGACTGCATTCGCTTATGGAACTGGCCCTTGATCAAAGACTTCTCGGGCGACGACGGCTTGGGTGGCATGGGATTGGTTGTGTAGGAGCTGGGTGCATTTTCGCGCATCTTCTCCGCGAAGTTGGCAGCTACAGCTTGAATGCCCGGGGATACATTGCCCTTCGTGGCCGGGCTGGTGGAACCGGGATTCATGGGCAATGGCGGAGGCGCCCGTTCAGGATCTGAACTGTCCCACCTTCGTTTCCGCGGTTTGAAAGTCAGTCTAAAATAATCCATGGTGGAAAGATTGAACGAAAGAACGAAAGCCCTCTTGGTGGGAGGCGACGGTCGACACCTACATGGGCACGGATTGATGTCTTAAAACTAGCTCCCGATCGTGGGAACCTTCGCGCGTATGCGATGGCATATTAAGACCTCGACTTGGGGGGGGTGGAGGTCCTGTCGTCAATCTTGCGAAGACGAAGTGGGTTCTGTTGTTGGAATGTGCGCAGGAATGTTCGTCAATTAAAGTCGTAAAGGCATATCAATTCATCAAAACAAAAACAGAGAAAACAAACGGTGCGAGCTGCAGATCCAGTCGAGGGGTGGGCGCAAGGATAAATCGTAAACAGAGAGACGTGAAAAGCGTGAAGAAGCAACAAAAGACAGAACGATACGCTGGCTAGCAAAAGAGGAAGATGGATGCCGGGCAGGGCAACCAAGGGCTCACAACAATGCGACGGGGATGGGGCAAGGCAGGAAGGAAGGAGAAAAGGCGGTTGAACTCCGGAGTAGATAATCATCAAATAAGTAGTAGATCAAGAAAACATCAGAGTGGAGATCCACGCCGCAAGGCACGGTAGCTCATGGGGCGTCAACTGCAACCCGGCCCAATCTCCGCCGTACACATCAAGATTCAGCATGGCAACCGACGCCGGTTTGGTTGTCCGGTAAACAGAGCGCCCGCGGGCGGTGAGGCCTGCTCGGCGCTGCGTTTCTCCGGTGCTGCCGTCGCCAGCGCCAATGGGGAAACTGCCCGCTTCGGGCATAGTCGCAGCCCCGGCTCGACGGTCGGTAAGTCGGCCAATGAGATCGGGGCACACAAAGCCGCTTGCCCTGATCCCGTGCCGTTGTGCACTCGAAAGCGAAAAAAAGAACTGAACCTTCTCCTCGACCGAAGCACATCGACAACCACCCCATCGACCTGCCGCTCCCCGGGACTTTCACAATGAAGTGTTAGTTGTTCGCCGCTATATCTCGATTCTACGGAATTTTTTTTTTCTTGCGATTTCAATGCTGACGGAATGTCAATATAGTCATGAAAGTGGGCCGTGTGGCCATCGTTACCCGTGGCCGTTATGCCGGTAAGAAGGTACGACTCAAAAGAGAACCCGCTTGATTTTATCCCCGGCGAGATAGATGGAAGGGAGGAGAAAGAACTTGCAACCGATCGAGAAGAAACGAATTCGACATCAGCGATCCCCGATATCGAGGAACAGACGAACCAGGGTGGAAGGATCATGGGAGGATACAAGACTACGAGAGGATGGGTGTCAATAGGCGCAGTGTGCTGACCAGGGCCTTTTTTTCCGATTCTACAGGTCGTCATCATCAACCCCAACGACACTGGCTCCAAGGCGCACCCCTTCGCCTACGCCATCGTTGCCGGTATCGAGCGTTACCCTCTGAAGGTCACCCGCCGCATGGGCAAGAAGACGGTTGAGAAGCGCAGCCGCGTCAAGCCTTTCATCAAGGTTGTCAACTACAACCACTTGATGCCCACTCGCTACACTCTCGAGCTCGAGGGCCTCAAGGGTGCCGTTTCCGCCGACACCTTCAAGGAGGTCTCCCAGCGTGAGGACGCCAAGAAGACCGTCAAGAAGGCTCTTGAGGACCGCTACACCAGCGGCAAGAACCGGTGGTTCTTCACTCCTCTGCGTACGTACCATTCTCGGCCCGTGATCGCTGTTGGACATTCGAGGGCTGACTATCTTCGCAGGTTTCTAAACGGGGTATTTTTGGGCGTTATGTCGTTTGAGCGCGCAAGGTCTGAGGTGAGGCAAAGGGAAAAAAAGGCATCGAGCACATTCGGTTCAGGAGCATGGGATGACCGGAAAACGTATACCATCGCTGGAGGAAGAATTGGGGATGTATCGATGTACAAGTCCAGGACTTGGCCATTTTCTTTTTTAATGAAGGAGGCCACTCAGAACTGGCATCCTCGAAATGAAATGGAAATATGAACAAATTCAAACTTTTCTTTGTGTCTTCTAACCGCTTACCGTCTCGCACTGCTGCCGTGTCGGCGATGGCTGCCGGCACAGTGCCGCCCCCTTCGATCGCGACGACGCTCCGCCCAACTCAATCGGAACGCGAGTCATTCAACAGCCGCACGGAGCGAGATGGTCTCGAATCGCATCTGGACTGCGAGGATCCGGGAGGCACGTCTCTTGGCGCCATCCCCGCATCACGCAGGCTCCCCTCTCCGCATCCCACGCCGTCTCGGGTTCATGAAACAGGATAGCCGAACAGCGGGGGGCGCAGATGGTCTCTTCATAATAATGCCCTCATTCTCAACAACGGCAGAGTTATGTCCATCCATCACGGGCTGGCCTGGACTGGACCGGCCCATGCATGCGACGGGGGCGTAAACGGCACGGGGCGGCTCGCGGTCAACAGCATCCAGTTAGTAGAAGCAGCCCTGGTCTTCGTATTCGTCGGCCTTTGACCTGCATGAGCTACTGCGCCGGTTGCATGCCATCATTAATATTTGCCAGTATTTCTCCCACCTTGGAAACAGCCCCCGCCGTAGAATTAGGCAATGCATTTCCGATCGGCCCTGTCGGTTCCAGGCATATGGAAAGATCGTCGGCCTGTTGGCGTGTGTACAAGTGGGTGGCATAATGATTTGATTTGAATTTATGCCCGCGTCCCAGTTATTCGAGGCCCCTTTGTCGATGGCATGAAATCGCAGGTCCATGTCTCACTAGAGGTTGCACCGCTATCCGGAGCTCCGGGCCAACTGTACAGCTCATCCATTACACAGCCGGGTTAAACAGGCTTTACCAGACCCTAGTGTGCATGGCATGGTCCCGTTTGGATAGCCCATGCGACTGGGTTTAGGTGACAGCCGGATCGCGACAAAGCAAGTAGGTAAATTGTGGATACTAAACGTAAACCTACAAAGGAGCGGCTCGACGAGAAGAAATAGAGAGAGCGCGGACAAAAGTACGGTGCGATGGGCCCAGGGCCCTCTCTCTGGGTTTTCTGGAAGAGGAATCTGCTCTCGCCAGGCTGACGACGGATCTACGAGGGGGGAAGCGTCGAGGCGACCCCGGACGAGGTCCAGGCGCAACGGTTGGCGATCTTTGTCGGGTTGGGTGCAGGGAGAACGTACATGTCTAGCTGGGTTTTAGCTGGACAAGGGGAGAGTCCGCCGGTCCCAGTAGGCGCCCGGCGATAAGGACTTCCGTCGAATGAATGCACCCGTGGGGGGCCTCGAGGTGGCCGTCATATTGACTGATGACTGGTGATTGTAACGGCGCACCAATTGTTTCGAACCAGCGGGTGGTAAACGGGGTCGAACCGTATGGATTCAGTTTAGTTGAGTGTCAGGAAAAGAAAAGAAAATAAACGGGGAAAAAAGAAAAGAAAAGAAAAGAAAGAAAGAAAGAAAGAAACAGCAAAATGACAGGCGGCTTCGAGACCCGCAATCACATGCCATCAGCCCATCGTCGCAATTCCGAATTCATCGTCATTTCTTGGTCGCCGCACTAAAAGACGACGAGAAATACTACCTTTGGGCGTTCCCATTTTCTTTCAGACTTCAGCCTCTTGCGCCACTGGCACCGCGCCGTCCGGACTCGTATCGATCGGGGAAGCTGGACCAGAGTCTGGGTACCACCTTAGAGGAATCCCAATGAGAACCTTCGGGTCCGGTCACAAAGAAAAAAAAAAAAAAAAAAAAAAAGGAAAGTCAAAGCATCAAGACTCGTCGATGCTTATCTGTTCGGCAGCGATTCCCAAGAGACAAGAGCCGGCGTGGCCGAATCATTGGGCACAGGAGGACTGAACGCAACGTCCCCTCCAGGTTTGCCTCCCCGGTCGGTTTTAGATGCAGATTATCGGGGGCGAATGGGACGAGTTGCCGTCGGGTGCTGGGTCGACTATCTCTGACCGGAGTTCCAGGCCCCGATGAGATGATAATGATGATAATGATATGATCCGGTAGGGGTCAGGGAGATGTAGGAGGGAGCTGGTAGCTGCTAGTGGAGGGACCTCCAGCGACGGCCCGCAATCACATGCGTGCCAACGCTTGCGTCAGAACAAATTGGCTGCCCTCACCTTCTGCGTCGATGGCATTTTATTTATCGCATGCCGGCCCTGCTCATGCTCGTCCCCTTTTTCGTCGCCGGCTTTTAGCTCCTACTATCACTGCGGACTACCTACTACTATATTAATATCGGCATTACCTGCGCCTGCACCGTTCTGCCCTGCCCTTATTGACTCTTCTCGAGCTACGACTTGGCTTCCTTCTCACAAAAGTTCTTCACATGTAGGTCCTGTCGCTCGTCTGTATTTGATTTTATCTTATTTCATTTCTTTCTTCCTTCCTTCTTCGCTTGTTCAACTCTCTCTCGTCCCCCTCTATCCACTAATTGTATCTTGACCAATTCATCAAGCTAATCAACCCTGCCCTAGAACCACATGCCGCACGCCGAACAAGACGCAATGGGCGACACTCCGGTCAACGGCGAGCAGCCTCACTCTTACTTCTTTGACGTACGTTCTCCGGGGATCCCGGGCCTTGGTGTAACCGCTGACAATTCTCTAGCATCTGACGTCGTACCCTGTGGTTTCTGACTCGATCACCGTGTTCAAGAGCAACAAATACGGCGCAAAGTCCCTGGCATATGCCGACCAAGGCTACGTCTATATCGCCAAGCCGTTCATTCCCTATCTATCCAAGCCCTACGGCTTCGTCGCCCCCTACGTTGCTCGTGTGGATTCGCTCGGTGACCTGGGCTTGACCAAAATTGACTCGACCTTCCCCTTCATCAAGCAGGACACGGAGACCCTCAGGGCCACGATCCACGACGGGGCATACTTCCCCGTGCGCTTGGTTGGCGACGCCAAAGTCCATGTCTTCGACCTCTACGGCTCGGAGTACAAGAAATGTGGCGGCGACGGAGTGCTGGCGCGTGGCAAGGCCGTGATCACGACCAGTCTGGTGCTGGGACAGGAGTCGCTGGGCTTCGTCAGCTCTCTGCTGCAGAAGAAGAAGGCGCAGGTCAAAGATGCAGTCAACGACCGAAAGGAAAACTAGACGCTCGTGAGTCGCTCGGGCGCAGCTTGACACTTCCAGGTTGGGGTACTACTATTGCGGGTGCTGCGGTTTGCTTCTAGAAAGTTATGGTTCTGGCCGGCCCTCCTCTTTTGACGGTTCCATGTTGTCTCGAGAAAGCAGGTGTTTTTGATTTTTCACAAGCTTATTGGCGTTTTCTCGGTAGCGCTCTGATTGGATTCTGCGTTGTCTATTGTCACGGGTGTGTAAGGTAGTAATAATGGATTGCCTGTTTGCTTCCGACCCTCCTTAATTTGCAATTCCTTGGTCTTTCATGTGAAGTGTTTCGGTGCTGCAGGGGTCCCCAGGCCTGATTCCAAGGGAGACACAACAGTTCGTCGCAATCGATAGGTTGGATTAATTCCGCCCCGTCGACTGATTCGTGCAGGCTTGACATGTGATTCTGGCTTGGCATCCCATGTGATTTCCACTTCCGGCTAAATCATGTTGGATCCACTTGGGGCAGGCGGCGCGTCTGGCGCGTCAATCAATCAATCAATCATTCCTTCATCACCATCACGGATCCAAATCCAATAACCTGCGCCGGTCTAATCTTGCAGCCTGTCCTTCAACACATCAGGATGCCTCTCATTCGCAAACGTCGAGCAGTACGCTCCTCCCACCCCTCCCACCTCTCCTTGACAAAACCATCAAAGAAAACTCGCTAACTGTTATCTCCGGCCTAGCAGCCAGAGCCTGCCGAAGACTCTGCCTCACCCGAGCCTGACAGCCATGTATCCGCCGAAAATGCGCGCCGTCGCAGACGTACAGATAATGCCTCGTCCGATAGCGAAGACGGGGAGGATGACGACGCGCGCGCGCCGAGTAGCACCGACGTGACGGTGAAGAAGTTGGTCCGCCTGGCGCTCGCAAGCGAATACTCTCGACTTCCAATCCGAAGAACCGACATCGCCACCAAGGTCCTGGGGGATCAAGGGTCGAGACAGTTCAAGACGGTGTTCAATGCCGCACAGGAAGCTCTACGCACGTCGTTTGGGATGGAGTTGACCGAACTGCCGGTGAAGGAGAAGGTATCGATTCAGCAGCGAAGAGGTGCGCACTATCCGTGTTTTGACGTGAATGGGGGTGGTCGTCGTACAAGTCCGTAATTTACTAATGCCTTTGATCTAGCGGCCCAGAAAGTCGAACGGACCTCGTCGAGTAACAAGTCCTGGATCCTGACTAGTACGCTACCTGCCGCTTATCGGAAGCCTGAAATCCTACCCCCCACCAAAGCACCTTTGGAGGGCACCTACACCGGGATCTATTCTTTCATCATAGCATTAATTCTCCTCAACGGGGGCTCTCTCCCGGAACAGAAGCTCGATCGGTACCTGCGACGGACTAATGCCGAGACGTACACGCCCGTTGACCGTACAGACCGGCTTCTGCAGCGCCTCTGCAAAGAAGGCTATCTGGTGCGGGTTCGCGAAATGGACGGCGGAGAAGAAGTGATTGAGTACATGGTCGGCCCGCGGGGCAAAATGGAGGTTGGCGCTCAGGGCGTGGCTGGCTTGGTGCGTCAGGTGTATGGCCGCCAGGATCCCCGGGAAGAGGATACCACACCCGCCGAGAGAGCGCAGATGGAAGAGTTCGAGCTCCGATTGGCAAGGAGTCTCGGGCTCCGGAAACCTTCGCGGCGGGTGGACGAAGACCGGACTGGGGATGAAAACGGGGCAGATACTCCGCAACGAGGGCAAACGCAACGACAGTCTCAGCGGCAGGCTGCAGAATCTGACGAGGAGGACGAGAGCGATTGATTGATTGATTGAGACATACATTGGATTTATTGTATTTAGCCATGTTTGCCTATTGATACCCTGGTTGAATGGAAGGTACTGCAACATTTATGTTTGTTGAATAACCGATCATAAAAGCTGTGTCCACTGCATACTGTGAGGCAGGTCTACGTCAGGCCGTGTTCCTCGAGGCACTACTGGTAATCCGGTATCCATATCTGACTTGAGCGGATGGTTCCTGGCATTCCGCCAATTCAACTAATGTATCTAGATACACCACTCTGTTGCTGCTCAAGAAGAGAAGAGAAAATAAATAAATGGCTAACAGAAAATGGAAGCAGATAGTAAGCAGTGTACACTATACGCTAGTAATACAAATGTGATTCGGTTACTTCGGTCTCGATTTGACTACATATATATATATATAGCCAAGCACCCTATTATTAACCCCGAAATGAAAAATACCTTATATAAACTCCCCAACAAGGCCTACATGAACCACCATTTTCAGGAATCTACAATACAATTGGCCGGGAACCTGCACTCGATATCGACATGTCAACGCTCGAAATATCATTCAACCAATACATCGAGCGTTATGTATTGCGAAAGAAAAGAAACGAAACCAAAAAAAAGCCATTCATCACGGTCGTATATCTATGGGAAAAGAGAGTGAGAAAGAGACAGAAAGAAGATGTGATACAAGGTCACGGCTATACGATCCCTGCGTTCTTTTACTCGCTGTCACTAGCGCTGCCATGAGCAGAGCCGTTGTCCGCATCTTCTCTCAGACCCTCGGCGAGGACGTACTCGGCGCGCTGTAGAGTCGACTTGATCTCCGGGTTGTTGTACACAAGCTCGGCGGGCTTCTGTCCGTGCTTGTTTCGGACCCGGGGGTCGCATCCAGCTTCGCACATCATACTGATCATTTCCAGGCCTAGCTCGGGATCCTTATCGTTGGCGTAGCGCACGGCGACGTGGAGAGGGGTGTCTTTGTCGAGGCGGGTGAGAGGGTCACATTCGAAGTATTGGATATCGAAGAGAGAATCCATGGTGTCATCTGCAATAGCACCTAGTTAGTTAAGATCCCCCCAGTTGATCCCGCAAAGCTAGTAATCGTCACATTCAGCCCGGCAAGGCAAGACGCGCGATCCACAAGACCTACAGCTTCCGTATGTCGCACAGATGTGCAGGGCATGGTTCCCTAATGGGTCCGTCACGCCGTTGAAGAACTCGGCCACTTGTTCGTTCGATTTCCCTTCCATGCCCTCGAGAACCTGCTCAATCAAATGGGGCTGGTCCCGTCGACAGGCTTCCACCACCAGCTCACGAGGAGAGGCACCCTAATCGATCAATTCCTGGTTCCCGAACTAATATAACGTAGTAAGGCGAGACTTACATCGTCCGCCATGATAGCTGATCGAAGAGAGATGATTGCTAGAGAAACGAGTACCGGGATGTGCTCTGGAATTGACCCCAGTTGTTGAGGGTATGCAAGAAAGTATCACGAAGATGTCGGAAGGTAGTATGAGTCGGGTTCAACTTGAGGGAGTTGTTCGGTGATCAGAAGACGCGGTGTGTTATGGCGGGAGTACCGGAAAGCACGAGCTATTGGAATAGGAGGTAAGTATACGCAGAAGCGGGATGACAAGAAATCAAGCAACCACAGATCCTTGAAGATTGCTATACGTACCAGACTGGCAAAAAGGGGGAGGGGGAAACTAGTTAGCCCGTGTTGGTCTGACCTCTCTTAGGGGTTCTTTCGGGGCTCCGTAACAATGCGTTGCCTATTATTAGGAACTGGCAGTATGGACCGGACCCCCCGCTGCCAGTCGGAGAACCGCACGGCTCCCGCTCGGATGATTGATTGTGCCGTTCCGCCTCGCCTGCCCCGCGTCCAATGTCAGAAGCCGCGCGGAAGGGCGGTAAGGCGGTAAGGCAGGAAGGCGGTGAGCCTGATTTTCTCTCCGCCAACAGCAGGTGGCCGTTTGATAAGGGCAGGAGAGGACGCATGCGCCCTTGCTGCACGACAGTAGACGCAAGCACAAGCGGTCCTCCCGTCGCTTCATGCGAGTGATATGTGATATATGAGCCATTGCTATTTCATGTCTGACTAATAAGCTTCCATTGACGGACTCTACCCAGCCGCTACACCCGTTTCAACAGTAACGAGGGACAAAATGCCTTTGACCTGTGAGTCTTTCCTGGACACATCCGACCATGTTTTTGTTTCAGCATAGGATCGCTAACGCATATTCATCCAATGAATAGTCTGTCCCAACTGCAGCAATGCGCTGACCATCTCGCGAGGGGAAGCAACCTCAAGGCATCCTCTCGGAGCTAACCGATTCGAATGCCGGACCTGCCCTTATCAATACGTTCTCGAACAGAGCTGGTATGAGAAGACGCCCATGAAGCAGAAGGAGGTCGAGGACGTTTTCGGGGGCAAGGAAGAATTTGCAAATGCGGATAGCATGGCCAGTAAGTTTTTGGGCATCTCCGAGGTCTTGGGCCTGTTTGGGAGGCATGGACTGACGTGCCGTTCTTTTCTCCCTTACCTACAGCGCAATGCCCCGCAGAGAACTGCAATGGCGAACGTGCATACTTTTTCCAGCTGCAGATTCGAAGTGCCGATGAACCTATGACTACGTTCTTGAAGGTGGGTGCTTCCTCTAGTCTAGCTCATGCGGGTAGGCTTTGCATTGACCACGCATACTGATCATTGCCAACAGTGTACTTCGTGCGGTGCCAGATGGAGAGAAAACTGAGATATTCGTGGGTGGATGCGATACTACGGCTATATACTGACGGCTGAAGGATTTCGATCAAGACGAGTGGTGAGCAATGAGAGGAATTGCTGGCGTAGAATATCGCTGTCATTGTCAAGGGTGTTAAGAATTTGGGTGTGATTTACACGGAGCTTAGAGATACCCCTCAATTGTTATGATCAACATTATTTTTATGATAGTAATTGCTATGCCTATCTACCACTGATGGTTACGTAGTTACGGAGCCAGTTAGATCAAGCGTACTCCGTAGTAAAAATTTTTTGTTAGTGGCGGCAGATAATCATCAGTTTTGGATTGGGTGAACAACCGTGGTAAGCTTGTGCGTCTGGACCGGAGAAAAAAAATTCTATTTTTTGCCTCTCGAGTATTTTATGGCGGAAACGGGTAAGTCGAGGGCAAAAAAAAAAAAAAAAAAACAAAAAGACAGAGGAAGATTCCGCCTGGCGAGAAATTGGATAGTACGGAGTAAGTGCCTCATACAGCCCTCTTTTTTTATTCCTTTACATTTTTAATTTATAATTTTTTGTTCTCACCGTACTCCTTGGTGAGCCTTTTTTTTATTTTCTCTTTTTTATTTTGAAAAGTTTTCGTTGTCTTATTGTTTATGTAGGCTAAGGAATACGGAGCACGTTGACCTCATATCTCGAAAAAAAAATCCCACATGTGGATCTGGCGGGCGCATACCACCGCTGCTTTGGCAAAATTAATGGCCGTCACGGACAAATAGAAAAAGTTGGCGGCCGCGGGGTTCTGTTGCAAACAAGGCCAACACCCGCCGAAACTAAGCAGCCCACCTCTGCGTTGATGCCCAGTCTTCCAGTCCAAAATCCACCCGGAGGATGGGAAGAGGCCAAAAAAAATTTTCTTTGTACTCCGTAAGGTGGCCGCAAGTGGGGACCAAATTCGGCGCACCGAGCGAAATCGACCCAAGGACCCAAGAAAAAAAAAGTAGGATCACCGCGCAACAAAGCAGCGTCGAGCGACTCCGCCGTGAAGATTCTGCGCTGGTCCCGCACCTGCGTGGTGGGGCATTACCCCTCCATGTCCAATGATAAGGGCCCCTCGCCAAGGGTTTGAGCCCGCCCGCTAACTTAGTCAGCCACCTGCTCGCTTGCCCCTCCATATAAGGATTTCCCCTCCTCCCCTCCCACAGACTTTTTCCTCTTCCCTCCCCGTCCGCTTCAGTACGTATATCATCCCCTCCCTCTTGGGTTTCCTCTCTGTTTCCTTTCTTTCTCGTCTCATCCTCTCTTCTAACTTACCTCTTTGCTCAGTACCTCTACGCGAGAAGCCGTAGTCTCTGAGCAAGTTTTAAAGAACTCTTCTAGTATCTTACAAAGAACTACAAAAGTTCAGCACATCCAGCCAAAATGGGGTAAGTTCTCGAGTGCCCGTGAAAATTCTGCCGGCCTCGTCGGTCCTCTCATCAAACGACATTATGCTAATGACTTTCTTCTCTCAACAGTAAGGAGGACAAGACTCACATCAACATCGTCGTTATCGGCCACGTCGATTCCGGCAAGTCGACCACCACCGGTCACCTCATCTACAAGTGCGGTGGTATCGACCAGCGTACCATCGAGAAGTTCGAGAAGGTAAGGACCTTACCTGTCCCTTCTATCGGGAGACATACCCCGTCTCAACACAAAACATTGATGCTAACTGTATCGCCTTATAGGAAGCCGCCGAGCTCGGTAAGGGTTCCTTCAAGTACGCTTGGGTTCTTGACAAGCTCAAGTCCGAGCGTGAGCGTGGTATCACCATCGACATTGCCCTCTGGAAGTTCCAGACCTCCAAGTATGAGGTCACTGTCATTGATGCCCCCGGTCACCGTGACTTCATCAAGAACATGATCACTGGTACCTCCCAGGCCGATTGCGCTATCCTCATCATTGCCTCCGGTACTGGTGAGTTCGAGGCTGGTATCTCCAAGGATGGCCAGACCCGTGAGCACGCTCTGCTTGCTTTCACCCTCGGTGTCAAGCAGCTCATCGTTGCCCTCAACAAGATGGACACCTGCAAGTGGGCTGAGGACCGTTACAACGAAATCGTGAAGGAGACCTCCAACTTCATCAAGAAGGTCGGATACAACCCCAAGGGTGTTCCCTTCGTCCCCATCTCCGGTTTCAACGGTGACAACATGCTTGAGCCCTCCCCCAACTGCCCCTGGTACAAGGGTTGGGAGAAGGAAGGCAAGTCCGGCAAGGTCACCGGTAAGACCCTGCTTGAGGCCATCGACGCCATCGAGGCCCCCGTCCGTCCCTCCAACAAGCCCCTCCGTCTTCCCCTCCAGGATGTCTACAAGATCTCCGGTATTGGAACTGTGCCCGTTGGCCGTGTCGAGACCGGTATCATCTCCCCCGGCATGGTCGTCACCTTCGCTCCCTCCAACGTCACCACTGAAGTCAAGTCCGTTGAGATGCACCACCAGCAGCTCAAGGAGGGTGTCCCCGGTGACAACGTTGGTTTCAACGTCAAGAACGTTTCCGTCAAGGAAGTCCGCCGTGGAAACGTCGCCTCCGACTCCAAGAACGACCCCGCTGCCGGCTGTGCCAACTTCACCGCCCAGGTCATCGTCCTTAACCACCCCGGTCAGGTCGGCGCTGGATACGCCCCCGTTCTCGACTGCCACACTGCCCACATTGCTTGCAAGTTCGCTGAGCTCCTTGAGAAGATTGACCGCCGTACCGGAAAGTCCGTCGAGTCTTCTCCCAAGTTCATCAAGTCTGGTGATGCTGCCATCGTCAAGATGATTCCCTCCAAGCCCATGTGTGTTGAGGCCTTCACTGAGTACCCCCCTCTCGGTCGTTTCGCCGTCCGTGACATGCGTCAGAGTAAGTTCTTCCTGCAGCCTTGCAGCGCCACCAACCTTGTGCTAACCTATTATCCCAGCCGTCGCTGTCGGTGTCATCAAGGCCGTCGAGAAGGCTACCGCCTCTTCCGGCAAGGTCACCAAGGCCGCCCAGAAGGCCGGCAAGAAATAAATTATTTAATTTATTCACGACGAAAGTTGATAAAAGACCGGAATGGAATTAGATATGAGTATGTAGAACTCCTGCATACACGAAATGAATTTCTGATTGCTTTCATGCAACCTCTTATCCTTGTTCATCTCTTGTAAAAATCTGTTTCCCAATCGTAGACTGAGTGTAGCTTTACCATTCTGAAAGTCGTACTTGTGAAGATAATTTTCCGCTGGGTTGTGGTCCGCTCTTGGCAGATGGAGGGGCTGCCCGCCCCCTCGAAATTTTCTCGCAGGTGTCACTGTTCCCTACTTTTAGTCCACAGACATCACAGCTGTGAAAGCTTCTCCGGTCTCGCTCGGAGTAAGTAGTATCTTCAAGCAGATCTAAACAATGACTTTTTCTTTCTATATATATAATTCCTAGGGCAATAGCTTAAGTGTTTATATATATCGTTCGATCATTCGCTGAACTGAGCCAAAAGAGTTTTGATACTTGTGCATGAATAGTTTGCACTGACAGTAAGTATATTATGTGAAAACATTGGAAAGATCTGTACTGGGTATGAATGGCTCTATCAAGTCATCCCGAGTTAAATATTCGTGGTCTTTTATCTATCGTTACTCTTAGTTAACCAAAGTCTGACAACAATTATTGTCCAGTTATATATAGTTGGCCGGATGCTAGGTAGATGGTTGCCCGTAAAACGGCTTGCCTTCCAACGTTGTTCTCACAATATGGATAGTGATTCAGATTTTTAGAAAAGAAAGGGAAAAAAAAAGGAAACAAAGGGGCTGCATATATTACTGAATGTGCTTTCATCCCAGCAGGACAGAGTAGACTCGTTGGATTTCATGATGATGTCACTATGTGTATACCCAAACTCTTTTTGCCTGAGGCAGGAAAATGCTTTGGCCCCCAATCTCAGACATTCCTTCCAAGAGATCTCACCTTTGTCTGCAACGTCAATTGTCGCAGTACGTGCTAGGACAAGTCTCTTCATCATGAGTCCTCAGTTTTATGCGAACACGCTTGAGCCTGTTGAGACCACGCCGGGGAGTTTACAGAAGACACTCACGGAATTACTCGTGGCCGTGAGACGTGGTGTTGATGTAGTTCAGCAGGGTAGCCCTCCCTCGGAGGACTGGGGCAGCTCTGGTCTATACACAGGGCCTGCAGGTAGGTTATAGCGAGGTGGCCTTTGGTGGGGGAAGTGGGTTGGTTTTTGAGTGAAGAAAGTTGTCGATGCATTTTACTATACAAACGTTGCCCTGCTAACTAATGACGTTGTTTCAATCAAGGAATCGCACTCGGTTTTCTTCGACTAGACCATCAAAGCGCATCGTTAGCAGAGCCTGGCGAACTCTCGATTGATTTTGGTGGGATCGCTCGAGAGAGAATCCCGTCTCACGGGCCGAATATCAAATTGCTACCGGGAAGGCTATCGCCCGTCGGGTCGTCTTCTCCGCTAGCAGCAGTTGTCATGCGTATTCTCGCGGCGGCTTCTTATGGCGATAAAGTTAATGCGGATGATATTGAGCTTCTCCGAGAAGCGGTCAAAGCTGCTCTTCAGAATGGTCTTCTTGTTCCCCATGGAGGACGGATGATGGGAGGAGACGAGGTTTTGTTCGGTAGGGCAGGGCTACTATGGGCAATCTTGAATATTCGAGAGCATGAATTCGATGAGCAAACAAGGGCATCCCTGCAGCCTATCTTTAACGCTGTTCCCAACCTTATCGATACGATAGTTGACGCTGGAAGACGGGGCCGGACGGCCTATGTCGAGAAGCACGGCAGCGAAGACGCTCTTCCTCTTATGTGGACCTGGATGGAAGGTCACTACGGGCTGGGACTGTAAGTGACGGAAGAGACAGAGTTAGACAAAGTACTAATTCGATGGAAAATTTAGGGTTCACGGACTGAGTATGTACATGTGCACCTGCGGCTACAGCAAAGAGAGTGATCATATTCTGTGAAACTAATGTTTTCATAGCTGGCATCCTCGCAGTTCTTCTCGCCTGCAGGCCGTCAGAGCTCAACGATGGCACCTCGCGAGATTACCTTCCCCTGCTGGCGGGCACCGTCACCCGTATTTGCGAAATATGCATTGCTAATGGCGGCCACCTCCCTGTGGCTATACCCCCTCGCCATTCCTCATCTCACCGACCTTCCCATCTGGTCCAAATCTGCCATGGTGCCCCAGGAGTGCTTCTCCTCATGGCCTGCGCAAGGAGGAACAGACACCTAGTCTCCAAATTCTGGGAGCCTACTTGGGACGAGTCTATCCGGCTGGCTAGCGAGAGAACCTGGGAAGAAGGCCTGCTTCAGAAAGGGGGTTCCATCTGCCACGGAATCTCTGGGAATGCGTGGCCATGGCTGCTTCTGCACGACAGTTTCGAATACGATATCGACACGATAGAAACCGCCAAGCGAAACTACGTGGAGAGAACCCAACTGACCGACAAAATATACACCGAATATGAGCTGACCGGAGACTATTTCTTGTCACGAGCGCTGGCATTCTTGCTTCATGCTCGCGATACGCCCCCATACAACATGTCTTCCGATACCTATCGTGTTCCCGATCACCCATTCTCCTTGACAGAGGGATTGGCGGGCACTGTTTGCGCATGGGCTGATGCATGCGTTGCTACCCAGATGAAACTACGGAAAATAGAATTAACAGCTCAGGGGTCTATCTCAGAGGTCGCTCTCAAGAGAGATTCCGTCTTTCAAGAGCTCGAGAGCCGTCAACTAGGGTTTCCAACTCTTGCGTACCATAGACCTACTGGTTTGCTCTAAGGTGGTATTCATCTACCAGGATATGTGGGACGAAAAAAAAAAAAAAAAAAAAAAAATGAAAATAGAAGGAAGAGACGGGGGGGAGGAATGATATGAAGTTAAAATTGCACGCTCAACTCGCTAGAGAGGGAGACAAAAAAGGGATATATACATGCTATGCACCGAAATTCGAATACTTCAAGAAAAAGAGAAAAGAATGTAGTCCCACACGCCTGGTCTGGAATCTCTGGTTTCTTCCCGAGAGAATTTGCTTCCAAGGAGCGCATGACTTAGTATAAAGTAAAGCCTGTTCGATACATTGGTGGTTGACCTGGGATTTCCGTTCGATACTCGATGCGTTTCGGCACAAAGTCGCCGGGGGGTGCCTCAACTGCAACCCTCCAGCGACGCCAGCAATGATTCGTCTGATGATGAGGATCCCCGCAGAATGTACAGCGGGGCCCTGCTGACTTTTTAAGGTGATTCTGCGATCTCGGCTCGGGCTGACTTTGGCTGCGATTCCTCGGTTTTTGGGGCTCGTTGTTCCGGCGCATCTGATGGATCACGTAGTCGTTGATTTCTTCCTGACTTGGATTTTTATTGTGCCCGCGTACAGTATGCCGGCGACGTGGATACCCGTCCTCTTGGCTCATCTGCTGCACGACGAATGCATTTATGTCATCCTGGGTGACATCCTCCGGCACGGTGGGGATGTTGGATGGGGGTGGCCCGATTGACAGCGGCTCGTCAGGTAAAACCTTTCGGGTTTCATATCGGCCCTTGCCCCCTCGGAGGACCCTCTCATGGTCGATGGCTAGCTCCGACAGCTCCTGAAACGTCATCCTGTGCTCCGGATTCGGGGCGTTGATTCGATTATCGCGGAGCATCGTCGTGGCCCACTCGTCCCATTCCGACCGCGCTTTCAGCTTTGTCAGGAATAGAGTGTTGATCTGAGAGTCCGGAATATTGAAATCATCGTCTATCTGAGTGAGACCCTCCCGCATCGCCTGGATAAGCGAGATGAAATCGGCAACCAAATCGGATTCGGCGGAATCGAAATCAACAAACTCGCTGATTTGATGGATCATACGCATATTCCGCTGCCAGGCATCCATCTCCGCAAATGATAGAGGAGACACGGGAAGGAACAAAGGCCTTGGGGTGTTCTTGCGTCCGAGAAGGAGGGGGACGCTAAAGAAGAGGGAATCTGACCGTCAGCTTTTGGCGGTTGGTTTGTTTGTTGCATGCAAGGCGTGACGTCATGTGAGACCTGCGCCTTATGTAATGCGTGCATTTAGTGTCGTCTGTCCGGAGTAGATCCGTCTCCATCTGCAATTCTGATCCGATACTACGGAGCATCTTCCATCGAGTCCTTTTTTACTTGAATCTCTCTACTATCAGCTGCCTATCAAATCCCGTTACCAGCCCTCGAATCCCTCGCACTCTGTGCCATGTGGTTGGCATGTCACAGCCTATGAGCGTCCGCTGCGAACACGAGGAGTGGCAAGGCTAAGTCGATCCTGGTGATGATGGACACCCTTGGGGCCATTTTCTTAGCCCAGCCGAGTCCGCCTTCTCTCGGGAACAACTATTTTCGCCACTATTTATTTAGCTTCTAAGCTTCTCCGGACGTGACGTTGTTGGGAGCTAGAGGGCCATTCTCCGATCACTGGTTTTACGCTGTCATGCCGCCATAAATTTCGTGGATTTTTTTTTACAGCATTCGACTGAGGAAAAGATGGATATCGTGCCTCCATCCTATCAGTCGGCAACGACGAGGGATGCGTGGTCTATCATTGCTCGCTATATCCCATCTAGCGATTTGTGTGCGGCTGCTCTAGTATGTCAGAGATGGCACGAACTGTTCATGCCGTTTCTCTGGGGGGATCCAGCCTCTCATTTTGGGACCGATAATGACGCCGTGTATGGTAAGAGTCGACAGAAGACCAGTGTACATTCGATCCCGCAACTTTCACTAATCAACGCTATCAACTACAGTCGCTCTTACGAGATTCAGGAGAACTTTGAAGTATGCAAGACTTGTAGTGCGCATGTTGACACATACCCTTCACCTTCCTCCAGCCCTGTCTGAAATATACGGGGGCCCGCGACCCGAGTGGCTGAAGGAGGTCCTCCATTATCTCCCCAACCTGCAATCATTGGTCGTGTCCAAACTGCCTTTCTTCGACCATAATGCAATGATGGCTTTGAAAGGTACCACCAGAAGTGAACAACAAGCCGACTCTGCTGTCTCCAATGCATACAATATCCGCCTATTGCTAGCGGATCGGGAGCCCAACACGACTTCACAGGGTCTTGCGGAGGCACTGTTGCGGTTCCAGGAATTGATATATCTTGATTTATCATATACCACACCAGCTCGAGATCGTATGGTTCTATCCACGTTGTCTCAATTGGAACATCTCCAGGTGCTAAAACTGCGAGGTATTGGTTTGAAGGATAGCGATGCAGAATTTCTAGCCAATGCTGTTGGGTCGAGAGTCCGATTTTTGGACTTGCGCGGTAACATGCTGACCGACATGGCCGTACGATCTTTGCTACAGGCATCTTTCCTCATCGCGGGTGATGCAGTGGTCGGTCCCAACGGAGATGCGACAAACACGGGGACGTTTAACTCGTTTTCCCACCTGACACCGTCGTTCTCGAACTCAAAGTGGCTGAGCTCTTCAAATTTGGACGAACAATTCGTGAAAGCACTGACACAGCCTTTGACGGGCCGATCGTGGGTTGAGGGTCTGACACATAGTGGCATCACGCACCTCTATATAGCTGATAACCAGATTACCGTGGAAGGCGCTGCAAGTCTTCTAGCTTCGTCTAGGCTACATGTGCTAGACGTGGGCACGGTAGATACCGTGGAATCTCTCACTCGAGGGCCAAGCTCCATACCTCCACAATCTGGTGAAGGCCCCCAAGAGCTTCCTGGAGCTGAAAAATTGATACCGGTTCTTGGATCCGCTGCCCGGGAGAACCTGACTTACCTGAGAGCGCACCATGTCATATGCACAAATGACAACCCGTACAAAGAGTCTGTTTCGCTAAATTGCTTTTTGCCCGAACTACCAGCTGAAACCGAAACCGATACGGCGGACCAGCAAACAGATGTAGAGCTGGATGCTGCGAATGAGATTCACGAACTTCCCGCTCAAGAGGCCCCGATATTTGAGCTTGAAGGGTCCCCAATTTCTCCATCATCGGATAGCCCTGTACATAAGCCTAGCCAGCCTATTGTCTACGAAGACGAACCATTACCACTGCGACGGCGCGGCTCTGTTTTCGCCCCCGAAGTCATCGAAGGGCCATCCGCCGCAAATAACAGCGACGGACTAGATGTGCTGAGAAGTCCCTTGTCAGTCGCCGGAATGTCTCGCGGGCTTTCGGTGTCGACTGTTTCAAATATGGAAACGTTTACGGACCAAACAGGGACGATTCCTCAATGCAATTCGCCTGTGCCAATGGAGGATTCTCGAGGCCAGATGATTCAAGAGCTGCTTTCCAAGAGGCCGAAAAATCAATCGCTTCCTCGACGTGATCACAAAGATAACAGTTTCCCATACTTACACCCTTCCCATGTCCCGCACTTAGAGACACTGGTTCTGACCGATGTCCCATCTCACCTGCCTGCGAACTCTCCCCATTTGAAATCTCTCATCCGATTTATAACCGCTTGCTCCAATGAAGCGCTACTGGCAACTCTTCAAGCGGGCTCAGACTATTCCCTCCCTCCAGGGCGGGACCGGGTGAAGGCAGAGCAGGAACGATCACGGTCACTTTTTGCTTTGCGGCGTCTGGTGCTCGAGATTACTCCCACGGAGAAGCTGACCGGTCCTGCCAGACTGACTGCTTGGAAGCCCGCCAGCTACCACACTGGGGCCTCAAAATCATCCACAGGGGACCGTGACCTTGAGAATCTCTGGACAGCATCGATGGATGACTTTAGCTTCTTCGACGAAACAGAATGTGGCATTCCCGAGAACGACCGCGGCAAGTATTTCCCAATGGCGGCGCTCAACGAGAAGGTCACTTTAATGCCCGAAGATGATGATTCGGGGGGTTCCACCCCCGTATCATCCTCTCCAGGCCTGCTCCATCGCAACTCCCCACTGCCAAAGCATATGCGATCCGACGTCGCCAGCAGGAGCTCACCCATCAACGGTACAGAACCGCCTCAAGTGGAGGAGCCGGAAGTGGACCTGGTCGCCGAGCTGGCCGCCTTCCGACGTTCCAAGAAGGTGGAATATGAAGAAGTGGTACGGCGGGATCGAAAACGGCGCAGCACGACAGGATCTGCGTCACTGCTCTCACCGTCGACATCATCGATTCGATCAGTATCCCCGTCACCAAGCCTGAGGACGATCGGACCGGTCTCAACGGCCCAGTTGTCTATGGCCCATTTCGTGGAAGGGCATTGGAAAGGAGAAGTGAAGATTGTTCGAAACGCAGCGCCCAAGGGACGGAGCGGCGTGGTGGACATGTACGGGAATTACTTCGAGAAAGGGTATTTGTATCCCTGAAGCGGAAGATGGTTATGGACTTTTCAATTTTTGCCTTAGCCAGTGATTTGCAGATGTGATACACTCGATTAGATAGACCGAACGTTGGATTTCATTGGTCTCCTGGTAATCCAGGCTCGACGGTGTGGGCCTAGGTAGAGCAGAATGATACACTCCAGATACTACGACGCGGGGTCAATTGTGTCCATAATCTTGTCATTTTCTTTTTCAGTCGTCAACTCGGCGAGGAAGTCCTCTTGTCGCCAAAGTTATCCATCATGGTACATACACAAAAGGCCTCAGGATAGGCAAATGGCAGAAGAGGGAAACCAGTCCGCCGGGACAGAGTCCTCCCAGACCGCCCCGAGTTTTCCACGGGGGAATACTCATTACCTTGCTCATAGTGGACAAGCGATGCTTAAAATGTCTTTGTTTGGTTTTAATATCGTCTCCTGCCCACGGACGACCCGTCATGCAAGCCTTCGACCCCGAAACTGAAACCCATTCATTCCATTTGAACCACGTAAGAAAGTTTGTTCAAGTTTAAAAAAAGAAACGAAAAGAAGCAACACAGAAGCCTTTTAAAAAATCATTCCATTTTTCTTCTCTGTTTTAACCTTCCTTACAAAGCCTTGTTGGCCTGAGGGGGAGCCAGCTTCTTGCCGTCCTTGTTGTACCTGATACGGGGAGGAGGGGCACGGTTGCGGCGGCCTTCCCGGGAACGGACACTGGAAAAATAACCGTCAGCTTCTAGTTGCCTTGCTTAACCTTCTCAGAGGTATCATGGAGGGGTTGCAGGAAGACGGAGGGGCGATGCGTACCGAACAATCTTGCCGTGGATAGCGCAGGAGACGCAGTACTGCAGCTTCAGGTACATCTTGGGGACGGCGTAGTCAGTGAAGACGGAGGCGTCGGAGATATCACCTGCAGTAAAGGAAAGAATCCGAAAGTCAGCCCCATTTTCTCTGGAATTCGCAATCCCCCGAATTGTCCACGCGGCGCGGCTGTGAATTCCAACAAATTCGTCTCGTCGTATGTTTCTTGTTGCTCATTTGCTCATCACATCTCTCCATGGTTTATTGGATTCCAACTCTTTTCTTTTGTTCGGAACGACAGCGCGCGCGATGGACGGTGGGATTCAAGTTGCGGGTAGAAAGGCTCGAACGTACGGATGGCAGCGGACTCAACCATGTTGCGGATGGTGAATCTCTTGATGGCCTTGTCCTTGGGGACGCAGCGAGCGCAGTTGGAGCAGCGCACGGGCTTGACGTGGCCGCGGCCGTTCTTGTTACGACCGCTGTAGAGAAGAAAGACACCGGTTAGTTTTTCAGTTCCCAGAAAGAAGAATATCGCAGGCGTCTCAATTCCGGTGCCATCTCTAGATCGGCTTCTTCCGTGCGGTTCGAATGACACAACATTGTCCCGATGGCGTAGTCGACAAAAGGTAGACACGGACGGACGGCATGAGATAGGGAAGGGATCGGTCCTTACTTGTTCGCCCTCTTCTTGACCATCTTGACGGATTTCTCTGGAACGACAGGTCAGAGAATGTACAGTCGGGGAGAAAGGGGAAGGCGCGTACTTGGCTTGTCGGGGTTGGTTGTCGGGAGGCAGGAGACTCTCGTGATAGAGTTGTGTCGGGTTTCAAGGTTGTGTGCGGCTAAGCGAGCCCTGAGGGTCACGGGATGTCTGGCTGCCTTGATGCCGTGGTGCCGTGGTGCCTTGATGCCTTACGGAGTATCCGTGTTTGCCTTACTGCCTGACCACCCCGACAATGTATGGCCTGAGGCGCTCAGCCCCATGTGATCGGGGCATTACGGTACGCCCAGAGCCGATACCGACCGTAGGTTCCTGCCCGACCCAACTAGGTACCCAGTACTTCTGCGACTAGTACTCCGTGGTAGTACCGGTAGTACCTGGACCTTACGGGTACCGTGTTTACTTTACGGTGGCCCCATCGCGATTCTCGTGACCACCAGCCAATAGTTCGCGGCCGACCCCCTGTCTGTCTTCTGATGCCTTTTGGACCTTCATCCGATTTCTTCGATCGTTCGACCTTGCGTTGACTCGCATTGGGTTTCATTGCAATTCTACTCTTCTCTCGCCTCGCTCTGCAGCCGTCATCCCTTCCTTCTCCCCTCGTTTTTCCCGATCCTCCCCCCCTCCTCCCTTCATTTCCTCACCGGATTCCTCCACCCCCCCCTCCCATTCTCCAGTTCGGTGACATGTCGGCGACAGGTACTTATAGGGGAACAACCAGCCACAAGACTGTCGGTCGAGGCAGGCTGCCCGACTTCGAGAACGGTCCGCAATCCCACATCCCTCGTCCTCGCCCGGACAGTTCTTCAACAATTCAGACACCGCATACCCCCTCCAGCGATATTGGGAGTTCCACCATGAGTGCCGCCAGTAGCCGACAGCGACAGAACCAGTCGAAGCGCGATGAGGTATGCCATCTATCCTGTTCCCCCTGCCCAACCTCGGGTGCCTTCGTTTACCGCCAGTTCGTTCGTTGAAGTTTTTCCCGCTCGCATTTTTGGATTTTCACTTTGTCATTTTGATTCTTTTCCCCTCTAAAAGAAAAAAGAGAGAAAATCAAAGTTTTGTTTTCAATTCAATTCGATTTCCTGTTCACTTTCGTGATCCCCTTCTGTTGTTCATTCCTCCATGACAAGCAGCCATGTGATTCAAAGCTATGAAACCACCTGGGTCAACTCTAATGCATTGGAAACCAGGCGATCCGTCGAAAGTTGGAGGCCGACCTCAACAAAAAGAGGCATAATCCCGCCCGTGCCAATCGGTCTCGAAAGGCCCCTCCCGGTACCGTGCTTGCCTTGAAACCGAGCCAGGCCCTTCAGATCAAGCCGAACACCACTATCGCCGAAGCCGCTCAGTTGATGGCTGCCAAGCGGGAGGACTGCGTGCTGGTTACCGACGATGATGATCGAATCTCCGGTATCTTCACCGCGAAGGATCTCGCTTTCCGCGTGGTGGGCACCGGACAAAAGGCGCGAGAAATCACGGTCGCCGAGATTATGACGAAGAACCCGTTGTGCGCCCGGACGGACACCAGTGCTACGGATGCCCTCGACCTGATGGTCAGGAAGGGATTCAGACATTTGCCGGTTATGGACGAGAACCAGGATATTTCGGGTGTCCTCGACATCACCAAGTGCTTCTACGATGCGATGGAGAAATTGGAGCGCGCCTACAGCTCGTCCCGGAAACTCTACGATGCTCTGGAAGGTGTACAGACGGAACTCGGCTCGAGTCAGCCCCAGCAGATCATTCAGTACGTTGAAGCGTTGCGTTCGAAGATGTCCGGACCTACTCTTGAGACGGTCCTGGACGGCATGCCCCCGACCACGGTCTCAGTCCGTACGACTGTGAAGGATGCTGCGGCCCTGATGAAAGAGCACCACACCACCGCCCTGCTGGTGCAAGATCAAGGATCAATCACTGGTATCTTCACTAGTAAAGATATCGTCCTCCGTGTCATTGCTCCCGGCATGGACCCGGCCACCTGCAGCGTCGTTCGGGTGATGACGCCGCACCCTGATTTTGCTCCCAGCGACATGAGCATCCAAGCTGCGCTTCGCAAGATGCATGGTCCGTATTCCGCAACCCGGTGATGGATTTGATAGTGATGACTAATCGGATTTATTTAGATGGCCACTACCTGAACCTGCCAGTTATGAACGAGGGTGGAGAAATCGTGGGAATGGTGGATGTGTTGAAGCTTACCTATGCTACCTTAGAACAGGTTAGTACACCAAGAAAGAACCGGACGTCGCCATAGGCTTCGCTAACACCTGCAATTCTAGATCAACTCGATGGGAACCCATGATGACGAAGGTCCCGCATGGAACAAGTTTTGGTTGTCTATGGACCACGAGTCGGACTCGATGGTCTCGGGCAGCCAGCAACAAACCCATAATCGGTCAGTGCTGAGTCCTGAGTCTCCGAAAGTTAGTTATGACGCCCGAGACAGCGTGCTCCCGAACGAGTCGGCCTCCCACCACGGGGATGAGCACTCGGAGTTTATCGAACATCATCATTCGGAGCTTGCGCCGTTCCCCTTCAAGTTCAAGGCACCCAGCGGTCGTGTCCACCGGGTCAACGTTCTCCAGGCAGCTGGCGTTGCTGATCTGGTCGCTCAAGTCTCGGCTAAACTGGGCCACGAGGTAGAGGCGGTCGGAGGTGCGGCCATCTGCGAAGACGGAAAGTTGAGCAACACAGGCTACGCTTTGAGCTACATGGATAACGAGGGCGACACCGTTTCGATCACCACCGATCAAGATCTTGCCGATGCCGTGACCCTTGCGCGACAATCGCGTCGGGACAAAGTTGATCTCTTCGTCCACGATCCTACACAACCCCCAATTCCCGCTACTGTGGAGCCGCAGCCTACGCCGGCCAAGCCTGTGGAAGAGAAGATCACTCCTATCTCCGAAGAGCCGTCGGTTGAGGAGCCCATTGAGCCGAAGCAGCGGTCTCAGAGCTTCCAGTCGCAGCACCAGGAGGAGCAGTTTATCGCCGGCGTTCCCAACGACCTGCTCCTACCCGGCGCGATTGTGACGTTGGCCGCAGTCATTGCGGGTGTGTTTGTGCTCAGTCGAGCCACTGCACGGTAATTGAAGGATATATACCCTCCGACAGGAGTCCAGGGTCCGAGGATGGCGGAAGACAGGGAACCTTGTATTTTTTTTTCTCTCTTCTTTTTTCGTTCGTGTCGATTGACTCTCTCGATCCCTTCAGCATTTTCTTCTCTACTTTTGATCTTCTCTGTACCCCTCGTAGCGTTTTCTTCATTCAATTTCCCTTCGGACCAGTGCGTCTTGGCCTAATATATACATGTTAAAGACCCGGGGTTTAGAATACCTTGTTGTATGCGTACTAGCAGGAATATACACAACCGATCCTTTCTATTGTTCACCGGCGTTGCTCTCTTTGGAAATCCATGTAGCTTCCCTGAAGTTCACTTGCGGTAGTGCCTGGGTGCCTGCCTGGGTGCCTGAGTGCCTTGTGGCCTGACTGCCTGACTGGCGGGCGCGGCCCAAAGCGGACTAGTGCGGCGGTGCCTCGAATGGCTGGAATTTTTTGGTTGGACTTTTGGACTTCATCCCACATCCTTTATTCCCTCTCCCCCTCCCCCTTCCTCCCAGCACCGCTACTCCGGCTGGGATGCTGTGCCTGCATTAATCCCCTGCCTCGAATTGAGTTCTCGTCTTTGAATCCCTCCGACCTCCTCGACTGCCGAGGGCCGTCTTATCGTCTATTTCCCTCTCGATCACCCCCACCAAAACAATAGTATCCCAAAAATTTCCCATTTAACGCCCTACCCCACTTACCACCTCGGACTCAGCGCCGAACCCCCGTGTCTTCTATCTCGTTTCACCACCGGGATCTTTTGACCGTCGACCCCATCCGCATCGTCAGGACCTCATCGGCGCTATGTCTTTGCTACCTCCCGAAGTTCACTCGGCGCTCTCGCAGCTGCTGCGCGCGTTGACCACCGCCGATAACACGATCCGTGCTCAGGCCGAAGAACAGTTGAACAATGATTGGATTTTAGCCCGTCCGGACGTGCTCTTGATGGGCCTGGTGGAACAGATTCAGGGCGCAGAGGATATCGCTGTAAGTACCCCGGTTTTTGGCTCGAAATCCCGAGCAGGAATGTCCGCCTATCCTCCGCATTCATGCCGGGGGGCCAGCTTGGGGGTGCAGTCTCTTACTCATCATGTTACTCGGCTCTGTAGACCCGGGCATTCGCCGCAGTATTGTTCAGAAGAATTGCGACCAAGACGCGAAAAGACCCCGTCACAAATGAGGCCCGGGAACTCTTCTCGACTCTTACCACAGACCAGCGCTTGGTCATTCGACAGAAATTGGTGACATGCCTGACCACCGAGTCGGCAACGGACGTGCGAAAGAAGATCGGAGATGCCGTGGCAGAAATTGCGAGACAGTACACCGACAATGGTATGCTCAACATCGACCGTCATCCTTTTATGTCCTTGAATTTCCAGCCCGGAAGTTCTTTTCCGAACTTGATGAGTGACTCTTCTAGGTGACCAATGGCCCGAGCTTCTTGGTGTTCTCTTCCAGGCAAGTCAGTCGCCCGATGCAGGCCTGCGCGAGGCCTCCTTCCGCATCTTCTCGACCACCCCCGGTATCATTGAGAAGCCCCACGAGGATGCCGTTGTGGGCGTGTTCAGCAAGGGTTTCAAGGACGACCTTGTCACCGTCCGCATTGCCGCCATGGAGGCCTTCGCTTCCTTCTTCCGCTCCATCTCCAAGAGGTCCCAGCCCAAGTTCCACTCCCTCATGCCCGAGCTGCTCAACATCCTGCCGCCGCTGAAGGAGTCGTCTGAGAGCGAAGAACTTTCGTCGGCTTTCCTGGCTCTGATTGAGCTGACCGAGATCTCGCCTAAGATGTTCAAGGGCATGTTCAACAACCTGGTCAAGTTCAGTATCAGCGTCGTTGCCGACAAAGACCTTAGCGACCAGGTCCGACAGAATGCGCTGGAGCTGATGGCCACCTTTGCCGACTACGCCCCGGGCATGTGCAAGAAGGACCCCGAGTTCGCCCGAGATATGGTGACGCAGTGTCTGAGCTTGATGACCGATATTGGAGTCGACGATGACGATGCTTCCGAATGGAACTCTTCGGAGGATGTATGTGATGTCCCCGCAACCGACTTGTGTTATTTTTATTGCTGGAGGCTGACCTTCAAAAGCTTGACCTGGAAGAGAGTGATCTCAACCATGTCGCTGGTGAACAGTGCATGGACCGTCTCGCCAACAAACTTGGTGGCCAGGCTGTGCTTCCCCCTACCTTCTCCTGGATCCCTCAGATGATGTCGTCCTCCGCCTGGCGTGATCGGCACGCCGCTCTCATGGCCATCTCCGCCATCTCGGAAGGCTGCCGCGATCTGATGATCGGCGAACTTGACCAGGTGCTGGGCCTTGTCGTTCCCGCTTTGCAGGATCCCCACCCTCGCGTCCGCTATGCGGGCTGCAACGCGCTGGGTCAGATGAGCACTGATTTCGCCGGCACTATGCAGGAGAAATACCATGCGATTGTGCTGAACAACATCATCCCTGTGCTGAACAGCGTGGAACCCCGCGTCCAGGCACACGCCGCCGCGGCTCTGGTCAACTTCTGCGAGGAGGCTGAGAGACGGGTTCTCGAACCGTACCTCGCCGAATTGCTGCGGCATCTCCTTCAGCTCCTGCGCAGCGAGCACCGCTACGTGCAGGAGCAGGCTCTCTCCACGATCGCCACGATCGCGGACTCCGCCGAGAATGCATTCGACCAGTACTACGCCACGCTGATGCCCTTGCTCTTCAACGTGCTCAAGGAAGAGCAGTCGAAGGAGTACCGTTTGTTGCGTGCCAAGGCCATGGAGTGTGCGACTCTGATCGCGCTCGCTGTGGGCAAGGAGAAGATGGGCCAGGACGCTCTGAACCTGGTGCAGCTGTTGGGCAACATTCAGCAGAACATTGTGGACGCGGACGACCCGCAATCGCAATACCTGCTCCACTGCTGGGGCCGCATGTGCCGGGTCTTGGGCCAGGACTTTGTTCCTTACCTTCCCGGCGTCATGCCCCCTCTTCTGTCGGTCGCGGCCGCCAAGGCGGACATTCAGCTGCTTGACGATGAGGACCAAATCGACCAGGTGGAGCAAGATGAGGGCTGGGAGCTGGTGCCTTTGAAGGGCAAGGTCATCGGTATCAAGACTAGCGCGCTTGAAGACAAAAACACCGCCATCGAGTTGATCACCATCTACGCCCAGATCCTAGAGGCCGCCTTTGAGCCCTACGTCTTGGAGACGATGGAGAAGATCGCCGTGCCCGGCTTGGCCTTCTTCTTCCATGACCCTGTGCGGGTGTCGTCGGCGAAGCTGATCCCTCAGCTTCTGAACGCCTACCGCAAGGCCTATGGCGAGTCATCGCCCGGTTTCGCGCAGATGTGGAACAAGGTGGCCGAGAAGATCATCGAGGTGCTCACCGCCGAGCCCGCGGTCGACACGTTGGCCGAGATGTACCAGTGCTTCTACGAGTCCGTGGAGGTTGTTGGTAAGAACTGCCTCACGCAGCAACACGTGCAAGCGTTCATCGCGTCGAGCAAGTCGACGTTAGAAGACTACCAGGTGCGGGTGAAGGCGCGGTTGGAGGAGCGGGCCGATGCCGACGACGGCGACGAGGAGAACCTGGACTACGAATACGCCGTCGAAGATGACCAGAACCTGCTCAGCGACATGAACAAGGCCTTCCACACCATCTTCAAAAACCAGGGCACGTCATTCTTGCCCGCCTGGGAAACCCTCATGCCGTTCTACGACACTTTCATCACGAGTCAAGACCCCACGCAACGCCAGTGGGCCCTGTGCATCATGGACGATGTGCTGGAATTCTGTGGCCCCGAGTCGTGGAAGTACAAGGACCACATCATGCAGCCGCTGGCCGCTGGATTGCAGGACCAGAACGCGGCCAACCGACAGGCCGCTGCGTACGGAGTGGGAGTTGCTGCACAGAAGGGTGGCGAGGCCTGGAGTGATTTCGTGGCCGCCAGTATCCCCAGCCTGTTGCAGGTGACCCAGATCAACCAGGCGCGATCGGAGGAGCATGTTTATGCCACGGAGAATGCCGCCGCCAGTATCGCAAAGATCCTGCACTTCAACAGCAGCAAGGTGCAGAACGCCAATGAGATTGTGGCCAACTGGATCACCACTCTGCCCATCACGTTTGATGAGGAGGCTGCTCCTTACGCCTATTCCTTCTTGGCTCAACTGATTGACCAGTAAGTTTTTCCCCCCTGTTCAGCCCTATTCTACCGGCCTTCGTTTAACTCTTTCATTTCAACAGGCAACACCCGGTAGTGATGTCGAATGCCGACAAGGTGTTCGGGTATATCGTGCAGGCCCTGGAAAACGAGACTCTGCAGGGACAGACAGCCGGACGAGTGGCCACCTCGGCCAAGCAGCTGGTCGCCAGCACGGGGTTGAATCCCGACCAGATCCTGGCGGGTGTGAACCCGGACAACCAGGCGGCGGTGCGAAGTTATTTCCAGTAGAGGCGGCGCAGCAACGACGGAGGAAATTGGTCTCTTAACAAAGGCGTGATATGGAACGAGTGGGTGCCGGCTCTATTTGTTTACGTGAACTATGGTTGTTTTTTATTTCCTATTTGATTTCCCCCCATGAATCTCTAACGTGTGCCCCCGTTGGTCGGTGAGTGTGCACTGCGTAGACCAGATTCTTTTGTTCCCTTTTTTTTTTTTTTTTTTTTTTGTTCGCATTTCTTTCGGCTCTTCAGGGAGAATATATATAAAATATATATTCATTTCAAATACCTCATTATCTGCATGCACTGCTGCTCTGGATATCATCATTACTATCCCCCTCCTTTGATTATGCCACCACCAAGTTCAAGATGTCCAGCACCTGCTCCTTTTCCTTCAGTGGGACTGGGTTCGTCTGACACCAGCGATCATGCAGACTGTTGGCTGCCAGCGCATCCAGCTGATCCGGTCCGACTCCCACGGCCTTCAACGAGCGCGGCATCCCCAGCTCGCGGATCACTACATCCAACACGTCGGCCAAATCGGCCCGCTGGCCATCGACACCGTGGTTCTTCAGGGATTCTGCCACCGTCGGATCGTCGACCAGGAAGCGCCGTAAGCGGTCTTGCCGCTCATTGTTGGCATTGTGGGTGGCGTTGTACTTGCACACGGCTGGCAAGAGGATACAGCTTGTTTCGCCGTGAGCGACGCCCAGGGGACCGAGCTTCAGACCGATTAGCATGAATTGCAACATAGACCGAACCGTGTCCCCATCCTCACAAGGACGAGAGAGAGAGAGAGAGAGAGAGAGAGAAGGAGGGAGTATTCACCTGATGTCCAATCCCATGACTTGCGCCCAACTGCACCGCCTTGCCACTCGTACAAGCCGCCATAGCATCGACCGAACCCAACTGGGCCATCAACCGCGCCTCCAGATCCTGGGGGTCATGTTTGCAGCGCAACAGCGAGGGGACCAGCAGGCCCAGGGCATGGAGGGCCAGGGCGTCAGTCTTCTCGTTGGTCGAGGACGACACGGCCACGTAGGTCTCGACGCAGTGGTCGACGGCGCGCACGCCGCTGCTCAGCCAGATGCGCTCCGGCGTGGTGACGGTCAGCTGCGGGTCCAGGACGACCAGCTCGGGGCCCTTTAGCGGCGACTGGAACGAGTGCTTCCGCCGCGAGGCGTCGTCCGTGGCGCCGGCGAAGTTCGAGTACTCGCCGGCCGACAGCGACGTCGGCACGGAGACGATGGGGATCCGGGGCGCGTGGATATCGGCGCGCTGGTCGGGGCCCTCGGAGAGCGTGGAGAGGTCGGACGTGGTGGAGACGGAATTCGCCAGGGCCTGTGGTTTTTAAGACAATTCAGTCTTTTCCCAGTAGATCTGATGGACGAGAGAAAGCGAGAGGGAGAGAACGCATACCAGAGCAATGACCTTGGCCCCGTCGGTCAAACTGCCGCCGCCCACGGTGACCAGCAGATCGGCGTCGACGCGGCGCACGTCGTGCACGATCTCCAGTACCTCGGACCACAGCGTGTGGCTCTGCATGCCGACTCGGACGCCGACGAGGGTGTTCTGGCCCAGGGCCTGGCGCAGGCGATCGAGCACGTCGGTGCTGCGGGCCAGCGACCCCGAGCAAATCACGTAGACGCGCGCCGCATGGAAGGTTTCGCGCACGTGATGAGCCACCGCGGCGGGGAAGGGAATCCCGTACGAGAGGAGCGGCCGAGCGCGGTCGGCGAAGGCGGCGCGAACGGTTTCCATTTCTTTCTTTCTTTTTTTTTTTTTTGTGATGAGATGTCGGAGATGGGGGTTGGAAAGGAGGGAATGCGGACAAGATATACTGGGATGTCCAAGTGGGAGCGAAGAATGAAATCATCGGCGTCTTTCCATGTGGGGAGGTGGGGCCGGTGGAGCGGAGCGGAGAGGAGTGGAATGTCTTGTCTTCTCCCACTATCGATAGTCATACACATCCATGTAGTCAACATACATATAGTCAACAGCCCAGGTGGGATCACAAATTCATTCCATTCTTATCACTCGACTCCTAAAACGCCCTCGGTGGGTAATTCCATCCCGATTTCTCAATCCTGCAAATGAGCCTCCGTCTTTCTTGAATCCCTATATCCCAGGCACATCGGCCACATGTAGATCCCCCGGTCATTAAATACATAATTCAAAGAAACAAAAATATCCAAAAGATAACAAGGATTTCGGCCATATCTTGAAAAACATCCTACGAGCCGCCCTCGTCCTCATCCACCACGGCCGCCCGCAGCTCCCACACAATGTCGTAGCATTCCGCGAGCAAGGCGTTGACACTCCCCTGTCCCTCGGGGATGTCACTGCCGACGTAGAATTTCCCGTCGATTCGCATGTTATCGATCGAGTTGAGCTGCCACATGTTAGCGACCAACGTAGTGGACATTCCTGGGGAGCCGTCACGGGGACCCACCTTCATGCTGTATGGGTACAGCTCGCGCGAGTTCGACACACCACCGGACTCCTTGACCTCGAGCAGACATCGTCGCAAGGTTTGTAACTGGTTGTAAACGGGAAGGAGTGCCTCCGACACGGGCTCCGACGAGATCAGCAGCGCATAGATGTATCCGTAGCTCCGACGGATCAGGTACAGCAGTGTCTATAGGAGTTAGTCAGTTCTCAAGTGATATGTATTAGGATCCCGCGGATAAATGATGCCTACCCGCTGTGCATGGATATCTGCCGGCTGTCCGACCGCGTCCACGAAGTTGCCGTTAGTACGTGCCTCGTCGATCCGATCGAGCTTGCGCTGGTAACCGAAGAGATCGGTCTCCCGCAGCGACCACGCCTGGGTCACCGACAACCGGTCCAGCTGGTTGCGAATATCCAGCAGACGCTCATACTGCTCCTGGAAGCGTTCGTCAATTTTTCCCTCCCTAAGTAGCGTTAGTCATGGTATGGTCCAATGCAGTCTTCGGAATACGTCATTCCCCACCGTTCGAGAACGATTTCCGTCCATCGCCAACAGCGCTCCATCAAGGCCTTCAATCCGTCCTGACCGGTAAGTAGAGATCCATCGGCACCCACGAAATTGCCGTCTTTCATCGTGCTCTCGATCTTCTTCAACTGGTTCCGAAGTCCGTTGACTTCCGTCGCGGAGAACTGTAATCCCGTCAACTGCCTTGATCCAACGACTAACCAGGGACAAGGCATACCTTGGACCGAGTATTGACAGCGGAGGTGGACCGCAGGATGGACACGAGGGTCTCGTGGGTCGGCGCCAACTCAGGGCTTAAGGCAGCCAGACCGCTTTGCAGTTTATTTAATAGCCGTCGGCATTTCTCCAGACGGCTCTCCAGGAGGGTCAGCAGCGCCGGTGAATATGCGTCGCGACAACGTTCAATGGTCTCGTTCATGTTGGCCAGTGTCTTGGTGATAGAGTCAAGGTCCTTCGAGCTGTAGAAACCGGCCTCTTCGAGATGATCAAGCAGTCGCTACGGAGAAAAGATATTAGAGCCATGAAAAAGCACATATGAGCGGACCAGGGTCAGTCATACCTGCACAGTCGTCGCAAGAGAGTAACTGCATTTCCATCGGCGCAATATTAGCCTCGGGCTGAAGGGAAAGATGCCGCGGGGGTCCGGAGACAGTCCACCTACACTGCGGGAGCTTCGTTGTTGCGCCCCACCGTCAGGAACAGCAGGGAGATCAATTGGAAACAGTCGTCCAGAACGTAGTCCACTGTAGGATTGGAATAAGAAAGGTCGCAATCAGCCCCATATTCCCGAACAAGATTCAGCCCGGTTCAATACTAACGTCGGTTATGTGACAGCCGGCGGTCTCCTTCCTTGCGCACGGCATTGAGCTTCTCCACTTCCCCAATGACTTCCTCGTATAAGGGAAGTACGTCGCGAGATTTGATATATGACGATTTGTCCTGTTTGATCAATAGGAGGGCATCGCGAGTGTGCAGCAACCGGTCGAGAATCGGCTGTTCCTGCGGATCCAGCGGAGCGGGGACGGCGGGGGAATCCATGACGCCGGAGGGGAGAGGGGGAGGATGGGAGGGGAAGGCGGAAATCAGATAGGTCGAAACCGGGAATGGGGCGGTATGTCAGGATGATTGATACGGTAGATGCGCCGAGGGGAGGTATGGCTAGAGGCGAGCAGCAAGCGAGAAAGAGAGAAAGAGAAAGATAGAGCGACGGACGGACGATCAGGCGATGATGGCATCGAGCAGCGGTAGCGCCCGATGCGGACTAGCGCGCGGTCACGGGGGCCTGTCCGCGCTAGACCGGATCGGGGCAGCCCTAAGCGAGGTCACGCGGCGCCACACACAACATTCCTTCCGCTCTGGGCGAAGCGGCCAATTGACTCTCCACGACAAAAAAAAGACCTCCCCGTCTTCCCTTCTCTTCTCTTAATCTGCATCCCTCTCGACACTCCAGTCCTCAGTCAACCCTCCCCCCGTCGACCATCATGTCTACTGCTGAGCTCGCTTGCTCCTACGCGGCCCTCATCCTCGCCGATGACGGTGTCGAGGTGACCGTACGTATAACCCTGGATCTTTTCTCCCCGGATATCAGGCTTGGTGGGCATCGGTTGCGATACTGAGGAGGACGGTGGAACGCTGTGAACAATGATCGCGACGCTGAAAGGAATGCGACGGAGGAATTTTTGAAGAAGAGCATGGAAGCAAATTCTGGGCAACACGCGATGAAGATCGGAGCAAGTCAAGCTAATCGATCTCTTTTTTGATTTACACAGGCCGACAAGATCCAGACCCTCCTCGGTGCCGCCAAGGTCCAGGAGGTTGAGCCCATCTGGACTTCCATCTTCGCCAAGGTAAATTATTCCCGGAATGATTTTTCGACGCACGCAGTGATCGACACGTCGGGCGACATCGAATGAGTTTGAAATGCGATCGGCTGCTTACGCTTCTGGATTTATTCTACAGGCTCTTGAGGGCAAGGACATCAAGGAGCTCCTGACCAACATCGGCTCCGCTGGCCCCGCCGCCGCTGCCCCCGCTGCCGGTGGTGCTGCCGCCGCTCCCGCCGAGGCTGCTGAGGAGAAGAAGGAGGAGGGTAAGAAACCGATTGACCCGGGCGTATGCCGCCGGAGAGGTGACCAGGCTAACGCATTGACTTGCAGAGAAGGAGGAGTCCGACGAGGACATGGGCTTCGGTCTTTTCGACTAAGCGTCCTAATACGTTCGGCTTTTCTGTTTTTCCTTTATTCCTCGTTTCTTATCTATCGAAATTTCCCCTTCGCTTTCCTTGTACCCGATACTACGCGACTGCATGATGAACCAAAAGGGAAAACTAAAAAGAAGAATACACGGACAAGGACATCCGGTGGGACTGGGCGCTGGGCTTGCATGATGGGTTTCGTCGTGACAGAGGTACTGGACCAGATGACGATAAGATTCTGGCCCGCAGGAAAACCAGGAATTAGTTGCATGCGTATAGATGGCCGAGGGCGAGATCCATGTGGCCGCCTTCGACTCTCTGTATGATATGTTTCGAGTTTTAGCTAGTTTCGAGCTTTAAAGGTGCCCAGCTCTCATGCCATGTCTGTCATGCGACCATGAACAAAAAGGTTTCCGTCTGCATTTTCTGTATCACTATAGAACCTTCCGATTCACCTGCTCCCTTTGCCAAACGCCTTGTCCTGGTGCAGAAGTAAAAAAAAGAAAGAAAATCTCTATATATCAACAGCCACATGTAAAGCGAAACCAACAGTGCCACGCCTGCTCCCAACCGTCCAACTTTTATTTCTTGAGGACTTGCAAATGCAAGGTAGCTCCAAAATGCCAGGCTCCGAAATCCAATCAACTTTTTTGATAATCAAGCGCCAAAAGACACGAACAATCGATAAGCTGCGCGCAACGCACTTCCAAACGCGCTAACCGGTTAGCGTGTGGGATTTTACATCAAACACAAAAAGACAGCCAGCCCTATATCTATACCACTGCGGCGGTTGAGTCGACAGTAGCGTAGAGGCGAAATTGCACGAAAATCGTGATGTCCTCGACCATGGTTCCCAGGGATCCAATCAGCCAGGGAACATTGGTGATGACATAGTTCCTCTCCGTAGAGTGGCACAGAATCTATACATCACAATCTATTGTTAGTCTGAAGTCATTCCGGTCGGGTTTCATCGCAAGTTATGGGAGGCATACCCCAGCACCGTAGGTCAGGTTTCCAATGAGCGACAGAATAAAAAACAAAAGAGACAAGCCTATTAAGATGGTTGGGTTAGCGAACTCGTGTTCGGTTTGCTTCGGCCTTGCGTCCGCAGCCCGCATAGTCACATCACATACCCTCGCATGATTTATCACAGTAGTTCTTGTAGATTTGTGGGAGGCGCGCGCTATTTATTTTTTCATTCCAGGTCAGCATGTCATTCCTTATTTTACTTCCTTAAATGTCCATCTATCCGCCATGGGACGCGTTGCGCTTGCAACCCCCTCAAAAAAAGGGCTGGTGACTCACCCGAGGTAGCAGATCGCGCTGAAGTATCCCACCAGCTGCGCACCGGCGGCGATTTCGACACCGCCGTGGTTTTCCTCAGGAGCGGGTTTCCAGACCCCCGACTGCCATGCGACCGTCCAGCCGGCCATTCCTATCAAGCAGATAGCCAGAACACTGCTGATGTTCTTGACCCAGGCGTTGCGACCCGTGTCGTTTTCCTCGACGATCTTGGCCAGCGTTCCGTCGGCATCCCGATTGCCACTGTTGGCTTGTTGCTGCGCTGTCCATGAGCGACGACGACCCGTCGCATTGTCCGGCAGATTGTCGCTGAAGCGCCGGCCCAGCAAGGGGGTGGTCGGGTCGGGGGTCTCGACGGAAGATCGGCGTCGGTTGACGGCGTAGGGGCTGGCGTTCCGCGCCTTGTAGTACAGGCATTGCGTGATGAGCACTCCGTCGGCGATGCAGAAGTACACGGCGATGGCGATGATGACAGGGACCAGGCCGGCCCAGACGCCTCCGATCAGGTTGGCCACGTCCCCGACGAACCAGACGAACAGGAACAGGAAGGAGATGGCTTCGGCATTGCCGTTGCGGTAGTTTTCTATGAGTTGGGGCACCTGGCAAGAGAAGGAGCGCGGTGTGTCAGTATGACTGGATCCGGTCTTGTCTCGGTCGGACAAAACAGGCTTCTCACATACCAGCAGAAAGATCCAGCAGGTGAGAGAGACCGAGCCCAGCAGGCCCGATGCTGCTTCGCGCGGCGTCAACGGCACCGTCTCTGCGGCCGATGATCCGCTGACTTGAGTCCAAAGAACGGACATTGCTGTCTTTTTTTCTTCTTCGACGGGTGTAATCAATGACGCAACTCTTATCAATTCTGCATTGAAGATTCGGTGGCGACAGCGCAGGCCGAGTATCGCTAATCCACGACAACAGGAGATGAGACGCAAATTCTTGAAAGGGTCGAAGGGTCGAAGGGGCGGAGGGGGCGATGGTTTTTTTTTCAGGATGGTCTGATAAGAGGAATGAAAGCGAATCATGAAAGCGGATTGTTTAGTTCGTCGCGATGACGGGTGGATCCGTGACTGCTTGACTAAGCGGCGATCGATGACTCCTTTTCTTGCTGCGAATGTCTAATTGTCTATGCTCATTGCTCAATGAGAAGATTCTACACCATCTCAGATCTCGTGGTATTCATAAGAACCCCCTTTATTTTGGACAGGAGGGCGAATCACAGTATTTTGTACATCATCGCTGAGCAGGGTATTCAGAGCTACTCCGTAGAATCATTCCTCGTCCTCCTCGTCATACTGCAGCTGCTGGAGCTCCTCCTGCAGCATGTCCAGCACCAGCTCACCCAAGGCCACGCGGATGCACTCGAACATCCGCTGGCGCATATCGGGCTCGAGAGCATCCAGGGCATCCACATACTCGTTCAAGGGGGAGTAGTCCACCACGTCTCCCCAGTTCCCACGGTCCACTCCATGCTGGCGCAGGAAGCTTTCTAGAATGATCATGCCGTCACCCAAGATCCAGTGCTCCAAGTCCGGCAGCGCATCGACCGCCGGATGTTGGGCGACTGGGTGATGTTCGGGAATTTCGTCCGGAACAAACGGGGCACCGTCGGGCGCATCGCCCTCGGCTTCACCTTCGGCCTCACCTCCTCGTTGGAAGGGAAAGTTCAGCGCACCGTTGTTGAGTTGATCGAGAAGATCGCGAAGCCATTGGGGCCGGCCAACCTCCGGCACCTGAGACAAGTAAGATGGGGTGGGATCGGACTGTTGGCGGAAAGCCTCCGAGTCATAAGGGGGCAGGGGATCAGATGCCGATATCCGCCCGGAGACAAAGCGCCCCGGAAGATGAGTCGTAACCCGAGGAATGTCGGACACCACAACGTGGCGAGCAATGTCGAGCGTGATCTCGGGGGGCTCCACCGGCTCTTCTTCGTCGCCCAGGGTGTCTGCGACCTCTACGATGAGCGAAACGGCCTCCGGGGTGTTCCAAAGATCCTTGGCTCGCGCAATGTAGAGTTCCGTGAACAATTCATGGGCCTCCGTGGGGGGCATCTTGCCCCAGATTCGTTTGGGCATGGGCTGAATATCCAGCTCCTGAGCCAGCTTGCAGAACACCCAGGGGTAGCGAGACATGGCCCGGCGCAGCTGCTCCCGGCATTCCTTGGGCTTGTTGAGTCGGAGATAGGCCAGCGCCAGGGAGCATTGGATATTTGGCAGCGATGACCAATCCTTGCTCAATCGCGTTTGCGTGCAGAGCTCAACGAAGTGAGAATACTCTCGGCCACGAAGAGCCAACCCATCGATCAAAAGCCGGATGCAATAAGGATCGCTGGCGTTCAGGCTCAGCAGCAGCTTCGCCCACTCGTACGCAGTCCGCCAGGTCCCCTTCATCCCCAAGTTAGCGATGTAGCGCCAACCAACCAGCCATAGCTCACGGTTTTCCCCATGTAAGAAGTCCAACTTTGCCTGGCCTTCCTTGAGGCGGGTGTTGAAGGTTGAGTGGGCGGAGCGTCCGATGTTGAAAAGAGCTCGCTCAAGAAGGTCGGCAGATACTGCATGATCACCCTGGTGCTTCGCAATCTCCGACACCTGCAGAAGGGTTGAGATATGATATGGGTTGTATTGCAACAGGAAGATCATTCTTTGAGGGTCCATCGACTCCACACAAATATCAAACTGCCTCTGTATATCTTCATACGCAGCATTGTGAACGATGCGATACACTGTAGCCCCCGTATCCAATTTCTCGGCTAGCTCCATTCCAAGCCCTCCACTCGGTGCGCGGGGCCACTCGTCTTTGCCCTGCATCAAAACATTTCGTCGTAGTGTGACGCCGGCCAAGCTCTGTCCTCGACTGGCAGGGCTGTATCTTCCCGTGAGCGCCTGTCCAAGATCGAGTTCCCGGTTCCGGTCCCTCCTGCGGCCGGAATCCTGGGGCTGATCAAAATTCTCCAACACCACGTTCCCGAACAGTTTGCGCATTTCATTGTTTGCATTGAGAGCTCTGGGCTCAATGGCCAGCAGATCCTCCGGTGTCTTTGCGAATGAGGCGTCGCGTGCGGCCTGTGTTGATGCGGCGGTAGTCTTTGCGGACGTCGAATGATTGGGGTCAACTGCCAATTCCTTCAATGCGCGATCAATGTCATCCAGTCCTGTGCCCTTTGGCTTGGTACCGGTCTGTCCATCTGGTGCAGATTTTGGTGATGCCTTCTTCTTGTTCTTCTTTTTCTTTTTCTTCAAATCGGCAGGTTTCGTAGGGGCAGGCTCGCGTTCCGCCGGCTGAGTCACTGGTTCGGGGATCTCCTCATCGGAGACTTTTTCTTCATCGTTGACGTTACTATCGTCATCGTCTTCTTCATCCTCGGCCGCGTTGAGGAGATCAAAAGCGTTTAACTTTGGCTTTGACGGCCGTGCTACCGGCTCATCTTCGCTGGAGTCATGGTCTTCTTGCTCTGCCTGCTGCAACTCTTGGTCGCGCAGTTTTTGCAGCTTGCGAATAGCGCGAGAGGACATTCGGGATAGAGAGGGGGAGGGAACGAGGGAACGAAGGCTGGATGAGGCGGGAGTGACAGCCAAAGGATGAGTAAAACTTCCAAAGACTTTCGATCCGCGGGGAATGACGACACTGCCCGTTCGGGCTTAGTGCGGGACACCTGTATTTACCGTCAGTACTGTATATAACACAGACGTACCGTACCGTAAGGCTTGGCGGCGCGGCATGGCGTCACCTGACGCCGATGCCTGGGAGCCTGGACTCCGCTGACTTCTCCGCATGGATGCGGCGAGAAGGACGGCCTTCTTCCATCCCTCCTGCTCTCCGGCGTCGCTGGATATCCTCCTCTCTATCTCCACCTCTCGCGTCTTCTGCCGCCTAAATGCGACGTGCGGCCCTTCAGGCTTTCCGTACTGCCCGACGTGTACCAGTACGGAAGGTCGCTGCTAGGAAACCGTGCGCCGTCTCGTTCTCCAGCAGCCGGCCTTTCGGCCTCCGTCCTTCCTCCGCCGGTAAACATCCACCCGTGATTCCTGCATCCTTGCAGTCCTCCATGCATATTCGAAACTTCTCTATTGCCGTGATTTCTACCGTGGTGGCCTCCGGGGCTTGGTACGCTTATCAAGGCAACACCTCGCAGCCGACACCGGTGGCAGGCTTGAACGCCACCTCGTCCTCGCAGCTACGTTCGATAGCGACGTCAACTGCACATGCTGAGGACGTCGCAGAGTCAACCCGCCGGGCCCTTCTCGTCGATAATGATCAATTCTATACCGCAACCCTCTCGGGAGAACAACCTCTATTCAAACAGACCGACGACTCCGACCGCCGCGTGCTCGAGATGCTGACGCCGGAACAAGCCACCCAGAAGTTGAGGAAGAATGAGGAGTCGTACTTGGTGAATCGTGGCAAAGGCGTCGTCCGCTACGATGTGGTCCAAGTTCCCAGCAACTCTCCTATTGAAGACGACCACGCCGAGAAGATCGTTGAGGTGCCTTCAACGGTCGCGGCGGCCAAGGAAGGTGACGCCAACAGTGACTGGATGTTCTGGGCTGTGTTTGACGGCCACTCGTAAGTTGCTCATCTGCTGCATGGGAAAATCGGTGTTTTGTCTAATTCATTCTCGCCCAGGGGCTGGACAACTTCGGCAAAGCTGCGCAATGTTCTCATCTCTTACGTGGCCCGTGAATTGAATTCTACCTACAAAGCTGCTGCGACCGACCCTTCTCTGCTATCCCCCACGTCCAATGCCGTGGATGCTGCCATCAAGCAGGGTTTCGTTAAACTCGACAACGACATCGTGCACAGCAGCGTCGACAAGGTGCTCAAATCCAACTCGCGACGAGTTGCGGCGGAGATGCTTGCTCCTGCTTTGTCCGGCTCTTGTGCTTTACTTGCTTTCTATGACTCGCAGTCCAAGGACCTGAAAGTGGCCGTTGCCGGCGATTCCAGAGCGGTTTTGGGCCGTCGTGCTTCAAACGGAAAGTGGTCGGCAACTGCTCTCTCCGAGGACCAGACCGGCGGCACTCCGTCCGAGATGAAGCGTCTGCGGGAGGAACACCCCGGCGAACCAAATGTCGTACGGAACGGAAGAATTCTCGGCCAGTTGGAACCCAGCCGTTCCTTCGGTGATGCGTTCTACAAGTGGAGCAAAGAGACCCAGGAAAAGATCAAGCGACAGTTCTTCGGACGGACACCGCACCCTCTTCTGAAGACACCCCCCTATGTAACTGCCGAGCCTGTCATCACGACCACTAAGGTTGAACCCGGCAAGGGCGATTTCGTGGTCCTTGCTACGGACGGTCTCTGGGAGATGCTGAGCAACGAAGAAGTCGTCGGACTTGTGGGAGAATGGGTTGAGCAGCAGAGATCCGGAGCCGCGAATGGTACCAACAAGAGCTGGCTGCCGAGCTGGTTAGGGTTTGAGAACAAGCAGCTCCCCGTGGAAGCATCGAAGGAGGCAGGATCTGATGGCCAGCGCCGCCCTATTCGTCAGCAACAGTACGATATTGCGGGCGCCGCCAGCCGGTTCACCGTCGAGGATAACAACGCCGCCACTCACCTTGTCCGCAATGCCATGGGCGGTAAGGACAAGGACATGGTTTGCGCTCTCTTGACTCTTCCCAGCCCGTACTCCCGCAGATATCGGTACGTCCCCCGGTTGTAAACACATGGGAAATGATCGGTAACTAACTGTTATCATTAGGGACGACGTAACCGTAGAGGTTATCTTCTTTGGCGACGGCCCTGACAACCGCAGCATCGCGGTCAACGAAGAAGCCAGCGCGTCGGAGGAAAACGTCAAGGCCAAGCTTTGATAGACACCTTATAACATTACCTTTGTCGGCGTTAAGACTGTTTGTTTTCTAAAAGAGGCCCTACAAAGCCCTCCTTTTCTTATAGTTACTGTTATTACCTGTTGCATTCCCCTATGGTCAAGGATATCTACTTGGTGAGAGCTGGCGTTTCACTGCTGAAGCCCTGGGATGGCACTCTGTTGCATAAAGCAAGCATACTTGTTCCTAAAATGATTATTATTTGTTCATGTCATTCACCTGCCGTCTTTGTTATTTGACAGCATCCTCTGCACAGCATGGAAGAACAGGAGGGCAATTCACTGGCTGGCAGAGCTCATTCACCTGTCACGTGAACCACGTGAGCATCACTGCCCTGAGAGATCCAATATCACATCCTGTACTGTGATACTACTGAGGACCAAGAAGAGACACCGAGTTTTTCAGATTTAGTATACAGTACTCTCACATCTTAATCTATACACACGAAAGGAAAATATAGTACACACATATATACAAACCCCAGAATGAGTCCACAAGTCCATCAGTCACAGCCATAGAAGGATATACAAACAGAAGAGGCTGACGAAAGCGAAAGATGCAGGGGGAGACAGATGGGTGCGCTGCCGCACCAGAGAACGCAACACCAGACCGCAACGTTGCGTTGGCCCAGCCAGCTTGATCACATCGTTTCTCCTCCTGATCGCATCGTTCCCAACACCAACACAGGAAGAGAAAAGAAGGTGAGAGCACCCCCAGCCTTTCTTTCCCTCCCTTTCTCCCTCATTAACACCTCCATTCTCTCCTCCTTCGCTCTACCCACCACAGCCTCCCCAATCCCCATGCTGCCTCGCTCGCTTTACTCTCACCCATCTGGCCAGACTTTCTTCACTTCCATACTCTAGCATATCCTTTCTTTCTTGTCTTTGTGATCCCGGCTTGCTCCCTGGATCTGCTATCGTAAACAGACCAAGTTTTTTTGCTCTCCCGTCTCTCTCACCGAGGTCAAGTCTTCAATCGCCGAATTCCTCACATACGCATCACCACCGTGCTTGTCAGTCAGCTCTTGGAGTAGGTCTTCTTTCGATTAAAATTCTGCCCCAGTCTCCCCCGGAGAGACAAGAATGAGTGGCATCCACTGACCGCAATGACAGATATTTGCTTGGCTGCGTCGTCATCAGCTGCTTTTGAAGATTGATACGAGCCACAGGCAGTCATGCCGGCCACTCCTAGCCGTTCCACGGGAAATCACGAGGGCGAAGGCGACAGCAGCGAGGATGCTTCACCTCGGCCAATTACCCCGGACGAACAGGGTACCGTGCGGAGAATCCATGCCCCCAGACCGCGACGCAACCTATATGGGATCAATGCGCACAATGGCAGGATTCTCGTCAATGGTGTAGACATTGTGGCCCGCGCAACTGCTTTGCGCGAGGAAGGTCGGACGGAGGAGCAAGTCGCGAACTTAAGCCGTTTCATAGATTGGCTGATCATCGGCGGTGCAAGACCAGACCGTTCGAGTACGATGCCAACGCCGACACCAAGGCAGGAAGAGCGTCCGCCCAGCCCGCCCGACGAACGAATTGTCAGGTCTATGTACAACCGCCAGTTGTACGGCTATCCTCCCGAAGTCTTCCAGCGAGACCCATTCATACAAACGCGCCAATGGCAACAGCACGTGAGGAGAGACAGGAGCCCGCCCTTGACGCCTCGCGAGCGCGAGGAGCGCAGGGCAGAGCGAGTCGCAATCCCCCCAGCCCACATGGACAACGAACCGAGCCGCGACACTTGGCCTATCGGATGGGAACTCCACCATGACTACTACCTGTGGGCTTGCCGTGGAACTGTCGTTGACATCACCGAGCAGCTTCAGGTGGTCTTTGACTTCAACCCTCCCATCCAGGAGTCCTTTGTTGCCGACAGACTGAGCGGTGTCAACGCCTTCAGACAACTCACTTATCTGCAAACCTATTTCCCGGGCGAGACCCAGTCTATGCAGCGAGCTTTGGCGAGGGGTGTTATCTATGAGGCTAACATTGACCATGCGGAGATCCGCGGAGGATTCCAGGAATTGGAGGTAGAGCAAGAGGACCCCGCCAATTACGAGTACCCCGAGCCTGCATGCCCCAGCTTCGGACCAGAAGGGTGGAATTGCAGGGACGATGCATATCTGGCCTTGTATCTGGGCGAATCCCCAAGCACATTTATCCACGATTATGGATGGCTTTTCCCAGACCCTATCTGCCCCGAGTTCATTCGTCTGCGCATGGCTCAAATCCCTTATCTAGATCTGAGCTCTAGCGACCTGCAGCGACAAGTCCGGCGGCGTGAACGTTTCTTCAGCTGGGCCCCACATCGATTTGCCGATATCAGAATGTGACATGCCTCCCAGATGACTTTGCGACCAGGGAACCATGGTGTTTGGCGGGAGACAGACAAGTGGTTATGCCACATAGCCGGTAATGAAGTTCGGTTCTTGTGTCCTTTTTCATTTCTTCTCTCTTTCGATTTCAACTTCTTCACGCTTAACTGAATGAGTATCTTTCCTTTGTCTTTTATCGCCCCGAGGCTGCAATGAAGAAGGGTAAAAACAAGAAGAAAAAGGTTTATTTCGTCTGTGAAGGTCTCTTTTCACCCGGTAATGTGTATGCGATATGCATTTGTCTCCAAGGCTTCAAGGGCTGGTTGAATATCATGTACTTTTCCAGAAGATAGGTCTGCAACGTGGCAGTGTTCGTGCTGGTGATCCAATAGACCATAAGTGCTGCAGGCATTCCATGATAATAGGCCGATAGACCGACGTTTAGCGCGAGAACCTGGATGAACGCTCTGAGCCCTTTCACCGTCAACTTCTTCGCCAATTCTATCCGCGGCAGGTCCGACAGTTCCGAAAGGGCCGGGGCCTTCCAGCCCGTGCGGACGTTGAGAAGGATAGAGAGGGTCAACATGGCCGGAAGAATGCCCGTCGGGTCACCGGCCATCAAGTCCGGGAACCACAAAGCGCCCTCTGTAGCTAGGGACGGCTCGACGGCCCGTTGCAGGGCAGCGCCTGCCTCGGCAGAGGACGAGGGTTCCATGAAGGAGAGCAGATAAGGGACCAGCCCGCTCGTGCTACCGGACATGGCTCGGATGCTTTCCATGATGGAGATCCAGATGGGGGCCTGCAGAAAATTGAGGGGCTTCCAGAACCGAGCGACATTCCAGCGTTTGTGCAGGGCTCGCTGCTTGCCCTTCATGGCCTTCAATACTTCCATCTTCGCGGCTCCAGGGAGGGCGAGTTGACCGGCCAGCTTGCGGGTTCTGACATCATCCTGGTAGTACTTTCGCCAAGAGTGGACCAGAGGGATCATATCACGCTCTCTCCGGGCCTGGATCTTGGTATAGATTTGCAACGGCATGGCGACAGTCGTGCGCACCACCAATGCCGTCAACGGGAGGGAAACGACCCAGGGAAGACCAGTGATTGCATGAAGAGAATAGATAAACCCAGATGAGATGCTAAGAGCCTCGGCAACGAAAGGCCTTGGCCTGGTAGGGTGAAAGTGACGGACTTGATGCTGAAAAGCAGACCTTCGCGTCGAGCGGAGTGAGCTATGGAACGATCTCATGATTGGGGCTTTAGTGGACTTTCACGGCTCAGTTCAGTTGGGAAGACAATTATATAAAAAGAATATCAAAGAAGGAAAAGATTAAGCTATGCGAAAAATAAGAATGAGCGACTCGTACTCCGACAATGCGATCTACAAGCAAAACTGGCAGCAAATGGAATCGGCGGAAGACAGAAAACAACGGCGCCCACGTGATGTTATCACGTGTAGCATTATATAAGCTCCGATACATACGGTATCAGACCCGTCAGAGATATTACCATACCATGTCCCGTATATACGGTATATACGGTATGTATGGTATGCGATCGCTGTTATCGATAGCGAAACTCAACCTCCAAAGGAACGGAAAATCGCCAGCTGGAAGATTCTCCGCCGCTTCTTTTGCTGCCTTCACCATCCGTCGCCTGGCCGTTCGGATGTCACCACCTGTGCTTCGCCATGATGTTGTTTCTACTGAAAACCGTGATCACTGTCCTCGCCCTCCTTGCCACCTGCGTCCTGGTCCCGCAGCTCCCCTTGGGTCTTCTCCGCTTCGTACTCCGCGGCGTGGGATGGGTCATCCAGAAGCGAACTAAGTCTCGGAGGGAATTGGTCCTCTCGCGGGTCCGTATCGAGGACGAGGAATTCCAGGCCAGGAGATCGAAGTCATCGCCGGGCGGCTCGGGGGATGATGAGGATTGGGAAAAGGTCGATTCCTCCAGCTCCAGTTCCGGGACAGCTGGCCATAAACAATCCGGCCGCGATGAGGACTGGGGTGGCATCATCGGTTTCTTCCACCCCTTTTGGTATGCCGGAGCTCCCCTCTTCCTCCATGTTGTGTTGAACACCTGATCATCCCAAGATGTGGGAGCAGAATCAATGCTGACCATCTTGCAACAGCAACGCAGGCGGGGGCGGAGAGCGTGTTCTTTGGGAGGCTGTGAGAGCGACTCAGAACCGATGGCCCAAGGCCACTTGTGCTATATACACCGGAGATCATGAAGTCAACAAGGCTCAAATGCTGGAGAAGGTGCAGGTAAGAGGGACTTTTCGCCGCTGCGACTAAATTTGGCACCTTTAACCCGCCTTTGCTTTAGGGCCGGTTCAATATCCAACTTCACGCCCCGACGGTGGTGTTGATGTATCTCACCACCCGCAAATATGTCCTGAGCAGCATGTATCCCCACATGACCCTTCTGGGCCAGTCCCTCGGGTCGCTGGTTGTTGCCTACGATGCGTTCAATCTCCTAGTCCCCGATATCTTTGTCGACACCATGGGCTACGCCTTCACCCTGGCCTTTTCCAAGCTCTTGTTCCCATCCGTCCCCACCGGGGCTTACGTCCACTATCCGACGATATCGACCGACATGCTTCAATCACTGGATGACACCACCGGAATTCAAGGCGTCAACGCGGGTGCAGGGAAGGGCTTGAGAGGCCAGGTCAAGCGGAAATACTGGCTCGCATTCGCTCGTCTCTACGGCTGGGTCGGCGGCCACGTAGATGTCGTCATGTGCAATTCCTCGTGGACGTCGGCGCATATCCGCACCATTTGGGGCCCCTCGCGACGCACCAACGTCTACCAAGACCCCACCGTTGTCTTTCCACCCACCGCCGTGTCGGAGCTCGAGTCGACCATCACCGTGGACGCCGAGACCGAGCAACAGCGCAGCCCGGTCATCCTCTACATCGCGCAGTTCCGGCCCGAGAAGAACCACCCGCTCGTCCTGCGCTCGTTTGCCCGCTTCCTCGAGGAGCGCGGCAAGAATCCCGCGTCGGCCTCGCAGTCCGAGCCCAAGCTGGTGCTCATCGGCTCCGTCCGGCACTCCAGCCCCGACGAAACCCACATCTACAACCTCCGACTCCTGGCGCATGAGCTCCGCATCCGGGACCAGACCGAATTCCTCTGCGACGCCAGCTGGCCGGCCATTCTGTCCCACCTCGGCACGGCCTCGATCGGCGTCAACGCCATGTGGAGCGAGCACTTCGGCATCTGCGTCGTCGAGTACCAAGCCGCCGGGCTGATTAGCGTGGTGCATGACTCCGGCGGCCCCCGCGAGGACATCGTCGTCGACCTGGGCGACGGCGCCACGGGCTTCCGCGCCTCGACGGAGGACGAGTTCGCCGCCGCGTTCGAAGCCGCCCTGGCCCTGCCCGAGGAGGAGAAGATCGCGATGCGCCTGCGGGCGCGCAGATCCGCCCTGCGCTTCACCGAGGAAGAGTTCGGAGCCAAGTGGATCGGTGAGATCGGAAAACTGGTCCGGATGCGAGCACGGTGAGGGCGGATTCCATTCGGCGGAGTCCGCGACGTTTTGAAGTCGGAGAGAATCCGTAGACCTTTGTACCACATTGTCAACCTTATTTGTAGGTTTAGATTCAGCCGTTATTGCCATTTTGCGTGAAATAAGCGTTTCGAATGAGCGCCCCCTGTTTCGTATACCCCGTTACCCCGTTAGGTGAACCCCTTGCATTATCTTAGCTAGACTGGAGTGGTTTTAGACTTTAGACTCCGCCGCGCTTACAGCAATTGTGTAAATAGGTATACCTTGTAGGGATTTAGTGAACTTGTTAACCAGAGTCGAAGAGAAAGAGGTCGTAGGCCGATATTTTAGTTATCTGGCATCCTGGGACTGCCTTGTCCTGCTGCACAGGCGGTATCATATTCTGAGCTGCAACTCTGTTGGACTATTTTAATATGCAAAAAGAGACGAGGAACAAAGCAAGCAGCGAGAAAGAAAACAAAACCAAGATGAAGTTAAATAAAAATAAAGAAAAAGGGCAAGTTACCCATCTTGGAGCCCCTGCACAAAAAGAAGTAGACAGAGCCCCTCGGGTATGAATCCTCATAAACACATAACAACGGTCCGCAGCCCTTGCGGACCAAGGGGGAATCAAAACAAGTGGTAAATAGACGAATAAGCAAGAGGGTTCGAAATGATGTTGAATGAAGAAGAGGGGGAAAGAAAAGGGAACAAAAAATCGAACGATGTATAAAGAATGTCAAACCGCCGTGATTTGGGTGATTCCCGTGCTCCAACCTATATCTCAACGCCGGAATCCCTCTCTATAGAATGTGTAAAACCCACGACAAACTCGCAACCAACTCAGGGTATGGGCTCCTAAAAACCTTGGTGATGTAGATGGAAAATAGAAGAAGAAGATGAAGATGAAGAAGACGAAGAAGAAGACAAAACGGGGTCAAGAAAAGACTGAAAAAGGGAGAAAGAAAGGGTAAACGAGAACAAAAAAGACAAATGGAATCGAATAGAAAGGAGCACAAACAAGTCAATGTCATTCTCTCCATTCCGTGTTAGGATAATTTTCGCCAGAGTTGACCCCAATCATCTGGTTGTTGACACCGTACATGTTCTCCTGGGGGCTGTACCCTCCACTCATGCCGGAGACACTACTCATGGCGGATTCGTCGTCTTCGAATCCGAATTCACCGCCGGAGCTGGCGTCAAAACTGCTGCGACCTCCAATATCACTTGGATCGTCCGCCGAAGCCGGGATCTGATCCCATTGAAGGGTTTGCAGTGCGGGATACTGGGCCAACAACGCCGCGGGAAGAACGAAACTGCTGGCATGTTGACCATCCATCCCCGACACCATGAGGGGCGGCGGAATTGGCTGCAGATGGCCTGCATGTGACGGCTGCTGCTGGTCTATCATCGAACGCTCGTGTGACTCTTCATCCAGCAGCGGCTTGATACAAATGCGACCGGCTTCCGATCGGAAATGACGGCCCAACGCGTCAGCCCGGGCGAATCGGCGACCACATCCCCACTGTCCGCCGCGGGAAAGCTCTCCACGGCAGACAAACTTCTTCTCGCCGGAATGCAATCCTTCATGTCGCTTGCGATCGTGTTGCCGGGCAAAGGCTTTCCCGCAAACGGTGCAGACGAACGGCCGTTCGTCCGTGTGGGTGCGCAAGTGAGACCGTAGATTGTAGGCTCTTGTGAAGCGCTTGGGGCAGAGGTGACACTGGAACGTGGCGGGATGTTTCTGGACGCGCTTCGAGTCATTGGGGCTCGCCCCGGGCCGCTGCGGATCTGCAAGGCCTAGGATGTAGTTGCGGCTGTCAATAGATGATGTCGACAGCCGTCGAGATCGCGAGGGAGACGGATCTCGCGAACTGGGATTGCTTTGCGGTTGGCGGCCCATGGAGTCAAACGGCGACAAAGATCGGGGGGACGAAGGAGCCAAAGGCTCCAAGCTACTCGTCGTAGTCGCGGGACTCCGAGAGCGGGACGCGGGGTGAGCGTACGGGTCGGACTTACTGCGCATGCGAGAGCCTATCGCGTTGGGTTAGCATGGTTGCACCGACGAGCTCCTTCTTCGGCGCAAGGGGAACAGGAACAACGACAGAGAGGGAAGAGGTGGGCGCTTACGCATGGAAGGAGGCGGGCTCAACGAATCCAAGTCCGTCGCCGGCTTGGATTGAGGGAAAATAGGGTTCCTCGATGGTGGAGCCAATTCCACATTGATGGATGGCGGGGCCATCTGGGATGCCTGTCCGATGTCCTGGCCCAGGGGCAATCCCTGCGACATAACTGCGCCCTCCGCGCCGGTGTTGTATACGTCGTTCACCGAAGGGCTGGAATACTGCGGATTCTCTGCCGGAGGAGATATATAAGGGATATTCGGGATCATCTCTGGCCCCTGTTGGGGCATCAGCTGCGGGGAAATATAAGGGCTGTGGGCCGGGCTGAAGGCATGCTGCGGATGCTGATGCTGCTGGTGCTCGGACAGCGTGAAGGACTCGATGGCGAGTGCATTCTCGTAGAGCCCGGGGTCATTCTGCGGGGTCAACAGCGGAGAGGGATTGCTGTCAATGGCGTCGAACGATTCATGCTGGGACATATACGGCGAGTGAGCGGCAGAGGAAACCTCCGACACTTCGGACGGGGCGCGTCGGTGGCCCTGGAAGGCCGCATTGCCCATGACGGCTTGCCAATCGGCATGCGATCCGCCGGTCAGGTAATTCGCCGACGCAGGGTCCAACGACGTGTGGCGAGAGTGTTGCGGAGTGTAGAAGGTGCCCGCCGTCGAGCTCAGGGGAGATATGGGGCTCGGGGAGGAGTGGTGCGCATGCTGCTCCTGCGGGGACATCTGCGGAGACGCCGAGGGATGGGGCGACGAGATCTGGCCCACGAGGTCGGCGGGGTTCACGCCCTGGCTGACCGGTCGCGGCTGCCCGTGCATCTGGGGGTCGAGCATGAGGGAGGAGTCGTACTCGGGAGCGGTCGTGCTGTTCGGGCTATGGTTCTGGTAGACGGAGAAGTCGAACCCCGCGGAATCGGAGTTCAAGAGGTTGGAGAAGTTCTCCTCGGTCGACGGCTGGGGTTGCGGGTGCTGTTGCAGCGGAATGCCCGAGGACTGATCAAACTGGTTGACCAAGCCCGGCTCGAAGGACTGCGGCAGCTGCAGGCTGTGGGAAAAGGACTGGTCCGGCGGGGCTAAGGACGGCGCGCCAGGCGGGGAAAGGTAGCCGCCGGTGCTGTAGGAGTAGGAGTCGGCGCTTGGGGAGCTGGAGCTGGGATGGTTGTGGAAGGAGGGCACGGCGACAGAGGGGTCCAAGGTCAGGCCAACGGAGGGATGATTGTACGGCTGCTGTTGGGGATGATGAAGATGAGCGGACGGGCTGACGCTGCGGTTTTTAACTCCCGCCGGAGATTGGCTCGAGTCCTCGTGAGAAGCCATCGCGAGTGACGGGATCCCAGAATAGATACCCCGCGAGGCAGGGCAAAGGACGTTGGAGACGAGAGATCAATGGGTCGGTCGCGCCAACAAGCAGCGGTCGGTGGGGAGCGACAGAAGAGGGCGGTGGAAAGGGAAGAGAGACGCTGGAGGTGGGAGGGGCAGTGATTGGGAAGGCCACAAATAGATGGTTGGCAGGGCGCAGGTGCAGGGTCAAGGAAGGAATGACTTAATTAGAATAATTAGTGCCAGCCCTAAACTGGGGGGAAGAAGGACAAGACAACCATCTGCAAGCTGACAGGGAGAGAGGAGAGAGAAGGAGGGAGGAAAGAAAGAAAGCAGGAGGGCGAGAGGAAGGGGAAGTCCCAAGTGCACCTTGCGATTCAGCCTCGTGGCGCACGTATCAGCGATCGGGTCCGGGGGAGGTATTACATTATTCTCTCCCCTCCAGGAAGCGGTGTGTGAGTAGCTCGGGGAAAACGGGGAAGATGTTCGGTCGGGATGGGAGAATTTAATGTGATTGTTTAATGTTTTCATTCATTGATGATGAAGATGAAGCAGGAGGTGATGGAAGAGCGATGGAATTTATAATTGAGGAGAGATGGAGAGAGAAGAAGAAGAAGAGAAGGAAGAGCAGAAGAGGAGAAAGTAGAAAGTAGAAAGTACCGTACGGGTGTATGTTTGGTATCGCTGCCCGGCGGTATTCAGGCACCCCGCGGATTCCCTCATTCTTTCCTTCTTTTCTGACATTCTGATTTCTGGCATAAACTCTCTGACAATTTGTCAATGTGACATTCTGACATTTGGTCTCCATCCCATACGATGACACCCCGTCCGTGGTTTGCTTCTCGGTCGTCGCGCACTTGAATACGAACCAAGGCTCTCCTTCCACCATCGCCCAGGGCTGAGCTGACATTGACCGGTCTGATTCAAAAGCTTAAGGCAATCGAGAGAAGAAAGCAATGCGGCATTCCCGAAGCGATTGACTTCGAAGCAGTGAAGTCTGTACCAGAGTCTACACGGATAGTCCTGACGGAGTACATTCATGCGGCTCTGATTACTACGGCGTATGATGGATTAAGGATTAAGGATCTCACCCCCCGTCTCAGATCCTCTGTAACGTGGAGGGAGCTTGGAATTGGCCTGTCTTCCCTTCAATCGACTCGTCGCTCATCTCGTTAATTCTGTTTGCCTGTTTTTTTTTCGCCAGAGAGGAGTTAGGCAGGGGTCGGTCATGTTGATGACCGTTCAGCTGTCCACCCCATATCTTGCCGCGCATGGCCATCCCGAAGTCATTTCCATCCATTGGAACAGAATTTAATAATAGCATCGAGTCCTCGACCGTGGTTGCCTGGATGCACCGTGCCCTAGCTCGGTAAACGCTATCTAGACTTTCAGGGTCAACGCTGTCCGTGGGAGATCGAGGCTGAATATCACTGCGATTCCGGGAATAGGCTGTCAGCCTGACCCCTTTTTTCTCTTTTTTTCCCCTCCCAGACTTTTAAACGATTAATATAATCTCCGGTAGGTTCGTGCCCTGATCGGCCGCTGTCTTGACCGAATTCTGGCAGCCCAAAGTGGACTCGCCCGTAGCTTCGCTGCACAGCCACCCAGCTGAAAAGTGTTTCTCAATGGCCAATCCACGGGTCGTCGCGCCCTAGTTTCTCGGTGGCCTGCAGCCTAATCTTTTATTTTTATCATGACGCTGGGTCGTCTCGTGGTTCGGGTCCAACTGTCCAAGAATAGCAATAGTAGGTAGGGGTCGGGGAATGACTTCATTTATACAACGGAACTAATCGAGAATACTACTACAGATGGCCGCAGCCCACACAGACCCCAGTCCCTCCCGGCACTTTGCGCAAGACATGAGTGCACGTGCCACGCCGATCTAGATGTCGCCAAACACCGTCACGCTCTCACGCACCTGGTCGTTGTCGTAGTCCACCAGCAGGTTATCGTGGCAGCTGGATCCCAATCCCGCGTTGTCCACCCACCCCGGCTCCCAATAGTACAAACCAGCTCCCCCGCTGATACCCGCCACGGTATCGGCCACCTTCTGCACGAACGTCTTCTGGCCGTCCACGGAGAAGGGAATCGAGGTCAGGTCGGACGGGAAGGCCTCCTCCGGGTTGGGGCAGGACTCGGGCCAGTTGGTCTCGACCACCACCACGGACTTGGAGTAGGTCGACTGCAGGTTGCTCAGACTGGTCTTCAGGGACGACAGGGTGGCATCCTCGTTGTAGAAGGGATAGTACGACACGCCGATGAGGTCAAAGTCCGACGAGGTGAGCGTGCCGGCGTCCAGCACCGTGTCGTAGAAGTACTTCTGGGAGCCCCAGTCCCAGCCGTTGTCGAGGTGGAGCATGATCTTGGGCGTCGTCGCCTGGTTCGAGTCCTTGACGCCCCAGGCGCCCGAGTGCAGCAGCTGTGCGATGTTGTCGTAGCTGCTGGTTCCGCCCAGCGGCCACAGCAGTCCGTTGCGGATCTCGTTGCCGATCGACACGATCTCGAGATCGATGTCGTTGTCCGCAAACGTGTTGCATACCTCCAGCGTGTAGTTGTACACTTGCCATGAGAGCGTGTCCATGTCCGTGGTGGACCATCCGGAGGGTGCGTCCTACCGCCGGTCAGTCGCGACGATCGCGCACAAAAAGGAAGGAGACAGCAAACAACGTACCTGGTTCTGAGGATCGGCCCATGTGTCGCTGTAGTGCAAGTCCAGGTAAATCGACATCCCAGCCGCCTTGACTCGCTTGGCAAGCTCGATGTTGTAGTCCAAGTCGTAGTTGCCATCGCTGGGGTTCACCCACAGACGCTGTCGAATCGAGTTGACTCCATTATCGGCAAGGATCTTCTCCAAGGCCTGCGTCTCGCCGTTGAGATTCTTGTAGGCAACTCCTTCCTTCTCCTCCACCAGCAGGGACGAAATATCCGCGCCCTTATAGGTGAGGGCGGCGGAGGTGAGAAGAGGAAGAGACGACAGAAGGAGAGAGAACAGCATTCTGAAGAGGAATCCGGTCCAAGCCTGAGGAACTGGTCGGTAGAAAGAGGAAGCAGAGGAAGCACCCAGACTATAAGAAGGAAAAAGGAGGGAGAGAGAGAGTCCCGGGAGCCCTTTTTTTAATGCGTCCATGGTCCGTCCGAATGAGTTTCTCCGAATATAGTCCTAAACACCATGCAACGGGCCTTGCGATGTCTCCCGGCTCTCCACAGTCTTAATCAATTTAGAACGGTGGAACACTCCGTCGACGGTCCTGCATTTGGCACGGAGGAATCCCTCATCAGGCGACTTGGAGAGCTCGTCAGGGCCAGGCGGTCACATCATTGGTGGAGGATCCCAGTCTGATACACCGAGCGCGAACCGCCGATCTTAGGACGGACCGTCGCTGTCTCGCCTCTTGGCTTGTTTCAGGCCTTTTCTCGCTTCGCTTCGACGTACGTCTTCTGCTCAGGGAACAAATCATATGCGTCCGAGTGGATCGGCGGATGAACGTTTTGTATATTCTCTTTGCCTGGCTTCATCCCGTCGGCATAACCAAACCCTGCCGGGTCATCAACCCTTGCAGAATGCCAAAATGTCATCATCATCATCGTCGTCGTCAGGCTGGCTGGCTGCCCGGTATTGGGACCAGCCACCATGTGTATCCCAAGCCCAACCCTCCATAGCAACATTACGTACAAGCAATCCCACCGTCCTCAACCCTCGCCGGATGCCACAGACGGAGACAAGATATATATAAAAACGCAAGCGGAGAATCAAAGCAGAAAGCAGGAGAAAGAGAAAAACAAAGAAGTTCCCAGCGTCTTTTGAAAACCAGTCCACAAGAAGCCATCAGGCAAAGAAAATGTAGAAACACAGAGGCCAAATATAGACGTGCCACCAATGCGAATATATGTACAAGCAGAGAACCGGTGTCTTGGTCACAACTTAGAATAAACAAAATGAAAGCCTCCGTAGGCCCGCGCTGTATGCTCGCCAAGCCTCAAAGAGCAGGCAAGAGAAACCCAGTAATAAAAAAATGATATACATGCAAAAAGCCCAGATCCAGTAGAATAGAAGCCATCGAAATATCAACCATTGCTCCGGTATGTAGGGGAAAAGAGAAAAGAAAGAGGAAGTGAAAAGGAAAAAGAGAAAGAAAAAGAAAAAGAAAAGGAGAAGCTGGGAGAGATGAATGTCCCCATAAAGAAGAGGCCCTAGAATAGAGGCGGCGATGTTGAAACTGGCCCTTCGTGCCATCTGACCATTGGCTGGCAAGGTCATTGCGAAGTGTGGTTGCGACGAAGGATTGGTTTCTGGGGCGTGGCCTTCTTTTTCCCAATAGTGAGACCTTCATCTTCCGAATCATCGTCAAAATCATCTTCATCATCACAATAATATCGAGATTCATCCTCTTCGATTGGTCGCGGTGGGCTGAGGCGCCGTGCTTTGACGGTTTCGCCCGTGCGAAGAATAGAAGGAACTTCGATTGCCGACTCGCACTCCTTTTCCCTGGGGAAACCTTCGCCGGAAAGCGAGGACGCCCCCGAGACAACGGACGGGATACTCGGGTGTGACGTGCTCTGGGATATTCCGCTGGTGTAGTCGTCAACCGATGATGAGGATATCGTCGCAGCAGACGGAGGAGATGTGGTGAGGCCGACGGTGGATTGATCAGGGGAGGCGTTTTCCACCGTGTATGCAACGTCCCGGGGTTCTTGCTCAGTGATCGCACAGGGCTCGCTATTGCTGTGGGGAATCGATTGGCCCTTGCTAGGAGCAGGGTCAACTTCATTCCTTCTCTGGCGCAAGAGTGCTTCCTTGGTAAGGTACAGGGGTTCACCAGACGCCTTGCCAGGCAGCTGGTGAGATCGGTTGCGCCGATGTCCCAGGACCTCAACACGTGCTGAAGACGATTCCTCGTCAAGCAACAAGTTGGAATGATGACCAACGGCAGAGGCAACACTCAAGGCCAAGCTGGGTTCAGAGTGGCGGTCGCCATCCAAAGACACAACTTCTGACACCGGTCTGTCAGGCCGCCGTTCTCCGCTCTGGAGGCCTCTTGCGAGTCGGCGACTTGCACCGCCAAACAGGCCACTGACATTCGTGGTCCCGGTGGTTTCGACGCGTGCTGGGGCCCCGGTTTGCTGAGAGCCGGGAAATCCAGGAGCAATATTGGATGGCTTAACCGTTTTCGCGGACTCAGCGGTGGACAAGGTCGACGTTGCGCGCGCCGGAGGGTCCGGTCGGGGAGTTCGCCCGTTGGAAAGAGTCGTCTCGAACTGTACGTCCTGGAAGTAACATGATTGCTCATCCCGCCCCACAGGGCTTGCGCTGACACTTTGTGAGAGAGGGTGTTCGCCATCTCTAGTCAGTCGCGAAGGCCGAAGAAAGTCTTCATCTTTAAAACTCCCACGTCGGTTATCCCAAAGGTACTTTCCAATGGAGGTCCCACTCGACGCAGAGGATTCCATCGAAGGCGCCGCGCTGGGTGTACGCTTTCGATTGTCTTTTTCCTTTTCCTTCGACCGACCGGTGAGATAATTGGACCACTTAGCGACGTTGGATCGCACCCGCTGGATGAATGGGACCTTGCTGACGGCGGTGGTGACTTCTTCATTTGACACCTCAATCTTGCTCTGGTAACGAGGATCAGTTTCCTCCACCCATGCCCGGGGGTTCGGCAGGCCGTTTAAGATCCACGGATGATGCTTGATTTCCTTCACGGTGATCCGCTTTATTGGATCCTTGGTGAGCAGACGTTTCAGGAGATCGTAGAGTTCATCATCGATTTCTTCGTAGACGAGCTCATGTTCCATGCGCTTGCTATTGTCCGCATACCGAGGCCATTGGCTAACGGTGTCCGGATCGTCTTCAACAGGCTTTAGACGTTTGCGCGGAATGAAGACCTCTTTCTTCACTATAGTCTGAAACATGCTGTACTCGTCATCCGAGACAAATGGCAGACGGCCAAAAATCATGCCGTAAAGAGTCACGCCCAGTGACCAGACGTCGATAGCACCGGTGATCTGCGGTACATTACCGATAGTATCCACAAAATCTTCGCCTGTATAGCACAGTTCGGGGGCGTAGAATGCGGGGGTTCCCACGGTCTTAGACAACTCTCGAGCGTCATCGAGTTCGGTCGCATCGGTCTCTCCGACCTGCTCTTCTTCCTCATCCCTGATGGGCCGACCCAAGTAAGACACACCGAAGTCGGAGATCTTCACGCGATGATTACTGGTGACCAGCAAGTTCGCAGGTTTTATGTCACGGTGGATGATGCCTTGATAATGGAGATACTCGAGGCCGAGGAGAGAATCCCGGAAAGCATTGCGTGCTTCGGTAAAGGTCAAACAAGGGACGTACGATGTGTCATCATCATCAGAGAACCACTCGGGCTCGGAAGGCGCGTATCCAAAACTGCTGGAAGCGGTGCTAAAGCGCCTATCAGATGTGTAATCTGCATAAGCGCCATACATGCTGCCTTCCACCGCAGCCAAGGCCGATTCATGAGCAGACATGAAGGAGTGCGGTGGCGAGGACTGAGCTTCTTCTTGGCTCATCATAGAGCGGCTGGATGTGCGGGCAATCGCCAACTCCGCCCCTTCTTCTTCCTCATCTGATTCGGCACCATGCTCCAAACTCCATGCCGGAATAGGGCCCTGCTGTGCGTAAGCTGCCTGCGCCTGGCGGCGCTCGCGTGCCTTTTCACGCTGATGTCGAAGGTGCTGCGCAGTTCTGATATAATGCAAACTCTCCTCCATGAATGACGGCGAATCGGGAATTCCTGCTTTCTCACGCTCAAGCCGGTTTTTGTCGACATGCACAATTTCTCGTAACCCTCGACGTCGCCATATGATTTCGCCGTTCTCGACGTATTCGAGGACTATATAAACCTTTTGTCGATTTGGATCGTCGATCACTTCTAACAGACTGACCACATTGGGGTGCCGCGCTTTCTTCAAAATGGCAACCTCTTTCTTCACTTTGTCCTCGGGGTTTCCCAGCTTCCCCAAACGGCGCCTTTTTGAATAGCGCTGGACAATTTTGATGGCAACCTTTTGGCGTGTCGCCACGTGTCGGCCCAGTTTTACTTTTCCATGCTCGCCACGTCCAAGTTCCTTGAGGATTTCATATTGATTGATCAGTTTGTTCCCGGTCACAATATCCCGGTCCACCTCAGCGGTGTGGGTCCTAGTAGTGCATTGTCAGTTCCTGCCACATTGGGAAAAGAGGGAACCGTAGGCCGGTTCAGGGGCGACAACTTACTCTTTGGGCGGCTGAAGGTGTGTCGGGTGAAGGTAGGGGCTGCTCATACGGCCTTCATCATCGGACCCGAATGGTGGCGTCGAACGTGGGCTGCGAACAGAGAAAAGCCCCGGGCTGGAAATGGGGGTGTTGCCTGCCGTACGAGAGACCCGCGCCGGCGGAAATCGGGTAAGAATCTCAGTGCGCGACGGATATGAACTCCGGGAACGCAGATGTGGAGGCTGATAGGTCGGGTGAACCTGAGATTGGAGAACGGCATATGATTGATCGGGATAAACTGGATATTCGGCGGGTTGAGTATCGGACTGGGACAAATGCGACGTTCTTCGGGGGAGAGACGGACGCCCGAATATGCCATCCGATCGAGCATCAACCACGGCATCTTCGTTCAACGCTTGAAGGGAGCTGGAGGATGTCCTGGTGGAGGGTGACCTGGAGGTACTCGAGGAATGATAGACGTGCGAGAAGGGATGGCGAAGAGACGCTTGACCTTCTGCTACGTCCGTTGGTAGAGGGAGTTTGGCGGTTGGAGGTCGGGTAACGGTCGGCCTAGTGTCCGCATCTGTTGAAGCCGAAAACAATTGTCCTGAAGCCTCATTGGACTTATCCGAGCCCCGCCTGTGAGCATTATTCGAACTCTTGCCATTTCGACAGCCAAAACTAACGGGTTCCTCCAATGCAGGTACCGAAGGGGGGCGATCAGTCATTTTCATGTCTTAGATTGCCAAACCAACTCGGTAAAAGTTGCAACTGAGCATCCTCCACTTTTGATCCTTCGCTTCTTGCTTTGTTCCCGTTCCAGTATCTTCTCCCTGCCGTTGTCTTTTTAAGAATTTTCGATTTTTTTTTTATTTCCCCGCGATAGATTCAATTTGTACTGCGGACGACGACGCCGAATGGACCACTCGATTCAGGGAGAGCTAGGTAAAAGCTCAGTGGGTGTGCACGAATGAACCAGCATTACTCCCAGTGTTGAACTCGGCCGGAAACCATGACAGCTGTGCAGGTCGACCTGGCGTAGGAACCGTGTGCCGGACAACGGCAATGACGTGGGAAAATTCCGGGCGATAGACCTGCTACAGCTCCAGGATGCAGTCGGAGATCGACTGTCTCGCTCGGGATGTAGCTTTCGGTGCAGCGTGAAGAACCGGACGGAATCGCAGTCGGCTGAGAGGGGAGAGGTGCGTTCGAGCGCGGTCGAGAGAAGGACTGCTAAGTATAGAAGCTAGGGAGCGGATGGTAAGTCGTACCAATAGGATGGGAGCCCCCAAAAGAATTGGCGGAAATCAGAGGATATAAAAAAAAAGGGATATAGATCAAAGAAAATCAATTATGAAAATGTAGATCCGAGATTGGAAATATTAAAATTCGGAAAAGGAAAGGAAGTAAATCAATAGGAAAGAAGGAGGCGGAGAGAAGTATATAGGAAGAAGAGAGAAAGGAAAAGGAAAAGGGAAAGGGAAAGGAGGAAAAAGCGGTTGGTTGGCGGTAAGTGTTGGACTACCAAGGGGGGGGGGAGGGTAAAGTGGTGAAAAGGAAAAAAGATGGGATGGATGACGATGGTGGTGGTAGTACCTTAGCGGTAGTCAGAATCTCCCAAGACCAACAACGGTGGGTGAGAGCAGGCTTTTGTCAGGCGGATGGGGGGGAGGAGGGAGGTGTGGGAAAGAAGCGGAAAGGAGGGGAGATCAGTATTAAGAGGAATGTATGGTGGGTGTACGGGCCATACGCTCTCAGGTACCGGGGGGTGGTGGGGTGGGTGGTTGTCTTGTCATCGGCAGTAAGGTACAGTAACGGGGTGCCCATAGCCAGGTCGAGGCGCCGTGGGCTTGGGTACTGGCACTGACGCTGTATAGAGAGAGAGGGAGAGAGGGTCCTGCAGCGTACAGCGTAGATTTTTTTTTTTTTTTTTCTTTTTCCTTTTTTCTTTTTACCAAAAAACTGTCATAAAAAACGAAAGAAAAAGATGGGTAACCACCTACCCCTAGTGGGGAACTTGGTCTACCTACGTACCGTACAGCACATACTCCATACATGATTAAGAACACATGTTAAGTTGATGATTTCGATCAATTGGACCCTCAGATTGAGTCCGATTTTTTCTCTGCAGTGACAATCCGCAGAGGCCACCCACGATGATCTTCTATACCTGGGCGATGGGTACATGCACAGGCATTCCTGCGAGGCGTAAGTTTGAATCCGAGTCGGCGGTATTGTAACGACGGCGTACGGGCCCCGTTCTCTGCGATCGGACTGCCGTGGCTTACCTAAGGAGGGTGGACGAACCATGGACAAGCCGTCTCGGCCGACCATCCGGCGGCCAAAGGGTTTCTTGGCCGTTGGGATTCCGTCGAGAATTCGATGGTACGCAGTATATTATGATTATGATCCCAGATGGACGCCCGTAGAATGTACGGCGTAGTTTCCCCGGTGCCCCATACTAGGAACTAGAATGTACTAGCAAGTAGCTTCTTCCGATTACTAGGAGGGAGATGGTACGGGATACTAGCCAGGTCTTAAGCAGTTAGAGGACTCCGTGGATACTCCAGACCGGCCCCATAATAGCTAGAAATAGCATAAATTCTGCTCCTAAATCGGAGCCAGCCTTTTACCACGGGAGGTGGTCGACCTAGACCAAGCTTTCCATACGGAGCAAGTATGAGAAAACCTTGACAGACTTCCTACGCCGTACCATACATCGATCTTTATCTACGGAGTATATGCGATAAAAGGTAATTTTTTAATTTTTTTCTTCCTTTAAAAAAAATAAGAAGAAAGAAAAAGGGAATAAAAAAAGAGAGAGAGAAAAAAAAAAGACTACAGGCTGTACAATTCCCAGGCGAGTGGCGGATTTCTTTTGCCAAGCACCCTTACTTGCATTCATTACGTAGGGGACTTTTTCTCCGTCCATTGTCATCGAGTCAGCTACATCACCACCAGTCATGTCTCCTTCTCCTGCCTATTGTTACCGTGGGAGGATCAACCGCCGCTTCGCCAAGTACCCAGAAATTGTGGAAACCTCTTTCGCTCGGGTATGGACGAAGTTCAGGTAGTGTCGCCAAGTCCTTTACCTATCTGCCCACCGCCATCCATCCCTCTGCAATCTGCATGTACATACTAACTGGGAGAGCTAACGAGTACTCCGTGGACGGTCTGAAACATTACAGGAGAGAGCGCACAATATTTCTGATCACTATAATAAAATATAGTAATAAGAAATCCGGATAATGAAAATAAAAACCAATCCTTGACACCTGTCACTCGAGTTCTCGGCGACCCAAGGGATCTGGTCTTGATCCCTGGTTGTGGGAGTTCCGTGGGTCTACCTTTTGATCCTCCCTTTTGCCTCGAGGTTCTGGCCAGAATTTTAACTTTGCTCGTTCTGTCCAAACATGATCGTCTTCTACTCGTTGACTCCGTACCGATCCTGGGTCACTCCATGTTGGCGAGCCTCAGCTGCTGCCGGATAGCGGATAAACTGCCTACTTACTTCACTAGTCATGAATAGGGACCTGGACTTGCACTCTGGACTGGTTGATGGGAATGCATCCATCCATGTTGACCAATGGCATGGCCGCCGTTTGGATTAGTCTCGCGCAGTGAGTTTGGCCGGGGGTCTGTGTTCTCTAACAGGGACAGTTGGAAAGAAATTCAACGCTCGTTCGCCTCCAACAGTAATTCCACCGTACGGAGGAATGCCCCCATGTTCGTAGGTAGTTACCTACTTCCTGGCTATTACTCAAAGGGGACAAGTTTGTAGAGCTCAACCGATCGGACAAGACAAACCCAATGTGTATCGCATTAAGAAGTTTTTACAGCATCAAATATGCCTCTCCCCCCCCCCCCCCCCTTCCACCGCGTTTCTCTTCCCGTGTTCCCGGCTCGATTGGAAAGTCGCCGAAACTTCTGGTCAGCAATTCCATCCCCAATTTCCTCATGCGTAGCAGCCTAATCCGTCGACGAGGAGGGCGTGGGCGAGCCATCGAAGCGAATCTCCCCCTATCAGGCCGCCTCTTTGCTGCTCCCCACCTGTCTCTCCCGGTCGACCGGTCGACCGGTCGACTATAGAGCTGTCCATTATGTTCCAGCCAGCCTATGAGTAGAATTCCCCTCTGTCCGCGCGACCCTGCAAGTGCTCGAATCTAAAACACCAGGGCGGCATCCTGGGTAACCTTCCCGAATGGGATAGGTATGGCGCGGAGGCAATCTTGAGGATGTTCGGTTGATCTGGCTGGATCTTGCGCATCCTCTCGTGCATGCGCTTTGGTGCTCGTCCTTCAGGTTCGCTCCTGCGGTGATTGGAGGGTTACGTCATTGGAGCCCAATGTCAGCTTCCAATTCTACCGGAGGGGGGAAATCAGAGACACGGCTGCCAGGATCATAAATGATTCCTACTAGATGGTGTCTCGGGAGTCCATCCTCCGCCCGTCAGGGGCCGGCGATTGGAGAGCGGCGCACGGGACAGCTGGACGAGCTGCACCGTGAAGTTTCATGCTGGAGACTCGTCGGATTTGCCACGGGGATCCTACGCACTCAGACTCCGGACGAGACGGTGGGAGGGGCCAGCATCACACGTTCACTTCCCTTCCCGTCATCTCCTCATTTCCCTTCTTTCCCCCGCCCCCCTGGATATCTCACAGCCATGCCCATTTCGGTGTCTTGCATGCCAACCCGATCTTGACCATCGACCATTGGCTCTCCATGTCCGAACCAAGCTTTTTAGCGTCGCCCGGTTGTTCAACCAAGAGCGAAGAATTGTAATTCACCAGGTGTCCTCGGTCTCCGTCCCCCCCGTATACCCTCGGGTCTCCTCTCTGGAAGGGGAGAAGAGGGAAATCCGGGGAAGCAGGGCAACATGGAGAGGGAAAGACTGGGGGCGACAAGACAGGCACGGTCATGGACGATGAGGTCCATCGAGACGCTAGATCAAACACAGACTCACCCGCAGATGCCTACTAGTGAGGATTCCTCCAGGTTCCCGTCGCACAGCAGCGTCCGTGCCTCGTTACCTCTACTAGTACGAGCAGACGAGCAGACTAGCGGACTAGTATTACCTGCCTTCGATATGGTATCCTCCTGGGCAAACTTGCCGTACACCACTACCATTTACTTCTGTTCTGCTGCGGTTCATCCAACCATCGATCCCAATCCACCCCCTGGTTGGATACGAGTTCCGCCCCAATCTCTGTCGCTTGGGCATGGTTTTCGGCGCGCTGATAGGTGGATTCCATTCTATACCAGCCACAACTAAGATGGACGGTGACTGCTGGTTCGGTCCATGCGCGCGATTTCAACAATAGACCTCGCATGGCATGGCATGACATATCCGCCCAGGATATTGCATTCAGGATACGCGAACGCCCCAAAGAAGGTTCTGACTAGTAAACTGATTCGCCGGCGACTGGAGGGCAGTCTGACCTGCCGTCGGTCGATTCTGATGGCGATATCAGTCCGAGTGGCACAGGCGTCTCTTTCCGACGCCTAACCGGTTGTTCCCGACGCGGCTGAAGGCGGCCAGGATACCTGATGGAATCCAAAAGTAGCGACTACGCAGTAGGGATGGGTTGAGAAACTTTAATCCGCTCTCGTTCCCTCGTTCCCATCCACTTGTTCGTTCTTCTCGCGTATCTCTCTTCGAGACAGGCTAGTCTCGTCGGCTGCGTCATGATAGGGATGACCTTGGACCTCCCCTGTCGTCACGACGGGTCAGGAGGCAGCTGGAGAATGCGGGACCACCCGAGGAGAGCAAGCACAAGAAGATCAAGCGATAGGGAGGTGAGGGTATCATCGAGGAGGACGGTGTAACCCATCTCGGCTGGGGATGGTCGTATACTCGGGTCTGCTATACCCCCCTTCCTGCCTCTTTCCCATCCGGTGAGATCAGGCCGACTGGACGTCGAAACTCTTTTTTGAATAAACGCCACCGTAGCGCATCTCCTCAGCCCTTGTGGATTCTCCATGCTGGAACTAAAGTTGCGTCTAGTCGCTGACAGCTGCGACCGTTAACCCGATCGGGGAAGAGACGGAGCACTGCATAGTTGAATTCATTCTTGGCTCGGTGTTTTGTTCTTCGATCTTTTCCCGAGAAAATGCCCAAGGTAGAGAGAGTGACCCTGTCGAGTCATGATGGTAATCTCACGAACCAGGGATGGAGGGATGGGCACTGTCGACAGTGGCCCCGTTGGGTAGCAAACAAGAAAGTCTCCTTCACAACGCCCTCTACGTAGGGCTGTCCCGACAAACCGATCCCAAAATGGAGTCGATGGATCCAGCACAACCAATAGTCCCGGAATTGACGGGGGATGGGGGATTTGAAACGTCTCGAACAATGCTAGTCCTCGTGCCTTTCACGATGCCGTGTCTCACCTTCTCCACATGGGCTGCAGAATTCTTGATCGATTGACAGATCCCGATAAGATGATGGGAAAGACAACCGCCCACTTTGACCATCAGGACAATGCGAGAAAGTTATCCTAGGTAAACCGTCGGGATGGATCGATCTTACGCAACCCTTTTCCTTGGAACCGTGGACGAGGCGTGATCAAGATGCACGTTGCCGGTGCAACCAGCCGTCTGTTTACGCGCAATTCGTCCAGCCCCTCCATGAGCCAATGGCCGATGTCATCATGGCCCAGTGTCGTACAGCCCAGACCTCGGGCCATGACGATGGCTTTAATCTATTGTTCTATTGAACGCGTCTCTGATTTGCTCCGACCGGATTATGGATTGAGGGCCCTCCAGGGATCGTTCACTTCGGCCCCGATCGGCCGCTATGGCTTCGGCATGGCACTGTTTACTGTCGCCTGGCCAGCTCCCCACCTCATCACCGTCCCTCGATTCTTTCGTTTTCACTCTTTCTCACCACTATCCTGAGTGATCTATCTCCCTCTCGGGCTACGCTGTTCGATCGGAATTCTTCTTCTCACCTGACGCCGCGTCGATAGGGCGCCGGGTACGTGGGTCCTCCATCCAGCGCGGTTCTCCCCATGCCGGCCGAACTAAACTCGAGACGCCTCTGTTCAAATTAACGGTTGCGAACTAAGATCGACGGGGCCCTCTAGATGCAGCGCAGGCTGTCTCAGGACGTCAGAGTGTCCCTCAAGTCGGTTGAAGCTCTTGTCCTCTCCCATGGATGGTCGGATGCTTCGAAACAACGGAATGCGCAACCCTGACGGCGTCCACCTGGCGTCGACATTCCTCCTACTCCTCGTGCTTCTGATCGGCCCTGTCGCTGCGACCATTCCATACACTCCGTCATATCTCCTGTACGATTTGCAGAACAACGCCTCTTTCACCTATCTGTTGCGGCCGGGTAGCACCCAAGGAACTACTGAGCTGCTTTCTCTGAACGTATCCCGGAACATTGATGGCTCGAATCCTCGCTATAAAACCCTGTCGGAGGAGGTCCCGTTCGACACCGAAAACCAGACGTCTTCATTTGTTCCAGTAATCGATCAACACGGCGTTATCAAGACCTATGCCGGCAATTGCAACTGCGCGCGGGAGAATGCTACGGTGTGGCAGTTCACGCCGAGTTCTGGCAGCGCGACCGGCAACGGGACATGGGAGAGGTATTCTGTCGATGCAACGAGCGATCCAGCGAGCTCTGGGATCCATGGCCCGAACTATCTCTCCGCAGGGTTTGCGTACGCCAGCTCCAACACGAGCGACAGCGCCATTTACGTCTTTGGGGGAATGTGTCCATTGCCGAACGAGTGGGGTCCCACTTGGATGGCTGCTGCAAATTACTCGCGGGCCATGGTGGTGTTGAACCCTCCAAAATCCGATAATCCTTCCTCATATCAAATCTCAGCTGCCGGCGATCGCGCACCTCCGATCCCAGAGGCCGGCTTTACGATCACCCCCTTACTTCCAGCATATGCGGCTACTCCGATGGGCAAGCTGTTGAAACAACAAGACTTCCTGTTGATCGGAGGTCATACCCAGAAGGCGTTCATCAATATGTCCCAGCTGGCGCTCTTTTCGCTTCCCCAGAAAAGTTGGAGCATCGTTCATGTTGGATCCTCGCTTGGCGAGTTAAAAACTGACCTTGCGGCTCGCAACTCGCCAGCGATCGATCCGCGGTCTGGACATACCGCCGTTCTCTCCCCGGACGGGAGGAAGGTGATTGTGCTTGGAGGCTGGGTTGGCAATACGGGTGTCCCTGCAAACCCCCAGTTGGCTGTCCTGGAAATCGGGGATGACTCCACGGGCTCGGATGGCTGGAAATGGAGCATCCCGTCTCAGAAACACAGTCCGATCGCTGAAGGGACCGGCATCTACGGCCATGGCGTGACGATGCTTCCTGGCGGAGTGATGATGATCGCAGGCGGCTATCGCATACCCCAATCTTCCAAAAGATCCGCCGCCGGTCCCCAGCTGAACACCCAAGTCCAGCTGTATAACGTGACTTCGGGCAGTTGGGTCTCGTCGTATAAGAATCCGAACTATGTCTCAAACCAACCCACGTCCGACGAGCCCAGTGATCCCGAAACGAATACCGATCCCGTTTCCCATTCGTCTACATCTCGAACAATCGGGCTCGGTGCAGGACTCGGCGCTGGGATTCCAACCCTCGCCGGCGCAGCGATCCTTGTTTGGTTCTACTGGAGGAGGCGACGAACACGCCGCGCGCGCGACCAGAGTCTCCGCAAGTTGGCCTTGGATGCGCAGAGAGCACACTTTTGGGGCCAAGATGATCCTTCGATGGCTAGCAGCATCCGCAGGCCCTCCATGAGAGAGACCAATCGGGACTACCCCTGGAACAATAATCAAGGCACTGGCCGGTCATCTAGTTGGCCAGATAGTGGCGATGCCGCCGCCGAAAGAACTGGGCTCCTCATGGACATCCCTACCCCTACCAAGACCATCCGCTCGGGCCTGAATGCAAGAATGTACCGGCCCCCTGCGCCGTACAACGAATACCGACGCAGCGACGGAACGGCCGAGATCCACCCGATAGACGAGCGGGAAGAGGATGAGATCCAAGACCCGGAGCAGAGAGCAGCGCGAGAATCGATGGACCCGTTCCTCACTCCTCGAAGCACCATCGTCGGGGAAGAACAACTATATCCCAACGGCGTTGTGCCCGTGTTGGCCCCCAGCGCTGGCCTGGGACATGATGAGCCTTCTTCTCCGGATAAGAACGACCGGACGTCCTCGAACTTATCTGATTCATCGACCGAGGCCCGCTCTGCCCATCAGTACCATGGTGTGCTCTTCAGTAATTCTTCCAGCCAACCGAGCAGCGGGCGTGTGTCGCCAGAAAAGCCCGGCTCTTCATCCGGACACAGCAGTCACACCCCTCAACACCGACCAGATAGTGCCACGATCCCTCAAGAAAAACGCTACTCCTCGGATTCCTTCTCCACCGCCCACACAACCCTCTCGCAACGGCAGGTCGAAGGCGAACATCTGCTCCAAGAAGGCCCCCAGTCCCCGACGGGGGATCTTTTCCCAAGACCCCTTTCTATTTCGAAGCCCAGGACGTCGGACTGGATGGGCAACGTCCGGCGAGTGCTCTCCGTCACGCGGAAACGGCCGCCAGCGAACGACGACTGGAATGACACCTCCATGGCTTCGGGCGTTGATCGAATGGGCACGGTCCTCGGAGCACCAAAGGCACTACCCGAGTCATCGGGCAGTAACTCGCAGGTTCCCCGTCGCTCGGTCAGTGCGTCGGCCGAGCTGTTCAGGCGCAAACAGGGCCCCAGGAACTGGAGCGCCGGCAACCGAGTCTCGCGGGATATGACCTCCCAAACGCCCATCCGCGATGACTTTGCCTTGGACGGACTTCTCGACATGATGGAGGGCCACGATGACTCCGACTCCGACTCGGACCTCGAGGGCGCCACGGAAGGCAGACGGGTCCAAATGACATACACAGCGCCGAAGGAAAGGTTGCGAGTGGTCAATGCCACTGCGCGCGACATGGACAACTTCTCCGAGAAATCCATCAGTCGCAGCAATAGCGAAGCGTAAGATGAAAGGGATTGATTGTATACGATTGTGGGCGTTGACAGGGACATCGTCCATTTTGTTTCTTCGCATTTTCTTTTTCGGATTTTGTTCAGTTAGCGATATCCGTCTCCCCTTTTTTGTATTGTTTTGTTGTTTTCTTTTTATTCTTGATTTCCTTTTCTCTCTCACGTATCATACGCTCGTCACGATGGCCGGACTGTATGTTTATATTCCATTCGTTTATGTGGTGATTTGATATCCCCCCTGTGTGTTTAAATAGCTTTTTTCTTCCCTTCTGCACATGGTTCACGTCCAGATTATTACGATGAATGAAATCAGATTGAATGACTTCGGTAGGGATGGTACGGTGACTCAGAGATCTAGATGGTGAACAATAGCCTTTATTATCTCTAGATTGGATACTGAATATGATTCATTCTATAGATGCTCTGATAAGCTCAGACGGACAAAGAAATTATTTTATAAACCCCGAGATATAAACGAGAAAAAAAAAATGCAAAATCCAAAGCCAGTTTCTTTTCATAAATGCCATAACAAACGGAGAAAAGGACCTCTACGCGGAGCCATTCGATCCCATCGTGGGACGGGTCGGAATGGTCTTGGGGAGCGGCGGCAGGCGGGACTTGGCGCTTTCGCGGGCATACTGGGCCATCAGGGCGTCCATGACGACCAGCGCGGACATGGTCTCCACGATGGGGACGGCGCGGGGCACGACGCAAGGGTCGTGACGGCCCTTGGCCTCCAGAATACCCTGCTCGAGATCGTAGGTGGCCGTGGTCTGGGCCTGGCCGATGGTGGCGGGGGGCTTGAAAGCGACGCGGAAGTAGATCGAGGCCCCGTTGGAGATACCACCCTGGATGCCGCCGGAGTTGTTGGTCTTGGTGGTCAGGCGCTCGTTCGACGCCACGAAGGGATCGTTGTGGATCGAGCCGGGCACCTCGCAGCCGCCGAAACCAGAGCCGATCTCGAAGCCCTTGGTGGCGGGAATGCTGAGCATGGCGTGCGCGATCTTCGCCTCGAGCTTGTCGAAGCAGGGCTCGCCCAGACCGACGGGGACGTTGCGGATCACGCAGGTCACGGTGCCGCCAATGCTGTCGTGGTTGTCCCGGAACTGCTCGATCACCTTGGTCATGCGCGCGGCGGCGTCCTCGTTGGGGCAACGGGTGGGGACGAACGAGTCGACCATGTTGCGGTCGATCTTCTCGAGGAGGTTCAGGTATTCGGGGTTGGTCGAGGCAGTGGGGTGCTCCGGCGTCGGGGGGAACAGGTGCTCATTGCCGACGGAGGAAACAAAAGCCACGATCTCAACACCGTGGGACAGACGCAGGTACTTTTCGGCGATGGCACCGGCAGCGACACGACCTAAGATAAAGTAGATCTCGTCAGTATAACCTGTCTTCTATCCGTCCTTGTCCTCGCGCCAAGGGGCCGCTCTCACCGATAGTTTCCCGGGCGCTGCTACGGCCACCTCCACTGCTGGCCTTCACACCGTACTTCTCCAGGTAGGTAAAGTCGGCATGGCTGGGTCGGGGGTACAAGTCCATGGTGCTACCGCCGTAGTCCTTGGGGCGCTGGTCCTCATTGCGAACCATCATGCCAATGGGAGTACCCAGGGTAACGCCGAATTCGGTACCCGACTGGATTTCCACGCGGTCCTTCTCGTTGCGGGGGGTCGTCAGAGCGCTCTGGCCGGGACGTCGCCGAGTCATCTGAGGCTGGACATCGTCCTCAGTGAGCTCCATGCCAGGAGGGCAGCCATCGACGATACAGCCGACGGAGCGGCAGTGGGATTCACCGTAACTGTTGAAGATCCAAGCACAATCATGTCAGTGGCTCCGATGTCCATTGTCTCTCTGCGTCCGTCTGTCTCCGAGTTTCCTCGCAGACCACGGTGACCCCGATCCCAGAGCGAAAGCACTTACGTGGTGACCTTGAAGTGTTCACCCCACGTCGACATGGTGAGTCAATCGGTTGATCCCTTGCGCGAAGGAGAGAATGGCGGGGCAGTGAGTTGGAGGGGCAATGCAATGCGACTTGGACTCGAGCAGCAGAGAGCGAGGATGAAGCGACAGCGGGCAGGGAGAAGAAAAAGGGAATCAGGAGCGATCGAGCAGAGGAACGACAGGGGAATAACCTTTTCCTGGGTGGAACCACACGAGTAATGACTGCCGCAGAATGTGTTCGGGAGAGCCCAAAGTGGCATCTTTTTCAGGTCGATCGTCCTTTTTAGTGCCCGGCGATCGGAGGCATCGCGCGTACCGTACGATACCGTACGATCGAGGTACTGGTACTCCCGAGTCACACTCCGTACTGCAGTGGCCACCGGTACCCTGTACCTGAGGTCCGTATGGCCCTGCCGAATATCTTCACTTTTTCCCTGTATTTCCCTCGTCTTTTCTCCCCTTCTCCATCCTTATATTCCCTCTCTCTCTCCATGCTCCCTCTCCTCCCCTCATGCCTGCGGTCATCCTCTCGCATCCTCTCCCGGCATGGTCCTCTCCCCCCCCGTCGATATAACTCCTCCTTTCCCTCCGACCAGTTCGCCCAGCTCGCCAGTCGCCCATCCGCTCGGCACCAAATCTACCAATCCCTGTCCACCGATCCCTACGTGAACCTCTCCATCGAACACTTTCTGCTGGAAAATGCGCCCGCCGACTCGAGCATCCTCTTCCTCTACATCAACCGTCCGTGTGTCGTCATCGGCCGCAACCAGAATCCGTGGCTAGAAACCAATCTGCATGCCATTCACAATGATCGCGTGTTGCGCGAACCCGACGACTCCACGAGCAGCGACGTCGTTTACGTGCGACGGCGATCCGGAGGAGGCGCGGTATACCATGACGAAGGCAATCTGAACTATAGCGTCATTTCGCCGCGGACGACGTTCACGCGAAACAAGCATGCGGAGATGGTGGTGCGGGCACTCCATCGCGTGGGGGCGACGAATACCAGCGTCAACGACCGGCATGATATTGTCTTGTCGTCCGGGGAAGACCAGCCCCGGAAGATTTCCGGGTCGGCTTTTAAGCTGACGCGACAACGTGCGCTGCATCATGGAACCTGTTTGCTGGATACGCCGAACATCGGCCGGCTGGGCTTCTTTCTGCGATCGTCCGCCCGGGATTATATCAAAGCCAAGGGCGTCGAGAGTGTGCGGTCTCCCGTTACCAATGTCTCCTCGATGTTCAGCAACGCGTTGACCCCATTCTCAATCCAAAGCGTCGTCACCAGTGTCATGGAGGAATTTGCGACCCTCTACGAGGTCAACCCCGACGCCGTGCGCCGTGCGCAGCGGGCCCACGCCCACGACCCGGAACTATACGCGGGGGAAGACTGGGTCGCAGGAGCGGTGGGAGACGCCCAAGGCCAGCAGGAGCCCAAGATCAAGTCAGGAATCGACGAGCTCACGGTAAGTGCCTTCGTTGACCGGGGCGAGTGCATCGTAGCTAATATCGGACGTCTGAGCAGTCGTTGGAGTGGAAATACACCCAGACGCCACAATTCACCTTTTCTACATACCCGATCGAGGACGATCCTCGAGAGAGACCAGCTCTGCCGTCTTCTTTGCCGCCTAAAGTAAGGGCTTCCCACAGTTCCGCTTCATGACCCCGTGGCAGACCACTAATTGCATTACATTAGACGCGTGCATTCCTTCGCCTCAAGCATGGGGTTATCATAGAAAGCTGCATTTCGACCGCGTCCGAACCCACGTTGGCTGATCAACAGGCGAGTCGCGTCCACGAGGCCCTGAATGGCCGGACGCTTCACGAGATCCAGCAAACCCACTGGGATGAGGTCCTCTTGGATTGCTTGGGTGCAGAAGTCGAAGCAACCACCATCCACGAGCTCTCAAAATTCATCGGGAGCAAGTTAGGCTGCTCGTAATCTCCCGACCCGAGTACCCGAGAGTATGTGAGGATAGGCAGCACCCAATAGGTAGAACTTGTATATATACGCAGTATGGATTCAACCCTAGTCTACATTCTGGGGACTGCAGGCACTAAAGAAGCGGGGCGTGTAAGACCCCTGCCTGGGAGGTAGATTCGGCCAGACGGCGAATGCACCACCACTTCTAAACGGAGTCGTCAAATACGAATACGATTCGGGGCATTGCAGCCCCGAAGATTGCGTGGAATTCCCTTGATTGATTCAGCCGAAGAAACCCCGCAAGCAGCGATTGTTGCGGGGTGCATGCGAAAGTTGGGGTACTCCGCAATCGCTGGCCCTGGTCGGTGGACACGGTTTCACACCTCTGCTTGCGACTGGGCCAAATCTCATTGGGATCAACCTCGGACGCCATTATCCTCTTTTTGTCACTGCCGCGGGAAGAGACGCAAGCCAGCGTTCGGTCTGATTTCCAACGAAGCCCGAACTGCCCCAGGAAATCGCATGGGTCGCCTTGAAGAAACCCGCTCAAGATGTCATCGCTAGCAAGCGGGGGCACGTCTGTTTATGCAGATCAGGAGGTCGAAAGAGGGAGAGTGGAACGAGTATTTAAAGCATGTCGAGTCATGCACGAAAAGCTATTGATTCCGGAGTCTCTGCAAAAAGCCCGGTTGGTGAAGGTTGCAGTGTCAACTCCTCCATCATGGCTCTATCCATCTCGCAGATTTCCTTTGAGCATCATCGCACCGCCCTCGGGATCGCTGAATCAACCCCTCGAATCTCGTGGCGGTTTCAAGGGAACGTGACCGACTGGGAACAAAGCGCCTATGACTTGGAGATCAAGCGCAAGGGAGGGGAGCCTGATATCTTTCATGTCGACTCCTCCGACTCGGTCTTGGTCCCTTGGCCCAGCTCTCCGTTGAAGTCTGGCGAGGAGGCGACTGTACGCGTGCGCTCCTCCGGCCAGGACAGCCAGCCGAATACAGCGTGGTCTGGCTCTTTCACCGTCGAACCGGGTCTGCTGAGTCCCGAGGACTGGCAGGACGCTGCGGCCATCGTGTCCGATCGACCCACGGAAGTCAACCAAACCCACCGGCCGATCCTCTTCCGAAAAGAATTCAAGCTGGATGATTCGTACGACTCCGCACGGCTGTACATCACGGCGCTGGGCTTGTATGAAGCCCAAATCAACGGAAAGCGGGTTGGAGACCACGTCCTGGCCCCCGGCTGGCAAGCCTACGCCAGTCGCCACGAGTACAACACCTATGATGTAACCGAACATTTGCGACAGGGGGCGAACACAATTGGAGTCACGGTCGGAGAAGGCTGGTATGCCGGTCGCCTGGGATTCAGCGGGGGGCAGCGAAACATCTACGGCGATACCCTCGGCGTGCTCTGCTTGCTCGTCGTTACCAAACCGGATGGCACCAAGGAGTATATCCGCAGTGACCGAACGTGGAAATCAGGGACCGGTCCCGTTATAACCTCGGAAATATACGATGGTGAAAAATATGATGCGAGATTGGAGCGCAGTGGATGGTCCAACCCTGGCTTCAATGGTACCGGCTGGCATGGGGTCCATGAAGTCTCGTTTGACAAGGAGAAATTGGCTTCTCCAGATGCTCCCCCCGTTCGACGGGTTGACGAGCATAAGCTCGTCAATGTCTTCAAGAGTGCGTCGGGAAAGACTGTCCTCGACTTTGGCCAAAACCTGGTTGGATGGTTGCGAGTCCGTGTCAAGGGACCGAGCGGACAGACGATCAAGTTTGTCCATACAGAGGGTATGTGCCATTTGCCCTTTCGCAGGCAGAGAAGTGACCGGCCAAGCTAATGTTTGACATATAGTCATGGAGGATGGAGAAGTCGCCACTCGTCCGTTAAGAGTTGCGAAAGCAACCGATCATCTCACTCTCTCGGGCAAAGGAGTGCAGGAATGGGAGCCGTCGTTCACCTTCCATGGTTTCCGCTACGTCGAGGTGGAGGGATGGCCCAACGACACTCCCTTGGATGAAGACTCCGTTACAGCCATTGTGGTGCACACGGACATGGAGCGAACGGGACACTTCGAATGTTCGAATCCCCTTATCAACAAGCTTCACCAGAACATTGTCTGGGGCATGAGAGGAAATTTCCTCAGTATCCCGACTGACTGCCCTCAACGTGATGAACGACTCGGCTGGACCGGTGATATTCATGCCTTTGCTCGCACGGCAAACTTCCTGTACGACTCGGCTGGCTTCCTCCGAGGCTGGCTGAAGGATGTCCACTCCGAACAAAAGAACAACTCCGGTGAGTGATACCAGTATCATCTGCGGACCCGGGGCGAGAGTGCGCTTACTGACCCATCATAGATATTGTGCCCTTTGTCGTCCCCAACATACTCGGAGCGGCAACGCCGACCTCCATCTGGGGAGACAGCATCGTGACTGTCCCTTGGGATCTCTACCAAGCCTTCGGGGATAAGGTCATGCTCGGCGAACAATACCAGGCAGCCAAAGACTGGATCGACAAGGGAATTTCTCGAAATGATGTGGGACTCTGGAATCGCTCGACCTTCCAGTTTGCAGACTGGCTGGATCCAAAAGCGCCCGCCGACAGCGCAGGAGATGCCACCACGGATAAGTTTCTGGTGTCCGACGCATACTTGCTCCATAGCACGGAACTGCTTGCCAACATCTCCTCCGTTCTTTCGTTTGCCGACAATGCCACGACTTATTCCGACCAGCATACTAAACTCACCAAAGAATTCCAAAAGGCGTGGATTTCCTCGGGCGGAAAAATGGAGAACGAAACGCAGACCGGTCTTGCATTGCCCCTTTTCTTCGAACTCTTTTCCAGCCCCGAGCATTATGACTCTGCTCTCGAGCGCTTGGTCAACATCATTCAGAAGAATGACTTCAAAGTCGGTACTGGGTTTGCCGGAACGCATCTTCTCGGCCACGCCTTGTCGAAGTACGGTGCATCGGATACGTTTTACCAGATGCTGCTGCAGAAGGAAACGCCCTCGTGGCTCTATCAGGTCGTGATGAACGCCACGACCACCTGGGAACGGTGGGACAGCATGCTGCCAAACGGTACCGTCAACCCTGGCGAGATGACTTCGTTCAACCACTATGCCGTTGGCTCGGTTGCCAGCTGGATCCATTCAACCATCGGAGGACTCAATCCTGCGGAGCCGGGGTACAAAAAGATCAACATCGAGCCGGTTCCCGGTGGTGGACTGCGCCGAGCGTCGACCCAGCTGCAGACTCCATACGGCATGGCCTCCACCAAGTGGTGGCTGGAGGATCGTCCGGGACAAAACTGCAACGGCACCGATTTCCATCTGGTGGCCCAAGTTCCTCCCAACACTCGAGCCACCGTGGTGCTTCCGGGGTCGAAGGGCAAGAAGAAGGAAAGTCTGGAGGTCGGGTCGGGAACGCATCGCTATCGGGTCCAATGTCTTCAGGTCAATTGATCGCCTCCCAGAGCTGCACATGCATGTATGTAGCCTGTTTAGCCATAGCCAGCACGACAATCCAACGGAAACCGTCGGGTAAATTTCAACCAGTATATAACCGCCCTGCCTATGCATGCAGGCTAAAGGGGGGGGGCAGATCATCCTCGCCACAGGGGACTTGCACGGCGAAACTGCTTCCTGATCATTTCCACCAATCGTCGCGGAGCGACGGAGAGGAAACACGATGACGAGCACGTCGGACTTCATGCCGATCTGGTATTCCCCTCACCCGATTAGAATCGAGCAGGATTGATCGGCTGTTTGGTATATATACGTCTGTCGATCGGCCGACTGGGTTGCAGGAAGTAACGTCGCCAACCATGTCTATCCACGCCAACGGAAAGACCCCAGTTCACGCGTTCAGTCAATCGCCCTTTCGCTCTCGCAGCGATTTCCAGAATGCCTGCCAGGCCTTTCTGGACCCTCTGATTCCCCACTTCACCCCCGGGGGCAGTCGCGTGAAGATTGGGACCTCGACGACTCGGTTCGACGAAGGGGGCGCCCAGATCGAGGGCTTTGCGCGACCTCTCTGGGGGTTGGCCGCTCTCCTGGGAGGAGGATACCAGTATGCAGAGGCAGCGCGCTGGCGCCAGGGCTTCATCAATGGCACGGATCCGCAGAGTCCCGAGTTTTGGGGCGCGATCGAGGATTCCGATCAGCGCATGGTGGAAATGTGTCCCATCGGCTTCACCCTCGCCGTGGCTCCTCATGAGTTCTGGGACCCATTGACCGAGCAGCAGAAGGAGAATGTTGCCAATTGGCTGGCCAGTATTAATGATAAGGAGATGCCCAATACGAACTGGTACGTTTGCATCGCCCCTTGGGCTGTCGCTGTTGCGTGAGGCTGGCGGTGCGGTTGATTGATTGATTCTACGCCTACAGGCTATGGTTTCGAGTCTTCGCCAACCTCGGTCTTCGAAGGAATGGCGCGCCCTACTCTCTGGCACGCATTGAAGCGGACATGGATCACTTGGACACCTTCCACGTGGGAGGAGGCTGGAGCAATGACGGCCCCAAGAGCCATCACCAGATGGACTACTACTCGGGCTCGTTTGCCATTCAGTTCTTGCAGCTGCTGTATGCCAAACTGGCAGCGGATTTTGACCAACCGCGGGCTGAGAGGTACAAGGAGCGCGCCAGGCAATTCGCCCAAGATTTCGTGCATTACTTTGACCCCGACGGTGAGTTTTGTCCGCTCTCGCAAGAGCTGTCCGTGCCGTGATGCTGACCAGTCTCCTCGTCCGCAGGCAGTGCCATCCCCTTCGGACGATCGATGACATACCGGTTTGCCATGGCTGGGTTCTGGGGTGCGCTTGGTTTCGCAGATGTCGAGCTCCCGGCTCCGCTGACCTGGGGGATGGTCAAAGGTCTGCTGCTGCGACACTTTCGCTGGTGGGCGACCCAAGGAGACATTTTCAACAGCGATGGCACCCTCAATCTGGGGTACTCATACGCCAATATGTACCTGACGGAGAACTACAACTCCCCCGGCTCGCCATACTGGTGCTGCTTGTCCTTCGTGCCTCTCGTCCTCCCCGAATCGCATCCATTCTGGACCGCCCAGGAAGAACCATATCCCAGCGCCTCCCTTCCGGCTGTTGCAGCTCTGGAGTATCCCAAGCACATTGTCGTCCACCGAGGCGGGCATTCCTTTTTGCTTTCGTCCGGGCAAGCCTGCCACTATCCCCTGAAAGCGACGCAAGCCAAGTACGGCAAATTCGCCTACAGTGCATCCTTCGGATACTCCGTGCCCACCGGTGGGTATCAACTCGAACAGCATGCGCCCGACAGTATGCTAGCCCTATCCGAGGACGGCGGCGATATATGGCAGACCAGACGGCTCGCCCTGAACGCTCGCATTGAACGACGAGGCGACCTTCCCATTCTCGTGTCGGACTGGAAGCCTTGGCCAGACGTTGAGGTTGAGACCTTCCTGATCCCGCCGTCCGAGGGGAGCGACAATTGGCATCTTCGCGCCCATCGCGTCCGCACGGGGAGAGCGCTCATGACTTCCGAGGGTGCTTTCGCGATCTATGGATGCCGCAGCGACAACGGGCGCATCCTGGGGCCATTGGGCGAACAGTCGTCGGAGGGAACCCTCCACGAGTCGCAACGAGCCCTCACGGTCTCTGCGGCCGGAGCCGTTGGGATTGTCGAGCTCCAGGCCCATGTAGAAAGAGCCGGACGAATCGTGCTGGCCGATCCCAACTCGAATCTTCTTCACGGTCGTACGTTGCTCCCTTCCTTGGGAGCCGACCTGACGGCGGGGACTGAGCGCTGGTTCGTGAGCGCAGTGTTCGCCATGCCGGTCAATGAACAGAATACGACCGGATGGCAAGAAGGATGGAACAGACCACCGGTCATTCCGGAGTGGTTGGTCCAGCAGATGACGGTCGGATAAAGCGAGGCATGGGCTGTTGGGTTTCCGGGGGAGAGTGGCTTGTTTTGCCAATGCGCTGGACGGGGAAATAATAGTGTATCTCTATAGCGAAGAAATCGAAACGAGATGGATGAAGCTCTCTAATTTGTGGGAAATTGAGCGAGAGAATAATCCTGAGCTGGCGTTAATTAGGGTTGGCGATATCAGCAGACGGCCAAGTCGGGGAGAATTCTCTCCTCCCATCTCCCTCCATCGACCAGCATCCTCACTCTTCCTTTTCTCCCCGCAGATCGTCTCTCGCCATCTTTCCCCCGCAAACGCTAGTTGCTGACCAGCTCACTTAGCGTCTCGTCACGCTCGTTCGTCGCGCTAACTCTATCCCAGTGCTGCACGAGGCAGTACGACGCTGCCCAGACGGGATCCGATCCTCCCTTGTCTTCCCCTCCGCAAAGGTGCCATGGCTTGGGGGTTCCCATCCAGGCCCAGGGATTCGTGGAATTCCGTTTCACCTGCCTGTCGCCTTGTTTCTCCGTGGTGGGCGTCATCACTCGTCCCGGGTCTGGTTGAGAGCCAACACCCGTTGGCTGAGGCCGATGGCGATACGGTCTTGGTTATCGTTCGGACTGGAAATAGAAATTATCAAATGCATACTTATAATCGATCCTCTTTTCCGCCGGTGCTATCAGCTGGAGTGGAGACCTGGTCCAGTGGCATGCACGGTGGTTGATCTTTCTTTTAGACCCTTATATGAGACTATTTCAACCCGCCTGGTCACCGTGTGTCTTGACTGATTGATTGACTACTCTACAAGGGCTTCATACCAGATCCTTGCCCACAAAAGTCCCGTCAAGATGTCCGTCATTCTACGGAAACTCGTCCATAATGATGCGATGCGATCGGACCCCAAGGAGATCTACGGATGGAGAGTCTATATGCTTGCGTGCTCGGTCGGTCTTCCACGCTCATTTCATTTTGCTTTTTCTCGTTTTGCTCGAGTCTGGCCCGTCAACTAACCCTATCCAGGCATGCTTCGGTGGTATGCTTTTCGGGATGGAGACCGGTATCATTGGAGGTGTCCTGACGATGGACCCGTTCAAAGCGTAAGTCATCATTTCAAAACCCCAAGTCGCTGAGATCGAGAGTACCAACCCGCGAATAGGAAATACGGTCTCGAAGACATAGGTGAGGTCGCCGCGGCCAATCTGTCCGCTAATATCGTCTCCACCCTCCAGGCAGGGTGCTTCTTCGGCGCCCTTGTCGCCTCCGTCATCGCCGACAGATGGGGTCGAAAGCTCGGCTTGATCACGGCGTCGGGGCTCTCCATCATCGGTGTCATCATGCAGGTCGCTGCCTCCGGGCATCTGGAGGCCATGTACATTGGGCGGTATGCCATTCCCTCCTCCCACCCGACCTCCCTTCCGGTGGCACAGTTCAGTCATGGCTAATAGGGATAATCAAAACGTTTAGTCTAGTAACCGGGTTCGGTGTCGGCGTTGCCTCCATGGTCAACCCTCTCTACGTCTCTGAGAACGCCCCTCGTGCCATTCGTGGCGGGTTGACTGGTCTATACCAGCTTTTCATCACGCTCGGCATCATGCTTGCCTTCTGGATCAACTACGGGTCTCTCCTTCATATCGACGGCACAGCCCAGTACATGGTCCCGCTTGCCATGCAAGCGCTGCCAGCCATTCTTCTCCTCATCGGTATGCTGCTCTGCAACGAATCACCTCGATGGCTCGCCAAACAGGACCGGTGGGAAGACGCCCGACGGACCCTCTCCCGCGTGCGAAACCTGCCTTCCACCCACCCGTACGTTGAGAATGAATTCCAGGACATCCAACAGCAGCTGGAGCACGAACGGAACCTGGTCGGCGGGTCCGGCTTCTGGGATCTCATGAAGGAGATGTGGTTGATCCCCGGGAACCGCAAGCGTGCGATGATCAGTATCTTCCTAATGGTCTGCCAGCAGATGACCGGTACCAACGCGATCAACTACTACGCACCCCAGATCTTCAAGAACTTGGGAATCACCGGCAGCGCCACGGGGCTTTTCGCCACCGGGGTCTACGGCATCGTCAAGGTGGTCGGCTGTGCCATTTTCCTCGTCTTCGTCGCCGACTCGCTCGGTCGTCGTCGCTCTCTGCTATGGACGTCCGCCGTCCAGGGCCTCACCATGCTCTACATCGGCCTGTACATCCGCATCGCTCCCCCGGAGGAGGACGCCCCCGTCATTCCCGCCGGCTACGTCGCTCTCGTCTGCATCTTCCTCTTCGCCGCGACCTTCCAGTTCGGATGGGGTCCGGTCTGCTGGATCTACGTGTCGGAGATCCCGACAGCCCGACTGAGAGGTCTTAATGTCTCCTTCGCCGCCGCCACCCAGTGGCTGTTCAACTTCGTGGTCGCCAGAGCCGTGCCGAACATGTTGGCCACCGTCGGAGCGAACGGTTATGGGTATGTTTATCCTTCCCCCTTGTAATACCACCAGTTGGCATGAGATTCTAACCATTTCCAACCTAGTACCTACATCATCTTCTCATGCTTCTGTCTCTCCATGGGCGTTTTCGTCTGGTTCGTCATTCCGGAAACCAAAGGTAAGCCTCCTCCCTTCCCCTCTTCAACTCAGATCAATCCGACTAACCCAACAATCTCTGCAGGTCTCGCCCTCGAGAAGATGGACGAACTCTTTGGCGTCACGACCGTGGTGGACAGCAAGACCGCCGACGCAGAGCGAGCCATGTCGGAGGGAGGAGCCAGCAAAAACAGCAAAACCGACCATAAGACGACGGAGACGAGGATGGAGTCGGTGTAATCAACAACTTATCAGCTCGTTCTGTTGTCGCGGTTTTTGTTGGCTTTGTTTGCGTTGCAGTATATATATGGTAGGGGGCGGGGGTAAAGATTGATTTTTGTCTGGTTGATATCTTCATCTTATGGTATCGGTATATGAATTTCTGATGAGGTCTGTTTTCATTTTGGTTGTCTCTAGAAACGGAGGCATCTTCGATCGTGTTCGATACTTAGATACACACATGATTCTTGCACACATTCTATTCTAAAGACAATGAAAAGTACGATCGGCTTCAGTTCACATCATTCTAGATTCTAGGGAGTCAAGGTCGTAAGTCATATTCGGAGAGGTCTGGTATGTATATACATCCACGCACTCAGCCATGCAGATCGTGTCATGAACGGACAGCAGGAGCGAACGAGATTGGATAAGCAGAGACGAATGCAAAGATCAACGCTAATCACCGCCACGATGCAAGGAAACAGACAAGGAGAGATAACTGGTGAAGACAGATGAGTAGCAAGTACAAGGATCAGAAATAGCCTAAACGAAAAACGAAACGAAATCAAAAGCCAAAAAAAACAAATGAACGAACAAGATCGCTTATCCAAATACACGGCCAACTAGCTCGACTCCTTGGTGCCAAACCAATCACAGAAAAAAGAAGAAACTAAGGATAGGAATAGAACAGTCTGCCGGTCCCGAGACACGGTACATGTAAACTGAAACAGAAACAAGACACAAAAAAGAAAGGACGATAGATAGCATTAGCGAAGATTCCTCAATGGAGTTCGTCGAGTGCTACCCTGAAGCCGCTGCGTTTGACTGCGGGTCATTCGGCGAGGATTGTCCTCGAGACTCAGGCCTCCAAACCCGGAGCCAAGTTCGGACTTCCGGGGCGAAGAGTTGTTGTCATTGTTGCTCCGCCCATACCGAATATTCCGAATCGTATTGCTGGTGGCCGTGGTGGTAGCTGTCGCAGTGGTCTCGGTGTCGGAGTCGCGGTCGAAGACGTCCGAGCCATCGGACTCGTTGTCCTTCAAGCTGTTCAGGCTGAAGCTGTGGTCCCGGTTGAATCCGCTACTGAACCCGCTATTGAGCGGCGCAAAGGCGGATCGCTGCTGAACCTCCACGGGTTGGTTGAAGCTGGACCCAGTCACGCTGGAGGAGAAGGAGAGAGGCGGCACAGACGACGGGGAATTAAATGGCTGAGAGCCGAAGCGGCTGCCATGCTCGATCTGGGCAGGGCTGCGCGGTGGGTCCTCTCGCGAGGCCTCGGTCGATGCAGACTGCTCTTTCGGAGGCTGGGCTTGTTTGCCAGGGCTTCTAGCGGCGAGCTGGTAGAGAGAAAGCAGGCCCAGCGCCTCCTGAACGGCCATAAAGATCAGGAGCAGTTTGCCATACCGGTCGAAATAATGGCGCTCCAAGGAGGCCCGGGGGAGGTTTCCACCCAAGTGAACCGCCGCCACGAGTTCGGCGAAGTAGACGAGAATCTCCATGCCGTTCCACTGCACGATGGGCTGCTTCAAAACCTCCAGCAACGCAAATCCGGCCAGGAGACTTGCGCTGCCGAGTGAGCCAACCTCAATGTAGTTTCCAGGAACCGCGATCAGCTCATGCTGGGAGAGCAGCCACGAAGCAATGGAAGCTAGCAGCAACCCTAGTCGAAGATACTGAACGATGAAATAGCCCTTCAGGTCCGTGGGAGCTTGAGATCGCGCGTCTGCCGTTTCCGGGCGTGGCTGCCAGCCATCGCCGTCCTCGTCCTCCGGTGATTTGATGGTAAAGGTCCGGTCGAATAGGTTTTCCAGTCCGGTTGACGCAACATGGTCACTCATGGGGAAGAACTTCGGAGGCGCAAATACGTTGTCGGCTGTGTCATTGTTTCGCTGCCATTGTTTGGACGGTTGTGTGGGCGTGCGGTGGAATGGATTAGGCTCGACGATTTGATCAAGAGGCTTCTGGCGCTGAACAGCTTGGGTCCGCAGTGTCCATGAAGGGGGTTTCGGGGCAGCAGGGAGTGAACCGTAGAAAGGCAGAGGGCCGTCAAGAACAGAGCTTCGGTCTTTCGACTGGACGCTGACTGCCGGTCTGATATCATGCTGCTGCACGGACGGAGTCCAGTCCATGTCATCGCCTTCCGGCGGCGGAGTGGGGATCGCTGGCTCCCTTTGGGGAGTAGGCTGGGGGGTAGGCTGAGGGGTGGCCAATTTCTCAAGAGGGAATCGTGGCGTGGTCTGATTCAGGCTTCCATTTGGGGTCATAGAAGACATCTTGCTGCTGCTACCTGGTAGAGGCGATGCAGCGACTTTGCGTTGCGGAGTAGGTGCCGGCGTAAGGTCGGTCCATGTCACCAGCGGCCGAGTGTCATATTGCACGATGCGCCGGGAGACGACAACAGACTATGTTCCGGTAAGTACCGCGCATTTGAAGAGACAAGCTGGGAAAGAGAATGTGCTTACCAAGACTGTGAACAAGACCATAAACCAGTGAAGAGCAGATGGCAACGACGGATCAAGCCCACTCGACGAGGGATCTCTGAGAACACCCCAGAAGACACATCGCACCACCGTGGTAATTAGCTGTACCTTATAATACTCACCCAGACCCACGAAGCGGCCACCTCGCCCTTCAACCTTCAGTCGCAGTTTCGGGTTATACCACAGCGAAAGAATACCTGCGACAAGAGACAGTCCGGCGTAGGGCGCGAGGTCGATCATGCAGTCGCTTGGCAGTTGACGCGTCCATAGAGTCTGCGAGGCACAAGATAATATGGAAGGAGACGACCCGGAAAACGCGTCCGGGGCTCGCAGAGAATCCTCGTCGATGACAGCCGTCAGGGCACTCCACAGGTCCCAGGAAAGTTGACCAGCAATGCTAATCCAGTAGCCCATGGCGCCCCCAAATACCAGCAAACTTCTCCAGTTCCAGTTGCGTGCCTGTCTTGCGGCTCTGCCCTCCTTGCTTCGTTCCATCATGCGACGGAGATGGTCGGATTTCGCCTCATATCCCGTCTGCCGGATGCGCTGTCTCACACGAGGCTCGCATCGAGTGCACACCTGTGGATACCGCTCCTCGAGATTCTTTCGGAATTTCGGGTATTCGCGTTCATAGGCGCCGTATTCAGGGTCGTCGGCTGCGGGGAAATAAGAGGCCAGGCCATTCGTAAACAGGTGCTGATTGCGGACACAGTGGGAACAGAATAAGCCGGACCCCGTCAAGTCGGCCGACTCGAACGGGGGTTCGGGCGCGCCAGGGCCGTACACATTGGGATTCGTTTCCGTAGCGGGGGGGTCTGTGATCTCTCCTTTCTACGGAGTGGTTAACTAAAGAGAATCACTGGGCAGTGCGAGAGAGATGCGACCTACTTCATCGAGATAGTTGACTGCTTCGCAGTGGGTGCAACGCCATTTGCGGACGGAGTCGCGATCGGTCTGAGCAGATCGACGACCGCAGTAGAAGCAATTCAAACGCTTGGCGAAGAGGGGAGCCATTTCAAGGCGCAGGGCCAGGGAACATGGCAGGATTCGGGGAGGAGGAAGTTGATGATGATGTTGTTGTTGATGAAGACGAAGGAGTTAAGCCGAACCAGAAAATAATCGCCGAGCCGCACGGACCACGTGCCGCCTCTCGCCGTCTTTCTGTCCTTCTCTTTCCTCTTCGCTTCTTTCCTTTTCTTTCCTTTCATTCTCTGCTGTCGACCCTCTCCTCGATTCTTCAGCTCACGCCCTCTGCAGCCTATCCAACGGGCTTCTCCCCCGCACGATGGCGGTATCCCCGCTCCCACCTGCCCCTCTGGCGCTGGCACTCTTGCTCGGCGGCCTGGGGTGTCTCTTCATCCTGGTTAGTTCGATCGCCCTCGCCATGCAATAGTGAACAGGACTGAGTGACCGTGCGATCTGTCCAGCTTGCCCGCCATGTCCTTCCTCGCGCTCTGTCCTCGGTCGTCCCGCCATGGCGCGCAAGACATACTCCAACCCACCTTCTGGTCGTCCTCGGGAGCGGCGGACATACCGCCGAGATGTTTTCGATGCTCCGGCGCACGAGGCTCGATTGCTCGCAGTATACGTATCGTACATATGTGGTGAGCTCGGGGGATGACTTTAGTGCGCGAGCGGCGATTCGGTTCGAAGCCGACCACCCAGGGCCCCAATCGTCCGCATCGTACACCATCGTGACGGTGCCACGCGCGCGTCGCGTGCATCAGTCCTACGTGACAGCTCCCTTCTCCGTGCTGCAATGCTTCTACGCCTGTCTGCTGGTCCTATGCGGGCGCCATCCCGATCAGCCACCCTTGCCGCCCTTGCTGGCCTCCCCGTATCCGGATCTCGTTCTCACTAACGGTCCTGCCACGGGGGTCTGCGTCATCCTAGCCGCCAGACTCCTGCGGCTGTATCATTCTCTGGTGGCGTCCTTCACGCCCAAGAACCGCCTGCATGTCGCCAACTCGGCCGACCGAGCAGCGGGCAACCGATTGCTAATGCGGGACAGTTGCCAGCTTCGTACAATCTTTGTAGAGTCCTGGGCGCGAGTGACCAGCTTGAGTCTCTCGGGCAAGCTGCTGCTCCCCTTCGCCGATCGATTTCTCGTCCAATGGCCGGCCCTGGAAGGGAAAAGGGCGTGGAAAGGCATGAGACCGACGGAGTACGTGGGTACTCTTGTGGAATGACCAACAGACCGGCCGTCGGTTCCTGTACAGTATGACGTATACTTGTAGATACTACATGAATGCAAAATCCCTGGCTCCGATGCGTTGTCAACGTAGTATCTGCGTGGGGAGGGCATGTCGGAGATGCGAGATCGACGAGTCGCAATCACAAGCAAGTCGGAGGGACCGAGTGGGGTTCGCCGGGCTTCTTCTCACCTTCGACTCTTCTACTCCCACCCTTGAATCCAACATAGCTCTGTTTCCTTTTCTATCGTCGCTCAACCCCTCGAGGCCTCTCAGCTACTACATATACTGCATCTACAAGCATGTCGTACTCTCTGCGCAATCGCAATGCCCTAATCACCGCCGGCTCTCGGTACTCCATCCCCCACCCCCTGTATGCACGATGTGCCATTAATCCATTCTCAGGGGACTGGGCGCCGTCGTGGCCCAGAAGTTCGCGGCGGAAGGATGCAACGTCGCCATTAACTACGTCTCGAGCAAGGATGCTGCCGAGAAGTTGGCGTCGGATCTGCAGGCCCAGTACAACGTCAAAGCCATTACAATCCAGGGTGTAGGTTTCCGAGAACACTGTCGAACAAGTGCCTGGAGTAACTCATGTCGTCTGGGGGCGCTTTCAGGATGCAAGTCTCCAGAGTGATTGCAGCAAGACTGTCAAAACCACCATCGAACAATTGGGGGGTCTGGATATCGTAGTGTCAAACGCTGTAAGTCCATGGCAACGTCTCCAATCATGGCGAAGACTAATCGATGCTGGTAAAGGGCTGGACCAGAATTACCCGGTTCGCAGATTTGGATGCCACGAACGAGGAGGACTGGGACAGGGTATGCAAGCACCTCGACGGATGGGTGTAGAGTTGCCGTCTAACCAGTCCAATACCAGTGCTGGTCTACCAATGTCAAGGGCAATCTGTGGCTTTTCAAAGAAGCTCTCCCGACATTCAACGCAAATCCCGAGGGTGGTGTGTTCCTCATCACCTCTTCGACCGCGGTAAGTGATCCAACTCAGAAAGACCGGGAGTCGTGCCGCTCATGGTGTTCGTCTCAGGCTGTCACGGCGATTGGGAGTAGCTTGCCATACTCCGTGACAAAAGCAGCAGGTAAGACCTTTCATATCCGATCCCCTAACCCCAAGAATTATCGAGCGGGACTAAGTCGGAGTCTCCAGGGCTGCACCTCATGAAGTGTCTTGCGCAGACACAAGGCAACAAAGTCCGGGTCAACGCCGTTCTGCCCGGGCTTTTACTCACCGAATGGGTAAGCAGGCCGGTACCGTCTGCTCGCAATGATGCAGATTGGAAAGCTAATGATTTTCCAGGGTCAACGGTTCCCTGCTGAGATTGTCGAGCGCTACAAGGAGAAGGCGGTTCTCAATCGAGTGGTCAGAATCCTAGTCGCCCTGTGAAAGCCGACATGCTGACAGTGAGATTGCTAGGTCGACGTTGAGGACACTGCCAACGCATACGTGATGCTCGCCAAAAACTCATCGATGACGGGACAGTCAATCCAAATCGGTGAGTCTCCCAGGGTCTCCCGGGCCAGGTCGTTTCAAGTAAGACTAATTTCTCAGATTCCGGTCTTGCTATAAAATGATCAAATGCGTCTGGAAATTAGAAACAAACTCGTCGCTGGCGAGCGCACTTTCAAAGGCCAATTCAGCATTCTATTATTATTATGGTATCAGTTGTGAGCAGAGATGATTGATTCCCTTTTTCTTTTTGCTTTCATCGTAGATGTTCGTAGAACGATGTATATTGGGAGGCGCCCGATTGGAATGTTCGATCGCCAACCATTCGAGCCTTAAGCGCAGCCGTGAGAGCATCGGCATTTGGCTCTCCTTCCACCTTGATCTGGTTCACACGCAACAGGCTTCCTTCCTGAGTGAAGACGTAGAGGCCTTTGCCCTGTCGAGGCTCGAATGGAGAAATGCCGTCTACAAAAGGCAATCCAGGCACGACGGCAAATCCGCGAGGATCCGGAGACGGCTCAACTTTTTCAATATCCGTAAAGATCACTCGTCGCTGACGGAAAGATTGAGCACCGGTGGGATCGCCACTGGCGACCAGAGCGTTACTCCAAAGTGGGCCCACCACGCGGTTCCGTTTGCTGATCTCCGCCCACGTCCAGTTGGCCCAGTCGATATGTCTGTCTTCCGGTCGTATCTTGCCTGCATGGATCAGGGACCCCTCCGTCTCGGGTTTGCGCCAGCCGACATCCTCCAGCGGACGAACGAAGAGCCCATTCCTAATGCCATCAACAAGAATCTGGGCCGCCTTCGGGGTAACAATGTCCAAAAGATTCGGAACGGTGCAATGCTCGGGGACTTCAAGTCCGGGAGAAGGTGTTTGGGCGAGAATCACGCCATGGTCGAATTGCGTGGGGTCTAAGGTCTGGAGGGTAACGCCGGTCCTGCTTCTATCGGCCAGGAGTGTATGGTGCAGCGGTGCAGGGCCACGGAAACTATAGTTGCGCACGGTCAGACTCCATCTGATCTTCTTTTGGATACGACATATATAAGACATACTCTGGGAGTAACGAGGGATGGACATTCAGTCCCCCGTAATGCGCCTCGTTAAGCAAGCGTGGTGGCACGAATAGCCCAAACGAAACGGCTACGATCAAGTTAATGGGATCGCCGTGCAGCATAGGCAGCTAGGCAATGGTATCAGCGGCCGTATCTTGGGTCGAGATTGGGTCCCTGCCTACTTTCCAGCCTTTAAATGTATCGATTTCATGGATAGGAAGCGATAATTCCTGGGCGGCTGCTTTAATTGGAACTATTGGAGTCGCGATATCAGCTAGCAATTCACACTAGGCCTCGGGCCAGTTCAGCTACCTTCACGTATCTTCTTCAACCCCCTCCCGAATCGTTTCCCCGGTCTGCAGGCGACCTCAATGGACGCGATCCGGTCCGGTCGATTCACATGCTCCTCGTGGAGAGCTTTCAGGGAAGCTATACTGAAGTCATCCGAGCCGCAGAAGAGAATGCGAAGTGGCGCGTAGGACTTCGTGGAGAGAAACCGCGAGGAACAGCTGCGCAAAAGACCACCGCGTCGGTGCCAATGCAAGCAGAGGGACCCTGAGCCTCGCAGAAGAAACATAGTGTCGAGCGCGTCCAAAGCGAAGCTCGTCTGTCTGCGGAAGCGGAAACTCCGCAATCGCGGGCCACGTGATGTCACCGGCCGTCGACGCCCCAGGCCCACCACCGCTGGCAATCCGCTGCTTTGCATTGATCGTGCGATTTCTCTGTGAGCGCTGGCTCGCGGTCCAATGATGCCATGCCCGAGGACGCCTTTAATTCGGTAGTTCCTGCCCAGCTTTCCTACCTGACCATCTACAACCCCCTTCTCGGACCGACCGACGAAACGATCCCGGACCAGATCGTCTTCTATACCTCCAGAGCGGCTCGATTGCGACGGCGCGAGGCCTCCGCTGCCGGGGTCGACGACAATGAGTCGAGCAGCGAGTACAATGAAAAGTTGCGCCAGATAGGACTGGCGCAGGGGATGGTGAGCTTCGCCAGGTGGGAACCGCCTCCGCACGAACCGCGTCCGGAGTTGCGCTGACCAAACATTCCAGGAACTTTTCGCAGGGCAAACCGGTGGAATATATAGAAACGGAGAAGGCCAATATCGTACTCCACGAGCTGGAGAAGGACTGGTGGATCCTTGCCGTAAGTGATGCTTCATAATGGACCCGGAAGGGCTGTGATGACAGGGGCTGAGATCGTTGCAGTCCATCGACCTGACCCGTCTTCCCACAACCGATGCTTCCAACGAATCCTCGTCGCAGCGCGATGCCACGGGGACCCCGTCCGTTCAGTATTCATCGCGGGAGATGTGCCCTCCGCACCTCTTGATCCAACAGCTACGCCGGGCTCATTCCATCTTTCTACTCCACCATGATCTCACACTGGATGCATTGTACCAACGCGTCGGCAGGTCGGCGCTTTGTACTCTCCTTGATGGCTTCTGGCGAAAGTTTGCCTGGAACTGGGAAGTTCTGCTCAGCGGGAACCCAGCCGTTGACATGTACAATGGGATCAAGCTCTCTGCCGGCGGCGAGCTTGGCATCGGCGTTGGCGAAGAAGAGTGGGGCAGCGGAGAAAGAGAAGTATTCGAAGACTTCGTGTTCCGGACAGACGGTCTCGTGGACCTGGTGATATCGAGATTTGGCGACCCAGCAGAGCCAAACGAGAGCCAGGCGACCGCAAAGGACGATAGCAGCGCGCCATGGCTTGGCTTAGACACCCACCCAAGGCCATCGGATGGAGTCATATTCTCGGGGATGGGAGCGGTTTCTAGACGATCTGTCGCGCGGGTCTCTCAGTGGATGGAATGGATATACCGATATGGCCCTGACGCCTACGGGGTGGGCGATGACCCAAGCTCGCCACGACGTCGAAAGCGACGCAAAAAGCCACGGAATCGATCAGCCAGGAATAATAATGAACAAGACAACCCTTCTGGCACTGCAAGCGCCGAGGCCAGCTTCTCCCCCGGTATACCTCGTCCTCTTGTTATGGGCCAAGTTCCAGGCCCGCAGCAACGAGATTCCGAGGTAGGCTCGCAAGCAAGCAGTGAAGGCTCTCCGGCACCAAGCGAACGTGGAAAGGATTGGATTGGCATCAAACCCGAGACGTTTGTGAAATACCTGACTCTTGGCTATGGCTCGGCTTGGGGGCCCTCTGCTGGCACGCATCCTCGCGTCGAGGCCTTGAAGCAGGAAGACGGGTCTACAGGCGCAACCCAACGAACGGCGTCTCCTGCAACTACACCGCAGACACCCGACGGAGACACGTCCAGAACCGAAGATACGGCGAAACCCCAGAACCTAGGCAGGTTCCTGATTGGTCTCCACAAGAACCCAGCCACTGCAAACAGTCAATCTCCGGAAGACCCCAGCCTGGCGAACAAATCACCGGTGGGGTCGGAGGAGACGATCATCCAACGAACACTCAATGTACATATGGCAGACGCGGACGCGGACGCCAACGCAGATGGACAGCACCAGAGCCCTACGAAACTACGGGTAGTGGTCTATATAGTAAGTCCCAGCCCTGCAGGATCCCCCAGGTTCTCGACCCGCCACGTCTAACTCCAGGAACCAGCACCAACCGTTCGTGTACACATTCCTCTTTCACCCCGAGGCGCCGTCTCTGGCGGACCCGTCGCTCTACCAGAGCATCCACCACCAGCTAAGGCCTCTCCACAAGACGCTCGCCAACTCCACGTCGCCAGCGAATGCCGCCGCCCGGATCTCAATGTCCGAGAGTGCGTTCGACGTCAACCGACGATTCATCGCCAAAAGCCAACCCGTCTACGACCTCGTCTACGACCCATCCAACTTGACCATCCGGACCTCGATCCCCAACATCCCCGATCTCGGCGTCTATGCGCCCGAGACTCGCGATCCCAGCGCAGCGCCCTGGTCGCGGGTGGAAAGCCTGAACATCCACCACCGGCTCCTCAGCACGTATGTCGAGACACGACAGCGAGCCCTGGAGCTCGAGAGGACGTGCAAGACCAGTCGTGGCTGGTGGGTTGTCTGGGTGCGGTTTCCCCACCCATGCAGTGACGGCGACGGCGACAGCGATGACGCGCAGGAGGCACAAAGCATCGAGGGCCGCGGGGACACTCGCCAGGAAGCATTCCTCATCCGCAAAGCGAGCGACCACGTCCCGGCGGCCTCGCATGGGCGCAGCGGCAGCGGATCCCGGTTCTTCAGGGATCTGGGCGGCGCAACGTCGCCGGGTCTGGCCTCGTCACGGGCGGACACCGGCCCCGGCAAGCTGGTGGAGGGACTGGGGCTGGACGCGAGAAGATACATTGAGAATTTACTGAGCTTGAATAGATGAATGATTTCCACGCGTGAATGTACATCTTTTGGATCGTCCCATACATCCTATTCTGATCTTGGTCCACGTTGCCTACCAATGAACATAGGTCGGTCCCTGGAGTCCACCCCGTATTATCGTTCTGCCTACTAGATAGAAGCGAATGCGCATAACCCCTGTAGGCAGTAAAATCAATGACCGTGCCATCTGTGATATAAATAACCGGACGCTGATCGAGTGATCGATGGTGATTTGCCGCCATCGGTAGGAGTCGAAATTAGATACAGGATTGGCACTACTGTGCAATTATTCTACCTAATAATCACTAATTCTCTCTAGGCTGTTACTATCAATAGCGCTACTATCAATAACCGGTTGCTTCCGGGGCTTGCTGCAGCATCGGAAGCATGGCGTTTCCTTTGCGTTGCTTTTTTTTTAATAATTGCGTATATTTCATATTGAAATTTCAATCAATCACGCTCAACTTTGGTCAGATTGCAAGGTATACATGCAGGTATGTATATGTAATTAAAGTGGCCTCGGACCACATCGTCATGGAAAGAAAGAAACGACCAACGGTGACAAAAAGGAGGATTGATTAGAATAAATAATAACTGAGTCGTTCGTCCCTCGGGATTCCCTTCAGTCTCGGATTGTCGCCGCGTCCGTCCAAAAGGCGCTCGTGAGGTCAAAACGAAGCAGCAGCAGGAGAGTCCAAGAACCAAAGTCAAATCCATTCATTCATTCTCTTTAACCGCTTGGCTCTGATGGGACAAAGACAGAGGAAACACTCCTCGGTGATAGGATCCATCCCAGGGTGTCCATCCCGACCTCCGGGGATTCATCTGCCAGACCGGGAACACGCAGAACGCCACCATCAATTGCTCCGTTTGCGATCATGCACTATCTCCGGGGTAGCCAGGATCGTGGTTGTTGTCTTGCCGACAAACCGGGCAATTAGTTGCCAGGATCTTGCCATGGTGATCGGTAACCGCCCCGTAGGCGCTATGGAGAGCTGGAAAAAGAGAAAGAAAAAAAAAAGCCCACGAGGTTATGAAGACAACGCCTCCCTAGAAATAAGAAAATAGAGAAGAAAAAAAAAAAAAAATAGAACGTCTGCAAAATCAGAAAGTCGACCAACTGCATAGCCAGATAATCCCATAACCCTCATGTGCCCGTGGTTGAACATTATCCACACTCGCATCCAGGCACATGTTGGAACACGCCAACGGAAGACCCTTTCTGAGTAAAAAGAAACAACCCAATAGTCGAGACGCTTATCCGTTCATATAATCTCCGCATGAAACAGACCCTTCACGAAGGAGGCAAAACTAGTTTACAGGATGGTGCACTTCTTCTTGCTCTTGTGAGCCTTGGTCAAGAGAGCAGCCCGGGTGGCAGCCTCGAAGACCTCACGGACACCCTCGTTGGTTCGTGCAGAGCACTCGAGGTACTTGTAGGCACCGATCTTCTTGCGAACCTCCTCACCCTAGTGGTGCGTCAGAATCGGCCCCTGCATTGGCTGGAACGGTTGTCTTCAGGAAGAGCACTTACCTGTTCAGGGCTGACGGGCTTCTGAGAAGTCTTGTTCAGCTCCTCGTTGGTCTTGGGGTCGTGACGCAGATCCATCTTGCAGCCAACAAGGATGATGGGAAGACCCTGGCAGAAGTGAAGGACTTCAGAAATCCACTGGATGTAGGGTTAGCCGATCTGCTCTGTATTTACCTCCCTTTTGTGCCCTTCTTTTGATATTTAAATGGGTGGAGGTCACGAGCGTGAAGAAACTCACCTTCTCCTGGACGTTGTCAAGGGAATCGGGAGAGTCGACCGCGAAACAGATCAAGATAACGTGGGAGTCGGGGTAGGAAAGAGGGCGGAGACGGTCATAATCTTCCTGACCAGCAGTATCCCAAAGAGCGAGTTCGACGTGCTTGTTATCGACTTCGACATCGGCGACGTAGTTCTCAAAGACAGTGGGGACGTAGACCTGGAAAGGGGATCAGTTAATATGACGGTCCGACGGGGTTGGCTCGCCGTATGTCGGCTTTTCGATCACGAGGGGGGACGGCGTTGCGGATGGCAGTCGATTACGGGAATGGAGGGAAAGGGGGCAGCTAACCTCAGGGAAGGTACCCTTGGAGAAGACGCTATTGAGAGAAGGGAATCAGTTCCGCCGACCGGGTCGCAGGGTCAATCACGAAGGGCAACTTACATCAACAGACAGGTCTTACCGCAGGCACCATCACCAACGATAACGAGCTTGCGACGGATCTCGGCCATCTTGAAGCAAAAGAGGATCAGCAAAGGATGAAAATCGACAGGGCGATCGTCCAGGAGCGAGGCAATGATAGGGGAAGGAAGAGAAGCAGTTGCGGGAGATGATGGGTGATGGGCGGTGGGAAGTTGAATGAAGGCTGAGAAGGGGACAGGTCAGGCGCCCGAGGAAAAGGGTTAGTTGGGTTTGGTTAGTGATCACATACGGTGCAGTGCAACGGCGGCGATTAATATAGGTGGGAAAGGAGAGAAGGGACGAGAGAATGAATGAGAGAAACTCAAAGAAGCAGAGTTTCGCGGGAAGGAAGGGCAGACAATCGAATGGATGATTATGAAGTCTCCAGGGGGGGGGGGGGGGGGGGGGAGCTTGTGGTTGATGAGGGAGAGAGGAAAAAGAAAGGACGGGGATGATTGAAGGGAAGGACAATAACGCTGGGCTGTACGGGGAGTATGGGAGGTCAGTACGTTACGCCCTTAGGTTCGTTTTTGGTGACTCTAGTCCTGAGTTAGCCCAAGGTAGGTCTGCTTAGTTTACTATTTTCTTTTGCATTCTTTTTTCCGTTCCTCTTTTTTTTTTCTTTTTTTTCTTATTTTTTTCTTCTTCTTTTCTTCCTCTGGTCCTGTTTCGTTTGGGGGATTCTTCTCCGGTCGGTTCGTTTTTCGTTTTCCTTTTTTTCTTTTCTCCATTTTCCCATTTTTTCTGCCTGTTCCCTGAGGCTCCCCGTCTGAGGTTGACTAAGTAACCAAACCAAACCAAACCAAACTAACCCAAAGCTTTGAAACGGTTGGCAAGCGATGTTTTTGCCCAGCCCCATCAGCTTGAAGACGATGTGGCTGTGAATGTTTTTTATTTTTCCTCCTCCCCTTCCTTTCTTTGCATCATTCTCCAGTCCAAAGAATTGACTTTCGCCTTGAATAGTCCATAATTCCACTCTGTAGTCCCCTTTCATCTGCTTTGCTTTTGTTTCACGGAGCATATCTTGCAAGGAATAGTGAGAAAAAAATTCAACAGAGATCAAATACCTCCCAGCCCTCCTTTTCCCAGCGATTGGACCATTCGCTGCTTATTTAGATGCCTAGTCTTGGTGTCTTCCATTCCTATTGAAGCCACCGTGGCTGAAGAAACCGGGTCGCATCCTGGTAATTTGCAGGTTACGGGGCGTCGTTACTGTACCTCGGTATGGTACCACCCAGGTAAGATACCTCAGGTATCATTACGCCGTACGTCCCGTAGGGAGAAACGGTACTTTCTCTCCTTGACATCTCGCTCTCTTCACGCTTCCATTATTCATTATTTAATTTCGTCGTCGCTGGGAAATCATCCCCGATCCACTTGTTTCCAGATGCCGCCTATGTCATCATCCTCATCTGCCTTTGCAGTAGACTAGCAAACCCACATCTTTCCAGAGACTGACATTACGTATGTCCACGGGGCTTCTGTGCTACCCGGCGGCAGCAGCAGCAGCAGCAGCATCTAACTAAGGGATCCCCATTGCGTGGACACGTCAATCCCTTAGCTACGGTGCTAGGGGAGCCTAGAAGCTGGCGGACTCCGTCGACGTTCGGGGGTATGGGTATGGATGGATCCGTTCTTATTATTAGGTGGTCCTTATACAGAGCCTTGTTATTGTGAAGGACCTTCCATGTTTACTAGACGCCATCCGATAGGCCAAAGGTGCCACTTTTCCAGCTGTCCAGGAACGTACTCCTCCGTACATGCTTGGCTGCACGGACAACTCGCGATCAGGATGGACTAAGTCCTGTCCGGACTGGCTTTGGAGCAGCTTTCCCCGGCCAAGCTTCAGCAACGTCTGGTGAACGCTGAAAAACCGTACGGGGTGAAAAACCGTGGGATTTCAGATACGTGGCGGTGCAGAGGGATCTGCCCCCTATTCTTATCAGCCTGCTTCCTTCGAAGGCAGCAAATCAGGCAAGCTCACCACGCGAGTTGTCCTGCTACGGAATACCTACCTAGGAACGGCGTAGGTCCTGGAGTTACCGTGCCTTGCGGGAGAGGTCCACCAGCCACAGCTCCTGGCTGCATCATCCATCACCACTTCCTCTCTGACTCTCGTCCACTCAGGCCGGATCAAAATCCCATCGTTGGCCCCGGGTCTTTTCTCTTCTTTCTTTCTGCCAGATCACACGGACCGACCCCCTTCGTGTTTCAATGTTTATTTCTTAGGGCCAAATGCAGCCAACATCTGACATGGCTGGCGGACGTGCCACTGACTCATCCTCTGATAGGAGTCGGAATCCCTTGAGCATGCGGTCTCACTGCATTGCTTTGCCGATGCTATCCTTTCTATTGACCATGACATCATGATTGGCAGGATTGCGTGCAAGCTGATGCCGACATGTACGCTCCTGTCATGTGAAATGCTCTTTGGTGGAGTAACGCCGTTCCTATGATTTCCTTTTTTTTTTTTTCTGTTTTCTTTTCTGTTGACCCTGCCCCCCCTTTGATCAGCTCCAGACTTCTACTCCGGAGTATTGCATTTTCATCAAGGGATAAGACCTTTCTCAGAAACTTACTACTACATGCTCTTTTGATTAGGGCCTGCTTGGAATGACACGCTAAATCATCGGCCTCGCGCGTTCCGACGTAGATCCTGCCGGGCGCAGATCCAGCATACGGCGTGCATCCAGATAATACGAGCTACCTGGCAGTGGCAACGAAACAGAATCCCACCATCAACTGAAGGTCATGTCGACTGGAGTCTGGGCAAACAGGCCGCCGGCGCTTGACGTGTCTTCCCGGCCCAGCCGTAATATCGGGGTCTTGCATTATTTGTTCGTCCAGAAGGTCCATGATTACTTGAGGGGGTGGTGTTGGACGGAAAATCAGTTCCATGTTGCATGGTCCGATGTCTGCCTACGGACGCGGTCGGTTATTGGCCATGGTCATCGTTGCTATCTCTGTGTTTGTTTCTTGCGCCCTTGGGGATTTCTCAACCCAACTGCATCTCAGTAGAATGACATAGTAGACTACACCGTACGTAGGTAGCGTTTCAATGCAGCACACGCCTCACGCATGGCTAATTCAACAGCCGGGATGGTGGATGGCCCTGTCAGAGCTGGTGAGACCCGTTGAGAATCCAGCGAGTGAACTCCGACATCTGGTTCACGAGTCGACGATGTTGTCTCCTAAGGTAGTAGGTAGGTAGTGGTAGTATTCGAGACACGGCAATGCGATTGGCCCGTCCGGGTGCACGTGACCGAGCAGGGCCGCAATTTTCCCATCGCGAGCAAATCGCCCGTCCAAGTGCTCCAGGGGAATCGTCCACCGGTCACCGTGCTCCCACGCCCGTCAACATGCAGAAGGTTATTCGAAGGACGGCCCTGGCCAGGAACCAGGCCCAACGGAAGGCCATCCGCGCCACCAAAACCGCCGAGCGCGAGGAATTGAAGGACACCCTCCGCCAGCGCTTCGCCTACAACCGCATACAGCTCGATGCCGTCCGCTCCGAGCGAGAACGTCGCCGCGAAGACTGGATGCGAGGTCCGCTCGCCCCTCAGCGCGATGCTGGCCCCGAGGGTGCCTCGTTCGGTGCCTTGAGTCCGCAGGCCATGAACCCCCCGACCATCCCCAAGCACCTGCGGAGGAAGTACATCAACATTGCCGCCGGGGACCGGGTGTGTATCGTCAAGGGCAAGGATAAAGGCAAGATCAACGAGGTCACCCGGGTGGATGAGTCCAACGAGACCGTCACGGTGAAAGACCTGAACATGGTGCGTGTTTCCTTCCGGACGCCGTTGATCCGACCCTCTTCGTGAACTGACCCGGTGTCTTTTTTTTTTTTCTACAGGCCGACGTACATTTCCCCGAATGGCTGAACGAGCAATATGGCAGCAAGAGCCCCTTCCAAACGGTGAGCCTGCCGATCTCCATCGACGATGTCCGACTGGTGGTGGCTCTCGATGACCCGGCCACCGGCAACACGCGAGATGTCCTGGTCGACCACGTTCGCGGCGGAGGGCCTTTCCTGGAGCGCGAATATGCCACAACCACCCCCCGACACACCCGATACATTGCCGGCGAGAATATTGAGATCCCCTGGCCTCGCAATGAGCCGCTCAACCTGAAGGACGAGGAGTGGGACACCCTTCGGATGGAGGTCGAGACGCCGACGTGGGTTCCCTCCCTGCACAACTCGCCATTCCCTCCCAGCGTCATGGACGAACTGCGCAATAAGTTCTCGAAATACCGAGTACGACACGACCCCGAATGGGTGCAGGCGAAGAAGATGGAAGATTACAAAAAGGAATACCTTCAAAGCAGGTCTTTGTGGACACCCAAGGGAGAGCTTCTGGCCATGGTCCGGGCCAAGAAGGAGGAGCGTTTGAAGGCCCGCAAGGATGCCAACGGCAATTACCTGATGGACACCCAAACGACCAGCTTCATTGAGGACTTCATGAAGGGGAAGGCGGCCAACAAGGCTTCCAACAAGGCTTGAGAATGGGTCCGGAGGGAATTTCTGTTGACTTTTTTTTTTTCTTTTCCCCCTTTTCTATATCTAGTTCCCACGCGTGTATACACTCTGTATTCCTGTAGCATAGAAATGACTGTATAAGATTACTATTTACTACCGCCTTCCACGGGAGTTTGTACGGGTTGGTTCGGATTGCGTGTGGATTGCGCCGGGTCGACCAGCCGCCAGGGAGAGGGAGAGTTTCGCATCCCATCGTCTTTCTCATCCGCGGCCCCGAACTCCTCTCCATCTACCACCACCTCCGTGTCCGATGTGTATGAGTGCTTGTTCTTGATTTTTATTGTGTTTTCTTATTTTTCCCTTCTTCAATTATGGCGTTCGCCACCATCAACTCGACCCCGAAGAGTATTCCGGCCATTGAAGATGCATTTGCCGCCGAACCTTCGCTGAAGAACCGAGTTTACGATGCGATCGGTGTGTCCCATGTCCCTCGGCTGTTCCAGTGCCTGCGAATCAATCCCAGGGTCTCTCATACGGGAGAGCAAACCGGGGAATCCAAGACTAATCGCTTGCTTCTTTCCAGGAACCACCCCGCAATATAAGCCTCTCTTCGAGGACATCGCGCGATACACATCCAGCCTGCTGGCCAGGAAGACGAATCCCATCATCCAACCCGTACAGGCCGCTACCGACGGCCCTGCCGCGAAGAAACGCAAACTGGAGAAGGGAGAGGCCACGGGCAATGCTCAAACGACGGGCGATTTGAAAGCGGAGCTGCCTCTACAGTTCTACATGCCGGATGTCTCCTTTGCTATTCCGCAGCGAAAAAAGCTCACGCTGGAGTTTACCGCCGGGCGCGGGTTCCTTCGCGCGAGAAATCAGACGTCAAAGGAGATCGAGTTTGGGATCTCGTGGGATAAAATCCGTAGGTTCTCTTCCCTTCCTATTTACGTGGAATATAAGGAACGGGCCTCTCGTGCCAGTCCACTTCTGCCTGGTGTCGATCGGCTACTGATCGCTCAATACAACAGAGCATGTTTTGTGTCTTCCAGTGCCGGAGAAGAACCAGCGTCAGACCAACTTCTGCATCATCCCTCAGTACGGCGACGGCATCAACCCTCCCCCCAACGGTGACCCTGCGCCCGAGTCGATCGTATGGACGGTGGCCGACGGACCGCCCAAGGCGGCCTTTTCAGGGAACGGTCAACCCATCGCGAATACCGAGGGCGAGACGGCAGAGCAATTGGTGCGAAAGACCTTGAACGAGAACCTGTCGCAGACCCAGGTGGTGCGTCCGGACGAGAGGGAGTTTGTGAGCGCTATGCCCGAGGCGCATCGCAAGGGCGAGAAGGCATACCATGTCAAGGCCTTCCGTGGCAGTAAAGAAGGTACAGTCTTGTCTCGATCTATGCCTCCATTTCCCCGTGCTGACCGCTCGTTACTCCATCGAAGGTTACCTCTTCCTTCTGTCTACGGGCATACTATTCGGATTCAAGAAGCCGCTGCTTTTCTTCGCCTTTGAGAGCATCGACTCGATCTCGTACACGTCTGTGCTCCAACGAACCTTCAACCTGAACGTCGTGGCTCGTCCGATAGCAAGCGACGAGACGCAGGAATTCGAGTTCTCGATGATCGACCAAGCGGACTTCAGTGGCATCGATACTTACATCAAGAAGCACGGCCTCCAAGACGCCAGTCTTGCGGAAGCACGACGGGCGAAGCAGTATAACATCAACGGCGCGAAGGCCGGAGGGGAGAATGCTGCCGTCGCGGAAGGGGAAGCCGAGGAGAGCGAGCTGCAGAAGGCGCAGCGCGAGCTCGAAGACCAGGAAGATGAGGACGAAGAAGACTACGATCCCGGCAGCGACTCCGACACCGACGGCAGCGGCTCCAGCAGTGATGAGGACGACAGTGAAGACGGCGAGGGTCACGCCAACGAAGATGACGACGATGATGATGACAACGAAGACCGAGACCTGGTCGCCGACGAGCTCGGCAGTCAGGCGGAAGACATTCCAGACGACCAGCTGTGAAGGGAGGCGATGTATTTTTAGATTGGGAGGTGACAACCCCGGGAATCCATGGAACCTTTTGGGGTTGATGGATTCTGCGGCACCGTTGGTCCTCTTTATCTCCATGTAATAATATACATACACACTTTAGCATCGGAAGAATGAGATTCCCCACGACAACCATCCATAAACCTTTACACAGGCGGTTTAACCAACTCAATCAGCCCAGGTATAAACACCGACACAAGATCTCCTTCCTAAAAGTAGGAAGCCAAACCCTCCTCGACCGACGATAGTTAGGGCTTTCCCCCCATGCCCAAACCATGGCACGCGACAGCTCGGAGGCAAACGCTCAGTTACACTTTCGCCAATCTTCGATCATTACAAAATGGTGTTCAAAGTAGGAAGGTTGTGAGTTAAAGTTTCATCATCTATCAGAGGGTGGGCCATGGTTACAACCGTCACCTCCGTCCTTTTCCACCCCGTCGAGGACCCGAAGCTAAGGTAGATCAGAATGTTTCTCCCACCTGCATACATCAACTATACTATTATAATATTTTTTTTTTTTCACTCCCTCCTAACCTGCTGCATACCGTCTTCTTTTTTTTTTTTCTATACATATTATATATATCTGCTTCATTGAGCTCTTTCTTCTAAATGGGATGGGTTAGTGAGGGCATTAGAATGTGCCCCGTGGAGAAAATCGATGACGTCGTCGAGTCGATCGAGGACTACCACCCGGGGGGATACCATCCTGTTCACCTGCACGACCTCTTCAATCGGCGATACGAAGTCATTGGGAAGCTGGCCTTCGGCCAGACGTCGACGGTGTGGCTGGCTTGGGATCGAAGGTAAAATCTTGTAGTTCCAACTTCCGGACATTGGGTGGTGTGCCATGCGCGCATGTGTATGTGTGTGTGCGTTGTCAGGACTGCGCTGACAGATGGGGCTCGTTCTTCTGGCAGGCTGGAGCAGCAAGTGGCCCTGAAGATCGTCAAGGCTGCTGCGTCCAAGGATAACAGGGAGCTTGAGATCCTTCTGCACCTGTCGGACCCCGGCCTGGAGCATCTGGGTAAAAGGCATGTCGTGAAGTTGTTGGATCATTTCGAGCATCACGGCCCCAACGGTACTCACCTGTGCCTTGTGTTTCCGGTACTGATATCCGATGGCAAGGAAATGATTCTCGCGGGCAAACCGCAGCAGGTCAGCAGTGTCCAGGCAATCGCCAAACAGATCCTGTTAGGTCTAGATTTCCTCCATTCGCAGAGCATCATCCACTGTGGTAAGGGCCTCTTACCCATCATTATGGGCGAGGGATGCGGGACCAAAGAAAGCAGGATTGCTAATCGCTCTCGGCAGATCTGAAACCGGCAAATATCATGTTTGTCCTGGAGGGCGTCGCCTCCTGCGATGGGTTCATCAATCCCCCCAAGTTCGTGACCGTCGAGTGGTTGGACGGACTCCGAGACCGGAGTGTCCCGGAGTATCTGATGGCTTCTCAGCGAGGGCAAGTGACGTTCGAGGACGTTGATCCTGCAAATCTCCTGGTTCAGCTGGGCGACCTGGGTGGAGGTAATGTGATCCTTTGACTGCGCAGTCTTTTTTGGATTTTTTTGGTTCTCTATTTGGACTCGTCAATATTCACATATTATGACAGCTGCATGGTGTGACCAATGTCCGCAGCGGCCGGTGACATTGATCTCTTTGCGCGCGCCGGAATTGATCCAGCGGAAGACATGGGATTGGAGGATTGACATCTGGACCTTGGGTTGTCTGGTAATTTTGTCTGCCTGATTCTTCTGTCCCCGAGAATCAATGCCCCTGTCTTTCTCCTGTGAACACCAAGCTAATGACCTGGTGTGTTAAGATATACGAACTGGCGACGAATGAGCAGCTCTTCCCCGTTTCGGGTCTGGGCCTCACGTCGGAGCAGACCGACCGAGAACACGGGATGCTCATAGATAAGATGATGGGGCACAGCCCTCAGATGTTCGAGGCGTTTACCTTCTTCCTCCGGGAGAGACTTCGGTACAACTGGGGGCCGATGGACGTGCAGCAGGACCCTGTATCGTTCATTTGCTCGATGCTGCAGCGAGACCCTCAGGCACGGAAGTCAACGACGGAGTTACTCCAGCATCCTTGGATGACGGAGGAGGGGGCGTGGTGATTAGCACGGTGTGGCGAAATGCCGGATGAGGCAGATCCATGCAGGCCCAAGCATGAGGCTTGTTTGTGTTACCGCGTAACGAGTGTTGATGATATGCTGTGGCGAGTGCATCCTGCATACTGGCTGCTCCGTCGAATGGGTATCATATTATTAACCACCGATGCAGACCAATCGTGTGTCTAATCAGGGAGGTGGTCTGGATAGACTTTCTGTTCTGGTGCCGGGTGTTTAGTCCGTGTTCTTAATTGGATTCTTGTGGTTTGGGTGGATATTATACAATGTATCTTCAGCGACTCGTCTCAATTCACAGACCGTTCAGACTCCGAGTTAAGCCCTGCTGGTATGTTTCGGTCACACAACATGGGGGTGCATCCACCGTAACCAATCATGCCTCAACAAGTGTGGAGGGTCCCATCTCGAGCTGGCATGATAATCGGTTTCAGACTGAGGGACGAGGAGCGCTAGGATCAGACGATTCGACTCCCACCCGGGTGGGGATTTATTGGGGCCGGGGTGTTGTCAATTGACGTGTCAGACGGAGAGGAGTCGAAGAGGAGAGAGAGGAGTGCATCGCTGCATCGCCCTGACATGGCCGCCTTGTGTGTCAGGCCCCGATCGACGTCCCGGCAGCGCTAAAAACGGCGCTGGCGGTTTCGGCTTGTCCTGGCGGTGTGGCAGAGAACCGAATAAAAATAACAATAACTGGGTGGAGGTGGCGGATAAATGAAACAATTACTCGGGTTCACATGGCGAGAAGATCGGTAAAAATATAAAAAAGAAACTCAAGTGGTCCCAGAGAGGCTCGAACTCTCGACTTCTGAGTTATTAGCTCAGCACTCTAACCGACTGAGTTATGGGACCAATTGTTGAAATATCCGGCTAGATTTTGACTACATAGACCAGAGTCACTTCCGGCACATCGTGGGCAAGGGATATGGCAACATTCAGTTCCTTCGTGCGGTGTCGATTGCCATACATCAATCGGGAATACTCGGGTTGTCCAGCCGGGTCTAAAGAAATGATGTGTTTCTTCCTTTTATAGATTTCCACGCCTATCGATCATAGGTACTCCGTACTTGTTCAATCGTCCCATCCCTGGGTGCGCGGCACCTAGTTGGCTCATACGCCAGGCTGCTTATCCTGCTACTGAGTCCTCCTACTGGGAGATGGCTCGTTGGGTTGGAAACGTGTTGCTACTTCCAAGAATATCGATGCTGGGCTAGGTCTGGTATATGTTGGAGGACCGTGGTCTCTATGCAATTGTCTATGTTCTGTGGTGGTGGTGTTTTGCTGTTCCTCGTTTTGCCGTTGATGTCGTGCCTGTTCATTGTATCTTCATGGGTGCGCGTGTGTACTGCTGATACTGTTGCATGGAGGCATATGCTCAGTCGATTGACTCCTGATCCGCTTGTCGACGAAGTATATATAGTCGCGGCATAGCCCCAACCGGAATAAAGGAGCCTCCAACCCAGCACAAGGGCCTATACATATGATAGAACCAGGCAGCAGACCAGCAACTGGGAAAGGAGCCATACAAGTGATTAACCCAATACAGCCAACGCCGTGAATGTACCCACGAACCAAACAACCCGCCAGTGGAACTTGGGGATACGCCGGTACCGAGGACTGACAATGATATCGTACGGAGTCCAGTCCATGAGAACCCCCTTAAAGCAGGAGACAGGATCGACGGCCGCAATGGCCAAGCGATGCAATAGTGCGATACCCACCGATCCGATGTCGTTGCCGGGAGAAACAGAATTCCGAATTCCTCGATGGCATCGATTCAGATGACATAAGCCACGTGGGCGAGGCGGCGGGAGAACAAGAGGGCAAAAGTCCGGCCGCTTCCCTCCATCAAGGTCCCATAACTCAGTCGGTTAGAGTGCAGAGCTAATAACTCTGAAGTCGAGAGTTCGAGCCTCTCTGGGACCACTTGAGTTTCTTTTTTGCCCTTGACTCTTATTTTTTGTGCAGCTTATTTGGATACGCCCAATTGCGAATAATAATAATACGCCACAGGATGGGCGCTCCGTTGTTCTCGGCTCCGTCAGCGCCAAAGTCACCCGGTTGCCCGGCCTTGCCAAGGCCCTAGGGACTGACGGGGGATAACATTCCTTGTCAGGATACAAGGACCGAGGGCTTGCGCTAGGTCCCTTGTCCCGAGCATCAACGACGATTTCCACTGGTTAAGACACGCAGTAGTGTGAGACTGCCCCTCAATATATCATTATCGCCTTATAGTCAGTCACCAAGGGGAAAATAAATGCTCCGCACCTCGAATGGGTGGGGGACTGCAGGCCGCATACGCCGTACAACAAGAGCAGCAAAAACACAGTCCAAAAAGAAACGCTGGTCCCAGAGAGGCTCGAACTCTCGACTTCAGAGTTATTAGCTCTGCACTCTAACCGACTGAGTTATGGGACCATTTGCTGATATTTGCCGCTCAAAATCTGACCTCGAGACCCGGGGCTAAACGCTGCCGCAACACCAAGGATTCGCGGATGACCCGTATCCTCCGTAAGCTGACCACCGTTGTTTTGCTCGACTCTATAGTCTAGGTATACAGCATTGGCTCTCTGGCAGGTCCTGTCGATTACATTTTCGAGTCCCCCTCAATTGAACTCGAACGCCCGTTTTCGAGTCCGGAGCCGAGCGTCGCGATCGACTGCGTCAAAGCTTTTCGCCCCCTGAAATCCGAATCCACGATCGGACTACAGAAAATAATCGAGCCATTATTGGTGGCGGTATCGATGGTACGATACGCGCTGGATACATGTCTCAAAGCTCAGAGATTGGTCAGGGGGGGATGGTCCAGCAGGGGGCATTGGCTGCAGTAGTCTGTGGCCTGTCGGACTCCCCCGTGTGCAGAACGATTCTAATTTGCATGGTCAGCTGCCGACATCCATAGATCGAAGCTGTCTGTTTTTTATTTTGATTATCTGTTTCCCACTAGGAATCGGGGCAGGGAATTGGCTGACCCCGGCGTTTACTGACACCGACTAACTGCCACAGTGCCTGACTAGCAGTACGGGGCTGTGAGGTTCCATTATAGTAGTATACGACCTAATATACGGAGTAAGGTACTACTAGATTACTCCGTATTTCGCAATCCGTGGTTATCGTACGGGTGGGATTCCCATGGACCATGGCATTTCATCGTTGCAGTCCTGTCGACATGAAGGACTGGCAGAATGAAACCCTCAGAAGCAGAGAGTAACCATGGTAACCCCTGGAAATCCCTTCCTCAAGGCCTTGAGCTTGACGGGTGACGGCTGGGACGGGGGATCCTTCATTTCGTCTCGCTCTCTTTCCTGTCGGCTCCGTCGGTGACATCAACGATACCGCCGTCAAGAGAATGGAAACAGGGCCGACAGCTTTCTTAGCTGGCCAGAACCCACTTTGACCGCGGTTAGTCTCCGGCTCTCAACCGTTCGTCGCCCAACAACCCACGCGCTAAGGGAGCCGCTAAGTGCAGTAGTTTAAAGTAGTCCCTGGACCAGGACGAGTCCAGGCCGGAAGCCAGATTTCCGCGTCGTAGGGGAGAGGATGGGAGATAACGAGGTGCGAGAGGGAAAGGGAGAGAAGGAGGCAGGGCGAAGAAGAGGGGAGGGGGAGAGAGAGTGGGAGAGGCCGTGGTTAAATACCTACACCCAGAGAGGTACTCCGGAGGTACCTGCGTATACCTGCGTCGACCGGCGTACACCCCGTGTACCGTACCGAAATACCATCCCCTGTACTGTCATTTGCCCGCGGCGTAAAGAATAAGAATAATACCTGCCTTGACCCCCAAATGTACGGTACGGTATGGCAGGTACCGGCCGCTTTTTTTTCAGGTTCGCCTCTCCGCCTCATTTTGCCTTTCTCTCGCTCTCCCTACTTTGGTTGGTGTCAAGTCCATCTCTCTCTCTCTATCCACTCATCGCTCTCCATCCCTCTCTCCCATCGCCCTCCTTCGTTTTCTCCTCATTCTTTTCCTCTTTCCTCTCCTTCTCCCTCTCTGCTTCCCCCAATCCTCGTCAACCGCTGCTCCAGTGCGGTCCATCGTACTGCCACGCAGTTGGTTTAGTGCTCGGGAGTCTTTTTTTCTCTTCTTTACTTTTTTCTTGCTTGCTTTTTGCTCGCTTGCCTTTTTTTTTTTATAATATTTTTTTTTTTTATTAAAACTACTCCGTACCTCCCCCCTTCATCCCTCCCCTTTCAGAAATCGTACCGAATTGTCAGCCCGCAGACCCAGCTGTCGGCCCCCGACTTTCGCCAGTTCCTATCACGCCCTTCCTGTCAATCACTTGTCTGAAGGCCGCTCCCATACCTTTTTCTCTCCGCTCAGTACTACCGGCGCGATCCCCCCCCCGAACACGCCCTCGTTTTGCTGTCCACCCTCGGCTCGACTTTACCTGCATCTCGGGATTCGTGAATGAATGGTCCAGCTCTCTAAACGCCAGACTTCTTGTGAGACCCCCTCCCCTCGGATGTTTCTCTCCCCTACCCCCGTCCACTTTCGTGCCGTACGACCCTGCCTTGGTCTCCTGTGCTGACCATGTCGATCTACCTGCAGACTAGTCTTTCACGTGCCGAGTCGTTGGTCGAGTCTCTCAGCATCAACCCCCCTCCTACTGTCCTTTGGTGAAGTCCCCCTCGAGTATTCCGTCTCGCCTCTAATAGAATCCCGCGACCATGGCGTCTTCGTCGTCCAACGTGGTGGGTGTTCATTACCGGGTGGGGAAGAAAATCGGCGAGGGATCGTTCGGTGTTATCTTCGAGGGTACGAATCTCTTGAACAATCAGCAGGTGGCCATTAAATTTGTTAGTTTTCTCCCCCCCGCGGTAGAGAAGGTCGCCGGAGACTCGGGAGGTACTAATTGAACCAGGAACCACGCAAGAGTGATGCACCGCAACTTCGCGACGAGTACCGGACATACAAGATTCTGGTCGGGTGCCGTAAGTACCACCACTCGGCTTGGACCGCAAGGTCATTTTCACTGACGGGATTGCAGCGGGTATTCCCAATGTCTACTACTTCGGCCAAGAGGGTCTGCACAACATCTTGGTCATCGACCTCCTCGGCCCCAGCTTGGAGGACCTCTTTGACCACTGCAATCGGCGATTCTCCACCAAAACCGTGGTCATGGTGGCCAAGCAAATGGTGTGTTTACCTCCGTTGAAGGCAAGCGTGGCGACTAATGCTTTCGAATTTAGCTCTCTCGCGTCCAGACCATCCACGAGAAGAACCTCATCTACCGCGACATCAAGCCCGACAACTTCCTCATCGGTCGCCCGAGCACGAAGGCCGCCAATGTGATCCACGTCGTCGACTTTGGTATGGCCAAGCAATACCGGGATCCCAAAACCAAGCAGCATATCCCCTATCGTGAGCGAAAGTCGCTGTCCGGAACAGCCCGCTACATGAGTATCAACACCCACCTGGGACGGGAGCAGTCGCGACGAGATGACCTGGAGGCCTTGGGCCATGTTTTCCTCTACTTCCTGCGAGGCGGTCTACCATGGCAAGGCCTGAAGGCCGCGACCAACAAGCAGAAATACGAAAAGATTGGAGAAAAGAAGCAGACGACCGCCATCAAAGACTTGTGCGAAGGATATCCAGGTACTTTATCCACCGTTCCCATTGTGTTTTCTATCGTCTCTTCAAATTGGTCGCGGTCGCACTAATCAACTAGGTCTAGAAGAATTCACGAAGTACCTAACCTATGTCCGCAACCTCGGATTCGAGGACACCCCCGACTACGACTACCTGCGAGATCTTCTTACGCAAGCCCTGAAAAATGCCGGCGAGGTCGAGGACGGCGAATACGATTGGATGAAACTGAACAACGGGCGAGGATGGGAATACAAGTCGTATTCGTCCCAGCAGCATCTCCACAACAACGGACTCCCGAACACATCCGCCCGGGAGCTCCACGCGCAGCAACTTCGGGGCAGCCAGAGGCCAGGCGTCACGGCCGACCGTTTAAACGCCGCGCAGCCCCCGCCCCCTTCTCCTGCGAAAGCCGGAGCTGGGAAGACGCGCGAGCGACCAAACGTCGCCGGCGGGATGCCGAACAAGCGCCAGAGCGGGGGGATGGAGACAGCCACGCCCACGGCGTCAACACAGGCTCAGTTCCAGAATTCGAGTGCCAACATCCCGGGCCGCATCGGCAGCCCTACCAACCCGACGAGAAATAGTCAACAAGCGCAAGGTGCTCCAGGCAACAGCAACGAGCCGCAGCCCACTTTCGTCCAGAAGATGATGAAAGCGTTATGCTGCGGTAGGTGAAACAACTTTCTCTTTCCCTTCCTGTTCAACCGAAATCCAACGCTCGGATGTGTCTGGCCTTGTGCTTATTGCGATCTTTTCCCTCCGTTTAGGTTGATCCCCCCTGAAAGGCCCAGTGTCCGGAGAAATGCATTGTAATTCTACGAGATTATCTTCTGGTCATGTTGACTTGCCGACTTTTCTTTTTCGCTGTCTTTTTTGCCCTTGGGCATATCGGGAGGGAACGGGTTGAAAAGGAACGACCTGCCAACACTATAAGGTTATCACCTGGACAATTCCCACCTTTTTTTCTTTTCTTGAGTCGGGTTTGGACGATATTGCAGACCCTGCTGGCAGAGATTGAGCATTATATGGGCTGGGGGCGGAGATCCTGCTCCTACTCTTCCCTTTTTCCTTTTTTCTTTTCCTTGACCCTTTCTTTTTCTTTTTTTCGATTTCCTTTCCCTATCTCAGTTATCTATGGGTATGGTTTGCGGTCCTTCAAACCACTTCACTCCGCCCGGTTTCGCTCATCCAGCAAGGCATTATACGGACCTCGAAGCGGAGCGGTCATGACTCGAGGGCGACACGGTCGTCCCTTTATACCTCCACTTATCTACGTCTATCGTCATCATACTCGTCATCTTGAACACTCCTTTTTATGGTGCTACGGCTCGGAACGGCGAACTTACTTTTTTTTGAGATTTTTTCCATTTCCATTTCCTTTTTCCTTTTGCCCTCCTACAACACTCCGCATTCTGGCATGAGAGCCATTTAATATTAGATTTCATATTGTGTCAGACTACATGAGCATTGCCCCTATTCTTATCTTTTCTTCGAACCATGACCTCCGCCGCCTCCTTTTTACCGCCCGTGCTCGTCTCGGTTTCTTGTGGCTGGTTCTTCGATGGATAATCCCTATTAATTATGTGGCAGGAATGGCGTTTGGCATTTCCGATGGGACGTGATCCTGGTCCCTCCGGCGACTCATGTCTGCAGGAGGCATACTATTATGTCGAGTGGAACAGAATCGCCGCAAGGGGGCAAGAGGGAGGTTCCATCAGGACAAGGAGTTTTTTTTTGTGGAAGCAGCCTGTGGCTCTTTTTTGTGTCTTTTTTTCTTTCATCCTCATCTGCCGGGAGTTTCTTACGGATGTAGCGATTGAGTGTATGTTGCTGTTGGATCTGTGGCCGCTACTACCTCGACCTTGTCCGGATCCTCGGGGATGACTCCCTGGACCGCGACACCTTCTGTTCGATATCTCTCTCCCCGTTTTCTCCCGGCTGGATTTGACCGCGCGCGCATGTGTTGTCCGTGTTATTGTACATGTTTCTTTGTTCTGTGTCAGGCAGCGAGTTCTCCATTATGTTTGAGATAGCATCCTTGATCTTTTTTTTTTTTTGTTTCCTTTTATTTCCTTTTATACAACCTCGTGTACTGCAATAAACTACTAGCATCTGGCCCGGCTTGGCTGGCTATAATAACTGTTAGACGATTTGCTTGTTCCCCCTTCCCCAGCATCTTGAATGATCCCACCCCGGACGCCTTGATGTATCCTATTCTACAGATGCGGCTGCAGGGGGAGAAATACATACAGATGTAGGTACAGTACATACATCGATGTGCATGCGACGTACGTATGTAGGTACGGTCAGCCCCAGGCTAGAATCCGAGCACCCTATGTGATATATACTTTCTCGCCCGTCCGAGAGATCCAACAAAGGCCCAGAACGGAGTCTAGTGCATCGCACTGTCGTCCAGAAAACAAGGAATCGTGATTCCGGGCCTCACCCGCTAGAACGAAACGAGATGGGAAACGGAAAAAAAGAAAAGGAAAAAAAAAAAAAAAAAGGGTCCATCCGATCCGATGCTACGACGTACTACGTTATACAGGTCGCGAAATCGGAGATCCAGAAGACCCAGTTTCCAGAGTTCCAGAGTTCGAGAGTTTCCACCGGAGTCTGCCGACGCGGGAAGGCGCAGGGAATGACGAAATGACGAGATGCGGACCACTGGATGTCTTTTCCTTCGGGACGGGATGGAAATTGTCAGTGTTTGAGATTGCGGTCCCCATGACGTTGTGATCGACCGTCGTTTCTGGTTTTCGGCCTGATGGGTTTTCTTCCATGCATCCACCGGGGACGTGATAGACAGGGGAATCGGGATGATTGGGGTCGATCCAACGTTCGTTCAACTTCCACTTCCACTTCATCCTTTGTAGAGTAGGTATACTCCGTAAAACTCGAAGACCGGCCGAAGCCAGCGCAAACAGGATGCCGACGGACACGCCGACCGAGAACGACGGAGCGAAAGAGGGAAAGAAAGACGAATGGCACCACCAATCACCTCCACCTCTCCACTGCAGTCTAGACCGTTGGTCCCGCCTTTCGCTTGATTTTCATTATTCAATCGATTTACTTGATGCGATTCATGGGTTTTACTCCGAAAGAAAAAAAAAAAAAAAAAAAAAAAGGAAAGAAAAGAAAAGAAAATAATAAAAAAATATCACGGGTATCTTATCTATTCGGATGTCGGATCAATGCTACCTAAGACTTCAACCCAGTCACGGAGATGAGTGTATGATGCGCGCGACTCATGCAATCATGACCTCCAATCCATCGGATTGCGCCGGCCATGGGAAACAAAACATCAAATGTCCCTCGCCACAAAAAAAAAAAAAAAAAAGAAAGAAAAACAAAACAAAACGCCGAAGCAACATGGCCTCCTCGTCCCATTTTGATCCGGTAATTGAAACATCTATATCTTGGTGGGAATCAAACAAAGGAAAATATGCTCACACTCGCTTGCTCAACCGCAAAACGCCTGCTCTGTAAATGCTTGCAGTAATCAAATATATCAATCCATCCAATGCACCATGCATGACACCGTCCACTCATGTTCAAACATGCGGTATGCAAAATGAGGTCGTGGTTTTCAAACGCACAAATAAAAGAAAAGTCGACCGAGTGTCGGTCCGTCGTAGAAGGTCACAATTCATGTCGTGGTAATCGTTCCGCCCCTTTTCCGCGGGGGAAATCGTTAAGACAGTCTCACCCGGCACCCCGAGCGAGTCCGTCGTCATCTTTTTTGAGTTTCGTATATCTGTCTTGGGTTTCGTCACCAGGTCGCTTCATTCCATGCCCGACATCTTCATGCTGCCCGAGCTCCCGTTGCCGGATCGCTTCTTGAATCCCAGCTTCATGCCCATCTTTTTCCACGGGTTATCGGTGCGGTGTTTGGGGCTGTGAGACAGATGCATGGACGGTTCACTCGATGGCGGCGTTGTGGGCGGAGTCATGGGCTCGCCAATGCTCGCGTTCGACTGCAAACTCCCCGAGTCGTCGGTCAGAGTACCCGATCCCGAGTCGTTGCTCACGCTCGAAACGGGCGCCGAGCTGCGGTGGCTGGACTTGCCCATCGAGGTCATGGCACTCAGCGAGAAATTCGGGCGACTGTGGTGGCCCGAGGAACCGAGCGAGATGGGCGATCCCAAATCCTTCGACGTCGGAGGGGATGGCCGACCCTTGGATCGACCCCGCTTGACGGTATGCTCCTCGAAGCCGGTGCCCGACACCACCGTCACGCCTTCGTCCTGCGGAAACAGGGGCTCCGACAACGGCAAGACGTGGGCGGACGTGGAGTGAGCGTTGAGGAACGGGATAAAGATCGATTCCTCCATCAATTCATGGACGAGCTTGACGGCGGCGTCGAGAACCCCGGGGGCAGGGGGGACTGCCGAGTTGGCGCAGCGAAGGATGTCATCCCGGACATCGCTGGACACGTTGATCTCGCGTGGTGACCCGGGAATGATATAAGCCGTCAACAATCGCTGCCAGAGCATGCGCAGATGCTGGCTTTCGGGGCCGTCGGCGGCGATCGGCGACTGGTTCAGTTGGTGGCTAAGAGATAGATAGGTGTCCCGGTAGCGCTTGGCTTCCAAGGTGAATTCCAAGGTTTCCAGACAGTGGTTCTGCGAGAGGTAGGCCATGAAGGCGCTCAAGGTGTAAGGCGGGGGTGCCGTGTTGGCCAGCACCTCGTCGAGGGTCGGCCGCATGGGACAAAACACGCCCGGAGGAACGGTCAGACTCAGCGGACGCGAACCAGCAGGCTCCATGTCCTCGTCCGACTCGCTATCTGATGACGAAGACGTGGGGGAAAGCTCAGGCGTCGCACTGGGAGTGTGGTTCCAGAAGAGTAAGGGTGGGTGTAGAGTCTTCTTCCGGAGCATCGCGTACAGCGTGCGTTCGGCCCTTTTTATTAAATTTGAACAAAGTTCGTTATCGCACCCTAATGCTTCCTGTATCCGAGAACATGCAGGATGTGCCAGATACCACCAATGTTTCTCAGGTCGGATCGTTCGAAGAGTGGCGTTCAGGTTTGAGTCAGATTACAGCAACTATCCGATGAAGTCGGAGGATGCGAGAGGCCGTGTCGATCAAGTGGAGTGTCGCAATGAAAGCACGAAAAAAGAGTTGAGGTTGATTCAGGTGGTTGGAGGACAAGCGTTCAGGTAGACGGATAGTGGTGAGGTGGAGAGAAGATCTCAGTGAACGAAGGGTGAGATCTGATGGTAGACAAAGAACTGATTAGTCGGTTTCCGCGGAAAGAGGACCGGAATGGAGATCCCGAAGGCAGGCGGCAAAAAAAAATTTTTGAGAGAAAAAAAAAAGAAGGGAAGGCGATTAATAGTATGACAAAGTAGACAAAGGGAGAATACAAAAAAAAATGGAAGAATAAAAAAACACCAGAGATGATAAGTAGTGTATTAAAATTCCCAAAAGAGAGAGCGATAGGGGAGAAGGGGTGGGAGGAATCTAATAAGAGGAAACAAGGCAGGAGGGACGATAGTGGAGAGGGAGTGAGTGCAATGCTGATCAGGCCCTTTCAGTTCAGAGTTCAAAATCCTGCACGGAAGCGTCGAGCAGCCGGGGGGTTTGGTCCACAGGAACAGCAACAGGAAGACGAAGAAGAGGGCGAGAAAGAGGGTCCAGAAGCCCCCCCGAACAAACCACGCACGTTGGTTGGGACGAAGGCCGACCCAAGGGAAGCAGTCCACTTCTGAGTATTTCCACCACAAATCACAGGGCAGTATGCTTTCCGGTCGATCGTAGCCAGGAAGCGCTCGGCCTATCAGGTCGATCTCGGCGGAGCCCGGGGGAGCCACTGAGGATTTAGACGCTGACGATGGGGCGACGACGCCAGAAGAAGGGGGTCACGTCACTGCCACTGGTTCCTACTCGGTCTTTGCGAGCGAGGACAAGGCACCGGAGAGGATGACAGGGGAAGAGCGAACACTGAACAGAAACAAAAACAAAAACAAAAAAAAAAAAAAAAGATGAAGCAGAGAAGACGGGGAATGCAATGACACTTTCTACCATCCGGCAGAGGCAGCAGAGCAGGCAAGACAGACCCAATTGGCAGCCACGCACAAACACACGCATCCACACGCACCCACTTCCAGGCGGATCACGTCATGTCGCCTTAGGCACTGGCCGACTCAGATACTGAAGTGCGAGATAGGAAGCCACCAAAACAGGATCCGGAAGGTCCTTGGTGGAGATCCTGGACGAGGGTGGCCGCCGTCACTGGCCGAGCAGAAGTGGAGAATGGGATGGATCTCCGTCCTGGAAGTCAATCCAGAAGAGCGTGAGGGAGTGGATCCACGCAGGAGAGTCGCATTTTCTTTTCTTTTCTTTTTTTTTTTCTCTTTCTCTTTTTCTTTTTTCTTTTCTTTTTTTCCCTTTCTCTCTTCTGGTGTTAGGCCGGTGATGTATGGTGTGGTGGTAAACAGGTGGGTCCCTTCTTTTTTGTATAGGGCGACGGTCTGCTTGCCTGGATACCACGTCTTCAAGGGATGTTGAGACAAGAAACAAGCCAAATAGAAAAAAAAAAAAAAAAAAAGGGGAAAAAGAAAAGAAGAAGAAAAAAAGCTGCATTCAAGAAAAAACCAAAACCAATGCAAAAAAGGAAAAATGTCCACCTACCACGCAGATCAAATGCGACGTTCCGCAACAGAACGGCCGGAGAAAGATAGGATATGTTCTTTATGGGGATGTATATGTATGTAGTGTACCTATGTACGGTATGGATGGATTCTTTTTCTTTCTGTCTTTCCCCCCTCCTTCTTGTAGTCGACTGCAGATGGCGAGAAGAATGAATCACGTTCGTCCAGGCAGCAGCCGATCGAATGAATCAGACCCGAATCCAAAGATCAGACAACCGTCCGTTCTCTATCTATGGGGTAATGGAATAGGAAGTAAAAATCAGAGGCAAAGAAAAGAAAAACCTCCGTAAGGAACTAAGCCTGGAGGATCTCCGGCTGCTTTTGTAGGAGCACCTGATGCGAAGCTCTCGAGACCCCCAATCGATTCCTTTCTCGGGTGTGGGGTGGCGACAAGCCTCGTGTCGTTGTTGGCTGGTCCTGCCGGGCTGGAACTTCGACAGCCTGAATCATGGCCGTAAGCCCTCTCTCTATAATGCCGTAATTATGATGGATACATGACCCGTTCCGGAATCCAGAGGACGGAGTAGTGCTCGATCGGAGGAAGCAGCGCGCCGTCCAATCCGACCGGCGAGGCGATATAGACGTGTTTTCTTTTCCTACGGACACATGGCTTGTAAAGATTCCACCTCCTCTTTCCTATCAGCAACGGGCTAGCGACGGAGCTAGAATCGAGACATCAGATCGGTCTTACGAATTCGGGCCCGTTTAAGGTGCTAACCCGACTAGCCCGGCCCCTACGAACTCTACTTGAGCGCAACCCCTCCCTCGCTCTCTGACTCTCGTCGTCCCCCTCCCCTCGCCGACGGCGCAAGACGGCCTGATGGCGGTCGTGCAGAGCGGATCCGGCCGACTGATTGGCCATGGAACGCCAGGATCTGCGGGTTGCCAAGCAGGCTGTGCAGCCACCAGAGGCAAGGGGTGGTGGGGAGGTTGCCTTCCAGACTCTCAGTCTCTCTCCCTCTCCAGTGCGCTAGTTGGCGGTAGTGCCGGGAGCTCAGACTCTCTCCAGCGAAGAACCATCGACCTTCGCAATGCAACTGCAGGGTTGTCGGGTGGTGTGAGAATGGGTGACGTTGGTGGATCTGCAGGATGTTACTCTACTACGCAGTACGGAGTACGGTACGCACTCCCTCCGGAGTAGTAGACATCAATGGGTATGAAATATAAAGACACGGGGTATGAAATTAAATACCCAGTATATATCATAAAACAAACAAGGCAAGGATTGGTACCTCCGCAGTACCCCCGGCCGTTGCAAAACCAAGCCCCAGCACCGAGTAACCAACAGGTCCTAGTCACCTCCCCCTGCCAGCTAATGCCCTCCATGCATATTTACGTCGTAACACTACCCCGTCTTCCATTCCGAGCGTTGTTTGACAGACGGCGTGGTATCACCGGTGGCGACCCCCTGGCCGGTTTTAGTTGCTTTTCCCCAACTTGTCTGCAAGGGCCTGCAGACCTGCAGGACCGTGTATGTGTCACGCTGTGGCTTGACTGGTGTTATTTTGGCTGTGATTACGATGCCCCCTGGCGATTTGCAGTCTGGCACTTCGAGAAAGAAGCAGCGGGAACGTAGATTAATAATTACGATCCCAGTCGATTACTAGGGCTGAAAGGGAATTGCTGATTTTCTCTTATCAACCCCTCTCCTGGAGTCCTTATGGAGTTGGGGTGCTATCTCATATCTGTACTCCGTACTGCGTATAGAGTATTTCATCTGGCCTTGTGGAGATTGGGCTTCGATCTTTCCTCTCTTCCATTGTCAGCTTACTCCGTACTGTTGTTCTCGGAAACCGATTTAGAGTCGGGAGGCAACTTTTTATTTTTATTTTTATTTTCATTTTTTTTCTCCTTTCCAGAACACCAGAAGAACGGACATGGAATTTTCAAAGAATACTCACGTCCCGAGGCTTCCACCACCTTCTTTTTTTCTGACCGTATGGAAAAGCCGGCCCACCCTTGCGGCGAAGCAGCTAATCAGATGGCCATTCGGGCCGGCCGTACGTGGCTCAACTCGACCAGTCAAGACGCCCTCGCCCAGCCCCGGTGGCTTGCGTGTGTGTGCATAAGTCGGCCAGGCGCGTGGCCATTGCGAGGACTCGTCGACCAGGGATCCAAGCCAATCCACAGCGACCGGAGGGATTGGGTGGTGCGACCCTCCCTTTCCCCTCTTTCGCTCCACCCTTCCACTTCCCACACACACCACCCAGCCCACACGCACACCAGGAAGAACTTCTCGCTGTGGCGGTTGGCGCCGACAACGTGTTGCTCGTTTGGGATTCCTTCCCCCTCGCTCTTGGGATATCCGAGTCTTCGTTTCTTTGTTCTGGGACCGGGAAGCTTGTTGGTTTGCCTTACACTTCTTTCCCTGGTCGCCTTGGCAAGATGAACTTCCTCCTTACTGCGTTAGGCAGGTGGCTTTAAACTCGTCCCCCCCCATGTTAATGTGTGTGGATGGTGGTGGCATACCAACCTCGAGGATGGCTCCTGTGCAACGCCCATTCCATCCCGATGGATGAATGGAATGCGTGATTTTCCCGGGGACAGGAGAGATTTCCCGTCCCTTTCGTACATTTCGGCCTCATCCCTTTCTCCAGTCGAGTTGCACAACAGGCTAAGACTCGAGGGATGGGACAAAGATCTTCAATCTACATCGCAGCTGCATGATAACTCCGTATTCACCTCGTCCTGCCCTCCCGAGTTTGTCTGGCTGCCTACGCAGTACATACGGAGTACTGTGTACTCCCCTGTCTGTATATGCACATACCCCATGATTTGTGCACCGGACGGCTCTCCTCCTTGGGGAGTCAGACCACGCCGGTGATAACATCCCCCCCTCCTCCTCCCCTCTCCCCTGCCTCTGCAGATCGTCGATCATTCAAACCAGACTTATGAATTCGGCATTGTCGCATTATGATGACATGATCCAAGGATTCTCGTCATATCAAAGTTTAGAGTAGTATGTTCGTTTCAATGATTTGCACCGTATGATCCACGTCGCCTCTCCATTTTTTTTTTTGGATTGCAACTCCAGTGATCGGCTTTGTAGACTATTTCCGGAGTACGGAGTAGTAAATGCTTCGCGTGCGCAATAATAATGCGGTGGTAATTGGCAACGGATTACACAGGGCGATTCGCCTCCTGCGAGGAAGGTTCGAATTTCCGATGGAAGGTTTTTTTATTTTGATTTTTGATTTTTGATTATTATCATTATTTTTAATGGTTCAATATTTCTGTCTATTTTCATCTCGCAGAATAGAAATAAATAAAGAAACCAAAAAAAAAAAAAAAAAAAAAAGACAGTCACAGGCCCGGCAGCCGAGACAACGAGTCAGATGCGGTGAAAATTTTGGCTTCTAGAACTTCTCTGGAAGCTTTTTTCGCCCGACGCCACCGAAGGATTCGCTGCTGCATCGATCGGGTCAATATCACACTTTCTCGGGCCCAACTCATCGGATGATGCTGATGCTCATCCATATTATTACTCCCTATTAATTATTGATTATTACTGTTGATTCGTATCCGTTGCCCTCGGTTTCAATTAGTGAACAAAAAAAAATCTCAGTCAGAATGGGTCCTCGGGAAACTCCGGGGAGGCTCCTACTCTCTCCGATCCCATCGCATCGATCGCCCCCTCCATCTGTTGATTGGGATTTTGATATTGCCTGGCAGCCTAGCCTTGCGATCTGACACCCGTGGATACCCCTAAAAAAGGGTCATGTCCAGTGCTCACCGGAGGCTGGATGAAGTGATTGCGCCAGAGCATCATTCCCATTAGGTGATCAGTTGGTTGCCCGATCGGATTTCCCTATCATGTCTGGACCGATTCTCGGAGATCCACCTCGAAATGCGCCAACCTTATGTGCAGTACAATTAAGTCCCGTATGCAGATGGCATGTCCTCGGGGGCATCCCATTGTGCGGATCTCCGGATGAATTTGTGCGGCTACCTCGCCAATTGTTTCATGCCGTGCGCATGTAGCAAACTAGTAGTTTCTGTAACGTGGAGGCCGTGGATGCATCCTACCGGTCGAGAGCATTACCTGTCATATCGCTTAGGCGGCCCTATTGTGACTCTCCCGGTCTAGCCTGGATGCGCCGCATTGGCGCTAATCGCGAACTAACCCGCCTGCATGCTGTATCGACGTACAGAGTATTAGCTCCCCTGGCAGTCTTGGGGTCATTTTCCGGCCCCAAATCTGAGTGAGACCGTGAGACACCTCTCTTTCCCACCTCTCTATCCATAACGGCGACTCCCTTCATCTGCTGTGGATCGTGACATTGGGGGCCCATGATCTGCGTCGTTAGCTAATGCAAGTATCCCATAGAACCGTTCTCGTCGGATTGTTTCGACGGCGCCCACAGGAGGGAAGGACGAAGGATTATCGAAGGCTGGACAGGATGCATCTTGCAGAGTCCTGATCCCAAATCTCACCAATCCAATGGATCGGCGTTTTACCTTTCCTGCCCCCAATCAACGGGGTCGGCCAGAACAGGGGTTGCAAACATTCGTCTCGCCGGAGTGCTAGGGCTTTTCGTGTCCAAACCATGATCGAGAGTCACATCAAGACAGCGTGATACCAACTTGCCCGAAAATACCTAGGCTCGCCCGCCACCCAAAAGAAGCCTAGGGCGCTCTGCAAGTCGCATTTGACCCCCCCTCAAATACTGACAGCAAACATAGCATGTTCTCGAGGTCAATGCATGCATGCTAGGGCAATGACTAGCCAGAGAGTGGATCATGCCAATGCAGCGTGGCTTGTTGGTTCCCAGCCGGCAACTGGAAGCTACCTGGACTTTTCCATTAGCTTTCCATTCGTTCAGGATGGAGACAAAGAATCGTCTGTTTCCGAGGCAGGGCTCGATGGAAGGCGTACGTGGCACACCGTCCTTGGTGACCATGTTTCAGTACCCCGTCGAGGACGACCATATGGCGCTAATGTAAGCGATCAAAGGGAATACATCGTATGTGACCAAGGCGTCTAGCTTCGGCGACCAGCTCAGAGAACCGAATCACAGTACCTACGCAGTACGCACGTTAGCCTCAGCTCGGGGTTCTTGCAACCAATCGGAGATTTCGATGCTCATTCCAGAGAAACAATGCCGCTAGGACCGAGGACTTCCTAGAGCTCGCGTTGAACATCATCCCGAGGGGAGCTCCCAAGACCCATGGCCGGCGGCTAATGGAACATGGCGGTCAAGCTCAACTGCACAGTTGGATTTCCCTCCTTCGGCCGAACCGGGCTGGAAAAGCATGTGGGAGATCGACTTCTTCCATCGTTCGGGGCTGTTGCCAAGTCAGCTCTCTGTCCTTTAATTTTTTTCCCTTTTCCTTGTTCCAAAAATACTCAGCGCTACATCGGCCACTCTCATTGAATGGCGCTCGATCTCAGAAAACACCCTGCCGATCGTAATCTTCTCAATTTCCTAGGAGAGATCCAGGCCCCATGGATTGCCTCCGTGTAGGCCGTATTATTCCAGCGCCTATACAACTGATTGGAAATGTGGGGTATTGTTATATTTGGAGTGGTGCCATCTATGTTTAGACTTTAAACCACCGTTGGGAAGACACCAAGCCTTCGGCCAATTTATCGTATCAGGCGCCAATGTGAGACAGGTAAATGTCTGTTCTTGATATATGCCCAGTGAGCACACGCGCCGGGACCAGATTCGAAACGCAGCATGTCTCAGTCTCGCATGGGCACCCAGGGCTAGAAACACGCGATTTGCTGGAATCGGAAGCCGACGGCCGTTGGATGTCATTGCCATGGATGTCCTTGTAGGACGCTTTTATTCCTCACTTATGAACCTCCGCCCTGACTTTGTCTCCAAGGCGCCGAGGCTCACATCCCATCCCGCATGTGTCAAAGCTAGAAGATACCGATCGAATCGATTACCCTCGTTAAGAAATCTCAATGTTGTCGATATGATATTGAGGATACGGTCAATATCAACCGTAGGGTCCCCATTCAGCGACTTAGGCAATACCCGCCCTGCAAGTAGAGCATGTGCCCAGGCCTTGAGCTGTGTCTGGGTATCGCTAGTATTTTTCAGGAGAATATCTGCGTACCATGTTTGGTTGATGCAGTGGAGTGCGAGTATGTAAGATTCTTCCTTGAAGAGGGAAGAAAGCCGAGGGACTGGAAGGTGGGTTTTCAATGATCCAGAGGATGCGTACGAGGACGAGGATTCCAGAAATTGTTGGACGGATATTCCAATACGGCAGAAACCTATCCTAGCCGTCTCAGACGAAGATGTAACCGAGCCCCATCTGAGAATTCCATTTGTCTCAAAGATCCGTTCTTGTCTGGCCACTTCAGCAGGAGACAGGATGCACCATTTGGTTTGATCAGAACCCATGTCTTGTTCCCTCTCTTTTACCTGGTTACTGCTACCGAAGCCCTTGGTATTGAAATCCGGATCCGACTCAAACAATGTTGAAAAAACGATATTCGTTCGTTGTCTGTTGAGGCTGGTCATTTGCACTGAACGCACCGCGGCATAGTTAAGGCTCAAGTGAAGCGTAAGAAGCATAACCAAAGCGATCCAGGTCGCGGTGTAACTTGTCACGCGGGAAACCACAAAAGATCCCACCTGTTGTTTGTGAGCTTTCTTCGAAAATAGGGATGATTGGAATACAGATCATACAAGCATTCCGATCAGGGAGATTATGGTTTCTTGCGAGGAGTCTTTCTACAGTTCGAGATGTTAGTAGCCCTAGCTTCCTTGATTGTCCAAACGTCGACCTAGTTGAACATACTGCATTGACTTCAGCGAGATTACCCCATTTAGAGAAATGCGCGCTCAGGCTTGCTTTAGAACTTCCCCCGGAAACTCCACACAGGGCTCGAAGAACGCCCGCCGTGCTGAGAACGGTGACTCGGCCAACTCCTGCAGGGATCATCGGCGAGAGACAATCTAGCACCATTGCGACGTCGTTGAATACGTCGGCTGCTAGCCGGTACATTTTGCATTCCGGCTCGAGAGCTGTACCAACACGATGTGCGAAAAGGATTGTCGCGACTCGGCCTGACGAATCCTGGAGGATATGCAGGAGAAGAGCAGATGTTGGGGAGGCATCGGCATTGCCCACTCCAACTCCTATATTTTATGTAGTCAGCTTTGTGACAACGTTATTTATCGAAGCAAGAGGTTCAACCTTGCAATACTGCTCTTGAGGAAAGGAGGCCTGCGATAGAACTGCTGAAAGCTTGAAGGGAGTCCTTGAAAACGAGGTATAAGCTAGCGGATTCTTAGACCAGGCCGGCCGTTGGCTATCCTCGAATGAAGCTTGACAGTCGATGCATGCGACAGAACAGATCGAGTGCATGCAGATAGATCTGGAACTCACAAAAATTTGGTATCTGAGATGATTGTTAGCACATAGTCACAAGCAATTGAGCAGACCCTAACTTACGAGGTATAATCATCGCTGACACTATGAGGGTATCCAGCGGGGAGGAAAACATCGATGAGAAGATCCCGAAGTGACGTTATAGACCATAACGATGGAACGGTCGAAGAAGGATGCTATAGTTCTAGTCAATGAACTCATTCCACCAATTGTTGGTCGTCATGCAATGTCAGATCACAGGCGTGGAAATGGGATGGGCATAATCAAGGAGGCGTCGAGAGGAAAGGAAAAAAGCTACCATCACATCAATACGTCCCCTGCCGGCTTCATCTTTGTTGGAGGAAGACGTGCGAGGAGCCGAGGGCTCGGAATAAATATATGTCGCTAGAGGATGATTGACCTCGTCTACTTCAGTAAAAGCCAGGCGGTTCATTTGGGAAGACGATGCCATTGCTTGATGATCACAGAATTGGGATGAACGATGGCCCATTGGTTGGAAGCCGTAGCTTTCGCCGTGAGGGAGATGGTTGTTGTGTCGAAGAAGCTGCGTGGCAGAAGTGCGTTTAAATCTACTAAGCCGCGAGCACGTGTCATCCCCGGCATAACGCAGGTCACGCCGTGCTCGATATCCAACACTGACAATTTACGGGGGAGATATCGGTTGTGACTGGAAATGTTGAAATTCTAACCTGTAGTAATGATGTCGTCTCGAGCTCAGCGTACAAGCAATAAACCTAACACAAACCCAAGCCTAGTCTTCCAGTGTAATGATAGTCAATAGTCCAGCAGACTTTTTGAATCAACGCAGATCAAGCATCCATGCTGTGACCCCGAACATTCCGCGAACAGATGTCGCTATGAAGAAGGAAAAGAGAAACAGAAATATCGAATCAAATCCCACACGGTGCGCGCCCAGAGTATTTGAAAAAAAACATAGAACCGCTAAGTATGAATGACTTGCAACCACCAGCGCCTTGATACGGAGTAGGAAAAAAAAAAAAAACAAAAGAAATGAAAAAAAAAGGGAAAAAGAAAAGAAAAAAGAAAAGAGGGAGCCGTGGACCGGAGAAAACCCCATACCCGAGGTGTTCAAGACGGGATCCATGACCGGGTTCGGATAATAAAATTGCGTCCGGCCAGGAATTGATATAGCGGCTTGGTTTCGGGATGACGCGAGGTCTCTCCGAACTCACGGCTCCTGCCCAAGCACCCACGGGGCACCTGTTGAAGAGTTCTTCCCGTCATAGCTTCGGTCGCAAACGACCACTCCTCTCTCATGGCAACGTGCCATACCATGCATCGTGCTCATCCTACAAGTGTCTTCATTGCATCATCCCTCATGGTGGCATGGAGAATCTAAGCACAGAGACTGGCACCGCCGGTCTCAATGGCTTCGATCTCCGCCTCGCTCCAGGGAAGGCGGTGGAAACGGGAAGGAAGCTCAACGCGATCGAAAAACTCGCCCTGCTTGGGCTGGACGGGGCCCAGAGAAGCGCCCGAGTTACGGCCGATGGCGCCCTGAGTGAAAGAGGCGCGACCAAGCGGGCCGTGCTGCTGAGCCTTGGAGCGATAGGCGGCAAAAGAGTCGGGAAGAATGCCGGACGGAGAAGCGGGGTGAGGACGAGGAGTGTGGTCAACAGACTCTAGAACAGGGAGAAAAAAAAACGCGTTAATTCAATCAATTCGCGAGACCAGAGGGACAGAGATAGAGAGACATACGAGGCACGGAACGGCGACCAAGGAACCGAATGAGAGGAGTGCGAGCAGCGTTTCCGAGAGCGACGGTGGCACGCATTTTGAATTGAATGGGATTGAATTGAATTAAGGGAGTATAGAAGAGTCGAAAAGGGACGGTGGGTGGAGAGAAAGAAGAAAAATCGAGCGATCCGCACGAATTGGACGCGAGAAAAACGGGTGATCCGACAGCGTCCGAAGCGACCGAGGTAAGCGATTATTAGTTAGGGCAGACAGGAAGCTAGCAGCTCAACAGCACCCGGCGTAGTGGAATATATACAGGGACAGGATTAATAGCGATGGCGATGGGAGGAATGAAGAGACTGACAGGAGGGAACGATGAAGGAGGAGAAGAGAAAGAGAGAGGAAGGAGGACGAGGGGGGGTTTACAAAAAAGACGGGGAGGGGAGGAAGTCGGAGCGGAAGCGAGCCGATCTCGTCCAGACTAGACCCGTTGCGTCGCATTGATAAGCGGGTTTTTAGTGGGAGGAATCGTTCCCATTACCTGACCTTACGCCGGTACCGTACAGGACGTCCAGTACCGCTGTCGGCAGGGCTTGACCGTAGGCTTGGCCCGTACGGTACGCGCTGCTTACCGGCCGGACGCCCAGAATCGGAGCTGCACCGCGCAGAATCAGCAGAATCATAAGGTTCATGCGTGATTCCTCTTCTTATCTGAATTCCGAACGCCGTCGGATTCCATCCCCCGCATCCCACGGCTCCAGCAGAATCGCGCAACCCGCCTGGAAAGGGAATTCCACACGCGAAGAAGCTCGGACCAGCGCTCCGACCCGGGTTTTTCCGCGGGTTGCCACTTTCCCGCCGCCAGCAGATCTCGGATTTGGTCCTTCCGGAATCCTGCCCTGTCAGCCCGTTAGCCAGCTGTCTCTGCTGCTCTTGTCCTCCCCCGTGGTCATGCATGAGCTGTTACTCTTCGCCTCGGTCCCCGCCCACCAGCATCATGAGCTTCTCCAGCAGCTGGCCGGCTTGACGGCCATGCAACCTCGTCACCGCTTAGAACGGCGTTTGATCTTCAAGGCTCACCGGAAGCCGGGGCTGATCAATACCCATGTCGGCGCCAGCCAGGACGTCCAGGGCCCGGACATGCAGCGCCTGAATAAGATGCTGAACGGAGGCATGTTCTACACCCAGGTCGTCGGCCCCGTGTCCCCGGCGGATCTGGGTGCCAGCCCGCCGCCAACCTCGCTCGGAGATACTGACGCCTCCATGGCTGGCACCGACGAGAAGGGCGGCCACGTTTACTGCTACGATCACCAGCCCTGGAAGCTGGAGTTCAGAGACATCCCCGAGGCCGGCACTCGGTCGGCCGTCACCACCCGACTGACGGCCAGCGCCGGTCTGCCCAAAGGTGATATCTCCACCCCCATGAATGCCTGGGGCTATAGGTCAGTCCCTCCCCGAGTGACCCGCGACGGGCATGGATAAGCGAATCGTATGATCGATCGCCCTTCTTGCTGATGCGGTTTCGGACAGCTATGTTACCGAGTACATGGTGGAGGGCGATGTCTTCATCCTGAACGACATCGTCATCTTTCTCCATCGCGTCCTGCAGTATCCCACCGAGGGTCAAGAACCACATGAACCTCGGCGTCAGCTGCCTCCCTTCCAGCAAATGACCTCCCTGGATCGAACCGGGAGCTACGTGCTGCAGGCCTCCATTACGGTCCAGGATGGCGGCAACCAAGAAATGATGAAGACGGCTTCGCAGCATCTGTTTGGTCTTCGAGAACAGCTGAAGTCGGCCGTCCGGCTGGAACAGGCGGATCGACTCTCTCTGGACACGCGAGCCAAATAGACTGGAGGCGTCGTGCTCTTTTTCTTTTTACATGCTCGATACCCGGAGGGGGGATTAGTTCCCTCTTCTTTGTTTTTGGAGGTAGAGTTAGTGGATAGTAACTCATTCGTATTTTCATTCTCACTGCGCATAATACATATAATACATGTGTTATCCTGCGTGGCACAGAAAGAGGCTTCCTCTCAGCTCGTAAACAACAATAAGGAAAGCCCGGGCGGTCCATCAACGGAGACATGTGACCTCGCGGAGTCGGACGCGCGGGCGGCGCGTCGACTTCCGCCCAAACTCAGCATAGTTCCGGAGACGTCCTCATCCCCACAGGCATCACGGCCCCGTCTCTCCATCGACCAACGGCGAAGGCCTCCTTGAAGGTCATCTCATCATTTCCTCCATACTATTCAGACTGAGGATGACTGGAGCCGGGGGCACAAAGCGGGCCCCGTCCCCCAATGGTGCTATATCTCCGCCTCCGCTCAAACGGAAAGTCGAACCAACGGTAACGAGTAAGGAAACCATCGATCTTGAATCGGTGTACGCATAGTCTCTGACTTTGTGCTTTAGAGAAAGCCATGTCCTCGTTCTTCACGCCCACGTCCCAGAAAAAGCCCGAGCAACTCTCCTGGCGGATTGTGAACAATAGCCTGGTCATTGGCAAATATTCCAAAGAATCGGGACCTAAAAAGGAGTATCCGGCAAAGCCAAAGATCGCTGCATTTGATTTCGTAAGTTGAAGTCCATCCCTCGACCCGAATGCTCATGAAAGCGCCCAAGACTGATGGTTGAGGGAAGGACTCGACTTTGGTCTCAACCGCCTCGGGGAACACATTCCCGAGAAACTCTTCGGATTGGAAGTGGTGGCATTCTTGCGTGCCTTCTCGCCTCAAAGAGCTGGACGCCGATGGGTATGTGATAGCGGCGTAACGGATTTACCGTCTTAACCCACTGGCCAAATTGGATCAAGAGCTGAAACCTCTTTTCAGATACCAAGTGATCATTGTCTCCAACCAAAAAAAGATCAGTCTACAAAAAGAGATGAAAGCCGGGAAGGGCGATTCTAAAAGCCTGACCAATTTTAAAGAACGAGTCGCAGCCGTTATGAAGCAGCTGGATCTCCCTTTGAGTGTTTACGCCGCTACTCAGGATGACGGGTACCGGAAACCGAGGAGTGGGATGTGGAACGAGTTCTTAGATGACTATGACTTCGACGTGGCTGGAGTCGATCTGGCCGGGTCTGTCTTTGTGGGAGATGCCGCCGGCAGACCGCGAGACCATTCCCAAGTAGACCGGTAAGGTTGAGCATCCTTTTGCGAAAGAAAGATATGCGGGCTGGCCCTGACTTCTCCATGCTCCAGGGGATTCGCAGCGAACATCGGGGTGCCATTCAAGACGCCCGAAGAGTTTTTCCTCGACGCTGACCCAGAGCCACTTGTGGAACCTTTTAACCCGTCTTCATATCTTCAGAATAACGACGATGACGGTAAGTCGGAGAGGGCATATGGTCTGGAATGACCATGGACCCTCGCGCCTGGCGTAGAAGGCTGGTCAGTCTACGGATTTAATAACCTCTTTTTGAATAGCGCCTGCCCCTTTCTCGCGCCAAAGTCCCCTCGAACTTGTCATCTTCTGCGGGAGTCCCGGAGCGGGCAAATCGACCTTTTACTGGGATTACCTAGAGCCATTGGGATATGAACGAGTGAACCAGGACATTCTCAAGACGGTACGTCCGCCACATACATCCGAGCTTTGTCTCTGAGCCAATGCATCCACGATCGGCTCGGCCAGGCTCGAAACAAAGAGACGGCCTGAAACAGGAAAGGGGTGAAGACCAGCAAAAGCAAGCTAACCAGGGGAACTTGCAGCGACCAAAATGCATCAAAGCAGCTAAGGAATACCTTGCGGCCAAAAAGTCCGTGGTAGTTGGTATGTGATACATGACCCTTGCATATAGCTTGATGTTCTACGACAGACCAGACCAGACTAGACCCTTCCCTTCCTATCTTTTCTAACTCCCTGCTTTTCTCATCCCCTCAACCAAAGACCGTTTGGAAACTCAACGGTCAATGTCGCATTCCTTTTCAGACTTTGCTAACCGGCCGCCTGCCCCAAAAAATTCCCCGACGCGAGTCGGGGAATTGGCATCATCACGCCAATAGACAATACCAATGCAGACCCAGAAACCCGAGGCCACTGGGTCGAAGTCGCAAAGGAATTCAACGTTCCAATCCGTTGCGTGTATTTCTCTGCGTCCCCGGACCTCTGCCGGCATAACAATGCTGTCCGAGCAGCAAATCAAGACCTGGTATGTGTAACCTTTCCCCTAAAGCCTTCTTGATGTTACACACGTTACCATCCTTTTACCGTTCTGCCTACCTACCTTGCACCCCGGGATGAAGAATGGGCCCTTTCCATGGCATGCATTGATAACCGCCCCGCCTCGGCATCTTTCTGATTCTTTGTGCTCCCCTCCTGGTGGTCCACAAAGACAGAGAGAGAGAGAGAGAGAGAGAGAGAGAGAGAGAGGGAGGAGACAAAGGGCTGGTGGATCCGTGCTTTGCCTGCCTCGGGACTCGAACCAATCCGCAACCCCTTTATCCCACGCTGTGCACCGCGCGCTTTCCCCGTACCCGTGCGCAAGCTTATCATGCGTCCCTGTGCTATCTATACCGATGCCATTCTCTGTCTTGTGCGTTGGAAATCGGAATTTTTTTTTGAATGTTTTCTTTTCTCTCGCTCATGCAACTCATCTATCTACCTCTAGAACCCGGAATCTCGCACCCTCCTTCCAGGGATCGCGTTTGGAGACTTTCTTCGCCGATTCAAGGAGCCGGCTCTGTCGGAAGGCCTCACCGATATTGTTCGGGTCGACTTTCGCTTCCGAGGCAATGCCGATGCCAAACGAGTGTGGGGCCAGTACTGGATCTGATCTGATCTGGACAGAAAGGAAGGGGGAAGAGAAGGTGCACCGGGGATGGAACGGGAGGTGGGTGCTGGATGTTTCATCTGCGCCGCGGAAATGCAGACGGCTGGAGTCGCATGCAGGAGAACCAAACTGTCCGGGGGTGAGAATCACCAGTTCGTTCGGCTGGCTCGGCTGATTGATTCTCCTGCTGCGCTCTGGGCCATGTGCAGCTATCTAGCAGCACCCGTATGCACTTCGTACATCCATTGCGCAAGGGGTCTCAAGAAAAATGAGAATTAATACAGAAAACAAGTTCCGTGATCAACCACACGTCATCATAGATAGAGATACTGGGTGGATAGTAAGTATTATTATTATATATACATGTGCAGAAACACAGTCAATGAGGCTTGTTTTTTTTTTTTTTTTTTTTTTTTTTTTTTTTTTTTTTTTTGGTGAAACACCCAAACATTTCTATAGGATACAGCGGGTCATAAAATCAATCACGCTCGAAGGGTATAAACGGGGGAGGGAATGGATGAAACACCGATCATTATCATAGAAGAGCCCCCGCTTTCGTTCCTCTAGTTGGACCTGCAACTTTTCCTCCACATTCCAGCCGGGCAGGATCCAATCGCATTCATGCATGAAGTACATCGCTCGCAGAAAAGACGAAAGGCAGATGCGTCTGGTAGTACACCGAGGTACTGTTACATGTGGGCGCAGAAAAGTCATCCGTCAGGAGATCGCAGGGAAAAAGGCCCGGAAGAACAAATGGAAATGCAATGCATCGTGCGTAAAAGAATGGATGGTGCTCCGCGAGTCAGTAGTCGCAGGCACACAAGTCATCAAGTCATCAGTATCAGATCACAAACCAGGATCGACAACAAAGAACAAGAGATAAAAAGAAAAAAGGACATTAGTCATCACACGCTTCAGGTCATCCATGAGGCATTAGAGATCATTAGATGTTATACATCATCACACAGCCTCGCACAATAATTCTATCGTCGTTAGAGAAAATAAAGAGAAAAGGAAATCAAGATCAAAGTGCGGTCTCTGGTGCAGGAACCCGCGGACCGAGGAAGTCTAGGACCGCGTCACAAGGTCTTGAAAGAATTTGAGGAAATTGCGTTTCAACGATTGACTGCGGCAGAGCCCAGAATCAGTCGTGGGTGGTGCAATCTTCATAGGCCCCACGATTTCGCCGTCGCCCAACTGGGGGAACTTGTCGTCGTGCAGGCGAGGGACCTTAAACTGCTCGTACGGATCGCAGTGGGAATTGACCAGGCGTAGGTGAGGTCCTTCGGTGGCCTCCAGTTGAGAGAGCATGGCCTCGTGTTGACGTCTCCATTCGTTGTTGATGGATTCCCACTTCTCCTCCGTCAGCTTGTAGATGTTGGACGTGATTCCGTAATGTTCGCCCGTTCGAACCAGATGCTTGGCGAAATTGCATTGGGCGAGATCCCACTGGGCACGCAGCAGCCGGAAGGATTCCAGATCGTATACTTCGGGCATGTATGGTTCGGGCTGAATGTTGAAGTTGGCATGCCCCAGTTTATTGGCCCACTCGTCCTTGGGATCCGATAAAATGAACGGCGGTGCCTCCCCGGACACCGTTCGTGCCGTGCTGGCTCGAGGTCGGTTGAAGGACGCGACGGACGGCTTGGAGGATAGCGGCGGGGACGGGAGCAGTGCAAGACGCGGGTCCTGGAGTACATTTCCGTCGGGGAGATCCTCCGACATGTCGGCGACGGAGGGCGATTGCAGCGGCGAGTGAACCCGGGAGGTGGTCGGATAAACAGGTTCGTCTCCCATGAAGGGTGGCAGCAGCGGAGTGGTCGCCTGAGGCGCCGATTCCTCATCGCCATGACGATTGGCTTTGGCGATGTCGATGGGTTGCGTTCCCGATTCACTCATGCGCTCCTCGAAGATCGTCCTTGCCGGCGAAGGAGGCACCGTAACGGATTCGACGCGGCAGATAGAACCCACCGTCGGACTGACCAGGACGGAAGAGGCGGAGTTGGTACGAGACCGCAGGGTGGTCGAGAACGCGTCCACGCCGTCCGGCCCATCGGACGCACGTCGGGACTTCCAGCGCGAGGAGATGGTTGATATTCGAGAACTTATACGCGAGAGACCTTTGGCGGACATGCTGTCCGAGCGTCTCTTCTTCGGAGAATGGGGGATCTCCATGCCGGCATCAGTGAGGTCGTAGCCGTCCGAGTAATCGATGGAGGCAAAGTAAGAATCTTCCACTTCCGACAAACCTTGGTCAAAGTGCTCTGCTCGCGGATCAGCAAAAGAAACTATAGAAAAAAGCGTACCGGCTTGTCGGAGAAAAAGCCGGCACGGGGGCTGGGAGCAAGGGCAACATACGGAAATATTCCTCCTCGAGATCCCTCGCGTGGGACCCACAGGAGTCTTCTTCCTTCACTCCTGTCAAGGGATTCCTGGAGGCGCCTTCCATGGAATTCCCGTGGCCGGGAGACGAAACCAAGGAGGACACAGAGCTTGAGAAGCGCGTATGCCCTTTGGCAGAGAACAGTGAGACCGCGGGTGAGACAGGCGTTGACGAGGTGGTGGTCATCGGGGACTGAGGCGACTGCCGCGACGGGTCGACCATAGCGTCGGAGCTGTCACGCCTTTTGGCGTCTAAGAGATGCGAAAGTTTGAGCATGCTGGAAAATGACCTTAACCTTGATCAATGTGGCGGAATTCCTTCGTTTTGTTGTTGCTTCAGGTGGAAAGCAGCGCGAGAACGAACGCGACACGCAGGGAAAGAAATCGGGTTTCTTCTCTTTATGTCGAAGACATCATCCACTGATTTGACCGGGCAATGTTTGTTTTTAGAAAAAAAAAAAAAAAAAAGAAGTGAGACGAGATTACTTTGTATTGCTTTTTCTTTTCTTTTCTTAATCCGTCCAAATAAAAAAAAGAGGGAAAGAAAGAAAGAGAAAAAAACAAAAAGGAAGAAAGGAAGAAAGCAAGCAGGAGAGAACAATGACTCTTTATGATCTGCGACAGCCCAAGTCAGACGTGGCGTGGCGGTGAAAGACAAGCCGAGAGAAGGAGCGAGAGACAAGGACAAGACCAGCAGCGAGCAAGACGCTATAGGACAATTGATTCTGAGACGACGCGAGCCAAAAGCCACGAGCGAGTGACTGGCCGAGGCGGGGAGAAAAATGGCAGGCGGCAGGGCCGACAAGAAGACGTGGAGCACGTCAGTGGATGCAAGCGGACGAACAGCTGGCCGGAGGGGAAGGAAGAGGGTGTTCGTGAGGCCCAAAGGGCAGGCTGACAGCTCAGTGGGCTGCAGTTGCTTTCCACCGGAAGTAATGAATGATGGCGTTGGCGAGGAAAGAGGATGATGGAAGAGATGGCGAGCGGAGGAGAAGAAGAAGAGGAAGAAGAAAAGAGGAGATGCAGAGACGGCGAGGGGAGCACAGACGTAACCAGAGAATGCCTTCTTTGCCTTCGCTCTCTTCTCGTCTTTAGTCCGTACAATAAATATATTAATTAATTAATTCCATTGCATCGTGAGGGGCAAAAGCAAAGAAAAAGAAAAAAAAAAGCAAAACTCCGAAATGAATCAATCCTAGTCTTCTCTGTCTACTTTGTCACTCGGGATTCCTCTCGGGTTCTCTCTATCTATCAAATTCTTTCCGTCTTTTCGCCTTCGTCTGCCAAGCATGGATTGTTATTTTTTTTTATTTTTTATTTTTTATTTTATTTTTATCATATTTTTTTTTTCTTTGGGTATGACTTAATAAAATGGGAGATCGTCGGGAAATTCGCCAGACCCGTGCAGGCGCTCCGTCCAGTTCCGTGGATCCCTGGCCTTGCTTGCCACGGTCGGTCGTTGTCTTTTCTTTTCTGTCTTTGCTTTCTCGGAGATGAGATGCGGTACTTCCTGTCGGTCGCATGGCTTGAAGGAACCTGTGCTTAATTGTCCGATGGGAGAAGGTCCTTTAAGGTTAAAAAAACCTAAGATTCATGGAGAGAAAATGATCCATCAGAGACCCCGTTCCGCCTGTCCGTCGGGGGAATTCCAACGGCCTCGCGTCATTGTCCACCTTAGGGTGTTTGGTCTTGGGAAAAACACCCCAAGCGAGACCCATCGTGGGCGCGGGAGAGAGCAAGACACCGGCGAAGGATGACAATCTAGACTCCGACCGACTCGACTGGTCTCACACAGAACTCCATCGGATTGACATAGCTCCAGTGGCTGGTGGTTCGTCTTTGCCCTCCCGATTGTGCGACCGCCATCGTCATTCTTCCTGGGACCAAGATGCAAAAAATGTCAACGCACCGATTCCCCCCCTCCTCCCAAAGTACCATGACCTATCATCTTCGCGTCGGACAACTCCCGACGAAGCAGGTCGCACGCGTAGTAACCTCTGGCAGAGTGGTCATTCCTCCATGCATCATCCTTTCTGCTTACTGCGTACATGCTGCAGTCGCAGAGCAGAGGCCCCTTCTGTCTCGGTCGCTGCAGGTCGCGACCGTCGCGTAATTCATTGTTTTCGAACTGGCTGACTTCTTTTGCCTGTCTCTCCTCAACTCGATTTTTTTGAGGGGTTTTCCGCGCGCTCTTGAGGGTTGGTTGGCCGGTAGTTCGATGGTTGGCCGATCTCCCGGTGGACCCTTTTTTTTCCCTTCTGTCTTTTCTGTGTTTTCCAAGTTCCAACGTCGAACTCTGGTGCCGACGTCAGATCCACATGGACAGAACCAGCCGGGTGGTTCCCTAATTCCATCCCATCAAAGTTTAGGACCAGAAGAAGCCACCGAACGGAAGTGGAAGAAGTCTGTTTGCTATCCCAAACGTCGATCCCATTGGGGCATGTAGACTCCAAGTAATCGGACCTCTGTAATTATCTCTATCATACGCGATGGATCATTTGTGATCATTGGATGAGATCTAGCGAAGACGAATGGAGAATGTGAGAGGGAAAGCAAAGAAAAGATCGTAGGAGGATCTCGCGATGACGTGATGAGCGTCTGTGCACGTGACCCCGCCGTGATCCTCGTCGACCGTCGAACTGCCGCCTCTTCGAGTTGTGGCCCTCGTTCCAGCGCTCCAGTCCATTGCCTTCTTCGTCGTCTCCTTCGGCTTCATGTTATTCCCCTCCTCCCTTCTGCTGGCCACGGCGGCCCTGGCTGCTGCTTCTCCGTCCCCCAATTTCCCCCAGACTCCTTTGCAATTCTTCTCCTCGTCGCCCTCCACCGCCGACTCCTTGGACGAGGTCATCAATGACTCCCCATTCCTTTCCTTCCACCGCGACCTGGTTCAGATCGAGTCCATCTCCGGGAATGAGAACCGCATAGGCTACTTCGTGGCGGACTTTCTGGGGGCGCACAACTTCTCCGTCGTCAAGCAGCCCGTGACCGGTGGTGATGGGCAGGTCCGCTTCAACATCTTTGCCCACCGGACGTCCAGTCATCCGCAGGTCCTGCTTACCAGTCACATTGACACCGTGCCGCCTTTTATTCCCTACTCCCTCGACCGCATCGACTCTGATTCCTCCTCAACCGCAACCGTCCGCATTTCTGGCCGGGGCACCGTCGACGCCAAAGGCAGCGTGGCGGCGCAGGTCTTCGCGGCCCTCGAGGTGCTGGACGAGGACCCTGAAGCTCCGCTAGGGCTCCTTTTTGTTGTCGACGAGGAAGTCGGCGGGAAAGGCATGCGCGTTTTCTCGGAATCCTCTTTAAACCCGAGCCCCTCCGCCTTCCACACAGTCATCTTCGGCGAGCCCACCGACCTGGCCCTCGTCGCCGGTCACAAGGGCATGCTGGGCTTCGAGCTGGTTGCCACTGGCCACGCCGCCCACTCCGGGTATCCCTGGCTTGGGCAGAGCGCCATCTCTGCCATCCTCCCCGCCTTGTCGCGCGTCGACCGACTGGGTGACATTCCCGCCGCCAAGGGCGGCCTCCCCGCTAGCCCTAAGTACGGCCGCACCACCGTGAACATCGGCCGCGTGGAGGCCGGAGTGGCGGCCAACGTGGTGCCGGCGAGCGGGCGCGCGGACGTCGCGGTGCGCCTGGCGGCGGGCACCCCGGACGAGGCGCGCGAGATCGTGCGGCGCGCCGTGCGCGATGCCACTGACGGCAGCGAGGCCGTGTACGCCGACTTCTCGACGCGCTCCGAGGGCTACCCGCCGCAGGACCTGGACACGGACGTGGCCGGCTTCGAGGTGACGACGGTGAACTACGGCACGGACGTGCCGAACTTGCAGATCCACGACCGCGCGGACGGCAGCCGCGTGCGTCGCTACCTCTACGGCCCCGGCAGTATCCACGTGGCGCACGGCGACAACGAGGCGATCACCGTGGCCGAGCTAGAGGAGGCCGTGCGTGGATATCGAAAGTTGATCGAGGCGGCATTAGATCGGAGCGAGTGAAATCTTGGGCTCTTTTTTAGGTCCTTTCGTCTTTAAGCCCATGTATATATTTTAGTCCGGGGTTTAACTGATCGACCCTCTTGTATAGATGAATCTAATGTGCATCATGACACAACATATTTATCTTTAGACGCACTATTTACATAATGAGGTCCATCACAGGCCTATCTACATAACTGAATAATTTGAAGTTCTTTGGTGGAGGATATGGGACTAATAAATGAAACAATAGTAATAACCCCATCCCTTCTATTCCTATCATGTATTTTCATCCTAAAAAGTCGTCGCAACAAGAACAACAAATCAAAAAGAAAAGAAAAATACAAATAAGGAACATAGCACAAATCATTTCAAATCCAACTCAAGATCTCTCACGAATCTCGCGGCTTCCGTGCCCACCCCGTTTTTAGATCTCCACTCGGTTTGAACCGTGGCATCGGATGCGCCTCGGTGTTGAAGACGGTTTCTTCGAGAGGAAGGAAATCCCGCTCGGAGAACAGGAGATAGAAGTACTTGAGGGTTTCGGCCATCCAGAAACTCTCCGTGTTGTCTCTGCGCTTGGGGGGCAGGGTGTTGGCGTTGGATAGCGAGGTGAAGCCCACGATGCGGGATTTCCCCTGCGCTTCGACGCTGGCACCCTCACTGTTGGCGTCGGCTTCGGCTCCAGAGTCGGCGGCCGGCGCCGGCGCATCGTGCTCGACCACGGCCGTGTGGCGCACAAAGGACTTGAACATCTCCCACCCCCAGTGGCGGTAGGTTTCGTCCCCGGTGATGCGGTACATGTACAGCAGGGATTCGACGGTCTCGGGCCGTTGCAGGTTGTGTCGGTCCTGGCTGTGGATGTTGATGTCCTCGCGCCAGTTGGAGGTCTCGTCATCCAGCGGATAGAGAGGCTTGGATTTAAGGGGCAGGTCTTCTTGCTGGGACTTGGAGTCGGCCGCGGTCATGGTGGAGTCGGGATACATGTCGCTCAGCATCACGGGAGGGTCGTCCGTGAGGAAGTAGGTGATTTCGGGCGCAAGGCCGGTCGAGGTGGCGAGATACGTTGCCCAGCAGGTCTTCATCAGCTCTTTGGCAACCAGGATCTCTTCGTCATGCCGATGGCTCCACGTCGGGAGTTTCTTCGCCTGCGAAAGGGGCAGCCCGCCCGTCGCACCCAAGGCGATCGTCCCGGGCAAGAAGCAGACCAAATGGTCCATCTTAGGTGAAAGGGACTCGCCGAGCCCCGTGGGTCGTTCGCCCAGGATCATCAACTGGGCGTTTTTGGTGTAGGCGATCAAGTGCTTGCGGATCCCCATGAGGGCCTCGTCCCACATCTCTTTGTACACAGGCTCTTGCTCATAGGTCTGGTGATACTGTTTGATGAGGTACTCTAAGGCAAGGTTGAGAGTTAGTGGCCAGGGACAGGAGACATGTTGGGGAGGACGGCCAGGTAGAAAAACCCCCGCAAAAAGGCCAAAAGGACATTGCGAAACATACCGTAATAGGAGTCGCCCCGACTGCCGAGACGGATATTGTTTCCTCTGAACTTGCCCGAGTCTGGATATAGGTAGATCGGGACGAGGCCATCCTCCACCTTTTGGTCATCCACGATTTCCATTACCTTCTCCACGATGCGCCAGTACTCAGCCTCGCCAGTCAGCTTCGCCAGATACTTAAACTCCAGCTGCACGGAGGTGGCCTCGGCGGTGGAGGAAGCTCCATTATCGGCGTGCGACGGGATCCCCTTGGACGTATTGAGGTTCACACTGGCATAGGGTATCCCCGACGAGGATTCGAAGGCTCCCGCCAGTCGGTCAGCCAGGTCGGTGGCCTTCTCAATGTACAGGTCTTCCCAGGGGGAGCCCACGTCGTCGTCGGCGACCGGGGCTAGTTGAGGATAGGCCGTGGAGAGGTAGTGGGCCGACAGAAGACCTCCCAGCATGCGAATGGTCGTCTCGAAGGTGCTCACGTCGTGGTCTTGGTCGTAGCGGAGGGAGTAATGAATCCAGCTGCGAGCATGCTGCACCCGCGAGGTGAGATTCATGATCATCATTGTGTCCAGCGCATCGACGATCATCCAGCCCATGCCACCGGCCACCATGGTTCTGCCGTCTTTTGCAATGGGATGGAACACATCCAATCCTACCCGGGAGAGAAGTGTATTAGCAACGCTGACCTGCAAACTCGCTCGGCGAATGTCCGCAACGTACCCCATGCATACTTCTCGTAGCCATCCCAGCTGACAACGAACGTATCGCGGACCTTCTCCCGGCGGGCGGCCCAATCGACGGGCTTTGGTTTGCCGCCGTCGTAGGCCGGGTCCGTTTCATCCAAGCTTTGCACCCAGGCCCAGAGCTCCTCTCCTTTGGCCGAGTCCGGCGTGCTTAAGACAGGCTTACCCCAGTCACTCGGACTAGACACGTAGTACCAGACGAGCCCCAGGAACAACAGCATGATCCCGCCTTTTATAATCTTCCCCCGCCTGTGTCTTGGTCCCGTGCGCCGCGGCGCGAAATAGGGCTTGTCTTTGTACATCGGGAGAGTGCGATCCCCACCGAATAGATTGTTCAGGTTGTTGGATACCCCCGCGGACTGCGAAATCCCATAACCCGGTAGCCCACCGGCACCGGGGCTCCGGCTCGCAGCTCGCCAATTGTGGCTTTCGAACGGTCGCTGAGGAGAAGGAGAAAGCGATGGATTGTTTGGAGGATACTGAAAAGACATGACCGCCAGGGTGCGTCTACTATACTGGCTCGCCGGACGCGGAGGACAGGCCGGAAAGAAAGGATTGTTCGAATAAAAGACGTTGTACAGATGTCGGCATCAGGCACGGTCACCGTCCACGCTGACGCTTTCCCAGATGTTATCACCGGCCGAGCGTTCCCTAGGATTATATAGACCGTTCGAATTTCGGGGGATCGAGAAGACAGGAAGGAATCTGAACGACGAGAAAGGCCAAGTTAGTCAGATAGCCCTGGGAGGAATAAGCCGAAATAGCGCCTGTAGATCGGAGGACGACCACGGCCCGGTAGCGTAAACAACGACGGGACTCACCGTTGCGAAGACGTCAGCTTCGCCTCGCAGTGCAAGCGGCGCTCAGAAGGCCGATCTCAGGGAGGCATATATACCGGCGCAGCAATGCACTAAGCTCTGGCTAGTCGGAAATCCGTACAGTCGAGCGAGCAGGAGTGGCCACCTGTTGCGGTTTGGCGCCCCGACCCATTGGTGGAGAATGCCGGGGAAAGACTTGGCGAGGGCCATATCGCAGGTCCAGCAGTGACTTTCTGGATTTCCCTGCTCGTAAGGAAACGAGCGAGGTTGAATGGTCTGACTTTGCGAACAGGATAAGCTTCCCGGGATTGAACCAGGGGGGGGCACATGGTCTTGCTGGGGTTCGAAGTCCCGGGCGCGTAACAAAGAACGAACCCGCCCGGCGATAGTTCGATGTTTACGAGGTCTACGACTACACCAAAGAACTCGTTGAGGGCTCCTCTAAACACATGGCTAATATTTGAATCGATCATCCTGCAGTTACAGTTTCTGGTACTCCAGCTTGCCTTCCAGCTTCTTCGACTCCGCCACCTTACGGACCGCCCGGTTGAAGTCGTCCTGGTTGATGGCATCCCGGTAGTCCTTGATCGTAAATAGACCCCTGCGTTGGCAATGTCAGCAAAGAACCGGAACTCCCGATCCGTGGAAGAAGGCCGGGGCACATACGCTTCCGTCACCACGTTGCGAAGATCCGCTCCGTTGAGTCCGTCGCTCATCTTCACCACGCTCTCGAAATCAATGTCACCATCCAACTGGACCGTACTGGTGTGGATCTTGAGAATCTCCAGACGGCCGACCTCGTTGGGCAGAGGAATCTCGATCTTTCGGTCCAAACGACCGGCTCGTAGCAGGGCCGGGTCAAGGGTATCGGGTCGGTTCGTGGCCATGATGATCTTGGTCTTTCCGAGGTAGTCGAATCCGTCGAGCTGGTTGAGAAGCTCCATCAACGTCCGCTGGATTTCTCGATCGGCGGAGGTACCCTCGGAGAATCGTCGGCCACCAATGGCGTCGATTTCGTCCATGAAGATGATACAAGGCTCATGTTCCTTGGCGTAGCCGAACATCTCTCGAATTAACCGTGCCGATTCACCAATGTACTTGTCAACGATAGCGGAGGAAACCACTAGCGGCGCGTCAGCATTCCCCAACTCTGCCGGTCATCGGGGTTACGGATTGGGCTACCTTTCAAGAAGTTGGTTTCAATGGAGCTGGCCACGGCTCGCGCCAGAAGCGTCTTTCCCGTACCGGGAGGACCGTAGAGTAATACACCCTTGGGCGACTTGATGCCCACTCGGTGGAAAAGTTCCGGGTTCTTCAGCGGCAGCTCAATCACCTCACGTAGCTCCCGAATCTGATCATTCAGACCACCAATGCCTGCAAAGTTGATTTGGCCGGGATCCTCCAAAGACATGTTGTACACCAAGGGGTCGACCTCCCGAGGGAGCATCCGCATAATAGTCAGGGTGGTCATATCCAGGGCCACACGGGTACCCTGTTTCAACTTCGCTCTATCGACCTTGGAGCGGCAACCGACAACATATCGGGGACCGGACGATGCCTTAACAATGACTGATCGGGGTCAGCGTTCGGATGACGTAAATCGATTCGTCTCTTCACCAGGCGAAGGGAATCCCATCCAGGCGGGAGCGGACAGGCATCAGACAGACAAAGGGAAGACGCGGACAAGAACTTGAAGGGGGCATCGATAGACTTACATCGCTCTTCGTCCAGCTGCTTCAATACTTCACCGATGATCTGGCCTACACTTTGCAGGGCCTTGATGTTCTCCTCGGAGATATCAAACTCCCTCTGCAGGTCCTTGATTCCCATGCGAAGTGACTTCAGTTTCGCCTCCCATTCCCGCAGCTCCAGAAGGCTCTTTTTGTAATCTTCGAGGGCCTGCTCCCTCTCGGGGTCACCGGCACCGTTCATAGCGACAAAGGGCTCGTGGGGTCGGTTAGGCAGACGTAGGATGGGTTTGCGGATGAAAAAGAATGGATGACGATGGCCAGGTCCACACGGGGGAGGGGGAGCAATAGAAGTGGCCGAGGGATTCGATGGGAAGGCGACTTGGATGGGGGTATCTGAACTCCGTCACAGGCGGCCAGCTCGGCGAGCTGTCGAGCTTACGGGAGCCGCCCAGCGCGACGGGTCACGTGGAAACTGCTGCCTCGGTTCTCAGGCCACAAAGAACGATGGGCGCGATATATTTTATCCGGCAGCCGACGAGGCAGCAAGGTGTCGACGGGCATTTTCGTCATTACGCAACGGGAAGATGGAAGCTTCTGGCATTCAACCAGTACCTATAGAGTATATTGTATACATCCGGATAGGATGAGAGAAGTATACGGCAGGACCGATAGAATCCGTAGAACTATAGGACCCGTAGTACCTATACCTCCGTAGTATAGGACCTCCTGCCCCATCCCCATCTACCTACCTAGGTAGATACCAAGATATCCAACGCAGGAAACGAGGTACCCGCCTTACCCCGAGGGAGTCCGGGAGATCTCGCGTCCGGCGAGACCTTCAGCAGGAAAGAGCGAGGGGCAGCCCCACCATCGCCGTCCAGCCTCATACAAGAACCGCCCGTCTGCTGCGCTGCTCTGCTTTTCCTCCTCTGCTTTCTTTTCTTATCCCCGTCCATTCCACCCGGTGAGTTTGTTTGAGTCCCATGTTTCTCCCTTCCCCTGGCAAGACTCCCATCCCGCATGCCACCCTACCCCGCTTACCCCCCTCTGGCCGATGTGCCAGAGAAGTAAGTGCATCATGGAGAAGGTCAATGTTTCCTGCACCGCATACTCTGCTCCAGATGCTTCCCATTGCGTGCCTTCCAACTGGTCACCGCCTCGTGTTGCCCCTCCTCTCCTCAGCTCCGGTCAATTGACTGATCGAAGCTCTCCACCACCTCGTCCGCGGTGATCTCCTCGTCATCGAATCATCCGGCTCTCTCTTTTCGGGTCGTCGGTGAACACCCTCCCCCCCTCCCGCTGCTAGTCTCCTCCCAACAGCCATCCAGAGCGCAGTTGTTTTTTTCCCCCTGTCCTTTTCCTCCTTCTATTTATTGATTGTCCCTCTCGCTTTTTCTTCCCCCCCTTCTCTTCTCGAAACCTTTCCTGATCTCCAAGTTCAGTGGACTGATCAACCTAGACACTCAAAATGCCTATCTCCAAGATCCACGCCCGCTCTGTCTACGACTCCCGTGGCAACCCCACCGTTGAGGTGGACGTTGTCACCGAGACTGGCTTGCACCGTGCCATCGTTCCCTCCGGAGCTTCCACTGGTCGGTACCTCCTTCACCACAGCATCCAACGGGGAGTGAGAGGGCGAGACTCGAGGGAGCTCGGCCCTCTGGTCGAATTTCCCCAGACCTAAACGCTACAAATACTGACAGTGCGTGACTGCAGGCCAGCACGAGGCCCACGAGCTCCGTGATGGTGACAAGACCCAATGGGGTGGAAAGGGTATGTTGACACTACATCCTCCGAGCAGCGATGCCTGCCATTGCGATTGGAGTCTAATATGACCGGCGGTTAAACAGGTGTGCTCAAGGCCGTCAAGAACGTTAACGAGACCATCGGCCCCGCTCTCATCAAGGAGAACCTCGACGTGAAGGACCAGTCCAAGGTCGATGAGTTCCTCAACAAGCTTGACGGAACCACCAACAAGGCCAACCTCGGTGCCAACGCCATCCTCGGTGTCAGCTTGGCCATCGCTAAGGCCGGTGCTGCCGAGAAGGGTGTTCCCCTCTACGCTCACATCTCCGACCTGGCCGGTACCAAGAAGCCTTACGTCCTCCCCGTCCCCTTCCAGAACGTCCTGAACGGTGGATCCCACGCCGGTGGCCGTCTGGCCTTCCAGGAGTTCATGATTGTCCCCGAGTAAGTGCCACGCTCGGTCCTTCTTCGCTCTCGCCTCTCGCGGTCTTGACCGTGGTCAATTTATCATACTGACTCCGTTTCCAGCAACGCTCCCTCTTTCTCCGAGGGTCTCCGCCAGGGTGCCGAGGTCTACCAGAAGCTCAAGGCTCTGGCCAAGAAGAAGTATGGACAGTCTGCCGGTAACGTCGGTGACGAGGGTGGTGTTGCTCCCGATATCCAGACCGCCGAGGAGGCTCTCGACCTGATCACCGAGGCCATTGACCAGGCCGGCTACACCGGCAAGATCAACATCGCTATGGATGTTGCCTCGAGCGAGTTCTACAAGACCGACGCCAAGAAGTACGACCTCGACTTCAAGAACCCCGAAAGCGACCCCACCAAGTGGCTCACCTACGAGCAGCTGGCCGACCTGTACAAGTCGCTGGCTAGCAAGTACCCCATCGTCAGCATTGAGGACCCCTTCGCTGAGGACGACTGGGAGGCCTGGAGCTACTTCTACAAGACCTCTGACTTCCAGATTGTTGGGTATGTTGACTCGACCTCTTTTACCCGGGAGGAGTGACGCCGACGCTAACCGGACTCCACAGTGATGACCTGACTGTCACCAACCCCCAGCGTATCAAGAAGGCCATCGAGCTGAAGTCTTGCAACGCCCTCCTGCTCAAGGTCAACCAGATCGGTACTCTCACCGAGTCCATCCAGGCCGCCAAGGACTCCTACGCCGACAACTGGGGCGTCATGGTGTCCCACCGCTCCGGCGAGACCGAGGACGTCACCATCGCCGACATTGCCGTGGGTCTGCGCTCCGGCCAGATCAAGACCGGTGCTCCTGCCCGTTCTGAGCGTTTGGCCAAGCTCAACCAGATCCTCCGTATTGAGGAGGAGCTGGGCGAGAACGCCGTCTACGCTGGCCAGAAGTTCCGCTCCGCCGTCAACTTGTAAATGTAGCCACGGATCCAGCGGGACGCGCCCTTTCTTTCACCCCGGTACCAACCGTGTGCAATTGCTCCCGGGTTGTTTCATACTTCACACAATTTTGACTGCTTGGCAGCTTCGTTGGGTTGGAACAAGCTGCAAAAGTACTTCCATCGCAGATGACTATTTGATCAAGATTTATGATGACGAATTGACCAGCCAGCTCTACCGGCTATATAATGAAAAAAAAAAGAAGAGATTGCAGTTCAAACCACGTTGGTTGTGCGCCTACGGAGTAGGAGTTGTAGACATGGTAGACTTAGACTTGGTAGACTTGGACTGTGGCGCCGCCGCGTCGTGCCGTGTCGACGGCGGGACTGAAATATCGGGCATCAACCCGTGCCGACGGGCACGTGACCTGCCCCACCACCCGATCGGGTCGAGTCAACTTGGGTCGTTCGCGATGGCCTCGTTCCTTTTCCCTCCGATCGAAATTTGCCTGCGCCTGCGCTTTCGTCCACGACTGTTCCCTAGGGACTGCCGGTGCATCTCTGTCTTTTCCGTCCTCCCACCCAAGACCCCGAGTGGAACTCTGTCGTTTTCGTGACTTTTTGATATTTCTATCCACCATGGCTCCTTCGAAGTGGGGTAAGTTCTCTGACCTGGCTTTGATCTTCTTTGTTCGAGACTTGAGGATACTGTGCTTGGTGGAGAAAGGATGGTTCGCTAACGGGTCGATTTATTTTCAGACGAAGAGGAAGAGAGCGCTTCTCCTCCTCCTGTGGCCCCCCGCCGCAAGTTCGATGATGAAGAAGAGGACGATGTGCGTGTTTTGAGCCCCCTCACCCCTCCCCTTTTCTTTTCCTTTTCCTTTTCGTCTTTCCTTGATTCGCTTCATTCCACCGTCTCTCCCCAAATCCTTCGCATTGATCAGATCTTGTGTGATCATCCCGCATACATCTAAAGACGAAACGTTACTGATCGATTCTGTCAATCCGGATTAGGTCCTCGACTCCTGGGACGCCGCCGAAGATTCCGAAGTAGAGCGGGAGAAGGAGGCCAAGGCGAAGGAGGCCAAGGCCAAGGCCGACGCTGAGGCGGCCGCAAAGAAGAAAAGCAAGGCGCAGCGCATACAGGAGCACAAGGACACCCGGCGACAGGAGGCGGACGAGGCCGAGGACTCCGACAGTGAGGAGGACGAGGCCGACAAACGCGCTCGTCTGCGCCGCACCGAGAAGGATGCGGATCTCAAGCACGCCGAGGACCTCTTCGGCGACATCGATCTGAACCGCAACCGCGGCGCCCCCAAGGCTGTGGTCATCAGCGACTCGGCCGACCCCACGCAGGCCGTCGACCTGTCGGCCATGCCGCTCTTCAAGCCCACCACCAAGGACCAGTTCACCCGGTTGACGACCACGCTGGCCCCACTGCTCACGCCGCAGTCGAAGAAGCCCCATTATGCGCTGTGGGCCCAGGACTTCGCTAAGCAGCTGGTCAAGGATCTGCCCAGCGGCGACATCAAGAAGATCGCCAGTTCCCTGACCACCCTGAGCAACGAGAAAATGAAGGAGGAGCGTGCGGCCGACAAGGGTAACAAGAAGAGCAAGGCGGCCAAGACCAAGGTCTCGCTGGTGACCTCGAGAGATAACAAGATTGATTCGTCCTACGATGATGATGGATTGGGCGACGACGATTTCATGTGAATGACTTGAATTATATTGAAATTTACGTTTTTATTTCTCCTTTTCTTCAAATGCCCTCCTCATCCTTCGTCTCTAGTTGGCAGTGATATATTGAATTTGCCAACTTCGTCGATCCGCTGCGTTGTATATGCATCGGTAAACAGTCATGCCCTTTGCCCTCCTCTTCTTTAAGTCATCTTGATACAATAGAATCGGCGTTGTCGCTGCATGTTACCAATTACCTTATTGATCATCTAAGACTCAGATGTCCGTAGACGATTTCCGATCCAAATCCTGTGTTTAGGATAATTATCCCTTATTAGATGACCTAGTATTGGTGAACACCTAAGTACGGGCTACTAGAATTCCATCGCGTATGCCAGGGAATGGACGTGTGAGGAACCCCAAAAGGCGCGGGAAGAGATGGAAAAAAAGCAGAAAAAAAAAAAAAAAAAAAAAAAGTGGAATAACACATTGTATCTGGCTCTGGGGTGGGAATAGAGACACTAAAAGAGAGATAAATTCCACTCGGCCCCCTTTTCACCCTCCAAATAGCATCAAACTCCGCCGGCCGACCCACACGATTGCGAACAAGTGGAAGTTAAAAGGTGCCAGTCCAATCCAGTCACGCAGCTAAATGAGGCCTTCATAAAACTCTTCCAGGGGGGAGAATTCGAACGTCCAAAGAGACACGCCGAGCGCACAACGCATATTTTAATACAACAAAGAAAACAGTCCGTCCCGGAGCTCTAAGACTCGGCGGCGGGTGCAGGCTTGGTCTCCTCACCCTTGTCCTCAGCGGCCGGCGCGGATTCCTCCTCGGGCTTGTCCTCCTTGGAAGCACCTTCGGCCTCGTTTCCATCGGAAGAGGTCCACAGGGTCAAGTTGTCACGCAGCAACTGCATGATCAAGGTGCTGTCACGGTAGCTTTCCTCCGACAGCGAGTCGAGCTCCGCAATAGCGTCATCGAAGGCCTGCTTGGCAAGGTGGCACGCACGATCGGGGGAGTTCAGAATCTCGTAGTAGAAAACGGAGAAGTTCAAGGCAAGACCCAAGCGGATGGGGTGGGTGGGAGTCAGGTCGGTCTGAGCGACATCGGTGGCGTTCTAAATCGGGGTGTGAGAACAGGGTCGACCACGACTTGCATGGAGGCGGTTCTGGACCACACATACCTTGTAGGCCTCGTGGGCGGCAGTAGCAGCGACCTTGCGCTTGTTGCCCGAGGCAAACTCAGCGAGGTAACGGTGGTAGTCACCCTTCCTATTCATCGCATGCTCGTCAGTCACCGCGTACCCGGCACGCGTCGGGACCAGAATCACGCTTACATCTTGTAGTAGAAGACCTTGGACTCGCCAGTCTCGGCCTTGGGGATGAGAGAGTCGTCCAACACATCGAGGACATCCTGGCAGACTCTCTCTAGCTCGTTCTCGATCTTCTGGCGGTAATCACGGATGATGGTGACATGCTGTTCAGAACCCTTGGACTCCTCCTTCTGTTCAATGGAGGAGATGATACGCCAGGAGGCACGGCGGGTACCAACGACGTTCTTGTAGGCAACGGAGAGAAGGTTACGCTCATCCACGGTAAGCTCGCCTCCAATCTGATGCGGGGTCAGTCATCATGAAGGAGGAATAGGAGTGCGGGGAAGCAGGGTCAAAAAAGAGGCATGACGAAGGGGATGCATACGTTGGCAACTTCCTGGGAAGAGAGTTAGCAATCGCGTCCTGAGTGATCACTGGTAGATGGGTAGAGGTGGCTCCTTACCTTCATATAGGTGACCATCTCTGTAGACCGGAGGAATCAGCATCAGGGATACCCACGCCACGGTCGTGACGTCGAACGGAGATCTTACCATCGTAGCGCTCAGCCTGCTCACAGAGCCGGGCGAGGAAAGTCTTGCTGAAAGCGGGGAGAAGGACATGTCAGTGGTCTGCGATCGGCCAGGACGAGCTGGACCCTTACCTCTCACGCTGCCCGAGATGTTAGTTGGATTCACATGGATCGCATCAGAATAGGATAGGAAAAGCCAGCGGGTGGTCGCCGGGTGGATGCATGCATCAAGAACACCGCAACCGAGACCCAGAGGAGGTCGAGAGGGGCGACATACCTCAGAAGTCATGGTGGAGGAATGGATTAGAGGTGACGGGGTTTCCAAGAAGGGGTTAGGTAGTTGGAAGTCGAAGCAGGGGGTGGGGAGAGATAAGATGGAGTTGGAAATGAGAAAGAGGGAGCAAGAGGGAGATTGGAAGACAGGCACAGAGAGGAGGCAAGAAGAAACACAAAACAAAGCTGATGAATTCACGAGAGATTCGGCGGATGCGATCCTCACAGCAACGAGAGATGAACCGGTGAGGTGACGGCCAGCAGGCTGACTCTTGAGTAGTCAGCTTTAGCGAGGCGGCGGGTTGTTTGTCCTGTTTGCCCGCCGTCGCTGCCTGGGGCAGCCACGGAGCGGTGTGTCTTTCTTCCAGTCCTCCGGGGGCTTATTTATTGTACGGGTCGATCTCCTTCGCTGCTTTGGGGCGGCGCCGCCAGACCGATTCTTCAGCCACGCAATTCTCTTCCATGCGCGCTCGGCTGTTATGGCAGCCCATCCGCCGTACATCAGACTCACGAGGCATCCACGGAAAGTGATGGTGGGAGCCAGAACGATGGATGTACTCCGTATAGTTGGGTTGGATAGTTGGAGGTGACAGAACTACCCAGACATTATGTCATTGGGAATCCGGTGGCCAGGAGGGACGCCCTCGTTTCCGACCGTGTAGGTGCTAGGCGGGTATGGAGTAGGGCTCTAAGATAAGTTGGAGCGAATCAAAACAGACGCGGAGTCTCGCCTACAGCCCTACCTCGATTCAAGAAACATGGTTCTGCTGTTTGGGATGGGTCTGCGAGACAAGGCATCACCGTTTCTTGGTGGAGAGCGGTATCCCCATGTACGGGCATGTAATAATGAACGGAGGCTGAGAACTCCCTCCTTCAGAGCCACGCTACTGCGTAGAACTCGAAAATACCGATCTGGATCGCAAAGGGTCCGCTGGATCTCTGCCAACCGGACCAAACCAGTGAACACCGCTGCGACGGGCGTCCGGAGGCATTTCTGGCGGACAGGAACGTCCAGGTCAGGGACCAGAGCCCATCCATGGAACGCGTACCGTACGGTTCAGCCCTGCCGTTTGATTACCGGCAGAGAACACGTTGAGTGCCTGAGGACTCTCCGTGGGTTACTTCGTCGTCGTCGAACTCTGCCGGTCAGTGTTGCTGCTTGAGCTTGACCGACTGCCGTGGAGGAAGAGAATTCTACAATCCATTGAGGTGGATTTTTTTTTTTTTTTTTTTTGGTCGGGTATATGAACCCGGACCGCTTCTCTTCTAGCCACTTCTCCGGACTACCTACTAGTTACTACTTCGCCTTCCAGCGTCCGGCCACTTGGCGTTCATGTCCTTGTCTGGGTATCTCCGGACCGCCCTCCCCCATACTTTCCTTCGCTTTCTTTCCCTTTTCCTTTTCCCTCTTTCTTTCTCCCCCTCTCCCTCCTTCTCTCTCTTTCTTTCTCGACCTCTCTTCCATCCCCTCCCTTCCCTCTTTCTTTTCTTCTTTCTTTTCCTTTTGGTGTTTGCTCCTTCCATTCTCGCCACCCTTCTCTCATTGTCGTGGCGGTCATGGAGCAATCTTACCTGTCCTCCCCAGCGGAGGTGCTGGGGCATTTCGATGTCTCACAGCACGCTGGTCTATCGCAGGATCAGGTCTCGAAGGCGAGGCAGAAATATGGCCCGAATGGTTAGTCGTCTAGTTAACGCCTATCTCCCCCTTCAAATCATAGTCCACACGCTGACTTTCATGCCGCGGTGGTTTAGCGCTTGCGGAAGAGCCCCCGACTCCTCTGTGGGAGCTGGTGCTGGAACAATTCAAAGATCAAATGGTTCTCATTCTTTTGGGCTCCGCCGCGGTGTCTTTTGTCCTGGCCCTCTTTGAAGAGGAGGGCGATTGGACTGCGTTCGTTGACCCTGCCGTGGTATGTCTTCCGACCCGAGCCCTCTCTCCTGTTTTGCGCGTTTCGAAGCGGCTGACCGTGTGCGACAATGGCAGATCTTGACCATCTTAATCCTCAATTCGATCGTTGGTGTGACCCAGGAGAGCAGTGCTGAAAAAGCCATTGCCGCTCTGCAACAATACTCTGCAAACGAAGCTACGGTGGTTCGCGATGGCAAGACCCAGCGTGTCAAGGCGGAAGACTTGGTTCCCGGCGACGTAGTCCACGTCGCCGTTGGAGATCGTGTGCCCGCCGACTGCCGTCTGATTGCTATTCACAGCAACAGTTTCCGAGTCGACCAGGCCATCCTGACCGGCGAGAGTGAGAGTGTTGCCAAAGACACCCGACTGGTTTCCGACAAACAGGCTGTCAAGCAAGACCAAATCAACATGCTCTTCTCGGGCACTACGGTGGTCAATGGACACGCAACGGCTCTGGTCGTCTTGACCGGAGGATCGACCGCCATTGGTGATATCCATGAGAGCATTACGTCCCAGATCTCGGAACCGACCCCACTCAAGCAGAAGCTCAACGACTTTGGCGACATGCTCGCCAAGGTGATCACGGTCATCTGTGTCTTGGTCTGGGTGATTAACATCGAACATTTCAACGACCCATCCCACGGCGGTTGGACCAAAGGAGCGATCTACTATCTCAAGATCGCTGTCTCGCTGGGTGTTGCGGCCATTCCGGAAGGCCTAGCCGTGGTCATCACTACTTGTCTCGCTCTCGGCACCCGCAAAATGGCCCAAAAGAATGCCGTGGTCCGATCTCTTCCCTCCGTGGAAACCCTCGGTAGCTGCAGTGTGATTTGCTCCGACAAGACGGGCACTCTTACCACCAACCAGATGAGCGCGGAGAAGATGGTCTATCTGAACAAGTCTGGTAGCGGCGTGGAAGAAATCGACGTCGAAGGTACCACTTTCGCTCCTGAGGGCAAACTCTCGCACAATGGCAACCCTCTGCAAAACCTGGCGGTCTCCTCGTCGACGGTGAGACAGATGGCGGAGGTCATGGCCCGCTGTAACAGTGCGACTCTCGCTCATGATGCCAAGAGTGGCGTGTTCTCGTGTATTGGCGAACCCACTGAAGGCGCTTTGCGGGCCTTGGTTGAGAAGGTTGGAACTGATGATTCTGCTACCAACGCCAAACTGTTCGGATTGCCTACCTCCCAGAGGCTCCATGCCTCGAGTGCGTACTATGAATCCCGCCTGCCATTGAAGGCAACCTACGAGTTCTCCCGCGATCGCAAGAGTATGTCCGTTCTCATCGGCACCGATAAGCAGCAAAGGCTCCTGGTCAAGGGTGCCCCCGAGTCCATCCTCGAGCGTTGTTCTCATGTGGTTGTGGGACCTGACGGACCTCGTGTGCCTATCTCCAAGGACCATCTCAAGCTGCTCTCCGAAGAAATTGTGGAATATGGAAACCGTGGTCTCCGCGTGATGGCCCTGGCCAATGTTGACGATCTGCCGGCCAACCCGCTCCTCCAGAAGGCTCAGACTTCCGAGGAATATCTTCAACTGGAACAGAACATGACTCTCGTTGGTCTCGTTGCTATGCTGGATCCTCCCCGTGTGGAGGTGGCCGACTCGATCAAGAAGTGCCGCGAGGCAGGCATTCGGGTGATTGTCATTACCGGTGACAGCCGAAACACCGCCGAGTCCGTATGCCGTCAGATTGGCGTCTTTGCCGAGAATGAGGATCTCACTGGAAAGAGCTACACGGGTAGAGAGTTTGACGGTCTGTCTGAAAGTGAAAAACTCGAAGCTGTCAAACGGGCATCCTTGTTCTCGCGCACCGAGCCCAGTCACAAGTCGAGACTCGTCGACATCCTTCAGTCGCTGGGCCACGTGGTTGCGATGACTGGCGACGGTGTCAACGATGCTCCTGCCTTGAAGAAATCGGACATTGGCGTTGCTATGGGCACGGGTACCGACGTGGCTAAGCTCGCCGCTGATATGGTTCTGGCCGATGACAACTTTGCTACCATCACCGTCGCCGTCGAGGAGGGACGCTCGATTTACAGCAACACCCAGCAGTTTATCCGTTACCTTATTTCGTCCAACATCGGTGAGGTGGTGTCTATCTTCTTGACTGCTGCCTTGGGCATGCCGGAAGCGTTGGTCCCTGTTCAGCTCCTCTGGGTCAATCTAGTCACCGATGGTCTTCCCGCCACGGCGCTCTCGTTCAATCCCCCGGACCATGATGTGATGCGACGACCTCCTCGCAAGCGCGACGAGCCCCTGGTTGGCGGTTGGTTGCTGTTCCGATACATGGTCATCGGCACTTACGTCGGTGCCGCTACGGTCTTTGGCTACGTGTGGTGGTTCCTGTACAACCCGGAGGGACCCCAAATCACTTTCTCGCAGCTGGTATGTCTCCACATTCGCCCGTTCCAGATCGTCGTTCGTCTTACTGATATCCTCCGTAGTCTCATTTCCACAACTGCTCGGCCCAGTTCCCTGAAATTGGCTGCGAGATGTTCTCGAACGAGATGTCCCGCTCTGCCTCGACCGTGTCGCTGTCAATTCTGGTGGTGATCGAGATGCTGAATGCTATGAACGCGCTCTCGTCCAGCGAGTCCCTTCTGACCTTTGCTCTCTGGAACAACTTGATGCTGGTTTATGCCATTATCCTTTCGATGGCTCTGCACTTTGCAATCCTGTACGTTCCGTTCTTGCAGGGACTGTTCGCGATCCTCCCGTTGGATTGGATCGAGTGGAAGGCCGTGCTAGCCATTAGCGCACCCGTGATGTAAGTTGACCCAGGCTCTACCTGTCCTTGCCCGCTGGGGCCCCTACCGACTCTTGACACTAACGAGTTGCCAGAATCATCGACGAGGCACTCAAATTGGTGGAGCGCCGTCTGTATAAAGTCCCCGCGAAGGCTATTGGGCACCAAAATGGCGCCGCCAAGCCCAAACGGGCGTAAATTTTGGTTGATGAAGAGATGATTTCGTATATCCCAATGGGGTATGTTCATGATAGATATAGACATGGGCCCGTTGGATAGTCTGCTTGTATTTTGTTCCTTTTTGCCCTTCTCCTTTGCGTGGAGCCGGCATGTATCATGTTAGATGTTCCTAGCGCCGAGAGATGAATGAAGAAAGAAGGTTTCCTCCGGTACACGTTTTGCCCTCGTAATATTCGCCCACGTCACGTTGGTCCTCGTGACCGCGCCGGGAGAGTTTCTCGCGCGTCTCCCTCGGCTTCTTCTTTCTCTCGTCACTGCTCTGCCAGATGCGCCATCCGGCACCGCCGCGCCACGGTGGAATTTAGCCGAATTGCTAGGGGCTCCTTCAGATAGCCTGGCTGGCCTTGCCATCCCCACGATCGATGCACACCCGGCATCAAGTCATGCGGGGTGACCAGCAATCCCGCCCCGAAAATCTGGGCTAAATTGCTTGGACCCATTGGACCGCCTCCGCTTAGAGTCTTGTCCTCTCGTGGCATTGGGGGATACTCGACCGCCGTGGCGTGTCACTGGTGGATTCTTCGTCGGCGATCTTTTCCCCAGAGTACATGTTTTGCGGAGGAAAGGGAAAATGAAAGTCTGGGGATGGATCCTCCCCCCTCCCTTCCTATCTCGTTTCTGGCCTAGGCGTCCTTCCCGGCCGGTTTTCATTCCAGAAATGACCCGATAGGCCCTTTGCCCAGTCGAGCGAGCTGAGGAGGAGGTGCCGTTGACTCTTGAAGTGCGTGACTTTCGTGAACCCCACAAGAATGCATCAACAGGGTTTATCATTCTACTTACCCATGGGATTATTTGCCATGCAATTGATAAATACTTAAAAAGACCGTGGTGGCGCATCCTTGTCCTTTTTTTTATGTTTTCCCCCTTCCCCGGGTGCTTTTCAACATCTGCGGCATCGTCGATCTGTGTTCCATGGTTATTAACTCTTGTTTCTGAGAGGCTTCCATCTGTCCTACCTTCATCATCAGTCGCCGCTCACCTAAAACAGATTCCCATATTACCCTCCATAGGATGGGTCTCTTGCAATTTCTGAAATCCCGTTCGGGATTTCGGGTTGACAACAGCAAAACCACCTCCGCAGCAACTCTTACTTTACGCCAAAGTTTATGGCCCTTGACCCTCGTTACCATTCTCTTCTTCCTATGGGTGAGTCCAGGAAGAGCTCTATTCTGGCCGTATCTGGCCCAAGAAAAGCCAGGCGCTAAAGAATTTATTGCACAACCAGGGATTTGCCTACGGGTTGCTGGATACCCTCAATAAACATTTCCAAGAGACGCTACACATAACTCGGGTCCGTTCCTCTGGGCTTCAAGCAGCTTATTTCGGGTACGCATTTTTATCCTCTATACCCCCCAGTCTCTAAATAGAGCATTGATGGAGCGACGTCGCTAGTGCCTACCCGCTTGCTTCCTTGGGCTATGCCAACTACCTTCTTCGGCACTTCGGCTACAAGGTCGTATTCATCTTTGGCCTGGTTCTTTACGGCATTGGAGCCCTTTGCATGTGGCCCGCGGGATTGAATCAATCGTTCGGAGGGTTTTGCGCAGCGACCTTTGTCATCGGTTCGGGATTGGGATCGCTCGAGTCTGCGGCCAACCCCTTCATTACCGGTATGTCAATACAAGAAACAGGCGCTGGCAGAGGACTTACTATGAATAGTCTGCGGACCTCCCAAGTACTCCGAGATCCGAATCAACCTTGCCCAGGCATTTAACGGCATCGGTACCTGCGTAGCCCCAGCTCTAGCATCCTACGTATTCTTCACTTCCACCGAAGATGACGTGAACGCTCTCAAGCGTGTCCAATGGGTGTACCTCGCCATTGGCATCTTCGTCTTTATTCTCGCTGCCGTTTTCTTCGTCTCGGAAATACCCGAGGTCACCGATGAAGACATGGCCTTCCAGGTCTCCGAGACGCATGTAAACGAGCAGGACAAATCATTCTGGAAGCAATATAAGTTGTTCCATGCGACATTGGCTCAGTTCACCTACACGGGTGCGCAAGGTTAGCTCGATCGTTGCTTTTATCCGTTCAGGGCAATCCATGCGTTTGATCAGTCGCAGCTGACGATTTCTATCTTCCGTTCCTCGTCCAGTTGCTATCGCCGGATACTTCATCAACTATGTCACGGAAACCTGGCCCGGCACCTCAAGCTCCACGGGCTCCAAATATCTCGCCGGGGCTCAAGGGGCCTTCGCCGTGGGTCGGTTCCTCGGAGCGATCATTATGAAATTCATCAGGCCTCGCTGGGTATTCCTGGTTTATCTTTCCTGCACCGTAGCTTTCATCGCGGCGTCCACCACGCAAGGGCGACAGAGCGGTTTAGGTATGTTGTCGTCGGTCTCGAGTCGGGGAAAGGGAAGGAAAACAGTGCACTGACTGACAATCATGAAGCGATGCTCTTTCTCACCCTCTTTTTCGAGTCCGTCTGCTTTCCCACCATCGTTGCCCTCGGCATTCGCGGCCTGGGTCGCCACTACAAGCGCGGCTCTGGCTTCATCGTCGGCGGAGTCTGCGGTGGAGCCGTCGTTCCACCGGTCCTGGGCCATGTCGCCGACATGCGCGACAGTACGGGATTTGCCATGATTGTCCCGACGATGTTCATGGTTGTTGCATGGACATATGCTGTGGCGGTCAATTTTGTTCCTTCATACAAGGAAACCGTCGATAAAGTCGGGTCGAGCAACATTGGACTAAGAGAGGGGGACGGTGTTAAAGGGCAAGATGTAGAGATTGGAGTCACGGAGGACCCAGAAAAGCCCCGAGAGATACATATTGAGAGGTGAAGTGCCCTAAGTGGCTCTTCACGGCGACGTCTACGAATGTTCCTTTTCAATAAATGTTTTTTTATGAGACAAATCACTAGGATACTTGAGATTCATGACAAGTATTCAAGTGCATGAAGATATAAACGCCGCTGGCTAAGATGTCGAAGAGAAAATGAGATAAAACACCATGCTTGTTCTATACATGCAGGACTTCAAAACTAGCAAGGATCAACAAATGCCAAATCTAATCAAACAGGTGAGCAATGCATCGATCACTGGGATATCATTGGTCGTGCCTGATCCAAGAACCAGTCTTGAAAACACTCATCTAGGGTGGGGGGAATCGACAATGAAATAAGAATTGCAGATGTTAGCAGGGTGTATCCAGAAACATGCGAGACTCAATGGCCACAAAAACATGACTTTAGCAAACATTAAACAGAATTGAGAAGGGTAGAAGAAGGAAAGGTAACGTGGAGAGGCCGGGGTGGAGGGTCAATAGGTCAATAAGATACACAGAAAGGAAAACCAGTGAAATGGAAGGATGCGCTTGATTGGGAAAGCGATGAAGCTTTTGGAAGGTGAGAGATAAAGAAGGAAAAGGCAAGAAGAGAATGGATGACGGTTGGCCGGAGGAAAAAAAGTAATGGACTCATGATCACTTTTGGCCCCGTCTAGAAAGAAACGCTCCGCTGGAAAGAAAAATGATAGTGACGGGAAGAAAGAGAAAGCCACACGGTCGCAAGGGGGTATAAGAAGATACAAAGCAGAATTAACAATCAATCGAAGGTCACTCCTCGACTCCAAGGCTGTCGAACTCAGGCGCGACCCGTCCGGTTGGAAATCACTGATCTCGGAGAGACATCGGCGGACTTATTGGCGTCCTTGGCCCCGTACTTGCCTTGATCGGGTGTTGCTTTAAGCGACGACGAACGAGGAGGGCGCAGGGGACTCGTATCAAGATCGGGAGCGGGAGCAAGGGCCGGTTTGCGGGTTCGTCCGGGAGAACCAGTGGCACTCGCTGCCCTTAGGTTATCGTCCGAGCTGACCACGTCGATGGGTGATCCGGGCTCGTCCTCCGTCCCCGTGAATGCGTCTACTTCTTCGATATCGTCATCGTCTTCCAGGTCTTCCTCTTCTTCGATGATTTGGCTTTTCCGAGCCGTGGGCCGAGCTGCACTCGTAACCGGCGCAGCCACTGCAATATCATCGTGAGGGAACTCGGGTGTAGCCATGCCACTCGAGACCATGAGATTGGCCGTGTGAGACATGGGCCCTTTGAAGGCCGACTTCTTCCGACGGGCAAAGACAAGGCTGGAGGAAGGCGAGTACAGCAGTGGCGTGGGGGCCGCCTCGTTAAACATCGAGCTCACTCTTCCGTTGGGCTCGTTCATTTCACGGTATCCATTGTTCGAGCCCCGCACCAGGCGAATGTTGCTGGGGAAGCGCGAAGAGGCTCCCGGAGTGGTGGGAAGCACTTTGACTGAAGAATGAGGAGACTTTGAGATCCGGGCTGTCGGAGTGGAGGCAGACCCAATGCTATTGGACGAGACAGACGATGCTTTCGAGTGAGTGTGGGTATGGTGAATACTTCGAATCGAGGAAATGGAAGAGGAAGTTGATTTGCGACCCCGTAGACCAGCAGAAGACCGTCTATATGACCCCCGGGGCGTAATCGGGGATGGGGACAACGAATTGCGATGGTGAGGGTTGCCGGTGCTTAGAGGACGAGGCTGGCGAGGATAGGAATGGCGATGGTTGCGGTACGACGCGCTGCTCGGGGCCAGGCTACTTGCGTTGGATGCACGCTTCGCTTGCGTCGGCGTTGACAGGTCCCCCGGATGGGTGGCGGCGGACGACGCCGGCGTGGTCTTTCGCCCAGCTTCCTGTCCCTTGGCAGGACTCAGTTTCTCGGACAAGAACTTACGATGGGATCCCGGTCCACCAGCAGCTTTGCCGTGAGGGGACTTGGCTCGCTTGGCAGACTCCACAAACCAATGCTTCAATGATGCCAGCTGGCTGATGATCGGATACTGACGGCGGCCAGTACGGCGCCTGAAGATCCCATTATGCTGCGCTAGCTCGGGCTGCGAGGCGCTAACGTGCAGCGTGCTTGGTCTTGAACGCCGTCTATCCTTGGGCGGGGGTAAAGGGCGCCGCCGCGTAGAGCTGGCAGACCGAGTCGAATCCTTGTCCACGGGCGGCGGCGGCGTGTTAGAATCGGGCGATTGAACAGGGACCGGTTCTGGCAAAATTGGCAACTCCGGCACGGCGAGCTGGGAAGGGAGACTGCGCCGGTCTCTCCTTCCCCGGTCCTGTAGAGGCACGTTGGCAGAAGCATGTCCCTCTTCATCGACCTCAACTAGCGCCGAGGACCTCTTCTCCAAGCGACTGCTTGCTGCACTCAAACGGCGGATGTTTTTCGCCTCTACTTCTCGTTCGCGTCGCTTCCGCTCTCGTTTCTGCTCCTTGCGCTGTTCCTTCTCAATCAGCAGCGCCCACCAACCCGCAAGAGGGTCGCAGCGCTGAGCGAGAACGCTCTCTACTACCTCGTCGATGTTGACACCGGCACTCTTCATTCGCTGCAGAGTGGTCTTCTCCAATGACGTCGAGAACGCTGGGGGGCGGGGGATTTTCAAAATCGCAAGTTGCTCGGATACGTGCTCTGAAAGGAACGGATGAGCCAGGATTTCACCGAGACTCGGCCGGATCAGGGGTCGCTTCGATAAAAGCAGACCGATGAGGGCCTTCGCGTCGTCGGGGAATTGGTCGTTGAATACAGGCTCCTCCTTAAGGATCCGCGATTTGGTAACAAGGTCGTCGTCCTCGTCGAAAGGAAGCTCCCCTGCCAGCAGGGCATACAGGATGATGCCTAGACTCCACACGTCGACTTTTTCACCGGCGTACTTTTCACCCTTCAACATCTCGGGGGCACTATAGCATATGGTGCCACAGAACGTTTGCAGGTAACTCGCTTTCCCCTCGTACTCTCGAGTGAATCCAAAGTCGCACAATTTAACATTCTCGTGCTTGTCAAGAAGAATATTTTCCAACTTCAGATCCCGGTGCACGCAAGACTTGCTGTGGACGTAAGCAACCGCACCAACCAGTTGTGTGAATATCTTTTTGACTTTGTCGACGGGAAGCGGCCCATGACGAAGGAGGTAATTATAGAGCTCATCGCCTAAGACAGCGTCAGCGGCAGTCAAGAGTCTTCCAGAACGGCTTCAGTTCATACCAGGGCAGTATTCGAGGACCAACCAGACCAGCTTTTCCGTTACAATGACTTCATAGAGACGAGTGATATGGGGATGGAGAAATTGGCGATGGTGATGGATCTCGCGCGCAAGGTTCGTGTCCTCCTTGTCCGAAGATTTAAGCACGACCTGTTTCCATGGTCAACTAGGAGCCGTAGGGTCGAGGCAGAGCACCTTCTATCGGTCGAAACATACTTTGGAGCCATTCGTAAGCTTGTGAGAGGCAAGGTAGACCTTGCCAAAGGAGCCTTTTCCGATCAATCTTCCGAGCGTGTAGTTCCCCACGCTTCGAAGGTCTTTCGACGAGAATTCTCTGGCAGGGAAACGTTCAGAATTAGCGCCAAGGTCTGCAGGGAATTTTGGCGTTGCTTACTCCAGTAATTCATGATAGGATTGGGCAAGCTGTGGACATGCGCGAACGTGGTCAGCCAGAGATTGTGCAGGACGTAGTCGAGTGATGGGAACGAGAAAAACAAAGGGGCGCCGCCAACGCGTTTGCAATAGCCCTCCGAGTTGTGAGAGTACCATGCCCGTTGCAGCACTTGTGACAGGAGCGGGGCCAAGGGTTGCATGCAACCCGGAGCGAAAGCATTCAACCAAGGACGAACCTTTTCCTTTTGCTTCTGGGAATGAACCTCCGCTTTTGTCCTGGGAGGCGGCATGTGTCAAGATATCTCCGCCGGTTCTTAATTAATTCCGCGGAGGTGTGATCAGGGCGGTTAGGATTGATGTAACGGATCCCCGGATAATCGCAGTCTACCCGCGGTTGCCATTCAACGAACTTGGGTGAATAGGGTCGAAATTTGGCGAAAGGGGGAGGGGGCCAGAATAGAAGTCGAAAAGGGGGGAGGGACGAAGGAAGGGACCGAATCTAGGAGTTGACGGTTTGACGTAGGCGGCAGGGAAGCAACAGAAAGAAAGGATTGAAATGAACCGCGTCGCACCGGAAGTAAAAAAAAAATAAAATAAAATAAAAAGAGGAGAGAGACAGGGATAGGAAGAGAAGGAGAGGGAAGGAGAAGAGGGAAAGAAAGGGAGCGCGTATGCAGAGAGGACTGAACGGATTAATTTCGGGTCTTCGATGGCCGCTACCGAAATTGTGGTATTGAAGAGAAACGAAAGTTGCGAAGGGAAAGACGGATTGGATTGACGGAGGTGAGTGGTGACAGGAGGGAGCCGCAGGTTCGAGAAACAGCAGTTAGGCAGGGTGACCGGGGATCAAATCGGGGCCCGATAAGCGATCACTAGGGATAAGACAGAGGCAGAGTTAGTGTCGGTCCCGAAACAGTAGTTCATTCGCGAAGCAACGACGAGAGTCAGGAGAAGCCATGGACGAACTGGACTCGAGGAAAGAGCGAGCGGGAGGGGGGGTCAAAGGTTCAGGCGTGAGTCGTGGTCCGACTCCTCGAGAGCAAGACCGAATCCAAGATGGATGATGGGGAAATTAATGACAGCAGGGGCATGCCCCAACAAGCTGGAGGCAGGCGATAATAATAACAGGGAGAGTGGACAGGCGAGGTCGATACTCCATCAGACGGAGTCGTCCGGGCAGGGCAAGGGCGATTAGTCAGAGAGCACGTACCAGGGAAGACAACCGGATGCATGGTATGGTATTATTATGATTATGATTATTGTACGGAGTAGGAGGGAAAAAGGAGTGGATGCAAGAATGATGGACGTTGAAGAGGCGATTTAGCCGGAACGTGGGCCGTTTCTGTCATGGAAAAAGCATAATCTCACGTTCGTCATCCTGACTCAGCAGGTCTCCTTGCTAACGCTACGTACAGGAGTTCCTAGTTCCCAGGACGGCGTAGTCCCTCGTAGTCCCTCGTAGTTCCTCTCCAACCAACGGCCGGGAGCGTCTCCGCCTGCCCCTGAATTCCCTCGCCTCGCTGGCCATCGAGTTTCACCTTAATCGGTCGGATCGTATGATGGCTGCATGCTTAATATGATGTCACAACAAGTCTACGCTGTGTTAGGAATTAGAATGCTATACCGCTCGCTCTTGCCACCAGGGCAGAGTGTGTAGGTGTCGCACGGCCCGATGGCTAGCGCACAGTGCCGGATCAACGCCCTCAAGTCCCGCTTCACCTTGGAAAGCAAGTGACACCATTCCGAAGTAAGAATGCAATAGATCTGCGGACCTAGGGTTAGCGATCGGGAGAGACGATGGGGGACGTTTCCCGGCCTACCAGGTGGCTCTCCCACACCCTTCCCAAATCCTCCGATCAAATGCTGGGTCTTGTCGAGTAGATATCGTCGATTGCGGTCTGCATCCACCAACGCGAATCGGTCCATCATCTGGCCCCGTTCTGTCAGTCCATTCTACACCAAAGCTGGGGATCTTTCTCGGGGCTCTTACGGTGAGGGTTGCGCCATTCCAGAATGAATAGCATGTATCGGCATATTTGTTACATCGACCGTTGAATCCAGCCCATTCCAGTGTCTCCGTCGATGGCGTTGGCAAGGTAGGCAGTTGGCCAAACATCTCGTCTACATTGTCTGCTGCTTGCGCGGTATTCAATGGGTCACGGGCACTCTCGGTATGGTCGTCTTCCTCGTGGGCGTCTTCTTCGTCGTCGCCGAGTTCAGATGTCTGTCGCGCAACAAGCCACCGAGTCAGGGTCTCAAATGCTTCCGACCCGGGTGAAAGAAGCGCCACCGACTTGTCGCCTTCCGATAGACGGCCGAGGAAAGTCAGGGCGCCAATTCCACAGTAGGTATGCCCAGCTAAGACTCGAAAGTAAGAAACAAATCCTGTTCTTCAAGGCGCGGGGGAAGATAGCCCGGGCTTGGAGGGAAGAAAGGAAGAGAAAAGAGAAATAAACGTACAGTGGGATTCACAGAAGGGCGCTTCGGATATACCACCGTCGTATGTCTACAGGTTATCGCGGCTCAGCCGTTGCCTCGGAACGATTCACGGTATGAACATGATGGGGGAAAGGGGAGAGAGCGCCAGAGATAGCGTCTAGTCCATCTTACCTGACAAGCTTCAATGAACTCCACCAATTTGTCCACGTCCAGATCCTCCACATCGCTCCCACGTTTGCCTCTCAGAATGTACCTTGTGCCGGCGGCAAAGCAACAAAATCGTAAATCACCCCCGCCCTCGATTTCTCCGTTAGGACCCAGAACTTCCCCAAAACTGCCGTTTTCGCGTTGCATCTTCGGAAGCCATTGTAGACACTCAGTTCGCTTGACTCGGGATAAATCGTCGCCCAAGATGACGAGGATCAAGAGCGCAAAGAATGTCGACGGCACGTTGGCCGGGTCCCAGGACTCGTTCGCCGGATTCCGTCTCTCAAGCCCAAAGTCCGTTCCTGTGAATCCCCGAAAGCCTCCGGACGGGACCTGGCAGTGGTAGATCCATTGGATGTACCCCTTCCTCTCTTCGGGGGTCGTTTTGTTCTGCAGCTCGCCTAGAATATCTAGTCCGGCGATGGTGAAGAAGGCGAGGAGGATGCGATTCGAGTCGTTGGAGGTGTAAAGACTGGGCAGGAAGGTTTTAAGGCATCGGAGGAAATACTTGAGATGACGTTCTCGATTGAAAGCGGCTTCGGTCATGGTGTCGAGTCCTGAAGGGTCTGTGGTAGAAAGAGAATACCCCCCATTAGCTGTAAGACCCGGCCTTGACAATTCTCAGAACATGACGCGAGGGGTGGGACTGCGTCGGGGGAAGAAAAGCAACGGCCGCAACCCCACATGGCGTTTTCCCAGGGGAGCTCAGCTCCCCGACGGTCCTTCCGCCCATCGTTCTCGGCCAACACCGTCCACATCGCTTCCCGACATTCGCCTCGCAACCCAGGGAAGAAAAGGAAAGCAGGCAGGTAGGAAGAAAAAACGAAGGAACGAAACCCCGAAAATGGGCCTTCTTTCGTCCACAACCCTGATCAAAGGGCATGCATTCTTCCTCTTCGTTCTCGCCGTGTATCTGACGAGGTCTCCGGATGTCGTCACGGAGTCGGATGTAGTGTTCATGCTGGGCGAAGTCTTGCAGATCGTATGCTCATTCATTCTCTTGAATGCCTCTGGCACTTGTCGAAGCCCATCCCTCGCTGACCGATTGAATTCTTCTGCAGGATGCAGCCCCGTCGCTCTCGCGCCCCCAATCGCCCTTTGCGCTATGTGGCATCCTCCTCGTGGCCGACGCCCTGGTTGATCTCGTCCTGGTCACCAAAATCCCCCAGATGAATGAAGTGATTGCCATGGCCGCGGCCGCTCGATCCCAGTCCCCCGTTCCCGTCGCAGGGGCTTTGCGAATGAATCCTTTCCTGGCCCGCCTCGCCTCTCTCTACTCCGAAATTTGGACGTTGCTCTCCGCCTCGCGCTTCTGTCTCTTCTTCGCCATATCATTCTTTATTTATCAGAGCAAACCGTCGGCTTGGGGGGTGGACGACACCCGATCCGCCCTGGGGTATGGGGCTGCGCAAGAAGCGGCTTCCGGCCTTGATCAGCTGAAAAATCGGGTGATCTTCACCTATGGGTTTATGGAAATGATGTTTTGGCTTTGGGTGAGTCCGCACTGTCCCCATAATGAGTGACGGGTCTCTTTAATTCCCCCTTGCTAATGGTTGGCTGGCGGTAGATATATCTCACACTTCGCGAAGAGCGGCAAGAGGTCGCCACCCGCATTGCAGAGCGAGACCAGTAGTTGGGGGTTCTTAAGTCTCTGGTAATCGACTGTACTGGATAGGAGAGGGGGGTTTTAGAAGATATAAGTTGAGCTATCTGGAGCTATGCGCCATAGAAACTTCGGAGATTATTTCTTTTGTGCTCCTACCCCTCTCATTCTGGTTTTTTTTTTTTTATCCTTTCATTTTCCCCATCCATAGATTCGTCCCTGTGGTCGAGCCTTCACTCGGCCCACGCGTAACCGCGACCACCAAATTATTACATATCAAAGGAGATCAACTGCTGACAATAAAAGAAAAGAGCAACTTCCGTTACAAATGCTTTCTTATCATATGCTCAATCGTGATGTCGCAGTACGCGGTTCACCCTGTTCATCCTGCCTTCTGCATCGTATTATTCCCGATCCCCGGTTTCTTTAGGCTAGGAACGCAAAGAGGGCAGCGCCAGCCGCAGCGAGCAGACTGGTGTCTTTGCCTTGGACGAGTGCAGCACCGGCCGTACTAGTAGCCGCAGACTCGGCCGTGCCCGTCGAGGTTCCGGTGCTGCTGGCAGTCTCGGAGGAGGAGCTTGAACCAGAGGTGGCGGAGGCCTTAGAAGCGCCGGTGGTAGAGGCATCACTGCTTTGGCCCGTTGCAGTGGACGAGGCGGAACCGGTGGATGCCTCGGAGGATGATTCGGTGGCAGACGATGCTCCACTGGCACAGCTGGCACTCTTGGGCAGGTCCTTCACGCCAGCACCACTGCAGATCTGGTTTGCAAACTGGATGACCGCTGGAACAAGCCGGGCTGGTTAGTATACTACTCAGGGGTCACCAAGTTTTGAATTGATGGCAGAACATACATTTCTGATCATCGTCGGAGCACTTGCTGGACACGCAACAGGAGATGCTCGAGATAAAGGATTTGTCGGAGCAGATACAGCCGACATCAATCATTCCACAGTGGTCGGGGATAGCGTCCGTGGCACAGCCTTTCTATATATGGATGGTTAGAACGGCCACTCCGAGACAGGATGGGCGCGAGGAAGCACGTACGGCACAGCTGGGGAGGCTATCCAAGCCCTGGGCAGCGGCGGTGCTCAGGCAAGCAGCCAGCGCCAGCGAGAGGTAATGGAACTTCATGGTGACGGGGATCGAGAGTTGTAACGGGGGGAGCGAAAAATCACGAAAGACCCGGGGGGAGGTTGTCAAGTCCAATAAATAGCGCGTAGGTTCCCCGCTCGCAGTGACACGGGAAGAGAAACAAGACGAGGAAGGGACGGTCCCTCGTTCCTGCTCGAATGGTTCCTGCAGGGCCTCCTATACTCCACACTCCACTCTGGGGGCCCCCCGGTTTGTTTATTGCATTTGCGCCTTCTCCACTCCCCGGTGGGTCCTTTTCATCTTCATCTTCATCTTCCTCGTCCCTTTCCTCCCCCCCTCACGTCGGTAATTAAGATGCGTGGCAGGAATCCCTCGGTGTGACCCCGTCTGTCCCTTCTCGTACCGCTTGCGCCACCAACATACCAGCATTCTCTTCGGGAGAAACTATCGAAATATTCGGTCCAATGTTTGTCAATGTTGGCAACATCCCGGTCGGCCAGAAATTGGGCAAATGTCGATCTCTCCGCACTGCCGCACGATTGGTTACTACGCAGTACGGAGGAGGTAATACTGCGTAGAGGAATTATTATGTGGCTGCCACCCTCCCCTGCCGTTCCCGCGGTGCTTCCCTCCTCGTCATCACACCCTCATCCCCGCCCTCCCGGCCAATTCCCCCTCTCCCTCCCTTTGTCTTCCTCGATCCAGGGAATCGGGGGTTCTTGCAAGCATTGGCTAGTGTGCAGCTGTCCAGGCCCCCTTTCGCCGTCTCCGTCAAGATGGGCCTTGGGATTTTAGAGGATAGCGCTCTGGCTCGTGTGCCTGGTAAGCCGGAGGCGGAGCCATTGGTGTTTATTTAGCCTTTCTGACAGGGGGATTGTGCAGGCACGTCGGATATCCTGCAACGCCTGGATTCTAGTGAACAAGCCACCATTGATCCACATCTCAAATATGACCGCTCGGGATCGGTGCCCACTGTGCTCGTCCCTCAACCAAGTGATGACCCCAACGATCCGCTGGTATGTCAAAATGTGCCTGGCCAGGGCCGGTTAGCTACGACCGGCTGATACCGGAATATCTACAATCTAGAACTGGCCGCTCTGGAAACGCGACCTCACCCTGCTGGTCCTGTCGTTTGTTTCGGTCCTCTGTGCAACTACCAGCTCCCTCATGGCTGCCAATACAGTAACCATTGCTCTCCATTACGGCAAGAGCTTCACGTCAGTGGCCCTTCTCACCGGCTATCATCTTTGCGGGGTCGGTGTTGCCGGCATACTGATCGTGCCCACGGCGCGAGTATGGGGCAAGCGCCATCTGTTTCTCCTGGGGCATCTGCTGATGGTGGCGAGCTGCGCCTGGGCCGGTGGCAGCGAAAACAACTACCAAAGCCTGCTATGGTCTCGCATTTTCCAGGGGGTTGCCCTGGCGCCGTTTGAGGCTTTGGTGAACGCATGCGTTGGTGATTTGTTTTTTGTCCACGTACGTCCCCGCCGTCTTCTAGTGACCCCTGGCGACATGCTAATGTTGTGTAAAGGAACGCGGGAAACGGATGGCACTATCCAATGTGGCGCTTTTCGGGGCTGCCTTTCTCACGCCAGTGCTGGCGGGTAAAATCACGCATTCGCTGGGATGGCAGTGGACCTTCTACCTTCTGGCAATCTTTGCGGCAGCGGCCCTACCCCTGACCTTCTTTCTGGTCCCTGAGACTGCTTTCAGACGCCCCGATTATTTGAACACCGACTTCGACTCCTGTCCTGGACAGCGGCCAGAGACCAGTACCAATGGCCAAGAACGTAACGATGATTACACAGTCTGGAAGGAAAGCCAGCCCGAAGGAGAGCAGCGACAAAAACACGCCCGCACCGACAATCTGGCCTCTTCGATGGCATCGTCCTCGAATGAAGGTCCTAGTCGAGGGGCAGGGGCGCCTACGAAGGCGTCCTACTTTGAGAGTCTGAAGCCATTCAATGGAAGGAAAACCGACGAGGGCTTCTTCAAGCTTCTCTTGAGACCACTCCCCCTTTTCTTTCATCCCGCCATTCTCTGGGTAAGCCTCTAGTTTCGGGACGACGTTCCTTGCAACGGCGCAGCTGATAGCATCTCCTCTGTCACAGGCCTGCTTAATTCAAGGTGCCATTATTGGATGGACGGTATTTATCGGAGTTGTACTGGCGGCGATCTTCCTCGGCCCTCCATTATGGTTTAACGAGGTTCAAACCGGGTACCTGTACACGGGGGCCTTTATCGGCTCCATTCTGGGCTTGGTTCTTTCGGGTCTTCTTTCCGATTCGATGAGTCGCACCATGGTCAAACTCAACAAGGGACGGTATGAGCCCGAGTTCCGTATTCTCCTCGTGTTGTTCCAATTGGTTTTCTGCGGCGTCGGGCTTTACGGATTCGGCATTGTGGCCGAGGACGTGGGCAGATATGGCTGGTTGGTGGTCGATGTGTTTTTTGCGTTCGTCGTGATTGGGATGGTAATGGGGGCCGTGGCGAGTGCACTATACATCGTCGATGCACATCGTAAGTGGACCGTGTCTCGCCGTGCCGGGACGTCGTTACTCACGATCGCAGGGAACATTGCCATCGAGTCGTTCACGTGCATGTTGATCTTCAAGAACCTCTTCAGCTTTATCTTGACCTTTTTCGCCTACGATTGGCTTGTGTCCAACGGCATCCGACCGGCGTTTTTGGCCATATCTAGCATCCAGATGGGCATCTGCGTTCTGAGCATTCCCATGTGTACGTGTGTCCCTTGCAGCGATTAACCACGGGGAGGACCGGCTGACCGACCACTAACGCTGCACCGATGGCTCTGTAGACATCTTCGGCAAAAAGAATCGCTCCTTTTTTACGCGACACGATATCTTGAAGATCCTGCATCTGTGGTAAGGCCAAGCCGAGACCGGCCGGAAGGGACGGTGTGCCGGGGGGTAAATTCAGCCTTAATTTCCCACCGAATGAATGACATTTGCAATGATGCGGATGACCCGTAGGATCGTGTAGAAACGAGCGAGTCGAGCGTTACATGATCGAACGAGGAGGATCGCCCGGACGATCTGGACGATCCACCCGCCGATTCGCGCGTTGAAAACGGAAGGTGCGACTCCAGTCGCTCCGGCTCGTCGACTCATCATTCATCCTCCATGACCTCAACATCCCTTCATCCCTTCCATCGGCTCTCCTCGCCTTTCCCTTCCCTTGCTCTCTCCTTCCGCGGCATCCAGACCACGTCGTGACATCACTAGCATCGCGACTTCACGATCTTCATTCCTCTCCCCACCCCCCTCGCCAAGCTGCTAGCTGCCGACTAGCACGAACCGTGGTTCGGGCCTTGCAACCAACGACGTCACCGTCGACACGAGACTTCTTCGTTCCCAAGCTTCCGGAGGTTCCCTCCCAAAGTTCGACTAACAGCCCCTCTCTCTTTTGCTAGCTTTTATCCCCTTATTCGCCTTCCTGTTCTCTCCGTGCGATCTTGTTCCCCCCTTTCTTTTTTGGATCAGGCATGCCTGTCTTCGCTGCTGACCCTTGCTTCCTGCAAATTGCTGCGGACATAACCTTATCATGGCGACTATCGAGCAACCCCCGGCCCAGCGTGCTGCAATCCCACGATCCCGGTCAGCCCGGCTAGCGGATCAAGGTGAGAAAATCCGCCGTCGCATTTTGATGGATAAGGGACGTGTCGGCTGATCAATCATCATCCAACAGCCGCGACTGCTGCTCTTTTTGTAACGCATCCGGAACGAAGACTGTCGGTTCGCGAGCCACGAGCACCAGGAACGGATCTTTCCAGTGAGCGCTGCCCTCCCCTCCAATCTGTGTGTGGTGCGTGAAAGTCTTAATGAGCGGAGGACTGACGATGATCATCCGCGACAGCCTTGAAAGCGACCGGATCCCGGCCCGGCTTCAGTCATGCTTCGGCAGTAGCCGCCCTGGCTCATGCGAAGAGTAAACAGCCCGAAAGTGGCCGATCATCCACCGCCGCGATCTATGTCCCGGATTACCCCCCAGAAACACCAAGCCAAGAAGGATACAAGGCTGCGATCTCCGCCATCCGAGACCACAGGTCGATCGCAAGCCCTGCCCCCGCGGATTCCAAACATGACACATTCACCGCAGATGCGCGACGAGAAATCACTTCGAGGGAAAAGGCCATTCGCGCGGCATCCGGGGCCTTCTACAACAGTAGAAAGAGGGCCGATTCTGCGCCGTTAGAGGACCCCTATGCGATGTCGGGGGCCAGAGACCCTTTGGACGAGCTCGACAGCTCGGCCGAAGCCAGCAGAATCCAGCACGTTGCAAACACCAATGCGCGCCTTTACACCGCATCCCCGCCCGTGGCCATTGAGGTGGAGGAGCAGAACAAAAAGAATGTGATGAGGGCGGCCGCCATTTCGATGGCGCGCGAAATGTATGGCATCGCGGAGAATGCGGAGGACCAGACCGGTGCCGCTATACCTGCAGCTCAAAGAGGTCATGCGCGGGCGCGGTCGCAGCAAGTGGTCAACAAAGCCACCGTCGGCGCACTGCAGCGAGCTATGAGTTTACAAGAGGTTGCTCAAAAGCGCGCCGCCGAGAAACTAGCCAGTATGCAGGATGAAACGGCTGTGTATCGCGAATACTACGGCATCGAACCTCAAGCGTCGCGCTCCAGCTTACCGGCTCGCAGGCGGAGAGCGTCGGTTGACTCTGACGAATCCTCCTTCGATGCTGAGCGATCGAGAGAGATCCGGTATCAAATGACCAACTTGCGGTCGAAGCTGGATGCGGTCGATGAGCAGAGACAGAGAGACCGCGCGCTGTTGATGGAGGCTGCGAGAAAGAATGTCGATGCAGCCATTCAAGATATGGAGAAGCGGGCCTACGCCGACACTGGTCGTGCTCCGCCTTCCGTGCGAAAGGAGTGGGAGGATGCAGCCCTTGCCCGTGCCGAGAAGGACATGCAGGAGATTGATGCTCAACTCATTCAGCCGGATAGAGTTAACCTCGGAGCGCATAAGTTTGTGGATATGTCCGACGTCGAAGCACTGGCTCGTTCACGACTCCAACCGACGTTCGACGAAATCCATGAACGTGCGGAAGCCCAACGTGCTAGGGAATTGGAACAACGATTGGATGAAGAGGAAAGGCTGCGCCACGACGCCGTTGAGCGCCAGCGAGAGGCCGATACCCGGGCCGAGGAGAAGCGGCAGAGAGGTTCGTGCACGACCACAATCTAATCTCGTATCCAGGATGCTAACGTTGCCTCAGCGGTCTTGAAGCAGCAATCCCGAGGCAAAGAGGAACGGTCCTGGCCTTGGAGGAAAAAGGCCAAACGAGATGGAGGCAATGCACCCGAGACACCCTTGGTCAAAGACCGGGTTGCAGCAGAAGAGAATAACGAACCCGCGGGTGAAGGGCTTGTCGGGACGGTGACGCAAGACACCGTCCAGACGGATACTGTGACAGGCAATGACCAGGCCGTCGCTTCAGGCGCTGCCGCCGAACCGAGTCCCGCGACGTCTCCTATCCTCAAGTCAGAATCCAAACTCAAGACCTGGATCGGTAAATTGGGGGGCCGTCGGTCCAGTACAACTGCCGCCGCCGCCGCCCCAAGAGAAGCAGGCGTCAGTCCCGAACCTACCTCGGGCGTGCCAGACGAGGAAAGACCGGTCTCTGGGGATGATTCGCGAGCTGCTCCGCTTCGGTCCAATCCTGTGTCGGCCCATGATATTGCGGAGACACAAAGGGGCTCCGCCGATCCAGACCGAACAGACGAGGAGCAGGAGTTTGTGAGAAGCTCGGAGAACAGCGGGGACCGGAGATCTCGCCTCAAGTCGCGATTTTCGCGGATCGTCTCGAGGGGCTCGCAAGAGATGAAGACCGACGGCGTTGAAACTCCGGATCAGGAGACTCAGGGAGAATCAGTCCCCGTCGAACACACTGCTGCCGATGAGCTGCACGGCCAGAGCCCGGAAAAAGATGGGCTGCGAGAGAGCGCGGTCGAGCAAGGCCTGCCCATTCCGCCGGCCATTGGGAAGCGATTGAGCAATGGCACCGGCCGCGAGTCGAGGTTTTCGGAGGATCTGTGATGGTTCGCTTTGTTGTCATTCCTGCGTGTGCTGCTATGTATCGGGTGGAGAGTGTCGGTATTGTCCACTGTATACCTGGATTTGTGTTTTATTTTCTTTTCCTTTTGCGATCCTGTAGTCATATATTAGTCAGTGGATGTGTATGTACGAGTGTCTCCCGACCAAATTGAGCAATAATGGAGCGAGTACTTGCAGAAGAGTCCATCATCGTCTTTCCTCCACCGCTCTTTAGCGCGCGGCTCCACGTCGCACTCCACGTCGCCTTTCGGGGCATCTGCGCTGGCCAGCCTTACCTTCGAACGCCTGGGGAACCATGAGTTGACCTCGAGATCCCTCTTCCGTTCTCTTTCTCTCTCCCTCTCCGAACCATATTTGTTCTAGTTGCTCCGACAGACGCACGGGCACAGTGGGGTCGTCTTGCCTGCATCTCTCCCTCTCCCTCATGGCCGCCTCGCATCCGCGGCAGTCCAGCGTCGATCTCGACTCGCCCGATCGTCCATTCGACAACATCATCAATTTCCGTGATGTTGGCCGCTCTATCAACCGGCTGCTGGGCCGACCGTAGGTTTTCCACGCGAAGGGACCAATAGATCGAGAACTGACCAGATGAACCAAACTAGGGTTCTGAAGGAGGGCATCCTCTTTCGTAGTGCCAGGGTAATCAATTCTCTCTCCCACTATATCTGTGAACAAAAGATGGGCCCTTGAGCGGACTAAGGAAATGACCGCCTTTTCTAGCTGGACGATGCATCCGAACGAGACAAGCGCCGTATCACGGACGAACTGCACATCTCCACGGTGATCGATCTGCGATCGAGGTATGTCTTTCGGATCGGGCCCTGTCTATCCCTCTATCTGGACGAACTCCAATAACCCATGGCCGGCTCTCCCAGCACCGAGCACCAAATGGCAACGACCAAGCGTCGAGCCGAGCTGGGCGACGACTCGCCTGCGTTCACGCCCGCGGTCCAGCATCTCGTCGATCTCCCCGGGGTGCGTCGCGAACTGATCAGTCTGACGGGGAAAGCGTTTGAGCGGACGCTCCTGTGGAAGTTGGACTGGTGGCATTTCATGTATCTTTCTCCCTCTCCCCCTTTTTTTGTCATTTCAACGATTACCCATCGGATCCATTACGACTGACGACCGAGACAGAAAGGTTCTGGCCCTGGCGGCATCCGGCTACCGACCTGACGCGGTACTCATCGTGGGCGAGCAGGTGATGACGCCGCGCGGGCTGATCGGACTCGGCCAGGACACGCTGGACAGCAGCACGGCGGAGATGCGGGCGATATTCGACCTGTTCGCCCCGGACGACGACGATGACGGCGATGGCGAGAAGGATAGGGAGATTCGACCCTCCACGTACCCCATCCTGGTGCACTGCACGCAAGGAAAGGACCGCACGGGGCTCGTAATTCTGCTGCTGCTGCTGTTGGCAGGCCGGGTGGCCGAGGACGCCATGCGCTCGGACTACGTGCGGTCGGAGCCCGAATTGCTGGTCGAGGTCGAGGAGCGCATGAAGGAGATTCGCCTACTAGGCCTATCCGAGGACTATACCAAGTGTCCGGCCGGATTTACGACGAAGATCCGTGGACATCTGGACGAGAAGTATGGCGGTGTCGAAGGCTATCTGCGCTATGTCGGGGTGAATGAGGAGAAATTGGAACGGATCCGGCAGACGTTGCTGGCATAGAGGTTTGTCTGCTTGACATTGTTGTTGTTGTTGTTGTTTATGTTTCCCCTGAGCAAGTATTTATTTAGCGGGATCTGGGATCTGTTGCAAGCATGCATATGTACAAGATAGAACCTAGACTGAGGGCTTTCTCTATTTTTGGCTCGCTTTCTACATAATGATGGTATATCAGACTCGTCTTTCTCTTTTTCTATCCTAGTATTACAAATGTGGGTACTTTGTACAATAGATTGTAATCTTTCACAAACGATCTGATCGAAAATGAGAAAAGGAGAGAGAGATTTAAAAAAAAAAAAAAAGAAAAAAAGAAAAAAAGAAAAAGAAAAGAAAAGAGGGAGAGCACAGAAAAGCAAAATCAGCCACCACGGGTATATACTCCAAGCAAATCAAACACAATATAAGAGAGGGGGGTATATCCTGGTTCCAAAACAAGGCCTCGGCGCACCAGTAATATGCAAAATAGGAACTCTCCGACCAACGTTACATGCGCTGGCCCCGGTAGTAATTGACATTATTGGCGTTTGGACCGGCGGAGTCCATCGTCAGGGGCTCTTCGTGGGTGAGTTCGGGCGACGGCTCCGCCATATTGATGCGCTTTTCGCCCTGTGGAACGTGGCGGCGGGTGCGCACCGAGGGCAGCAAGTCGACCACGAAGGAAAGAACGTAGAAGGTGAAAATAAGGGCAATCACTGCAGACCTGTGGTTAGCCGACCGCTCACCCAACAACGGCGAAGTTCTGTCTTACCCCATTCCAGCACGGCCGCCGCATTTCTCTTCCGACCACCTTCGCGTCCCAGAACGCCAAAAGCAATGGCGAGGCCAATCTCCACGACCACGAAAAAGGCCTTGATGACAAAACTGGCAAACAGAACTCGATGGTGTGAGCGATAGAAGATACCGAGTCGGAGATATTCGGCGCAGATAAGGATGGCACTGATGAGGTAGCCGACCCTGGATTCGATGTCAGTCTCCCGGTTCTCGTCGTCGCATGTTTGTCAGGGGCCAGAGCATACAGGAACATGACCAAAAACCCCACATGTTTATGTGGATGCCGAACGGTGTCAAAGCAAGACAAGAGAATCAGTCCCAGAGCCCCGGCGATTGAGAAAAAGATCGATCCGATGGCGCAGGCCTTGTCGAACACGCCCTTGTTCGGGACCAATTGGCCCGCATGACGTAGCCATCGCTCGGCAATGAACGAGAGATCCAAAAACACCACGGTGACCACGCTGCCGGCGATGAAAAGCGGTTTCAGTTCCTGGGCTCCCACGTCCGAAATGTATCTAGAGCAATTGACGGTCAGTGGAAACGTCGACGCTACTATTCCCCGAAGCGAAAGGACCTACGCGATCGTCTGACCGGGTTCCATGCTGGAGTAGATGGGGGACCCAACCACAGCCCAATGCCCCAGCATTGCGACCAGCATCGCTGAGAGTTTGAATCAGTGTCTCCGCGGGCGAATTCGGTTTCGTCGACAGGGCCATACCTATCCACATGCAGGCCGATATGACCGGAAATATCCAAAACGAAACAACCCACATTGTCGGTTATGTATAGTGATAGATCGAGATGGATTCAAACGACAAAGAACATAGACAGAAAAGCAGAAGGAGAAAGAAAGAGAGAAAGAAAAGGAAAAGAAATGAAAAGAAAAAACGACCTAAAATGAAAGCAGACCGGGACCGTTCGTCAGCCTACCTGAAGTATGAGCGGCAGCCGCCCGGAGAAGCAATCAAACATGGATTGGCCGGGAAGGGCGGAAGTGGCTTGGATCCAACTCACTCGATGATGCCTAGCAAAGCCGTGTAACGCCTCTCGGTGATCGGTTCCCTTGGATCTCCCCCAGGCAACCAAGATCTGCAGCAGAATTGAGTCCGCGGGTTCGCGCGACCGTTGTCACCGGGAGTAGGCAGGGAGAGTGGGAGGAGAAAATTGACAAGCAGCAAAACTTGGAACCGAGGAAGAGTGGAAGAGTGGAGGAACCCCTGCCTACTTGACTTCTTTTTCTCCCGCCGGTTAAAGAATGGAAGCAGAAAGCAGAAAACGAAAGAGAAGAGAAAGAGAGACGAGCGAGAGGGAATCAATTGACTGATTAATTTAGGTCTAACGCTCCAGCAGATCGACCGGACGGGGCTGTGAAGGAGGGAAAGTTCGGCGTGCCCGGCATTTCTGGCGCACTTTGTTGGTTCGTCGCCGGTTGGCTCCTCGACGTCATCGCGGCCCATGACGAGTGATGGACTCCATGACATGCTCCGGAGCACGGCCGATTAGAAAATTTTTTTTTTTGAAAAATAATAATAATAAATGATACTCTCATCTTTCCAATTCTATCAAACTCCCGATACGGTTTTTTTGGGGTTGCAGAAAAAGCCACCCAGACTATAGACACAAGACACGAAAGACACAAATCAACCCACCATGACGCTCTTATCAAGAAGTGAAAACACCTGGGAAAAAAAATTATAAAAAGAAAGAAAGAAAGAAAGGGGACACAACGTGTGAATTTCAAGGACGATTGCGGCGCTGACGGCTTCCTTGGCTTGCTGCCGCCCGGCTGGAAGGACTTGTCGGGACTTTTCTCTCTACCACATCCACAATATGTAACTCATCTCCGCTCTCACCATCAGAGTCACTCTCCTCCTCCTCATTGTCCTCTTGCTCTTGGCGGGGGTCGGCCGCAGATTTAGCCGGGCCGTACCACGGGGCAAACGAGTTTCGCGCGCTGCTGGACGGGCGGTCCCCGTAACTGGACACGTACGGTGATAGCCCCGTGCGATTCGAAGAGCCTCCTCGTCGCGGCTCCACCGGACTGTGAAGGGGATACGGAGGCGGCTCCCTCGGGTACGGCAGCGGATAGGGAGGGACCCAGTGCGGATCATCGGGAAGAGGGCGCGCGAATGACGGGCTTTTCAGTGGAGACGACGCTTGCGAGCGAACGTGCGGGATCGCGGACTGGCGGTCGGGTTTATAAGGGGAGTCCAGCGGAGTTCTGGGCGACGCGATGGGCTGTGGAGATCGCAGGGAGCGAGGCCGCTGCGACGTCGGGGAGCCCGAGCTCCTGGGCCGAGCATCGAATATATCGCCATCGTCAAGGACGCCATACGGTGCCGTTGGTTTACCCGGCACCGCGCTAGACGGAGCGCGTCGCATCCCTCCCCTACCCGCGCCGCCATCCGGAGTACGTTCTCCAGCCCTCTTGCGTTCGAAAGTTCCGGTGCCGGTCTGCATTCGTTTCCGTTCCAGCGCCTCCACCTCGGACTTCGACAAGCGAACGTTCTGCTGTCCCATGACTTGGGCCCGGCGGATTCTTTCCAGGGCTTTGTCCACCAGCCAATCCTCCTTGTCCTTCATGGCCAGGTGCACTGCGTACGCCACGGTGCTGTCAGCGTCGTCGTACAAGTCATAATCCGCCCCGTCCATCGATTCCGGCTCGTCCCCATACTCGTCATAGCCCACCATACGTCTCCGTAACCCCGAAGCCCCGTCCATGTCCCTACCGGCCAGCTGCCTCGTATACCCAGCTCGGCCATTGCGCAGATTGTATTCGTCCTCGCTGTCAACCTCCTCGATTCGTGCGTCATCATCCAGCCACGGAACCGCCCGCCTCCTGGATTGTCTCCCCAGTTGTGCCCCCGGTGGTCTTCCCCATCGGGGCGTACCGTAAGGAGCTCGCGGCCGACCACCTAGACCGCCTCCTCGGAAAAAGCATTCTCGATTGGTTTATCCATAAAGGCTGCGTGGCCGAAGACGGAGACTCCCGTGGCGCCGATCAGCCAGAGGACTGTCGAGATAGGGGAGGCCCAGATGCCCAGAGGAACGGCCACGATCAACAGCCCGGTGTAGAGCTGGGAGGTATTGAAGCGAGCAATTCCCAATTCCAGATCGCGCCCTTCCAGCTTGCCGATACCGTACAGACCTCCGGTGACGAAGATGATGACGAAGAGCAAGACGGGATTGGTGAGCAAGCTGTAGATGCTCAGCATCACAAAGACCACGGCATAGTTGCTCGAGAAGTACGACAGGTTGTAGTTCACGCGACTCTGGACCTCGCCGAAATTGGCCGGTTTGGAAAGACGCTTGAGATCCAAGAATTCGGAAACCGGTCGGAGGTTGGCAAAGCGGGTGCCAATGGACTGGGAGCGAACACTGTTGAAGCGATCACCAAATCGCGAGGTGATCGCATCGATGGGAATCTTGATAGAGCTCATTCTGGCGGGTCGATGGGGGGGATCGAGACGGTGTAGCCAAATGAATAAAGGGGAGCGAGCCGAGAGGAAATCCTGTTGATACAGCGAATGGGGGGGGGAAATAAAATAAATCACTGAAAATAAAGATGAAACCGGAAAAAGAAGAGAGAGAGAAGAAGTCCAAGGGGGAAAAGGGGGTTAAGAGAGAGAGGACGAGAGCGAAAGAGACCTTGGGAGAGAAGATGGAAGCGGCTTAGTTGGCCGAAAGGGAAGAAAAAAAGCAGCTTTAGCCTGGTTTGGCTCGAGGCCCGTTCGTTTTGGTTTCTATCAACTCTCTCCCGACAAACAAATGCAAGGCAGCCACCCACGACTCCCTAGGTGACCAGATTTGTTTTGCACCGGCAACTGCACACGAGGGAGAGAAACGAGCAGGGAGCAATCGAATTTCCAAGCCCCAAATCCAAGACCAGGCTTCTCTATTTCACTTTGGGCGGTGACCGCTAAGAATAGAACATCCCCAGGTGGGAAAAAAAAAAAAAAAAAGTGGATGAAAATAGTCTGTACGTAAGACTGGAAGAATGGCCGAGTGCAGACGACCAAAGGCGGCGGTCTGGGAAGATCAGATGAAAACGATCATCTTGGAGAATAAGGGATCCAGTGTCTTGTCTCGTTGATATTCCGAGAGTCCAACCCTCAGTTACACCGGTGCTGTGTATGTACCACCTCCCAGGTAGCCGTACATCACTGCCGTAGAACCCGTCGGACGGTAAGGTACCAGAGCACGAAGACGAGAGGATCGAGGGGGTTCTTCGTCGAATTTAAGGCCGTGCCTCTGCTCCTTGGGCGCTTCACTTCCCTCCCACCTTAACCTTGGAAGGTACTTCTTCCTGGCAACTGCGTGATGCCGCCGCGGCGTCGCAGCCCCTGATTGGTCCACGTCGTTCTGCTGCCAAGTGGATCCCCTTACGGTACCGTACCGTCCCGTACGCGGCGGTCACGCCGTCTTGATGCCTGAGGACAGATGGTGTTTCTGCCTGAGAATCATGGCCCGCACCCCCGGAGTAATACTGCGTATTATTCTGATAATTCGAACTAACTAAACTTCGGAGTAAGGCACGTCGGGAAATTAATTAATTGGGGGTTTTTTTTTTCTCTCCCTCGGTCTCCCTTCCCTTTCCCTCGACATAATCGCTCCCCCTTTGACCTTGGATATTCCTCGGTCACCGTGCTGGCACCTCTCTCCTCGTCCGCTTCCGTCTTTTCGTGGACTCGGCGGGTTTGATCGAAAATGAAGTCAACAGCACTGCGCCTGTTGCTGTTTGCTGTCCTGTTAGGATTGGCGGCGGCGTGGACCAAAGAAGGTCGGTTTTTCTCTCCACCACCGCTCTTCTCTCTTGACCGTCTTTTTGCTTTCACCGACAGTTGTCGGGGTTGATCTCGTCATGTCCCATCTCTCTGACCTCAAGCCCTACATTTAGATTATGAGATCTTCCGCCTCCGCGATGAAGTTGCTGCCGGAGAGGGGCTCAACGTGACTTTCTACGGTACGTCGTTAATCTACCTTCTCAGAACGCAGCTCTGCATGTATAGGGTCGTGCAGCTGACCCCTTCAACGGACAGATTTCCTCGAAGTTCAACCCAATGCCAACCAGGATGAACTGAACAAGGCCTACCGCAAGAAATCCCGACTTCTCCACCCCGACAAGATCAGACGCTCCTTCATTGCCAACAGCTCTAAGGACAAGGCCAAGTCGAAGACGAGCAAGCCGGGGGTTCATGTCAACAAGGGTCCCTCCGAGCGCGAGATCGCGGCTGCCGTCAAGCAGGCCACCGAACGAGCCTCCCGCCTGAACACCGTCGCCAACATCCTTCGCGGTCCGTCGCGTGAGCGGTACGATCATTTCCTGCGGAATGGCTTCCCCAAGTGGAAAGGCACCGGATACTACTACTCGAGGTTTCGCCCAGGATTGGGCTCCGTGATGGTCGGTTTATTCTTGGTCTTCGGTGGCGGCGCTCACTACGCGGCCCTGATCCTGGGCTGGAAGCGTCAGCGGGAATTTGTCGATCGCTATATCCGTCAAGCTAGGAGAGCTGCCTGGGGTGATGAATTGGGCGTCCGGGGCATTCCGGGCGTCGATTCCGCAAATGCCCCGGCCCCGGCTCCTACTGCGGAAGCCAACGAGACGAGCGCCATGCCCATGAATCGTCGTCAGAAGCGCATGATGGACAAGGAAAATCGAAAGGATTCCAAGAAGGGTGCTCGATCAGCCTCGCGCGCCTCCGGTACCTCTACCCCGACAACCGAGTCCGTGGAGCCTTCGGGTGAGAGGAAGCGCGTCGTTGCCGAAAACGGCAAAGTCCTTATTGTTGACTCGATTGGCAACGTGTTCTTGGAAGACGAGACGGAGGAAGGCGAGCGGCAGGAATTCCTGCTTGACGTTGATGAAATCCAACGCCCAAGGGTACGAGACACCATGCTGTTCCAAATTCCCGTTTGGTTCTACCGCAAGAGCTTCGGAAAGGTGCTTGGGTCATCAGAGACAGGCGACATCGTTTCTGATTCGGAGGAACCGACCGAAGTGGAAGAGCCGGTCGAAGAGCCTGCAAGTTCCGCGGTTGCCCCTAAAAAGGGCGGGACTTCTCGCAAGAGAGGAAAACGCTCCCAGCGGTCCTGAACGATAAGAAAGACAGGTTGTGATTATATGTCATCTTTTAAAGTTGGGCAGTTCCGTTATTTCCCCCGTCACAAAAGACGAGGCAGTCCTAAATGCATTGTATAGAGATATATTGGCGGTAACCCGAACATATTTTCTTTTTTCTTTTTTCTTTTTGTTTCCATCTAGGTCACCTTGCTCGCAGAAAAATCGAATAGAAGAAAATTTGGCAACACCTACGGCCATTACGCGCTGAGAACAACTACCGTAGCTTACATTACGGAGTAGGTCTGAATATACACGGAAGCAGATGGAGAAGCGGCAAAAGAAACAAACTATTCTGATATCATTGTAGCGGAACAAGCAAGGTATTGAACCTCCTGGGTGTAGATACAACAGGAAATTGAAAACCGAAAGAAAAAGAAAAAGAACACATATCGTCTCATAATCATGATAGTCGTGATCGTCTATGACCCCCCTTCTACCCCGTTTAGTATCATCGACATCGGCACCGATCCATGGGCTACATGAACATCTTAGCAATGTTCATCAGCCCGTGGATGTTGTCTGCCATGCCGCCTCCACTCCCTTGTGCGGGCTGTCCGCCGCCGAGGCTCCCAAAGATGTTTCTCGGTAGGCGAATCCCAATCATGGCAAACAGTTTCTGCAACACCCCGCTCGTCAGGAGCGGGACAACGACCATGAGAAGGACCTTGAATGGGTGACGGCGGGCATAAATGGAGATGTCACGGATTAGGCGTTTGATGTAACGAACCACTCGCTGGATAAAGCCAGATCGAGGCCGTGCCCGACGGGAGGACGAGGTAGAAAAGACTGACGGGCTTGATCGCCCCGACCGATTGCCGCCGCCACCACCTAGACTGAAGATTGATGGTGTCGAGTGATGAGAATGGTGAGTCGAATAGGTGGATCGACGAGAGGGAGAGCGTCGGCGGACATGGCCTGAAGATGAAGAAGTTCGTCCATCGAACCAACCCATGGCGACGGAAAGGATCTTTTGGTCGTGAGGAGACGAGACCGATTCAGCGAGGCTATTTCTTGAGAAATGAAAAGCAGGATGCGTCTTTGGTCGTGGCGGTCTGTTTTTTCTTTGTCTTTGTCTTTTTTATCTTTTCTTTTTCTTTTTTTTTTTGGTCTTCCGGATTGAATACTTCCAAGTGTGTGCCCCTCGAAATCTGCTGAGTGCAGCTCAGGCAATCAAATGAGAGTAGCGGACCCAGCTGCAGATGCACACAATTTCAGATCTAGACTCCCTGCGGGAATTGGTGGTCCCCACCGAGTCTCAGTGTGATGGCGACTGGCTTATTCTGTGCCCAGTGTGTGGAGTGCACGGGGTACTTCGGTGCAAACCAGGGGATTTCAAGTATTTCTGGAATTGACGACTCCCCGAACTAGATGTTTCAGGCAATGAATGAATGGAACAGAATTTTGCAAGATGCAAAGAATTGAATGGGACTTCGTCGCCCGTGCCTAGCATGAAAAGACCGAAAAAAGGGGGGGGGAGGGGATGGCAAACCCCATCTGTGCAGTAACTAGTGGATGTAGCTGAGGATAGCTCCAACGCATTAATGGGTGGCTGGCGGGCAACTGGCCACGCTCATTGGCGGGGTTCCTCAGGGGCGGCTTCCCGTGCCGTGTAAGTCAGACTTTAGACTCGCCCGGCTGATGTACGCGGTAGCACTTGCGCTGCACATAATAATAATGGTTGATGGTGGCAGTACGCAGTAGGTACTTGGTCCCTACCTACCTACTGCGTAGGTAAGGTATTATCTTCGTAACCATCACTCCGCAGTGTCCATGGTCTGTAGACACCTAAGGCATCAACACCACCGGCCGACGTCATTCCCGGCGGTGCGTCCGTTGCCTTCACGGGACACAAGGAAAGACTCGACAGAGAAAGACTACATCGTTCCTCTCGGTCCTTTCCCAGCCCTCCGTAAACAGATACCGAACCCAAAGACTTTCGGTCCCGATACACCCGAATTTCATCGGCCAGAATGCCCCGTGAGTTTGGACAGTTAGAGCAGCCTTCTGCCTCAACAGCGCCCCGCTGACCTTGTCTTGCCCAGAACAACCGAACTACTGTAATCATCCTACACTCCGATAGTCCCGGGCACTCGCTCGAAAATATTCTTACGCACATACAGACAGAGTTCTCGGTGTCTCTCCGCATGCCACCCAAAGGGAGATACGCATCGCCTACAAACGGTATGTGCCGGACATGCACCTGGACGTGACGACGAGTCTAAGAGCACGCCTAGAGAGTCCCTAAAATCACACCCAGATCGAGTCCCGGCGGACTCGCCTGAACGGCCCGCGCGGACACGCAAGTTCCAGGGGATTAGCGACGCCTACTACACCCTTTCCGACGAGTCACGACGACGACAGTACGACGCATCACGGGCCGCTGAAGATGGGGTAGAAGAAGAGGACGAAGAGCCCTCGGGCGGCGACGAAGGGTTTGCATGGTCAAATTTCGGGTTCAGCTCGGCGGAACGCGAGCAACGAGCTTCCGACCAGTTCGGGTCGGTGTTTGAGGAGATGCTCCGCGAAGAAGGGCTTGCCAGCGAGGACGATGCCGGTGACGCACGCGGTCGCACCCGACCTACCTCTCGATTCTGGTCTGTGGTGGGTGGACTGAGCGGTGGCGCGCTTGGGTTCATTGTGGCCAATGCCCCCGGGGCTTTCGCGGGCGCAGTTGCGGGAAATCGCCTAGGCGCCGTCCGCGATGCGAAGGGGAAAAGTGTGTATGAGGTCTTTCTCGACCTTCCACAGAATGACCGCGCCCGGCTGTTGAGTGAGTTGGCAGCCAAGGTCTTCCAGTCAACGGTGGGACGCTAGAAAAGCCCGACAGAATGCGGCTCACATCTCGGTCTTCAATAATTATTGATAACTCGATGGTCCTACGTAAATACCTCCAGGATTATGTGCACTAAACGGTTTAACAATCATAACCAATTATAATGACAACACTCCGTATGACATTGGATTCGGGTGGGGCACGTGTGTTAGTCATCGGATCTTCCTTCCAGACCGTCGCCGATTGTCCGTTCATTCGGAGCACTCAGCATCTTCCGTGACGGGCCTCGCATTCCCAAGAACTTGACACTTGCCCGGAAGCTAAACCCGGACCAAAATGGCACATCAGAAGTCGGTCACAGAAGTCCCGCGCTCCATTCTCCCTCGTTTGACGTGGAACGGCTCCTCTGCTCGAACTACGGTCCCTCCGTGTCAGACAAACACCCTCTCGGCTAGACGACAACAGAAGCAGCGACATATACACGGATGGAACTCACCTGGACGGCACATCCATACCTGGTCGCCTTCCTCCCGTCCCTCCGCCTCTGTCTCGTCGCTTCGAGAGCCCCGGTCGTCGTTATCACCCGTTGGGCAAACACCTCTAACAAGAAGCGGTGCGACCAACCGCCCAACCTCCGAGACTGCCAGCAACCCTATTAGATACAATGGCGTTTACGCTACCACCTTTAAAGCCGCTCGGCGAGCCTTCCATGCCTCTGCAGTCCGACAAAGAGACCATCATTTTGATACTTTGAAGTTTGTACAGCGATTGAAAGATGAAGGGTTCAGTGAGGAACAGGCCGTTGCTATGATGCGAGTTCTAAACGATGTGATCCAAGAGTCAATCCAGAACCTGACTCGGACAATGGTTTTGAGAGAAGGTTCGTCGCACCCGTGTCATTTCCTCGACCTCTCCACGGAGAAAGAACGAGGCAATTCGAAAGGGGCGAAGGGCAAGGCGGCGGAGGCACACCCATGTCTCGGATTGCACCTCCTACACCCTAGCCATGCTGACTGTCCTTTTGCTCTAGACACCGAAAGATCCACGTATACGCAAAAAGTCGACTTTGCTAAGCTCCGCTCCGAGCTTCTCAATGCGGACTCGACCGAAGCCCAATTGACCCGATCATCACACGAAAAAATCGCTGCCGATCTTGCCAAGCTCAATTCCCGCTTGCGTGACGAGATAGGGCGTACACAAGCATCTGTCCGCCTAGACTTGAATCTGGAGAAGGGGCGGATTCGAGAAGAAGCCAATGGTCAAGAGATGCGCATTAAGGAGACAGAGACAAGAATAGAGCAGGAGGTTGCGGGTTTGAGGGAACGGGTCGAGGCTGTGAAGTTCTCAACGTTACAGTGGCTTATGTACGGCTTGTCCAATCTCCATCTCCCGCCCCGCCCGTCACTTTTGGCTGAGACATCGCTAACGGATTTTTTTCGTGTAGGGGTGTATGCACTGGTACCGCGGCTCTGATTCTGGGAGCGTGGCGTCTCTTTATGTGATTTGGGCCTAGCTACACTTATCTCCCGCGGCGGATACTGCTTTCCTTATGCTTAAGTCTTAAGCCTTTTGTCTCCTTATTGTACAATAATTCTCACTTCACCTCTCTATATCCCAGCTTCGTTCTACGGGCTGGCACTGGGTCTCTCTTTTTTTCCATGTAGTTATGTGCAAATTCAGCCCACAGCTAGAATGGTAGGAGCGGGTAGATACTACACTACATAGTCAGTGACTCAGTACTTACGTCTTACAAACGACTCCGATGGTCTCGGGAAAAGCGGCCTTCCGCGGAGGAAGCGGGCTATCTTCACGTGAGGGCGCGATAAGGAAGCTAGTTGCCTCCTCCGCAGCTTGACATCCCTACTATTGCATCGTAGCCGATACACACCCGGCATGTTGCGGGATGGCTGTGATCAGTGCAGAATTATTACTTCCAGGTAGAGCAGCATTCCTATTCATCTGACCCCATGCCTGATGGCTGACTCCACACGCTCGAAGGTGCGGTGCCTCATACTTTGGCCACTGCGTTTGCGCCAAGTGATGCGCTTGAGGCCAATGGTCCTCCGAGCAAACGTCGGAGGCTGAACACCGGAACTCAGAGCCTTCGGGAGCTGAACGGTGTGTCCGACTCGCAGACCCCTCTAGGCTATGTTCCTCTAGCCCGTTTGTACTTATACCTGGTATGCAAGTCCATGTGCACGGACAAAGGTGTCTTACTCATTCGGCTGCGCTTCAATTATAGGAATTCGAACGCGATAATCCCGACCTTGAGGAATCCAGAAGCTTCCCTGAAACTCTAACAAGTCTACCCATCTTCATTCAAAAGGCTAGGGGCTTTCGACCTCCCCAGCCTGCGTCTCATCCGCAACAGTCACCATGCGATTGCTTCGAGCTGGAGCTTGCTGCCTCATCAGGGCACAACACTATCTTCGAAGAGCGATTGAATCAGTCCCAATTGACTGGCATTGGCGACCACCTGGAGCTTGCTCGGACCCTTGTTTGTGCCGACCGGTATTCTAAGACGCAACCTCCTGCCTGTTATCAGTCGACTCTCTTCCGCTTATCTGACAAGACAAAATTTCGGCTTGAGACAGTTATATTATGGAAAGACTCGATAGACATCTTGAACTACAACCAACTGCCGGTCGGATCATTGAGGGTATTCTCTAAATATGTTTTGCGGGAATCAGACGGGGTTACAGGCTATGAGAGTCACGAATGGAAGCGTCAGCAACGAAGGAATGAACTTGGCTGGTCCCCCCGCGACTTTTACGACAACGTATTTGTTCCGCCGGACACGCCAGCGACGTCAGCAGATATCAAATGTGACCTGATCGAATGCCAACTGTTCCCGTTCCAGAGGAGAGCAGTTAGGTGGCTCCTGGCGAGGGAGGGCGCGACACTCCAGCAGAATGGACAAGTGGTATCCACCCAAAACCAATCTCCAGATCAACTGCCGGCATCCTTCCGAAGAATATTCGATGCAGACGGGAGGACTTGCTTCGCCAGCCATTTATTTATGATTGTCACCACTGACTTGACAAACTGGTTCGATGCGAATGTCCGCCTTAAAGGTGGTATTCTTGCCGAGGAAATGGGTCTGGGGAAGACGGTTGAGATGATCGGACTGATGTGCCTCAACCGCCGCTTGCTGTCTCCCGAAGAAACGTTTTCGGACCACCGCTCTGGAGGACTCAGACCATCAGGCGCAACGTTAATCATAACGCCGCCTGCAATTCTCGAGCAATGGGAGCAGGAGATCAGGACCCATGCACCCGGTCTCAGCGTCTTTCATTATACGGGAATTCAACGCCATCAAGCACTCTCGGATCAAGAGCTAGTGGAGATGATTGCTGATTACGATGTAGTACTCACCACCTACAATGTACTCGCACGAGAAATACACTATTCCGGCGATGCTCCGACGAGAAATTTGCGACACGAGAAAAGATTCGAACCAAGAAAGACGCCTCTCGTTCAAGTGTCCTGGTGGCGAGTTTGTCTCGATGAGGCTCAGATGATTGAGAGTGGAGTCAGCAATGCAGCCAAAGTTGCGCACCTGATCCCTCGTCAGAATGCCTGGGCTGTGACTGGAACACCGCTTCGCAAAGACATCAAAGACCTGCTCGGGCTGTTGCTTTTTCTCGATTATAAACCATTCTATGGTTTCATCTGGAATAGATTGTGCGTTGAGTTTAGGTCTGTGCTAGCGTGCATTGTTCAAAGCATTTCACTTCGGCACAGCAAAGACCACGTCCGCAATGAACTTCATCTGCCACCCCAGAAGCGAATCGTCATCACAATCCCCTTTACTGCGGTTGAGGAGCAACGTTACGGACAGCTGTATGAGCAGATGTGCGAGGATTGCGGCCTTGATCTGTCGGGGGCTCCGCTCAATGGGGACTGGAGTCCTGAGGACTCCGTAATCATCGAAAAAATGCGCAATTGGCTAGTCAAGCTTCGCCAGACCTGTCTCCATCCTGCCGGAAATCATCGTCGTGGACTGGGGCTCGCAAATGGACCCCTGCGATCCGTGGCCGAGGTTCTCGAAGTCATGATTGATCAGAATGACGTTCTCATTCACACAGAGGAGCGTTCTCGTCTCCTTTCCCAACTTCGGCGTGGGCAACTTCTGGAGAATTCTATGCACCGACAAAAGGCGCTCGATCTCTGGACAAGCTCGTTAGAGCGCGCTGGTGAGATTGTAAAGGAATGTCGGGACCGGCTGCACTCAGAATGGGTTAACAGTCAGTCCACTTCCGCCCAAATTAATCAGGAGACGAACTCGATCGATACCGCGAGCGACGATGAAAATGAAGAGAACGACAAGAACACTCGGGTGGGAGCCTTCCGCCAGAGGCTACGATCAGCCCTTGAGATTCAGCATATTTGTGTGTTTTTCACGGGAAATGCCTATTACCAAATCAAGACCGATCCGAAGCTTACCGACCCGGAGTCTGAAGAATTCAAATCTTTAGAAAAACGCGAGGAAGAAGCGTATGGAACGGCAAAGTTGATCCGCAAGGAGATGCTCAGGGATATCTCTGGTAAGGTAGGCCGTTTTATGAGAACGATCAGAGGAAAGTCCCAAACGCAGCAATTCGTGGACATCTCCAGGATGAAACCACAGCTCTACAATAAGGGGGTGGAGGCTCGTCGCGTCCTCGACAAGCTCGAAGACTTTTGCGGCGCTATGAACAAACATGCAGATCAGTACAATGAGTGGCGCGGTGCTATGGTCAAATTACTTTCGCAATCACTTATTGACCAGGAGGACGATAATGAACTCGAAGGCAATGAGTATGAAAAATCTACGAAACATCAAGACGAGATGTATGTCTACATGGAAGCATTACGTGCAATGTTTGCGGATCGCCATGACGCTTTGACTGGCCAGAAAAACGTGCTCATCGCCCATGAGGTCAAAAGTGGAATAATCCAAGCCCAAAAGGGGGAAGGGCCCTCCCCGAAGCTTTTTCTGGAGATGATGGGCACCCGTAGTAACATCAAGCCCGATCCTCAACTGGGCTCCCTTCGTGGCATTATCAGCGAGCTCCGAAGCCTGGCGACTTCTTTGGAGTGGCAAGCAGGTGGAGGGAGCTCGCGAGCTCAGGCCGAGTATGAGATTGTTTCATTGATTCTCCGGCATTCCAGCCAGATGGCTTCAGAGCAAGGGAAAATTGCATCTAATTTAGAGAGGGAAGTGGAATTGTTCCGAGATACGATGAACAATCGTCTCGAGTACTACCGCCAGCTGCAGCAGATATCCGACACTGTGGCCCCCTACGATGAAGAGAGTGCCGGTCAACCTTTGGACGAGACAGCTTTCGCTGCGAAGCTCAGACAAGAGGGGGTGAGTGACGAGAAAATTTCAGCCTTGAGGGCAAAGCGTCGCTATCTCATTCATCTCCGGGACGAATCGGGCTCAGATGACACCTCAAAGATTTGTGTCATATGCCAGTCAAGCTTTGAAGTCGGTGAGTGATTGGCTGATCTACGTCCCAGACATCTCAGTTGATGGGCCTGCTGATAAAAGCTTATTCTTAGGTGTTCTAACGGTCTGCGGCCACAAGTACTGCAAAGATTGCTTGCGCATGTGGTGGCACCAACATCGAACTTGCCCAACATGCAAAAAACGCTTGAAGGCCAATGACTTTTACCAGATTACATACAAGCCGCAGGAGTTTGTCGTTCAGGAAGAGAAATCCCCGGCGAAGATTGAAACCGATCGCTCACCAAAGAACTCCATCTATACTGACATTGGCTCGGGAACACTCAAAGAGATCAGAAACATCGATCTGGACAGTTCTTTCGGGACTAAGATTGACACCTTAGCACGTCACATCTTATGGCTCCGCGAACATGACCCTGGCGCGAAGTCTGTGGTTTTCTCCCAGTACAAAGGCTTTCTGGACGTTTTAGGCACTGCGTTCTTGCGGTTCAAGATTGGCTACAGCAGTGTTGATAGTAAGGATGGCATACAGCTATTCAAAAGCGATCCGTCGGTAAGATTTCCCTCGCGCTGCAAGTCACTTCGAAGCTTGACACTCATGACACTCGCAGATTGAGTGTTTCCTGCTGCACGCGAGAGCTCATTCGTCGGGGCTTAACCTGGTTAATGCAACCCACGTCTTCCTCTGCGAGCCCCTGATCAACACGGCAATTGAGCTTCAGGCCATTGCTCGAGTACATCGAATCGGGCAACATCTTCCCACTACTGTTTGGATGTACCTTGTCAACGATACCGTGGAGGAGTCCATCTACGACCTTTCCGTTTCACGTCGCCTAACCCACATTGCTCGCAAGGACAAAGGGACCGAAGACCAGGGATCCGGCAGACCTGATGACGAAGTAGTCAATAACCTGACCGAAGCAGCCATCGACTCTGCTAATTCTTTGGAGGTACAGGATGCAGCGCTCGCCAAGTTGATGGCTGGCGGTGCGTCCGGTGGGGAACTGGTCAAGAAAGACGATCTATGGCAATGCTTGTTTGGCAATTCCAACGATAAAAAGGCGGTTGGCGGTCACTCGGAGGGGGCCGAACGAGAGGTAGCCAGGTTCTTGAGGGGGGAAGCAGCTGAGCAGCGGAGGACAGATTCTCGAGGCCCATAGGCACTTATATATATCGACCTTTGGATTGAGGACGCACCATAGGATGATACTGGCCACCATTTTAATTTGTCATATGCAGGTGATTTGGGGAATACTATATAGCAATCGATATCACCGCAACTATGCTTGTTGTTGTTGTTGTTCTTGCTTAGCAGGGCGGTTCCTGTCCGGGATTGCCTGATTCGGACTAGGGTGACGCTGCTGACCTCAGCACGATGACTCAGCCGGACTATCCCGATCGGGATAGCAGCTCTGTTCTGGGGAGCCTCAGGACCGCAACTGACGTGGGTGTCTCTGCCTAGAGACAAGGCCGTGGGGTTCAAGCTACTACCAAGTGCCTACATACCGTTCTCTTCCAGTCCCATCGAACCCTTTCCTCCACCAATGTGTGAAAGCGTTCTCTTTCCTCTGTCTGCTCATTAAATCCTATCATGGCGTCGGAAACCACGTCAGCGAATGCCGAGGCCCGCGAGCTGAGCTTGATATCCAAAGTGGAACTCAGAATCGCTCTGGCAGAAACGGACGAGAAACTAAGTACATTGCTGAACACGTATTTGGCGCCTCTGCTGTTGAAGCTGGGCTCCGAGAGCCTTGCGGTGCGCAACAAAGTAATCGCAGTCTGCCAGCATATCAACACTAGAGCCCAGGCCCCATCAATCCGGCTGCCCGTGCCAGCTTTGTTGAAGCAATTTAAGGAGCAAAAGTCCACCCTAATCAGACATTTCGATTTGATCTATATCCAGCAAGGCTTAGATCGGTTGGGGTCCGACGCCCGGATCGAAATCTTGGTTCCATTGCTTCAGAGAGTCTCCGAGATTGGAACGTCGGTTGATCAAGCGGCCGTTGTGTTTAACCTCGTCCTTCGGCTGCTACCCTTGCTCAAACTGCCCGCGAAAGATAGTAAAGATGACGTGCAGTTGAAATCCCATCTTGGTCTCTCCGACCAGGATACGAACTTCCTCGCCTCCTGGTTTGGGAAATTACTCATTCTCGCCCCCGCAGAGAAGAATGCGCCTACTTGCCCGGGGCTTTCCCCCGCAGAATACACATTTCTAAACAAAGGCGTGCCTATGACAGAAACATGGAGTCAATCTTTGCCCGGTGGATTGAATTTGACTGAGACTAAAGCGACAGCGTTGAGGTTTCTTGCCAGTGGAGCCTTCACGCCTTCGGAGCGCTTCCTGCCGGCTTTGATTGCATCTGCAGATGTCAACACCCGCATATCAGACCTCGGGGAAGATCTTATGAAACGATTCATTCCGAACCTCGAGGATCCGGAAGTTGTGCAGCAGTTATATGACCTATATTTTGGAGCAGGCGCCCCCGACGGTGCGCTCCCAGCACGACCTACCTTGCAGATCAAAATTTTGATTTATCTGGGCAAATCGATACGGGCCACCGTGGATACCGATAGGGTCATCCGGTTGATTGAAGAGGGTCTCCTATCAGATGCCGCAAGGACTTCGCAAGGATTGCAAGCCTCGAAATTGCGCACACAAATTTTCACCTTCACCACATGGGTGGTGCGCATGGGCTCCTCGTCCGAACTCAAGCGCATGGCGCCCAATGTCATAGCGGGCCTCAAGGATTTTATCGAATCCCAAGGCTGGCCAAGTCCCGGTGCGAGTGGGCAGAGGCTCCCCGCAAGTGATCTAAGTCTACGAGGACTTGCCTACGAGAGTATCGGAGTCATGGTTCCCAAGGCGGATTTCCAAACGCAGAATGAAGATAACGCGATATCAGGATATGACCTCATCAAATGGCTCTTCACCTCCTTAAGCTGCGATGATTCCAGCTCTCAAATCTTCGTGAGCATTGAACAGGCCCTAGGAAGTATTCTCAATTCGTCAGTTGACAGCTGGGATAAACAATTCCAAGACAGCCTGCGACCGTTCCTTATTCATCAGATGGAGAACCACCCCGGGGAAGACGACTCAATGACGGGGTTCAAAATAATCAGAAGCCCTCAGTACGCGGCCGTGCGTTTCTCCAATAGGTTTCTACCATATAGCGATGTCGTCGCTCGTTGGATCGACCTCATTGCCGTCGCGCGAGGATCAGAGAGACACCACGAGGTCATAGAGGAAGGGAAAAAAGGCCTGCATCCTTACTGGTATCGGATTCTAAATACTGGTCAGGATAAGAAATGGTTTGCGTCGGTGACGGATGAATCGCGAGCTCTGTGGTTCAATTTCCCCAGTTTTTCCGAGGCAACGCGCTTTCTCTTTGGTTCGGCGGCCTTGGCCGGAGTGCCTGGTCTCTCTGCGGCTGAGATTCTTTCAGGACCCTACCAAAAGGCATTTGCCCCCGCTGTCACTTTTCTTCGTCAGATTCTACTTTGGGAATCTTTCTCAAAATCCAATATCACGACAAGCATCGAGCAAGATTGGGATGTGAAGCTTGATGTGCTACTTTCGACTGATGAGCAAGCGCGTTCGGCAGTAAGAAAGCACATACAGGCTTCTGACAAAGAAGCTGTTCTGCTATTCCTATCAAGCGCTTTGGCCGGTCTTATTGGCGAGAGCTCAGAAGGTCGGCTGCAATGCGGTGAGCAGTTCGTCAGTATCTGTTCGTTGGTCTCGAATGACTTGGTCGAGGCGCTGGTGCCACAAACGCTGTCATTGAAAGGTCCTCTTTACAGCAACGACCAGGATAGGCAAGATGTAGCCGCACATACTCTCGGGATTTTAGCCTCTCATCCCACGTTCAGTGAGAATGATCTAGCAGCTCTAGTGACCGAGCTCTCAAGTTCTGTCACCGTGTGGACGGATGCGATTGGTGAAGTCGCCCTCAAAAGTCGAGGAGCAATTCTTGCCCTATCATATGTCTTCAGCCGACTTGCGTTTCGCAATATGCGACACAGAATCCCTGAACAGCAGGCGATCCAGTTTATCCATATGATATTTGATATAATCGAGACTGCAAGGGACTCCCTTCTCCGACGATCTGCGCAGGTGGCTATTGGACAACTCGCTCTTTCTGGACTTTTACCACCTGCGATGCTTTCCGGCGACAGGTGGAAGTCAATCAAGAGCAAGATAGCGCTAGATGCAAAGGCCGAAAGCGAGGCCGCGATCATTTCCTTGGGACTATTGTCTCTGGCATTCTCTGGAAACGAGGAACTAGGGTCGTCGCTCCAAGAATCCCTGGATGTGCTTTATGGCTTGCACGAGATCCGCAGCCCCGAGGTCCACTTTACCGTTGGTGAGGCGCTGAGTGGCGCTGCTGTGGGATGGAGGTCTCGATCGTTGGCGACAGAATTTGATGTCGATGAACCAGCTCCTGTATCCGCGATCTCCGAAGCAGTCCTTGAAGCCATGTGCGACAAAATCATTGAAGACTGTGGCGCATCGAAGCCAGCTCTCCGAAAAGCATCTGCAATTTGGTTATTGTGCCTAGTGAAAAACTGTGGTCATATACAGGAAATGCAATCCCGATTGCGCAAGAGCCAGGTGACATTCTCAAGCCTGCTTGGGGATCGCGATGAGGTGGTGCAGGAAACTGGAGCTCAAGGCCTGAGCCTCGTTTATGAGATTGGGGACCAGGCGCTGAAGGATGACTTGGTGCGCGACCTGGTAGAGTCGTTCACAGCAAACAGCTCTAGCTTGAGGGGCGGAAGGGTCAATGAAGAAACCGAACTCTTTGAACCAGGATCTCTCCCTACCGGGGGCGGCTCTTCGGTCAATACATACAAGGACATCATGAATCTTGCCGCCGAAGCCGGCGACCCTTCGCTCGTGTATCGATTCATGTCGTTGGCTTCAAACAACGCCCTCTGGACCAACCGTGCAGCGTTCAGCAAGCTGGGAATCAGCAGCATCTTTTCTGATTCTAGTGCCAGTGGATATCTAGCGAGCAACCCCAAGATTTATCCGAAACTATTCCGCTACAGATTTGATCCCAATCCGAACGTGCAGCGGTCAATGAACACAATATGGCAAGCGCTGGTCAAAGAGCCAACAGAATTGATCAACACCCATTTCGACGAAATCATAGGAGATCTACTCAAAAGTATGATGGCGGGTCGAGAATGGCGAGTGCGACAGGCGAGCTGTGCTGCTATAGCGGACCTGCTTCAGGGGCGACGACCGGATAGCTACGCCAGGTACACGGACGAGATCTTCAGCAAGGCCTTTAAACTTGTAGACGACATCAAAGAGTCTGTTCGAGCGGCCGCTCTGAAGCTCTGCCAAACAATCACGAACGCGGTCCTCCGTACACTGGAAACAAGCGACTCGAACGTCAAAAGGTCGAGCAGCATGCTGGAAACCGTGATTCCCTTTTTGTTGAGCGATAAGGGCATGGAATCTGGCGTCCAGGAGGTCCAAGGATTTGCCATTGGGGCCTTGGTCCAAATGATAAAGAAAAGCCCCGGCGGGCCATTGCGTCCATTTGTGCCCCAAATCATGGAACAGTTTTTGAACTCTCTGAGCTCGCTGGAGCCGCAGGCAGTCAATTACGTCCATCTCAACGCCGAAAAATACGGATTGAGTGGTCAGGACATCGACAAAATGAGGCTCTCCAGCATTCGCACTTCTCCGATGATGGAGGTGATTGAACGATACCTCATAGATACGTTGGACGAAGTCAGTATGAAAGAGTTTGCAGCAAAACTCGAAGGTGTGCTTCGATCGGCCGTTGGTCTTCCCTCCAAGGTGGGCTGTAGCCGTGTTTTGGTTCTGCTCAGCATGAAGCCGGCTGTCTGCCGGCCCTATGCGGATCGCTTTATACAGCTTCTTGGGAAATACGTCGTCGACCGCAACGACACCGTCAGTGCGTCCTACTGTACGTCCATCGGCTACCTTCTACGACTGGCCTCCGATGATCGAATTCTAAAGACGATGGAGCATGCCAAGCGCCTGTATCTGAGTGCGGAAGACGCCAACCCGCGCGTCATTTCGGCGGAAATTCTGCACTCGGCGTCCAAGTTGTCCAACGATAAATTCATGGCTTTTGCTGCCACCGCGTTGCCTTTCATATTTGTCGCAAAGCATGATAGCGACGCTCATGTCAGAGAGGTCTTCGAGAAGACATGGCAAGACAACGTGGGTGGGAATCGCGCCGTATCGCTGTATCTCAAAGAAATCACCACTCTAGTTTTGGAAAACCTGGACTCGCCTCGCTGGGCTATCAAGCATACGGCAGCCCTGGGATTTGCAAATGCTATCATGGCACTAGACCCGGAGATTGACATCGCCACGGGCAAACATCTGTGGCCTGTCTTGGAGAAAGCAATGGCAGGGAAGACGTGGGAAGGGAAAGAAACCGTGTTAAAGGCATTTGTGAAGTTTTCGAGCCAGGCAGCGAAGCTCTGGTGCGAGGATCCTCAGCTGGGTGACACAATGAAGGTTTGTCGATCCCATCGCCACCCTTAATCCTCTCCTCATCATCTCGTTGCTTTGGAAGTATTTAACGAGAGTCTCTTTAGGCCATCGCAGTTCGAGAGGCGAAGCGCAAGAACCCCACCTATCGTCCGTACGCCCTTGTCGCCTTGGGCGGAGTCTCTCAGGCACGTCAAGATATCAACATGATGCCGGATGCCATGGGAATAACCACCCAAGTGGTAGAGGAACTAGAGGACGGGGAGGACTCGATGGACATTGATTCGGGGAGCGGACAAAAACCTAGGTATGCCGGATTGCCTCAAAGCCCTTTCTATACCCTCGACCTGAGCGGCCCTCTCGTTGCTAACATGCGCCAAGACAAAACATCGAGGATACGCTGGCGGCCTGTGTGAAATGTCTTCTACAATGCTTCAACCCAGAATCCCGCGGGTCTGTGGAAGGTGCGTTTCTGCATAGCCACTTCCTTCCAAATAGTTTCGCTGACCCAATTCTAAGGCACCATCGAGCACCTGCTACAAGTCAAAGCGCTGCTTCACAGAGTGGTTCGCGGTGGCGGTAGAACCGTGCAGGTCACATTGTATGAGCAGCTGCGTACGCTGTTCGCTCGGTTAGAAGCGAGGGCTTCAGCAAGTCCAGGAGAGCCATTGCATCTGCGCGAATTACGAGAACCGCTGGCGGTACTGGCCGGGGAGATGCTGTCCTGCGAGATAGACGTATCGGCCGAAGCCATCCGCATGGGGCGGGCGCAAGCCGCTGCCTCGTATGTTAGCTTCAGTCAGAAGACCGGACTTGAGGTCAATACAGCCCTTCCGGAACTGATCCGGGGCTGGAGGGGGGCGGAAAGATCTGGGCCGGTGCAGCAGATATTAGATCAGACATTGCGGGAACTCGTGTCCCCATGAGATCTAAGCGGGACTATCTGCGTTGCGGGGGGGGGAGAGAGGGAGAGGGAGAGGGAGAGGGAGAGGGACCGGCCCAAGTTCTGAGGAGGGGCGAAGCCGAGTCCAGCTGGCCGGAGGGGAAGCAAGAAAATCCAATCAAATGCAACGTGGCGATTGTCAGGAACAGTGGACGGGAAGGCGAGTGCGAGTCAGGCCAAAAGGGGGGGGGGGAGTCATTGGCTGCGCTCCCAGTGTCCAACACGTTTCAACGCGGAGTGGCCGGTGGGGGGAGATCGCGCACGATAGGGTGAAAAGGCCAGACCGGTCCAGGCGAGTCTGCGATGGGACGGCGTGACGGGAACAGACTAGCGCGGGTCTAGTCGGGACCTTAAAAGTAGTTAGTTCGAGGGTTAGCGAGTAAGCAATAAGCACCCGTCAGTCACCTGACCCGCCCTGGCCGCACGAAACCTGCCCACTCATCGCAGATGCAGTTCTGCAGTCATCGTGATGACTTGGGGGTCGTCGACAGGATCTCTCCAGATCCCTCTCTCCGTGAGCCCTCCGTGAGCCCTCCGTGAGGGTCCCCGGGATGGATCCCCGGAGATTTGTCACCGTCGGACCTCCCACATGGTTGGCATCTGTCGTACTCTGTACTAGCTCCTCCAGCCACTGCGGTGATTGTTCTGACCAGGCTAATCCCCTTCTTTCCTCGGAGGGGCAAACAAACACTGCACAGCCCAAATGGAAGTTGCCCTCGCCCTCCCGATTCGCCTGTGTAGCCTTGACCTTTGCGTGCCTTAAGGTACCTGACGACCGCCACCGGCGACAAGGGCGAGCTGAAGTTGTTGATGCGAACACCTTTTTTTTTTTTTTTATCTTTTTTCTTTTTGGCTCATGGTAGTAGAACCTTTACTTTATTTTTAATTATCTTTTCCCCCCCTTCGTGTGGTTCCCCCCTCCCTCTGCGGGAAACTGGGGTTGCCTCCGTACTTGTATTCGTATATAGAATTAATTCCTCCCCTATCTTTCGATCTCTTCTGATTCATATTGTGTTTTACCTTTCTTTCTCCCTCTCTTTTTTTTTTTTCTTTTTCTTTTTTTTTTTTTTTTTTTCTTTTCTTCCCTTATCTCTCCCCACTTGACGCTTGCCATCATCCCCTGCAGCTGCTAGAAATGTATATTTCACAGTCTTCGCATTAATTCCTTCCCGCCCACTATCGTCCTTTCATCCAGTTCCCTCTCAACTACGCCTCTACTTTGGGGGCCTATCTACTATCGTTAGGCAGCCACTCAGCTCGGAATATTTCACCATCTAGTAAGAGAGAATTTTGTATTGGCATGTCTTATGGTTGCTGGTGCTCAATGAGTCTACAGAGTGACCTCCGATCCGATCATGCCGGTCGTAAGCTTGGTCAAGTCAACGCGAAGGGGCAATTCGTCGAGGAAGCGACCTCTCTGGCTACCTATCATTGCCCCAAAAGATGATACGACCAGCTTCAGTCTCAATCTCCCCGATCCTGCGCGAACAAAGGTTTCTCGACCGCGAGTGCGATTTCCGCCGCGGTCAAGAACCGGATGCTGGTATGTTTCTTCCGCTAGTCGCAATGCGCTTATATATCCGACTCCTAATTGCCTTTTCTATCCCTTTAGGACTTGCAGAGTGAGCCAGTTATCTTTAAAATGACGTCGTTGAATGTCCTGTGGCATGCTAACCCGTATGTCTACAATGGAACAGAGCCGCAAAGGTGTGAGCTACCTTACAACAAAATCCTTCATTTCTCCCCCTCATTTCCTAAGGCAATGATTTAATCGACCAACAGTCAAATGTGATGAAAGCCATCCCCAATGCAATGTATGAAAAAAAAATTCCATCCGCTCGTCGTCAAGAAACACTCAAAGTCACCCACTAACTAGTGCGCTAGCAATGTACCCGACTGGGTCACATTTGCGACTATAGACCGCGCCTGTGCTTTCGCGATGACACGCGCCGGATCATGGACCGAATGTCAGAAGTTGAGATAGTTGGGAACGTAGTATGGGATCGTGAGTCTTAATTTCGCTCCTTATTGGCAGTCTTGTTCAATGCTCATGATTGCAATCCCAGCCGACACACCCCGGACTCATAAACGCCCCATAAACACTTCAGCTGATTGCTTGCCCTCGTTTGAGCTGCTCACCTCGGATGAGGATCGGGAAAGAAAAGCAGAATCTTCTGTTCCTGGCACGTATCATGTTATTGTGATTCCCGAGAGTTTCGCTCATCTCCCGGAGTACACCGAGGACACCCCTGAAACGTATGTAGGTGATCAGGTGTCATATTCTTTTTGCATCAACAGCGAAACGAGCCAATCATGCGTTGCAACCGCTGAAGTCGACCCCAACGTGGTGATTCTAAAGGTTTTTCGAGATACACGAAGACCATCACCCATCAACCGCAAATGCTCAGGACAGCCCCTGGAATCTGACTCTCGGGGCTCTCCAGTCCGGACTCCCTCCACCATGTCAAGCATTCAGGTCATGGCACATGACAATCAACAAGCACGTTCCCAACCCCAACGTCGTGACGATTTATTACTTCGACATTTCTGTGACGTGGTGTGGACGCACTTGATTCCCAAAATGGTCATGGTTGATTGTCCGGGCAGCAGTTATAGGTTAAGCCCGGAAGTTTTCGAGCAAGAAGCGGCTCGGTCTCCTCGTGTATGTGGAACCCAGTCTATATCTCTGCCTGCCTGATGGTCTAATTGATCACCCCTGCAGCTATACTACGCAATGCTAGCGATATCTGCACTTAGCTTGTCTCGTCAAGGAAGTGGTCACAGCGTGGACGCTCCACAGTACTACCACCGAGCATTGGCCGCCGTGCAAACCCACCCTTCTGGGGATGACGATCTGTTGTCGGATGAGGTTTTGCTTACGCATTTTTTGCTGCTTGTCTATGAGGTCAGGCCCAAAAGTTCTCTCGCGTTTGCCACTAGGAGTCGGATCTACTTTGAAGAGCAAACTGACTTAATGGTGTGTCCAGGTCGCGGCGGCGAATCTCGACGGGTTGCAAATTCAGTCTTACGTCACCTCCCGGCTGCTTCACATAGTGCATTCAAGGCAGTCTACCTATGGGATTGAAAGGTATCCCTTTATACTCTGGTGGGTTTGTTATATTGATGTGTACAACCTTCTCGGCGGCACGGGAACGGGGGAGTTTGCCAAAGCGGTCATCGAGGGTCACTTACTTCCCACCGCCGAATCCTTCTTCTGTCCTGTTTCTCCTGAGACGTCATGCTTGCTCTATCCCGAAGAGCGTGACAATCTATTCATGATTTCTCGCTTGCACCATGACACCCTGATGCTCGCCGTTCGGTCAGGACTCTTTGCGGCCGACATGAGAAAACATCAGGTGTCCTACCCGGACGCGCACATGGATGCACGACAGGGTGCCGAGGAGCTGCGTAACCAACTCCGTGGGCTTTGGTTTTCCCCTGAAATGCGCTTCTTGATGGACAACCGGCATCTCCTCCAAGAACGGCTGCAATATCTGCTGCAACAGGTAGGTTTAGGGCACTGGGTGAGAAGACCTGTGTGGTGGCTCGAACTGACGGTCTCCGGAATTAGACCCTAATACTATTTCACACCTCTTTCCTTTTCTCCTTTACCGGCCTCTGGCCGGAGCGCCTGTCAGCAGAAACACCAGCCGTCAAAAACGCGGAGGAGGAGATACAGCACCACGCCGCCATGGTGCTTGAGCTGGCCGAGGATCTGGGCCATGCGGCCCGAGAAAATCACCGGCACATCGTGATTTTCCCCGTCTTCCTAGCGGGCACTGCGGTGACATCCAGCAGGCTCAAGATACGGGCATGGGAATTGCTTTCAGGCCTGGAGGAAGAAGAGCTGGGGTACCATGCATCTTCAACCTGCCACCAATTGCAGTTGGAGTACGAGCGACAGATGCGGCAGACCCGGAGCGGGCCCGAAGAGGCCTCGTCGGTTGATTGGATTGAGCTGCTGGCGGGGCGCGGGAGTACGGAGGTCCATTACGCAGGAGGAGGACATGGCGGCGATGGATGGACGGGACGATGTGTAAATACCGAAGTTAACGTGTAGATGAATTCAAGGCACGGATCTCGCGGCCTCAGGCAGCGAGGGCGTGACTGGCCTCGTCTTTGGTTTTCCGCCGGCGGGCCGATCCTTTTCTGATCCACCATCCATCCTCTGTTCGTGAACACTGGACAGTCTCATCTCGATGTTCTCCAGGCAGCGAATTTCTCTCATTCGCCGCCAGTCTATCTGCCCCTCCAATGGTGGCGCCAAGTCAGTCGGGCTGCTGTCGAGCCAATGATGGCGGAGAAGCGTCTAGTACAGCAACAGGCCCGGCGGCTAATCGGGAGTGGGATGGGATGTGACGACGCGACGAGGGCCTGCCACTTCCGTCCTTCTTTTCCTTCTCCTGAACTCGACTGCGTGTCCTTCCGCGAAGGCTGAGGGTCCTTTCTCATTCTCCCTTCAGCTTCCTGTTCTGCGCTGCTTACCTCGGAACCCCGACCGACCCTTTCTGCGCATCAATTAGTTAGTAGACCCCCGCATCTGTTCGATTCAGTTGCGCCCCCTCTTATCACCGTGGCTCATCTTCCCGCCGAAGTATCGTCCTGGTTGCTGTCTTCGCCGTGATCTTTGTTTTCTTCTTCTCTTTCTTTCTCTGTTCTTTCTGCCCTTGCTAACTTAACCGTCTCCTTCGTCTCATACCAGGGCCAGGTTTCTTTCGGTTAGACCAGACCCTAAGATGGAATCTAGCGGAAGTCGTCAGGGCAGTCGTTCGCAGGAGGAATTGTTTCTAGGTAACCCCGCGGGGAGACCGCCTGTCGAATCACCCGTTATTGGACCGCTACGAATCAGCAAAAGAGAGACACCGTCACCCGCCCCGCAGAGTGCGCCTCTTCCTTACCCGGATGACCGGCTGAGGCACCAGCAAAGGCACAGTCCAAGCCCGACGGCCGATGGTGGGCGGCTTGGTGGCCCCCCAATGCCGATGAACAACATAGCGGCTATGCCGGCTGGTTCCGGCACACCAAGGCCCGACTACCCAGCAGCGTTGCGGCCGAGAGATGGTCGCGAGCCCAAGCAAATAACCCTGGCTGAGCGACGCGGGAATGTGCCAAAGCCGTTGCCAGAGTCCCCCGCAGGAGATGCACCCGATAGAGATGGATTGTTTGCCCGGAATTACCAACGAGCGCAAGTACCTCCACCTCCCATGAACGGGCACCGCGGTGATGGAGAGGCCCGTCAAGATTACCGACAGGGCTATTGGCCGCCTCCTCAGCCGGAGGCCTTGCCCGGACACGCAATAAGACCCGCGCCAGCACAGAATCTGCAGCCTCCGAACAACGCTATAAATCGGATCAGTTCGACAGCGTCAACCTCTACGACGCGCGCCCAGAGGGGATCGCCCCCACCGCCGGAAACTCCTATTGTCGAACCCGGTCAACAGCCGGGATCCGACATTGAAGCTCGGTATGCAGCCTCCGGCATCGCAGGCACGTCAACCCTGTCTGGATTACAGGCTCAGAGCGCGGCAGCCCAGAGAAGAGCAGAGCAGTATGCTGGCCAGCAACCGAGGACTCAGGCGCCATTTCAGAGGCCATGGACACCTACAGAACAGCCTGGAACCCAGCCACATGGACCGCCAACAGTCTACCAGGGCGCTGGGGTTATTTCCACGGAGAATCCCCCAGACCAATCCTACACACCTCAGCCAGTTTCAACTCCATCGCATGTCTCCTCAGCCCAGCAGCCTGCGAGAATCCCTCCTAATGCTCTGGAGCAAGACTTGGAACGAATGCGCATCAGTTCCTCCCCTCCCCCTGCTTACTCAAGTGTATCCGGATCGACTGCCGCCCAGGGATACTCGAGTGAAAAACAACGTGTAACTGCACCGACTGGCCAGTCGGCCCCGGCGGCAGTACATCCGGCAACATTGGCTCCCGAAAATGGCGCCGCGCCTTCTTCCTCAACGCAGGATCACCCTGCTTTTGCCAATGATCCGCGACAACAGCAGCCATCGGAACAATCACCGGCAAATGACATCGAGGATTCGCAGGGAGCGCAGAATAGTCATCAACCGACGATTCAGCAGACCCAGGTCAATGCATTGGCGACTCCTTCAGGCATCCCACCAGCATCACCCCCACCTCTTCCGGAGGGCTGGATTGCCCATTTAGACCCTAATTCGGGACAATATTACTACATTCACCTTCCTACGCAGTCAACCCAATGGGAATTCCCCAAGGGTCCCACGCCATTGAACCTAAACGAGACGCCATTGTCCCCGGTTGGAAGCGTTTACAGCAGTCATCCTCTATCTTCGCCCGGCTTGTCGGCGTTCAGCAAGCCACTGACCTCTCCTGGTCTCCCCATGACTCCCGGGTACGAGAGCCTGCAATCCCCCGTGGTAGCCGGGTTTACTGGTCCACCACCAAGTAGCGGTGTCGACTTGTATAAGGTAGCGCCGACCAACGGCGTATATTTTGGCCCGTATCTTCGCTATACGAATATGGACGTGGAGCGTGGGGTCTGGCTCGGCTCGATCCTGTTGGTCACCGATGCTGGACAGCCGCCGACAATTCATATGCACCAAAGCGTTGATCTTTCTCCCAATCCCCGGCAACTGAAGCCGCTTGCCATTGCCGTCCATCAGCGGTGGACTTTTTACAAGTACGATGTTGACTGTCACATGGACGACTCTGGTCCTGCAAAATGGACGTACGCGATTACGTCGCACCTGGGATGTACCCGCTACGAGTTTTTGGTGGCTGGGCGACATGAGACCAACTGGCGTTTGATCACGACTTCTGGAAATGACTTCTCACTCAATGTGAATGCAAACGAGCGATCACGCTTGGGAGGGGCGGGATTGATGTGGAAAGATATCATGCAGAAGCACAACGAGATCGGAGGCTTTCACGCACAACTATCTCTTGGAGGTCAGATCTATGCGGATCGAATGTGGAAAGAGATCCCATCCCTTAAGCAATGGCTTACGATCAAGGGCAAGGAAGCCAGGAAAACCGCGTCGTGGACTGCAGCCCACGAGGAGGATGTTTCTCATGCGTACTTCCATTACTATACCAGCCACTTTGACCAGCCGTACTTGAGGGAGTCATTCGCACAGATTCCCTACATCTGCCAAATCGATGACCACGACATGTAAGCACTTCTTTCTCTTTTCCTCCTCTTCCCCCCCCGAAGTTTCCTTTGCCCTCGTGCCCACATTATCATTGAACCTGACGCTAAGACCGGCCTCATAATTCAGATTTGATGGGTTCGGGTCCTATCCTGAGCACATGCAGTTCTCAAATATGTTCAAGAACATAGGTCGAATTGGAATAGAAATGTATCTCCTTTTTCAGCACCATACGACGTTAGAGTTGCTCCGCAATGTCAGTACAGACACCGATCTGTTCACCATCACTGGAACGGGCTGGCATTACGTCAAATATCTCGGGCCGGCGGTGGTCGTTGTCGGCCTCGATTGTCGATCAGAAAGGAACCCTCACCAGGTTGTGGCGGGGGCTACGTACCAGGGGATCTTCCCCAAGGTCGCAGTGCTACCGCCATCTGTACAGCATTGTTTGTGGATGATCTCGCTGCCTATCATCTACCCCCGACTGGAAACGGCCGAGCATATCGCCCATACGGTTGCTACCGGCAAACGGGCGGTCACGGGAGCCTATAATGTACTTGGGAAGGTAACCAGCTCCGTGGCCGGCGTGGTTGGCGCAAAGGATATGGTAGGCTCGGGGTTCGATTCGGTCAAGCGTGCTGTGGGTAAATCGGGGCTTATGGGCGGCATACTAAGCCCTTTTGGTGAATTTGACATGCTTGATGAGCTTCGAGATCAGTGGACGCATGAATCCAAGGTACCGAAATCCCCACTCCTCCGTGGAACCATCGTCAGTCTTGCTGATCTTCAGATACAGGATCTTGAGCGGACGTACTTCATCCGGACTCTGCAGGGAATCGCACATCAGAAGTCCCTGCGCATGACTTTCCTCTCCGGCGCGGTCAACGTCTGTGGTGCAGGCTTGGTGCACGACCCTGCCCATCCCTCCGACCATAAGACGATGTATCAAATCATTTCCTCGGCCGTGGTGAACAGTCCCCCTCCTTCGTACATCATCAAACTTCTCCACGGGAGCAACAAACCGCTTTACGTTCCTGCCAACGGCCACCGCTCCACACCTTCACAGCCCACCGACACGAAGGAGGATATGATGGAGATATTTCAATCTGACGTGACAGGGCAATCCCGAGAGCACCGGAAATTGATGGGCCGTCGAAATTATGCCGCCATAGTCGCCTACGATCCGGACGCCGTCAATCCGATGTACAACCAGCCCGCAGTCGGCTTTGGGGGCAGTAAGCTTAACCTGGCCGTGGATTTCATGGTCCAGGGTGAAGGCACGTATGGAACCGTGGTCAAGTACGGTCCAGTCATTGTTCCCAGTCTGGAGCACGGGAAATAAAAAGGTGTCGGCTTGGGACAATCGTCGTTTCGTTCTTCATCCTTATCCTACTTCTTCACATTCGAGTTTGGTTGGGTCCTGTTTCTGTCCTTTCTTTCTACCATTATTCTTTACCTGCATTCTTCACCTCTCTATCATCGAGGGTTTCACTTTCTCTGAATATACAATTGTTTGGGAGTGGGTATTATTAGGTAGCTAGTTTGGCTCCTCGTCCATGCCTTGAATATTGCCTCCAAGTATTTGGTCATCCCATCTTTTTTTTTTTTTTTTTTGGTCCACCCCGTTAAATTCCGTCTTAAAAGGCTAAGCGCGTTTGCCCCATGCATCTGACCTGTTTGACTAATGAAGCGACACCGCCAGTTTGAAGGCGACTTTATATACATACTTTGTATGTGCAGTCATGCAGGCTAGTGGAGAACGCCCTTGCATTCTTCCTGGAAATCTCGATCGACGTAATTCGTGCCTTGCTTCCATTATCTCTTCACATGATGCTGACCGCAAAAGAGAGCGGGACAATCTTGCTGGTCCTTTTACATCATAGCGCATGATACGTCTACCTGAGATGAGCATTTGGGTACGGAGTGAAAGTAGGTAGAAAGAGGTCTATTCCTTGCCAGTCGGATCCCCACCAGGAACACAAAGACCCAAGCGCCAGAAGTAGTCCCGGTGGGCGAAGAAAAGCTCCCATAACCGGTATCGAACGGGGATGCGATCCCACGGCCAGTGAAGCGGCGACTGTTGCTGTTCATGAAAACTAGGAGGCGCCACGGGCGGATTCGTCCAGTCCGGCGGCCGTCTGCTATCCGTGAGAAGGGACCTCACCTCACGCAGCGCGAATTCCTGCGCATCCCGTGATCCGGATATACACCGACTATCGTTGCGGCCCTTACAGAGAGACACGTCCGAAGCGGACGGCGACAGGCGCACTTTCGAGATAAAGATCTCCCCGGAGTGCATCTCGTACCCCCATTCCGCCAGAGGCAAGAGAGGCACGGGATCATGGACGTGTGTGACTCTGCGAAATCTCCACCGTCGATCATCAGAGCCCGGGTCGGCGTCGAGGAAGCCAAAGGTGGCGTCGAGGAAACGGACAAAGTCCCCGTTCCCGACCTTGGGCTCGCCAAAAGTGGTCACATGCGGGTCCCAGCCACGCAATCGCATCTCAAGTCCAGCCAGCGCGGCCACAGCCCCGCCCAGCGAGTGGCCGACCAGGACCAACTTGTATCCCGGGAATTGTTCTCTGGCGGCGGCGACATGCCGCAGAACGGTCGCGCGAGTGTTCCGCCACGAGGTCATGAACCCGGCATGGACCGTACAGTTCCGACAGCGCGCGGGCTGCTCGCCGCCGGGTCCATCTTCGACGTCGTAGGGAACGTAGACCTGCGGGTAGGCCGACAAGTCGACGATCGTGTTTGCCACGGAATATGTGCCGCGGAAAGCCACCACGATGCGTTTCGGGGAAGGGGGGTGGGAGAGCGCGACGTAGCCACAGGAGTCCGAGAGTAACGGGCCCGTATTCCACGACTAGCCGGAAGAACGCGAGGAAACCTTTTGAGTAAATCGTGCCAAGCTGGGGAGAGGCAACGGAGACAAGGACTTACGGCGATCAACTCGAAACCCCGGAGCTCATCGCAATGACTCAAGCATTCGAAGGGCTTCTGAATCCCCGTGCTCCCAACGCAGTAGGATACATCGACTATACGGGCGAGTTCTTCCAGGGCTGCAAACACGGTGGGGGAGACGACGCGATCGAATCCGGCGGGTTCATCATGAGCCGGAGTCTCTTTAGTCTCTGGAAGGAGTAGACTGGAGCGACAAAGGTAAGGGAAATATGCCAAAGCGAGGAAGAGAGTCAAGAAGTGGTCAAAGGCCATGGTTGTAGTATACGCCAAGACCTTTCGTCCGCATTGTGGACATTGCTGTACTTTATTGTAGTTCAGTGCATGTCTTGGGGAAAGGGGCTTGTGATGTGCAAGTTGCACGCGTGACGATGTTGGGGAAGCAAATCCGGGGAAATTGAGAATTTTACAGAAATTTACTCCGCGGTCGGAGGACAGTACGGTACGTATGTGTGTTTTGTAACGTATCATACCGGTGTGGATTTTATACCTGGTAATATATACACGGTCTCGTTGTGATACGGTATGGTATGTATAGTACTAACTACAGGAGGTGAACTGATCGCCGTTGACTCGGTACTACTCCGGACTCTACTCTAGATGGTCCAGACAACCACACGCCCGTCGACTCCGCTAGCTGGATTTCAACAGTTAGCCCAGATCATCACTTCCTGGCAAAATGAGGTGGGGGATGGAACTTACTGCTAAACTGTCGAACGGCTCCGCCGTCTTGTTCGTAGACCCTCACCGTGCTAATGGTATTCTGGTGAACCGATTTGAGCTGCGTGTCAACCTGGGCTTGTCCCTTGAGATCCATCTGACGAAACATGTTCAGGGCAGACTCCTCCCGAACACTGCCGGCGCCGGATCCTGCTTTGTTTTCAAGTGTTCCAACAAGCTGCCATCCACTCTCATTGCCGCGGAAACGGTACGGCTCGCAATCCTGGCATCAGTGACGTTAGTAGGTGTGCAAAGGTCATGATCAACTTGCTGGGGGTGGCTTACATGGCCTGCAGCAATGATTTCATCCTCCCCATTCCAGATCAAACTGTTGAATGGCAAGAGGCGGGTGGTGACATTCAACATCGCTCGAGGGGGTTGCTCCGGTGCACTTGGGTAAACAACCGTAACGCTGCTGTCGTGGCCAGTGAATGCAAGCGCATCTCCACTCGGGGAAAAGCACACCCCATGAATCCACCCCGCGGAGTCATTCAGAAATTCTCCGCAGATGGTGTTGAATGGGAGACGCTCTCCCCACGCGCTCGGTTCGGGACGCGTGTCAACACCCTTGATGTAACTCGAAAGAACCCGGGCGTGGGAGTCCGTAGATCCAGCAGCCAGCAAAACGGAGTTCGGGTGCCAAGCCAGTGTCGTGATGGTGCTTCGAATGGGTTTCTTCAGGTGCTTTGAAATCCACCAGTCGTTTTCTTCCTCGAAATAGCATACCGCGATCACGCGGGCCCCCGATCCGACGGCGAATTTTTGTTCGGATGGAGACCACCGGACAAAGGTCGCGGCCCGATTGATTCGAAGAAGGACCAGGGTCGGTTTCCAGCCCGAATCCGTTCGTTCCCAAACGTAAGCGTTACGGTCTGTACTCATGAGGTAAGCTAGGCGGCGGCGCTTTGGAGGTCGGCGTGAAACTAACCCTGCGAGCAAGTAACGATACGGCCACTGTTAGGGGCGATGTCAACGCCCGTAACAATCTTCTCATGACCCTTCAGCTCGTCGGTCAATGAAAACTTGTTACCTCCTCTCTGATAGAGCTCCACATTGCTGTCCCGCGCAACCGCAAGGGTGTTCTTATCAGACGAAAATGAATGGTCGGCGATTGGGTTGTGAAATAGATGGTGGACTTCTGGAGCAGGCATTGTAATGCAATCGGTAGGAGCAGCTCTCTACTACCGTTCAGGGGGGGAACAAGGGTGGTGGAGGGGGCAGTGGTTGCAAGGCTTCTTTATCGCAGCGTAGATGCTGAACGGGGGGAAGTTCAAGGCCGCGACCATCGATGACGCGGGCGTGCTTATATAATAGATCACGTGATCCATTGTCGGTCACGGGCCATTAGCAGAAGCGCAACGCGAGGGCGCCGAGAAGCTCCATTCGAGCCGGGGAGAAAACGCTTGCTACGCTCGACTCCTGACCTCTACCTCCTCCCCATAGCAGCAATGTCTCCAACAACCACTCTTACAACGCGCAGAGGTACGCAGGGTAAACCTGCTACCTCCGGGGTTCCGAATCAAACGTCAGTTTTCCATTCTTTCCTCGGCCGGAGTGGAGCAAAAAAAAAACCTCCCCCCCCCCCCCCCCCCCCCAAAGTATGGGAGATTCTGATGGACTCTTAGGCTATACTGTACCAACCTTCCGGACAAGCTGCGCAAACTTGACTTGCGGCTCTCGCTATACACCCTGTTCTCCACCTACGGAACCGTTTTGGACGTGGTGGCTATGAAGACCAAGAAGATGCGCGGTCAGGCCCATATCGTGTTCAAGGATGTCCAAGCTAGCACACAAGCAATGCGTGCGCTTCAGGGGTTTGAGTTTTTTGGCAAGCAAATGGTAAGGTCTACAAGTTGGTTCTGGTATATGGTTTCAATTTTCATCGCGATCATCTACTGATTTTGAGGCTACAGAAAATTGTTTATGCGAAAGGCACTTCGGATGTTATTGCCAGACTCCGCGGAACATATAGTATGGCACCAGCGGGTGCTGCAGCTCAGCCTGGGGTCGCATCTTCAGATTTGCAAAGGTCGATCTTCAGCGGACCTCCCGGGTCGGCAGCGCTACCGCCGAAATCCACCGGGGAGGTTAACGGTGATCCCCTGGCAACCCAAGGAGTCAAGCGGCCTCGCGAGGAGGAAAGTGACGGAGGGGAAGCACCGATGGATGAGGACAGCGATGTGCCGATGGAAGCCTCATCCGATGAAGACTAGGCCATCCGAGTCATGATGATCAACGAGCCGAAGTAGCAACGGGAAAGGGGTGGGAGAGAACTGGAGGAGGGAGAGGGGCCCCTCCCTAAGATGGTCTGCTTCAATCACATCACTTAATGCTATGCCCAGGAATTTGTGCTTGCTCATTGCTCTCCATTCCTAAAGAGCTCACTTGGCAAATGGAGACCGAGGCGATTGCCTATCAGCCCAAACCAGATGACGAGGTACGTCTCGGGTGTAACGTCTTGATGCCCCGCGATCTGTCTCATAGCGTCTGCGGTGTTGCATGGATGAACGAAGAAAACCGGGGTCTCGGACTGTGGGTGGTACTACGAAAGCATGAGCTCTAACACGAGGGAAAGAAGGAAAGCGATCTCGGGGATTTGTCCGCTGCACCTACGCCGATACTAATACCGCCCATGACCCCGACGTCTTGGAGCTCCTTTCTGTACTGGTCCGCTACGAGGTAATGGTAGACTGCGTCTATCTCCATCGGACCGAGATGGGTACCTCGCCGCAACATGAAGTATAGAACGGGGACTTGGTACGTGGGGGAAAGGAGAATCTCATAATCCACCTGGAGTACGGTGTTGGAGTCGGGCGGACGAATGAGGGCCTCCTGCGGATTGGATCATTAATTATCAGAAGATAGTGTGCGTGTGCAATGAAATGGGAAACAAGTCACGGACTGGATCCTGCTCGGTAGCCTCCAATTGCGTATCCTCGGGACCTACGGAGGGGACGGCGTCGACATGACGCATCGCGACATGGTCCAGGTTCCGCGAGATGTCGAGAACCGGACCAAGTGGCTACAGCAGTCGAGCGGGTTAGGAGGGACATGGGGTGCCAAAAAGAGCCAGATCGGACGGGGGATACCTGTCGTGTCAGCCGGATGGACGACCATCCCACCGCCGAGGGGCCGACCGCGTGAACGCGGGCCAGCAATGCGCGACAGGCGCCATGGAATTCGTCTGGCGACAGGAAGGGAAAGGCCGCCATGCGACGGGGCGAAGACGCGGTGTACATTCAGCAAGATTTTGACCGACAGGACATTAGTTACTATTATTGAATGATTTGACGCTGACTCCCGCCGCACACCGATCCGGTTGGCCCCACGGCAGCCGGGAAACCCTAAGCCGTTCTCGGATGGCGAAATCGTTTGCAGCGAGGTAGTCCGGAGATGTAGGGTAGGGGTAGAGGAGAGAGGAGAGAGTTGGAAGGAGGAGGAAGGAGGAAGGAGGAAGGAGTTCCGTCAAAGAGGTACCTACCTGTACCTACCTTAAAAGACCATGACGCCGCCAATACCGAACGGAGTATCGTAGTATTCATTGTACAGTACACGTATTTGGGTACAGGACCGAGGTACCTGAGCGTACAGGGAGGTACCTACCACGATACCTTAACTCCGTGGTGCCGTAGGTACCTCGTAGATGGAGGTCCCTTCCACCGTACAACCTCGCCGGCCAAGTTGATCGATTCATCTCTCGCTTTTTTCGGTCTTCCGGCCTGTCTTTCTGCCTCCACCGTCTCGCTCTCGCTCTTTCAGCTCGGGGATCGTCTGTCCTCTCCACTGCCTTCTCATTTCCTTCTTGGGCGTCTCGACCTGCATAAACTATGCAACGCTCGATCTGTCCGCATTCGGCCTTGATGTGGTGGTTATCCACCCGGATGGTTGTTTTGCATGGCCCATAGACCACAATGGCCTTAGGTTGTCAATCGGGTTTCCATCTTAACCTTCCTCGTCCTCCGACCGCAGTCGGTCTCCTCCCGTCCCAATTCCGTTGTATCTGCATCGAGAACGCATTCGTCATTGTGGTGTCTTGCGCATCTTCTGCCAATGCATTGGGTCTGCTGGCGGTTACTCCCTCTCCCTCCCCCCCCCCTCCCCTGGTCCTTCACTTCTCTTATGTAGTTGATGCTTCCCGTTGCTCATCTCTGTGTTACCTTTAGCCCGATCTTGCATCTTGTTGTGGCATTCCTTGTCGAGCAATTGGTCTTGGGGTGTCGCCGCCGCTGCTGCTGCCGTCCGGATTTCGTCCTTGTGGGTAAAATCCAAATTCACAATCCTTTTTCTATCCCCTTGTGTCCTTTTTTCTATCCGTTCCTTTCTCTCTCGCTCCCTTCGTCGAGGGTGGCTTCCCTTTAGTCTGGGATCTTTATTTGGTTGCTATATCGCTGTCCGGGTCACAAAGACGGTACCCTACGTCAAATGCTGTTTGGCTGTTAGCACTGCTGGGGAAACGTCCATGAGCGGCCTGTGGTGGTCTTAAGGTCTTGCTCTGTGCTTGAACTTCCAAACAGCTACCAAGTCATGGGAAGTTTCTTCTCTATTCCAAGTAGAGACAAGCGCCGCCGCTCAAACCGGCTCTCGAAACCGCCTGCTAACAACCAACCCGCTTCGCTCTCGGCCAATTCGCCTCGACAACCTTCCAATCCTTGCTCTCCGGTAGCATCCACTTGGCAAAATCCGTGGACTGGAGCTTCTATCCCGGTTGCCTCCTCTGATTCAGAACCCAATGGGCGAAGGTCGCACTCGTTTGCTTCTGTCTCGTTGCAGTCCGATCCGCCTTGGATAGCTGCCAGCAAGACAAAACGGAGCAACTCCACTGCCAAAGAGTCAAGCGATATTCGCATCCACTCGCCAACGTCCAGTCTCGGTACCTCTGGCACCCTATCGCGGCGAGCTTCGTTTCAACCCTCTCGGCAACCCACCTTCCAACCGGCATTCGTGCCGAATGAGCTTCATTCACCGTGGCCTTCACCAGGCAAACCCAGAAGATCCTACTCGGTGCAATCGCCGCCGCGCAGAGCGAACAGTACGGTGAACGCAAGCAGTATCGAAGAAGCAACTTCTTCCAATACCCACTTCCTCGTTGACAGCCAGGGATTTTCTCTGATCCGCCGGCGCTCCCTCTTAACGCGGCCCGGAATTGCTACGAGACGATCAACGAAAGATGCTGCTCGGCGATGCCCTTCCCCAATCAAGCAAGAACCGGCGGTCATGTCTACTACCGTGAATGAAGTCTCTCACCCGTTGCAGTGGCATCCGTCAAGACGACAGGATACTGACTGGAGACATCCGCTTTCACTTTCCCAGCTACGTCCCCCAACGCCAAATGACTTTGAGTATACACATCTGGGGGCTCTCAAGCTAGGGTCACTGCGCGTAGTGAATGGCTCCACATCTCCGTGCCCCAGCGACCGATCTCGGCGTAATAGGCCTCGCAGTCAGACTCCAGACGTCTGTCCCGACAATACGTTTCATGTGGGGCCAAGCAATGCTCCAGGGGGGCAGCGTCACTGCGCAAAACCAGCCGGATTTGTTTCAAACAGTGCGGACGCTCCAAGAGACTGCCACAATGATATAGTTTGTGGTGCCAATAATTCTGGGTCTGTTAGCAGTCATCACAGTGACGGGGGCTTACAGACAGGTGATAGACCGCCGTTCGGTCTTCAGTGTTTGACAAATCGAAGCGAGAGTATTCCATCGAATCTCGTGGTACTTGCTCACTCACTGTCTCACGATGGGGGATTCGACGAGCCACCAGTAAGCCGCCTTTCATATGAAGAACCGCCAACAAGCGCATCCCCTGCGTTCGGTGAAAAAGAGCATGGAGACGGATGGGGCTTTGCATCCGATAATCAAAAAAACTTGACTGCTCGCTTTGATAAAGCCGTCGATGGGGAAGTCTTGCGGTCCAGGCAGTCAGTGGCACACAAGAAAGTCGACAGCGGCTACAGTTCCGCGGCATCAATTCGGTCTCTTCAGGCCAGTCGCGCCGGATCATCGTTAGACTCTCAGACGTTCATACAACGACAGGCACTCAAATATCGCAGGTTTACTCTTGGAGGGAACGCCAGAGACGCCACTGGACGAGATGCAGAGGAATCTTTTAGCTTCGGAAACCAGTGTCCTGCGCGCCTCCGTCCGGGGCTTCAAGACCCCGAGATGAAATATAGACCTGGGACGAGAGGCTGGTCGACCTCCATGTGCCACGAATCGCCGCTGAAACCATTGAATGGGCGAGTACGGAGCCTATCCTACACTGGCCCACGATCCTCAACCCGTGTGGAATCTCTTCCCCGATACTGCACACATCTACGCAGTCAAGAATCTGCTTCCACTGGAATGACGGCTGCGCTCAAAAGTCAAAATGCTACAAAATTGGACATATCAGTGGCAGCGCTGTGCCGAGCGCCTCTGGGCGGCACCTTAGGGTATGGTTTAGATCACGGTCGGGGAAGAAACTCATCTACGGGGCCTGAGACTCCCAACAAAATCATCGCTGGTTTCGAATCTCCATCACGACACCCCGCTGTGGCTAGAACCGGCAGAGCAGCGTCTGAGGACCAGGGTGTCGAACACCCGCGGTTCTACGACCAGGCTAGCAAACTTCGGTGCACGGATTCAGCGCCTGGAACGAACCCTGCGATAATAACTCAAAGCACTTCGCAATCAGCTAGGGTCGAATGTCACGTTGACACTCCTCGGGGTAGGCCAAGGTGTCGGAGTATTGAATATCAACGTCGCAGGTTGTCCAAGCAGCGAAAAGGTCCAAACACGTACTATGCCACCGCTTCTCCGTTTGCCTCTCGCGGATAAGCTATGAGATATATAGTAGCTGGTATGCGCATTTCTTGCCTGGCTTTGTCACTCTTTCCCTTCTTTTCTTTTCTGCTGTCTATGTATGATTCCTCTTTCTCTCGTTATCCCATACATCCTGGCGTTCGGATATCGCGCAAGTTATTGAGACCGGGTGTTTGGTGCCACTGTGGATATACCCTTTTCGATGACTCGATGGTTTCCATCTTCTATCGTTAAATATGCTATACATTTTCCTTTGTAAGGTATATATATATATTTCTCCTTAAAAAAAAGTTCAAAGACTCAAAACAAATCATGTCGATGCTTTACATTATAATCGATTTAGAAGAAATGGGATTAGTTCACGATACATCCATTGCATTACAAAGACCTAGATGATCATATCATACCGAGACATTTTCACCGTGTGACGTTAGACGATCGAGTCAAATTAAAACGCACTGATAGCCGTTAGAAGAAGGAATAATCGAGGCAATAAAAGAGGTTGTAGAATTCATTAGTGCTGATATAATACATTATTCGTGTATGCAGACTGTCAGAGAACAAACAGGGAAAAGTAGAGAAGAGAGAAAAAGAAGCGGGAAACGTAAACCCCAACTGATCCAAGCCGGTCGTGAATCGAAAAGCCTAGGACAAGATATAATCAAAGCAGGTCTTCCTCCCTTGCTATTTGACAGACTAGCCACACAGGGTTTATTCGACCCGGATCTTCTTCAGTTTAGGAGCGGCCTCCTTGGGCAGAATAACGGAAATGATTCCGTTTCTCAAACTCGCTCTGACTGCGTCTTGATCCACCCTAGTTGGGAATGAGAATGTTCGATGGAATTGACCAAGAGAGCGCTCCAACGCCCAGTATTTGAAGGCGGAGCCAGACCTCCTCGGTGCGGTCGCCGGATGAGAAGCAGATGCTGATGATTCACGAGTTGCCGTCGCGCTTGCTTCATCATCGTCGTCTTCGACCGTGGGCTGAAGAGATTTGCTGGAGGAAGTGTCATCGGTGCGTTCATCGACAGCCTCACTGGCGTCGGACGCCGTGTCATTGTATTGCCGCTCGACTCGACCCTTGATGACGATGGTATGGGGATCGGTGAATTCAATATCGAGATTGCTCTGCTCGACGCCAGGCAGTTCGCCGTCCAGATGATAGCTGCCGTCCAGCTCGTAGACGTCGAAACGAGGGCTGAACGAGGGGGCAGGAGTCACCCTTTGTCTTGGGCTCTTGGACCGGTGCACATCGTAGTCATCAAGCAGGTGGAACAACGGCGTGAAGCCAGAAGAAGAGCATGGGAAGAAAGTCATGGCGCAGACGCAACGAAGGCCGTGAGAATCTGGCGAGAAGGTATATCGACGAGGATGTACTACAAAGCCAAGGAGGCAGTAGTGAAGGGGGTTTTTGATTTGGAGATAGAAGCCCAGTCAAGGAGCATGTTCATTCTTTTATAAGGACAGCATTCTAGTCTGGCCGAGGATGGCATTGCGCCGATGCCGTCAGCGGGCGAAAGCGCTGGGTGGTACTCGATCGTGCTGGGCGTGTTCGAGGAGCTTCGACGCCGGTGACGCTTAGATAAGCCCGACTGCGGAAGCTTCCCGAACGTCCGCGTCGATTACTGAATGTTCCGGATGCCGGGAGACGAATACATCTCAACCTGGCGGTGTCCTTTGCGCAGCAGGTACTCGATCGCGTTGAAGTCCTTTTTATTGACGGACCGATGCTTGCGGAACTCCGCCCTGCAGCCCGGTTCCCTTTAGCACTCGGGGACCTCGTCGCAGTCGGGGGAAACGGCGGACCTACCTGGCATAAGCCTGGAAGTTCCCTCGCGTGTCCTGGAAGAGTGGTTTAGGTCGCGAGGCCAGGTCGGACGATTGGCCGGAAACTACTCACCGTGGGCTTCTTCTGGATCTCGCGAAGACATCTCCGGTAGAGGGACAGGACCTCTCTCTGGAGACCCGACAATCGAGCCATGTCGGGGATGGAAGGAGTTGGGTTGGAGGAGGTCAGAGATTCCGGCCGGTGCCGATCTTGCGGGGAAGTAAGGAAAAGGCGGCGACGGCTCTGGCGGCAGTAAGTGACTATCGCATCATCCCAGCAACAACCACCTCCTTCCCAGTAATCAAGGCATCATGCCGGAATTCTCGGTAGGTCGTACTCACTGGCTTCCTCTCCACCCCAGACTGCCCCCCAGGCTCATCAAGTTCTTTGGGACCTCGGTTCAACGCAGCGTCTCATCCGTTTCCTGGCCCGAGATGGCCATACCTACTACGGCGATGCCATCCTGGCCCCTGGGGCTGTCGACCTGACCGGCGTGACCAAGGCCAGGGTGATCCAAGGTGACATCTTTGGTCGGCATCGTGTCACAGACCAAATCGCCGAAGTAGGAGCATTCTTGGCACCATTGGCAAGAGCGGATATTGGCACGGTTCGCTGTCTGGGGCTGAACTACGAGCAGCACGCAAAGGAGTCTAACCTGCCCACGCCCAAGTACCCCGTTCTCTTCTACAAACCAGTGACGGCTATCTCAGGGCCGACCGATGACATTCCAATCCCTCCCATGGCACAAGAAGGCGAAGGCCTGGATTATGAATGCGAGCTGGTTGTCGTGATCGGCAAGGAGGCCAAAGACGTCCCGGAGAACCAAGCCCTAGATTATGTTCTCGGGTATTCCGTCGGCAACGATGTTTCCCATCGGGATTGGCAGATTAAACGCGGCGGAGGCCAGTGGGCATTGGGAAAGGGCTTCGATGGCTGGGCACCTTTCGGTCCCGGCATTGTGTCCTCCCGCCTGATCCGCGATCCGAATGCTTTGCATATCTCGACGAAGCTCAATGGCCATACGGTCCAGTCTTCGTCAACTAAGGATATGATCTTTAGTGTGGCAAGAACGGTTTCGTTTTTGTCGCAAGGCACCACCCTGTTGCCAGGCGATTTGATCTTTACCGGAACGTGAGTTGATCCTTGTCGTCGCCCCAACTACGACTTCTATACTTCTTCGGGGAGGGACTGACGATGACGATCTTGCTCAAGTCCCCAAGGTGTGGGAATGGGCCGAAAACCAGCACTTTGGCTCAAGGACGGTGATCATGTGGAAGTGTCTCTCGAGAAAGTGGGATCGTGTTCGAACCAGGTAGTCTTCGACCGTATCACCCCAAAGCTTTGAACATCTCATAGGATAAAATTGCTATATATGGCTTCAAAGCACGGGTGATATCGTAGGCAGGAGTCCCTCCCCCCCTCCCCCCCTCCTTGCTTCCCCGTGCGATATGATCGCTTATATAACGTTGAGATAGTGCAACAGTAGCAAATAAAGCATGTAATTTGTCCCTTGTTAATAAGAATCCTACCGCTAGACACAAATGACTGAAACCTAGTTGACCTGAGCTCCGTATCCCTTGATGCTTTCGGCGAATGCCCAGCTCTGAGCTTCAATTTTCTGGTCTTCCTGCATCTCAACACCGTCCCCAGTTATCACTGCAAGGGAGTACTTATCGATACTCCGAGCATCGCGGTACCAGAGGACCTTGAGACAGTCCCTCAGTGCTGCCACTGCCTCGTCTTTGCTGATCTCTTCTGTGGGTCTCTCTTCGGGGAACAGTCGACGAAGGATCGGAACGGCGAGATGAGCACCAAACCCAGTAGCAAGGTGCGGCGCTGAGAATGTAGTTCCGAGCAGGTCAGCTGAGCTGAGGAACGGCTTCTTGTCGCCATCGAATCCGGCCACAAGGATGTGGTTCCAGAGCGGGTTGAACTCGGAGCGGCGCTTGTAAAACACCTTGGACAGGTAAGTATGGAGGTTCTTAGCGTTGAGCATATTTCCATGAGTCGAATAGTTCTCCCTGATGTCGATTGACTCTAGGAGACGGTCGATGTACTGCATGTCGGACACATCACCGCTGAATCCAACGATGGCCGAGTCGCCGAACACCCGGAGACGTTTCACATCGGAAAATCGAGCAAGAGATCCGTACGAGGCTATTAGGATTCCAGACATGTTAGCTTTGCAAAGTGGAGGGTTCGACACGAAACGCGCACCTAAGTTATCAGCAGCGATCGCAACGCCGCCATTGAATTTGACCGCGATCACTGACGTCCCGGTCACGGCAGGCGACTGGGTATGAGTCTTGGGGCCAGTCGTTTGTAGGTATGATGGGTTATACGGCCCATAGATGTCATCCCTGGGCTTGTGACAGAGTATTAGTTAGGCACGACGCATGTATATATATACGTGGTGATCATCTTACTCGACCCCAAACTTCAGGATAGTGATTCATGATGGAGAGTGCGACTGAGGTGGATGGCGCGGGATGTTGAATAGACCGTTGAGTACCAGACCGGTGAAGAATCCAAGGCGAGTGAAATCCTCGATGATATAAGGGCCTCGGGGAATGGGAGAGTGGAATGGAATGATTGGGGTTCAGTGTAAAGTAAGTACGGAGGAGTAAGTACGTAGATAGTTCTTGCTAGGCAGTTGGAGCTGACGGAGCTCTGGTTACGTTAGTCACCCGCTCTAGCGATCCGCGCCTATTGGAGCTACTTATTAATGGGGGCATTCCGCGTTTAGCGAGGAGTTGACGCTATGCTTCCTTCTTCCCCTTCCCCAAATCTGGCCCTGCTCGAACCGCGGTTTCTACGTAGTACGGCCATGGTGGGTGACGATGGTAGAGCATGATGCTGTTGCCAACGAGCTATTTACGCCGGATACTTCACAAACTGCAGCTTCCGGTCAAGTCTGGGAGCCCAGAAATTACTAGATCCTTCTTTCCTCTCACGGGTTTGGTTTTGATATTTTCTTGACGCCAGGAGCGGTCGCTGACACAAAATCAATCGTTTCTCTCTTGCCTGGAAGCTTTCGCTCCTCCAAGTTGCTGTGGATCTCCTTCTGTGCCTTCAACAGCTCTTCCTTGAACCCCCAGCTTGGAAGACTAGCCATGTCCCACAAATCCCGGGGCAGCGCAGTGTGATATTGCATCTCCTCGCTGAGACCCGCGTGGTCCATCAGCTTTTTCAGTAAACTCGGGTTCTTTAGCGAGGTTGAGCTAGCCAGCTTTTCATTGAAGTGGACCTCTTGTTTCTTCAATGCCAGAAAGTGGGCAAATTTCGCATTTGCAGTTGGACTGGGAGATCCAGGGGGTGATAGTGGGATATCCAGACTTGGAACCGGAGGAAGTGTTAAATCATGAACCAAGTTGCGCGATGCTGAGTATGGGGAGGACTGCCCATCCAAAGAGCGGGTATTCGAGGGCTGAACCTCTTGATGGGATGGACCGAGAACTGGCCCCCGAGGATTTGGATCTGCGGTGATTACCGGTGCGAGTTCGGTATCTGGCGTCGACTGCGCTGGAATATATGGTCAGCTATACGCCCGAGTCATACAGCCTGATTAACTCTACCGTTATCTTCGGTGGGGTTGGGGTTTGCACTAGAACCATGTTCTAAGTCTCGCTGGAGAAGAAGAGAGAAATTATGAATCAGCTCGTATTACCCCAGCAAACGTTTAACATTGTATACCTTTGGCAACGGAGTGCGCCTCGTATCAACTTCATCGTCGCTGCTACTGTCGTATGCTGCGAGGCCTAGCATAATGGTCAATGATGATGCCGGCGCGACCGTGCAGTGAGAGCTTCGCCTGCGCGATAATGAACGAAGTCCCCAGCGGGTCAATCGTAAGACAGAGAGGAAAGAATCCCGATCAACCAGCAAGCTCCATGAGCTGCCGGGTCGTCGCTGCTCCGGTCGAAAGGCGGAAGCTTTTGGATGACATAAGCGACAGGCAGCTACGGGTCCGCGTCAGGGACAGCAATAGCTCCATTAACGCAACTAACCCGTTGACGCAGAACATCATCCTCATTGCACACTCACGAAATACCATCCTGGTTCCCTCGCAAAGAGCATTCATCTTGTGACCATCGTTGAATATCTATCTGGTCAAATACCATCCGGCAACATGTCGTTAATGGGCCACCAACCTCAGAACGAAGCGATCGGATACTCCTTCTCTCAGCCTCATACCGCGACTGCTGCCAACAAACAGCATTCGTTCTACCCGTGCGTATCGTAATCCTCGATTTGGGTTATATCCATGGTGCTAACTCAGCTTAAGATACACGGATAATGGCGGTTCCACCCTAGGCATCACAGGCGCCGATTTCGCCATCCTCGCCGGTGATACCCGCTCAGTTGCAGGGTACAACATCAACTCTCGCTTCGTTCCCAAGGTTTTCAAGATTGGTGGTGAGGATGAGACCGGTGATGGTGCTCATATTCTCCTGTCGGTTGTGGGCTTCGCCGCAGATGGTCAAGCGCTCAAAGAGCGGCTGGATGCGGTGGTGAAGATGTATAAGTACCAACATGGAAAACCCATGTCTGTCGGGGCATGTGCTCAGCGTTTGTCGACTATTCTTTACCAGAAACGATTCTTCCCCTACTACGTGACTGCTATTCTAGCCGGTCTGGATGAGGAGGGTAAAGGCGCCTTATACAGCTACGATCCCGTCGGTTCCTACGAAAGAGAGCAATGCAGAGCGGCAGGCTCAGCGGCGAGCTTGATTATGCCCTTCTTGGACAATCAAGTCAACTTCAAGAACCAATACATCCCGGGAAGTGGTGAGGGGCATGCTCTCGAACCCAGGAAGCCCGAGCCACTACCGAGAGAAACAGTTGAGCAATTGGTGCGAGATGCATTTACTAGTGCGGTTGAGCGACACATCGAAGTGGGAGATGGCTTACAAACGATGATCATCACACGTCACGGCATAGAGGAGGTTTTCACGCCATTGAAAAAGGACTAAGGAGGCCGAATCGAGACCTGATCGTGCGCCCTGTCTATTCCATGTTTCCCCCACCACCCTTCTCTCTTCCTATCTGTTCCCTGGTCATCTGGCCTAGAAATAATCCTACTTGTTGATGAGTTCGATCCGTCTACGCCTACTATGTATTATGTGAAATTTCCATATCTTGTCCTATCGGATAAGCCTAGCCTGTTGTAGAGGATTAGTGCAGTCCCATGCATAGTGCGGTACTGTATACCGTATCAACATCCTGGAGCCGTGGTGAATAGCAATCTGCAGCGCAGCGAGATTGTAATATTGTTTCGGATTCAGCGATCGAAGCTGTCCGGATTTTAGCGGGCGTCAATCAGAAGGCCTTGGTATGCCAGGATGCGACAAGAACTGAAACTTGGTTGGTTGACTTGGGATTGTTTTAATCGCGTTTTCGTCCGGCATTTCATTTCTTCTTCTTTTCCTTATTATTATGATTCGTCTGCTGTGTGGAGCATGAAGAGTACAATAGTACAAGAGAACAAGAGAATACAAAGGATTGACTCGGGGGCCGCTAGGATTACAAACAGGACAAACTACTGAGCTGGAGCGGGATGATTTCATTGAAATTTGTTCAAGAGCTGGTCGCCAAGCACGCCGGAACTTGGTCCCAACTTCTATCACTTTGCCTTTATCAGCCCTTCTCTATCAACTCTACGGCGCCTTTCCACCTGCCCCCCTTGCTACTTCCTTCTCGTCAATCTCGCCAGTTATCCAGTATGTGACGGCAATCATGCCTGGCAACTTCGGACGCAGGTTATACTCCAATTTTTGGGCAAGAACAAGCCCTTTTTTTGGACTGGGACAACAGACAAGTCGTACTCTTTTTTTCTCCGATGCAGCAAATCTGAATGGTTATGTTCATGGCTTTTTAGCCAGGCAACAGTTTCGAGGGGCGTCGACAATACCGCCACGGCGAACGACTCAGATTACCCGACGATTTGCTTCCGGGGGCTTTTTTGTCCTTGGATTCTCTCCAAATTCTGCGGCGGTGGAAACCGGAACCACCTGTGCTATCACTCCGGAAAAGATAATTTCGCATCGAAACTATCAATTCGACCGCAAATTCTTTCGGGGACTTTCGCGGACTGTATCGAAGCGGCAGTTGCACACCAAGGATGACGGCTCGAAACCAAAAGCGCAGAAGGACTCCGTAAACTCGGAGAATGGCGAGACCCTCAAATCACAGATCAGTGAAAAAGATGCCCACTTGCAGGTCCCATTCTCCAAGCAGGCGATAAATGAGCAGACTCCAGGGGGGGCATCAAATCGACATTTGATGGATCGTTTACCACACATGTCACAGCTCCATCGACCTACAAAGGAGGAACTCTTGGCCGCAGCCAATGGCTTCTGGTCTAGGCTCAAAGTACGCTTCAAGTGGTTCTCAATCCGTAGCGTGCGACCCTTCAATCTCGACGAAATAACAGCTCTTTTTTCGTGGGTGCTGTTGGGCCATGTGCTGTGGATTGTCCTAGGGACCACGACATTTTTCTCTTTGCTCATTCTTGCAATCAACACCGTCCTGGCTCAGGGTATGTTCGAACTATTCTGCTCAATTGTACCCGGTACTTGACTAATGCTCCATAGAAACGCTTGCTGGTTGGATAGGCAATTACCTTACAAGGTCTTCCGGTGTGAAGGTAGTGTTTGAATCTGCAATTGTTCCCCGATGGGGGGACGGTGTCATCACCTTTAAGAACGTTTTCGTCTCAAGACGACCAGGTCAAGGTACTGGCCATGTTAGTAAAGGCTCCTCGAAAACTGCTGCTGCCGTGGCCGCAGCCGCGGCTCTTAATGAACCACCCAGCCCCGATACAGCGGAACAGCGACCGTTGTCTGATGAAGAGGATACAAATTACACACAGTTCGATTTGTCGATCGAGACCGTCAACGTTACGCTGTCGTTCACGAAATGGATCAATGGCAAAGGCCCTCTTCGTGATGTCGAAGTAAAGGGGATACGGGGAGTAGTGGACCGTAGGCATGTCTACTGGCCAAATGTTGACTTGGACCCTAAATCCTACCGGCATGAGCACAACCCCGGCGACTTCGAGATTGACTCATTCAAGATGAACGATGTCCTGGTCTCAGTTTACCAGCCGGATAATTTTAGACCATTCTCCGTTAGCATATTTTCCTGCGATCTTCCGCAGCTGAGAAAGCAGTGGCTTTTCTATGATTTCATGTCTGCTAATATGATGTCGGGGTCTTTCGACAACTCTTTGTTCACCATTCATCCTCGCCAAACCCACAGTTTCACCGGCGCACGGTTGGGTGGCGAGGATGACGGGGATGGCAAACCAAACCCGTGGAAGAAACATAGCAGGATTCGCATCGATGGGCTAAATATTGACCATCTGAACCGTGGGGTACAAGGCCCCTTTTCTTGGATTCACGAAGGAACGGTCGATATCGTGGCCGACATTATGTTCCCGGCCGAAAATGATGAAAGCCTGACCAAGGTGGTGACCGATCTGTACGATCGATTGGAGGCCACTGTAACATCCAACCGGTATGACGACTCGGGCTTGCACAGTGCCGATGCGACTGGTGAGCCCGGGGACAGCGATCAGAGGCGGTTCTTGATCACCGATCTGCGGCTACATTTGAACAACGTGCGGGCCGTTGTGCCTCTTTTCACACGAGACCTATCCTACATCAACAACGCCTTAATACGCCCCATCGTCGCATACATCAATTCCCGGCGAACCTTCATTCCAGTCAACTGTCGCCTCGTCAAGCGCCTTGGCGATTTCGATGGCAGCTGGACCACCTTCGACAGCGGCTTGATGGATGACCTTTCGGCGGCGGTAAGTTGGGCTTCCTCTTCCCCTTCCCCCGAGTCCCGGGACACTGCTGATGGATGCAAGGTATACGATGCGTTTGCTCGAGACGTGGTGGACGAGCAGGCACGCAAGCGACGGTTCAAGAAGGTTGGTTTCTGGTCTCTTCAGCTCGCAGCCCAGGCGATCTTCATGGGAATGGCTGGCAACATCGCATGATTCTGTACATTTTTCCCGGTTTAATGATTGAAATAGCCACGGGGATAGAAGGGGGGGGGGGGGGGGGGGGGTCGGTGGGCGTTCTGTATAGTTAAGGATCGTTAGGTACATGTTGATATCTCATCTCCGTGCTTCGATGCTCTCGTCCGTAATCCGTACTACAGAACCCTCTCTGGGGGCGGTTGGCGCCAGTCGAGTTTAGCGCCGGTCCAGAATTCTGGACCCGCGGCCCTTTCAACGCTGATTGACTGATTGTTCGGGCCGATTATTATTATTATTATGATGGAGCTTTGGCTCCTGAACAGACCATGTCTCATCTTATCTTCATCCCAACTCCGCCTCGTTGAAGTACTTCTCCTTTCTTCATTCTTCAACGGCGCCTTTGCCTTGGATTGCAGATTCGGGGGCTGTGCCCGTCGACTCGCTTCCATCCTTCTTCCCTTCCCCCTCCCCCCTTCTTGGATACGAAGATTCACCCTCGGTTTCCCCTCTGAGGTCAGCCTCTCGCAGAGCGCGCTGTGGCCCAGGCTGCATACCATCTCCCTATCTTTGCGTTCGACAGCCGACCCTTCTCAGCCAAACATCTCATGCCGTATTCTCGGCCATCCCATCTGGTACTCGCCAAATCTCCTCTACCGCATCCAAGGGACCGTTGCGTGGACCTAACCAGCATGATAGAGATATGAACGGCCGGACGGACGAGAATAAGGCGCGCCTAGCCTCACGCACCCCGGATTCGGCCCAGTCAGCCACGTCTTCCCCGATCTCACCCCTTAATTCTCAACGATCGACGCCGGGCGAGCGACCGGGGCAGCGCATAATGCCTCGGACTTCTTCGATTGATTCTGCGATATCGTCTCTCTCGTCCGCTTCCCAATCCCACAAGTCGTCGTTCGATGTAAGCGCATTGAGCCAAACGGACATTGGGAATCTAATAGCTACTGCCGGGTCGGCCGACGCGGTAATCAAGCATCTTCTGAAAGAAAAACATCATGCGGCGTCTCAAAATGCTCAGCTCTGGAGACTGGTCGACAAGCAGCGTACCCTCATTCTCGGGCTCAACAAAGACCTGGACCGCGCGTTGAAAGACAAGGAGCGCTACAAGAAAAAGGTGAAGGACCTGCAGAACTCAGCACCTCCGGTACCATTGGTGGAGGCTCAAACGAAACACGACAAGTCCACCAGAGGTAGAGAAGATTCTTCTATTCAGGGAGGTTCCAGGCAGTCACAGACAGTGGATCACGATGCCTCGGCTAGAGGAACCGTTTCGGGCTCCAAAATCCCTTCCACGGATCTAAGCCATGCCCAAGCGAAGGAGGGCCAGCCTCCCCTCGATTTTGCTGGCTCTCGCAGCTCGGCGAATCTGAACGAAGGTCCATCGACCAATCGTTCCCCCAGAGAGATCGGTCCGCCAGACGAGTCACAGACACCCCAATCGCTAGTGTTTTCGCGACAAGAGTTGTCAACAGCGAGTCCAAGCCTGGAAAGCCCCAGTCCTACCATTAAGGACTCAGTACCAAGCAGAGGAAAACCGCAGAGACTCCCTCACCCGGTCCGAAAGGCGCCTCCGGCGCCATTGAACCTCGGCCTATCAGAACACCGTTTGGCGGATCGTGCGGATGTTTCTGACTCCGAGTCTGAATATGAGGATATACTGTCCGTTGACGAACTGCCCATGGAGCGCGGGCGAAGGAAAACGAGGGATGATGATGATCGCGAGCGCGAAGCAGCCGTGCAAAATGAACGAAGTACGTTCGAATTCCCAGCAGGGAAAGAACTAGGAAAAACAGCTGGTAATGCACCTGGTCCCCGACAAGACTTACCGCAAATTGCATCACGTTTGGAAGAGCATGCGGCGAATCCTCACATTGGTCATGTGTCACCTCTAGGCTCTCATGCGGTCATGATGGCTTCCAAAAGCCCGGGCTTGCCGATCAGCCCCAGGCCGGAGGACCGTCCCCTCGGCTCACCCTTACCACGGATGCCCAGGGAGATGTCCGGCTCTTTGGCCACCATGCCCATGTCTTCCGGGGGCAATCTCTCTGGTCTAGCTCTGTCCCCCCGAGCTGGACAATACCAGAACCCTTTCACCTCGCCGGGCCCCGCTTCGCTTCCTTCTGACTCTGGGAACCGTGTCGTACCCTCAATCGATTCTGCAGTTCGAATTGATAGTCCTCGGTCGCCAGCCTTTAAAAACCAAGAGATCTATCAAGGCCTGATATCAGAAGAGTATCCGAACCTTCTCCTGTCCCCCAATGCCCTCCCTTTGGTTCAGGTGAGAGTATCGTCATCGCGGCTGCGGCCCTCTAGGAACAGCTACAACATGTCTAGACCCTCGGAAGAGGAACCTGTCTTTACCCTAGGCGTCTTCTCGCGTTCGGATAATGCGGAACTCTGGCGAGTAGAAAAGGTCATTGCAGCCCTCCCGCAGCTCGATCAACAAGTAAGGCAGCTCTCGGCCTTTGGGGCGAAGCTGCCGGATCGCTCCATATTCAACGGGCATTCCCCCGCCAAGGTGGATTCGAGGCGTGCTGCTTTGAATTCCTACTTCGAGGCTCTTCTCAATACGCCGATGGACGAGAATGCAGCGTTGACCCTGTGTCAGTTTCTCACAACCGACGCCATTGAGCCCCGGGATGATGAAACTAGCCTGTTAAAAGGCAAGCAACAGGCCGGTTCCGAGCTGCTACGTGGCCCGGATGGGAAGCCCCGAAAAGAAGGTTATTTAACCAAACGAGGCAAAAACTTTGGCGGCTGGAAGGCGCGGTATTTTGTTCTGCATGGCCCTGAGCTTAAGTATTTCGAATCCCCAGGTGGTCCCCACCTCGGTACGATCAAAATCTACAACGCCCAGATCGGAAAACAATCACAGAGCGCACACGGACAAAACGGGTCCCCTTCCCGAGCGGAGGAAGACGTTGATAATCAGTATCGCCATGCCTTCCTTGTCTTGGAGCCCAAAAAGAAGGACTCTTCAGCGCTGGTCAGACATGTTTTGTGCGCCGAGAGCGACGAAGAAAGAGACGCTTGGGTCGAGGCACTCCTGGAGTACGTCGAGGGCCAGTCGGAGACCGAAGGTTCTAATCATGGGTCGGCAAAGGGGCAAACACCCATCACAAGCAGGCCGCCAGTCAACGGCATCACTACCAAGTCTAACACGGTGTCTGGTGGAAGCAAGAAAGGGAGCCGGGGACTGGATGCTGCGGGCGCAGAAAGCCCCGATACGGTTCAGGGGTTTAGCTACGACGACGCTGTTCCTGCCGAGCCTCCCGTCTTTGGACCAGCTTCTGAACCGGGTCCTGCATCTCCTTCGCTCGTCCTCGGGGCCTCTCTGGAATCTGGAGATGCAAGTCAGATGGTGAATCCTTCGCCAGACATCAACCAACTCTCATCGAGGTTCATCTCGGGGCCCACCAATGGTGCGGTGATTCAGGATGCTGGTGCCTGGGGGAACAAGGCAGCCAATAGCGCTAAAGAGAAAAAGAGAAGCATCTGGAGCTTCCGTACCAGATCCTCAATTGATCTCGCCTCACAGCTGCACGCCAGCCATGATCTCCCAACATTACAGCACCATGGGAATACGTTGGGCGACAGAAAAGATTTTGTGAGACCGGTATTTGGAATTCCTCTGGCAGAAGCCGTCCAGTTCTGTGCGCCGCAAGGCACAGCTGTCGATCTGCCCGCTGTCGTCTATCGTTGCATAGAGTATCTCAAGGCCAAGGACGCGGCATCAGAAGAGGGAATCTTTCGGCTAAGTGGCTCGAATGTCGTTGTCAAAGCCCTCAAGGAACGGTTCAACACTGAAGGCGATGTTGATTTCTTGGCCGGTGATCAGTACTACGACGTCCATGCTGTTGCATCGCTTTTTAAACAATACTTGCGGGAGCTTCCTACAACGGTTCTCACTCGCGAACTTCATCTCGAATTCCTTCGAGTGCTTGGTAGGGCTATATATATCCTACCCTCTTCCTGTGAAGCTCCTGTACTAACGTCAGCTACGGTAGAACTTGACGAAAAGCAGAAAAAAATCGTTGCATTTAACTCGCTGGTTCACAGGCTTCCGAAACCAAACCTGGCCCTGTTACGGGCCCTGGTCCAGTTTTTGATGAATATTGTCAACAATTCGGATGTCAACAAGATGACCGTCAGGAACGTCGGCATCGTTTTCGCGCCGACACTCAACATTCCGGCGCCTGTCTTTTCAACGTTCCTCACGGACTTCGAAGACATCTTTGAGGAACCCCCAGGCTCCGACTCGAACGCAGCGGAACTGAACGCCAGTCATTTTATCTCCCCGGGAGACATTCGTTCGCCGCGCCGACAAATGTTCTCGGACATCCCAACGCCTACTGTCCGTGCACAAGAAGAGTCTGTCGATGGGTTCAACACGCCTCACGACGCTGGTTTCATTCCCACCCAGCCAACCTACGAGCACTCCAATCACAAACCGGACCCTGCGAATGAGGATGAAATGTATTCCCCTTCTATGTTAACACCAGCCAACGAGTCTTCTCGGTCCGCTAAGGCGAAACGAAGAGAAAGCTCAATGCTTTTTATGGAACTTGGCAATCAAGCCAACTCTCCCTCAATTTATCACAATGACTGAGGTTAGTTGTTGTGTGGCTAGCCTTCTAATACCTTTTCTCGGCTGACGGTGAATGCAGCCTACTTAATTCGCAACCCAACCACAACTCAGTAGCCATTCCGTACTGGTTTCCGTACAGAAAGTTTCTACAGCAGTCCTCTTTCTTTTCTTCTCTTTCCAAAGCTCCAGTATCGTCCTCCTATACTGCCTCCTCCTCTTCTTTCGATCACTTTCATTGTGGTTATTGTGGCTGATTAAGATCGATAATGATTTGAACGCAAATGAGATGACGAACACCCAAAGTCTGGCCACACTCGTTATCGATTGGCTTCCTAGTGATAGTACTGGTAATCTGTCGATACTTTATGCGCCTTGTTTCATGTGTCTTTTTTTTTTTTTTTTTCTGCCCCATTGTATTCGATGTAAGTTAATGGATCTTCTTCTCCCAGTAATTATTGCCATGATTTGTACAGATGCGTGCGCTGGCCTTTTCCCCCACAGTTCATAAATAATGTTGAAAAATGAATATACCCATACCCTGGCTTAATGTTACTTCGATGCCTCCAACAGGGACCCTCTTTCAGTAAACCAATATTTCTTAGCATGTAGACGACTAGACCGGAGCCTCTATCAAAGGCAATTGTCCGTCCTTGTGTGTCAACAAACATTGGGAGGTTCATAAGGACAGATGCTCCTAGGGTTGCGGTCATATATATAGCTCTCCCCTCCCCGTTTTTTATGATTCATTTATAAAATGGAAAAGATAGAGTCACAATGATAATTAAATAACAACGGTAGCTGATTCGAACTAGAGAAGAGAGCGAGGGCACGGCAGTGTTCCATCGGTCTTACCTGGTGCACAAGCAATTTAGAATCTTTTAGAGTGATCTCCTTTCCAGAAACCCATTAGTTCACCGTTCTCCCTGACCCAATCTCGAGTTCCGTCCACCAAAGCCTTTGCCATACCCTTATTCTTGCTCTTCCCCTCCGATGAGAGCGCATTATTAGCGAAGCCAGCAGTCGAGACATGCTCGCCCGTAGCATACTCGGAACCCATACTAGGCAGGATGTTGTCACCCGCGCTGAGACTAACAAAAAGTGAAAAAGGCACCAGCCAGACACAGAGCCCAAAGTAAGACGCAACCTCGGTGAAGGTCGGCATGTCATCCACATCGACCTGATAAGGGTTGCGCCAGTTCGTTCCGGCGCGTGACGTGGGTAGCGGTCTGGAAAAATGGCGAAACCAGAGCCAGTGGTTTAGTCCGACAAGGACACATGACAGAACAAAGAGGGGGTCCGATAGTTTGACAATAGGGAACCGTCGTAAGTTGCTGGCGTAGACCAGGTGTGATCCGATGCTGAGGAGAGACAAGGAGAGCGGGAATCGATCGACAACAGACAGAAGGATTTGGATGAGAACGACGCCGTAAATCAACCGAGTCAATAGTCGGCGGGCGAGGACGGTGTGTTCCTCTACGAGTTCGGACAGGTAGTAGAGTCCCGAGGCTGAAAGAAAGCGTCAGCATCCGTGCCGGTGAGTCATTGTGACCGAGAAAAAGGCCAGGTCTGGAGGAGTTTCATGACCTGAGCGCCTTACCTATCGCAAGCGTCAGAAAAGAGAATCCCACGATAACCCCCAGGTATCCAAGCAACGGCAGTACCCACATACTGCCGAGGACAGTGTAACGGACGGGGCCAAAGTTGCAGAAGTCGAAAGTTGCGGGGGGAAAGAAACAGAAACCCCGCGGGGAGGTAAAGAGGCGAGCGCGCGTGAAATCCGACCAGAAAACGGGATGGGGGGAAGCCCTCGATCACTCAAGAGCCATGATAAACACCGTGTGGAGAGGCGGATGGTGGACGGAAGATGGCCAGACTGCACCGGCGGCGGAGGAGGGTGGCATTTACCTTGCGGCCTGAGGCAGCAACCGCGTGCCGAATCTTCGGCCGTTCAAGAGAAGCCAAATTTTTGCCTCTCGATTCTTGCCCAGAAAGACCTCATATTACTGGCTCCGGCTTCATCATGTCGCGCCCCGAAGATGTCCTGTAAGTGTCACTCCCAGTTCGATGTCTTGATCGACCTTTGATTTTTCTTTACTTCTCCGCCGTCTCTAACCACTTGCCCCGCGAAGGCCTCCGGACCTCTTCTATGATGATAATGAATCACGAAAATACACTACCTCCTCGCGCATCCGTAACATCCAGGCTGATATGACGAATCGGGCGCTGGAACTCCTCGATCTCAAATCCCCATCACTCATCCTGGACCTTGGCTGTGGCTCCGGACTTTCTGGTGAGATCCTTTCCCAAGTGCCTACCGAGCACGGTGGGCCGCATACCTGGGTTGGGATGGACATCTCGCCCAGCATGCTGGATGTCGCTCTCCAGCGAGGCGTCGAGGGCGATCTCTTCCTTGCCGATATCGGCCAAGGGGTCCCGTTCCGACCTGGTTCATTTGACGCAGCCATTAGTATCAGTGCCATCCAATGGCTCTGTAATGCAGAAACAAGCGACGTCAGCCCCGAGGGACGACTACGTCGGTTTTTCGAAGGTCTGTATGCCAGTCTTCGGCGTGGAGGACGTGCTGTCTGTCAGTTCTACCCGAAAAATGATGCGCAGCGAAGCATGATAAGTGGCGCTGCTATCAGAGCCGGCTTTGGGGCCGGAATCCTGGAAGATGACCCTGGGACCAAGAACAGTAAATTGTATCTTGTTTTGACAGTTGGCGGAGGCGGCTTGCAGGGCGACATCACAGGTGTTGTGCATGACATGGACGACGTCAATGTTCTGGATGCCAGGAAAAGGGCCATGGAGAACGGCAGGGCTTCCACCTCCAAGAAAGGGGACAGGGCTTGGATCATGCGGAAGAAGGAGCAGATGACAAAGAAAGGCAAGATCGTGAAATCAAATTCCAAATACACGGGCAGGAAACGGCGGCCCGCGTTCTGAGTATACCTTGATCGATTGGTTGACTTTGCTCACCAAATATCTACCATCCTTTCATTGGACCTCTTTCGCGGGAAAACAACACCTTAAGTTGAACCAGAGTATTAAAGCTTCTGCATCGAGGGATTTCAGCTCTAGTGCGACTAGCAACAAACCACCGATCGATCCAGTCTGCGAAGGTGTTATGAACGAACGACCTGCACTAAGTGGACGGGTCTCAGCAGTCTTAACTCTAGTTAGTTTTCCCGCGCCTATTTGCCTTGTATTCTCATGACCTAACAGGTCGGTACATCAGGGGCACGAGAGACACTTGGATACTTTCTACTTCTAGGAGGAATGGACTGGCTGGAAGTGCCCGCAGAATCGATTGAGACACCGCCCCCCCCCCGACTTGAACAGAGCCTAGTATCTTCAATTCCCCCAAGGACGGCTTGCCATGACCGCAACTCGAGATAAAGCTACTCAAGTCGAACAATAATTAGACAAGGATAGAGTTCTAATTCCCAACGTTACTATGTAATTGTACACACATCCTTACCCCCCTCCCTCATAGTTGTCTATGGCAGTAGCAATTGTGTAACAGGATGCCCCCGATTGTTGTTCTAGTGTAAGATGATACCGAGCAGGGAGGTGTATTTGGAATAGTCAGCACGACCCTCCAAAGCATCATGCTGCCTTATACAACCTCTCGATATCGTCAAAAAGAATCGGGCCGTGAGAGCGCGGAAGCCGATTATTTACAGGGCAGTCTCCATTTTATCCAGGACGGCTCTGGTGAACTCGTGCGTGGTCGCCTGTCCGCCCATGTCACGAGTCCTCGTTTTGCTAGAAGGGCCGTGTGTCAGCACAGGCACAGATGTGTAGAGTTGCGGTTCACCTACCCTTCGCCGATCACGTCGTACACGGCCTTTGAGATTCTGTTGGCGTGGTCATCCAAGCCGAGATGACGCAGGAGCATAGATCCGGAGAGAATCATAGCACTTGGGTTGGCCTGGTCCTTTCCTTTGATGTCAAGGCCGACATGGCGGCATCCGGGTTCAAACACGGCCACATCCCGGCCCATGTTGCAACCGGGAACCAGACCCGGACCGCCAACAAGAGCAGCACCGACGTTAGAAAGGATGCCGCCGTAGAGGTTAGGCATCACCATCACGTCGAACTGCTGGGGTCGCGAGACAGCCTGCATGGATGCATTATCAACGATCATGTCGTTGACCTCGAGGGTCGGGTAGTTTTCGGCAACCTTGTGGAAAGTGCTGCGGAACAAGCCATCGGCGAGTTTCATGATGTTGGCCTTGTGGATACAAGTCACCTTCTTTCGGTTGTTGGCAAGGGCAAAGCCGAAAGCAAACTTGGCGATGCGTTCGGATTTGGCACGAGTGATGATCTTTAGGGATTCAACAACTCCCTGCACAGACTGATGCTCGAGACCCGAATATTCACCCTCGGTGTTCTCACGGATGATGCAAAGATCCACGTTCTCGTGACGTGTCTGATAACCCGGGATGTTTTTGATAAGAACGATCGAGGCGAAGATATCGAGTTCCTGACGAAGAGCAACATTGAACGACTGGTGACCCGAGCGCTCAACTGGAGTATGGAGGATTCCCTTGAGACCCAACTTGTTGCGGCGCAGAGATGCGATCGATTCCTTGAAAAGCTCTTCCGAATGTTTGTTGCCCGTATCCACACCACTGACATCTACCTGCTCCCATTCGATGGGCACATTGTCGGCCTTGAAGATTGTCTTAACCGACTCGGCAACTTCGGCGCCAATTCCGTCACCTGCGTGAGCGCAAAAGCGAAGATGTCAGCAAAACAATGCGCAAACTGTTGAGGAGGGCCGGAAAATCAGACATACCTGGAATGAGAGTGACGGTGTATTTACCGCCATACTTGGTGGGCTTGAAAATATCCGACTGGACACTAGCAAAAGCTGAGGATTGGCAAGACGATAAGTCAGTCCTTCGTGATCACGGCAGGCAGAACAGCAGGTAAAACGCACATCGAACCGGGATAGAAGAGCGAGCAAGCGAAGTCGTCACGGCCGCACGGCGGAGGAAAGACTAATTTTCAGTGCCGGGTTAATTCCTCACCCAAAACGAACCGCAAAATCCATATGGAGGGGAATTTAAACAAGAAAAGAGAAGGGGGTGGGACTAGGGGAATAGAAGAAATAAGATATGAAAGATTTAGATAACATGGGAAACAGAACATCGAAAGGGGACGGGGGGAAAAATTCGATTGGGCATCGGGATTGACCTCGTGGCGGTAATTATCGGACGGAGGGATGTGGTGTAGTGCATGATCCAAGACAAAGGACAGGCAGAACGATGAATTGATAGGTTGACTTACCTGCGCCGACTGCGCGGTCCTCAAAGAAAACATTTTCGGCAGGTGAGGGAGAGGAGATGGGTATACAAGTATCCGTGGGGAGAGACGGGGGTGGGAGTGCAGGGAAGAAAGAAACGAGGATGGGAAGAAACGGGGGTGGATAGCAGCGAGCGATGCACGAGACACCGGAAAAGGCGGCGGATCCTCTCGGCATCCATCGCCAATTGTTCAATCACAGCGCATCAATGATCCCGGCCCGATCTTATCTTGGATTTGATCATCAACCATGATGAACGTTTTCGCTACATCGGTCGGAATCTCCTCTCTCTCTCTCTCTCTCTCTCTCTCCCTCTCTCTCACTTCCCAACATTCCGTTCACCCGGTCGCCCCGATGCCTCGGCCACGCTTACCTCTCTGGTATATCAATCAATGGCTTTTATTCACACTGCTTGCTCCCATTGACTTCCTTGATTGATGGCCTATTAGGGTGCCGAGTTTCTTTCAACGCTCCACGGGCTCGAGAACGGTACTTATTCATCGACACCTTTGACGATATCCACCAACGATCCATATGGAGGTCGCTTTCTTCTTTGTCTATAGAACGCTTATTGAAGATGCGCGATCAGCCGGGCTCCACCCTTGTGGTAAGATGCATATGCACCAGATCTAGCCCGGCTTTATTGCATTCTATTGAGTGTTGATTTCCTTGATATTTCGTCAATCGATCTCTTATTCACAAAGGAGATGTACCCATTCTTCCTTCGCCATACAACTATCCCCGATATGCACATGAATAAGATACGTGCATTATCGACCAGGTGCAAAATGGAGTCGAAAATTCTCGGTTGACAGCCTCCGACTCATATATAATGGACCTGATCCTCGACTATATCGTGCTGCTGTTGACAGTGAACGATACACAGTGCTTTAGGACAAGAACAGATCCTCTCTACCAAAAAATCCCTTCATTTGCCTTGTTTGATCTTGAGTTCTCACTTGACTCCGTGAAAAAATGAAGCTTATTACTTTCGTTTTGGCCACCCTTGCCGCGACAACCGTGCAGGCTGGGACCTTGCAGAAATGGTGTCATCTTCCCGGTCAACCCTGTGCTATGCTTAAGCGAGCAGCCGATGCCACCGGAGAAGTTCGTCGTTCAGCCGATGCCCTCGCCGAGGCAATGGCCGATGCATCCCCGGAAGCCGTTAGGGTCAAGCGAGCAGCCGCGGCCGTCGATGAATTCAAGCGTTCTGCGGACGCCCTTGCGGAAGCCATGGCGGCCATTGACGAGGACTAGAAAGGTCTGCTTTTCATATCACTACGCCCCGATGAAAATCTACTCACTGTCATGGCTCTAGTCAACCCAGCCGGCCTGGAGGGTATCTATCGCCTTGATCCATTCCCAGATTGGATAAGCCGAGGGCCGTTGAGATACATGCACCATGACCGTGACACTCTTTATTCAAGCAGATTACTCAAGAGATATTTCTCTTCGGTCGTTGCAGTCATTGTTTTATCTTTCATTATTTTTGAGTTAAGGGAAGCTTTGGGTGGATCACTGAAAGAAAAGAGACAAAAAGAGAGAGGACGTGTTGTTTAGAATTGCAACCAATCTTCTGTGTTGTTCGGTACAGGGTTAAGGATCGGAACGATCATTCAACACGTGTGGTAGTACAACACAGTGGTTTTATTTTTGGTCATTACGCTTGACAGCAGCTTATGTCCTTTGACGAGGTCTAGGTTGCTGAAGTAGGAAATGAAAAATCCCATCAAAAACTCATGTTCAAGCGAAGACTATACCTTGCTTGTAGGCATCTGATCTTGACCTATGTATAGACCCATTTCTGTATACCATCTCACATGACGAAAATCACAAATGTATAGCGCCATGACCACTTTAGTAGTTAGAAGAACAAATTTCTGATAATTCACGGCATTTCAAATCCCTAGAAGATGATAACGAATGCGGATTGGGTCCCTCCTCGATTCGAGTCACAGACTGCACCTATCGTTATAGCATTGGGGTCCGAATACGCACAATCTGCTTGTTGCTCACACCACTCCTGACCCTCCAATACCATAAACAGGATCGTTTGCGATCTTGTATGGTGCCCCAGTGGTAGGTTCAACCGTTAACGACATGAATGCATGAGCTCTCTGCTCACAGTCTTTCTGGTCAATATCGTCATAGCCGGAAACCATATAAGGCTCGGCGTATCGGTGACCATCATCATTATTATCACCCTGAACCTGATCGCACATCTCGACATCGTAAAAGTGAGACGGCTGCATTGTTTGGTTAGGCGCAGTACGAGTAGGTCGATCTGCCAGGTTTCGAGCATGACCTCCCTCCATGGTTTCAGCAATACTCAAAGAATTTGCGGGGCATATTTGCCACATTTGAAGCAATCGGGCGCGTTGGTCTGGCATCGCATGTTCAAAGAGCCGACGTTGCATTGATGAAAGGGATGAGGGATCAACGTCATGACTCATCAGTATCCCGTCCAACCTGGTCGGGTCAGAAGACATTAGAACGTGCCCCTTCTGGGCGCCATCAGGAGTACCCCCATGAGCTACATGCGAAGAGTGATGATAGTGCTGTGTAATACTGTAGACGATGGGGAGCGGGGCTTGCGAAGATGCGCCGGACGGCGTTTGGGTTGCTGCCATAGTCATCTGTCTGGCAAACCGCGCCACAAGATCTTCTTGCTCGCCCAGGTCATCTTCAGATCTTGGAATATCGTACTAGATACCTCGTCCCGGTGAGACACCCAAAAGACAAAGAATAGGCTGGTGAAGGTAGAAGAAGTAATTACCTGGTTGCAGGCTGAGTAACCGACCTTGTCGGCTGTTGGAGTGGGGTCCATGGGTGACTTCCCCCATATTTGATTTCCAGACAAGGTATACAAAGACATGCCTAGGACTGGATAAAGTGAGGCCGGCCGGGGATGGATGTCCAACAAGGTATGAGTGCGGTATGTTGTTGTTGTTGTTGTTGTTTGGTTGGGGGATACTAGATAGAGGGTGGTGACGGGGCAGATCGGTGGTCAGTCTGGCTTGAGATATACACCTGGCTGGGGATAGGCAGTGAGTCGAGCCAGAACAGTGAGCGAGATGCGGGTATAGAATGTAGAGCCCATTGCATTTGGGTGAAGGGCGGCGATGGTTTAATAGAGAAAGGTCAAGGAGGGGCTGTAGATGCCCGAAGGTGCAATGTTCGTTTCGGGCAGTCAAAGAGAAGGTCAGTCATTATTGGGACCGGCCTAAGTGTAGAGTTAGTGTACTCCACATCCAAGCGCAGCCGCAGAGCCATATCAGATACGAACGCAACGTATCCAACGATGACGTGCATCTCAGCAGGCGGCAAGGAAGCAGAAATGGCTGCTGGCCCGGGAGAGTCCTCGGCCAGGTCACATGACCCTAACAGGCAGACGCCCCGTGACGCGAGCTCAGCTACCAAGCGGTTCCGACGTAGCGGTGGTTCCTACCCGCCCGTACTACTACTAATACACCTACCTACCAACGAATTGTATCTTATCTGCGGGAGCTCCCTGCTTCTTCCCAGACAACCTTTGCCCCTTCGTTTTCTTACTAGTAATATAGAACCTATCATCCGCTCAAAGCCTACTTCGAATTGATCGCTACTCATCATGGTTTGATTTCACCTCTCATCCTGAACTCTCTTGGCCAGATATGGGACTAACGCCCGAACGATCCAGACGTCCATCGGCACAGGCTATGATCTTTCCAATTCAGTCTTCTCTCCTGATGGTCGCAACTTTCAGGTATCTCATGCAACTGTGCCAACGTGCTGGGGACACCTGTTAATCCTTTTGCCCAGGTTGAATACGCAGTCAAGGCGGTCGAAAATGGGGGAACCGCCATTGGTATCAGGTGCAAAGATGGCGTTGTGCTGGCGGTAGAAAAGATTGTCACCAGCAAGCTTCTAAAGCCGGGCGCAAACAAAAGAATCGCAACGGTGGACCGCCATGTCGGTGTTGTAAGTAACCCCGGGCCAACAAGACTGAGCTGGATTGGATATCTAGGCGAACCATGCATCGTAACGTGGGTTTTTGTGCTGACCTTTGTGGACGGCTCTATCTTTAGGTATCTGCAGGCCTTGTTCCCGATGGCCGGCACTTCGTTTCTCGGGCTCGAGATGAAGCTTCCTCGTGGAGAAATGTATACAAGGGGCCTATTCCCGTCTCTGCGCTATCGAACCGCCTTGGCAGCTACGTCCAGGCGTACACTCTTTATTCCAGCGTACGACCCTTTGGTGTGACTGCCATCATCGGCGGCTGGGATTCGGAGGCTGAGCTGGCTGTCGACGGTCAGGTTGGAAGTGGGCCGACTTCAGGGTCTGGCGGACGGGTGGAAGGAGCTAAAGCTGGTGGGCCGGGTCTATATATGGTTGAGCCGAGTGGTCTCTACTGGGTAAACGTCTCCTGATTCATCTCCCCGGATTTAGCTGCTAACTTTACCGAAGGGCTACTATGGCGCTGCCACCGGGAAGGGAAGGCAGACGGCCAAAGCGGAGCTTGAAAAACTAGATCTGGCCTCTGGTGGTCTGAACCTGGCTGAAGGTGTCAAGGAGGCTGCTCGCATCATCTACGTTGCCCATGAAGACAGCAAGGACAAGGAGTTCGAGCTTGAGATGTCCTGGATCAGCTCACTCGATGGGCCCACGAAGGGCAGACACGAAGAAGTACCGAAGGAGCTCCTCGAAGAAGCTGAGACAGCAGCCAAAAAAGCCTTGGAGGGGGATGATGAGGAGGGAGATGAGACGACGAAAGATGAGAGCGAGCGAATGGAGGAATAGAGAAAAACTGAACACGGGCACAAACGGATACCATTGCCATCTGCTACGTTTCTTCCCTAGCATCTTTCTATTCTGTCGGTTCAATCCCCTTTGCCAAAGGAGCAAATAAACATTTCGATTTCACAATGGACTTTGTCAATAATACATAAACCATTAGCCACGCACTCCCGTCTGCCCTGCGTAGTTTGGGGGGAAGCGGATATCGTTCCTAAACGATCCGGCCTTCAGCCCAGTCTCTCCTTTTGGCCCCGAGTTCGACGGCGGCATTGCCCCAATCCTCTCCATGATTGTGCATGCCCTTCGTGCCGAGACCAGCCCGTTCCAGACCCTGCTCTTCGTTAAGCACGGTAAGAACCCCAAAGATAACGGGGACCCCGGTTTCTAATTGAACACGCATTAATCCGTGGGACACGGCATCTGCGATGTATTCAAAATGCATCGTCTCGCCTTTGATCAAAACACCGATGGTGATGATGGCATCAAAGGGGCGGGTCGCAACCGGGGCGGGCGACTGGGGTGACGACTTGCTGAGGTCCGCGGTGGAGGAGGACAGGAGGTCGGTGGCACTGATCCCTCCAGCGGAAGAGGAGCCCTTGGCAGCCTGGAGCTGGGAAGCAGCGTAGAGACTGTATAGGCGCAGGGAATTGTCAGACCAGCCGGTGAGTCCGATGCGGGGTAATGCTTACCGCTGGGCCGCAAAAGGGAGTTCGTAGCTGCCGGGAACGGTGAGAGTCGTGATGTTCTCGTCCGTTACACCGGCAGCGAGCAGACTTTTCTTGGCCCCTTCAAGAAGAGGTCCAATGATGCCCATGTTCCATCGGGCGTGAACGATCGCAATCCTCAGGCCCGAACCTACACAGCGGTGAGGGGTAAGCGAGTGGGCGAGAGGGACGCCAGAGTAGGATCAGAAACTTCTCACCGTCATAGGTTTCGGCAGCTCCGGGTCCTTTCAACGAGGCCATGTTGAGTGAATGGGCTGAAAACAGAGAGACGAGGGTAAATCACTACCGGAGTCTGGCTGCGCTTCGAGGTGTTCGAAGTCCACGGTGGGGAATATAGGGACGGGGACAAGCTTGATTACATACGCCGTATTCCGCCGGGCTTCCCGTGCTCTCGACAAATACCATTTCTTCCGCGCGGCTACGCCCTTTGAGGTAAGCATGCAGTGGTCTGTAGTACCCAGTAGACCTCGGCTAAGGGTCCCTGTGTCTTCGATGTAGCGAAAACGATCTATTCCCCGGCTTTTGCGCGGTGGGCTTACGAAAAGGCATACGCATATATGGAGGCCTGTAACTATTGCATTCTTCTGGTCATAAGGAAACTAAACGAAAAACCATGTAAGAATCAAAAATATCACCAAGGTCCTACCCTACCCTATAGGTTCGCGAGCCCACCTGCTGGAACATGCATCCTCAATACGGTCGGCTTACTCCACGGTGACAGACTTCGCGAGATTGCGAGGGAAGTCAACGTTGAGACCCTCCAGAACCGCCAGCCAGTACGAAACCAACTGTAGCGGGATAACATTCAGCAGACCTTGCAGGCAATCAACGGTCTTGGGTACTTCAATCTTGTCCGTCTGGGCAGTGGAAAACTCCGGGTCGTCGTGGTTGCAGATGACGATGGGGCGGCCACCTCGAGCAATGACTGCCGGGACGTTAGTGATATGTCGATCTGGGTAAACATAGACATGGGCAATGATTGGAACCGACCTTGCTGATAAGCGTTCAAGGATTTGGTAAAGATGTTGTCCCTTGTCAAGATCATGATGATAGGCAGGTTTTCATCGACAAGAGCGAGAACACCGTGCTTCAACTCACCCGACATAACAGCCTCGCAGTGAAGGTAGGAGATCTCCTTGATCTTCAGGGCACCTAAAATTTTGTCAGCGTCACCTATTGTGGCCATGCAGATCGTCCGGCAGCATACCTTCGAGGGCTGTGGGGAATTGACTTCCCCTTCCAAGCAGAAGAAGACTCTTCTGGTTCTTGAAGAAGTTCGCGCACATCTGCTTGATTGGTTCGTTCAGCTTCAGAATCTCCTTGAATTGCTCAGAAACCAGGGCAAGACCCTGCATGATCTCCTCCCGTCTCTTCTGCTTGGACGCCCGATCCTCGCTGAGAGAGAGAGCGAACATAACCATGGCGACGAACTGAGAGGTATAAGCCTTGGTAGAAGCAACACCAATCTCAGGGCCGGCATTAATGTGGACACCGCAGTGTGTCAGAAGGGAGATGGCAGATCCAACGACATTGACAATACCAACGGTCAATGCCCCCCGCTCAAGGCAGTACCGGAGAGCCATGAGCGAATCCGCTGTTTCACCGGACTGGGAAACAAAGACGCAGGTGTCATCACGGAAAACAGGAGCTTGTCTATCCAAGAAATCAGAGGCAAGTTCCACCGAAATAGGAATTTCGGTAAGTTCCTCGAAAACTCCACGCACAGCCATGCATGAGTGATAACTGGTTCCGCAGGCAACGAAGATGATTCTTCTGCAGCGGCGAATGGTAGAAATGTATTGTCGGAGACCACCAAGCGTGACCTGTTTGTTGGCAACGTCAAGCCGACCTCTCATAGTGTTCACGACAGACTCCGGCTGCTCAAAAATCTCCTTCTGCATGAAGTGATCGAATTTACCCTTCATGATCTCCTGAAGTTCGAGTTCAATGGTCTGGATGGCTCGAACGTTGGAGGTGCCATCATCCTTTGTCAGTCGATGAATGTTCAGCTGTCCCTCATGCACATGGGCGATATCGTCATCTTCGAGATAGAGCACCTTCTTGGTGTGTTCGACAATAGCAGAAGGATCAGAGGACAGGAAAAACTCTGCGGGCTGCGGGACACCATCGTCGGACAGGAAAGCACGGGACTGCGACCGATGCAGCAGCGATTTGTCGGGAGGGGCAAGGAGCCCGGTGGCTGACTTCTTGATGGCGACATTCTGAGAAGCCTGCTCCGCGGGTAGCGGGCCATCTTCCGAATATTCAACATCCACGAAGTCCACCTTCATCTTCTTTGATGTCCTCACTCCAATCACAAGAGGAGATCCTTTGCGAGCGGCGATGACTTCGTGGGGATAATGGACAGATTTGATCAGGAGACCGAAGGCACCCTCAAGCTCCTTCACAACAGCCTTGGCCAGGACCGTGAACTCAATGTCTGGCTGCTGGTCAAAGAGGTATTTTGTGAGCTTGGCAATGCATTCGGTGTCGGTTTCCGTCTCGAAGCGGAAACCCTTGGTCTCAAGCAAAGCCTTCAGCTCCTTGTAGTTGGTAATGATTCCGTTGTGAACGATGGAAAACTCCCAGTTCAGATCAGACCTACATAAACACCAGACTGTATCAGTCTATGATTTGTAGCCAATGTTGCATCAAGAAAGGCGGCATATGCACTTGGAACTGGCAAATGAGCCCTTACCTGTGGGGGTGGCAGTTTTGGCGGGAAGGCGTTCCGTGAGTGGCCCAGCGAGTGTGGGAGATACCAGCATGGGACTCGAACGACTTCGTCAGATCAGGCTTAGACTCCTCAATGAGCTGCTTCAATTTGGCGACCTTGCCAACCTCCTTAAAGGCGCAGACTTCGTTTTTCTTGTTGCCATCGACGGCAAGACCCGCAGAGTCATAACCGCGGTACTCAAGTCTGGACAAGCCTGTTTCTGGTTAGAACCTCCAATTTGAGAAGACCACCAAGTCGAGAAGAGCAACGATCGCGGAGGATGGCAGCAGAATAGAAGGACACCTACCATTGAGCAAAGTATCGATGATATATTTACGATCTCTCTCGACCAGGTAGTTGATGTAGCCGAAGATGCCACTGTCGATGGTGAGTCTCCCGAGCTTAGTTTCAATATCTATTTTGAACCATACCACATTTTGAATCAAAGAAAGGCAGATGGCGTGATGAAGAGACGAACGATGAGAGATGAGACCGACTTCAGGTAAACGTGCGGTCTAAGTCGGGGTTCAAATGCCTGGAGCGTAAACAAACAATTCCCGCCGGGAGAGGTGAGGAGGGAGCAAGGAGAGCGTACCAGGATGAACTTGATTGAGGGAGGCCAAGAGGGAACACAGTGGTAGCGAGGAGGGGGGGAGGGGGTGCTTAAAGAGGATGGAGGGTGGATGGGAGGGACGAGGAGAGAGAACAAGGAGGGGGAGGAATGTTGAGCAGGATCGACAATCAGTTGGAAGGAGGGAGGGGGGAGCTGCTATGTTTTATGTTGTGAGATCGGCCCACAACAACACACAGACCTTATTAAACACTGGGCCTTAAGGTAGGAAGCTACTACGGGAGGTATTATTAGTCCCAGGAGGCAATGAATCGTTATTCAATCCGGCAAAGAGCCAATAATGCGCCCCTTCTGCGCCTCACACAGTCTATCGGCATGTCTCACTCGTGATTCGGGTCAAGACCCATACGCCCATATGGCTTGGGAGTTGGAACAAGTCGCGGTCCCTTCTCTAACCATTAATGGTCAATGATCCCCACTTGGGAGGGAAGAATATTACTATTATTGTTGCTATTAGTCAATTAATTCCGACCATAGTTACTGGGTTGCTATTTATGACCTTTTTTTCCCCTTTTCTATTTTTCTTTTTCTTTGAATTTCTTCTAATTTTTGTTTATTTTTTTAAAAAAAAAATCTGTCTTTTGGAAACCCCCCCCCCCCTCCTTGGTCCTTTTTCTTCTATGGAGTCTAGAGGAAGCTCTTTGCCAATTACAACACCTGTACGGAGTGTTCCGACAATAGTGCAATCCGGGAAGTCAAATAATATTCGACGTATGCAACCAAGCTTCATTAATATTGGTTAAGTTATGAGGGGGGATTTGTTTGTTCGTACGGAGGAATACAAAAGTTTTGCTGCTTGTACGAGGCAATTGCGTGCCGGATTATAAAAATAGTAGTTGATGTCTGTCATAATCAAGCAACCTTACCCAGGCACTACATAAATACCTACTACTGCGTACATCGTACTAGGAGATAAGGTCATCGCTTGGTACCCTAGTGAGTTTTTCGCATGAAGGAGAATTTCTTGCCGCTCTCTTAGCTTCGTTCGTCCGTTGCGTTGTTACTATTTTTAAGGGTCGGCATAAGCTACCGCGGTTCTCACTGCTGGCCTCACGTCCAGTGGTAGAATATTCGAATCGAACTTGTCCCGATATAAACTTTTTTTTGACACAATCCAGTTAGACCTATTTTTCCATTCGTCCTTCTCTTTCGAAGACTGCCCGGGGAATTAATAGGCTCCCTGCCTTTTTGGTTACTCCATGTAATCTCGTTTATTCTCTCTCTTCCCCAATCCAAAGCGAGAGAGGAGGCAAGAAAGGAAAGGAAAGCAAAAAAAAAGGGGAGGGGGGGGGATAGATCATAAAGAATTTTTATTTTTATTTTATTTTTATTTTTTTTTTTTTTTTATTTATTTTTATTTTTTTTTTAAAAAAAAAAAGATCAAAATTATCCCATGCACTGGTAGAGTCCCGACTAAGCAGGGGCTGTATGATATGGGTGTAGAATGTAGATACTTACTCCGGAGTAAGTGTTGTCCAAGTATACTACCCATCTGTCCTTCCCGGTCCCTTGCCATGCTCGAGAGATAGGTACCCGCTCCGCCAGGCCACTGGTCCGGCACTCCGGCGGCTGAAGATGGTTCCGGTCATCTGGGGATTGATGGCATTTTTGGATGTGACACAAGACACATTGCAGTCCATTGGGAAGGCCTGACTGACGTCAGCACCCGATAAGATAGGGACGCCCGTAACGGGAGTCGGGAACCGCAAGGGGGAAAACAGAAGAATCCGAAGGGTGGCCAAAAGGATGAGAGTCGTCGACGTGCGGTGGATGATTCTCTAACGAATCGGCTGGCAAGGTTTCATGGGCAATGTCGGGTTGACAGATACTGAGACCAAGATAACTGACGGATTTCGGGGTGAAGGCAGCGAGCGGTAAAGTGGTGACCAGCGGGTGAACTGAAACTCTTTTCGCCCTGCCCTTGTGGTAGTAACTAACTTAGGGGAAAATTTCTTCCACCACATACCCAAGTAAACAACGCCCCTTTGCGCATTTCTTGTATAGCCATTTTCTACCCCAGACACGCTTCTCTGCGAGTCAACCGCGTGGTACGTATTATTTTACCATCCCGTGCCAGTGAATTATTTTGCGCCCTATCCCTTGCCCGTCGCGTTGGTAGGAAACCGGCGACATCAAACCTCACACTGACCGTTTTCACTTCTTTCAAAGTGAGAAACCTTCCGCGCGTCCCTCCCAAAGAACGGGAAAGGAGAGAACAAGAGAAAGAAAGGGGAGGGTCATTCTGCTTTCTTTCCCGGGCTCGAATAAACTCGTCATCTACCGTTCCCCCGGAATTCTACGGCCTAAGCCAGGGGTTGTTCCACGCGCTAGCTGGTAGAAAGTGTTCAAGGATGCTGTCTACTAGTTGGAGAGGTTTTGGTTTTGGCGTGTAGCCATCTCATTATGTCGCGTTCCTCGGCGGGTTTTGCGGATTTTTTTCCAACTGCACCGTCAGTCCTCCAGCAAAAACGGTCTAAAGCAACCCGGGACCGACCTCGACCTCAACCACAATATCAAATCCACAACGCTCAAGACGATCAAGGTCTTTTAGGTGCTGCGGAGGCAGCCCCTCGTGCTACGCATAATGATGGATCTTCGGAGGCAGTTCAAGACGCTTCCACAGGCGATGGGAACACACATTCCGAGCACGCCGCCGGCAAGCCTACAAGTTTTTTAAACGCGGGTGTCGTATCTTCCACTCACAGCAGGGCTACAACAAGCTCGCATGAGGCGCATCCCGACACACTCACACCGCTCACCACAGCCGACGTGTCTCCTTCTCACAAGCACAGCTCACCTCATGTCAAGGTCCCCGCTGGGACTGTTGGACAAGGGTCGGTGGTATCAAAGGCAGAGTACCAGAAGCTTGAGGCGACCCCTCTCCAAACACCTCCGACGCCGAAATCGCAAAGTTGTGCAATTGGTAGCATTACTGGCTACAAGTTGATATACGATCCTGACACCGACAAACGATCCTCGAAGGAAAAACGCAAGAAACCTCGCTATATGGACATCAATTTAACGGAGCTGAATGATTGCCCGTCTGATCCTCGACTTACTATACCGAACTACAGACGGGGCGCCGGCTGCAAACAAAAAGCAAAATTTCGACCAGCACCCTACACCTTGAAACCTTGGCCATATGATTCCTTGACAAGCGTAGGCCCTGGGCCTCCTGTCCAGATTGTTGTCACCGGTTTTGACCCTCTTACACCCATCACATCAATCAATGCTTTTTTCTCGAGCTTTGGGGAAATTTCAGAGATAAACAATCGAACAGATCCTATTACCGGCAGGTTTCTCGGGATATGCTCCATAAAGTACAAAGACAGTGGATCTTTTCGAGGTGGTGGACCGGTTCTTGGAGTCAATGCGGCCAAACGCGCTTATTTCGAATGCAAAAAGGAGCAGCGGATTGGAACACGCAGAATCAGGGTCGAGCTAGATCGGGACGGTGTCGTTTCCGAGAAGATTGTCTCCAGAGCTGTCGATGCACAAAAGATCGGACATAAAGGCCATTTGCATACTGCGGAAGAGACAAAACCGGAACAACAGGCGAAACAAGAGCCTCCACCAATGGCACCGAAAGGGCCCTCAGGAAGATTATCCATTCGATCAACGGCGGTGGTGCCCGAGGGACCAAAAGTGAGCTTCATAAAACCTGCGGTCCCATCATTAGTCGAAGATATTCCAATCCTGAATCAGATCAAACGCGATCCATACATCTTCATTGCACACTGTTACGTTCCAGTTCTCAGTACAACCGTTCCACATCTCAAGAAGAGACTGAAGTTATTTAGCTGGAAAGATATCCGCTGCGATAGAACAGGATATTACATCATATTTGAGAACTCTCGACGTGGCGAAGAAGAAACTGAGCGTTGTTTCAAATTGTGCCACATGAAACCATTATTCACGTATATCATGAATATGGAAAACCAACCTTACGGAAATCCCGGCTACGAGCGGAGCCCCAGCCCTGAACGATTTCAAGCGGAGAAACGCGCGAGAACGGAAAAGGAGAGGCTCAAGAAAGAGGCAGACTTAGATCTCGAGGAGGAAAAGAAGCAACGCGCTATTGACCTCGACCCTTGCAAAGAAGTGCTTGCCATCATTGTTCGGGATCTAAAGGACAAACTTCTCGAAGATGTGAAGTCGCGCATTGCTGCGCCGGCCTTGTATGACTATCTTGACCCAGCTAGACATGCGGCTAGAAGGAAGAAACTGGGTATCGCAGAACCAGATGGCATTAGAAGACCAATGTTTCGCATTGACTTTGATAGCCGACTTGAAACACCTGATTCTCGTTCTGAAATATCCAAAGCGGGGAGCCCATTTAACGTCTCTGGTCTCAACGTTCTCGCACTTCCGCGAATCAGGAAGGCCCGCCGTCTTGATTCCACAAGTGCCGCTTTCTTAGATGAGAGACGCAAGCAACCCTTGCGGAGGAAAGAAGTTCGACCACTTTATCACCGGCTGCAACAGTTGCATGAAGATGATGACTCGGACGATGAACAGAGAAATTCATCCATCAAAGACATTGACGAACAAGAAAGTCGACCCCCCAGCCGGATAAGTTCACCAACATCTGATTCCGACGGTGGCGATGGATACGTCTCAACGTTCTTGGAGGACTCGACTGCGAAAGATTCGACACCCGAGGCAAGGAATTCAGAGTCTGGGGATAACGATGGGACACTCCAGGGAGAATCGCTGACAAAGTCTATACGGTCAGGCAGTCGTGAACTTTCTCCTGCCTCGCGTAAAAGAAAAAGGCTAAGCGAAGAGCTTCTAGCGCGAAAGAGGCAAAAAGGAGATGAGGAAATCTTTAGTCCCAGCTCAATGGTCGACGAGCTAGGTCAACACACTGAAGAAATCTCAGGGTTTCACGGGGCTGCTGATGACGATGGTATCGCGGTCGGGCAGCATCTTCATACGCTACAGAGTCTCTCGGCCCATGGAGACAAAGATTGGCGGAAAGAAACAACCAGGGCAGAACCATCACTGGCAAACCTGCAAAATATTGATATCGGTTCTCCCATCTTTCTCAATGGGCGTCGAGTTTTGCTGGGTCCCCTTGATGAAGTTGGCACAGAGCGACGGGAGGGAACAAAAACAGGGGTTCTGTGGAATGTTTCAAGTGATGAACCTCGGTCAATTGTCGAAGACGATGAAGCAATATTCATGGACCTTGACGGTTGGCAGAATCTTATCAAGGATGAAGAGGATTTGCGCTTTCTCCGAGATATCCTGATCGAACAGCCAAAGTCCAATGTTGGAAGTCTCTCGGCGTGGGCATGGCGACAGAAAGAGATCAAAGCACTCAATGGGCCTGGTAATGTGGGCCCCGTACATGAGGGAACGGTCATCCATGGCTACTATGTGTCCAATGAGACAGGTGCAGCTCGAACTGAAGGTCGGAAGAGAATCCTGGAGTCCGAGAAATCAAAGTACCTCCCACATCGAATCAAGGTCCAAAAAGCGCGCGAGGAACGTGAGGCCAAGGCAAAAATCGATCCACATGCAGTTGCTGCTGAGGCGGCAAGGGCTGCAGTGGCGAAGACCATTTCTAAGTCAACATCCCGGTCAACAAGGGTAAATAATCGTCGTTTGATTGCCGACATCAACGCTCAAAAACAGGCTCTCCCCACACAAAGTGGTGACGGTGACGTCCTTCGTTTCAATCAATTGAAGAAGAGAAAGAAACCCGTGCGTTTTGCTAGGTCTGCCATCCACAACTGGGGCCTTTATGCCGAGGAAAACATAACCGCGAACGACATGATCATTGAATACGTCGGAGAGAAAGTCCGACAGCAAGTCGCTGACATGAGAGAAAGGCAATATTTGAAGAGTGGAATTGGCAGCAGTTATCTATTTCGAATTGATGAAAACACGGTGATCGACGCCACCAAAAGAGGGGGTATAGCTAGGTTCATCAACCATAGCTGTACACCTAACTGCACAGCCAAGATCATCAAAGTGGATGGTAGCAAACGAATTGTTATATATGCTCTTAGGGATATTGAAAGAGGTAAGTTCAACCCTAGTATCTTCAATTGGACAAACAGGCTAAGAAGCAAGCAGACGAGGAACTTACATATGACTACAAGTTTGAAAGAGAATGGGATAGCGATGATAGGATACCATGCCTCTGTGGTTCAACCGGGTGTAAAGGCTTTCTCAATTAATAATGCATGCCAGTTATGCCCACATGCAGTCTTTCCCGCATATGTTTATGCCTGTGCTCTTTAACTATTCCGTAGGACATTTGCTCATTCGCCCCCCTTTTTTTAGAATACTTTGACAAGAGGTCAGATTACCCATTCTGGGATGCTCCTGCTCGAGCGAGGGTTTGGATTCGGGCTTGTACCTTAGCAGCTGCAATGAGTGCAGCTTCAATAACATTTGACGTCCCGTGGTAAATTTATGAAGGCTTTGCAACCATTGGCATTCGCATTTTCCAGTCCTCCAACAAGGAGGGTCCCTTGCTTCAGAGGGCAAAGGCAAAAATGTTGCGCTCTTTCTTCATCGTCCTCTTCTCCTTTATTCTTCTTTCGCTCTGCCTCTCTACCTCTTTGCCTCTTTGCCTCTTTGCCTCTTTGCCTCTTTCTGCTAGCAACCACACTGCCGTCTATTGTAGAGGGCCACGGTTTTGGGTGGTGAAAACGGGCTTGTGGTTTTAGACTGTGGGAAGATATCAGTTTCTGCGAGTAAATTTTCAGGGCACGGAACGTCTCAGACCTAGATGGCTAGGAAGAAGAAAATTTGCTATCCCCTCCTTAATTAGATATTCGTGACCACAGTTTCCGCAGCTCAATTTCCCTTCTACCACTTGCGTCTCTAGTAATAGTCGGTGGAGTTCTCTTAAGATCTGCTCATCTTGGAGTGCATCTCCCTCGGGTTTTCTTTCAGGCAATTTTGGGAAGCCAAGCTTATAGAAAGTAAGTGTTAGACATCCTTGGTTCTGTCAGCGAAGGATTTGGGTACCTACCTCATTTGCTAGAATCTGTAACCCGTCCCAATCAATCCTAGGAACAATATTACGTATAAACTCGGGTTGAAAATCGATCTCTTGCAATTCCAGTTCAGCATCCTGGAAGTGGAGTGGAAACGAGGCTGGTGATGTCTTGCAGTCCTTCACGGCACACGTCAAAAAATTAGCCGTCAGTACCTTCATGGTTCTTGCTGTGTCCAATTATTAAACACGGTGTCTGTTCTTTCTTTCTCGCTTTTTCTTTTCTTTTCTCTTCTTTTTCTTTTTCTTTTTTTCTTTTGCGGGGGTGAGGGAAGGGTGCAGGGAAGGATGGAGGACGACCCAAAAGAAAAGTGCCTGTATAAGGTAGGTATAGGTAATACGGTACAGGCTTTACAATACCCGCTTCGGTGTGCGGGTAACAGTAGGTACCTACGGGACGTCCGGGTCCTTCTTCCTCGAGGGCCCAACACCTACTAAACAGCACCTAGGCTCCGAAAAGTAAATGGACAACGGTGAGGAAAGTAGGCGCATGTTTGCTTCATAGAAATGATTTATTTGATGATAACATCCACCAAGTCATCGTCTGTCATATCATGGTCTGCAGCGCAGGAATGGGGGTCTAGGCAATCACCGTCAAAGATGAGATATACATTCTGCTCTGCACGAATTGCGTGTGTGTCACGGTAGGCTGCTACCAACTGAGATATCGGCGTCTGTGGACTAGCATAAATTTGGTAATTTGCATAACCAGGACACTTGAGGACAAGTTTAAATGAACGACACTCAATCGTATCGTCAAGATTCGGAGGGTCCTTCAGATGCTGTCCTGGTAAAAGCCTAAGTGATGCTAACGAATCATTGGAGACTCGATCGTCCATGACGGCTTCCATATGGATATAGATGCCGCCACAATCATCCAAATGAGCGTCGCGGAATGTGGAGGTTCGAAGATCCGTATTTGCATGACGCCCTAGGCTTTTGCACGTTGTAACATCGAATAGTCTTCGGCCTTTCCATGTCAAAAGCACAAAGCGATAAAGTTCTTGTGGTAGATTCTGGTGTTCGCACCATGCTAGACGGACATCTTTTAACGGCTGGTGCATCTTTCGTTTGATGACAAGCGACTTTGTATTTGCGATGTTTGAGGATACGAGAATTTGGACTGTCGAATCCTCGTGGCGCTGGCCGGTGTTGATATCAAATTGGGGAGAACAATCATCTTCACTGTCCTGCTCATGTTCATGAGTATGTCTTGCGAGCGATTCATCCTGCCAGGTGTTGCTTGGTGATCGAACGGGAGTGTCCACGGCACAAGGACCTTGAGGTGGCGTTTGATTTCGGGGTGTCTTCGCAGTCTCTGTTGACAAAATGGCGGTCACGCGCATATCACTTGGTCTGGGTACCTTGATTGAGGAGCTTCTACGGGCTTTGTCCTCACTGGATTCGCTTTGGCTGGTAACTCCGGGAATAGGCTCATTGACTTGGCGGTTTGCGACTTGGTTGTTTTCAGGTGAGATCGAAAACGCCACATCTCCAGGATGATCATTATCAGACATGTACTGGCTCCTACTTGCCTTTCTATCTTGCGGGGAAGAGGCACAATCAAGATTGATAGACCGAATCCGAGCCTCCCGGCTGGCGGCCACAATGTCTTCATATGTTTGATCAGCTCTGCGATAAAATTCATGCGGCGTTTCACCATCACCGGTGTTGGCCCAAGAGGGCCTTTTAAAAAAGGACCGCATCCGTGACAGAGCTTCAGAGGCTTCGTGGGTCCGCAATTCGAAGATCTTGAAGTATAGCGAGCGGGATTTAGGGAGGTAGATGTACGGCAGGTAGTCATAGTGATGATCTCTGGCCCGCCCATAGCTTGGCCGGTAATTTATGCGTACAGAACACCTTGATACTGTACTGTAACGTCCGACTTGGAAGGCACGTGCCGTTGTCCAGCGCCCTACTCCGTAAACCCCCATCCGTCTGGTAATTGATCCGGTTCTGCTCATGATTCATGACGCTCTGCTGCAAGTTCACCTTATTGTGTCAAATATAAACAGCAGAAGAGCATGGAAAACGGCACATCGTCAGAGGGCCGAGACCCGTCAACTTTTCTGGGCGAAATCATTGGTGCTCCGGTTACAGTGAAGCTAAACTCCGGTGTGGTGTACAAAGGTTCCAATTTCCCAAACCAAAACAACTCTTGATTGTATCTAATTCCGGTCCAGGAGAACTTCAATCAGTAGATGGGTACATGAACATCGCTCTCGAGAAATCAGAAGAATATGTGAATGGCAAATTAAGGCGCGTGTACGGCGATGCCTTCGTTCGAGGAAATAATGGTAGGTCCATTTGACTAGTTACAGAAGCTCTCAAATCAAGGTGGCTGATATACAATTATTGCATTCGGTACAGTTCTTTACATCTCGGCGCATTAGCTCTGGCTATATCAGCGAAGTCTCTGGAGGACATCTCATTTCTCTAGTCGCAAGGTCCTAAGGGTGCAAAGGAGTTGATTAGCGTTGAGCCTTGATAATGTGTTGTCAAGCAGCGCATACATGGCGAGGAGTTATGGTTTTTGAGGTCAATCATATTAAGGTTATCGAAGAGGCTACAACCGTGCAAGATGTCGCCCCCTGTTGATTCGTTTTTTGGACAAAGGAGATTGCATCTCTATGCTACCGTACCTACTTGTACCTGCTCGTACGGGGCTTACGTGCATATTTTCTTGGTATGGTTATGACCTTATGACCTATTCTATATTGTAATGTATTGTATTGCGGGGTATGGCGTACACGTATTACCTAGGTGGGCAAGTGCCGTAACCCCACCACACCTGAGTAGAAGCGCTTGCCGACTCTGGAACTTTTCACTGAGCGAATTATTCATTTTTACCTGCATTTTCCTCAGCAAGCTGGGATATTTATTATTGACTCAACTTGCCTCCCAGTAAGGCCGCGCTATTTGTGTTTCGAGGTTTAAAATGAGCCTGCAAGCAATCAAATACCACGATGGCAATCTGGCCATTCTTGATCAGCTACAACTCCCGTATGTGGAAAAGTACTTGACAATACATACGAGCGAAGATGGCTGGCATGCCATTAAGGAAATGCGAGTTCGAGGAGCGCCTGCCATAGCCATTGTGGCGGCCCTGGCCCTGGCTTCTGAGCTCAGTGCGCTCATGACGAGCAGCCAGTTACCATCCGAAACAGAGGGCACTCGAGAGTTGATTTCTGGGAGATTACACTACCTGGTAAGCAGCAGACCGACTGCTGTTAATCTGAGTGATGCTGCTCGAAAGCTTGAGGCTGTGGTGGCCGATAGTGTCGAGAAGCCCGACTCTACAAGCTATAGTGTTGCATCTTCCTATATCAAGTCTGCTGAAGAGATGTTGGCCAAGGATCTGGAGGATAATCGAATGATCGGGAAGTATGGCGCAGACTGGATAATGGAAAATGCGATTACTACCCTCGAATCTAAGGCCACTGTTCTGACACACTGTAACACGGGGTGAGTTTGTGACTGCTGATAATTAAAAGAAAAAAAAAAAAAAAAAACTTTGCTAATTTCGAAATTCGACTAGCTCTCTTGCAACATCAGGTTATGGAACAGCATTGGGTGTGATTCGTGCCCTGGCGTCAAAAGATGTGCTGGAACATGCATACTGCACTGAAACAAGGCCATACAACCAGGGCTCTCGCTTGACAGCATTTGAGCTGGTTCATGATAATCTACCGGCCACTTTGGTAACAGATTCCATGGCTGCCGCACTCTTTGCAGGTGTAGAAAAGGGCGTGAATGCGGTTATTGTGGGGGCAGATAGGGTAGCAGCAAATGGCGATACAGCCAATAAAATAGGCACATACGGCCTCGCTGTCCTAGCAAGATACCACGGAGTTAAATTCCTCGTCGCCGCGCCGTTAACAACCATCGACTTGGCCACCAGGTCGGGCAAGGATATTGTCATTGAAGAACGACCCGCCTCTGAAGTTGCCCAGATAAGAGGTCCCTGCAAGGAAAGTGATTCTAACGGAAATTTGAGGTTGGAGACTGTTTGCATAGCAGCAAAGGGAATTCAAATCTGGAACCCTGCGTTTGATGTCACTCCCTGTGAACTAATTGACGGCATAATAACTGAAAAGGGTGTTATAGAAAAGGGCAGTGACGATCAATTTCGACTGGGGGATCTGTTTTGATCCTGCTTGGCTAATGGCATCTCTGACTTTTGGGGTTTTTCATTGGCACCACTTGATGTTTGGTGTTGTCCGCGGTTCTCGAGCGCAATGAGGAGGTCATCGATTCTGCATTCTAAGGTGCTGAGCTGGTCCTCAAGTGCGGATGCAGTCATCTCGCCACTGGATGAAACACGTCAGATATGCGATAAATCATAGAACTATGTCTTTTTTGACAGTTTCCATACTTAGCAATGTCATGAAGGGCCTGCTGTGAGTCTGTCAGTATTTTTTGCGTAACAGCATGCAACTTTGTCTCTTAGGGTAGCTAATGCCTGTGGTTATTGTAATAACATGGGCATCAATAATAATAGGTCTTCCTTACTTGTACGATATCGGTCTTGCCTTGGTTGCGTGACATGGCTGGAGTAGTAACAAAGTAGGTGTGTTTATTGCAATAAGATGAATAGCCTTGACTTATTTGCAGGTAAAGGGGGAAGAGTCTGGGTGGATCTTCGATAAGTTTGCCAGGCGGGAGGTCCAAACCGGCTGGTGGAGAGAAGATGTGTGTTGGGGAAGAGGATGCGTGCTATCGGGACAGCCACTATAAAGTTAGCAGGACGGCTTTTGAAGGTATGTGCTTAGCATATTTTGTTACAATTCCGCCCATAAATTTGTGTAGTTGAATTTACCAACCCTGCGATAACAAATTTGTATTCTAAGCTTATTTTAATAAATATTTCTCTATAACTAAGTAAATACATAGGTGCGGAAGCCCAGCATTTATCATTATTAATCAACAGTTAATTTGAAGTTATATAACTATTCTTAGTTATAAATAGTAATTTAATAAAAGTATTATAGATAATAAACACTTTAACTATAGTTTATAACTAGCTTTAAGTGTTTTATAGTAATATAACTATAAAATAATAATTATCTTACTGTCACGGTGCAACCTGGCACCGTGGTGCAGCTGTGTTCTGTTCTGTCCTGTTCCTACCAGTTTCTCCCGTTCCTGTTCCTGCCTGGGGTTTATATATGCGAGCGCAGTGCAAAGCCTTTGGCTTTGCATACTAGTCTTTTGCCAGTAGTGCAGTGGTTAGTACTCCTGAATGCGCCCAGGGGTCAGCACCATGACACTTACAGTTATCTTACAGTTTAAACCAATAAGATTACTTTTGTGTTGTAGTTCAGGTAGTGGAGCGATTGATTAGTTAAATCATCGCCTTACTCAAAATCCCGCAATTTAACATGTCATGAAATAAAGTTATAAATTAACAATCTTTTTATTAATTTCACCCCGAAGAAAGCAATAAATAGCCTTGGAAATTTATTTTAATTAAAATATAAAATAAGCAGAATAATATGCGAAATTGTTACTTTTTTATAGCTAATAAAATTATTTATTTTAAATTAAATGTTAGACCGAGGTCTATAGGGATGTAGATAACATGATGAGTACATAGTGCGGGGTTATATTATAGGGGGTGCCTATGAATAGAACTAATTGCTGGTTTCTTTCTACTAGTAATATAGTAAGGTTTTGCCTCTGGACTATATTATATAATCTAAAAAGCCTTATTTAAGCAAGCTTTATTATATTGTATAGTATTAGGATCTGTACTACAGAAGAATTATATAATAATATATACTTTATTATAGAATTTTATTTATGTTAGATATTGTCAGATGGGGTATGTAGGTCACGTGGGTTAAATAGAAATTTCAAATGACTTAATAGAATAAAAGAAATCGATCAGGTCAGATAAAGTAAACAGTTCACCTAGACCACCTAGATCTGAAATAGATAGACCAGAGATCCTACTATTCGCTATGCATGTAGATAGGTGAAATTAATTAAATAAATGAATAAAATTCAATTAAATAAATTAAGTAGGTAAATCAATTTAATAAAAAGAATAAATTAATACAGGTCATTAACTGTATATTTATAGATAATTAAATTAGGGCTAATTTAATTTAGCCTTAAACAAATATTATAAATATAAAATTATTAAATCTTTTTAAATCTTTATTTATAAATTATATTATTAATCTAGGCCTTTAAGATCAAACTTATAAATTATTATTAAATTAATTTAAATAATTAAATAATCAAGATTTTATAATCAGAATAATCAGAATAATTAAGATTTAACACATAAATTATAATAAAATTATTTAAATAATATCAGAATAACTAGGATAATAATATTCACTTTATAACTTATAAAAATAAATAAGTAAAATATTCTAGACTCTTTATATTAATCATCTAAACAAAGCTATTAATCATAGTAGTTAAAATAAACTTTTAATTTCCTAAATAGGAAATTTAATAATATTAGGTTTTTAAGTTTTATATAATTTTAATAATTAAATATTTCCTAAATAAGAAGATAAGCTAGTTTAAATTAAGAAATTTATTAAAAATCTAATCTTTTTTATTTTTAGCTTATTTTAAATTCAGTTTTACCTTACTTTTCCTATATAATTTAGTAGTGGAAGTAAGAGTTTAATAAAGTAGTAATAAAATAAAAGTAAATTTTAATTTCATAGGATTATTAGATAATTCTAGTAAATCAGATAATATCAGGTGACCCTATTTAACATACCTCTTTAGTTTTAAATTAATAAAAGTATTAATTAAAACTGTAAATATTAAATAATTAATTATTTAATAAAATATTTAATATTAATTATATTTAGTTATTTAGTAAATTTCGCATATTTCTATTTAATCAGGCGTTTAGTAAGGCTGTTTATAATTATTTAATTAATAGGGACCTATTTTAATTTAATAGATTTCTTTTTAATTTCTTGCCTAAGCTAATAATTACTAATATTTATATATTTTAATTTAATTTTAAAAATTAAATTAGGCTTAGTAAGCAGGTTAATTATTTAATAATTATTATAATAAATATATAGTTTTTCTTCAGGGTTAAACCTTATAATAGTAAATAAGTATTTTTATTATAAAAAATACTTACTAGCCGTAGTTAGGACTAATAATTTTGCTTTAGTAATAAATAAAATAATTATTTTTTACTTTCTAGCTGACTAATTAATAAATCTACTAAATAAGTAATATATAAAATTTTTAAATAATTTTTTTTATAATAAATCTGTATAAACTACATTACTAGTTATTTTAAAAATTAATAGTAATTTTAATTAATCTATTAAATTAAGACTATATTAAATTAAATTAAATTAGGTTTTATAAATAAATAAAATCAGGTAATTTACTATATTTATATAATTGAAATAAGGTTTAGCTATATATTCTGTAAGGATTTTGCAACTTTTTGTAATATCTGGCCTAGAAATAATTATAGGATATAAAACTAAGCTAATTTTTTTTAATAATCTACATAATAGGGCTTAATAAGCAGCTACCTTATAGATTTGCTTAAATTACTAGATAATAAGAGTATTTTAAATAAATTCTAATTAGCTAATTTAAAATAATAAATAATTTTTTTAATATAATCTACTTAATTAAGCTAAATTATTCAATTTTACTAGTTTTAAATAATCTTTATATTTAGGAATTAGTAAATTTTATTTAAATCCTTTAGATTATATATTAAAAATAATTAATCTTTTAATTTATTAATTTTTAATTAATAATTTTAATTATATAATAAAATAATATTATCTATATAAATTATCAAAATTATATAATTATTTATAAATAGGCAAGGATCTTCAGGCACTGATTTTAGGCCTAATTTTTATAAAATATTCTCTATTTTTTATTATTATAATAATAAGGATCAGCATAATTTATATAAAGCTTATTTTAGCTTAAAAATCTTATTTCATTAACTAAATCCAGGAGGCGGTAATACATGAATTAATTTATTTAATTTACTATTTAGAAATATATTTACTATATTTTATTAAGTTATTTTAAAATTAAAAACAGTAATTAGGGCTATAATAATCCTAAATATTCGTGTAACTAGGGTAATAGTCCTAGAATTAAGATTATTAATTAATTAAAGGTCTCTATAAACATATATTCTTACTTTAAATTTTAATAATTAATCTTAATTAATAAATTTGTATTTTTATACTTATTTTAATAATAGAATCTTTTAAATTAAGTTATTTATTTTAGAAATAGCTTCCTAGGTATTTATTTTAGTTAATTAATTATATTTAATTTTGTATATATTTAGCTATTTATCTTAAAAGGATAAATTTATTATTTTTGTCACGGTGTAACCTGGCACCGTGGTGCAGCTGTGTTCTGTTCTGTCCTGTTCCTACCAGTTTCTCCTGTTCCTGTTCCTGCCTGGGGTTTATATATGCGAGCGCAGTGCAAAGCCTTTGGCTTTGCATACTAGTCTTTTGCCAGTAGTGCAGTGGTTTAGCTTTTGAATGCGCCCAAAGGCAACACCATGACAATTTTATTCTAATTAATTGGCTTAATAGGCAAATTATTTCAATATAATTTATTATTACTAATTTAAGCTATAAAAATATATATAATTTAATATAAAATTTCAAGATATTTTTAAAGGTCCTAGATCAGGTGATTCTAATTTATTTTTTTTAGGGATAGTAGTTTATAAAAATCATCATAATTATTAAAATTAAATAATAAATTATTAATAATGACTTTAGGTGATTAAAAATACAGAATAGAAGGTTAATCTCCTAAAATCTTATTATTTAAATATTTAATTAAATTAAATTATTTTAATTATTTAATTTAATAATTCGATTTTCATATTCAGATTTATAGTAAATAAGATTATATTCACTAGATAATTCTGATTCACCTTATTCAGGTTTAGAATAAATATTATTAATAATTTTATTTTTAGTAAATCTTAATTCAGTGGTTTCAGGTAAATTAATTAAAATTAAAAAGATTAAATCATTAATTTCTTTAAAACTAAGCGGTTCGGGGGTTTTTAACCTAACTAGGTCTAATTTAAATATTTAAATATTTTGTTTATCTTTATAGATCTTTGTTTTATTAAAAATATAATTATATACTAAAA